TCACGATCCAGCTGGACGGTTCCCCCTCCATCACCCCCTTCCTCTTCTGGTTTCAGCCGCAACTGCACAGCTTACCTTACCTTACCCTACCCTACCTACCCTACCCACCAGAGCTTCCTCCTACGTAAACAAAACATGACATGACCTAATATATCACTAACCTGCATACGTGCCTATCTAGATTGGAACCCTTTTCTCACCTACATATACATATTGCACACACACACATACACACACACATACACACACACATACACACACACGTGCTCATGCCATGCCATCCCGTCGGATCAAAGATCAATGGGGGGACTAAGTTAAGCCCCAATTGAAAAACAAAAGCGGAAGACGCGAGCGATCCAGAACCCGTACGACGTTGGGAAACGGACCCCAACAATCTAGAGAGGTCCAGAATTGTTCGCAGTAAGCCGACGGAAAGCTCAATTCTGTTGGCTGGGGAGAGGTAGTGTATACAGTAGGTAGAGGGGAGGGTAAGAGGGGGCCGGGCTGGTGGGCGAGGTTGTTCGGGATAGGTTAGCTTGGCTGACGATGGCTACATGTAGCCTGCGCCAAGCACCCTTTGGTTTCTTGTTCGAGCTCTTTTTCTCCGGGTTCGAAGCCATCGGGCCCCATAACGTACATACCTACATACATGATACGTACAATACATAAATACATACCTAGGTACGCTAGGTACCGAACCTAGGCATGTATTTATGTATCATGTATGTAGGTATGTGGGTTGCAGCCACGCGTTGGTCTAGATCGTTCGGAATGGGTTCGTGAAATGCATTGGCGCCTGGCGAACCGCTTGACTAGGAAATTAAGCATTGGGGATTGGGAATTGGGAATACGCTTGGGGTAAATACGATATATACTGTAATTACCTATCTACTGCCATCAATAGTATATACCTCTGTACTTACTTGATAAGTAGGTAGTCACCGCAGATGTCGGACACTATAATACCCAGGTTAACAGACAGGCCTAGACTATCTATCTACCGGTTGATTGCATCTACATACCTTACAGCCATCTACCATAAAGCTCGCTCGATCTGTTCGTGCGAGATTATTCTATCTGCCCGTTTGTCTGCATGGAATACTGCTGCACCTAGCTCGAAAAGTGATGCATTGCATACCGACACATGCATACATATATACATACAGTACATTAGATAGCTACATGCTTCAATCTTTCTTGCGGCGTCTATATGTGTGTACATATACCTACCTACCTAGGTACATATGCATGTAGGGTTCCGTAGCCTACCTAGGTATGTGTGTATGTATGTATGTAAGTATGTACATACGCACATACATATCTCTTTCTTTTCTGCCCTCCGCGAACCGGAAATTGTCATCTAAGAACCCACCCCAGAAGTCTAGCCAGATCTACGAAACGATGCGGGCATTGAAAAAGTCGGGACGCAAGAACGGGCGACGAGTTGGGTACGCGGGTAAACCTGCTCGTTTTTCCCTACCTACCTACCTACCTACCTACCTACATACATACATCCATGGTCCGATGACCACGGAGCTTCGACAGCCCTATTCTACTCTATTCTATTCGCACGGTCGTAGTTTTTGGATGCGTGCCGGGAATAGCGGAAGAAGGATACTGAAGGCATTATATCACGGCCGGAGGTGGGAAGACAAAAAGGCGAATCGAATGGGACGACGAGCATCATCAAAGTCTTACGATTCTCCTCGTAAGCTTTCTTCCGCAAAAGCACGGGTAGACAGACATCTACCTACATTTTAATCTGGAAGCTCGGGATTTCTTTTCTTTTCCTTTCGGTCTCTCTCCCGCTCGTTCCCCTTCGGCTCGGCTGGGCTTCCTTTGGGTAATATTTTTTTTCTTTTCCCCCTTCGAATAGGTAGGCAAGGTAGGCTCACGAGACGAGGCAGAAAAGACGTAATAACTCCGGGTCCCGCATGGGGCGCTAGCTAGGCCAGCATGCTGTGTAACAAGTTCCAGGAAATCAGATGCTCGTGGCCCGATATCCTTTGACGATGTTCTCTTCCACATTCAGTCCAGTTCGCCGGCGCCTGCCTTGGCTATGACAGACTCGGCAGTTTTTTTTTTTCTTCCATTCCCATCTTTTTCTTCGTTCTCTCTACCTCTCTCTCCTTCTCTTCTTCCCTCCCTCGCCACCGGTGTTCAACCCAACCCGTCCACTGAGTCATCGAGGGTGTTGTGTGCCACGTCGTGGTCTGAAAAGGGGCAAGCTTGATCACTAACCTTAGGAATGAGCGCTGCGAGTAAGAAAGAAGCCTGAGTTGTTTGAACTTCCGCGAAAGAAGACCAATGGGATTCTTCCAAGTTTTTTTTAAAAAAAAAGGTAAAACCGTGTTGTGATACGAAGGCTCATTATAACTGGCTAGTTGATTCAGGTCTAAATTGGCGCTGTTGTTCTAAGTAGTAAGTCTTGAAAGGGGCTTGATAGGTGTAGGACGTCGGATAGTAGTTACTACCTGAAATCACGTGTATCCCTGATCATCATTGCCATAAATGTTTGACTTATATAAGATACAACACAGTCACGTGAGAGACACGACTGTAACTCTTCAATGACACAAGACATAACTGGAGCTGTAAGGGTTCAGCTATATCTTGAAGCCACGAAACTAGACCTGGTTCCTGGTTCTGCTCATATTTACTACGTTTGTGAATGTAGCATATCATGTCGCAGGGGTATACTCATTGGTAGTAGGTTGGTTGATATTTCGTGACCTCAGAGGCTATATCGTATAGAACAAGGCACTATTCATCCTTCTACATTCGAATGTTACATTTGCTAGAAGAAACTGAATCAATATGCATATACCGACTACTACAAAACCATGTGAAAAGTTGTGGCTGTGGTTGATAGTCGTGGAGATCGGTCGCTTTTGAGGTCACGATGTTTCGACTTTGCCGCCCACCCAAGCGAGACCGTTAACGAACGACAGCAAAAGGGGGGCGCTGGCAATCAATCTTACAATTTCTCCCCAAATCTTGATATAAAAGAGTACATCTCCGGTCTCCCAGATGAGCAGAACAGACAGTTTGGCAAACGGGCGAAGAGACTCGAGGAAAGGAGTAGGTCCGATGAAGCGGTTGCACGAACAACAATGCCTGAGGTTGGCTGGGGGAGTACACGCTTGGGAGGATGGGTTTGGCCTGATACAGGAAGACAAGGCGCTGCATATGTATACCTGTGGGAAGCTTACTGAGCATTGGGCTATTATCAGGGATAAGCATTCGTACATGGCGGCGGAGAAGAACAAAAAACCTAACTTTTATTCTCTCGCCTGGACAAGCGACGGCTTCGTCTGGCCGGTGGATAGTGAGATGTGGCGGGTTACGCGCCGCGATAATAGGTGTCGTCGGGTTGATCTGTTCAGGTGTACGAGGAGGGTTAAGTTTGTGGAGACGCATGGGGGGGGGGGGGGAGATGGGGAGGATACGGAAGAGGTATAGGGATGCTGTGGTGAGCGAGCTTGTTTATCTTAACTAGATACCTGCCTAGTAGACAGGTAGGGAGGTGTGTCTTTTGTGTGGGAATAGCAGGATGCTGGGCACATTCATTATATCATTATTGTAGAAGCCATTTACCACTCAAAGGGGGTTGATGATGATGGATTATGTCGATATCACCACTCTAATACCCCCGCAAAATGTCAAGTACTCCCATTACTTACCGGCCTATCATTCAACCCAACAACACCCATCCAAAAGACCACCCAAAGCCAAGAAGTTGACCACCATATCGGTTAGAAACACCTGCGCCATCAATGACCGACTTAAGCCAAGGCCACTTACACGTAAACTACCAAGCAGGTCTGCCCTGATGAGAAATTCGAGCTCCCATTCCTTTGACCTGCGCTCTTCTCGATACCTAACATAGACGCTATTCACAGCTTTTTTTTTTTTTTTACCCCACCCCCTTTTTCCTTTCTTCCAAATCCATCAACCTGATACCACCAACCAACAACAAGCCACTTCTATCTCACCCACTATCTGGCCTAGGTAGGTACGTCTAGTAAAACTGAACTATTCACAGTTCTCAGCAAATTTTATACAGAATACCATCACGTAGTAGGTAATTTACGTATGTATGTCAATATCTCTCATCACCATAATAAATAACCACTGAACTTCCCCCGAAAGAATCAATCCACTTATTGTAGCACTAGGCACCAAGCACTCATATAATACAGTCATAGCCATAGCAAGGTAGTTGGTATAAAGAAACAACAACACTCGCTTCCAATTAACACTAACACTAGGTATCACTACCACCAACTCTAACAACCTTGAACGCTAACAATAACCCAATCACAATACTCCAACGCTATGTCTCCTTGACTCCCTTATGTATGTATGTATGTATGTGTGTATGGAGGGGATGGGTATACAGCAATGATAACCTCCAACAAAGTCCCAAGATCCCAAACCAACCCGAAACCTGACAACCTAATCCTATCTTGCGATTTCTTCCTTTTTATACAGCCCAGCAAGTCCACCAAAACTAATAATGCCTAATAATAATCCAAAAAAAAAAAAAAAAAAGCAAACAAGGATATCTCCCACGCTGTATCTTCTTCGCTTCGCTTCTCTTCTCTTCTCTTCTCTTCTCCTTCGCTTTCTCCCCCTTTCCACAAAAAGTTTCCCCCTCTTACAAAGCATCTCGCCAAACTACCAACCTCTCACCTTCCTGCTGCTCACCTTCCACACCCGCACCCGCAACTCTACTCGGCCCAGCTCCGGCAGCAACTCTACTCGGACCAGCCCCACCCGCACCTCTACTCGGTCTGCCCACAACTCTCCCCGGCCCAATCGTCGGCCCCGCAGCCGCCGCAACAGCAGCACTTGATCGCGGCGTCACGAGCGGACGCACTCCCACTCCCTCTTCCTCTCTCGCTACTCTCCTCACCCTCTCCAAATTCCCCCCCAAGCTTCTTCCAATACTTCTGGCCCCCCCATCCCAGCGATCCCCCACCACCCCCTCGACTCTCCCCGGCAGCCTTCCCACGGCCCCAACCACCTTCTTCACCAACTCCCCCTTCTTCTCCTCTTTCTCCCCCACCACAGGCTCCCAAACCTTTCGATTCGCAGCCTAGATGAACCGATCGGCGAGGTTCTCGAGCCTAGCGTTCTTAAGCCTCTTAGCCGACGGCGCCAGATCGGGGGCCGGGAACCACGACTCCAGCGGCCCGTCCGGCCTCCCCACTTCGCCCACCACATTGTCGAGCTCGGTGCCCGACAGCATGACGCCGAGTGCGGTGCCGCACATCCAGGCCCAGACCATGCCGTCGCCGCAGTATCCCGCGGATATCCACTCGCCGGGCCTGACGATGCCGCGGTCGGCGCTGCTGCGCTTATGTGGGGGGAGGTCGGGCTTGCGGCCCGTGAGCCTGGAGCCGAGGCGGCCGACGAGGGGCAGCATGTCGCCCGTCACGCCGATGATCCCCGTCCAGGCCTTCATCGACCCCGAGCGCCCGTTGGCGCCGCTGCCCCAGAACTTGGAGTCGAAGATCGTCGAGAGGATCCCGCCGAGGTGCGCGACGGGCAGCGGGTCCAGCTGGCTGTCGTCCCAGACGCCGACGGAGCTGGCGCCTTCGCCGAGGGAGCGGGAGAATCCGCCGCTGACGAGCAAATCGCCCGGTCGACCGGCGACCGAGGGTCGCTGGACGGCGTTGTCGGAGTGCTGCCCGTAGATGACGGACCACGACCTCTTGCCGTTGCGGTCGGGGAATTTGACGCCGGGTCGTTGCGCCGTCGTGGTCCCCAGGAGCCCGGTCAGCTTCCCTCGTAGGCCGGGTACGAGCTCGGGCGCGAAAGCATTCGTGGCGTGCACGACGTGGTTGCAGAGGATGGTGCCTTGAAGAGTGATAACTCCGTAGGCGTAATTTGGATTGTCTTGTGTCGTCTCGATAGCTAGCACTGGTGTGTTGGTTTGCAGGAACAAAAAATACTTATACTTGTACAGAAGTTCCTTCCACACCAAGGAGACAAAAGCGTAGGGCCAGATTGCGCCGGCCGTGTACGTCATGGCGCCTTTGACGAGCTTGTTCACATCGAACCACTGGGCGGGTTATATCAGCATTCATGTCGGCACTAATTCATCCCCCCCTTCCCCGGACTACTACATTGTCCTGAGGTAATATAAATCGGGACTCACCTTTCGTGCTTCGCGTCCGTCCCATTTATTAGCTCTGAACTCTGGAATATGGTTCCGCATCTCTCTCATCTTCCGAAACGCAGCATCGCGGTCCTCTTCGTTAAGGAACAGATCCACCGTCTGTAGCTCGCGACACTCGGCAATGTCCCAACCCTTGGCATTGCACATCTCACGGAGCATGATCAAGTTGTACAACTGGAGTCTGGCGAGCTTAGCGGCACGGGTGGCTCCTAGTGATGACTTGTGGGCGGCGAATAGTTCGTGCGGCGTGCTCTTGATGTGTCCGCTGCTTCGCCCCGTAGCTCCCGAGCATAGTGACCGTGACTCGAGGACCACGATACGACGTCTCTTCCCCCAACGGTTGCCTTCTTCAAAGACGGAGCGCGCAACAGCGGCAGCTGTAAGACCGGACCCAATGATGACGATGTCGGCCTGGTTCGAGGGAAGTGGCATGAATGCATCGGCGAGATCGGGAAACAGGGGCTGGCCTGTCCAGTAAGGATCGGTTGGGTTCTTGACGGGGAATCCTGGCTGCTCGCTGGCACGTTTGAGAACATTCTTAATATGATCGTTGAGACCCTGGACAGCCTGCGTAGCGCGCCATATCGACTTGGCTGTAGACTGGACGACACCCATCTCGGTGAGTACCTACCTGCCTATACTTAATACCTAGTAGTACTATGTATGTAGGCACTAGGTACGTACAACGGTAGATGAATAGATTAAGAGTGGTGTCTATGAAGCGAATGGATGACACCCCAAGAAAGGAAAGATATTCAACAAGGTATAAAATTTTATGAGATTCATACAAAGTATTGTCGGTTAGGATTAGATGAATTAATTGTACCTAGTCAACCACCGTATCTTGGAAAAATGATACATCTACCTAGACAAAACATTGAAGATGATCGATGATCGAAATATGACAAAGTCTAGTAATAATCCATTACCGTCCTTCGGAACCAAGTATGGAGTTTGTTCGACCGGAGCCAACATGTGGCTTCCGATAGTTCCCTCTTTTCTTTTTTTAATTATTTTCTTCTTCTTTTTCGTCTTACCTTTTCAAACGCCAAGTAAGATAGGTAAGTAGGTAGGTAGGTAAGTAGGTGTTGTCATGTTGCAAAGACAAGCTTACAGCACCTTCTTAAGGGGCTGAGATTATTGGTGGTTTCCATATTGTGGAGAAGGAACAGGATATCAGGCCATATGGATGTTGAGTTGAGTGTGGATGTGGTGTAGATGTGGTGCAGATGTGGATGGAAGAAAGATTGAGACAATTGAAGTCTAAAATTGAAGATTGAAGATTGGAAGATTGGAAGATTGGAAAGCTTGGGTTAAGCGGTAAAGGGGTAAAAATAGTATTGTACATACCTTAGGATTGTACCACGTACTTGGTAGGTGGATTTTTATTAGGCTTTTTAACTTTCAGTGTGGTCCGTGCATTATAGTAAGGTTACTATGTAGATTAATGAAGACATGTCTAGCAACTTCCATTCAAGCTCTTCATATTCACATGTACATAGTTACTACTAGTAGTACATAGAATACATATATGTAGATACATTATTTATGTATGCATTTCTAGAATCTCAAGAATTCACATATATATTCACAAAAAAACCGCACAATACACACATCTGAAGACAAAGACAAATGGTGAACTTGTATCAACCAAACACTCTCAGAATCCTGGGTAGTCGTCTCAGTCTCAGTCTCAGTCTCAGTCGTAATAGTAGTACACGTCAACTGCATCACCGCTCTTTCCCATCATCAATATCACCATCACCCTTACAACTATCGCCATTACCAAGCATAATAATAAGAACCATGTCGTCAGCACAAAACCCAAACCCAGAACCGGGCACCAGCAACAACAACTCGCAGGAAGCGACAGCGGCTGCGGCTGCTACCGAACCTCACAAAACGCCGCTTCCACTCCCAGAGCCCACCCACGCCAGCGACAACAACGTCACACAACTACCCGTAGATGGGGAAGGCGTCCGACTGGATCATCGTAAGTACCTACCTCCCCTGCCCTGCCCTATCTACATACCTACCCTAGATAGTACCTGTCACATGCTTCCCTCCCCTTACCCTTCCCTACATCCCTAACCCCCCCCCCCCCCCCTCTCACCAAAAAAAAAGCCACCACCAAAAAAAAAAAAAAAAAAAAAAAAAGAAAAAAAAAAAAAAGAAATAGACGCTAACAACAGCCGGTATCCGCCCAAAACAGTGGGTCCCCTCGTAGTCAACCAAGACGGTACGACCAGCCGCATCGCCAACTGGGGCGAGATGGCCGAGATCGAGAAGCAGAACACGCTGCGCATCCTCGGGAAGCGGAACAAGCAGCGGCTTGAGACGCTGAGGGGGGGACAGCAGGGGAAGGAAGGCACGCAAGGCTGAATGAATGGATGAATGAGGGAAGGGAAAGGAGTGCTTATGTAATTAGATGTCTACTACATACATATACTATGTACTAGTAGTAGTAGGTGTGCAATGTGCATGAGTCGAAGAATGCACTTGGGAAAGAAAAGCAGGTCCAAGAAAAGAAAGCTCGGTGTGTGAGTCCAGCTAGCTAACATACCTTACATATGTAGCTAGGTAAAAGCTAGGGGGTGCTAGTACGAATTGATCGTCCTGTCCTATCTGTTGTAAAATACGAAATACCTATACCCAATTGCATGCATATGCCATACATACCTACCATACATGTAACTGCCATAGTACCTACCTATCTATATATACCTAGTTCAGGGGTACATACTAGGCGCGGTACTGGGCACGGCACCTTTTTCATATTAGAAGATTCAGCAATAAAGTATACTGAACAAATTCCCCGCCATGAGTATGTAGTACAAACATCAATTCGTAGATAGCTGCTGGCGTGGCGCATACACTATTAGTGATAACTGGCGGTAAGTCGTTGTTTGAAAACTAGACAAAGCTTTGGTAGCGGATCTGCCGGAACTATTGTATACTCATACCCAGGACGGAATAGTTCCAAAATAATACAAACCGTTGATCCCGAGATACCACCAGAGGGCGTACATACCTGTCTGGAGACGTGCCCTCAAGCTGATGGACAAACAGTCTCAAACGGTTGCACCCACCAGTGTGTCCAAGGGGAAGAGGACACCATCGATAGATAGTTATGAATAAATACCCAACATATTCATGCAAATTGCTTCACAATAACGGCGACTGATAGTTAGATTTAACATATGCCAATAAATGGCAGTTAGGGCATAGCCCATATATTGTAAATTAGGCACGAAGGCCCCCAAGAAAAAGATCCTGAAAATAGACGTGATATAACCCAAAAAGCAATCGCCCAACCGCGACGTGCCACCTTATATGCTTCCCCCCCAATAACGCCATCGTCAATGTTTCATGGCGAGATTTAATCGTTATGAAGCCTTCTCAGCTTCCACCTTTGCATTACTTTCCGACTCCTTGGCGTTAGGTGCTTTCTTTTCGTTACGCTTTTCTAATAAGGACGAGATGAGCGTGTCGTTTCCGCCCGTCTTCTCCATTACAAGTTCCCTTAACCATTTGTTCTCGGTCTCAAGAGTCTGAATTCGGCCTTCGAGGCTACCAACTTTGTCGCTTAACTCCTTCTCGCGCTTCTCGAGTGCTTGCTCGCGAGCCTTCTTTTTGATGCGGAACCTGGCGCTGGCAGCCGTGTTCCGCCTGCGCTTGTCCTCTTCCGCAGCAAAGCGCGACTGATCCTCAAAGGATAGCTGGCGGCGGGGTGGAGCAGCAGGATCATCGACAGACTTTCGCTTTTCCCCGGTTTGCGAAACTGATGGGGTGTAAGGGGTCTGTGGTGACCCGGTAGATGGGAATGCCGGAGAGGGCTGGATAGGTTGCAAGTTTCCCAAGTTGTCTGGATAGGCCGAGACATTTGGTGTAGAGTAGGCGTGGAAATCAAAGCCGTTGAAATCGCCTGGAGACATGACGTTAAAACTGTGGCCCAAATGACGAGTGCAAATTAAACGCGACACAGAGCCTTTCCAAAATGCTGAACATTATCGGTGACGACTTAATTTGTCAAGGAATGAGATAATGGGATAAAGAGATAATGAATAGGGTCAAGCCATGTTTTGCAAAGTTGTCAACGACAAGCAACGGCGGACGGGGTTGAGCTCTTCAGGTCCATGACTTCGGCCGGATCACCTAAAGATCACGGGATATTGCACCATAGCTCGATTGCGCCATCGCAGGGTAATCTTTCGTGTGCATACAAGTGCAGACAAGTGCAGACCTGTGCAGATAAAAAAATAACAACCTAAACCACCGATCGCTTGCACTTGGATGCGACATGGGGCAATCCGCACCAATCAGACAGTCAAGAATAGGGAGTGTGTACTTGGTGGGGTAAGGGGTAAGGATTATGGCTTGTATGGCTTGTATGGAGTGTATGGAGTGTATGGATTATGGATTATGAAAGGGCCTAAGCCGTGATAAGACGAGGAACTCTCCTTGGTGGCCTTGGGTAGTTTCGGTGCATGGTCAATCCAATCCTTTCCCTTTTCATCCTACAGTTCCACTGCACGAGGACGCCGCGTCCACACACACAGACCGAAAATGATTGGAGGTTGAAAAGAAAGGACAGGGCAGTAGGTGGTACAGATGAGCAAGGCTGATTATCTTGTCAAGGTCACCCCGACAAGAATCGCCCATTGCGCAACGCCGCCTCGTAATTGTCCAATGCGGGGGAAGAAATGGTAGTAAAGATGAGAAAGACGAGAAAAAAAGAAGAAAAAAGAAAGATACGATTTGTTAATAGACTTGAGAAGTCTTGATAGACATGGGAGAAAAGGTAAAACCCAAACATGGCTCAGGTTGACAGGTATAGAAAGATAAAACAAAATAAAATAAATACAATAAACAAAATAAAAACAAATAACAAGGCAAAAAATGAAGATCAAAAACTTACCTGGAAGATTAAAATCAAATCCTGCCAACTCTCCTCCAACTGCTGGTCCTTCTTCCGCAGGCGATGCCGTCGTTTGCGTATCCATATTAACACTAGGCGGATGCCTATGTCCTTCGTTCGCATCCCAATCAATGAAGTTCGTGTTGGTAAACATGGCAAGCTCATCGTCGAGACTCCGTAGATTCTCTTCAGAGACTGGAGCTGCCGGTTCTGGGACCCTGTTCAGGTCTTGTAATAGTTGCGACACGTTGACGGCCTGGCCGCGCCGGCTAGAGTAGGTAGGAGGCATCTTTTCCAAAAACTCTTCGATTCCTTTTTCCTTTTTTCCCTTCCTTCTTTTCTCACTCTCCGTCTTTTCTCGCTGTCAACTCACATACGCACGCACACACTCTTCCTATAAGATTTTATAAGTCGCAATGACGACAGACTTTTTCCATGCACTCGAGTCGATAATGCCGAGTTGCTGACAATATTCGAGGTAGTATTATGCTGTGTATACTACCTATAGGATTTGTGTTTTTGTCGAATTCGACTATGTAGTTGTAGTTGAAGAAAGAATTTGCTCAGATGAGAAGATCTGGCGGGTTGGCAACGGAATATAGTAGCTTCAAAGTATCGAGTGGGTCAAAGGGGACCACTAGACAAAAAAAAAAAAGCGAAGTTTGTTACGAAGCAACGCAAGTTTCAGGCCGATTTTGACCGATGGTGGTACTATGGCCTTACTCGTAAACCGGCTGACGCTCGGTTGACGTTTTTAGGAAAGGCGGTCCCTCTAGCCCCTCTTCTTTAAGATGCCGCGGTATAGATGTATTATTCAGCTATTGCTGTACCAGTGTGCAGTCTGTACCAGACATACATGTACCTACCTTACCCTAGGTTGGTAAGTTACCTAGGGTAGGGTACTAACTATCTGTGACTTAATTCTCTTTTTTAGTGGCGGGCTGAGGGGGATTGGGGTTCAAGGTTGTAAATTGACTTTGGGGGTTATTATTATTAATAAGAATTATTATTTCATTTAATAATTTTTTTGTGCTCCAACAATGATTGACTGAGATGTACAAGTTGAAGAAGAGAAAAAAGTTGCGAAAAAAGTCGGAAAAACAACCTTCAAGCAAATGGGAACTCTTTTGAAAATTGAATCTGATTTATTACATATGTAATTCCATATATAGGTAGGTACACCAATGTAATGTTATTACACACGTACATACATCCATACATACATACCCGCGAACCACTCCCCTTTTACAATCCTACCATAATAGACCCGAGTTTCCCTGAAGTAGCATGCAGCCCCGGGCCTGGAGTGGATGACCTACCATGACTATTAGTAAAACAAACTGTTCTTGACCAATGAACGGTTGGGGGAACCCTAAACCTTCCACGCTGCCCACACACTCTCGTAGATATTCTATTCCAACTGTAACGTGAACCCCCACTATGTTCCTCGTCTGGAACTGGTTGGACCCTGATTGTCTTAAGGACCTAACTACCTAGGGATGTAGTGTATCTCTCAAATCATAAATGCTGTCGGACTGTCCTGCAGACTCCTGCTTGTTGCTTGATTAATCGAATTAATCGAGAATGTCTATAAGCTATTAAGCTGCATGTCCATCCCGTACACATGCATGGTCCTATGTAATTCTATAAGTGTCTTAGCCGGTGGATTAGAGGGTAATCCCCCCATTCGTTTCCCTTCTTTTTTGTTGACCAAGCGGTATTACTTGTGTGCTTAGAAATCAACTGTCTTCGACTGCCTATCCAACCAACAATCGTGGAATATTGGAAGAAAATAGGGCTAATGGGGAAGGTAAGAGCTTAGTAGTAGAAGCAACCAAATGCTGCAAGGATTGGTCAAGTGACATGTCCTTATTTTATTTCTTGATAGAATCAGGTAATGGATGCTATTCGTCAATTGGCACCCTATTTATTACCGGTGGCAAGTACACGGTCAAGGGCTGACGGTGACATATGTATATGATGGCATGATCTGAGCCCAATATCTAGGTACATATCCAATATCCATTATAATAGAGTTAAACAGACAAAGACATCTGGAAGCGTTCAAGTCTTGACGTCAAGTGCCACAAGAAATTCTACAAGAAATTCTATAAACGTCAATCATGTTAGAACCTAACAGCCTAGCAGCCTAGCGGTAGCACAGGTAGGTAGATTGATTGAAGATCCTCGGGTCCGTGGTCAGATCTACACCAATGGATATCTGACGCAGTGACGGGATATTTATTTATGTAACATAGTACCTAACCCAGCTCTGCCCAGCGCCTACATAAGATTAGATAGCCCTGATACAAGGTACATACATACATTTCAGCATGTGTGCATCCGCATCCATCCCACGGTTTCTCGCCAAGATCTGTGCGAGCCGTTATCGGGTAACGTGGGGTACGGCCGGCTTAATGTGAGACTCGGGCGTTCGGAACTTCGGGATACTGTAGTATTTTCGTCGGCGTCTGGAGTCATTCACATATGACCAGAAACATATCATTGTATATATCAAGTGTATATGTACGGGTTGTTTCATATGGAAGCTACATGTAAGAAACCTAATCTGTCAGACTTTCAATATTTCCAACCTTGTTGAATAATCACATATTCCAGAGTCATCAATCATGAAAGTACGGTAGGGTCTAGGTTAGGTAGGTAGATTTCGGCAATACTACGGGAGTAAGTGCATATCTTTGTCCACGTGCAACCTCAACTCAATCAACTTAAGGTTTGCAGTATCTAGGAAGGATGACGTAATCTTCCAACGGGCATCTTACACTGGCTACAACATTTTTTGAATTGATAGGGTACTGCAGTCTTTAAAGCCATGGTCATGTTATACTAATCAAAACTTAATCATTAACTTTACAAACACATGGACATGTAGGTTTCATTGCATGTCTTATCGTACATACCTAGCGTAGCCTTCAATCGGCTGGATATGCTACAAGGAACAAGAGAAAAAAAAAAAAAAAAACCTCCGACGCGTCGCGTGTTCCACTTGACTTCACGAATGACAATCATTGATCGACAAACATCCAATACGTAACCTCGCCATTTACGTACTAGTATTATACACAACATTGAACAGGTGCATTTACAATTATACTATTAGCATAGTATAGTATATAATCGCATCAATCAACCAAAATACTAGCTTAGGTACCAGACAAGACAAGACAAGACAAGACAAGACAAGCGGACTCCGCGTAGCCATGGCACGTTTATCGTTGCCAACTGTCGCGCGACTGTCCTCAGCCTTACGAGTCGATCCAGCGAATACCACTGTAATCAAAACCCTCAACCGCCTCTCGCGATCATCCCTTTTATCACTTGTACTCGACTGGCTAGATGAACAAAACCAAGCCTTATGTCCGCCTCTCCTTCGACGCCCCGACGCCCCCGACGATGAAGACGAAGATGATTTTTACCCCCCAGTGCAATCTCTCGATGAGTTGCGGGACCTATTCGAAGCTATGCAAGCGCGCAAGGGTGGCCGCCGCGAGGTCGTTGACCGCGTTTTGGAAGGCGACTGGAGGTACGGACTAAGCCTGTATCAGCTCGCCATGGCAGATCTACAGTACCTATACGACCACCCGGGCAGTCTGAAGTGGACAGCGTACCGCATCCAGCGCCTTCGAACTCCGGACCACGAGGAGGACGCCGAAGGCCCGGAAAGGGCTGATAAGGAGTCCCTTGTAGTCCCACGCTTCCACCCGTCGACTTTCTTGCAGAACTTGCAAGCCGAGGTCTTGCCCGATGTCAAGGCGCATTACAATTTCGACCGCCCGAAGGGCATGCCGTTATTGCTACTGCGCATCTTTATCGTGGATTCTCCTTATAACACAGACCTAGCTGTATCCACGCGGCACCGTGGCCGGAACGGGATTGGTAGTAACTTACATTCCCACGGCAACGCAACCACGAGCTTCGACGCCTCCCGCACTATATACATCGCCTTCCCTGACGCTTCACCACATATATACATCTCCAAATCTACTTCGGCTGCCGCCGGTTCATCGTCAGCCGGCGCAGCCGCCAGCACTGCAGGCGAGGCCAAAAGCCTGCGTGCTCTCATCGTCGAAGGTATCCCTAAAGCGCTGTCGCGACCACGCGAGCGCTATGCTCTAAAAGCCACAAACTTGACTACCAAGAACTTAGCCGCTATGCTCGCGGTCAAAGGACCGGGCCGCACAAACGCCGCCGGAGGGGGCTGGAGTGTGTACGCCGGTACCGAGACGGCGGATCTGAAGGTGGATAATCCGTTGCAGACGATGTTGCCCACGCCCCCTCTTTCAGATGCGTCGTCCGCGGATGGGGAGAAGGAGAAGGATGGCGAGGGAGCTGAACGCAAGAGGACGAGGGGAAATGAAGAAGAAGAAGACTACGAAAAGCAAAGCAAGAAGGCAAAACTTACCGCGCAGGCAAGGTTTGGAAGCAGCGCGAATATGGCCGATGGGAAAGGCATCGAGAGGCTGGACGTCATAATCGAGGACCCGTTCCCCGTGGCCAAAGGCACTGCTCCCATAACCACTAATGACGACGATGACGACGAAAATACCCCGGTTCCCTCCGAAGCATCGCGGCGGAAGTCAAAGGGGGGCAGAAGAAGCACGCTCGACTTCAGCAGTCTACCAGCGCAGCCGGAAGAAGACGAAGAAGGAGAAGAGGAAATGGACAGAGACGGGGGCGCGGGGAGCTGGAGGCCGAAGGTCAAGCTCTCGTTTCACGGGTCCCATGTCTTCGCCGGCCTGCGCCAGCTAGTCGAGGCCGGCATTGTGGATGGGGCGAGGATGCCCGGTTGGATGACGGGCGAGGAGGGCGTGACGATTGGGGCGGTGAGGCATGGGAGGATTAGGGGGTTTAAGGGGTCGGGGGTGTGATGGAGGTAGGTATACATGCATGCAGGGGGGCTACCCACGCACATTCACCACAATTAATCACAACATCACCCACCCTTCCCTCTCCCTCCGAGAGATATTCGACGAGGGATGGAAGGTTCACTTACTTGCATAGCCCAGGCGTTTGGCTTGCTTTTTTTTTTTTTCGGTTTGCTAGCCGGTCGGCATACCTAAGGATATTAATAGGACGGGCGGACAGGCGGATGGACGGACAGATTTGGTGGAGGGCTGGCTACCTTTAGCCCCTATCTAGGTACCTAGGTTACTTGTCTATGTGCCTATTAAATACTTGGCTTGCAGTATATATCGTATGCCTACCTAGGTAATAGGTAACCCCCTATCTGAATCAGGAATCGAGGAGGCTTTCAAGACGCTTTTGTGAAGAGTTGCGGGTATTGTAATGATATTGTGATGTTGTATCCCTCTCAGCTGCGCTGCCTCTTAAGTTAGATATCTACCTAGCCTAGTTAGGTATCTAGGTGTCTAGGTGGGTAATCATGATCTACTCTCATCTTGTCTTTTCTTTTCATTCCTTATTCCATCTACTCAGGTATCTGTCTAACCAGGTATCTATCTCTGATTCTCTGTAAGTGAGCACGTACCCAGACATCCAAACATCTGGGCCAGGCAGGTGGGCACCTACCTATCTGGGTGTGTATCTATTCACCCACCCGAAACACCCTCACGGTATTCCGCCACGCCGCCTCGCACACCTCCTCCACACTAACCCCTTTAATCCCCGCCACGATCGCGCCCACCCGCTCGATCATGCACGGCTCGTTGCGCCCCTTCACCATCGACCCTTCCGTCCACCTCTCCTTCCTGACCGTCGGGAAGCGTTCGGGCACCGAGGTGGGCTTCTTCTTCGGTTGCGATTGCGTTAGGCGTAGGGGTTCTTGGTTTCGCTTAGGCTTCTTCTTGGATTTGGGGGGTGGGGGTGGAGGTGGAGTTGTTGGGGCTGAGGGTTCGGTGGCCGTATTTGCCTCAGCGTTTGGATCTGGGGGAGTATCTTCCGTGCCAGCAGCAGCAGCAGCAGCAGCAGCAGCAGCAACCTTGGGCTTCCTTGGCGGTGGCTCGAGATACTTCCACCCTTCGTGGCTGGGCCGGACCTCGCACCAGGGGCCGTCCGTCTCGAGCATCAGGCGGTCGAGATCGATCTCCTTGACGACAGCGCAGTTCTCGGCCGTCTTGAAGCTGCACCCGTTGATGCCGATGTACAGGCCCAGGTCCATGAGCTCGCGCATCTCGTCCGCCGTACCCGTGAAGCTGTGGACCACGCCGCCGTGCTCGAGCTTCTCGAGCCGGGGGCCGAACTTGGCCTTGAGGAGGCCCACGAAGTCGGCGTGGGCGGCGCGCGAGTGCAGGAATAGGGGGAGCTGGGGCTCGAGGGAGAGGACGAGGTCTAGCTGTGCGGCGAACGAGTGTAGCTGGATCTTCTTGCTGCAGTAGTGCAGACGGTCGTAGTCCAGTCCGAATTCACCGAACGCCACGAGTGGGCACGGGCCCATGAAGCTGTTTTCCCGTGCCTCTTCAATTATACCTCGGAGTTCTGAGATTATCGACGCCGTTCTCTCGACATCTGGCTCGTCGTCTTCCGAGATCGGCTTGGAAGGGTCTGCATCACAGGGCATAGTATGGCCGTCGGTATCCACGTGGGAGTGGGTTGTGCTAAATATGGCGCTGGAACAGGGGTGTATTCCAGCAGTCGTATAAACAGTTCCGGCTTTTTACTATGTTAGATCCCGCTTTGGGTACCGCAATGAGGGCTTTTCTTATATGAAAAAGGAAAACAAATAGCTACTTACGGAATTCTTCAGCTACCTCAAGCGCAGTCCTAGAGCTTTTGAAATCTGAGCCGGTGACAATGAGTCTTTGGCAACCAACTTCCTGAGCCCTCGACACAACATCTTCTAGGTCGTCAGGATGTCGCTGGGTACCGTGATATTCCCCCCGATATATTGGGTCTGCAAGATTGATACCAATCTAAAATTGAGGATATTATTAGAAAATGAGTTTTGATGAGAGTAGAGTGAGAATAGGAGAGAGAACTGAGAAGAGGAGTTGGGCTAATAAGCCCGTGTGTTGCTTACATCGATATATCTTGGCTTATATGATGATTCATTCGCAGGCACTGTTGAGCCTTGTGGGCTAGCAGCCATCTTAGAAATGACTGGATATTGGTATCTTTGATCAATTATTCTTGAGATCACTATCCTCTTTGCGGCAAAGCAAGTATGGTGTAGGGCCCGACGTTGCATCAAGAGTGAAGTATGGAGGTATTTCAGCAGGATCTTGTGACTCATACACCTAAAGTAGTTCTCTGTTAATTATTATTCCTTTTCCTCCAGTTGTCTAAGTTTTATATATGATAGTATAGAACTTGGCGAGTCAGTTTGAAGCATGAGTTAAGCTATTGTGCATTAATTGTAGAGAATATTCGAAGTTGAGAAAAAAGGTACATGAACAGAAGTACCTTTTTGAGGTTTTTACCAATTAAAGTGCATCTTCTAGGCTTGGAACTCACGTGCTTTCGTGGGGTCGTGAAGTCGTGTTGTGGGGTTACAATTAAGGACTAGAGCTGCATTGACACGACAAATATGCATGTGCCTTACTCTAGGTACCTAGTACAAAACAATGGAATGTTCAACAATTGAGATTTCCTACTACTTAGTAACTACCTAGTACCGCTGTTCAAAAGGGAAAGCGATTTGAATCAGAAAAGGGAGTTGCTATCCGTATAAATGAAACAGAGTTTTAGGGGTTCCGTGTTAGAGACATTCAAAATTTCAAATGTTATTTTATCGTTAAGATTAATAAGATAACGGCATACACTTAATTCCATGTGGGGCAAATCCATTCAACTTAAAAGCACGCGCGTAATTAACAGGGATAATGGTTAAAGGTTACACAGGAAAGCACTTCTGGTAAGACCCCGCGACATAGCGCGTTTAGTGGTTTGCACTTCAGCACGGACGGCCACAAGATTTTAGAAGGCACAAGCAACGTTATTAAAATCCTAACAGTGCTAAACAGTGCTAACAGCTGGCAACAGGCCTGTCCATCCTACTTAGGCATCTACTTCATGACAAACCTGATAACCTTAACGAGCTTTAATTGTTCCGATATCCTACACTGTTTTTTATTTTCTTATTTTTTTATTTTTTTTACGCGCTACCTACCTAGTAAGTGCTACACTAAGCAACGCGCCATCAACTATAACACAACGCGCTCTACTTAAGAATCTTCTTTACTGCTCAAGATTCCAGTCCCTTTCCCTTCCAAAACATCTTCCGCTCGTTATCAACCACAGCGGCCCACCACTACATCATACAATAAACTTTTACGCCGCATACTTCTGCATGCTTCTGCATATCAGTAGTATACATAGTGGCTTCTAATTGATCCAATTGATCATCCTCATTCTCTAAATCCTACTTTATCACCCTTTCCTCCTTCTCCCCATCTTCCATCTTTCACTTCTTTCTACCACTTTTAGGTTGTCCACCCCCCAATCTTCAAGATGTATGTCAAGAAGCGTGACGGACGCCAGGAGCGTGTCCAGTTCGACAAGATCACTGCTCGAGTCTCTCGATTGTGTTACGGTCTCGACACCGACCATGTCGACCCAGTTGCCATCACCCAGAAAGTTATCTCTGGTGTCTATGGAGGCGTCACTACAGTACAACTTGACGATCTCGTAAGTTTCCCCCCCTTCAGAAATTGATCAACTAGCTTGCTAACCAAGTACTCCTCATAGGCAGCCGAGACCGCCGCGTACATGACCGTTACCCATCCAGACTATGCCATCTTGGCCGCACGTATTGCCGTGTCCAACCTCCACAAACAAACCAAGAAGCAATGGTCCTCAGTCATCAGTGACCTCTATCACTATGTGAACCCAAAGAACAGAACGCCTTCTCCCATGATCTCCAAGGAGACATACGAATGCGTTATGAGACACAAGGAGGACTTTGACTCTGCCATCGTCTATGACAGAGATTTCAACTACCAATACTTCGGCTTCAAGACACTGGAGCGATCCTACCTGCTTAAACTAAACGATAAGATCGTGGAGAGACCGCAGCATATGATCATGCGTGTAGCCGTCGGTATCTGGGGCGATGATGTGGAGAGAGTTCTCCAGACCTATAACCTGATGTCAAGCAAATATTTCACACATGCTTCACCCACTCTATTCAATGCCGGAACGCCGCAAGCACAGTTATCATCCTGCTTCCTCGTTGATATGAAGGACGACAGCATTGAGGGAATTTACGATACCCTCAAGACTTGTGCCATGATCTCTAAGATGGCTGGCGGTATTGGCATGAACATCCACCGTATTCGTGCTACCGGCTCATACATTGCCGGCACTAACGGCACCTCCAACGGCATTGTGCCTATGCTACGTGTTTTTAACAACACCGCAAGATACGTCGACCAAGGTGGAAACAAGAGACCTGGTGCCTTCGCCATCTACCTTGAGCCATGGCATTCGGATGTCTTTGAGTTCCTGGACCTTCGCAAGAACCATGGCAAGGAGGAAGTCCGTGCCCGTGATCTCTTCCTTGCCCTCTGGATTCCTGATCTTTTCATGAAGCGGGTTGAGAAGAATGGCGAGTGGACTCTTATGTGCCCTAACGAATGCCCTGGTCTAGCCGACGTATATGGCGATGAATTTGAGGCTTTGTACGAGAAGTATGAGGCAGAGGGCCGAGGCCGCCAGACGATCAAGGCTCAGAAGCTTTGGTATGCAGTCCTCGAGGCACAGACCGAGACTGGTAACCCATTCATGCTCTACAAGGATCACTGTAACCGCAAGAGCAACCAGAAGAATCTCGGTACTATCCGCAGCTCAAACTTATGTACCGAGATCATCGAGTACTCGGCCCCAGATGAGGTCGCTGTCTGCAACTTAGCGTCCCTTGCGTTGCCATCCTTTGTGGACTATACCGCTGGCACCTACGATTTCCAGAAACTTCATGAAGTTTCTCAGGTCGTTGTCCACAATCTAAACCGAATCATTGACGTCAACCATTATCCTGTGCCTGAAGCCCGTAACAGCAACTTGCGACATCGTCCTATTGGACTAGGTGTTCAGGGTCTCGCTGATACCTTCTTGGCGCTACGCATGCCCTTTGAGTCGCCAGAGGCTAGACAGTTAAACAAGCAAATCTTCGAGACCATCTACCATGCTGCCTTGACGGCATCTATGGAAATCGCTAAGGTAGAGGGGCCTTATTCCACATATGAAGGCTCTCCTGCTTCACAGGGTATCCTACAATATGACATGTGGAATGTCACCCCGTCCGATCTCTGGGATTGGGCCAGTATCAAGGAGCAGATTAAGCAGAACGGCATCCGCAACAGCTTGTTGGTTGCTCCTATGCCCACCGCCAGCACCTCCCAGATCTTGGGTAACAATGAATGCTTCGAGCCTTACACTTCCAACATCTACTCTCGTCGTGTTCTTGCTGGTGAATTCCAGGTTGTCAACCCTTGGCTGCTAAAGGACCTAGTTGATATGGGTCTCTGGTCTGATGCTATGAAGAACCGCATCATTTCTGAGGGTGGTTCAATCCAAAACATTCCCAATATCCCCACAGAGATCAAGACCCTTTACAAGACTGTCTGGGAAATCTCTCAGAAGACCGTTGTCCAAATGGCTGCCGACCGTGGTGCATTTATTGACCAGTCCCAGTCATTGAACATTCACATGAGAGAGCCCACCATGGGCAAGATTACTAGCATGCATTTCACCGGTTGGAAGCTTGGCCTAAAGACTGGCATGTACTATCTACGTACTCAGGCTGCCGCGGCTCCTATCCAGTTCACTGTGGATCAAGAAGCTCTTAAGGTCACGGATTCGGCCTCGGCAAAGACACTGAAGAAGCGTGCCCCTCCGGGTAACTACGTCTCTTCCACTTCTACGAGCCTAGCCAGACCCTCATATGCCAAACGGGAGGATTCTAACAGTCTGGCTATATCGGCTCTTAACGGGGTCCCGACGCCTAGCACTACCCCACCTCCTGTCTCAGAGGCCAAAGTACCTCGACCAGTCGCCTCCCCGAACAAGGCTGCGCCATTCAAGGCAGATGTTGAGGAGGGCGAGAGTCCCAAGGCTTTAGCTACCGAACCAACAGAGAAGATTAAGGACGAGGAACTTCCCGAGCCGGCTCTCAACGAGAAGAAGTCAGGCCAAGATGAAGACAAGGAGGACAAGAGCAAGGAGCGTGAATACGACATTTACGCAGATGCTGTTGTAGCTTGTGAGTCTATATAAATAACCCACTCATGTTAATTCATACTAACCAATATTATAGGCAGCATCGAGAACCCAGAATCCTGCTTGATGTGCAGTGGTTAAAGGGTCTAATGAGGACATAGAAACGATTACGATACGTGGCTAATGATGGACGTAATGAGAATTTGGGGTTTCTTGACCCCGACCTGGTTGGCATAATGGCTAGGTAGGCTTTGGGGAAGAGCCACACAACGGGAATGCAGATATACCACGGTTAAGGATTATAGGGTACTGTTTTTGCCCTGGGCATGATTTTGCATGATCGTATCGTGCTTCTCGACAATGGCTAGCACATGGCGAGCACATGGCTTGTGTTGCCTTGGGTGCCAATTCGCGCATCTGCGGCGGTTGATGGCCGCTGCTTTTCCCGTAGGAATAGATGAATCACAATACGATTATGAACCCAATGCTGTCCTGAGTTCTGTGATGTTGATGAAAGTGAGGCGCATGTCTTCCTAATTACTCACTGGACCTTGATTTTAAGCTGCATAGGCTATATCTTGGTGTTTACCTAGGTAGATACCTACCTACGTAAGGGGTATTAACTTAATTCATGCATCTCTACTCAATTGTCTCACCTTCCTCGTTCACAACTCGCTGGATAGCATATTAGGGGAAGCATGACCTAGTATTAGTGAATGAATGAATGAATGCATTCTGCTCTCAAATATCAAAGGAGGTTTGGTATGATTTGGTTTGATAAGTGCTCATGAAATAATCATAGCCATACCTACATACCTAGCCGTCTCCGCGTGAAGACGGCGAGTGCCCAGGTAGGTAAAACAATGAGCGGTGGGATCTATTCCTATTCTAGGTACTATGTAAATTGAGCACGAAGGAGTATGTTGGCGAGGCTTTCCTCTCGTCGTAGAAATAAGGATTTTAAAAGCCTAGGTTGGGAGTTATGTATGTATGTATGTATGTATGTATGTATAATAAGTCGCGGTCTCTGATCGTAGGGGCATAGGGGCATAGGGGCGCAGGTAGGTAGGTAGGTAGGTAGGTAGGTAGGTAGGTAGCACGAATGGAAATGAATCCGAGGTGTCTACGTAGTCAATTCATTCGCTCGTTCATTCATTCACTTATTTCATCCATTCGTTCATTCGAAGAAGAATAAGAAGACGAAAAAGAAAATACCGAAATAAGAGACTACCGGAAATGAGTCGTCTTGAATTGTACGAAAATCTTTCCTTGGGAGTATAGATTAGGTCGAGACATTGTTACACCCTTTTCCAGGGTTACAGTAGTTATACCTTACAGTAGGTCTACTCACTCACTCCTCCCTCCTTTCTCTGTTGCCATTGGAAAATGGTTTATAGTTGGTTGCGAGGTGCCTGCCTCCACGGTTTACCCTATGCCCTATGGAGGTACCTACCTAGCCAAATACCTTGAGGAGGGGGCAACTCCAGCACTCAGTTGGGGAACAAAGGAGAGGTCACCGATAGTAGTAGTAGTAGTAGTAGTAGTATGTCCGCAAGGCAAGATATCCCAAGGGGGCGGGTTTTCTTTCTTTCGTAAATATTCCCAGGAAACACGCGTCCCCTATTACAGCGTCGGCGAGACATCAATCACCGTGAGAAAACACCGGGGGGCCGTCGCACAGAAATCTCCCCTTCCCTTATGTACTTTCCCCCTTGCCTCGCACGACTGTCGTACACAATCAAAAACTCTCAGCTGGGCTTTGATTTCTTTTTTCGTTACTTGTTGTTGTTCTTCGCCGCCGCTAGTGTTGCTGCGGCTACTACCTACTAGAAGAGGGAGCTTGGAGTTGCACTCACCGCCGCGTTTGCCTTATTTGATGGGGAAGCAGGTACTAAGTATGTATATATGTAGCTCCGGCAATGGATGACTGATTAAACGGCAGTACCTACAGTACTAGCGGCGAACATAGACAGCTGAAGGGTTTGACTACTGATGTTGGGGGCGGGTGTCGGTGAAACCTGTGTAGGTAGACAGCCCATATACCAAGATAGAAGACGTTGTCACTGCATCAATTAGAGCACCAATGACGGTGGTGGAGCCAATGATATTTTATCTGTGCGGAAGTCCCAAGACAATTGAGGGAAAGGACAAGGCCTTACCATAGGTACATTACCTAGTGCCTCTGCTGTTGTCTATGGACCTACGTAATCGAACGGGCTAGAATTATTCCTCCAGATATCGGGATAAGGTGCCGTCGGTAGTATTGGAGGCCATTGGGCATTAGGTACATGTAGATATTTTACAACCATCTGCTTCGTACCTACATAGCCTTTCAATGTTGACAACAGGACTAGTTACCTATTTCCATAATGTGGTACCAATCAATGGCTTGGGTCGAAGTTTGGCCAGTTTGTCGGGTAGCTGAGGAGCATTTACGCCCATTGTTCGAAAGTGGCACAGAATAGTCGTGCAAATTTCCAGGTGTTTCACTTGCCGAATGTGGTGGTTTTCTTCTTCCCGGTTGGATTGCTCAATCCGACATAACTGTTATGCACTTGGGGTATTACCTATACTATGTAAGTCCTTGGATCAAGGTAAAGTAGCCCTGGAGGTAAGATCCAAGGACATCGAGATGGGAAATTTGACCGGAGTAGAGGCAGTATAAATCCCTTCTAGGAAAAATGGTGAAAATTTCGTGTGATGGGATACGAACCTATTAAGATACCAGCCCACCTACATGAGTTCAACTTTTGTCTCGCACATACATACATCAGCATGCACGCTCTGGAGATCTTTCTAGCCCCGCAGGACCGATTGATATTGATGCAAGCGACGGTGAGGAACCGTGCAAGTGGGTTCACCAGAAGAATCGGTTGGCCTGGCCACCAACAGGAGTGACACTTACATAAATTATGTATGTACCTAGTAGCTATTCGTATGTGTAAGTAAACACTATGTTACCATTAACAAGTAACAGGTTCAAGATCGGAGGAAAACTGGTAATGGGGTGGTTGGCATGGAGCATACGCCCCGAGATCACATGAGGCCTCAGTGAGTCGGGGGGAGTCAGCCCACGCCCGATAAGTGACATCAACATACATACTACCATGTAGTTATGTCCATAGACTCCATACTATGTATTTTCTTGTCTTTGATGATTTGACGATTCTTCTTTGCTTTTGTTTCCTGTTCCCTGTTTCCTGTTTCCGGGAAACAATTAAGACATGGGCCGGACCTAAGAAGCTTCAAAGTGCATGTTATTGACGATGGATAAAACAAATCAAGAGGTTGGGAAACCCTTGGACAACAAAGTGTTAGTCTTTACTATAGTATCATAGTAGTGACTGGTAGTCGTACGTTAGACAGGAACGCCTCTTGAATAATCTTCTTTTTCTTTCCTTTCAATGTTATTAATTTCTTTTTTTCTTTTATGAAGGTGGTGTGGAGAAGAGTTGAGCTGAGCTGGCCTGGCAGCACTCACGGCACTAACACTAGCTCAGATTCACACAAAGCTAGTGCGGGGCAAACCTCAAGCATAATATGATGTTCTGATCGCAACTTCTCATTGGTAAATCCCTCCAGGTATGACGTTTATCGTACCTAACAAGTACGTACTTCGTAGCTGGCCTCAAAAAGAGCCGTGCCTTGCATTTTCGATTTTCAATGTTGAATGTTCTACTGTATCTATCCTCTTGGCGATCAAATGTGGGTCCACAGACTTAATTCGACCTTCAATGTTCATTAACTTCATTCTTTGAAAGTCGAAGCAACTAATCTTAGGGGATCACAATATTGATGTTTAGTATTTCTTAATTAGATGCTATAATTACCTACTTCTATATTATTTGCTTTAGTTTATTCAAGTTGGAACTACTGCAACAGCCACAACCCTGGAAATTTTCAAGTTGAAGTTGCTAACAGCAATGAATAACATAAGTTACATAACAACGACTTTGCTCTAGCTCAGATTCTTTCTAGCCAATCAACCCAGTATCCAACTATCCATATGCAGTAATTACATGTACCTTGTTCCAAACCCTTGTAAGAGCTTGACCTCCACCTTGGATTAGCTTCAACTTCTTTCATCACAAAAAAAAAAAAAAAAAAAAAAAAAAAGACCGGAAAAAAAAACTTGCTTTCCCCCGCGAACGAACAAATAACATCGTGATATCCTCGATGACGGTTTGGTTCTTCCGTAGCATTACATAGCACGTACATACATCCCTAGTATTATTGCTTTGTTGGACGAGTAACATAATATGTCAAGTAACGAGCTCTATACGAGGGGGCTAGAACAACGACAAGAAAAAGACAGCATAGCATGGAGTATCGTTGGTTGCTAGAGTTACCTAGGTTAGGTTTCCTCTCATTGACTTCCACAAGCAGCGCATGCTTCCGCAGTGCTTCTATCCGTTTACGGCGAGCCCTGCTTTTACACTACATAGTACTATGATAGTAGTAGCATATGATGTTTCCACCTATGGTCTGTGAAAGAAATAGGATTCCCTCATTCGGCAACGCCTGGTGAAGCTATTTACACCAGGTCTATCTACTATATATATACTATAACCCCAAAGCGTCGGCGACCTGAAGTTCATCGCATATAGTTGGTTCCCACTCAATGATGCAAATCGGTATGAGCCGTCGTGTCCCGCACCACGCGCCAAGCTATAATCGACCACCCAAATGGGTGAGGCGGGTCAATATCATAATTCAACGTACTATCATCTATTATGTAGTGTATTACTAGTATCGTTCATAGTGTCGGTAACTAGTATTGCCATCCAGCTAGGTTGGTCCGAGGCCTCTTCCTTGCATTAGTTCATGTTGATAGTAGGTAGCTACATAGAGTGACTAGTGAGGATCTTCGAGAGGTCGAGAAGCTGCTGATCCATGCATGCTTAGGCATAATTGGAACATCAGGTATACACGGTATTTGGCCGTATTGAGCTCACATTGCCTCACAACGCGTAGAGATTCGAGTGATTCTATAACGTACAGGGCGTGCTTCGCTTCGATAATACTTGAATCTGGCACTGGGGTACTTGTGTACTTCGAGTTGAAAGAACCTGAACTTGACGGATGCCAGGTTACACCACAGTACCACATGCGCATCAGATCCATGATATCCACGTACCGTGTACATAACACATTAGTAGCAACCGCCTAAGGTTAGTCGATATATGTATGTACAGAGTAGGTCGCGCCTGCCCATGCTGCCCATTATTCAACAGGGTATGACTTCACTGACCAGATCGAATATTTATTTAATTACTCAGGGAACCTACGATTCTGTTTGTTTCTTCCACGTCCCTCCAATTTCATATTATCTGCCACGTGCAAGCAACCAAGTGGAAAGAAATACCGAACCACAAACAACCAAAGCTTCCAACTTTTGACATCCCATCTCTTCTTCTTCTTCACTCTCAAACCTTCAACTCTCAATCGTCAACCGTCAAGCAATAAAGCAGCAGCAGCCTCTAAATTACGACCAATCTTCCAACTTCGGGTTCATCAACCTTTCTGAAATTAGTAAGTGGCCAGTCAGTACATTGTGCTGCCGTGTTCAGCGCGTGCCTGCTTTCCTTCTGTCTCTCTACATTACACACACTACACACTGGGTGCGTATACACAGTACCTACTATATTGTTACCGCCCACTTACCCGCACCTCCACCATATTGAGTATTATATACATATATATATATATATATAGTCGGTATACCTACACTTTCCTCTTCTTCCCTTCTCCCCCTTCCCAAATTTGGTCACCTCTCCATACATACATGCAAGTAGACCTACCTCACTTTCTTTCTATCTGCATCCTCGTTTCGTGTCATACATCACACAAGTACATACGTACATAGTACTAGGTACACAGCCGAACGAAATTACCTCCTCAGGCAGAACCCAGGTGTGCCTTCCTTTTAATAACCATCACACCTGCTTGTTAAACCTCTCTTCGTCTATCAACCGATAAACAAACCCTACACAGTGCCCCCCTCTCTTCCTCTTCCCTCCTCCTACTTCCCACTCGAAATCTCTAATCCTCTCCTCTTCCACAACATTTCAACACATAAACAGATCAGAAGGACATCAATCTTCCAACAAACATCACAATCGTAAACTCCACTCACACAACGCATCTACACATTTTTGCAAGCTTTTTGAGCATCAATTTCAATTGTCTTCTTTTTGAACCAAAAATTCTTACAGTTATTGGCAGTTACAATCAAATCAATCAATCTCGACCATCAACTTTTTACGCAATTCAAAATGAAGACTCTCTCGATTCTCGTCGGCGTTGGCGCTGCCGTCACAGTCGCCCAAACTACTTTCCCTAATGGGTTTCCCCAGTGCGGAGTAAGTAATCTCTTTTCCCATTTGATATTCGGGACCTACTTCTAGGTGCCCATTCTTGATCACAGCAGCAACTCCGAGTTTGATCAAACAGCAATAACATGTTCCCTATATCTTGCTAACCGCCTATGTCCTAGATTACCTGTGTTCAGAACATGCTGAACCAGGCATCCGAACTTGGTTGCGAAAGCGCTGCCCCCTCGTGCCTTTGCACCAAACAGAACTTCATATACGGAGTTAGAGACTGCGCTACGGAGTCGTGCCAGGACCAATCCATTGCCCAGCAGGTCATCCAGTACGGCAGTCAATACTGTGCTGGTAAGTTGAACTTGGCAATTCAAGTAGATGGCTGGCCCATGTAATTTGTACTAATTTTGCTGATAGATGCTGGTGTTGTTATCTCTGGATATCCTGGTGCTGTAAGTTGTTATTACCTGGAGTCAACCTCGAGTTTATCGACTAATAAATTATACAGACTGGCGGAAACTCTGCATCAACCACCGTTATTGCAACGGCTTCTGCTACCGATACCGCGAATGTGAGATATTGAATCTGAGTTCCTACTCCTACATTGGCATCTGCTGACAAGACTAAAAGGCTTCCGGATCGGGCAGCTCGGGCTCATCCACCGAAAATGGAGGAACTGGAATCAGTGTCACTGGTTCCAATGGCGAACCTTCAATTTCCACTAGCTTCTCCGGTGGTTCAGTCCCTATCCTGACTACAACCTTTGAGAGCACCATCACCATGAGCGATATGACCATGACATCTTCGATCACTAGTACCGTTTACTCCCTCACTGGAACCGCTGCATCTGAGTCGGGCGCTTCTGGCACTGAATCTGGATCTCTTACTACGGGCGTGACCGAGTCCTCGTTCACTTCTAACGGCTCGACCTTGGTGACCAGCGTCACTACCACGGGACCAGCAAGCAGTGAAGCCACGGAGACTTCTACCGGTGGCGAATCCGCTACCGAAACCAGCGCCGAGGCCCCTTCGTCCACCTCGAACCCTGCCGCTCAGTACACTGCGGCACCAGTTGGCTTGATTGCCGCTGCTGGTCTAGCCGCCCTGATGTTTTAAACGGGCAACCTAACAGGGCGAAGGTTGGGTGGAGTTTCGGTACCTGATGAGAAGCAGGGCATCTAGGGTTGGGAGGTTAGACACATACGTCACATAATGTTATTGGTCGGCTTGTGCATGGATGGCTCACGAATGCGAGGTTTCTCTTCGCTTGATGATGAGATGATTTCGAGATTGCCGGAGGTTTTTTTACGATGTATAAATGATTCATAGTCCTCCTAGGACTCCTAATACCTGTTTAGAGATACCCACCCCTGAGCAGATGGCGTCAGGCATCAGACAGTGGAGTTGGTTTTCTCGTTCATCAAGGCAACTAATAAATAGAACTTCTTCATCTGCACCTGTGTTTCCTGTGAATATCGATTTCCTTGACATTTTGACTGCTCCTCGGGTCTTGTTACCTGCAAATGTCCAACTGCTAAAACAAACAATACAGTCGTATCATTATGAAGTTTATCTCCAGCTAAAATGTTAGCATGTTTTGTGAATATTTGCTCTTCCCGGTAGAAAGTGCAACGTGAGGCGCCATGCTCTAGTCAGTGTGGTCATGCTATAAATAAATTTTATTCATAACTTCAAACACTATTCTTCGAGCCTAGGCAATTGACCATTTATTAATAAACAAGCGCCTCTATCCTTGGAGCTGGGTATCGATCTAACCTAGGTTATTAGACAGGTACGAATACGTATCTCATCTACAGTAGGTACGCATCTAACCATCTAGCCATCTACTTGACCTAGGTAAAAGTAATAGGTAGTAAGCTCTGTTTTGGTATGGCTGTATTGATCGATTTGTGTGTGTGTGTGTGTGTGTGTATGTATTATCAATCATGGTCCCAGCCTTGGGTGGATGGGTGGATGGGTGGGTAGGTGGATGGGTGGATGGGTGGGTAGGTAGGTTAACTGTGAAAGGGGGGTGGGAGTGGCTAGTTGGTATTATTGAAAAAGGAATATTGGAAAATAGGCTTGGTAGGTAGGTAGGTATATTATTATGTGGGAAAAGGGGAAAGGGGAAAGGGGGGTGGCTAGTGGTATTTGTATGTATGCATGTATGTATGTATGTGTGGCTGTAATAGGGGTAATCCAACTGCTGTGACTTTGGCGGCTTTTATCGGCGTGGTATATCGATTTACCTCGGTGTGTATGTGTGTATATACCAGGCTTTATCGAATGAACTTTGCCGAGAAATGGAGTGCCAAGGTGGAAGAGGGAGTAGTGATTGTCATGTCTGTTAGCCGTCCCACGCCCGGGAGGCGCTATTTTCCACCCTGGGCGTCAACTGCAGCCCACTGAGCGCCTGGTTCATCGCTCTGCCGAGAACACTGTGTATCGCGGATTCCGGCGCCAGATCAGCGTCCGTGTGAAACACCAGCTCTTTCAGCTTGGGGAAGTGGGAGCCGGCGAGTCGCGGCTGGATGGTATAAAAGTACTCGAGGAACGGGAGGCGGTCGGCGCCGTACAGGTGGAAGGCGGTCAGAGAGGGCGGGAGGATCTTCTTGAATATACGGCGGTCGCGGGGGACGTCGGCGAGGTGCCAGCGGACCAGGAGCTCGTAGTCGATGTGGGCGACCTTGAGCGAGGTGCAGTGCAGGAGATTAAGGTCCGGGGGCTGGGGCAGGATGGCGGCCATGGTGTGCTCGAGGACGGGCCACTCTCTGTATTGATAGGATAGGAAGGCGTGGGTGTTGACGGGCAGGTTGCGTATGTCCCGGTGCACATCCCAGACGCCTTTCAGGTAGCTGAACACCTCGAGCTTCGGGCAGTGCTGGATCAGCATGCCCTCACGGGACGTGTAGGGCAGGTTTCCGTCGATGTGAAGCGCTCGCAGTTTGGCTAGCGTGGGGACCAGCGCCGGGCAGAAATGGTGTTGGGCTAGGCGTCTGGGAACGTACATGTCGGTCAAGACGTAGCGCGGCCGGAGGAAAAGGGTGTGGATGTTGGGGGCTACCCCTGAGAACAAACCGGGCGCATCCGACGGCCTGATTCCCGTGCCTTCTGCGCCGTAGTCCAGCTTCACGACCTCTAGCTTGCGGAGACGGTTGTCGGGAGACTGGTCGCGCCAATAACATAGAATTTGGAACTTGTAGACGCCTCCAACGATCCCTAGTCCCAGATGAAGCGTTTTCCTGTGGGAGTAGGTAAGGCACCTAGTTAGCCATTACAATCTTCCGGAGTAGGCACACTGGGAAATATAGTAATAAAAGGTGCTGAGTACAACTTACAGATTCGGAAGCAAACACGGTAGCATGTTTATTATGATGCGGGCTTGTTCGAAGCCTGACATGCTTGGCAGGGCAGGCTTATTTACCCTAATTCCTATCTTCTGACCTGCGTCCTCTAAGATGTGATGACTATACTTAGAAGCTGTGGAAGAGTCAATCTTGTCAATTCGAAGAGTGGTGACGAGGCTCGCCAGGCGTGGCGAATTGCAGATGGTATCGAAGTAGGCAGCGAGCGACCTTCCTGCTGCCTCCCCGTAAAGGCGGTAGGTGGTGTATGTTCGGTAGAGGTGCCGCTCTGCGAGATCATTAAGGAACTTGTTGCACTGGGAGAGATGGGCTATGGATTTGTAGCTGCAGGAACGCTCCATCTCATCCAAGATGCCTAACCAAATCTCGGCTGGGAAATGGCCGAGTACTGTTGGTTCTTTGCAATACATGGTGATGGGCCGTTGCTTGGTAATTTCCTTTTTTGGGAAGAAGGGAAGACAGTAAGTAGGTAGCTTTTGATACTAAGATATGGCAATCCTATATTTCTATTTCGTATAGATCAAATGAGGAAGACATCAAGTCAGAGTGGTAAAGGATAGATGAAATATAAATAGCATTGAAGGGAGGTAAGCTCATCGCATTTTGCCTTTACCTATTGATACCTATATGAACTAATTCAGTGTCTATCTCCTCTAAGCACATACCTCCGGTTAGATTCAACATCACCGAGAGTTCGGCTACCCGCCTAGATGGTTGGTGCGGTAGGTACATCTTTTTTTTTTTTTTATTATTACAAGCTTTGATGCCAAAGGATGATAGCCAAGTTTGTTATGAAATGGGAATGGAAATGGGAATGGAAATGGGAATGGAAATGGGAATGGGATGAAGTTAATAAAGTAGAGTTGGGTTGGGTTGCATCTTAAATAGGTATATTAAATACAACTAAAGTAAACTAATGCACCCCAGATCACGAGACGTAGCGGGGCAAAAACGCCATAGGACTGATAGATTAGGCTTCTTCTTGAGGGGTTAATGGGTTGATGGGTTGATTTAAGTTTTTGTCTATATTGATCGAATTAGTAGGCGCCTCCCCAAATAACTTGAAACATTAAAGTGCCCTATGCATAGCACTAAGGAGCTTACTATATCAACTTACTGTATCTTCACTTTGAGCCTCTTCATCATTTTGACTCTTCTCCATCATACTTCTCATCATACTTCTCATCATACTTCTCAAGGCTAGGTACCGAGTCCCCAAAGTTAACCTACATAACTTTAACAATGTCTCCTACATTGATTAGGTTGGCAACAGCCTCTCCATCCACAGCAAATACACCATCGGAGACACTAGCTCAACTTTACCAGGTTGCTAGCATTGCTGCTGCTAATGATGCTGATATCCTACTACTTCCCGAGGCTTATCTAGGTGGCTACCCGCGAGGTTTAGATTTTGGATGTAAGATTGGTTCACGGACCGCCGAGGGCCGTGACGAGTATCTCCGCTACTTCCAGAGTGCTGTCGATTTAGGTGATACTGTCGGCGATGGAGCTGGTGCCGGCGATGCTTGGGTGAATAAGCAGCTGGGGGCCCAAGCCAGGGATGGACAAGCTGACGCACCGGTGACCAGGGGTGATGGCACGCGAGAGGAGCTGGAACGAATCGCTAGGCACACCGGTGTGTTCATCGTGGTCGGCCTGGTCGAAAAGACAGGAGGCAGCTTGTATTGCTCTGTTGTTTACGTTTGTCCGAAGTTGGGAATGATTGGGAAGAGGAGAAAGGTCCTACCGGTAGGCTTTATTCTATTCTATCTTTCTTTTTTTCTCTCTTTCTTTGAATACTACTGTTCACCCAAGTTGCTTACGCACCCCCCTGCCGACTACCTATCATTGGTCAGCTGAGAGTTGCCCCTTATCTTCCTCACCAATCGTAGCTGTTGATGCTGCAGCTATTTACTTCATAGCCTTGCAGGGGGTTTGCTTGACAATCTCTTATATCTGGAATGACTCCCCTCCATAAGATCCCGGAACTCGCATTGCTATACTACTTATCCGTGAAGACCAAATTTCGGTCAGAATCATCTTCAAGATGGATTGTCAATCACACGACAATTTATCAAGTGCATATCCGCAACTACAGAATCGGCCAAAGAAATACGCAGCTCCGTCAGAATGGGAATCTCTTAGGGGGGTCATTAAGAGTCTTTATTTAGAGCAGAATAAAACTCTTAAAGAAGTCAGGCAGATTATGGCTAAAGACCACGGATTCCACGCCACGCAAGTTGCCCGTACAATGCAATATCCCAGAATGACCATTTCTCACCATGAACAGGATGGGAATGTACAAGAAGAGGATCAGAGCCTGGGGCATCGATAAGAAATTGAAGGAATCTGAGGTTCTGGAGATTCTTCATCAGAAATCCGAACGAGACTTTGCCGGAAAACCGTCTAAGCTGTTTATTCGAGGTCGAAATGTGGATTTGGAGAGAATCCAGCGTTATGTGGAACATAAACGAAGCTTCCGAGCCAATTGTGAAAACGTTTACGAAAGAGTTCCTTTTGGCGCCGTCGTGCTGCGCACACCATCACCAGTTGCTCTTGCGTCGCCGCCAGATGTTCGCAAGTTGGAAGAGATCATGACCGTCTTGCGCGATTACATCAGAGCGTGCACCGTTGGCCCTCAATCTCGTTGGGTGCGGACCCCTGATGGGTATTCTACTCGGAGTCCCGCCCCCATAGACTTGAGTGCTTCGAGATCATGTACAGTCGGAGCTTGGGATGAGCTTGCGTCCCTCCATTTATCTATGGAACATACAAAGTCTCCAGCCGAAATGTTTCAGGCTTTGGATTCGTCTCTGAACAATCTGAAAGATGCCATGAAGGATGAGCTACCCGAATTTGTCGTTATGATGATCTACTTCTTACGCTTCACCTGGCCTGGACATCCCGTCCTACTATACATGTTTCGAAAGCATGTTGGCGATCTCTCCTCGGTACTCCTTGGCCCAATACATCCGTTAACTCTTATCTGGAAAGATGCGTCTAACCTAGAGGATAATTTTGACGAGGTCGTTGAGGAAATCCTACACGTGCTATTCAAGGAGCTGTCGGAACGTCTTGGCGCAGATGATGACATCGTTGAGCTTGCTCGGCGGGGTTGGCGGTTCGCCCCAAACTCACTGGAGGGCATGTCGGAAGTAATGAGACAGTATCAGACATGGTTGGCTGCTCATGCAGACTGGCCTAGCTCTATGTTGCGTTCTTTTATTGTGCAGACACGCCTCATAATAGCGAACTTCGATGAGAAAACCTCGAGAAACCAGCTACTTGAGGCACATGCCACCATACAATCCATTTTGGGTAACCAGGAGACCAGTGACCAACCTCCCGCAAGTGCGGAGGAGGCAACTTCCCTGGCCAACCTAGATGGGGGTCTCTCCTTGCGCTTAGGAAATACCGTCGAAGCTGAGAGGGGCTTTTTGAGAGCAGTGGAGATTGCTCGACGTCATAAGCTACCATCGAGAAACCAGATCATCCCCCTGAAAAACTTGGAGATGCTCTACAAGGCTAAAGGGAAGCATTTGGAGCTCGCAAAAACCAGGCGGGAACTTCAAGTGTCAGAGAGCAAAATACTACAAGAGATTGGGCAAGCCCAATGATTCGAGCATCGAGTTAGGCAGACTGAACACTGGCTTTATAAATCATAGCCACCAAACATAGTCTACATATCATCATTTTCTTAGATGAATGCTGACAGCGGACTTAGACAGGGTCAGAACGACTCATTTGGGCTCAGGGATCGCCCGCAACCCTCAAGGCAGTGAGCACTACTATTCGTGGCGTCCGAATTAATATGGCTGCTGCTATCTGTTGGGAAAATTACATGCCGCTTTTACGGCAGACCCTCTACGCGCAAAACATCAATCTCTACCTCGCTCCTACTGCGGATAACCGTGAGGCTTGGTTAGGACGTAAGTATTTTCGAACGTGGTTATCCCTAGTAAACCATATGTTGAATCTCTACCACCTTATACTTTAAATGTTGCTGGTGAGGCAATTGCTAAATACACCTTTCTCAGTGATGCGTACTGTGGCAATCGAGGGTCGTTGCTTCGTCATCAGCTCAAATATGTGTAACACTTCGCCGCGTGACAACAAGCCAAGCGACTCTGAATCAGCCGGACATGGAGGCCATCGAGCCGGCGGGGCTAATGGCGCTGCTGGGAGGAGAAAATCTGTGATTGACGAGGACGGGAACGAGATCGCGCTCCCCAATGGAAAACAGACAGCTTCGACAACTGCCGTATTCGAAGCTGAAGGGGTCCGAAAGAACGGACATGTCGAGCCGGCGGCTAAGGCTGCCGTCGCCGCCGCTGCTAGCACTCGGGGCGGATCGAGCATTGTCTCGCCGTTTGGCGATGTCGTTGCCGGGCCGCAGTGGGATGACGGCTGTAACGTCATATTCGCGGATGTTGATTTCGATGACTGCGTGCGAGGGAGGCTGGACTTGGATGTTGCTGGGAGTTATTCGAGGTACGCACATGCTTTTATTTGCTGTTTTCTTCTCCCTACACCCCCTTTTAATTAGGTGCCTGGCATCTATCTTCCTTTCCTTGGTGATAAGGAAAGACTGTTGTTGCAACTTCCGTATTTGGAGATCATCTAGCTGACCATAGACGCGCATAACCATAGAAACGACGCCTTTAAATTCTCCGTCGTGGGCTTGAACCTTGAGCCCTTGCCGTACTGATAATTTGCTCTGGCTGCCTCCTAAGCATTCTGCTCCCTTCGTTCTCTTTCTCGTCTGCCTTTTAACACGGCTTATGATTCATGTAAACTCCGTTTCATCCATATATTGCAAGGTATCCATGTACATCATATGGCGTTGACGAGTTGGCTGAGCATGTGGAATAAGATGGGACAGGACATCTACCTCAAATCTTTGGGTACGATTTATGTCTTTCTTTCAAGGAGGATGATGGAATAGTCTATATTGCAGTATAGTATGGTACCTGTACATACCTTGTATATATACTACTACTATGCACCTATCTGCGTACACAAGCTCCACCCCCCCTCTCTTATACTCCCCGTTATTAAAGGCCTCTGAATCTCTAGGTACCTAGGTAGGCGTGTAACGCACCTGATGATATCATGTCCACGACCCATCCCTCACTTATATTTCTACCTCCCGAGTACTCAACAGTGCCCACTACCTAGTACTCTCCTTACCTACCTACCTACCTACCTACCTACCAACCAACCAACCACATATCATCATCACTACCAGTATACACTAAAGCTCAAACACCCCATACCTACCTACCTATCAAGACCAACAAGCACAAACCAACAGTAACCGAATAACTACCTACCTAACCACCCCGGACCAGGTCATTAAATATTTGTACACTAAACACGACCCCCCTTACCGTAGAGGAAACAACGGTAGCGGCAACAGCTAACCTAGGTAGAGCAATATCATCATGCATGTATGCATTTATGGTTTGATGTATACTACCTACTAGTAGGGTAGGATACACTGGAGCGGACGTGGCCCCTTTTCTCCTGTCATGGGAATATAGGAGTTTATGTAGGTACAGTACGGAGGTATATAGTACTAACCTAGAGGTAGCTCTAAGTGTTGTATAGGTATCTTTTTAGGGAGGTTGCGAGGGCAGGTTTTTTTTGCCATCTTGCCACGGCGTTGGATATAGGTATCAACTAATCAACCAACCAACAGTCATTGGTATTACCGGCATCGAAGTACATAGGTAGGTAGTCACCCATAGGTACGCATTAAACCCTCCCAAGTCATGAATACCTACCTAACCTAGGTAGATACCCCTAAGTAGGTAGCCACCCAAGTAATCAATGATTGCCATGCTTCCCAGTTTCAAATACTCAATCTCAAATTCGCGCTTAGCATTCTCGTACCTAGATAGGTACCTAGTAGGTATGTAGGTATACAACAACCCCATAGACAGCATACAGGTAAAAAGGTAAGTGCCTAGGTAGGTGAGTAAGTAGTAAACTCGAAAACCCAGGTCCTCTCTCTCTGTGTTTTCACTCCCTTTCTCTCTCGCTCAACTTACAAATACAAGTACAAGTACAGTAATAACGGGTATCAAAAATTTGCTTCGCCTTCGCCTTGGCCTTTGTTTATCCACTCCCTTTGCTCCCCTCCGAACCTTTAGGAGCCTCAACCCGGTCCAGCCTAAACCTAGCCCTGCCTGCCAGCCAGGTAGTCGGTGCAAAATCAATCAATCAGCCAACCAATCCTCTCATTCCCCAAAGTCCCCAGGGTGGAGGAGGCAACTCCCAGGTAGTCACTGACTCCTGGATTTATGAAAGAGAGAGCCCGTTGAAACCAACCCCTTTGCTTACTCTACTGCTCAAAGGAATGGAATTTATAACTTTGATGCGTGCCTGTACGAACGACTCTTCGGAGCTGTTGGAATGCTGTTTCCCGGCCTTCAATGCACCGCCTTTCTTTTTTTTTCTTTTTTTTTTTGCTTCGTTTGGATCAGGTGTTTTCGGGCTTGATAGCCTAGTATAGTTTTACCACCCTTTATTCATAATGAACGCTATACCCTCATCCTATTCTACAACCGTGTAGCCTTTCTCCGCAGCCTCGCGTGGGGATGCTAGTGGGCTTCCGGCACCGCTGACGCTATCAGCACGGCCATGACCTAGCAATCCACTACGCACGCTAGCTGCATCACCACCGAGTCCCTGCTTGCCTGCGTATAAACTAGTGCGCTCGCCGGCTAGAGTGGTAGTAGGCGTAATGCCGGTTGTGGAGTAGATGCTGGTACGCTCGTTGAGGCGTGACGTGGATTGGTGCAAGTCCCGGCCTGTGCCATCGATGTTCGCGCTCAGTACGCTGAGAGGGAGACTCTCGCGACTGCCACCCCAAAGAGAGGATGGCGCAAGAGCGCGCACGGAAGCGTCGGTGTCCATGGATCGGCGTCGCCGTCGTTTGCTGGAAGAAGCGAGGGTCAAGACGGAGGCGTTGTCCGTAAGGAGGTTGTTGGCGGTGGCCATGTTGTATGTGGTTGGGTGACCGGGTACCGAGTGCGGAGCTAGGTACGGCGGGATCGCGGACGCGGGGGAATTTGTGGGGAAAGGTTGAGTGAATTGGATGGTCTGGGAATTGGCTGGATTGGGTGAATGCCCGTTCTGATGCGTGCCGTTGATCACACCATTGGGACCCATGGATTGAATGGTGGTGAGGGTGGTGGTTAAAGATCGCACCGAAGGCGCAGGGGATGAGAAAGTGCTGTCTCCTCCTCTTCTCGAGTCAAAGTTACCGGCTGTTCGACTAGTCCCTGCCACCGAAGATTCCATGTTGGAAGAGGCATGCAAAGAATGTGTGGCTTCGTGATCGGTGGACATCGTAGGCGCTACCGACATATTACCGCGGGTGGGAGGACCGGCGCCATCTATGGATGTGCCAGCTGAGGAATGACTTCTTCGAGCGAGGGATGGATCGGAAACCCTGGCGCTTTGGGCAGTAGAGAAAGAGGGATCGCTCTGATGAGCAGGGACGGATATGCCGATGTGACCGGATTGAGGATAAGGGTTATTGTTTTTGGAAGATCGTTTCTTGGAAACCTTGGGGACGGCATCGCGTTTAGAATGGCTGTGGCGGCCACCTTCTGTAGTACCGTTCTTAAAATTGGCAAGCTTCTTGACCCATGTCGAGAAGGGACGTCTGCGTCCTGGGCGTTCTTGACGATCTGTCATAATGACTGTTAGAGCAGCAGGTTGGGATTCATCGGCTGTGCTGGGGGTTGTGAAATAAGAATGTAAAAAAGGAGAGTGGTTGGAATGGCGATGTTTGAAACGAAGGGACGGCATATAGATGATAAAGTATTTCCAGGAAGAGAGCAAATAATTACCAGTAGCAGCAGCAGTAGCAGTAGCTGTATTAGTAGTAGTAGAGGTAGTAGCAGTAATAGGAAGCGGGGATGTTTCAGTCATAGCCATCTCAGATCAGATGGGCCTGGGGGGCTTTTTATCTTTTCTATCTTTTTATTAAGAAGAATCGACTTAGCAGCAAAGTGTAAAAATCGACAAGTAACGATCGAATAAGAATTTAACTTTTGGTTGTCAAATAAAAAATAATGATGCTAAATAGATTAGGTAGATAAAAAAGATAAAAAATGATGAATGATGAAGAGACGTGTCGTGTCGTGTCGTATGGTTGTATGAGTGGACGCGATGACGATTTTGGGGGGTCTCAATTGACGACAGTTACGCAGCTGTATGGCCCTGGAGAACTGGAGTTGGGCAGCTCCGACTAAAGTGAAGGGATGAGAGGTAGTGTACAGTATGCGACAATGATCTAGACTCGTGTAGCCTATGCAGCCTATGTAGCCTATCTAAAGTTGAGACGGAACGAACGGATGGGGGGGTTTTATCGTTTAGTTCTGTCTACTAGGCTGTTGGCGCTTTTGGGATTTCTATTCAGTGTTGCACTGTTGGCAAGAAAGAAGAAGCTAAAGGTTTGAATTAATGCGGCCCAACTTGAAAAATGAAAAATAAGGTAAGATGGAAATAAAATGAGATCAATTGATGTTAGTGGATATCTACTTAGGTACCAAAAGTAAAATAAAATAAAACAAAACAAAATATTTCATGGATGATGGTGGCTTCCTCTTCAAAGCGCTGACAGCATCATCCGTGATACGTGATACGGTGATACATCAATGAAGCAAAGCCCCTTGGTATTTCCGATGTCCCATTTGATCATTGATCCATCAATGATTGATGAATAGTGGATATGAGGCTGATGCCTTTCTCCACAGAGATTACTACTAGGTGCTAGTGTAGTACCGCCTGGTACCTACTACTAACATCACCTAGAGTAACATAGAGTAGGTGCCCAAGGTAGTTACATGATCGATACAAAGTAGGACAAAGGACAATAGTTATCATCAGCCACATTACCTTTCAAATTCCACTACGTCAATGTGGCTAGCCAGCTTAAATAATCAAATAACATTGAACATCAACTTGGATGTTTAAACCTTTGACTTGGGAACTTTGGTATCATTTTCTATTCTGAAGTTATACCTGAAACCCCATGAACGGAAATGAGAATGTTGAGAAAGGGAACAATATTCTACATTCAGCGATGTCCATCCAGCAGTTGCCGGATCATGTCATTGCCCAAATCAAATCGTCTACCACCATAACATCACTCAACGGTGTCGTTTGTGGCCTAGTTAAGAATTCCCTCGACGCCAACGCAACCAAAATCAATATATCTATTGACTATGTTCGAGGAAATTGCTCAGTCGAGGATAATGGCTTGGGTATCTCCCCCCAAGAATTCAAGTCTACTGGTGGCCTTGGCAAGCTACACTACACGTCGAGGTTCCCTCCTTGCAATCATAGTCATGGTCGGCATGGTGTTTTTCTAGCTTCCGTGGCATCACTATCCTTATTGTCTATTACTTCCCACCATAGTGGTTATCATTCCCATAATTCGGTTAGAATCCACAACTCTGAGATATTGGCACGGCATACCCCTTCATTGCCAGAGCAAAGGTTGTTAAGCTTTCCTCATGGAACCCGGACAACCGTTAGGGACCTTTTCGGCTCCATGCCTGTTAGAGTGAAGCAGAGGGCCCTTGACGCTGATAGAGGCGCCAATGCCAAAAATTGGGAGCGACTCAAGCATTCTCTCGTAGCCCTATTGCTTGCCTGGCCATGCCAGGTTACCATAACAATTCACGATTCCCTTGACCAGCGAAACTTTACGCTTCGTGCCCCGGATGAGCCCTTGAATCCCCAAGAGAATAAACATGATATTCCTAGTCTCGTTACTCGTGTTTCGAGGATATTTTTCCAAGCCCAACTTTCTGATGACCGCTCTCGAGACTTATGGGTATCCTTGAAGGCATCAACAGGTCACATCTCTGTTGTAGGTGCTGTGTCACTAGTTCCTGTGGTATCTCGGCAAATGCAGTTCATCAGCATAGGCGTTAGACCCATCTCCAACGAGCATGGCTCAAACGTCCTATACGAAGAAATAAACCGATTATTTGCGAATTCTAGCTTCGGAGTTAAGGAAGAAAGTAGCGACCTCAACGAGGATGAGCAAAAAAGGAGGGCGAAAGACCGCCGATATAAAACAGACGGCTATACCAACCAGGAACTTCGAGGTAGGAAGGGAGTGGACCGATGGCCCATGTTCTACATCAAAATCAACTTGGAAGAGCCAATTTATCGACTTTCCGAATGTGACGTGGAAGAAATACTGAATGAACGTCACAAAAGTCTGAGAGAAATCGTGGATATTCTAACGGCGGTGATTTACCAATTCCTCAAAGCACATCACTTTCGCCCGAAGTATTCTAAGCCTCGTCAGACTGCGTCGTCCAGATCATTACGGCATCAAGATGTACGCAGCGAATCTTCATCTAGAAGCTCTACACCAAAGGCGGGTCATAGGACAGACCGGACTCGCGTGTCTCGAAGCCGAGTATCGAGTGGGGACTTGGCGAGCACCCGTCTCAGTTTTGCTTTGGATACTTCTCGCTCACGACCCGAATCTCCGTTCAATTCATGGACTCGCGTTAAATCAGGACAGCCTCAATATGCACATCCACAGGTGAAGTCCCATTTACATCGAGAAACCTCTGCAGATCTTAGTGCGACACAGCCCCCTATAAAGTCACCACGCGTTGAGAGCGATGATCCTGATAAGGAAGATCCCCTAGTTGCTCCAGACGGCACATTGCTTCGTATCCCTTTCCCCGACATAGAAACTAGCACACCTAAGTTTATTGAAGAACCTCCCCGTGAGAACCCCAGTATTATTGAAGAGCGACCGGAACTTCGGGGAGGCGAGGAAGTCTTATGGAGCAACCCGGCGACCAAAGAAACCTTGGTGATCAACGCACGAACTGGCGTTGTAATCCAACCCGTGAAGAATAGAGACGCAATATCTGAAGGACATGATGATATCAATGGCCAGTCATCTAGAAAAAGGCTACGAGTAAATACCCGACCAGCCTCCCGAGATGAGAGAAGCAGTTGGCTAGGCGATCTTTTATCGTCTTGGGAGAATCCCGTTTTTCCATCCCAAGAACCGCCAATTCCAGTTGTTTTCGATGAAGAAAAGGCATTAGCCTTTACAGATTCCTCCGAGGGCCATTGCCACGGATGCCATTCCGGATCGTTGGATGTGCTACAACCTTCTTACAGCGTGGAGGGCCGTCTTTCAAAAGAAAACCTACGAAACGCGACAGTCATAGCGCAGTTGGACTGCAAATTTATCTTGGTCAAAGTACCTTTGTCATCCTCGCCGTTCCATACACATGCTGAAAATGAGCCTGGGCCTTCACTACTCGTCATAATTGATCAGCATGCCGCAGATGAGCGTTGTTGGGTTGAAGCCTTGATGAAGGACTATTTTGTAGTAGTAGAAAATACTGATACATCTACTGAACAGCCTCAGCCATTGGTTCAAGCCCAAGTCGAGCTACTAGAAAAGCCTCTCACATTCGACATTTCGGCCCAGGATAGCCGCCAACTCGAACGCTCCGTGGAATATTTCAGATGTTGGGGGATCTTGTTCAAAACCAGCCTGGTGGCGAAATCCAAGCCAAACAGCCAGCGCCGGGCGCAGTTGCTAGTATTCGCGCTACCACCAAGCATAGCTGAAAGATGTCGTCAAGAACCTCGATTGCTGGTCGAACTACTAAGGAAGGAAGCATGGAAAGTTGAGGAGCAATGGCCCAGCGCCTCTCAGCACATTCGGACAGAGACAGATCAGGATGGTGGCGGTAATTCTACTGAATTGCATTGGCTATCTCGATTTCATGGATGTCCAGGAGGAATTCTAGAAATGATTAACTCCAGAGCCTGTCGCAGCTCTATCATGTTCAACGACCACCTTTCTCACGAAGAGTGTGCCGACCTTGTGAGGCGGTTGACCGACTGCGCGCTACCCTTTCAATGTGCGCATGGCCGGCCATCTATGGTACCACTCGTTGATTTAGGAAACAGTCCACTGAAGGAGGTGGATATAGGGAGATATACGGGCAATTTTGGTAAGGAGTTTAGGAGGTGGAAACAGAGGTTTGATAGCTCAAAAGCATCGTAATGAGTGGGCATATGATTTGTTTTATTCGTATTTAATTTACGTAAGCATGCAGAGATACCCATATATACATCAGGAATAATCCTTAAATTTGTTTGTATTTGATTTTCTATTAATCTTTTGCCATGATTTTCGAAGTTTGGTGACGAATATCACGTACATGTACTAGACTCTGGAGACAGTGACCTACTGTAGGACCTAATGATGCTATACGCCACAACGCCACGGGTAGTTCATCTGGGTTAATAACTAACCGCCGTGCGTTGACCGTAACACAATGCATGAATTTAGTGGACACTAAGCTTATCGATAATCACCTACCTATGTACTCCTAAGCTCTAAATTACTGGGTTAAGCTCCCCGAGTTCTAGTGACGTCCCTCAGCGTCTACAGCGACTTCAGCCTTCTCAGCGTCCTCAGGCTACAAAGATATCGAAACTCCATCCTTTGCAACGATGAACGACACAGAACGGATGCTACCAAGTTGATTGTCGCAAACACCTGAGCCTGCACCATGGCTCTGCTTTTGGTCAGTTAATGCAATCAATGCCCTTTAGTCTCCATATCCTCTCTCTACACTGACTTTAGCTAACTTTCATCGCGTTTCCTTTCTTAGTGGAAAGCATTCGATTTCTTCGAGGTCAGTCAGGTTAAGCTCGGAGACGACGAGACGCGATCCTTCTTCGAGAACAACGAAATATCGAGCGTATGTTCAGGATCCGACAGTTTATTCCTCGGAAGCGACAATGGATATGTGCGAATTATCGGACCAAGCTGGAAAGTTGTCAGAAGCTTTCTTGCCCATGAAACTGGTCGTATTACCCATATGCGCCAGGTCGAGGGTACAAGCTTGTTAGTTACAGTCTCGGTATGAAAATCATGGCATATGGCATATGGCATATGAAATGTAGCATATAGCATGCTATCAACATTATGGACGGTATCGAACAGGGCTGATGAATAGTAGGAAGATCTAAGCAACGAGCCAGTATTGAAAGTCTGGGCACTTGACAAGCCAGTAAAGAAGACGGGATTGCCGACTTGTTTGAGTACATTAAACATACACAACGGCCGAAAACAGTTTCCAGTAAGTATCTACTTGCACTATCACCCTGATGACATAACAATTAAAACTGGACGACACAGATTTCCTCTTTCACCGCTCTTGAAGACCTATCACAACTCGCTGTAGGCTTTGCCAACGGGGCCGTTACAGTGATACGTGGCGACCTAATACACGACCGAGGCACGAAACAGCGGATCGTCTACGAATCCGAAGAACCTATCACAGGCGTAGAATTTGTGGCCGACCCCAAACTCACCACCCTATTCGTCGCAACCACTTCCAAATTTCTCAAATTAGTCATCTCTGGTAAAGGACAAGGGCAGCCTGCCAGAACCATCGATGATGCTGGGTGTGCTGCTGGTTGTATGACCGTAAACGATAAAACTGGAGACATAATCGTGGTTCGAGAGGATGCCGTCTACTATTATACGTTGGAAGGCAGGGGACTTTGCTTTGCCAATGACGGAGCTACAAATCTGGTCGAGACATTCCAGGATTATGTCGCTCTCGTTTCTCCTCCCCCAGTATCTGGAAGTGGAGCATCAGACAGTATTGGAAGACGGTTTGGAACGACTAATACCGACTCCCTCTTCAATGCTGCTAGATTTACCATGGTGGACCCAGCCTTGCAAATAGTCGCCCATTCAGAGTCTCTCATCTCACAAGTCCAAGCCATTTTCCAAATATGGGGGGATCTATTCATTCTGACGCAAGACGGAAAAGTGAGGGGAATGATCGTGTCTATACGCGTGTTGCAATATGCTAATCAGAAGTCAGGTCAGTCGCTACCATGAGAAATCGCTGCAGCAGAGGCTCGAGCTATTGTACCAGCGCAATCTGTTTCCGCTTGCAATCAACCTTGCGCAAAAGTCTGGCATGGACTTGCAGCAACAGAATATCATTTATAGGAAATACGGCGATCACTTATACCAGAAAGGGGATTATGATAGCGCCATGTCTCAATACATAAGAGCTATCGACAACACGGAACCTTCGCAAGTCATCCGGAAGGTGAGTATCCTATACCACACATATATCCACACACACATACATATTCATGTATGCCTATATAAAACCCCACTCTCTAACAAAAACAGTTCCTCGACACACAAAGAATACATAACCTAATCGAGTATCTTGAGGAGTTGCATGAACACCACAAGGCTACATCAGATCATACTACCTTATTGTTGAACTGTTATGCCAAGCTAAAGGATGTCGACAAGCTGGAGAAGTTCATCAAGTCGGAGGGAGACCTCAAGTTTGACTTGGACACTGCCATAACTATGTGCAGACAGGGCGGCTACTTTGAACAAGCTGCTTATCTTGCGACGAAGCATGGCGAGAATGATCTAGTAGTAGATATCCTCATCGAGGATTCGAAGAACTATGCCGAAGCACTTGACTTCATATGGCATCTAGATGCTGAGACGGTATGTAATATAACTCAAATCTTCACTTCGTTCTGTCGCTGATCTTAACAGGCATATCCAAATCTGATGAAGTACGCCAGGGTACTTCTAGAGAACTGTCCAAGTGACACCACCAAGCTTTTCATCGACTACTATACTGGCAAATACAGACCAAGAGTTCATTTGGCACCAGCCGCGGAGACACAGACCATTTCAAGCGGTGGTCTCGCAGCTGGAGCTGCCATTGCTGTACAGAATCTTACAAGTCTACTTCCATTACCATATATGAACACCTCTTCGCTTCCTACGCCTACTGGTCAAGGATCACAAGCAACTGGCAGTGATGCAGGTGCCGGAGATTCGGATACCACGGATCAGAAGTATACCCCACCACCACCTAGAACCGCATTCTCATCTTTTATCGACCACTCGGACGAGTTCATCGTCTTCTTAGAAGCCTGTCTACAGGAAGATTCACTCCAAGAATCTGACAAAGTTGACATTTACACAACACTATTTGAGATGTACCTCCACAAAGCTAGCGAGAGGAAAGGCATGCAGAGAGAGGAATGGGAGCTCAAAGCAAAGAAGCTGATCGAGGGTCGCGAAGTCCCCATCGAGAACTCAAATGTGCTATTATTATCACATCTCTCAGACTTTCGGGACGGTACCACACTTGTTAAAGAACAGGCCGGACTGCTCTTTGATATCTTTCGGTCGTACACTTCAGCCAAGGATACCCGGGGTGCCATCAAAGCTTTGCGGAAGTACGGCGCCGAGGAGCCGCAACTGTATCCCGCGGCGCTCGCCTACTTTACCTCGGACGCACGGATCCTAGAGGAGGCCGGACCCGAGGAACTGGCCAATGTGTTGCGCAAAATCGATACCGATGGTCTGATGGCCCCACTTCAGGTCATCCAGACCTTAGGCTCCAACGCCGTCGCGACCATGGGCATGATCAAGCCATATCTACACGAGACGATCTCGCGCGAGCGCCGTGAGATCGCCGCCAATAGGCGACAGATCAATTCCTTCCGCAAAGAAACCCAGGCCAAGCGCGCGGAGATGGCAGAGCTCGGCGCCAAGCCAGCCGTGTTCCAGGCTCAGCGATGTCCTGGCTGCGGCGGCTTACTCGAGCTTCCCGCCGTGCACTTTTTATGCAAGCACAGCTTCCACCAGCGGTGTCTGAAGCAGGGCGGCGACGACGGCAACGAGGTGGAGTGTCCCGTGTGCGCCGTCAACAACGCGGCCGTGCGCGCCATGAAGCGCAGCCAGGACGAGAGGGCCGACCGCCACGACCTCTTCCAAGATGCACTGAAGAAGAGTAGTAGTAGGGGCGAGGAGAGGTTCAAGGTTGTTGCGCAGTGGTTTGGGCAGGGCGTTATGGGGGCTGGGGTCGTGGAGAGATGAGTAGGTACCTAGGGAAAGGGGTATGCTGTATTGTGTTGAAGCTTCCAACGTCATGGGAGCAGTATACTTCTAATGAATGGCGAATGAATGATATTTTGTCTAGATACCTACTTACTTTACCTACCTAGTCCATACTCACATAGTTTATGAGTGTCGTCTCGATGGATAAATCGATGAATGGGTCAGCCGCTTGGTACAGATTTTCATGTCTTATGTATGTCTAGCCTTTTAAATACAGGGATGATGGTATATATCACCTAAGTAAGGCTGTCTTTTGATTCTTTTGCCCCTATTCCTTTGCGTCGGTAGGTAGGCAAGTTCCCAGATACCCCATCCCAGTAATACGTAGGTACCTATGTAAGCATCCACGGATGCATCACCACCTCCCCCCCAAACTCCCCATCCCCTCCCTGGCCCCCTTGCCGCCAAACCTGCCGCCCAGCGTCAGATACTCGCTCAGCATGGCGCTGGCCTTGGCCCTGGCGGCCTTCTTGACGGCCTCGATGCCGAACAGGCCGTTGAGCCACCGGGCGACGCTGGGGTCGTCGACGTGGGCGGCCCAGTCGGCGACGCGGTGCAGGTGGGTGCCCTTGAGGGACTTGGGCAGCCAGCGGCCGGACATCTCGACGATCTGGCCGCGCTTGATGGTGGCGCCGGCGTGGAAGCCGGGGGGGATGTAGACGGGGAGGATGGGGGTGGGGCGGGGGTCCCCGGGGATGGCGTCGGTGGAGAATTTGAAGGTGGGGGTTTGGGTGTAGAGCCATTCTTGAGACTGTTGGTTTTTTTTTTGGTTAGATATTATTTCGTTGATGGGGGGGGGGGTTGTGTGTTCGTTTGCTGGTTCGGGTGGTTTTGATAATTATTTTAAACGAAAAAGGGGGGAGAGGGAAAAGGGGAGGGAAAAGGGAGAGCGGGAAGAGGAGAGAGGAATGAAAAAAGAGGGGAAAAAAAAAGAGAAGAGAAGAATAGGAAGGGGAAGAGAGGAACTACACACCCTAAGCTCATTATACCCCTTTATGATATCCGGTATAAAATCCAGCGTCTCCCTCGCCTCGGCGCTCGAGATGATCACGGGCTCCGTGGGCTTGTACATGCGGCCGAACTCGGCGACGACGGCCTTTTCGAACGCGAGCCTGCGCGCTTCTATGATTTCGTTGTTGTCCTTGGCATTGCTGCTGTGGTTGTGGTGGTTGGTGTTTTCGGGAAGCGGCCACACGTTCCGCACGGGACTGCGCACGCTCCCCACGCCCTTCGCAGTGATGAAGGGTGCGGCGGGGGAGTTTAGGAGGGCGCTGACGAGCCCGATGTTGGGCGAGGCGAGGAGGCAGGTCCCGTGGTGGAGGGAGCGTTGGCGGGTTAGTTTGTATGCGGAGCCGGAGATCTTGAAGGTTTGGATGGGTTTTTTGTCGCGGGCGGGTGTGCTGGCGGCGGTAGTATCAGTAGTAGCGGCGGCAATAGCGGCATCAGAGGCACCAGAGCCAACAGGGTCGGCAGGATCGGCCGCGTTAGCAGCGCTAGGACCGGCAGGAGTAGCATCCGAATCAGTTGGTGCAGGGTTAGGTGCAGGGTCCGCAGCAGCATCATGGTCTGCAGGAACCGGACCAGGTTTAGGAACATATTTGGGACCAGGAGTACGAGCTTTGGTAGGAATAGGCACATCTAGCACAATATCGTGCCGCTCATTGACGCGAGCCCCCTCCACACCTAGGGAGTTTAGGGCTCGGACGACCAACTCAGCATGCTTGTCCCTATTGAACACTATAGGATGACAAATAACGCTATAGTTCACGTTTCCAGCATCATGGAACACAGCCCCGCCCCCCGAGCGACGACGGACAAGCAGGATCTCCTCCGCATTCGCCCGCGTCCGCTTCCTGCCGCCCTCGTAATAGGGGACCAGGCCGTTGCCGTGCTTGAGCAGGTTGAGGTTCACCTCGATCCAGGGGTTCTGGTTGCGGCCGATGACGACGCACGGCCGGTTTGTGTACAGGAACAGGACGACGGTGTTGGGGGCCGACTTCAGGAGCAGGAAGTGCTCGATGGACAGGTTCAGGTACGGGTCTGTGGACCGCGAGATGTACACCTGGATTTTGTTGGCGGGGTCGGCGACGGCTTCTGCGCTGAAGAAGCGGTGGGGGGGTAAGCCTAAGCCTGACCCTAAACCGGACCGTGAGTGTGAGAATGAGAATGAAGATGAGTATGAGAATTGATTGAGGCTAGGCCTTATACGTGGTGGCTTGGTGGATGTGAGGGTGAGAAGGCGGCGTGGTAAAGCCATGTGGAAGGTTGTTTGTAGGGAAGCTTCCCTCTCATGTCATTCTTATAACATGATATCTTATTTCAACTTTTTGATTCCAAAAGTTCGATTCTATTTCATCCAATGAGATCTTACACTTAACAAATGAAGATATTTGAAGTGAAGTGAGAGTGAGTTCTAAGTAAAGTACACTGGTACTTAGGAGCAGTAAGGCTGACGTAAGGAGGAATAAAAAAGGGTCTTTCCTTATGATAACCGATAAGAAAGAAATCGCGGGGCCCGATTCGGATATTTTATTTTATTTTTTTGGTTAAACTTTTCATAACTCGGGGTTACTTTGATACGTGAACTTTTCAACTTCTTCAGTTACCGAACCTCTTTGTTCCCTCTTTGACTCATCCGAACAAAGACCTATCTATATTCATATCCACTTGAGACATTTCTCCATTCCTTCTTGGAACATAACTTCGACCAAGTAGTAGTCAATTGACATGTTTAAGATTGACTTCCAGTTCCCATTCTGTTCTAAATATCTAAGATCTATCCATCTACCGTAAATATCTTATCCTCCACCAGTCACCATCTATAGATTCCTTGTGACAGCATGTCCACATTCGGGGACTTCTTCAGGGTCACCACGTTAGTTCCATAACCCAATTAGATTCTTAACCCGTCCTAATGTCTCTTTCATAGCTACGGCGAGTCCCATTGCCGATCTGTAGGATGCATAGTGGACGGGTGCCCGCCGGGTATGGAGCTCACCGAGGATGATATCCAGCCTCAGATGACTCGTCGTCGCCCAGGCCAGAGTAATATTACCACTCCCCGAAATGAGAAAGACCGTGTAGCTATACAATCTGGCACTGAGTTCGGTATTACCCTCGGCACTCCTATCGGTCTTGTAGTCCTCAACGAAGACCAGAGACCCAAGGACTATGGAAACAAAACGATGGACCTATACCCACGGCCGAGCCATGCTGATTGGACTTACCTCGAGAAGTATGGCGTGAAGGCTAGTAGTGGTGGTGGAAGAAGCTCTGCCCGTGAGACTATCGGTAGAGTGGCTGCCGGCGCTATCGCTGAGAAATACTTGAAGCTCGCATACGGTGTTGAGATCACTGCTTTCGTCACCTCTGTCGGTACCGTTCACATGTTCCCGCCCTCCGCCGAGTACCCCACGCCCAGCCAAAATCCTGCCTTCATGGAACTGCTGCAGACCATTGACCGCGAAACTGTCGACAAGTTTTTGCCTGTGCGCTGTCCGAACGAGGAAGCCTCGCGCACAATGGCTGACTACATAGCTGATTTCAAGGAGCGCAATGATAGTATCGGTGGAACTGTGACATGTGTCATCAAAAACATACCGAGTGGATTAGGAGAGCCGTGTTTCGATAAGCTGGAGGCGAAACTTGCTCACGCTATGCTTAGCATACCCGCTACTAAAGGCTTTGAGATTGGCTCTGGTTTTGGTGGTTGCGAGGTCCCGGGATCCATTCATAATGATCCCTTTATCCGAGCACCGGAAACAGAGTCAAAGAACGGAGTACCGAGGCCTAGGTTGACGACTAAGACTAACAACTCTGGGGGTATTCAGGGTGGTATCTCCAACGGTGCGCCCGTTTACTTCCGCGTTGCGTTCAAGCCAGCCGCAACCATTAGCCAAGCCCAGACAACGGCCACGTATGATGGCGACTCCGAGGGTGTTTTAGAGGCTAAGGGTAGACACGATCCCTGTGTAGTACCGAGGGCAGTGCCTATTGTGGAAGCAATGGCATCGCTAGTCGTGATGGATGCGCTGATGCAGCAGATGGGGAGGCATGAGGCTAGGAGGCATCTTCCGCCCTTACAGCGAACCGTGCCAGTTGCTGATAATGAGATTTCAAAGGGGGTAAAATAGGGAAGGGGGGGTAGACGAATAAAAGGGGAAAGAGAATGTATTTCGAAGATGAATATCGGTCATGTACAGATACGAGTTGATGTCTGTATCTATATGCGTAAACCTATTACAAGCGAAGGTCACATACATGGTACTTTGCAGTCGCGAAGTGATTTCTAGAACTGGTATTATTCTACGTAGTAGATTGATTATTGTAGTCACAGCAGTCAACAGTAGATTATATCCTAAGAACATATAGAGTCTCTTATTGTCTAATTCTAGGATTTTATTCGATGATGTTTCAAAATTTCATGACTGCTGGTCTCTGGCTGCCTATCTAACCTAAACCCCAAAGTAGCCATGTCATGAGCGAGGAATAACATCATGACGGGTAATGACATGAACAAGATGAAAGTTGTATTTAAAAGCTACGTAGTATATTTACCGGAGTGTTCTACCTCGCACCACCTATCATGGTGAAATATCTCCCCTTAATATATTGAGGGGCACGACTGAAGGTCTGCGTGACTGATCTTTGCGACAAACAACTTCACACGGCTCGACATAAGTTCACTGTTATTTGGTGTTTAGCTGTACTAATTGATCACAGATGTGTTGCGTTGACGCCCCTTTGAGCAGCATTTGGTGGTGAGGTTATTGAAGCTATGGAAAATTCTTTCTTTGGGCAAGAAGGAGAGTGGGTTTCCGGCACGTAGGTATTGTACAACATGTCAGAACATACCGCTACGCCTAAGGGGGAACGATTGGTCTTTCATCGATTATACTTAGTTTGTGAGCATATCTGACATATGTGCCCCCTTAGGTTCCAAGGCGTAACACCGCAAACTGCTTGCTTTCTACGCTGTATGCTTATACCTACCTATCTATATATGTCATATGTAGATTCGAACCTAAGTTACCTTGGGACTTTGTCTTTTAGGGTTGTTTGTACTCTTAACGGGTAGCGGCATCTGAGTTGATTTTTATTCCAAAGGGATCAAACGAATGAGGCTCTTGATTGCCAGATTTTACCGCTACATATAGGGGTGAATGATTGACTGCTCTTAGTTCATGTCAGTATATCTAGCACGGTGCCCAAGGGAATTATGTGCTCTGAAATATTGGTTAGCGTAAGGGTCTCTTGGTACGTTATGTATGCCTTGTGAATGAGGTTGCCTGAATACTTACCAATGGAGGGCGGTGACCCTCCTATCCAGTATCTTCTACCTAGAAGGAGGGAATATACACTGCCATATGCTAACCCTAACATGCCTAAGGGTATCAAGGGGTACTCACCTAGCTACTAGGTACTGATTAGGTGCTGTTTACTAGAAAATGCTGCCATGGTAGCGTCCTGAGGCGGCGATATTAGGTACTGAAGTAGCTTTGACGCCTGAAAAATAGGGGCGACAAGGCGACAAGGCGACAACAACAGCGTAGCTGCCTGAGGCGACGACGACCAGGCGGTGAAAGATATAAGTTGGCAGAATGAAAAAGAAAACTATATAAAGCCCAAGAGATGCAACAGATTCTTGTTTACTTCTCCCGCTTCCACATCCAAAAAAAATAAAAAATAAAATATTTACGTCTTTTTCCCACCACCACCACCACCACCAGCCACCACGGCGAGGGTATTTGTAGAATTAAATGAGCACAATCATTTCATTTATTCTACAAATACCCTTTGGACACAGTAAGATGAATCATTAATCAATATTCATTCATCATTGATTAATGATTCATCTTACTGTGTTCCACACTCATCGTCTCCCTTCGCTCACTCATCCACACACACACCCCGACTTCGTGGTGCTTTGCTGCGGGTTTCGCATTACCAAACCCAACGCCTAGCATCACTTAGTCCAATCCGTTCTCTTCAAAGCCATCTCTTCACAATTTGTTGGCATTCTTTCACGTCCTTGTTACCTGTTTCTCTCATTCTTCACGCACACTGAGATCTAGAATCGCCACATTCTTCTCCTATGACTTCTTGGAAGGTTCATGTCGCGAACCTTCCAAGAACGAGGACGAGAATCAAGTCTATTGGCCCCGAGTGCCGGGGCAAACTGATCGTTACCTTGGGGCGAAGGCCACGTGTGACGGATAATTTTGACAAAGTTAAGATGCTCAAGCATATGCTGGGCTCTTTACAAAGTCAAAATGATCCGGCGCGCGTGGGCTTCGCTCCAAGGTAAAGATGTTAACCCACATTCTCTGCTCCTTTCAAAGTCAAGATGATCACTCACATTTGGGCTTCGCCCCAAGGTACAAGATAACTTTGATCTCGCAACCCGGTGGGGTGCGCTCGCCGAATCACAGCAAGGTCTTCGAGCGCGCGCACCTAGTCGATAAGAGCTGTGATGGACCAGCTACTCGAACTCGCACTCGCACTCACTGGTGGTTCTGGTCTTCAGAGACCTCATCGTTTCTCTGCGTTACCCACTCGAAGTCATACGCCGGCCTTTTCACACGTGCACGATATCAACACCCTCACATAAGTGCATCCACCTATGTGCATCCCAATACACCACAATTGCCGTCCCTAACTATCGACCACAATTACCTACCCACCCATCCTCTCGACACACATGACGGGCCTAGATATGACGGCCTTAATGAGTCTTTTTCATCGGCATGCATCATTATGACACTACCGCTCGGTGTTCCTCCTGGCACTCACTCCCCCCTTCCCCTTCCCCTCCCTGCCACGCACTCTGAGGCAGGGAGGGAGGCTTCCTCTTCTCCAGACAACTCACCAAAGTCTGAGAGAACGAGGCCTCGGCGTCTTCGGGTGACGAATACGTCGAGTAGCTGGGAAGGATTAAAATGGACGCGATTGTATAATGGGACTCCTCCGACCAAATCGTCCAGCTAGACCGATTACGATGATGATGCCAGCGACAACGACCCGAATTCCACCGTCGGTTTCGGTCCGCCGAACGAGAGGGAAAGCCAACGACATCCTCGATAACTGTGACGACCGCGACGTCGCGGGCGGAAGTCTATTCTGCCAAAGATTTGGTGTCGTCCCGTTTGCCTCTGCCGCACAGTGTCCTCAGTCCTCCCAACGCATTCAGCACTGGCAGATGGTTCCGCACCAATATCTTGGTCTGAGGTTGGGGCAGGGCTAGACCAATAGGCCCTCGACGAACCACCAACAAGAAAGCCACAAGGTCGCTGGCTTAGATGATGAATTGATGGGCAAAGCAGAACGCGACATCACACACCACGAGAATAACACAAACATAAACGGAAAAAAAAAAGGAAGGCTTGGCTGGAAGCCGGCTATAGAGAAAAGGCTATCAGCCTGTGTCGGTGGCTTTATTGGAAGATCCATATCTAGGATGATGCCATTCGACATTCCGATTTCCGACTCCTTATGACACCTTGCAACCCACAACTACGCAACGCGGGCTCCCATCCTTCCCGCTCACGTACCATCATCGTCTCTCCCTGGGGCGCGATACAAGAAACTGTCAGCAGTGACAAAAAGGTTTCTCGCGGGCTGATATTTCGGCCGCGGTGGAGACGCCTGTCCACGTGTGATCTGGGCTGGTCCCGAGACGCATGTCAACATGCGAGCTACTGGAGCCCCTCGCCATGATCCCTTTACAAGGTGAGCGGGGACATGTGCTCTCAGTTGACATCACACGAGACGCATGTCGACATGCGAGATCATGGAACTCCGAGACCTACGGGCCAGGACAAGCGAGCGCAAGCATTGTCGCTTGTTCCTGGCCCGGTCCTTCAACTCCTGGATCTCGCTTGTCGGCGTGGCGTTTTCGGGACCTGCCGGATCTCCGGGGCGTGGTGGTGGAGAAAGATGAGCAGCGACGTTTGTTGCCCGTCCGCCGGAGAAATTGTGTGCTATATGCCGAGTAAGACGGCCGAATCTTCCCAAACATACCTACCCACAGACATAAGTTGCTAACTTTGCTTAGGACGCAAATGGAAATATGGGACTGTTCTACGTGGGCGAGACGAAGCTGGCAGATTAACAGATTGCTCGGGTCTTTCTTAAAATTATATATGATTGCCAAATTCATCACCGGTGTACCTAAATCACGAGGGCGAGTCAACCCGCCCAGACGTCTGGTTGGGACACTGCAAACTTTACTGTGCCGCGGGCCTTGAAGAACTGACACGAACGACGTTGAATCGCCGGTCTGTTTTCTTTCTTTTTCATTCTGCAACCATTGTCTCGGGATGCTATCGACGGTGATATCAATGTTCTGGGCATGTACTAGCTACAGACACGGGTGACAGCTACATTGTGTCCTTGGTCTCTGGCGGTGGCCTCGTTTGGACAACCATCATCAGCCAACATGTGGGCCTCGGTCGGAAAAGATGAAGTCAAGCCTGGCGAGGAGTACGACCTTCAGTCTACTCCAGAGCTGGCTTATTGCAGTTGTTGCGCGCGATTGAAGAGCGTGAAACGTGGCTTGACGACACGCTCTACAATCTCGCCCATGAAAATCTTGTAGTATTGTCATGGCGTGGTTGATCTTTGTCACCTATTCCGCGGGCGGTTGGGGACGCCGCCAACCGAGAGTCGAAGGTCGCAGATTGTAGCGTCCTGGCCCCCTTGGTCTCCGAATCAGCCAAAATGCCCCGAGAACTAGGCTCGGCCAATGACTTGAGGATCGGTGTCGACGACGATGATCACGATCACGATCACGATCACGATCACAATAATGACAACGACGACGACGACTATGACTACGATTACGATTACAATATTGGCTGCTATGATGCTGACAGTCATGGTTTGGTCAGTGTCACGGTTACCCCTCATCGCTGGACCCATCACCACAAGCCGACTACCCAGACGTACTGGGGGTTTGGCCGGTGCGAACGAATGGTACTTCCCCATGGCGTTGAACACCACACCCTTGATGGGCATACGTCTTCGGCCAATATCCCTGACCCTCACTCTCTGTCTCGCCTCTCTCTCTCTCGCTTCACCATCACGCAAGCACGTGCAAGCTGAACCTACGAATTGACGCTATCCACCGACGGGCCTACATCTCGACTGGCCTTGCTAACCTCATAAGTTACGCCTGGTTACCTACACTCTTCCCTTGTTTCTCGTCTTACTTACAAGACCCCCCACCTCGACATACCTATGGGCCGGGAGCCACGCCAGCACGACCAACGCACGGCGGGCAAGACTGGCTGAAACCCCGCCAGCCGGCCTCCCTCCCTCCCTCCCTCCCAGCGGACCACGCGGCGCAGACAGACATCCTGCGCCGGCGCGTTGTGGGAAGGCGCCGCTCCTCGTCGACTTGGGCAGGGATATTCGATGGCAACTTCAACTGCTGTTCTGCTGAGACCAGTCCCAGCTCCAGCCCTAGGGGGGGGGAGGCGCATTGAAATTTTAGCGACAGCGCTCCTCCCCCTTCGGGTTGGGCTGGGTGAAGTTCTGTCACTAATGCCTACCGCGACCGTATGGGAGCGGTCTTTCCCTCCTTTCTTCCCTCGCCTCAGGGGAGGCAAGGCCAGAAGCCGGCCGACACACCGCTGGCCTTCTGCTCCCCTGGGGCGAGCTAGTCGACAACGGCGCAGCAATTCAGCTCCCGTTTTGTGAGAGGTTTCAGCGCAACGATGATCCTTTCACCTAACCTACAGAGTTTGTCATGGCAAAGAACAGGTCCTGCATCTTGCGCAAAATGGGGAATGGGGACTACCTTGCCGTTCAAGCGGTACCGTGACCGCGATTACCTCCTTACCCGTTTCCCCTCCGTCTGACGGGGGGGGACGGGTAAGGAGATATACCATCATGGTCCTCCTTCTCGTCAACTCCGCGTCACCTCCGCAACAATCGATTCCCCTCTTCGATCGGACCCTGGCGACCCGACGTCACCTGCAGCGCTCTTTTCCCAACTCTGGGGCGGGTGTCCCGACACCACCTTCGCAACAACAATGTTCGGTTCCGTTCCACATCGACGGCTTCCTGTGATCGGCATTTTGCGTCGTGTCTTGAAGAAGAAATGGGAAGGCAATAAGAAGTTAGCCTCGTTCCGGTTTGTGGCACCCATAGATGCCTTCCATCATCTTCGTTCGTGTGCCTTGGCCCGATCACGCCATGGGCGGTGGATGACTTCATGGAAGCCCTACGTCGGGGCCGGTGGACGATGGCTTGCATCTATCAATCTATCTCTGGGCCCCTAAGCAACGATGAAAGTCCACCTGCGAAGCTATCAAGATAGTTTCCAGGAGATGTCTTGTCGTGCAGGCTGCTGCTTGGAGAACACATGAGTCTCCACTCACGGGTCCCGGCGTGGGCTCCTGGGCCTTAATCGTTGTTCGCGACCATGGTGGCTCTTTTGAGTGGGCGACTGTCATCTTGGTTCAGCAATAACTACCGTCATAACGGAGATCCATGCCGCTCTCGGGTCAGAAATGAACAGAAGAACATTAAAGATCACTGGAAGAAGCACCACACGCCGGATTCCGCGTACCAGAGGGTCCGGAAACTAAGGTTGGGTGTGCAAATGATTGTTCTGAACGACCTGAACGACCTGAACGAGATGAACGACCTGAACGAGACGAACGACCTGAACGAGATGAATGATACAAAGAAGATGAATGATGTGGCAGGATATCACGTGGAGCTTCAATACATGTGCTCGTGTTAAATATCACACGACTTTATTCTGTTGGACTGGGTTTTGGTATTCATGATGATGGGATGGGATGGGATAGGCCTTTTATAGTTAGCCATAGTCACTTAGATACTCAACAGTCACAATCAAGGTTGGAGTACCTATAATTTATTTTGGTCCTTTTCTTCGCATTGATCGTGATACCTCCTCTGATGATTGTTAGGTATGGCAAAGAGATATGTCTTTGAGAGAGTGTATTATGGTATAAACCATGTAGAATAAGGGGCCCCAACTCTTACACAAGCACTGTGGTCTGCGTCTACCAGTTCAAGTTGATGGCGTTATAAATGATTTAATGTTGCAAATCTCAGTTTTAAAGCCACTTCATATGTGGCATATACTAAACTAATATACAAATTAGTTTTGAATCATTCCTGTTCTTTTGGATTTTTAAAAAGAAAGAAATCGATGAAATTTATCGAACTGAAGAAAAGAAGGGTAGAGGCTTATGTCATAATACCGTATATTTTCGGCATTATGGTCCTCTTGTTAGCTCCACTTATTTGTGCGCCTTGCCCAATGTGGTTAGTTCGGTGCTGAGGCTCTAGTACTAGTGTTATCAGAATCCACGTGATCATGATTTTACCTATCTTTCTTTTGTGTTTTTTCAATAAGGATAGGTTTAAAGTGTTATGCATTAATTGAGAAGCTTCAAATATCCATACATCTATTAAGAAACAACAGACAAACGTAGATATTAGAGAGCAGATATCACGTGTCGGCACGTGATATCGCGTGCTAATATTGTAGGAATCGGATAAGAATCCCTCCGAAATGAGGTGTAGTTGAATAAACCTTGGGGTAAATCACCCTAATTAGGTAAAGTGCATTAATAAGTGGAGCCAACAAGAGGACCATAATGCCGAAAATATGGTAGGGGAGAAGTACAAAAAGCACTACTAGTAAGTTAGTACCTACATACACTGTCATACAGTATGTAGGGCATGTCCAAAGTATTGGCAGCTGACCGTCAGCTGGAGCGGGGCACAGCGAGCTAATCGGCTATCACCGTCTTTCAGGGCTGTCCCTCAGCTGATGGAGCTTACTATGCAATGAATAGCGAGCACTACTAGTAGTACCTAGGGTAGGCAGGTACTAACTACTACTAGGTAACTTCACGATGTCGAACTATCACGGCCTCAAATCGCAAGGTCCCAATTTAAATCTTACGACCTTTTTGTGAAACTTACGATCAATCTGCCTATTCACCTTGATCTTCGGATCTTCGGATTATTATATTCATATTTAAAAGACATTCGTCTCTGATTAGTGTTACAAAATGTCCAATCGTCAGTTCGGCCAGTTCATCCGATTACGGCTACAACTTCTAAGAGCCAGTCGCCCTCCTCGACGATCCTTTACCACTGGCACTAGCAGGACCAACAGTACCCGTTGGATTACCGGAACTACCGTTGCTGCCGTTTCCATATCAACTGTAGCCTACGCAATGGTAATATACCTTGATTTGAACCCTGTTGCAGCTCTAGATGGATCGCCTAGTTAACCAATTTACTCTGTTCCTTTAGGCCAACCAGAAACCAGTAAAACTCGACGCACGCTCGCTCGCCGAGCTCGACGAGCGCACGAAGCGCGAGAAGGGCGTTGACGAGAATTCGCCAATGCGCCTGCGCATGGAGGAATTCATCCGCGAACAACAAAAAGCCATTGTCTTCGAGCTCGAAAAGTTAGACGGGAAGAGCTTCCAAGAGGACACGTGGTCAAGAGAAAAGGGTGGTGGTGGCATTTCCTGCGTCTTGCAAGAGGGCAACGTCTTCGAAAAGGCCGGGGTGAATATCAGCGTCGTGTATGGAACATTACCGAAGCCGGCGATTGCGAAGATGAGGGTCAACCACAAACACATCGCGGAGGCGGACGAGGTCGACTTCTACGCCCTCGGTCTCAGCATGGTCTTGCATCCGAAAAACCCAATGGCGCCAACAGTCCACTTAAATTACCGGTACTTTGAGACAATGCGACCAGATGGTACCTCGCAGGCTTGGTGGTTTGGAGGAGGCAGCGACTTGACGCCTAGCTACCTGTTTGACGAGGACGCCGTACACTTCCACAAGACCCTGAAAGAGGCATGCGACAAACACAATAAAGACTACTATCCCAAGTTCAAGAAATGGTGCGACGAGTATTTCTGCAACACGCACCGAGGCGAATCTAGGGGTGTGGGGGGCATATTTTTTGACGATCTGGACGAGACAGTGGCTGATGCGGACAACACTTTTGCCTTCATCCAGGACTGCTTAAAAAGCTTCTTGCCCTCCTACCTGCCCATCATGGAAAGGAGGAAGGACATGCCCTACACAGCCAAGGAGAAGGAGTGGCAACAAGTGCGCAGGGGAAGATATGTCGAATTCAACCTGGTTCACGACCGCGGCACGGCGTTCGGGTTGAACGTGCCCGGATCGAGGGTGGAAAGCATCCTGATGAGCTTGCCGTTGACGGCGTCTTGGCGCTACATGTACGAGCCAGAGCCCCGGAGCCGGGAGCAGAGACTGGTGGAAATCCTTAAGAACCCGAAGGAATGGGTGTAAAGATGCTATGTTATGTTATGTGATGTTATGTACCTAGACAGAGACGGGAGCTATGGATGTATCATATGACAAAAAGGCGCACGACGAAAAGATTAATAATGATAAGGATACTTGAGTAACGGATAGGGCTTGATGTATACCTAGAAATAGAAGCTATTGATTATTATATAGGGAATCCTTATGAGAAGATGAAGAAATTCAAGACAATTACAGCTTATACGTTTACATCCTTACCATACTCTAGGCATTCTCGTATTATATTTCTATATACTGGAACCAATTTTCTCTTATACGTAGCTAGCTAGACGATTGACGGTACTATGTAACCTTGAAGACTCAAGCACTCTGTATTGTACTATTGCTGCTACGTTGGCGCTTATTATAGTGAGCAATTAAATGAAAAGGTGGACCCGACTGGGTGGAAACCCCGTTTAAACTTTCGACAAGTTTAAATATTCCGAGGGTACGAAAGCACGTGCCAAGTCTTTGAATTTCAAGGCTCTGCTGCAAGTCAAGTTTGCGCATAGTTACAACAAATGCGGCGTACATACCAACATAAGGCAGGTTAAGCCTAGGGAAGAGTCATCATTATGGGGCTTTTAAGGCTTGTGCGGCGGGTTGAGATTGGTGAAAATTGGGGGGTTGACGCTAAGGGATGAGGGAAAGTCTTACCGTTTGGGGGGGGAGGGGGGCTGTCAGGGTAGTGTCAAGTTTTAACTATTAACCGTTAACTGACTAACTAGTTAAGTCCAAGGATTATTCTAACGGTTCAATGTTAGGTACATATGTATTTTACCTCCAGGCTACTATACTAACCTACCCTAGGTATCCCCTCGAGACCCAACACCGGGCTTTTTAGCGCCCCCCACTAAAACCTCACACGGGCCAGGCTCGCTACCAGCTTTTTACCATCGACTATGTACCGGTTCAAATAATAGGCGCGTTTTTACGTGTAGCAGCAACGTGTGGTACTTAATTTTTTGGTCCCGTTTGTATTAATCCTTTAACGTTCGAGAAACTTGATGTAAAAAAATTAAGGCTAAATTTTATCAACGACAATACCGACGGCGATAAGTTTAACGATAACGATGTGACGTATAGATTGGCGATATACAAACTGTTGATTTATTTAAAATGTTAGGTAGTTCTTTATATGAAAGGTAACTATTGATAAGAGTAGCATACATACATATATGCCTTATATTGAAAAAAAACGCGTACAAGTATCAAAAGTTTAATTGATTTTTCTTAGAAGTAGTGTACAAAATGTTCAAAATAAGCTCAGATAAATATATGGAGAGTAGGTCTAAGCTCTTGTATTTTATTCGCCAGCGAGGCTCAAAATATGGGGGGCGCTAAAAAGCCCGGTGTTGGGTCTCGAGGGGATAATAAAGCTGCGTAACGTTGTCATTCAAGGAAATTCATCAAATAACTCGAAAGGGAAGGAAAGAGCAGAACATAACAGCGCAAAATAATAATAAGACGTCAAACAGACCAAAGAAGAGAAAATACCTACATACCTAAACTGATAAAGATTAGAAAACCAAAAGCTTCAACCTTTTTTCTTTTTTCTTTCACTCTTTTACAACCAATAATATAGACGACACATCCCTACAAATTCAACCCCTCAACTCGTACTCAAACCCGAACTTGAGCTCGACTTAACTCAATTCAATCAACATTGAAATCTTTAAATCTTGAAGATTACGTTTATTTACAGGCATCTTACGTCGCTATTTGATCGTCAGTACTCAATACTCTGTACTTGTATATATACAACACCCTCACCTACATAGCAGCCTACATAACTACGTAGTTGCTTGATGTTCATAGATGCTGTCGATCCCTTGATATCGCGACGATCCATTTTTTCCCGTTCTTGTCTTCTACGCATACATGCGACAGAACATCATTCTAACCAACCAACTCCTTCTTTACTTAACGTCACCTGAAATATCGGTGTAAATTCATCTCTCATCCCTGCCGACAAACGTTACATCCTGCCTAAAGCCCTTGGGAACCCTAATAGCTGTTCCCGTCCGAGTCATGTTGGGAGTCGGTCTGCAAGGTCTAACTTTTTAGATCCAACCCATCGGAATGCTCTCACATCTCCGCTTCCATAGACGGGGCCCGTCCAATCCCTCTTCCCCCATCCCCGAAAATAGTCCTTGGGATGCTACAGCTCTTCAGCCAGCCCAGCTTGTCCCCGAAGATGGAGTTCCCGCTCCAGAGATCCGACCGCGATCAGCCACCTCCGTTCCCTTTGCTCATGGCCATGGCCAGCCACCATTGCAGTCACCTTCTCAGGTAGCGTCACCTCAATCGCAACAGCAACCGCCTGTCTTGCCACCCATTGCGAGAATTTCTTCGGCCGACTCAGATTTATCAATCAATGTCGCGAACCTCGAATCAAATCCCCGAGAGGAGTCGAAACCGCTGCCGCGATCACCATACAGCGAGGATACTGGCTTTATCGGTGGATTGGCTTTGCAGAAGTATCGCCAAAGCCAAGAGCTATCGCGACCAGGGCCACCCGATAGAAAGACGAGCAATGTGTCAGAACCCCCAGTTTTCAATCGTCAGCCGCCACCTGCGAGACCTACCAAGGCTGCCTCTTCCTTTGTCACACCCACATCTCAGAATGTGGTCGCGTCAGGGAAAAGACCGCCGGGCGCTAGGATGACTTCGGAGCCGCAGACTTTGCAAACCCAACCGGCGCCTCAAGGTGCTCCCAGGGGCAAAAAGAGTCTGCCGTTTCTGAAGAACCCCATGTCGACGTTGTTAATGCGGAGGAAGACTAGTCAGAATATACCAGATCTTACTTTACCATTACGCGGCCACGACGACGAGCCTTCGTACGATCCTCGAATTAGGGGTACCCGAGTGCATGATTTTAGTGCTCCGCGGCCGAGAAAAGTTGTATCGAGTAGTGAGCACACGGCTTCAGTGGCTGAGAAGCCTCGCCAAGACACCGTATCACCTATCGTAGAGTCTCCTTCATCTTCCGTGGCAGCACCTCCGGTGCCTCCTAAAGATGGTACTTCCGTATCCACTAGAACATCGTCCACGGGTTCTCGGACATTATCGGTAGACACGGGGTCTATTCAGAAGTCTCGGAGTTCTAGAAATGGACAAATGAGTGTTATGTCTAGGAATGAGATGAACAGCCAGAGGAGAAAGAGCTCCGTCCCAGCATCAATCAGGTCGTTATCACGCAATGTATCAGAAGCATCTGCTCGTGACGTTCTTTCGTCCGTACCAAAACATATGAAGAGCACATCTTCCCGGTTCAGTTTTGATATGATTGGCGCAGCGAGGCAGGAAAAGCTATTGGAAGAACGTCATCGGCAACGAGAACAGGATAAGAAGATTGAGGTTCCTGCCCCCCGGGATTCTCGTTTCGATGACTTCGATGAAGATGCCTTTGACTATGACGCAATGGATTACGATGATGGCTTAGAAGAGCGGATACCAGGTGTAAATGCTGATCTAGACGAGTACGAAGAGGATCATTTCGAGGGCGTAGACGACCCCGACAATGATCAAGAAAACTTTGCGGGCTTTACTTTCCAGAGATCGAACCCCGTTTCCGAGCTAACGAGCCCTTATGGCACTGGACTATTACCTACCCCTAGGGATGCTGATGGTAGTGTCATTGGCTACGCCAAAACTGGGGAGACCCCGGATGCTCAGCTATCCCCTGACGCTTATCTTCAGGCCCAGATTGAGGCGCTTTCCAAACAGACTTCTGAACAGAATACCCCAACTGGACTTGGCATCCAGGGGCTTGAGGCTGCTGGGGGAGTACCGGAGCAAGTCTCATTTCAACAGCAGTCGCAGGAGCCTATAGCACAAAGAAAGCTTGATAAAGATGATGAGCTTTATTTTAATGATGGTCTAATCCATGATTTTGATGGAGAGGGTGACGGCTCGGCATTCGACGAGTCCATATTTGACCTGGATGACACCGATCAATATGGACGGCCTATCCCAGGACTGTTTGCCAGGGCATTGTCACAGAGAACAGGAAAACAGGAGACGGAGGATACAGAGGGGTCGAAGAGGCGAGAATCAGACATAACCTCCAGATTGTCGGCGCAGTCTGAACTCTCGCACTCCACAGCGCATACTTCACTCAGTGCTGACCTACAGTCCAAACCGACGGAAGCAGAGATCAACGAAGACCAGGTTCCACGCATAGAGGAGCGGCAGTCGTCCATTGCTGGCTTGCCTCCTGCAGACCAAGACCAAATAGCAGCCTATCAGGCGGCCCTTGCAGCCGCAGCTTATGAAGCCGCTGCTTCGGGCAAATTTCGAAGAGATTCATCTCCATCGTTGCCTACCGAGCTTACAGTGACATCCCCCACCACAACAGGATCCTCCTATCACCCACCCGAAGAGCTAGATGAACTCAATGGGTACGATTACGACAATGAGCTATCGTCGGGACTGGACGATTACGAGCTCGACGACGACGACATTATCGCAGAGGCTAACGCTAGTGCTCTGGCGAACGACTCGGATGGCTGGTATGGACAGGAATTCGGGTTTTATTCTGTACCAGCACCGCTTAACGTTCATCATAATACTAATAACACCAATGTGCTTAGCGAGAAAAACCTGTTCCATTATTCCCATGGTGGTTATTTTGGGCCAAGTGGTGTCAATCGCTCCACTTCCGGTCGCGTCGTTTCCCGGGAGCCGAATTTGACACCTATCACGGAACGCTCCGAGTACTCGAACCGAAATTCCATCATGAGTCTAGGAATACCTCAAAGCGCAAATCCGAACGCACCCTTGCAGAGTCCTGGTTTGGCTCAGCTGGCGATGATGGCCGACGACGATAATATGTCGCTATCCGCCCTGCTTCGCCTACGCTCTAGGGCCTGGGGTGGCTCCCAAGCCTCATTAGTGAGCTCACGCGACGGATCACCCAGTGATAGAAATGGAGCTACGAGCCCGTGGAATCAAGATCAGCATGGGTTTGCGCCTTCGCATGCTCGCAAGAACTCTACCTTTTCCATCATTAGTCAGGATTCAACAGGACCAGGTAGCGGTTCGGGCAGTCCTACACTGACCATGTCCATGTCAGGCCTTCCAAACCATGCTATCCCACCCCTCAGTATCCCATCACACTCCGATCCAACGTCTTCCGCATCTCCTGTCAGCGCGCCAGTCTTCTCTCCCATGCAACCATCTTCAGGTTGCCCACCCGTTTTCGAGGACGAGGAAGCAAGTCCCCTAACGGAGAAGAGGAAGTCGACTGGAAGCACATGCACGTCAGCGTCGGGTACATTACCGAGACCTTTTGCGGAGAATATGAGTCCTACGATAGGTGTGCCATCTCAAAGGAGTCCTAACATGGGTCACAGGCACAGAGGAAGCGCAGACAGCATATCATACACCAAAGAAGAGGATAGTGGCGAGACACGCTGGGTGATGGAGCGACGTCGCACTGCTGAGTCGGGAGAGATTGAGATCCTAGGCCGGCAAGTTGTGGACCAGGGCAGGATCTAGAGGTTTCTAAAGCGTCTTCCCGGCTGACAAGTGAATGTCTGGTAGCTACCTATGACATCTCTTCAGTTGAGTGATGGTAGTGGGATTGGCGTGGCATGCAGGTGGACGATATACGTGGCATGGTATATGGCTTGTATGTCCCACTTGATTACGGTTTCACGGCGTGTAGTATTAGGGATATCCAGGACTGGTAGCATAGATATACAATGGGTTTGCCGGAGTATAAAAGGAATTGCTGGTTTCTTGGAGTTGGATTTGGGAACTACACCTACCTAGGTTAGGTAGATACGGAAAGCAAACCGACTCGCTTTCGTCGCTGCATACCTTAAGTGCCTAGGTACCTGCGCGAGCCACTATAATAAGTATAATAATAATAATATCCTGGTTCCTGATGGGGATTATGCCTTGGAATGATGAAAGTGATAGTAAGACATTGGTATGGGAGCTTGGTATACCACCCTAACCTAAGTAGATTATAGAGGTGGCTGACGACTTGACATTCAATATAGTACCTATCTATATCTGTCCATACCTATGGATTAGTATGTTTCTATAATTTTGTCATCCGTACTGCCTATGTTCATGTCCATTTTTCCCACCCGTAGCCTTTACATAAACCTCATAGCCAACCCAACTCCTAGGCACATTCGCTGAATATCACATATACTGCACATCGCCCGCCCTATCTCCCTAACTCTCCGCCTCCTTGCCAAAATCATCACATTCTAATTCGGAGAAACATGAACCTGCCAAAACCTTCTCCAATCCCACCACTCCCCCCTTTCTTCTTCTTCTTCCTCCTCCTCCTCTTCCCCCTTCCCACCCTTCCCCTTCTCCCCCCGCCCCTGCCCCTGCCCCGGCCTCCAAACCCCAAACCCCCTCCCCTCATCCAGCTCCTCAAACTCCGCCTTCTCCTTCAACAGCCCCCTCGTCTCCCCCTCCCCTAACAGCAAAAACCACAAAAAGTCCTCCGTAACATGAACATACTGCCTCAGCCCCTCCCCCACCTCAATCCTCGCGCCCGTCGTCCAAGATAGCAGCCGCGGAAATAGAAGCGGCGCGTCGGTGACAGACGGGTGGGAAGTCCCGAGCGACGTCGCGAACCAGGAGGGCGCGCCGCGAAGGTTGGCGTTTTCGACGAGGTCGCGGACGGTGGCGAAGTGGGGGCGGCCGTAGAACAGTGCGCGGTTGCTGTGCGTGGTGCGGCTCCATGAGTTACTGTGGATAACCAGTATGGGCACCCTCACGTCGTCGTTGAGCCGGCCGCTCTGCTTCCCGGGGTCGAGGATCACGGCGCCGTGGAAGGGGCGGCGGTGGCTTGGCCCCCCGCGGAGCGCTTGCAACGCGCCGGTTGCGCCGTAGCTGTGGCCTGCGATGACCATGTGCTGGGTGTTGAGGCGGGCGGTCCAGCTCTCGAAGTCCCTGCCTTCCCCGCCACGGGCATTCGAGGCGCGGACCTGCTTTCCGTGGCCGTCGTTTATTCGGCGGAGGACAGACACCACTTCTTCGATCTCGGCCTCGCGGAAGTCGAGCTGTGCTTTTTTGAACTTCTCGATCGAGACTTCTTCTCCCCCTACCCCCTCACCGTCTACCGACGCAGACGGGTACTCAACCTCGTCCGCACGGAATGTCAACCTCACCTTGTCCGCTTCACCCCGCCGCATCACCACCGTCCCCGGACACGAGCCATCCCTGTGCTCAACCAGCGCAACAACACACCCGCGCGACGCCAGCTCGCCCGCGTAGTGCGTGTAATCGGTGCGGCTGCTCGCCATGCCGTGTGAGAAGACGACGACGGGGAACCCTTCGCCTCGGGCGACGATGTTCAGGACCTTTTCCATCTCTACTTCCACCTCCTCCTCCTTCTCTTCTTCTTCCCCTTTCCTTCCATTTCTCCCCCCCGCCGACCGAGGTTGATCCACACCCCGCCCCTCCCCCACATCCGCAAGCGGGACGTCCACGCTCGCCGGAATCTCCACGCCGCCCACCAGCACCTTCAGCGCGACCTCGAACAACTTATCGACGAAGGGTAAGAAGGCATCAGCACGCGCGAACCTGGCGTAGCCCCGTGCCGTGGCGGATATCGGGCTGGCGACCCAGGGGTGGTGGTGGTGGTGTTTCTGCTTCTCCCCTTTCTCCTCGTGCCTGTGGGAGGAGACGGCGCGCGTGCCCGCGGGATAGTACAGCGAGAACAGCACCGTCTCCAGCGCAAACGCACTGTCCCCGCTTCCCTTGAACCGCGCCCCGTCGCCAACAACCCTCGCCTCGGCAGCCGGCACCTCGACGTCCACTGTCCCCACCGCGTGCGGGCCCGTGTACGCGGGGAGCACGCCCGCGACGAAGAGGGGGGTGGGGAATATGATGGGCTGGGATGCGGTGGAGCAGTACACGAAGTAGAGCGCTGCGGCGGAGCAGGCGAGGTGGCGCCATGGTAGTCGTGGTCGGAGGATGCGGGGGGGTGGTGGCCTGGGTGAGAGGAAGGAGGGTGGTGGTGGTGGTGGTGCGTCTGGGAATGGCTTCATCTTTGCTTGCAGGATTAAGATGGTAACCTAGGTGTTTTGTTGGTTTCAATTCGTTCATCGATACGTACAGTATCTAGATGTAGGTTATCAAGTCATGTTCCGAAGAATGGGATGGGTTCAAGTGGCTGAGCAAATATATACATACTAGGTATCTAGGACTGGAATTCATTCCAAGAATAATACGTACATCCGATGATGATGATGATGTATAAACCCCCACCTGTTACGCAAGTGGCTTCTACAGTGTCTGAGCTGTGAACCGTTCGATGAGGTTAGTACATTCTAAGCATTCAGGTTTTAAGCCAATACAAGTAAATAAATTGAATCCAATATTTAACTCTCTTAGAGTCAAAGCCGTCGGCCCTGTCAGTCTGTTTATGTGGAGGTGACGCCATCTTGGAATTCTTTAGCTTGGATGTTCTTGTAGGTATTGTGCCTAACCTAGGCAGCTTAGAGCCGGCTACGCTACCTACTAGTTTTCTCAACGGTGCGGTTCAGTTATATAGGTAACAGCATGCCTACTGACCCTACCCAACCCATGGAAGCCTTAATAGATATATGTACTTATTTCTGAAAACTTTTCGAGTTTAGGTACCTAGTTAGTAAAGTTGACAAAGTTAGCATAGCAGCAAAGGACTGGACAGTATCTAGGTACCTACGGACATATTTCTCGTGCCGTCAAGGCAGCTTAGGTTATTCACCGGCCAGTAATCTCTCACTACCTATGTCAAAATGGTTTATTTGGGGTCGGTATGCATATTTCGATACTTCTAGAAGGGATAAACAAAATAGATATATATTATTTTCAGCATAGCAGAGGAGATTTATCCGATAAATATTTAGGCACAGACGCAAGCACACCCGCAAACACATTCACACCCCACACCCCACCTCTACGCAGGCACCTTCATAACACTGATCGTAACCTTATTCGTCGTGCTCGGCGGCAGCCTCCCGCCCCCCGCAATCAGCAGCGAGCTCGGGTCCTCCTGGAACACGCGCAGCGACCGCGTGTACGACGCCGCCTCGGGCGACGCCACTTTCCTCCACGCGCCCTCGGCCCCCAGCGCCGTGTTGACGTAGATGTCCGAGCAGCACCCGGAGGACACCACGATGGTGCCGTTGACGCCGCCGGCGGACGACCAGACGACGTAGGGCGAGCCCGTCGGCACCGTGCCGTCCGTCGTGCGCAGCAGGTGGTGCGCCGCGGCGCCGATCGCCTCCGGGTCGCTCGACAGCCGGTAGTAGACGGGGAACGTGCCGGAGTTGGCCGGGTTCGGCCCGCCGCCGTACTCGTACAGGTAGATGTACTCGCCGTTGGGCAGCAGCGCGAGGGTCGGCATGCCGGGGCGCTGGCTGTAGGTCGGGTACGCGACGTCGTCGACGACGGGGCCCCAGGTCAGCAGGTCCGACGACGTCTGGTGCACCAGCTTCTGCCCGTGCGCCGGGTCCCGCTGGTCCGAGTAGTAGTAGATCAGCTTGCCGTTGTGCAGCAGGAGGAACGGCTCCCAGACGGGCGTGACGCCGTTGTTGGGCTGCGCCTCCCCGCCGGCCGCCACGTGGCTGAGGAACTTCCACGTCTGGCCGCTGTCCTCGGACGCGTAGAGGTCGAGCTGCGTCGAGGAGAGGTCCGTCGGGATGGAGGACCCGGCCAGCAGCACGGTCCCCGCCTTGAACCCGGCGAAGTCCTCGGGCAGCACGTACAGCTCGGGCTGGTAGCGCAGGCCGTAGCCGTACCCCTGGTCCTCGACGCGCGAGAGCTCCGTCCAGGTGGCGCCCTTGTCGGTGGACTTGTAGACGGGGAAGTAGACGGCGGGGGGCTCGGGGCTGTAGTTCTCCCAGGTGGCGAGGAGCTCGTCGTTGGGCAGCTGCGCCGTGCGCGCGTACAGCACCCGCGGGTCCTTGTAGTCCGAGGGCGGCGTGAAGATGACCACCCGCGAGAGCTCCTTCACCTCGGACGAGTCGGACGTTTGGGGGAGCGCGGTGGCGGGGAGGGAGAGGAGGGCTAGGCTCGCTAGCAGTTGTTCGTAGAGCAACATTTTTTTTTTAAGGCTTCGCTACCTTGGGTAGGTAGGACGGACACAGACGGGCAGGTGGTGATGATGTGCAATTCGATGGAAGTGATCTTCACGTTGGAGATCTTCCCGCTGCTGCTGAATATATGTAAGGCACCTAGGTAGGTAGGTAGATAAAGTAAGGTACCATCTCCAAGTTATATATGCATACCGATACCTGCCTAGTTTGCAATATAGGCGCATTGCGGTTAAAAAGTAATGCATCCATACCTGCCATAACATGATGCCACATGCGACTCGCTATTCTCTCCGCCGAAAACTACTCCGCACAAAGCGAATCAAGATCTTTTTCTCCCATGCTACCCCGGATTTCAACTTAGTCGACCCAATCATCGATCTCCCCCCAAGACGAACTGGGTAAGGGGGGGGGGGAGCCTAGACCTACGCTGATTTACGGATTTTTCTCTCTCCTGAGCTGGTACATGGACATGACCTGAGGGTCTTACTATGTAAAAAAGCACCATCAAGGGTGGTATTTCATCATCTAACCTTAACCTGCCCATATTCCATGCCAACCCCAGCCTCCGATGGGATGGGGTAACGGAGCCATACCCCTTTTTCGTTCTCCTCTTTTCCCCACACGTGCCTACTACATATGTACATGTATGTAAAATGGGCCACCAAGTTCTTTGTCTCCAAAACAAAAAAAAATAGCTCCCCCATTGCCCATGCGCACCTATGGGGAGGTAAATGGATACGCCAAGTTCGACGGATACGAAGAAAACCCACTTACATAAGCTATTTATATTCAGCATCTCCAGCCGACCAGGTTAGCTAGTTCAGCTCAGCCTTCGATACCCATGCCTTAAGGGGGAACTGATAGACATAGGGGATTAACAGGATAACTAAGGTCAGCTCCCCGATAACTAGTGTATTTACGTCTGAGGATGTCACGCGGATGTTTGACGGCTTTCATAACCTTTACCATAACCTGGCCGAAAATAGCTTCGTAAAGTCAGACATGACCAGATTTACGGTATAATAACATGGGGGGCCTCAGCTATATATATGCCCAAGCGCTGACCGATAGTAGCTCCACCGAACATATAACGATATGCTTGTTAGCAATTAAGAATTCCGAATACGCGCGGAAGCGACGGCACTTTGCCTATGGATAGCAACCAGGTACCTACCTACCTACCTACCAACCTGGCCATATAGCACCACAACTCATAGATATTTCAGATAATCAACAACAAAGATTCAACAAACAAAGTCGTAAATGAATTCTAAACACCTAGCAAGAAACAAATAATAGGTCTTTACTATGTACATAAACAGAAAGAACATGAAAACATGGATGTACAACCCACATCTCACTCAATATTGAACGAATGATTTGCCATAGTTAATTTGATTTTGGATTCTCAACCTTGGCCTTGGGAGTGGGATGAATTCAACACACGAAACACGGCGTTGACTTGGAACAGCCAGGCATGATTTACCCAGCGCAAAGCTTGGGTCGTACATATTCCTGGATCTCATACAAAAGCTACCTTATACAATACGCATCTACCACAGTAGAGCCCATTACACGGTACAAATGTATTGCGTTGTGCTTCCCCTTACGCATTCTTGCGTTACCCCCTCCTCCCCGAAAAAACATCCCACACAAACATACAATCACCTCGTTAAAAGCCTGAACTTTTCCCTTTGACCTACGAATTGCCATTCGAAGGTATGCCAAACCTCTCCTGCTTTTGTAGTCCAAACAATTGCATCCACAAATAACCGGCCCCCACCCACTCCCCCCTTTTTCTCTCGTAGTTTGGCCTAACCGGCTCATCCCCAAGGCGATATGTATGTGACTCAAAACACATGAGTCCACAATAGAAGTTGTAAGGTCGTTCCCATTTCCTTGCCTATAAACGCCAGTATCTGATGCGATACCTCAAATGAACACCAACCAAGTGTCCTAAGCCCCAAATGCTTCGTAATAGAACTCAATAAAGACGCAGAAACAACAGGGGTATCAATAAATGTGATGAAAAAATAATGAGGTGACGGTAATACTAGTAGTAAATATAAGGGCGAATAAAAGTAATGGTGGTACTAGTCGTGGAACAGCGATTCCGCGACAGGAAAATCAAATAGGTATGTCGTTATGTAGAAAGAGGAAAAGTGTGGTTGTTGTTGTTGTTGCTGTTGCTGTTGCTGTTGCTGTTGTTGTTATTGTTATTGTTATGACGGTCTCTTGATATCCAGCCAAACAAATCACCCTTTTGACCGGATGGCGTCGACTCAGTTGGAGTCCTCGTACTCAGAAAGTTTTCTCTCGGCTCAAGCATCAAACTTTTCCGGTAATAACTAACTTGGACGTTGCCTTGGTCGGATTCCTTTACCAGGGCAATCTTGGCCTGAATCCATTCCTGCATGTCAGGAACTTCCGCGAGTCTATACGGGATTTGAAATCGTTGTAGTTCGCCGATAATTTTAGCCGTTCGCGTATGCTTGTCGAAGTTGATCACCGTCAACCCATTGTCGTCCGACCCAGCGCTAGGTAGCTGTTTTGTGGCAGGGTTGCCGATGTCCACAAAGGTAAGATCGGTCAGGAACATGCCAAGGAAGGGCAGACATGGGGGAACGTGACCTTGGAGGCGTGCTCGAAGGACTTTGTTGTTACTGGCAGGTTCGACTATAGCTTGCAGGGACTTTAGCATTTCGCGTCGTTTGAGGCTGACGAGCTCCCAAGTCTTGCGCAAACGACTGATGACCGAGTTGTTTAAGCTACACACAATAGCCATGAGGCCGTCGTAGTTGTTAAGCTCAAGGCATTGATGTGCAATCTTGATCCATTGTTTGATGACCACGGCGCGCTTTTTCACTTCTGGATATTGAAGGATAGTGTCTGCTACGAGGTTGGATAGATCGGTAGAAAGCCCGGACATCGCTTTTACATTCGGCGAAGCCGCGCCATTCTTCTTCATCCACTGCGAACCCAACAGCTCCTCGGGTAAAATGGAACAGAAGATGTTCATTTGCCGAAGAGTTAGTTGGCGAGCAATTTCAAGGGGCTCAAAATCGAGAAAAGAAGGGAGACTGCCGCCTGATTTCCAATTGTTGAGGAGACCCTGTTGACTTTTGGATAGAATGGGATGGGGAAGAGGCGTATCCACAGGTATGTATTGAGAAATCGAGGTACTTGTCTTTCCCATGGAGGACACAAGACGCGGAACGAGGGAACCAGTCGTAGAGGAAACTCTGAGTGAGAGTTCCATGATTCGTTTTCCTGCCGATGGCAGAAGAGGCCCGAGCTTGAACTCAGCGAAGCTCTGGATATGTGGTAGTGCTTCATGGTCAGTAGCGTCACGCCAATGAGACTCCATCCACCCCTTTAGAACGTTATATACTCGTAGTCTGACAGGGCTCGCGGTATTGGGGTTTTCGCCCACATAATCGAACCGCTCAACAAGGCTCTCAACCAACTTGATGGGCGTACAGAAAAGTCGGAAGGTTAGGTAAAAGGCAGACACAAACATGGCGTCCGGTGTTGCTTCGTGTGTTGTGAGGCGTTCAACCAAGGCAGAGAGCGAGCCACCAGTAATTTGCCCCTCCTTGTTAAACATCAGCTCGTGCGCAAACGTCTTCTCCAACAGTTTTGACTCAAGCTCATCAGCTTCCTCGCTCATATTAGAGCTGCCCGCAGTGCTCAAGTCTGATAGAGAAGGTTGGGCCTTCGGAGCGAGAGTAATGTCTGGGGTAGTGGCGCGAGTTGAAGTGTCAGACACCATGCTAGATTCCGAATCGCGACTGAGATACGTGCTGTTGCTTCCGGAGCTAGAAGCGGTACCCGTATCGGAGCGGAACGAAGTATGAAACTCGCTGTCGTGTGAAGCCTCTGTTGTGGGGCTGTACGGGTCTTCCGGCGGAAGTGATGTAGTAAGCTTCGGTAACGCTGGCAGTGAAGGCCGGATGGATGATACGGAGGATGCCATACTCGAGGCAGCATCATCAATAACCATCGATTGCGGACGAGAGGCTGTTGGGGAGGCATCCGTCGAATCCCGTCGCTCTTGCTCTTGTTCGTCCACGGGGACCTCGGGGAGGGGCTTGTCGATCGACGAATTGACCGAGTGCGTGGGCCTATGTGACGACGGTTCGGACGGTTTGGCGTCCGATATGGTTGACTCAGCGGGTGTTCGTGGCCGACTATCCGTCACGGCTTCGAATACGCCTAAATCGATGCCCAAGTTTCCATTATCGGACTCGAATTCGAAATCGCCTATTTTTTCCAAAACCCATTTCGTTTTCGCAACGCATTCGCCTGCTGCCTTTACACATCCGGTCGCGGCGAATAGAAGCCGGCTATTATCTTGAGGCATGATAACATCTTCACCATCAGGTCCTTTGTTGCCCAGTATTTCGCGGGCCGAATAAACTAAATCTCGGATCCGATCGTACATAGCGACGCGTGACTGTCCCAACGTCTCCGAAACAGACGTGTTGTGATCGCATATCGCGTCAATCACGGCGAAAAGGTCCCCGCCAGAGATAACCGAGTGTTTGATGGCAAGGGCCAGCTCCGGTCGCGATTGAGATTGGACGTGTAACCGTCCAATAAAAGAACCCAAGTGGGACAAAAACGTATCGTGACAGGAATTGAGCCGCTCCGAAACAAGGTTCTGCGATTGGGAATGGGACAATGACGAAGGACCGGCTAGAGACACTCTGTGTGATATAGTGGCCGACATTCGATGCCCATGGGAGGGGTTGATTTGAGACAACCGATTATTTGTCGCGTTGGCAGGCGAGTAAACAGAAGATAGACGCTTGTTGGTCGGTTCCCCCGTTTGTACACCTTCGGTTACTGGTGGCGCCAATCCACTTGTACATCCTGCGTTGGCATCCGTTCGGGTGGATGCAGCTTGATCATCTTCTTGGCTATTGTCGAATGCAGTCGACTCCATCGGTGGCGTCGGTGGAACAAACGATTCTTCAATAACTGTCGCCATTACTGTTACTGCCCGTGCACGTAACCGCCTATCTTCCTCGATTAGGTCAAGAAATCTAACACCTTTAACGACGATCTTGAACGCCTTCAAGATCATCTCATCAATGATGTCATTTACTTCTTCAGTAGTTTGGGAAAATCTCAACATTTCTTGTAGTCGTTTCGCGGTTTTTACTAGAGACGAGAGTTCAGAGAGGAGAGATTTCCTTCCTTTCCGTAAACTCTCGCTTCTCTGTATTGTAGCTGATTCGCGTGTTAAACAATGACTCCGCTCCTATGAAAGAGTTAGCTTTCGTATATCACAAAGACCATACAATGAGTGCGACTATGTTGGGGTAGATCTCACCAAGAGATAGCGCACACCGGCTATAATGCCTTTCATAAACTCCTGGTTGCCAAATATGTCTCGGTCATTTGTCGCCGCGCTCCTTAGCAGATCCCAAAAATTCAAGAGCGCCTTGAGTAGGTTTCTCATCTCATCCGGGTCGTACGCCTCGCAATAATTCGTCGGTAACCATCCCCTCGCACCGGATACTAGCAAAGTTCCATCCGCCCATCCATTGGTGTGGATAGAATGAACCAAGACTACATCTCCTTCATTTAGTGGTAAAGTGACCGTCGAATCTGTCATGGCATAGTTAGGCTGAAACGGGTAAAAGGCCCGTAGGAAATTGTGGAATATAGGATTTGACGGTGTCTCAGGAACCAATTCTTCCTGAGAATCATTGGGGGTTGATGGGGGGGTTATTTGCGACTGTGAGTATAGATGTGCAGATGTCGCTGTTGCTGAAACATCATCCAGCGCGCTCTCCGCCGCATTTTCGGAACGGGACTTGTTGATTGCGAGGGGAGCAACCTGAAGGCTCGCTCGCATGGGTTGGTCATCCAGCATCATGATTGCTGTAGGCCTGCGCTGTAGAGAACCATGGGAACAAGGTGTTGCTGTTACTTTCGCAACAGCCGCGATTAGGAGAGGAGAGGCCCTAACTCCTTAGAACGTACAATGACTTCTATCTTCCGGGTTGTTCTGCACGTTTTCGAGCGCCTATAAGGTTCTGGCTGGCATAAACGATATTGGCTAGGCGTTTCTCGGATGCCGAATTTGGATGATGCGAGAAACGCGACTGTGTGAGTAGTAACGGCGTTACGATGACGAGGGTCTGTGTAAGTAAGATGGACGTCAGCACGGAATCGTTTGTTATTAGGAACAGGCGCGAGTAAGGTAATGTGAAGACATGACTCGAAATGGAATGTAGGGAGATCAGATTAGATGTTATCGGATTCTACATGAAATACATGAAAGGAGGAGCTAGGAATGCTTAGGGTATGTTGACGTAGAATTTCAAGCATTTCCCTCCCTATGACGAGCTCCCTTCAATTGAGTGAGAAGGTATAGTGCGGATTGTGCGGAGGAACGTAGGAGATACCTTCCCCCGTTGCACGATGCGGGATAAGAGGTCGGAAAGGAGTTATGCTAGTATGCGTACCTCGTGGATTTCGATGCAGCAACCCGGTAAACGAGACCAAAGCCTTCCGATCCTTTTCTTTTCGTACGAATGGGAAAGGCCACGATAAAATAAATCACCAAATCACTTTTTCGGTAGACCTTTGCTCGTATACCCAAGGTTCAAAGAGAAAACAAGGCAATGGCAATTCCAATTCCAATTCGGGGTTTCCAAGCTGGTAGAGATGTCGAGGTTGAGTGAGGATTTACGAGACCCAGCTGGCAATTCCACCAATCCTCCAAAATAACTTCCAATTCTGTGGTGTTCTTTCGTATTCGATTTATTCGGTTTATTCGGTTTCTTCGTCGTCCCTTCGATTGCCAATTATATGTTGTTTTTGAGGGTATTTGAGGGTATTCTGAATGCAAGACCAAGTTCAAATTCAAGCGCAGTGGAAAGGTGACACTACAACTAGTTATTCGAGCTCGACTGACTGACGTCTAGGTTAATGTACTGTATTAACGCATTCAAGTGGGGACGGCTAGAGAAAAGGTAGACCAAGTAGACAGATGGAAAGATGGATAGATAGAAAAGAGGGTAAAAGTGTTGTATTGTACTCTCGGACCCGTGCGATCGTTGAGTTGCGTTCTGTGCAGCCGCGATTATCAGACTTACAAAATCAAGCCGAGCTTGTGTAAGTGGGCGCAATGTATGAAGGAAAAGAAATGGTAGGACAAAAAACGCAGATACGGTAAGGTATGTAGGGGGAGATGCAGGAGAAAAAAAAGAGATACCAATGCGCTCTTGCTCTTCTATGCCCTGCAGCACTGCAGCCCTTGGCTCTATCAACTAGTACACTATTCTCTTATTACCCACGTTATTGGCCCTGGCCGTTGCAACCCCCCATGCAGCTATGCCTAACAAAGACTCGGCAACGTTTTTATTAGGCATGGTGGACCTGCGAGCCGGGAAAAGTACGTACCTGCAGGGGTGGGGGAGGGGGTGTATTCAGGAAAATACAACGTCCCCAGGGTTATTACATAAGGGTTCTACAAGGTACTAGGTTGTACTGGGAGACACCCTAGCAGTTAAAGTACCTACGTACCTAGCTACTAGTCGCAGTAGCTTCAATGTTGTCTAGGTTATTCGATGTTGGAACTTGACGGCGGACCCTTCCTCGAGCTTTGGTTGCAAAACCTGCTAATTTGACACCTACCCACGACGTAGCATGGGTTGAGGTTCAGGGTAGGACCTCATGCAGGGGTATCATGGGTGGAATCTTGCAGGGACTCCGGGGCACCCCCAGTTGATATGAGATGGGCCATGTACTATGTGGTACAGTAACGCATACTGTACCTAAACTTCCAACTTCGAAGCTTTTCTTCAAGTTACGAGCTTTTGAAGTGTCTTACACAGCCCAACATGATATCTAACTTAGCTTCTTTGAGCCCTATGTATTTTACCTCGTTGAGCAACAATGAAATGAATGCCTACTACAAATGGTAACTACATGTAGTTTCTAGAACCCCTATCCGCTCAGGAATGATGACACATATATCCTCATATAAGCCATCTTACGCCATTGGCAAAGCTATACACGTTGTGGCATTAATTTTGGGAAATGGCTGCGAATAGCGTCTCTTGAATTGATTCCTTAACATGCTTTGGTGAGTAGTGGTCATGACCTAGGTAGGCGCAAATCCCGGGAGTTCCGTACCAGCCTACTCAGCTGTTGTAGGTTTTAAAGAAGCTTTGAAATCGAAATAATGCGTATGTTTTGTCTTCAAGCCAATAGAAGTTCAAGCAGAAAAGGGATGGATGGAGCTTGGGCTTTGAGAGCATTACGATCCCAAAAGCCTAGAGGGTTGGGTGCATTTGACTTATATTATCATGTTAGAGGATGATTCGGTGGTCTCAACTCCGTCCAATGCCGAATACTGTAATACTCAATGAGCAGCACCATAATCATATATTTGTGGCTCGTCGTATCCTGTTACTGTTTGTATTGTCGGGTTTTTGGATTAGCGTACCAAGCTGAGAGAGAATGTGGTTGGATGTAATCACCCCAGCGGATCGTACCGCCCTTTGAGAAGAGAAAAAGATCGAGATGGTAGATCCCGTTGAGCCACTGGGAGCTTGTCAGCGGGAAAATGTTTTTTGGCAAAGGCAAGGAAGACTTTTCCCCGTCCGAATTTCATACTGAAAAATGGCATGCCATGCAATGGAACGGCGTAGGTCGGTCATTGTGAGGTTGACGTATTTATCTATCTCGGTTATTAATAAGAACAAGATGGAATTACCCGCGAACCTTAGCTACATAGTAGTGCTACGTAAGTACAGTACATATCCAGGGATCACAAACGTTGAATATAGTAAAATCATCGTACCAGCTTGAAGCCCTAACATTAAAGTTACTACTCACATATCATCTGTAGGCACCTTCCTAACAGCATTGGACATCCAATCATTACTAGGTTACTTGAATGTATGTACGATAAGTACCTAGTAGTATGGTACCTCAACTACATACTCCAACACTTCAACCTCATAATCTCGCAACCTATAATAGATTAAATCGTATTTATATTCAGATGCTGGGATATCAACCCTTCAAGTCGTAAGACTGTTCTTTTTTTTTCTACCTCACATCGATATCACACTACCCACATGTGCAATTGGATGTATACCTACCTACATATAGGTAGACACACATATAAAGATATGGCTATTGCTGTGCCCAATAGAAAAACACACCACATACGGCCCCTTGCTGCATGAACGCAGTGCGACGTTTAACACAATATCGTCTAGACCCGTCGTATAGCTCCCGCTGAAGAGAATGAACGCCATTTTCTCATCCCACATTCTCATCTTTCCAATGATCTTCAGGGACAGCTTCAAAAGGGTCCAGATGATTATGAATTGTTCAATAAGATCGTTCCCCGGTCACACGCGGCATTATACTTATTCCCATCACCAATAGCCTTCTCAGAGAACCTCTTTCAGAGTCCACCCCGAAGTCCGACTCATCGCCATATAGGTGTTTCTTAAGAGACCCCTCCTGATTAGCTACAGACTTCTGAGGCTTGCATTATCACCACCATCATCACCATCTTGGCAGGAGGCCAGTTTCTAATAGTTCACCCGCTGGCTTCCTAATCAACCTTGGGTAGCAGACTGAGGCACATCGCCACCGGATCGAAATCATCTATGTATCTAACAGAATGGCTTCGACCATTAGCATTGGCCACCTTACGAATAAACTCGTTGGCGGGATGGCACACGAGCCACACCCACAAGTAAGCAACCAATCGTGTCCACCGGCTTCTTTACTACATCCAGGACGCATAATATCGTTATTATTATAACATATACCTACAAGTAACGGTTCAAGGATTCCTTGTGATAAGTCCCGAGCCCCAATTAAGCTTTGGGTTGCCAATGCAAGCCTCTCCCATTTTCACCGGCGAGGAACTTGGGAGCATCGAATTCGCCACGCTCGGATAGCTGCCAAAAATGTGCCTTCTTCCGGATGGCTGATAGCTCGATAAGTAGGTAATGTATTATGCGAAAAAAAAAAAGGTTCCGGCGGTCCACTTACTTCCGAATTCGATATCTTCCCGTAGGATGTAGCTCAGGTAAAAAGTCTTCGTCATTATGCTTAAGGCATAACACTAACACAGGCAGAGGTATTGACGCAACACCTACATGTCTACGAGGCAAGTAGCTAGGGTGTAAAAACTGCCAAAATATCAACTCAAGTGATGGAAAGCACCTGTGAAATAAATGGCCAAGCCAGCCTATTGAAAACGAAGTCTTATGGCGTCTTTAATTGTGTGCAGCTCGTATCTGCATTGAGGCTGCAAAATAGTCCATTCTGACCCAATGGCAGCAAGTAGAGGGGTGAACGATAGCTAAATCTTGAACTAGGTACAATACAGAGCTCGAGGTTTTATCGTCAGCGCAGTCATGTTGTGCCCCGCGGTGCAGATCAGCTCGGCGAATACAGAGGTAGGTCCTTCGTTGGAGCGTCCAGCCGTGCCGCAAAGCTCGCAGCAGTCACACGAGCCCCGTTGGATCGCTTGGGTGCATGAGCCAGTAAAAGACCCTGGCCAGAATACTCGAAGCATTGACCACAATGCCATATGAGAGCTTTCAAGCCAAAAGGATCAAATTGTGATTACGAGCAACCACGCCTATACCTTATTCGGATGCCAATCCGGGGAGTAGACCCGAGAATCCTCCAGAATTAGCAGAGCAGTTTATGTACGTATGATAACTATGTACATATCTACGCGCCTTGTATGTACGTTCTTACTACACTATGTCGTACGTACATATGTTATACTGATATACTTACTTCAGTGCGTGGTCTGTACCTAATGATTCTAATGAATAAACACGATAACGTCACTTCCAGGGCTCTGGCGCACAGTCTGAAGAAGCTGGAGGTCAACTAACTAATGGCTACATATAGTATATACTAGGTACCTAATCGAGCAGCGCTAATATCGGGCCAATGCAATTACGAGCTTGGAAGGGATTCAAGCATTAGGTTTGTGCCGGAACTCGAGAGCTAGTCTGAATTCTCGGAACTGTTAAGACAAAAAGGTAGAGACGCAACAACCATTTCGCAACTGATGAATTGGGCTACGAAGTTCGGACAGGTAAACATCCATGCCCAAATCTCACTTTCTTACAAAGTCCACAACGTTTAAGACACATCCGATGAAAATCATGACTGTTGAACTGCCTCGGCATGTGAGAGAATAAGCTACCAGTCTGTGCGTTTCCTTCCTATTTACACGCCCCCAAGTGGTCAGAAGAGCTTGAGCCATTCGTTCCTAGAAATTTACAGCTCATATAGGTAATCCCCCACCTGCCTATCTGAACAAAAGATCGATTTTGAAAAAGAGGTCTTTCTTGCTCCACGCCGCCGGAATAGGTTCCGGGAATTGAGATGCTGACTATGGAGCGGGATAAATTCGTTACGCCATTTCGAGAAGAGGGCCTATCCTTGAAGATCTCATCCGTCGTGGAGCGGAATCTAGGTATTGCTCACATTAGGTACATGAGCTCGTGCTCAAGTCTCGGCGTACCTCACACTGGCTCACAGCCTATAAGGTAAGTGGGTATTCTATTAGAAGGTGGATGGCTGCTAGGTGCCTGAATTCCCACCGTGATTATTGAGCTTGGGGAGCTTGGGGAGCTTGGGGAGCTTGGGTACCTGCATTTTCTTTGTATTCTTGAAGTTCTATTTTGACCATCTCGAAGGAATCAGCCGGTTACCCTACCAACCTAGGGTTTTCTCTTTAATTCTAACATGATGGTCTTTGATGAACTAGGTTCATCCTAAGATACAGAGCGACAAGGTTAAGGGTCAACAATTTACCATCGCATGAGACTTCGAATTCGTCTCATACGATCTATCTTGATTGCCTATTTTATGTAGGTACAAGTACCAACTCATGTGCTTCAATATCCGATCTCCTGGGACGCGCATCTGTCCATCTAAATTTGGCCGAGGACCAACAAAAAGTTTCCAAATATGTACTGTACGACGGCTTTTAGTTACAGCTAATCGCATCTCGATTCTTTTTGGGGATTTCTTTTTTTTTGTTTGGAAGCTTGTTAATTTGACGAGATTCAAGGGACGGGCTGGGGCTAACCAAGCACTTGGGCCTTCAACGCCCTGTGGGGTTTTAATCAACTCGTGGCAAACCTCAGGGAGCTTGCAAGGGGCTTCCCAAGATTTTAATATCCAATCTAGCTACCTACCTACCCAGGTTGGCAGGTTAGACACAGACAAAAAGCCAGCTGCTTTCCTGGGAATAGCAGCATTATTGGAATTTGGAACGTTTTTTTTCATCCCGCCTAACCTTACCGGTAGTATTTTCTTATTCTTGCACCGCACCCAAAGATGGCATCATGTCGTGTGCGATTATTTCCACATAGAAGACAATGTTTCAGTTTCAAACGTGCGAGCCACAAACTCTTTAGTTTCCTACATACATAGTAGACAGTAGACTTCGTAACAGGTGGTACGATTATCTACGCGTCTTTGCTGATTAATGGAAACAGAGCGAGCGCCCTTTTAGTAACAGCACAAGCTTCTTTTTCGTCGTTTTCGTTCTTCAAAGTTATTTTTCTTAAACTTGGTATGTGCAACAGTTCTCGGCTTCTGTACGAAAGTTCGAGCCGCTAGTTAGTTAAAGGAAAACACCCGAAGCACGGATTCAAGGTTAACTGACTTACATATTCGTACCTAACCTACATTATGTAGGTTGAGCTGATGTAGGTTAGGGTAGAGGCCCCAACGAACCTAGGTTTTAAGCATCTCTTTTAACCCCCTAAAAGTCTAGCGTGGACGTACCGGTTAACCCTTCCGTCCCCATTTCAAGACCGAAACTAGTTAATTATCACCAGATTTTGAGATTCTAGACTCTTTTCTTTTATTCCTTCCCCTTGTCTTGTCTTGTCTTGTCTTGTCTAAGGTTGGGTTGTTAATGCCGTCCGTTCGCTCGTCCGTTGCAAGCAAGTTAGGTTAAGGCAATGAATGAGACAAATGGCCAATCATCCCGAAGACCTACCTAACCTACGATATTCTAACCAACATCATATATACTGTACTTACTACTAGTCCAGGCCATGACATGACGTGGGGCTACGTTAGTAGCTATAGTGTATACACCGCGAAGTAAGGCAGCGGAACGAGGCGAGCTGCCGTCGCTTAGCTAGTCGACAGACTATTATATTACTATCTATCATATGAAGCTAGCTAATGTCCGTCTGTGGCTGTCAAGTCAACGGAGAGGCGGGATGGTGGAAGCCACCGATAAAAAAAACAGAGCGAGCGCATCGGGGTGAAGTGGTCATGTGGCTTTTGGCCAATTTGCACGAACAAACGAACGAACGAACCGTTGGTCATTGCTCGCCTCGCCGTTGAGCTACCTAATCCCCTTAACTTGAACCTCCTAACCTAGCCGAGAAGAAGAAAAGGTTACGGTTAGTCAGTCAGCGGGAAGCGGGAAGCAGATTTGATTGATTGATTGATCCTCACGAGGAGTTGCCGTTTCGAATGCTTGGCCATTTCCGCTTTGGTCTAACTTACCGTGTATGTGTGTATGTGTGTATGTCACTGGCTCCTAGCTATGGCAGTTCATACCTACATATACAATATCAACTAGGCATATGAAGTTCTTCCCGTGTGCAAACCACGGCTCCGGCAATGCCGTGTCAACTCTGAAGGGCTGAATGGATGATCGGCTTCAGGGATATTCTAGTGTGTATTCGACCACGTGCATGAACGCAGGTGCTGATTCCGAGATGGAGAGATCATACATAGCCTGTTTCGCATTTCTATGTCACGGCAACCGAGAAGACTAGAGAGAGGAATAGGGAGGCAGGGAGAGAGAAAGGGAGAATTGGCAAATACTCTAGAAGGCAATCAGTAGCACCGTACTCCTCTCTGATTCCGAATTCCGATGGCGTTGAACGACATCAGTTATTAGACTGCCTGTCATGTTCGTCGCTTAGATGTTGGTGTTAGCTGGTGTGAGTCGTTAGTAGCTAGCGCTCGAAAGCTGACCCGGCTCGGCTTGCCTTGCCCTGCCGCTAGCTAGACTTGACTTGACTTGACAAACAAGCTTGCATATGAACCCTTCACTCAATGTGTTGGCTTATGTCTTGTCTTACCTTTGCCGGCTTGGGGACTGCTGATGAGAGAAGAAAGGGGTGATTTTAGGAATGGCTTCCAGGCAGGTACTCACATACCGGCATACGTAGTATCTACTGTATCTTAACCTAGGTTAATAGCAAGTACCGCACCTGGGTAAAAAGCAATATCTTCACTAAAAAATTCAAGCCGTCCATTTGAAACATCTGATCTTGTTATACCACACCATCCATCCATCCATCAAAACCATCAGCCATCGACTACTACATACCCCAGCTGCCCACGCGAGCTAAGCAGGCATGCGAAAATATCCACGAGTTGCCCTGCCACGAGGGGAATGAATCCCATTCATGTAATGTAGTTAATCCTCAATCTCTGAAATGAATGATTGCCGAGACCTGCGGTGCTGCTAGGTAACTGATGTTGCTCCAGTTCCTATTCCGTCTGTCCCCCAGAAAAATGTAGGTGCTAATTAACTAGAGCGGGAACCATCCCATCAGTGGGCCTGGCCGCAGCTATCGCAGCCTGCATTTGCAGTGCCGATCTTTCTTGTTCTTCAATCCTTCCTCTCCAATTTTTTTTCCAGTTCGTTCGTTCTTTCTTTCTGTACGACGGAAGTTTGGCTTGCTTGCTTGCTTACTGGGTGACGGTCCCGGCAAATGTGCGATGAAAGCAGGTTGAGAGGAGAGACATCTTGGATCTATGTATCTCGCTGTGTTCCAGGTTATTATTAGGCTTCTGTAACTGTGCGACGCAAGCTGTACGTAGGGAGTAACTAAACTACCTCACCTACATAAAGTATTTCCATACATACATACATAGGACATACGAATACACGCATGCATATAGATTGTAGCCGGCAAGCCTTGCATGGAGGATTTCGGCAGGTACGCGACCGACATGCCCAGACTCCAGTATAATAGATTATCCTCTACATACATATTATATTAGGCGCTCCCCCTTTTTAGCATCCTTCTTTCTTTCTTTCTTATCTAGGCATAATGCTGTCTAGTCTTTGAAAGCAAAATAAGTATGTAGGTACGTAAGCACTATTTTACCGGCCGTACGAATACGATGGTTCGTCGTCGACTTAATAAAAGAATTATGAATATTCATTACGGTATTACGTTTCGGGTAAGACTACGTATGTACAGTAGTTACCGAATACACAGAGCTATCTACGTACCTAGTAACTAGGTTAGGTTAATTCCTTCATGTAAGGCACGGCACACAGGTGTAGTTATGTAGATCAGCCTACTACTGCTACTGCGGCGCATACACAAAAGCCAACTGATCCAGCTCGTCGCCCCCCTGCCCCAGGAACCCCACGATCCCCCACCCCTGCGGCGCCGCAAACGTCGCACAGTCCGCCGTCCTCGTCCCCGCCGCCACCGTCCGCCCGCTGCTCGTCGTCGCCAAGATATAGAAGTTCCGCGTGCGGCCGTCCTTCTGCCCCTGGCACAGCTCCGCGCTCGCCCAGTGCTCGCCCGCGCCCAGGCTCAGCGTCGACGCCGTGCCGCCCGTCCCGCCGTGCGCAAACGCAGTGGTCCCGTCCGACAGCGTCAGCCCGACGTTGTCGAGCCGCGAGCCGCCCCGGAAGGTCAGCGTGGCGGCTCTCGGCGGCTCCGGCTTGGCGGCGAGCGCGGACACGTCGCTGAACCAGGTGCCGTGCGGCCCGCCCCAGAACCCGCTCTGCCGCAGCGACGCGCCCGCCGCCCACGTGAAGTTCACCGCGATCGGGTTGTGGTCCGAGAGGATGCTGCCGTTCGCCTGCAGGAACCGCGCGCTCTCGTACGCCCACGCCGTCGCCTGCAGCGACACCAGGGGGCTCCCCCGGTAGAACACCTTGTCGACGGTCTCGCAGGAGGGCGTGGTGCTGGGGTTCGCGCAGATGCTCTCGGCGGAGGGGATGGAGCCCGCGTGGACCAGCTCGACCCACGGGTCTGTCAGCCCGGCCGCGAGGAAGGCGCGGATCCCGTCGCCCGCGCGCGTGTACCGGCTGTTCGTGTCGCCGAAGACGAGCACGGCGTTGCCGGCGCTGCGCGCGGCGATCGCGTCGGCGACCTGCTGGATGTTGGCCGCGCGCGCCGCGATGTCCGCGCTCTCCGTCCCGGCGTCCGTGTGCAGGTTGTACACGTCGACGAAGGCGCTGCTGCTGCCGCTGCCGCCTGCTGCCGTGGACCCGTCGAGCGCGAGCCGCATGAAGGTGTACCCCTTGGGCGTCAGGCAGTCGGACCCCGAGGCGTCGCTGCACGTGTCCCACTTCACGCGCTCGTAGTCGAGCCACGGGTAGTTCGCGAGCGTGTTTAGGCCGGAGCCGAAGGGCACGCCGCCCGAGGTTGCGGTGCGGTAGGCGTGCGTGTCGGTCTCGTAGAGGTAGGCGTGGTAGTTGAAGTCCTGTTTTTGGTGCGCGGGGTGGTTAGCTCATGCTTTTCTTTTTTGGGGGCGGGGACGGTCGGGGGGGGAGGAGGATGGGGAGGTAGGTAGGTGGAGGATAGAGGGGGGGGGTCCATTTCTTTGGACTGAGCCTGAGTCGTTGACGTATGATGCGCTCTCGGACCTCTTCTTCGTTCGGAAGGAAAAGGGGTGGAGAGGGGAGAGGGATAGGGCAGATAGGTGGTAAGTGCATGCTGATGCTGGTTGCTGGTGGCTAGTAGCAGGGGCACGAGACGTGAAGATGTCGTTGGTTTCAAAACGCAACGTATGTTTTTTTTTTTCTTTTTTTCTTTTTCAACCCCTTCCGCATCGCATCGTAGCGTATCACCAAATGCAGGGAACGGGAAAAAAAAGCAGGAATAGAGGATAAGATAAGACAAAATAAAGCAATTGGAATAAAAAGATGGTGTATACCTCCTGTACGTGAATGATGTCGTAGCCGTACTCGGCAAACTTCGCTCCTATCGTCCGGGTGTTCGTCGTCTTGTCACCCGGAACCTCGTTGCCGTTGAGGATGGCGGGCAGGCCTGCGACGTTCATGGTCAGGACGTTGAAGTCGCCGCTGGTGGCGGCTAGTACGTTGCCGGCGGACAGTGCTAGCACGCTAGCCGAGATGGCCCGGTAGCTGGTTTGAGGCTTCATCTCTAACGTTTACTTGAGAGAGCGACGATGAGGATTTCTACCAAACTAGGTAATTAAAGTGCCTACTAGATAAATACCTAGGCTACCCCCTATATCGATAATGAAGGCTCTACGATACCTTTTATGTTGTAAATCATTGTTATGCCCCTATACCAAGCATCTCACCGGTAGTTAATATTAAGATTGAGATGACGACTGCGTGGAGGAAAGCTCGTATCCCGCTTTCTTGCTTCTTCTCCCCATCTTTTCGGCCTCTGATTACCATAACGGGGTGCTCTGCCGGCGTCGGTCCACGGCCACTAATAGCCAATGCAACTTTGGCCGCTGATGTTAATTAGACAATTGAACAATGCCCTTATTTACATAGTAGTTCGTGCCGAAAATTGGCGACACAATTGGCTTGTGAAAGCCACTAAGCCCACGTTTTGCGGCTTTGCTTGCCAGTTCTAGAAGGGTTCTAAGGCCTTTTTGAGGATGGCGACCTGCCTGCCTAACTTGGGTATATGGCTTGAAAGCTTCATGTTACCAATCACCACCACACGTGATAGTGTTCATGTCAAATAGGTAGGTTGTGCGGACCAATCGCGACTTGGACATCAATACCAAGGTGTATAGATCGTGCACGGGCAGAGTTCGTCGCGGGTAGATGATGAAGCATCGCTTCCCTTGATCATTCTCGCAAGTGGTAATATGTGATACATTGGTCAATTCTTTGCATCTACCCGACAATCTCCTAACTCAAGGTGAAGAATTGCCTGCTTACCCATCATTAGTTTTGCCCACGCACGTGGTCGGTCACGCACTAGGGCCGGGACGACTCTATCCAGCGTTTTTGGAGGTTTCAAGGAATCGGATGCAATAAATACCTAAGCCAAGATGGGGGGTTCACGATCTTCTGTGTCAGTCAACTCTAGCTAACCCTACCTATGTACCTAACATGCCAGCCCTGCCCTGTCCATGCTACGCACATTCCCTGGGTGGGTGTGAGCTTATCGACAAGGCGACGAGGTCATGGTATGAATGTGGTGTAGTGTAGTATGATTTACGTACACGTACGCGAGGCACACGACGATGAAGAAGAAGAAGGGATCTGGGATAACTAAGTAGGTATGCGAGAAGATGATCTTCTCTGATCTGTCGCAGGGTTATACCTTCAACATCAGACTGTCCTAGTTTCAGGCTTCAAACACGCACGTCCCTTGCCCACGTGTTGTTGCGTGGTGGCATACTACACAGTCTACACTATGTAATAAGTATATCGGCACTAGAGCTCTTAAGTTTCGGACGACTAGACTTGATTGATATCGCGTAGTAGTCTTGCTTTAGTTCCTGCTTTAGGCTGGCCGTTATCTAGATGTGTCATCCCGAAAGACTTGGCCTACCTGTTTAGTTATCTAATAGGTAGTAATAGGGGTCCAAAGGAGGGTCTTGATTCGAAATTTCTTGAGGGCTTCAGATGGTGTCGAGGTTTTCCTTCGAGCTTATACCAACTCAATGGCTGGTAGAAATGTGTGTACGCACACCCAGAATCTATAGATGTGGCAATAATCAAGCATCGATTCCCTCATCACCGTGCTCAGACTCCATCCAAGTCGTGATCACTTTCCCCGCATAGTACACCGAGATGCTAGATATACTACTACTAGGTAGGTATGATATCTGAGCAGACCAGGGCACAAGAGGAACCTGTCAAGGAATGCTCTTCATCACCACTACCCCCCCACCTTTACTTCGCCCATCTGCATGAATCCCAACCTGCGAAAAAGTGACGAGATGAAGATCCCAAACGGTATTATATTTCCGCAAAGTCTGTTATGCGGGTCTATCCCCTAGCTTCAACAGTTCCCTACCCAGCTTGGGTTGAAAAAACAGGAATGCCCCCGGTTCTGCCATTGCTTGGAAGACATGGGGGGCAGGGCATTGCCGACAGATGTCATAGCATTAATTATGGACTTGACTAACTGTCTGGATAACTTCCGGCAGAGCTCTAGGCCCCGACGATCAGTAAGATGTGATGTGATGAGGCTCGGTCCATGGGTTCCCAAAGTCCCTTGCCAGTGAGTGCATCACAAAGAATTCCCACCCGGTTGTTGCTCATGTGTTCTAATCGTAGTGGTGGTCGTCGTAAAATATTGGTACAGATCTGACTTGCTTGCGGCGAAGGACCTACTACACTAGTTATCACACCGCTGAAAAGAAAAATCTGGCCCCAAAAATGGTCATGTCTTGCCGCTTGCATCTGTCTATGCAACTACTAACTATGTACATACAATACAGACATTATCTTTCCTCCTCCTCCTCCTCATCCCTCCTAAAAACTCCGAGATCTCTGAATTTGATCGCCCGGACCCGCGCCCTATCCCACGACCAAAACAAGCAATCCGAGTTCCGCGGGCCCTAGCTTCTCACCACCCCTCCCCTCCCCTCTTCCCTCGTGCCTTTTTGTTTTGCCTCTCTCACCCCACTGTCTGTGTGTGAAAGAGTCGCAGGAATAGTTACCCCACACAGCTCTGTCTCTCTCTCTCTCTCTCTCTCTCTCTCTTGCATACTTTGCTTATCTGCATCATGTAATGTACACATGTATGTGCGTACAGTGCGCAGGCAACAATACCCCATTTTCCCCTGCGTCAAGCAGCGGGTGGTCCGCCTCACGGACTCAAGGACGACCAGTTAGTTGAGGGGAAAGAAGAGAAAGCCCTAACCTAGGTATGTAGACTACTGTATGTATGTAGGTAGGTATATTGCCCCAGCATGGAAAGAGGAAGGGGGGGGGGGGGGGGGGTTGAGATATAGGCATGCGGGGGCAGCAGCACAGCACTTCCAAAGCAACGCAATGTCTGGTACAGTAACCCAACCCAACTGCTGCTACTACGAATACAGTATTTAGGTAATAACTAGGTAGCTGACCGGTGCGGTGCTCTTAATCAGAGCCACCAAGTGGATGAAGAACTCTAACCTAGCACCTACCCAACTACACTATCGCTCTGAACAGTAAACACTTCTTTGGTTCCAGGCTTACTTAGGGTACTAGGTATTAAACCAAACGTGCTACCGAGAAATGTAAAATGTGCAACAACGTGCTGCTGCACGAGTTAGCCAGGTCCACACCTGTCATTGTCACATACTACATGATTAGCGTGGCACCCTTAGCACGGTAGTTGGACTGACTGACTGCCTGCCTGCCTGCCCCCCAATTCGCGAACCTGTTTTAATGGGCAGTGGTAGTTATACCAAACTAGTTAGGTGGGTAGGTATAATAGATAGCTGGCGCTTAAATTCACATGTGATGTATGTATTGTACGTATGTAGTGCCCTTTTTTAACGGATCCCCAATGGCTCCTCTCTGGCTAGGGAATCGTCAACTCCTCCACTCTTCGTCACCATCATTAATTAGATATCGTGCCTTTTTTTTTTTTTTGGCGCACGCTGGGGCTACTAAAAGTATATGGGTCATAGGGGCGTGTAGTTATAGCATACATTATTACATTACCTCCATCTAACTACTAGCTGCTATGATGGCTGTACCTACCTACTTGCGTACGTCTTAGCTTACTTCTACAGTAGTCGTTAATGGGGATCATCGGCAGTGGACAGGCACTTAGACTAAAGCTTGGAACTAACCCGCTAAAAGGCATCAACAGGATCAATAGACGCGGCATTTTCTCGGCCCCCATGGTTATGTATACTATGTACACTCACTACATCAACGGTGACTGGGCAGCGCGTCTACCTATGTATGGGCTTTTACTTTTGCGGTCGTGGGGAAATAATAAGATCAGGCGCCTACCCGATGCTAACCTAGGTGCGGAAGTGGATTCCATCGCGCGAAGCTATTTGGTGAGTTAGGTTAGCTAGGTAGCCTCGGTGAGAGGTCGCTAGTGAAGTAGGGAAGCAATGGAAGGAATGGTCGTTCGAAAGTGGAAATTCGGTGACGATGCGACTTTGACCGCTATTGTTGCGACTCGTGACTATGTTTTTTTTTTTTTGAATTGATAGGTTAGGTGTATACAATAGTTCTGTGAGCGATGTCACGATCTTGAGATGAGGTTGCTCCTACATACATAGGCCAGACACTTGGTTGTTCAAATTAGGTTCTAGAGGTTCTATTTTACGGTACGGTGAAAAGGATGTTGTTGCATGAAGTTACAGATTGGAGATTGCAAGTTAGCAATGAGCTGGTATGCATGCCTGTGTGGCCATCTACGTAGGTGACCCACGCAACGGGCTTAAGTAGAAATGACAACGCAATGGAGTTTCTAGAGGCTAGTAAATGAGTCTATATGACTGTGTCATTTGGGTTTGAAGTCCGTTGAATTGAATCTATCGTCTAAACCCTAATAACGTAAGATGAATTCATGATGCTAGTTAGGATCTGTTAAGGGATGCATACGTAGGCAGGTATCATCATGAATTGAGAGCAATATCATCTGAATATGAGGTCTAGTTGATATATCGCTTATGAAGGAAACTCTACAACATAGGAGCAATTTTCATCATCTACTTAACTTAACTCCTTGGTCCCGTGTGCATCTAAGATCCTAAGGCGCGTGTGTCGTGGTCAGTAAGGCCGTTCATGCTCACATGAATGAATGATTGCAGCATCTAAACGATAGGTGGCTAACGACCACTTGAGTAAAGACCGTTGAGATGTCTACTAGGTAGATAGTAGATGTATACCTGAGATCAATGTGAAGGTGTCAAAAGTAGTCTCTTAGTCTAAAGTTCACCCATGAAATATCAATCTCAGAACTATTAACGTCCATATCATCTGCTTACCCGAAGCCTTTTCCTTTTTTATTTTTTAAACATCTAACTAGGCTACCATAACGACCTTGGAGCTGTATCTCATGATCTGCCAGTAGACCTTTCATGCCTCTCACATCTACTCACAGTACCTATTCAATTAGATATAAAAACCGAGACTGAAGACACGACGATGTAGCTGAAAAGACTTACCTACCTGTTGAAGGGCACCAGTCATATACACCCCCCCTTTTCTTGCTACCTAGCTACGATATCGTCCTAGATTAGGCAAGTCTTTGACAAGAGCCATGCTCGGTGGGGATTGCTTTACGGGTTGTTTTTGACACCCGCCAGACAGGATCGGACCAAATATCTGAGTTTGGCCTCATAGTTGATGCCATTTCTATGAGGTTTTACATCTCATATATGCGTATTAAGGTGGTCTGTTCTATTATATAGTACTAGTACCTAACTAGGGGTCTAACCTAGATGCTCCCATAACTTAGCCATATAATCATGATATGTATCTGAAGATATGCAGATATATGCCCTCAAGGTCGTCTGTCAAGGGTACCCAGGACTACATAAGGGACCATATAGAACAATGACGGGCGGCTGTATGTATAGGAGCTTGACAATACTTCCACATACTGTCCTGGCGGTAGCTGGGTGAAGAGGAAGCCTTATATCTAAGGTTGCAAACGCATCAACCTCCGCCTCCGGCCATACTATTATTCCTTTCCAGGCTCAAGCTAGTCACCCACCTTGCTGCCTTAGTCACCCACCTTGCTGCCTTATCTCCCGAAGTTAAACTTATAGGTCCCCGGAAACCAACAACTACCACTTCCTGGGTGAGAACCTGGGTGCCTGGGTTTTCAACCTAGGTTGGCTCAGTGGTAAGGCGCGAAAACCACCAGGGCTCCCCGAAAAGTGCGGGTTCAGAACGAAAACCACTGTGGGACGTCCGAGGGTGCGGGTTCAATCCTACCACAAATCTTTTGGATGTTTCTGTTTTTTTTTTTTTTTTTTTTTTTTTTTTTTTTCACCAATCTACCCGGTACACTTAAAAACTGAAGCCATTCATAGGTAATCAGACTTCTCCTGTCATTAAATTCTACTCTCCAAAATAAGAAATTACTTTACAAAATGACCTGGAACTAGCCAGTATATAAGGTATATACCTATGCGGTTTCCATAGCCTCAGGAGCCCTGGAGAAATATCATAGGTCCCCGCGCGGCAGCAGAGATGTTGTTCTGCGTCTTCTAGGTTCCGCCTCATGACAAGCCGGCTTGGAGGTGTTGTCTCGCACCAAGGTTTCGATTAATCATCTGGAATCAACACTCAAGGTGCCATATGATGGCTTGGAGGCGATTCAGATCGAGGCGTACCTGGGCTCATTGATATGCGGCAAACGCTTCCCATTCTCGTAGCCATTCTACGAACCTCTTTGGCCGAAGTTGAAGAGATTCATTCTCCTTCTCACAGGGCTCAAGGGCAGCTTTAGGTTAAGCTCCTCTGCGTGGAGTCTTTGATAACTGATAAAGTCTCTAGCATAAAGTACATACCTAGGTTAGATACCTTAGGCATTTGCGTATAGCTTCACTCGAGTAGGTAGAGTAATCCGATAAAGGGGCCTAGAGGGGGCTTGGAAGGTGGCTTGGAAGGTGGCAAAAGCCAATCTGTAAAACAATCTCCCAACCTTAACAGACTGTGATTTTCAATGTCCACCTAGCATGGCTCTTTGATAACGGCAAGTATCACTGCCTATACAAGTATCACTGCCTATACAAGTATCACTGCCTATAGTATACCTAAGTCTAAGACTTAGTAGGATCTTACTTTGCTAAGGGCTTCTTGAGCACATACTGCTGAGGCTTTCTGTGGCGGTGTCAATCTCGTCGTAGTTTCAATAGAGTACCTAATATGCCCTGAATCCTTCTCGGGGCGGCGGGGATGATGATGGCCTCGATACCTAGGTATGTTTTATATCTGGATTATGAGTTGATTATTTGGTAGGGACTTAACGGTTACACTTGCTACCACAACAGGAACGAAGTAACTCAGCAGAAATACTACATATAGCGAAGTGTAGGTACGTATAAACTTACCCACCTACAGCAGGTAGGGAGTCGGTGTTGGCACTTCAAACTTGAGCCCTATATAACATTATGCTTCTATTAAAGAACGTTATAACTTGAAGGTAGGTGCAGTTAAGTTAGAAGATAGCATAGTAGATAGCCTAGCTTTATACTTTCTCTATACGTCACATTCATCGTCCCCTGACACTTGCCTATCGAAGATACTTCCAGCTTTATTGTTATTAGCATTCCCCTATTCCCGTCATCGAGGTTCATCTTCTACACTCTACGTATGTACTAAAACACACGTTATATAAACCTATCGTGAAGAGGTATCTAGTCTTTCAACATCCATTCGACAAGACTATTTCATAAATCTACCCTCCACATGCGAAACCGATACTACCTGGTGGCTAATCGAAATCCTAGAATAAGCCATCTCTTTACGCCAGACAACCGTTTATCCTATCTAACTAAGCCGACACTCAAACAGCCTTTTCGAAGAAACAACAATGCCTAGTCTTGCAAACCCAGCAACCCTCGGCAAAATTTGTGTTAGTGAGCTCGCAGTACCTTCCCCCTTTTAAGTAGGTAGTCTTTCTAAATTCAACAGTGCCACACCCTGTCGTACATGATCAGCAACCTAAGTGTCGCCTTCCCAGGGACGGATACATATGACGAATCTGTGGAGTCGTATTTCTCAAAACAGCAAGAGTCGCTCCATCCCGCCTGCATCGTGATGCCACAGAATGCCCAAGACGTCGCGGATATCATCATTCCATTGGGCACGATGCAGCGTAGTCAATGCAAACTCGCCATCCGATCCGGTGGACATGCGAGCTGGGCGGGTGCTTCCAACATCGCCGATGGTGTTGTTGTCGACTTACGTGCTCTCGATGACATCGATGTTAACCAGGATACGTCCGTGGTTTCTCTAGGAGCGGGCGCTACTTGGGATACCGCATACGAGGTGCTTGATCAGCTCGGATTGAGTGTGAACGGAGGTCGAGCTGCAGGAGTTGGTCAGTAACCTATCCGTGACCCCTTAAACTTCGAATAGTGGAACTGACTTTGCACATGAAAGGCGTTGGAGGTTCGACACTGGGAGGCGGCCTATCTTTCTTCTCTCCCCGCTATGGCTGGACATGCGATAGCGCATTGAGTTTCGAGGTTGTGCTGGCCAACGGCTCTATCGTCGAGGCAAGCGATGCTCAAAATCAAGACTTACTCTTTGCCCTTCGGGGCGGAAACAACAACTTTGGCATTGTTACACGTATCACATTAGAGACATTTCACCAAGGTCTTATTTGGTCTGGCACCTTCCATACCTCGATCGATTACGCGGATAATCAGATCGCCGAATTTGTCGAAATTAGCTCTGCCGATCCGTATGACCAGTACGCTTCGTTCAGTACCACCTTCGGCTACTCACAAATTGCTGGTCATTCTGCCATCTACAATCATCTGACGTATACAAAGGAGGAAGAGAACCCGCCCATTTACAGAGGGATCCGGAATTTGCCTTTGCAGGTGAAGTACACCGACACGACTAGAATGGCGGAGCTTGCCAAGAGAACAGAGGCCATTCAGTTGTACGGTGTACGGTATGTATCTTGCCTTTTCTTCAGTGCCGTGGAAGGTGACTAATCATCGAACAGTCGGCTTACTCGCGTAGCAACTATCATTCCCACGGTGCCGTTATTGAAGGCTGCGGTCATGCACTGGAATAGAAGCATCGTTCCCATCGCGGATGTCGTTGATCTCGTCTGGGACCTCACCTTCGAACCGCTACCATCAGAAATTTATGCCCGCGCCGTGGATGAGAATGCACTGGGCCTCTCAGACCGGACCGGCCCTCTTGTAATCGTCTCATTTCTTGCAACCTGGTCGAACGAACAGGATGACAAGCAAATCTATGATCTAGCCCACGCACTCATAAGTTCTATTGTCGGTGAAGCAGAGAGTCGTAATGCGTCTGATCCTTTTCTTTATCTCAATTACGCTGCACAAGACCAGGACCCGATTGCCAGTTACGGTGATAGAAGTGTTTGGCGTCTGAAACAGGTTAGAGAGAGGGTTGATCCTGCCGGTGTTTTCACATTTCAGGTACCTGGCGGATACAAATTTCCTGTCAAAGATTGAGTATAGGACTTCTCAGGGGTTGTATCGCGAAAGGAAGGCGTTCTTTGCTATGAGATAAAGCGGACCTTTCATGGGGCACTCTTCGTAGCTGTCATAAGAAGGCTCGGTATGGATAAAGGATAATGGCCTCCTACTGACATTGATCAGTATGATAAGATATACATATTGGGTAATGAATCTGAATGAGTAATGATAGAGTGTATGAGTTGAACTCGCTATGAATTAGATCTTTCTGAACTTGGCATCTACTCATTGATTGTAATGTAGACGATATTGATATTTGCTTGTCATCTGGACTGAGGCAAGCTACATGGACAACGATAGATGGCTTCGTTGCGTACTCCTTGAGCCATAAACATGGGCCACATGCAACAATACACTTTGACGAGGTATATAGCATACCTAGGCATAATACCCAGATAAGTACACAGGGTTCCTCGGCCTGTGTTACGACTACATACTAGTAAGAACTGACTTGAGATTTCCCAATTGGTCGAGAATATTGGAATGATAAGAGAAGAGAGGATTGAAGCATCTAGATCAGCACTAAGGCGACCCAGCATTAAGGGTATGTAGATGAGGCTCGATCCACATCCACGTGGTTTTCAGCAATAGCTTGCTGCGTGCTTTTGTTCTCCTATCCATGGACATGTACGATGCAATCGAGGCTGATTTGGCGGTAACTTGGCGGCTGTTTTCCTATACTACAGCACCAATGTTCCTGAGGCGTCACGGTCTGTGCAAGGTTGCTAGCCGGCTGAATCAGAAAATGTAACATCATGCATGCAACGACGATTCGGACCTTGAGTTGTATACGTGCCAGTGCGGGGAATGATAGCATGTATCTATCTCCGTGATTCCGACACAGCAAAGGCAATGTGCTTTACTTACTTATCACAGAGGGAGTAGCTGGCCGTTCTGTTGATTAATAACTGTTCTAAAGGCACGGGATGTATGCTAGATATGGGCACGTCGCCGCCAACTTACCATAGAAGTGATAGATAATATCTTGGGTTTCGTCTTAGGTTTCGTAGGAAATGACTCCTGAAGGAAAAAGATCGCTGACAAGATTCAAGTTCAAGATTGAATACATAGCTACTACCTGTATGATAGGAAAGTTTGGGCAACGTTACATACTAAGGTTAGTACCGTTCGGTATCACAGGCAGGTACTAGGCTGGTAAGCCGCCTCTAGGGCTACATAGTATCAACGACACTCTATCTGTATCAGGATTTTAAGTTACATATTGGCTTTTCCCCAAGTTTGCTTTTCTAACGGGAAGCTACATATACATTGGTACCTAGTGTGCCTATTGGTCCAATGATCAATGATTATTGAGGTTAATTGAAATCCTACTATGTAGTATGTACATGTGTGTCTGCTTCAACTTTCAAGTCAGCAAGCTACCTTCCCCGGACGTATGTCATTATCCGCCTGCCCAATGATAACGACACTTAAGTTGTTTAAAGTGGAGTTCAGCTCACACCTGGGATTCACAATGTCCAATCAGATCTGGTAAGATACCCACATTCGGCCCGCTCTTATCTCTCCTTATTGTCGCTTATCTCATCAGCTGCACTGAATTTAACACTGAATTTCAAAATCTGTATGCACTCTCCTTATCCTTGTCTCGGAGAAAGTACGAAATCCAGGGTACCTAACCAGGGCAGTATATTGCAAGGCTATGATTGGAGAATAAAGTTTAGACGAACTTTATCCCTGCAGAAAGTCTGCAGAAAGTCTTTTAGAAAGGGAAGGCGGAAATTTCAATTTCAATGTGACTTCTTAGCAGGAGTCAATTGGATTGAGGGATCCTAGCTACCTACCTATTATTGTACGTATGTACGTTTGTATTGTACATATTCAAGTGGCATTCAAATTGTGCTCTTGACCTTATACATAGTAATTCTGAAAATTTATCGAGACTGATGTTTCTTTGTTAATCACAGGCTGAATCTTTTTTTAGAGTGGCTGGTTTTACAGCAACACGAGATTCGCCTGCTAACACGAAATTCTTACAATGGGTAGCTTTACTGGGCATCGTACGAATTGAACAACAGAGAAGTGATTTGAGCGGAGCTTGCGAAGGATTGTCTAGAATCTGCCCACTGAATTCACCCAAAAATAGCTTAGTGCCGTGACCCTGCCCCAACATCCCCAGAAATCTAAGGGTATTAGTGGATTAGCACCCCTGCTCCCTTCCTTCGTCCTGTCTCGTGCAAAGTTCAGCTGCTACCACATTTTCTGTATTGGTACATATGTAAAAGTAAGAGGGTCATGAAATAATGTACATTGATGTACCTATCTAATGGCATTTACTTTATGCTAATAACTACCTCTAGTACAGTATCTGCAATTGATATTTAAGAGGGTCACGTAACGATCAAGCAATTGACCTTCTATCATATCATGATGCTGACCACACTTGGATTAGGGGTGGATGATAGCGCATACAAACCACATGCAACTTGGAACTACATGTATCTAAGCTCACGAAGATATGTACTATGTAGGTAGATATGCTCACAGCTGTCGATGGTCTTACCATGTTACCATGCCTATCGGCCGACACTCCTATGTAACTATCCTGTAGTTATCTCTCTGCGACTGGTGGCTGATAGATCAGCATCGGAGCCAGTAAAGTACAATGTATTGTACTATGTAACATGTACTATGTAACATGCGACCGCACTAAACTTTGGCAGGGCCTTTAATGTAGGTACAGCCACATAACTATGTATCTAGGAGATAAATGTGGGTGGACCTGAATATTAAAAGGATAAGATCTAAGGATCAGACCTTGCTACTGAAATGTTCTTAAATACATGACCACAGTGCTTCGCACTTTCCTCTCTGGCGTACCTGCCACCATCTACTGGGGGGGGACAATAGTGCCTGTCCCAGGCACCTCCAGGCTTCGTTTCAACAGCGCCAACAAGCTCTGATATAGACGTTCCCGAACCACACAGCCATTCAATGAGTATCAGAGATAGGTGACGCTGTATTGGAACAGCGACAAGGTGCCAGAAGTGTGGTCTTTTAGAGTAAGGGGTTAATCGGATAAATAAGGTGTAGTGCATCCCATATGGGAGGTAACAAAATGAGCCATAATGGCTAGTAAACTGTGGGCTTTTTGAATTGAATAAACGGTTTTTGGACTTTTTGATTTGAATAAACTGACTGTGGACTTTTTGATTAAACGACTTTTGAATAAACGGCTTTTGGAACAAACGACCTTTTGAATAAACGTTGACTTTCAGAACAGAGCTTTCAATCAACAATAACGTTTCAATCAATAAAAGGATCAAAACAACTTTGAAAACAAAAGCCCAATTATCAAAAAAAACCAAAAACCAAAAATGAGGCTATCACCACAGCTCTTCCGGTGTGGGGGGGGACCAGATAAATGTGGGTGGACCTGAATATTAAAAGGATAAGATCTAAGGATCAGACCTTGCTACTGAAATGTTCTTAAATACATGACCACAGTGCTTCGCACTTTCCTCTCTGGCGTACCTGCCACCATCTCTAGGGTACTTGCATATACTCCGCACATGCCACTTATCGTATTGATCTATGTATCTATTGATCTAAACAACGCCTTATCTCACAACCATGCATGTACTATGTAAGGAATACATACAATACATGCAATGTACTTGGGTTAATACGGGTACCACCCGTTACTTCTGCTGTCCAAACATTTCGTATATCATCTGCCATGGCGCATTTGACGGATTTTAATTTTCTCTGATTCTCTTGTCAGCCCAAAGGTCAAATTCAATTAGCCGTGACGGCGACCAAATAAAAGTTCTAAGGTTAGTACTTGCCTATTAAACAATTATTTATGTATAGTGCCTCTATGGCCATTGAATATTTAACACAGGCTCAAGTATTCTTTGGAATGGAATGCTTCTGCTAGAATCTCCCAATGCGCTTATCGTCACAACATAACATTTGTGTCAACAAACAATATCAACTAATTCTCACCGCTTTTAGGTCCAAACCAAAGGACTCACATTTCAAGTATTGCTTCCATTTGCTAGGGAATATCGATCGAATACCAACTTTAGTCGGCCGATTTCCGATATAGCTCCAAAATGTCAGACAAGGAGGCTCCCATCGAGGCTCCTCCTCAATATGTTGCCCATACACACTCCGACCATGGCGAGAGCACGCACCAGCAAGAGCGCCCTAGTGGAATATTATATCGAGGGTTCAAAATCTTTGGAAAGGAGGTTTGGTACGCGTCACCCAAGGTTCAGCTTATAATGATATCCTTGGTGTCTTTCTTATGCCCTGGCATGTACAATGCGCTCAGTGGTCTGGGCGGTGCTGGCCAGCTCGACACCTCCGTCCAAGATCACGCATCCACAGCTCTCTATTCCGTATTCGCCGTTGTTGCCTTCTTCTCTGGCTCTTTCGCCAACAAGCTTGGTATCAAGACCACTGTGACCATTGGTGGTCTAGGCTACTGTATCTACTCCGCTAGCTTCCTATGCTATAACCACACCAAAAATGTCGGATTCGTCATTTTTGCTGGTGCGTTCTTGGGTCTTTGCGCCGGCCTGCTCTGGACTGCCCAAGGTGCTATTATGATGGCTTACCCACCCGAGGAGTCCAAGGGCCGCTACATTAGTTGGTTCTGGATTATTTTCAACTTGGGTGCTGTCGTTGGTAGTTTGATCCCTCTTGGGCAGAATATCAACAATTTTAGCGGCACCGTTACTGACGGCACCTATGTCGGATTCATTATTTTGATGGTGGTTGGTGCTGGTCTGGCTAGTTTGCTCGTCGATGCCGACAAGGTCATCCGAGACGACGGTTCCAAGGTCATCATGATGAAGAACCCTACCTGGCAGAGCGAGTTCAAGGGGCTGTGGGAGTGCATTTCTCTTAGCCCTTGGGTTGTTGCTCTGTTCCCCATGTTCTTCGCCTCCAACATCTTTTACACCTACCAGCTGAACATCTTCAACGGCGCCTACTTCAATATCCGAGCCCGCTCATTAAACAGTTTGCTGTACTGGCTGGCGCAGATTATCGGCGCCGTCGTTGTAGGATACGGTCTCGACTCCAAACGATTTCGACGATCTCTCCGCGCTAAGATTTCCTTCGTTATTCTCTTCGCTCTCACCTTCATTATCTGGGGTGGCGGTTACGCGTGGCAGAAGCCCCAGGTCAACCGAGCTACGGCCATGAGCACAGACTATGACCCGTACAGAATTGACTGGAGTGACCGCAGCTTTCTCGGACCTATGTTCTTGTACATGTTCTACGGTGTATACGACGCCTTTTGGCAAACTTGCATCTACTGGTACGTTTATTATACCCCAACAACCTATCGAATTCAGCTACGGTATGAATGCTAACTTAAATACAGGTATATGGGAGCTCTCTCAAACTCTGGTCGAAAAACTGCCAACATGGCTGGTTTCTACAAGGGCCTCCAGTCCGCCGGTGCCGCAATCTTCTGGCGCTTGGACGGCATTCACGTCGAATACGACACCTTATTTGCTGTAACGGTTAGTGATCCCCTTTTTCGTAATTGAGCCTGAACTAGTGCTAACCTTAGATTTTAGTGGGCTGTCTGTGCCGCGTCCCTTCTAATCGCCGCCCCAATTATCTTCCTCAAGATACAAGACACTACCGATCTCGAGGTTGATTTGAAGTTTAGCGACGAGACGGCCTCAGACGTTGTGCCAGGTGCCGCGGTCGAGCAAAAGAATGCTCCTGCTACGGTGTAAATACCTAATCATCTTAAAGCGATTGATGTTAATGTTGGTCTTGTGGGTGAAAAATGCATGGGAAGGGGGTTTGGAGTGGTAATGGGGCCCTACTACTTATTATGGCTGGCCGATGGCGTATGATTATACGTAGATGATACATAATTTTGATGTGAAATAATGAATCAGTACCTTGACTGTACATTTTTAGGAATGTGTGTCGAATATGGCTAAGTTGTGCGTAGGTACTTTATAGCCCTCTACATAGGTACCTAAGGTAGAGATGTAGAGATGTAGAGAGAAAGCGTAAGGAGAGCACTGATTTAAGCATGAGATCGATCTTGCATAGGTATCTACAAGTCTCCCCCCTTCAACTTTACCTACACTATGTACCTTAGGTAGCTCTGGGGGTACCTTATGTAGTAGCATAAAATAATCTTGGAAATGAAGCTAACACTGATTCAGCCCCTGATTTAGTGTAGTGTAGTGTAGTGTGCTACCACTCCCGTTCCCGCTCCCGCTTTCTGATTTTCTCTGATGGTATTAGTGGGGATCCCGGGGATTTTGTACGCGTATCTCTTTGTCTGGGCCCACTTATCCGGCCGCTAGTCAAGGCCGGCCCGGGTGGTGGTTGTAGGTTAGGGGCCGGTGGGTTGTGGGGGTTGATTGATCTGGGAACTACAGGTAGGGGGAACACGAATGACTAGGTAGTTGTGGACTTGTGGGCATGTATGCTTGGGTAATTGGGCAATTGGGTGATTGGATGTAAGTATTTGTTGTTGGGGATGCTATGGGTGGGGTGGGAGTTCACGATGGTTAATAGGGGGAGAGTGATTTTCACAGCTGTACCAAGACTACTAGGTAGTACATGCCTTTTGTTTTTCTAAAATATGTTTGATTTCATGGCACATTCATGATCTACATTCAAATCAGGTATAGATACCTAACTCTAGCAATAATACAAGTACTGTTGCGTAGGCCAGCTTCAAAAATACACTCATAATCATGGACAAAATCGACTTTATGGCGCAGTGGTACAGACCTCAAAGTACCCCTATTTAATAGACCTTCTTGTACCCTTTGTCAGATCAGATCAGGAGGCCACATCAGTTCCCCAATTAGTACTAGTTCACAGGTACAAAACGTGGACCATGACAAAGAATATCGAAATACACACTGCTGGGCATGAACTGGGCCCAAAACTGGCATACCTTGTGGGTTTTAATTAGTATGTAGGTACTTGGTGAGTACCTGGATTAGACAAAACACTGATCTTATATGAAGCTATCGCGAACCTCACGTTCTGAAGTAGTGATTTTCTTCAGCATTTCCTGGCATATATCTCACCTTTAAGCCTGTACATAATGCTTTCAACCTACGTAGGCCTTCTGCTAGTGCACTATAGTACACAAGATTCTAGTTTAATGAAGTTCCAGTCCTGTTTTGTCATGATATTGAGTGAAAGGAATAGGGGTATACTGGCCACTGCTGCGTGAAGTGTATGTCCATGAGCCGCCCATCCCCAGAGAGAGTGTAGTTCCTTGTACTCTACCCTCTGTACCCTATGTAGGTTACTGATTGTAAATCCATGCCCTAACCCCCCATACCTGTCGACATCGAATCAAATAAATGATTAGCTCTAATAATTCTCTGCTCCTTCCATGACGACTTGTACCAAATACCCTTTGTAGCAGCTTCAAGTTGCACGACACCATCAGCCCCGTATTACTGATTTCGATTCACCCACAGAACTATAAATAAGGCCTCTGCCTTCTGTGCACCTTTTCCTTTCTTCCTTTCTTTTTTCTTCTGGTTCCCCAGAAGTGTAGGAAAGTTTGAAGTTTGAACTGCAGTGTATTCTATCATCATCAACCCCCTCTCTATCATCCTGACTCTCCTTATAGGGGATTCTACTGAATCATATTGTGATTTGTTTTATTGTTTGTTGATCTTTTGACTGAAACAACACTCCTCTCACACTTCTTACCCATCACTAGTTTCATATACGCACCCAAAATCCATTTGTTTTATCATCCATTGCGAGACACCATGGCAACGTACGGACTACGATCATCAGCCAACATGTGGCTACCAGTCGAAAAAGATGAAGTCAAGTCTGCCGAGGAGGCTTATGCAAGCACGCAGCTGGTTCCGCACCAACTATTTTCATTCCATAATAAGCTTGTCCAGAAGCTGGACCACTCAATGGTTGTTGATGCTGTGAGTAACATTCCATCCCCTCATGACCTATTCTACAAGCAAAGCGTTCCTTCAATTCTTCGAACAGTTTCGTAGCTGTATAGAAGATCTACCCCCCAAAACATCTTTCAAGTCACAAGACCCCGAATACTGAACCAATCACTGACTTCATACTATAGTGGCATCATCTTCGCATGCTAGGTGGCCCGTACAAGGAGGAAATGGAGTCGTTTTTTCGACTCAAATACTTACCAACGACCAGTCTATGTATTCATGGCTACGATCTCCTTATCTATTTGAAGTTTGTCAAGGTCTCCGAAGACCAGAAGTTCGTGATCTACGAATATGATACTACCTATGAGGAGCCCGCAGACGGCCAGAAGTGGGCGTCGGCCTACGCGAGTTGCCCTGGGAGTAACCGCATTGCGACGCGCCTCATATACGGGCATAGTCTTAATGTGCCACACATCACTGCGGGAATGGTGAAGTTAGGAAACTTCCATATGACTGCCCGCAACCCCCGGCGAATCACTTTCGAGTGGCTCCCAGTCATTCAAGCCTTCTTCAAGGCCTATCGAGAGTCCATTTTGATGGAGCAATACAAGTACATGACTCGCCACACCTACACCGCGAACCCACGCCCGTCTGAGCGATTTACGGCAAGCACTCGTAAGACGAATTACGATGACGAGTATCATGAAATCATTGTTCCCCCCTTCCCGGGTGACGATGTTTTCAGCCCCCCGGGCATGGAAATCTGTTAATTCCTCCCTACCTTATGTACCTGCCCGTGCTTAGTACGGAGCCTCGCGCGGAAAGAGAAAGAAAGAAAGAAAGAAAGAAAGAAGAGAACCGCGCCATATCTTCGAGCCTATTATCCTCGACTTGAACCAAGAATACGTTTGCAACTCGACATTTATATTGTCCTGTTCAACACCAGTACCGTACCGCACCATCATAGCAGAGACCTCGTATGAAGGCCATCTGTTCCAAAGAAGTAGTGGTACTTCCGCCGTCGACTTATATCGAACTTGCAGTTCTCGTTCTATTTTACTAGCTATTGGCTCGAACGAACCCCGAATTGAACCCACCCACCCATCTCGACTAAGAGACTAAGCCAACCATCGAAAGCAATGGAGTAACGGTACATACGACGTCCGATTGATCGCCCAACGAAACAGCAGTATCTCGCTTGCCGAATACTCCATTTGCGATTCTGGTTCTACTTTCGGGTTCTATTTTCCTTTTTCCTTTTTTTCCTATGTCCAAGAAAAGATAAAATACAAAAAAAAAGCCCAACAAACCAACACATCAACATCGTTCCTCTCGTCAGACAACCAGTACTTACTCTCTTCGACATACATATATCCGACAAGAACCGTCATCGTCCGCGCACCCTCGACGACCGACCATAAGGAAAGACAATTCCAAGATCAACAAGAAGAAAAAGAAACCAGGATGAGGAAAACGAGGATGGTGAACACCCACCATAGGACGTGGGATAATGGGGGGTGGACGCTAGGAAGCCCTGTTTCGATTCGGCATTTGTCTTGATTGGTGTGTTTTTGACCTGTGAAGTGTACGAAGTGTGTATTTTTATCGTGAGAAAAGAAAATTTGGCAGACAAACAGACAGACAGATTAGGTAGATAGATGGGTAGGTTCCCCTTTAGAGGGGGAGCTTACCTTGAATTCGATACTCGGTCGTTGTCGCCATTTTAGCTGGCTTTATGAGAAAGGTGACTTGAGTAAGATGTAGGAATTCTAACCTAGGACGTAGTGATCCTTCACTAGGGATCGTAGTGACTCAATCTCGTAGCTAGTAGGCACCTACCTACTTTCCCAACTAGTGCTAACCTAGGAACTGCTGTAAATGGGCACATAAGAAGACGAATGCAACTGGCAACTGCGCTGTATGCACCATCGTCTTCTCGACTACATGTGCTGTGTAAGCTTTTATAGCCACAGTCACCAATACCTACCTAGTACTTGGTAGATGGATAACCTTATCATCCCAGGATCACAAGATGCCGTAGAACTTATTCGATACCATTGATTCCATCACTTAGCACATCTTGACACAAGCTGCCTAGCTGCCTACCTACTTACATGTAGGTCCATTACTTTCCTCGAACACCACTACACTTAACCTCACAACAACCACAGCCCAGCCCAGTCCAGCGACACGGGCCTCACCCTCCACACATCCCTCTCCTCTTGCCCTATAGAAGCGCCTCCAACTCGGCCCTCCTCCCAAAACTCCCGCTATTCGCGAGCGTGATCGTGTGCACGTACCGCAGCTTGCCGTTCTCGAGCCGGAACTCGTGGCTGTCGGGCGCGTTGCTCAGGTGCTCGAAGATGCACAGCACGTCGACGGAGCCGTAGGACGGGTCGATGACGTAGCGGCGGTGCGAGTTGGGCACCTGGTTGTGGTTTGTGGGGATCCTGTGGTTGACGAGCCCTACCATTTAGCCGCGCATCTAAAAGAGTGTCGCTTTTAGGACGAGAGGAGAGGGGAGAGGAGGGGACAGGAGAGGAGAGGGAGTAAGTAGGTAGACTGCTAACCCGGGCTTGCACGAATCCGTCGGCAGGAAGTTCCCCGTGTACACGCTGCCCTCGAGCCGCGCGCACGGCGTGCCCCACGGCACCTTGTCCGTCGCGCCCGCGTCGCTCCACATGTCCAGGTACGCGTCCGCCGCGCCCTGCAGCGCCTCGCGCGTGTCCCGCCGCCCCTCGTCGATCAGCGTCCAGTTCTCGCGCGACGCGTACTCGAGCGTGCGCGTCGAGTTGAACAGCCAGGAGCCGGTCGTCGAGACGATCAGGTCGATCAGGTGCACGCTGAGGTCGCCGGCGCTGTGGCGGATCTGCGTCCCGATCACGTAGGGCGCGGGCGCCCCCGAGGCGCTGTGCGTGATGATTAGCTCGGTGTACGAGGCGCAGTCGAGGGTGTCGATTATCTGCGAAGAAGCTCTAGGTGTTAGTTTTAGTTTTCGAGGTAGACGTATATATAATATGGGACGTAAGAGGGCTGGGGGAACTTCCTGTATGTCTGTGGTCGATCTTGAGCGCGTTGCTGAGGATACCGCTGGCGATCTCGCGCGTCTTGTTGTTTTCGAGATACGTGAAGTTGTCGGCGATGTTCTCGAGGTTCGACAGCTGCCCGCTCTCGTGCGATTTCACGTACTCGTCTGCAAACGCCTGGATGTATGTCCGGTTGCACTCACTCTGCGCTGTCACGGTGGGTAAGAGGGCGGCGAGAACCGCGGCGCTTACGCTTAGGAGGCTGTAATGCATGGTGTTCGAGATATTATTATTTTTTCGTTTCTACGTTGGAGCGAGCTCATTCATGTGTCCCTGAACTTACAGTACCTAGATTTGTAAGGATGTGCTTCTCATAAATATGATCTTTGAATGGGGTCGTCAACAGCAAGTGCCGTTGCCACTAGTCGAGTACCCCTTGTGGGCAGAAGCATTCCCGGCTCCGGGAGAATGAACGGGAAAATAGTGCGATGCCATTACGACTCCAATCCTGCCTGATGAGAGCTCCGCGCATATTAAAATGTGACTCGAGAGTCTTGGAGAACTCCTCGACCTAATGGGGAAAATGCAGCATTTGAATGTTTAAGCCCCGGGTATCTTAGGTAAGTAGGTTATACCCGCATTCTCCATCTTGGGTACTAGGTAGCATTAACTATCTACAGCCTGGCTGGCATATACTTTTGACAGGTGTGATACCTGCCAATATATACAGACTCAGAGATGACAATACATTATGTTGTACATTGAGCAAGCTCACCTATAGGAACAACTGGGGCGCTTAGAATCCCATATAAACGCACCAAGGCTATTGTTCTCCAGCTTCCTTCACTGAGTTAGGGATTGACTACCACGAGAGCGGTGAGATGATAGAGACGAAGCCCACCAGATGTTGAGCCTCGTGGGGATAGGCGAAAGCAACACCTTAGTACTACGACTTAGGTATGCCTTCTGCAATCCTGGCTAAATCTTCAGGCATCAGCGCGTCCTTCTCGATGCCATTGATGGCTTGATCTAGCATAACCCTGGTGAGATCCTCAATGCTGATAGGGATGACGCCGAACAGCCATTTGGTTATGAAGGCCGCGATGCATCTCCAGATCTCACCCGGTGTCGTGATTAGACCTGGTCTGGGCGCGGTTACTTCTATCCCTCCGAGCTCTGTCGCCAATTCCTTGACCTTCTTTTCAGTCTCGCCCTGCAAGATGCGATTCAATCAGCGCACGTCTATGGAGATGTGGAAAGTGAGGTTGTACCCGCATCCGGAGATACTCGAGCATGTACCGCGGTACCTTTGATTCATCCCATCCAACTCCCGCCCCACTCATGTAGATGAAGCGAAAGGGGTTAGAGAGGCCAGACTCGTGCATGGCACTCAACCCTGCAAGAGTACTAGTTTGACAGATACGCTTGACTTCCTCGGGGTCGTACATTTTGGATTTACTTGGTGTGATGGCAACTGTCCTAGTCCTGGTCAGTGCTCTCTTCCCGGCTTTGACCTTGAATGTCGGGGTGAAAATGATCATGGAGGTTATGTTTGGGGGATCACTACCATATACAGGCATCAGCGCCTGCGAATTCTCTTTTTACTTCATCCGAGTAGCGGCCATAATCTTCTATTATCACGCTCCTTAGCTTCGACGTGTCTGCACCTTCTGGGAGACCGTCGGGAACGGGGACAGGTTGGCGGGACAGGGCCACCACGGAGGTGATTTCACTTTTGCATAGACTCTGCCGTATCACTTCCCTTCCCACGTATCCTGTAGAGCCTGTGACGATGAGTTTCATTGTAGCGAGTTGCGTGATGTAATGTAATCAATTATTGGATCTATAGAATGTAAGGTATACTAGGGATCGGGGAGATAAGGAGAAGTACGATGTAGGTGTAAATCTGTTTAAAATACAGTTAGTACGAGTACGGCACTAGGCATCCATAGTCTCGGGCTCGCTCTTTGGCCCGCGCCGTAGGACTACCGCTCCAGTGCTCTGGTTTAGGTGGATCATCCCTTTATTGTTCTAGAATGTCATTGGATTACTACTAGTACAGCGCCATGCTATTAAGGCTGAGCTAATTTCAGCTCCCTTATCCCGTTTGCTCATCCTAAATTCCGGTCAGCAACGCGTGCTGAATCATCCCGAACCGATCTTATCGATCCTAAGATATTGAGTCAGAGTCCCTGGTATGTGATTAATCTGTCAACAACTAGGTTTCCTTATATAAGAATGAGACAAGGCATAAATGATTTCTTTGAAGTCTGAGGATATTTTATCTGGAATGATAAAGAAGCATAGGAAACGAAACAATCGTATACGAACTACAAATTTAACCAATACGTCCTTGGCACAATTTTTATTTGAACATCCCTTAACTATTTACGACTTGTGTGTTCATATAACTAACAGTTCATTTACCTAGTTATATCTGTCTTACTATTCCATGATAATACCAAGAGAAAATAAGCATAGTATACAACCAAATCCTACGACGACTTTGGGGTATCAGTAAGGAGACAGTCTCAAAGCACCGTGCTTCTACAAACCCAGAACCACTTAACACAGGATCCTCTCTATCTTGATTTTGCCAATTCGGCGACGAAGTAATGACGCGGCCAGCAAAGGTATTGTCGCATTGGCTTCCGGTTTGACTGTCGATCGGGACATTGCGTAGGAATAGTGGAGACTCTTCTCTTCTTGGAATCCAATCTCCTGAGATGGGCACGGGAGACGTAGGTAGCTCCATGTGTTGGTACCGAGGTTTCTATCTTGCAAAGAAGAGTTTAGTATTAAAGGTTATTCCTTTCATAGCACCGGGCTGTCATGAAAGCGATGCATACCTAGTAATCACACACATTGGCCTGTTGGCCCACGTGGACATACCAAGCCCTACAGGGGCGGAGCCGGCTACCGATTGAGTCGAAAGCGATTGTCGCTTCAAAAGCCGACTGAACCCAGCACCGTCAGACCGGATTCTATGTTAGAGTTCTCCCTAACGATCTCCACAAAATGACCATCTCGGGACGGCGCGGAATACTTGGACGCTTTGAGTGTAGTAGACACTTCACGTTTCTTGTGGCGACGAATCACTCTGTGTACGTACCTAGGTTAGCAGGATGTGCTTTACGACGAGGAATATAAGCAATTTATTCAAGGCTACCTTATTGATGCGTATAAGTCATACAGAACTCACAGACTGTGTGTTGTTATGAAGGTTCGACGTGCGCCGATGTGCGATAACCCCCCTTTTTGACATTGGATGTAGCTCGACCAAAGACCGGATAACCAAAATGTGATTAAAGCCCCTCCCGTGGGATGCAGGATACCTGCTAAATATATTACCTGCAATTCAAGCTGCACAAACTTTGACATTGCTCCCTGGCATGTTCCGGGTATAGATCTTGCTTTGATAACTACATCACACCCCTAGTAAAGGAGAATCACGTACAGCATGAGGGTTAGGGTTAGGGTTTGTCAGTGGAAATCTGTCAACTGTATACCTACCTCGGTACCTAGATAAACTTTTGTTGCAGGATAACTGCAACCAAGAAGAAGAAAGATGAAACGAAGAAAGCTTGCTTTATTCCTGACTACACTGGCGGAGTGCCAATATATGGCCTAGTGGAGCCTATGGTGCCTCAGGCACCTGCACCATTTTGCAAGCAAGATTTCATGATATTCTTACTATTGAAAATCATCAACTCTATGTTAGTAGGCACTTAACTACAGAGATGCAATCAGATAATCGAATCTGCGTAACTTCCACCTATCCGGTGACCAGAATGGAAGGTCGCAACACACAGCTCCATAACCAAATCTTCGTGCCATATAGTCTCAATTCGGACCATAAAGTTGATCTATAATTCCGTGGTACGGTCGTACACAATGTGAATATCTACCATTAAGGGATAGAGCAACTTAAGTGCAAACATATCAAGCTTGCGTTACCTACTATGGCACAGTAACTAGTAGATCCTTAGTATTAGACACCTGGAAATGGACTATCCTAACCATACTCTAACCTACTTCATATCATGTGGCATACTTGATTGTCCTTATAGTTGCCAAGAATACTGAAGAGTTGATGGGTCCAAGGACGTAGATCGCCGGACTTAGACTTGAGCAGGGTACAAAACCGACCGATAATCCGGCGGCACAGCTGCGAATATGAACAGACGATAATACACCACGAATCATAGAGATATTATCTTCAGTCTAAGATGTCGGTTTTATCATCGGACCTGTTTACTCTTGAGATGGATGGCCTTGGCTTCATTATCCTGTGAGATTTGGCATGTGTTAAGACGGGGATTGGAGGGCTTTTGATGGTATAATGTGATGTAAACGAGTAGTAGATGGCTAGGAGGCTATGACATCAAAATAGTATAAATCACTGCTTGTCCTCGAGCTCACGATAATGATAGAAGTTTGGTCATCAACGCATGGTCAGAACATAGAATCGTGACTCAAAGAGACAGTGAAAACTAACCGAAGAGTCTCTGCAGCATATTGGAACAATCATACCTATCGATCACGTTCGAGTTATTATACGCCTGATTTCAGTCAAGATGCATGCATTCTCCGTGCTCATGGGCTTGCTAAGTCTAGGCCTTGCCCAACAAAGTATGTTCATCCCTCTCAAGCTACCCAGACACGAAGCTAACACTCGGGAACCAGAGCCAAATGTCCAGCTCATCGACCCCATCAACCGGTTCAAAGACATGAACTTGTCACTGCCGCCTCCTAGTGACGTTGTCCTCCAGAGCAGCTTCGAAGTTCGTCCGGACTGTGGAGAAACAAGCTACAAAGGAAACGGGAGACTTCAAGGTCTCAAAACACTGATCACGGGCGGCGATTCTGGCATTGGCAGGGCTGTAGTCATTGCCTTCCTCCGAGAAGGGGCGCAAGTGGCTATCAACTACCTCCCCGAGGAGGAATCCGATGCGGAGGACCTTGCCAAAACCTTAGAGCCTGAGGGACTTACGTTTGAGCGTATCCCTGGAAACTTGCTAAACGAGACCTTCTGTGCCAACCTTGTTAAGGAAGCATCGGACCGTCTTGGGGGGATTGATATTGCGATACTAAACGCGGCGTACGTACCCCCCGAATCCTCTAGGCTATTATCTACCTTGGAGGTTTGTATTTAGGTACCTAGACATTAACCATCACCAGCCATCCGGGTAACCTCACCTCCACGATCGAGCACCAAGAAACCTCGCACCTCGAGCGCATCTTCCGGACCAACGTCTTCGCCAACTTCTTCCTCGTCCGCGCGCTCACCCCAATCCTGCCCCGCGGCGGCACCATCCTCTTCACCACCTCCGACATCGTCAACAACCCGGCCCCCACCGCCGTCGACTACGGCGCCAGCAAGGCCTCCATCAGCCACATGATCCGCGCTCTCGCGCACCAGCTCGCGCCGCGCGGCATACGGGTCAACGGCGTCGCGCCGAGCATTACCTATACCCCAGCCCTGCCCGGCGGCGGCTATACGACGGAGTTTATAAACGACTTTGCGGCGAATAGTGTCTGGGGCCGCATCGAGCAGCCGGCGGAGTTGGCGCCGTTCTTTGTCGCGCTGGCGGACCCGCAGGGGAGCTTTGCGAGTGCGACGATTTTGTCGACGACTGGTGGTGAGCCGGGGCCGCATTAAGGGGTTTGCTGGTAGTCTGGGGATGCGGTAGCCTGTGAAATTATGAGATGGGTTACTGGATTACTGGGTGTAATGAGTTTCGTGTATATTTGGAGCGTGTGAAGTCACGAGGATGTACAGGTAGCTGTAGCAAACGGAATAGAAATTAAGAAGCCTCCGGAGTTGCTATAATTGGAACCATCAACCGCGGACATTACGTGACGGCCTAGGTGATCACTAATCCTTTGTATGACCGTTACTCTCCATCCTGCGAATAAAAAGACACCGACAACTCGACCCGACCGGACGGGATCTCAGCCAAGTTGAAGTTGAATTTGATATTCCACTGTGGCACGAAGTGTGACTGTCTCCCTACCCAAGTAACTTCTTCCATTGTAGCACGGGGATTCCAAGGACTCGAATGACACGGAAGACGACTTATTTCAAACGCGGAAAGGGGCATCTTCCGATTATCAGGATAGGACACGGACAGCTGCACCTGGGTTCCGGGGGGTCGGCTCAAGATGGCCGAGATAGGAAGTCAAGTTTCGCGCGCACACAACAAGGCACCGTCGAATATACATAACGCAACTCCCGATGCCAAGTTTTGGTCCTACAGTACGTGCCGTGGCCCCAGCCCCAATCCCATATTATATGCCATGTCGGACTCGATGCAAGATGGGAGTTCCACGATTAACACCCATGGAGAAACCTTTTGGGCAACCCAAGCCTACGGGATCGAAACCAACGCCCCTTCCAATCAAGTAGGCTCCCCCCCTTTTTTTTCCAAGATAAATAGCTTGTTATCGGATCATGCGTTCTGCTGTTACGTGTCCCCATAGGGATGCTGGAAAAAAGCAGATGGCCGTCTCGCGGCTGCGTGCAGCAACTGATCGGCCGGACGGGAAGCAGAGAAGGAAAAGTCCACCAGACCCAGTCAATGGGGAACGGACGGAATGATATCTCGGACGAATCTTGATCCAGCCCTGTTTTATTTTCCAGTGTTCTTTTCTAGAAACGACCCTTCCCGAGCCAGCCTACCTTCGGACCGGCAGGGGGGGAAGACAAGCGAGACAAAAAAAGCAAGCAAACCGTGTCGACTCCCCCCCCCCCCCCCCTATTAATATGCAACGGTGGCGCAATGGCATCACGAAGCAAAGAGGCGGTCTTGGGAGGATCTGATAGAACGCCCCTGGGTCCAGGGACACCGTCTGATTTGCCAGACCGCCCGCTGATCATGCTGCGAATGCTGGACTCTGGAGTGCGGGCGTGACCTGACCTGGCGTAGCACAGGGCTTTCAGGCGGCATGGATACTCGGTACGTGTGTGCAAACATGACGTTTGGGATATGGGAAAGGTGTGCTGGTTTGCCCAAGGCTGTCTTGCCTTTACTCCCGCACGCGAGAGGTACCCCAGGCTGCAAGCGAAAGAAAAAAAGAAAAAAGTCCGTTGGGCGAAAGCCTGGCTTGCTGTCTCGATTAATACTGGACTCCTAATGGCTGCGTCTTCGCGATGCAATGGGATGGCGATTACGAACGATATTTCCTGCATGAGGATGTCGTTATCCCAATTAATCTGATTAAGCCTGATGTCCAAGCACGTCGACGCTGACCGCTTCTTTCGGGTAGGGTACTCTGGGTAATCTACCTTGCACAGGACGGTGGGAAATAGATTGTCATGGACGTCAGAGTGAAACTGCTACCGCTGGCACACGAGAGCTCATCGTCGATTTAAGTATGGTACTTAAATATGGCAGTGATGTCTCCAGGAAGTGATGTTTGTTGACACAGATCTTACCACATTTGACTCTAGAAACTACACAAGAATACCCAGCTATTCCCCCTATTTCCAAGTTTAAATCTTTACAACATGTCTTCTCAGTCAAATAGCAACACATCGAGCTCCCCAGTAGAGGATCGAGCGATATTCGGGTTTGGGCCTGACCACCGCCTGCCCTATTCATGTTCCTACTGCCTCGGAACCCCGAGGATGTAAGTTGTGCCAGTCGTTGATAGTCTTTCAGGCGACAAGCTGACTAACACGTCTACTAGGGTCAAACAATGCCGTCCTTGCAACGGCACGGGGCTGATGTGGGATCGTGGCTCAGACGACGTGTATCAACGAAAGGACGAGATACAGTATACCCCGGGCGGTTCGTCTCCTGGAAGTTCTTCGCTATCATCATAGACTAGAGAGGCTAGAACTGTCTACCTATTTCAACGCTCTATGCTGGTTATATCTCTTCTCTTAACATGGGGCAAGCAACAACTGTTACCGTCACCGGAACTTCGTATATGTCGACCTTGATGGTCTTACATGAATAGTCATTGATACTCGGATTTACGGGTTATTCTTCTAGGGGTATTGGTTTCATACAGTACGTTTCTGGGTTGCGGAGTTCATTGGAATTCGGGGAATATATCCAGGGGCACACTTCATATTATCTCGATACTAGGCATTATTTCATATTACAATGATTATTTTGTTTTCACTGCTCATACCTATTCCCAACGAGCCTAGTTGCATGCGGAGAAGCTGGAGAAACTGGGGAAATGTGCTGCAGTCCTCCACTTCCTCCACTACGGGAGCTTCCACCACGACGTTTAACCGTGATAGCGGGTCATTTATTCCCGGTTCTACTCCCCAAGGCTCCCCAATCGTCAATTAAGCTGCCCTTGCCACACTAGCAACCCTAGCAGCGAGTGCTACTTTGGCCAGGTCTTAGATGGGGAATCGAGAGGGGAACCTGAATAACTGGAGGTAATGCGGAATCATGGTCGCTGTAAGAGACGATACATGGATACCGAGGGTAGGTAGGTAGATAGGTATATAAATGTACCTACCTCGGTAGCCATATAATTGCTATCGGACTTACAGCAACGAATTCTCAAGATGTCAGCATCAACATTCTCCGTGGTCATCCTCCTCGGAACATTCGCTCGCGTGGTCACAAGTTCCGCGGACGCATGTGCATCCTTCGGAAGCCGCCTCTCCATCCCCAAAACCGCATTAATCGCCCACGAGTACCACCCCAATGGCACGAGCATCCCACTCCCCGGGACCGCACCGTCATGCGGCGGGCCCGACCTCCACGCCACCGCCACCGCCTCTATCTGCCGACTCGTCCTCGCGACCAAGACCTCTCCCTCAAGCAAGCTGCAGATAGAAGCGTGGCTCCCCGACGAGCAGAACTGGAACGCGAACCTGCTGTTCACGGGCAACGGCGGCATCGGCGGCTGCATCGACTACGCGACGATGCAGAACGGCGTCGCCGGCCTCGGGCGCGGTGGGTTCGCCGCCTTCGGGACGAACGCGGGCCACAACGGGTCCGTCGGGCACGAGCTCTTCCTCAACCGGCCCGAGGCCATCAATGACTTCGGGCACCGGGCCGTGCACGTCGAGGCGGAGGTTGGGAAGGAGATCGCGCGGCAGTACTATGACCGGACGGGGAAGGCGGCGCGGAAGAACTACTACGCGGGGTGTAGCACGGGAGGCCGCCAGGGGTTCCAGAACGCGCAGATGCATCCGCAGGACTTCGATGGCATGTTGCTTGGCAGCCCCGGCGTCGATTGGCTGCACGTCGTCGCGTCGAAGGGGATCCTTGCGCGGCGGATCGGGTGGCCTGATCTAAACTCTCCGGCGTATGTGCGCCCGGAGCAGTGGGGGGGTATCGTCGAGGCGCAGGTCAAGCAGTTCGATGCGCTGGACGGCGTGGAGGACGGGATCATCGACGAGCCGACGACGCACCGGTTCGACCCCACGATCTTAGCGTGCGGGACCGGCGTGCTCAACGCTTCGCTCTGTCTCACTCCGCAGCAGGTCGAGTCGGTGCGCAGGGCGTACGAGCCGATTGCGAGTTCGTCGGGCGAGATCGTGTACCCGGCTTTTGAGCTCGGCTCGAGGACGGATGTGTTCTCGGAGAACCAGGAGAATGGGACGGCGAGGATGGGGTACACGATCTTGCAGGACTTTTGGCGCGGGGCGGTCTACAATGATACGGACTGGACGCCGGAGAGTTTCAGTGAGGCGGATATGGATTTTGCGGTGGGGATCAACCCGGGGTTGGTAAACTCGGCGGAGAAAGATTTGTCGAGCTTTTACCAGAGGGGCGGGAAGATTATTTCGTATCATGGGAGGACCGATGAGGTGGGTGGCCCCCTGACTATTTCTTAACTGAGTGATGATAGGGGATCCCGCGCCGATTAACTCGAACATATATTAACATCATTCAGACCGTCACATCTGCTAACTCCGAGCAATTCTTCACCGGGGTCCAGAGCGCCCTAGACCTCACGCTGGAAGATATTCATAGCTTCTACCGACTATTCTTCCTACCCGGGATGCACCATTGTTCAGGGGGGCTAGGCGCGTGGAGTATCGGAAATGCTATGAAATATCCATATGACAAGGCGTTGTTAGATCCTAAATACAACGCGCTTGCTGCGTTGGTGGAGTGGGTTGAGAATGATGTTCCACCGGAGACTTTGATTGGCACGAAGTACAAAGATGATATTGTGGGAGGCAGAATTCTAGCGCAGCGAAGTGAGTCTTTCTTTTTCTATCGTCTGAATATGAACTGTTGTCGTGTCGTGCCATTGCTGACTACTTCAACTAGCACATTGCCCCTATCCCTTGGTAAGCAAATGGGACGGTGGTAATGACACCAAGCTAGCGACTAGCTGGGAGTGTCGAATGCCTTTGTAGACGGTACATAGTTATCAGAATTTGGTAGAAAGACGGAATAAAAAGAAAAAAGAAGAGTTGACGATGATGCCCCCACACCGGATTGAACGATGGACCTCAGCATGTCGCATATGACTAACGATACGAGTGCTGCGCCTGAGTTACAAGTTAGTAAATGTGATCAATGCGAACTAAATGATAATTCTCGGTGACTTACTCTACCACTGAGCTATAGGGGCTGACTAACCCATTGCAGTAGCATTGCCTTCCGCTACATGCTATTATATGTGTAGGTGCTAGCCTGGCCCACTAGGATTTTTAGTTACCAAAACTCTGGATAGGGGGTGAATAGGGGGCTAGAGAAAACGATGAGCGTAATATTTTGATAGTCCAGTTTCAAAAAAGTAAGCGATAAGATTGTTTCCCTTTAGATCTCACTCATCTCCATCACTGTTAAAATCAAAAGACTTCAATGGCACAGAGTGAGTATTACGTTAGGGTTAGGGTTTTGCCCCATAGAGTCTCGACTCTCGATGCTTGCCTACCAGGTCTCTCTCCGGGAAGTAAAGGGAGTGTTGCAGGTATGCTTTCCACAAAAAGAGAGAAAGGTGAAAGGGAAAAGGCTTGCTTTATTCCCAACTACAATGGCGCAGTGCCAATATTTAAGGGAAGCCCAGCCCAGTGGGGCTATGGCACTTAAGGCACCAGCAACAATGAGAACGGCGTCAGACGAGATACGCTTAAGTATCGTACTAATGTCTAGGTTAACCTAATGCTCTACTCGTATGAGACCTTTCGCAGACCGACCGAGTGGTACTGGAAAGTTTGTTTGACGGAGAAGAGATGCCTGGAGCCTACAGCAGCGTAAATTGGGCTTAGATCATTTTAGCGCTCGAAGCCTGAATACCTAGGTACCTAGACAGGTATGCTTAGCGGCTGACTGGAGATCCAGACCAACGCTGCGATTAGCTATTCCAACTGGTTCCTGTGTGTCGTCATGAAAAGGGTGGTGATCGTCAGGTGACTGACCCAAGGGTAGCCATCACTACTAGGTAGTGTCCTGCGTTGGGGAGGACTGATTTGGTGTATTGGGCTTTGAATTTCAATGGTAGAAGAGTATGAAATATACCGCTCTGTATTGTCTTATTGTTTAGTCTTCTAGCTATTCTGTAAAGGGCAGATGTGATCCTGCTACGTGGCGTATCGAAGTGTATTGATATCAACCTCGAAAATGCAGTAGTCAAGACCGCACACTCGGCCGTAGGCAGGTACCCAAACTGCCAAGGTGAGTTCCATTACGAAACGCCAAATCTAGAACCATGGTGAATACCGGGTTTCTCTCATCTTTCAACCTTTTAGGACAACGATAGTTTACCATGAAGTCCGTAATAAAATCTATACCCATCTAAGCTTCGCTAGGCTGACCGTGTTATGCTGGGTAGTACGTAAAGACAACCTCTTCGTATATTTGCGTCTCAGTACCACCATCAACGCAAATAGGTAGGGATATTATTTCCCCGCCCGTGAACCCCATTCTTTTGTAAAAGGGAGCTGCTTCGACAGTGCTCTCCAAATACAGGGGAAAACCGCTTGCCTTAGACTGCTGAATACCCCACTGCATCAACAGTTTACCGGCTCCATGTTGAGCGTAAGCAGGATCAGTACCGATATAAGAGAGATCTAGTCATTACCTCATCAGCATCTCGATGTCGGCTGATGATGAAATAAACACCGTGGGTGGGTTAGGAAATGCCCTAACAAGGATGGGGACATACGATAGCATTGAGCATCTCCGATACAGCGTTTCTCAACCTCGGCAGCTTTGGTGACCCAATCTCCTAGGGTTTTGAGATCAGTACCCTCTGGCCATATCCAAGGCGGTTCGACGTAGTCTTCGCCGGGTTGGACAGGGTGCGACCACTTGGCAAATGCGACAACAGAACTACCAGTACTTTCCGGGTCTGCTGGCATCCATGGATGTAAGAGTTAGCGATTCAATCATGTCATGATATTTTATGCCTCAGGTTAGCTAGCGGTGATTGAAGCACCGGCACCAGAACACCCCTCGACATCCACCTCTCCATTATAACCATGAAGTTATGGGAGCATGACACTTGGACAGCAGATAGTTCTTACCGTCAGAACTTGTCACCACAAGCACAGTCGTCTTTGGGTCATCGATATCAGCGAGAGCCTTGTGTTCGATGGAGGTTTGTAACCCCTGACGGATTGCGGGGGTGGGAAACTGGGCATGGAGCATGGCGTTGGGGCCAAACGCTGCCATATGAATCTCCGCAATCCGAGGTGCGTCTTCACGTGTCGCAACACGCATCGTAAGTTGCTTTGATGTCGCAGCCATCCCTTCTATTTTTGCCTTCTTTTTCCTTGTGAAATATAGAAGTAAAAATTACCCATAGCGTAGTAGTTGGATCTCCCTCATGCGTGTTGGTTGTGAGTGTTGCCTTCCTTGCCTTTCTGCCAACTGATACCGCCTAGACCTAGGCTCAGTTGAATCCTTCAGATCTTATGTGGCATCTGTTAAGGGATCAATGGCGGCGAGAAAGACAACATATGCATGGAAAGCTTTAAGATAGGTAGTACATGCACATCATCTTCAGATTTAGACAGGATGGAAGGATATCTTCTCCATTACTCATACGCCTAGATTCTTGCAATGACTTGTGCGAGTACAAGGATGGAACAATGTGTTTGACACACAGGTAACACAGCAACAAATGAGTCGAGAATTGTGCATGCAAAAAACTGAGGTCTCTTTCATCTGAGAACTATAGAACACATAAAGTGATAAAGTGATAAAGTGATAAGGGGATAGCTTCGAAGCTAGAGCCCAGGAGCTTGTTAAAGTTTAAAGAATAGGGGGTGGGGGTTAGGACGCGGGATCCCCCTTTTTGATCATAAAACGGTTAAAGTCCGGAGATAGTTCGCATTGTCGTCATCGGCCGGCTCTATTCGCCGCTTATCTCCATTCCCGATTTTTCTCACTGAATTTATCAATCCCATCCACGCATCCGACGTAGCAAGACACAATGAACCCTTACTTATCCTCGCGCTTCTTAGAACGCTTGAATGGCTAGAGGGGCAGTACCTCCCTATATTTGCGCTTCGTGCGCTCGTAACCTGTTCAATCGAAACATCCAATGCGCCACCCCAATTCAACGAAGGAAATATGCAGCGAACATTCACGGGGCTTCGGGAAACATCACCTCTGAAAATAAATCTAAGGAAAATAAAGAATCCGAAAATTTAGAAAACTCTTCCAATGGCAACACCAAATCTGAGTTGGGCCCATTGGCCCGTCGTCTTGAAGCAGCGACAGAGGAGACCTTATTCACTGGTGGGAGAGCAGGCCGACGAGCTGTAGAGGATGCGGGTTTCTCGGACGAATTGAAAGAACGTCTGTTAGCAAAAGTGAAGGATGCAGAGTTTAGATCGGAACATGCAGCAGCTTTTGCTGAAGCTAATATGCCCTCCGAAGCTGGCGCAGGTACTCGTCTCACAGCTACTAGTCAACCATGGACAGGCACCGAAAGCACAGAAGACGCCGTTTTACGAATGCTCCATGACGCACATAAACCATTAAAACGAGAATTACGAAGCCGCCCCAAAATACCTGAACTTCAACCAATTGACATGCGAATTGGACAAGAGCGTAAAATGAAGCCAGGGCATAGAGCCGCCAATGCCAGGGATAAGGCTTCGATGTACGCGAGTATGGGCATGAAAGAAGCAGGGGAGGGCCTCAGTGAGAAGGAGAGGGAGGAGATGCGAAAAGAACTCCGCGACCGATTTCGACCCGCCGCTCGAGCTATGCCAAATACATTGTCTGGACTAGCTTCATTGGCAAACGAGAGAATCGAAGACGCCATTGCAAGAGGACAATTCAAAAATATTCCGAGAGGCAAGGGCATTGAGCGGGACACGAGGAGTGATAATCCATTTATTGATACGACTGAATACATCATGAACAAGATGATCAAGCGTCAAGAGATAGTACCGCCTTGGATTGAGAAGCAGCAGGAAGTAGCGAAAGCGGCGCATGTGTTTCGGGCACGGCTACGAGATGACTGGAGGCGCCACGCTGCTCGGATGATTGCGAGCAAAGGTGGTCGCCTTGAGGATCAGTTGCACCGAGCGCGACAATATGCGAAAGCCGAGCAAGTATATAACCCGCGAAAGCGTAACGTAGACCAGATAGTGGTACCTACCAATGTGACGGATGATCCAATTATGGCCAAGATGCGAGAGCAGGCATCCTTGGAAGAAGCGAATTCCGAGACGGCCCCGGACACGGTTGAGAGTGGGGCGACATCTCCAGACGAGCCCTTGCCACCTCCTTTCCGCGATCCAGATTGGCTAGCAACTGAACAATCTTACATGAATCTCTCAATTAGCCACTTGAACACACTCACTCGGTCATACAACCTGATGGCTCCGGAACTCGCGAAGAAGCCATACTTTTCGCTCGAGCGAGAATTAAATAATTGTTACGCCGACGTTGCGCCACAGCTGGCAGACATCATCAAGGACCGAGCTGCCAAGCCGTCTAGCAAGTCACTGTTGGGCGGCAACCACACTACCACCAGCATCTTGGATCGTTTTGGAAATAGTAGTCATACTGCGAAAGTGTATGACTCGAAAGCGCCTCATTATGGGTTTAAAGAGATGTGGCGGGATCTTTGGAGCCGTAACTGATTCTTGACTCCTGATGAATGAACGGGGTTTTTTGTTAATGCATATTGATTCCTGGTGATGAATGAATTCAAACACGAAGAGTTAGTTGCCCATGCATTACATGTAAATTAAAGATAAATGAATCAGGTCTTTAAATAAAATATTAAAAACTGATTGTGCTCTCGTCTTTATATCGAAAGAAATACAACCTGATTGTCTTGAGTCTTGACCCCTTTCCTCCCGGACTAAAGGGAGCTCAATAGGTCTCGGGCCGAGCCGTCAGCAGGTACTCCCGGATCATAGCCGAATTTGGATTATCCAGGAACGGACCACCGGCGCAGCGGCGTTATAAGTACCCTGCTAATGTCGTCATATCAGTATCAGTCAGTACCTATCCATAATTTTGATATGTTTGTCTGATTTTGAACTTTAACGTGGATTAACATAACACCTGAGAATATTACAATTAGAACATCAAAAAAACAAACACATTGGATGTTTAAAGAAAAACAATAAGACGATTTGTTTACATAGTTCATTCTATTGCAACACAGCCCGAAATCGCCTGTTTTGGTGGCTAAAATAGTTAAATAGTGGCACCACTTAGGCATTTAGGTCACTTAATGTAGCCTAGACTTTTTGGATTCATAGGATTTATGGAATTACTGGGCCTTCAGTTTCCGCAATAATCGGGGGGCATTCGGCGTTCTCCATTACTCCAGAAAGCTTGAAAACTTGTGAGTCGCGACTTATCTCTCCTCTAATTTCTTTCTCCCCATCTTCTTAATTTCAAGTTTCTCTTTCCTTTCTATTTCCTTTATAATTTCCTTTAGGATTTGCGCGGGTGTCAATAAAAGTTGCTTGCAGTGCTACATACCTACCTACCCTTCCCCCCTCGACCGAATCGACAGCTAGATCGATCGATTAACCCCTGTGTTAGATATCGATATCTCATCTGCCCCTCCAAAAAAAAACCCCCCAAAAAACTACACCAAATTTAGAGCTGTTAGCTGTTAGAGCTATTGAGCTCGGATCGTGACATCATGGCGTCGCCAATTGCATCCGCAGCTCTCAAAGCTCGCGTTTTTCGACCGTCTATGCTGAAGAAGCTATGTCGACCTGAGGACATGCTACACCATTTCCCCAATGGCGCCTACATTGGCTGGTCCGGGTTCACGGGTGTGGGCTATCCCAAGTAAGTACCGGCTAAATTCCCATTGTATAGCTTGTGGGCTGGAGATCTAATACTCAATTCGTAGGAAAATGCCCACTTTCTTGGCAGATCACGTAGAAAAGAACAATCTACAGGGCCAGCTACGTTACACATTATTCGTCGGAGCTTCATCGGGAGCTGAAACGGAGAACCGATGGGCTGAACTAAATATGATTGAGAGACGAAGTCCTCATCAAGTCGGCAAAGCTATCGCGAAGGGTATCAATGAGGGGAGAATTCAATTCTTCGATAAGCATCTTTCCATGTTCCCTGTAGACTTGGTATATGTAAGTTGAAGCTGCCAGAACGTTCCACAATACCACTCAGGTGTTTGATGAAGCATACTAACTTTTACTATCAGGGCTTTTACACCAAAGATCGGCCCAACAACAAATTGGATGTTGTAGTGGTGGAAGCAACAGAGATCAAGGAGGACGGTAGTATCGTTCCCGGCGCATCTGTTGGCGCAACACCCGAACTGGTCCAATTAGCAGACAAGGTATGTAAAGCTGGTGAGGGTAATATCTAAAGTTTTATCACTAACAAGAGTTCGCTATGCCAGATCATTATTGAAGTCAATACGGCTATTCCTAGCTTCAATGGACTTCACGACATCACAATGACCGATCTACCACCGAACCGAAAACCGTACTTAATTATGGACGTCGAAGATCGCATCGGCTCTACATCTATCCCAATTGACCCCGAGAAGGTCGTGGGTGTGATCGAATCCGACTACCCTGACCAAACGACGGATAACACACCTGCTGATGAATCTTCGCGCGCGATCGCTAACCACTTGATCGAGTTCTTCGAGCACGAAGTCAGCCACGGCCGCATGCCCAAGAACCTGTTACCCCTACAGTCAGGTATCGGCAATATCGCGAACGCCGTGATCGGTGGTCTTAGCGAGTCCAACTTCTGGAACCTTAAGGTGTGGACCGAAGTGATCCAGGACACCTTCCTGGACCTCTTCGACTCCGGCCGCCTCGACTTCGCAACTGCAACCTCGGTCCGCTTCTCCCCCGACGGGTTCAAGCGCTTCTACGATAACTGGGAGTCGTATCATAACAAGTTACTACTCCGATCGCAGCAAGTGTCTAACTCGCCCGAGATCATCCGCCGACTAGGCGTCATCGGAATGAACACGCCTGTCGAGGTGGACATGTACGCGCACGCAAACAGCACCAACGTGATGGGCAGCCGTATGCTCAACGGCCTCGGCGGGTCCGCCGACTTCCTGCGCTCTTCCAAGTACAGCATCATGCACACTCCCTCGACGCGCCCCTCCAAGACCGACCCCATCGGCGTCAGCTGCATCGTCCCCATGTGCACGCACGTCGACCAAACCGAGCACGACCTCGACGTTGTCGTCACCGAGACCGGTCTCGCTGACGTCCGCGGCCTCAGCCCCCGCGAGCGCGCGCGCGTCATTATCGATAAGTGCGCCCACGAGGAGTACCGACCTATTCTCAAGGGCTACTTCGAGAAGGCGGAGTACGAGTGCTTGAAGAAGGGCTGGGGCCACGAGCCGCATTTGCTGTTCAACAGTTTCGATATGCATAAGGCGCTTCTGGAACAGGGGAGTATGCGGAAGATTGGGAAGTGGTAGATGCCTGTCTGCTTAGACAATTAGATTCGTGTTAGAGTAGAGATAGGGGAGAAAGGGGAATAATGAGTGGGGCGGTTGCACGACTTTTGTATACCAGGATTTCGGCGCTGGCAAAGATGGACAACTGTTAACTGGGCATGGAATCTGGTGGCTAGGTCATCTCATATCTACTTGATGTCGTACATACTATGTAGATGCCATGTAGACTTTGGATTATATGTAGCATGTAGCAATGTAGCAAACACGTATTGTACATATTTCCTTGGATTTCTTTTAAGTATCGTTTGGTCATTGTATAGTAAGTCTGCATGTATCAACCTACTAATATTTTAGGTTAGGAGCTTGAAGGAGGCTATAAGGGGTAAACACTTCTTAGACTTTTACGGAGGTGCCTTTCTGAATATTCTTCCATGTTACACCCCTGTCAGAGCCGTTGTCGGTTGTCAGGCAAATCTGCCAATTGGTTATCAAGCTCCCCGCCACCTGGCGGTAGCTGTGTCGGTCCAAGGTACAGAGGCTATACAGTATGAAAGAATAAGACAGATGGCAAAGAATGGAGGATAGGTGGCAGTTATATTTAACAGCCGACAAAGATCCGGCAGGGGATTTGGCGGGGGTGTATAATAACTAACTATGTCTGAAAGGCACCTCCGACGGTCCTCCGTAGTTAGGCAGCTGGGAAAGTGATCTTCCTAAGGGTATGTATAGAATAATTGCAAAGCCCCTCCATAAGTCTGAACGAAAATAGCTATCTAAGTCTTTAAGGAAAAGGGCAGGGATAATATGTAGGTCTTTGGGGTCCAAGGATGCTGTAGATAGTAGGCTGAAGAGTGTGATGGGGCTGGGGATGAGGTACGCCGAATAGATAGTGCGACGCACTGTAGACATGTAACGATACGAATTTCTATAGATTTGAACCTTCTCCAAGCTACACCACTTCTCTCAAACCTAGTATCTTCCTATAAGAAGTACCTATACACCACAGTGCGCCTCTTATGTATTTCAGTAAATCTATACATAATTGAACCGACGGCCGCAAATGTGACAAACCACCACCACACGCATTGCCCAGCAGGGGTTCTATCAAGAATTGATAGTTTCATGCGAGGCGTCATTCTAGGACTGTCCTTTTGCTATACCTGGACCGCCCGGCCTGGGTACATGTTTCCACCCTACGCTTCTCCCCCCCTAGGATTATTTCATTTTTGGCGCGGTCTTCTACATCCATGGATCTCAGACACACGCAGGTAAAAGTGTATCGTCAAGCATCTCGAGAGATATCCGCAACGGCAGCTGAGAATAGCACACAGCAACAAGACCAACCGTCAACCATGGGCCCAAACACCAAGCTCCCCGCCTCCGACTCCCCCCAGCTGTGCCTGCACCAGCCCACCCCCGAAGAATGCATCCAGATCTGGTCCAAAACCGCCGCCGCCTGGAAGGACTCCCTGACCGTGCCCCTCTACATCCTCGAGGCCCAGTACCTGACCACCGTCCCGCTCGCCCGCAACCGCGGCATGACGACCTGGGTCCTCGCCGACGCCTCGCTCCCAGCCAACCACCGCCCCCTCCTCTGCTCCAGCGAGAGCTTCCGCAAGCGCGCGCTCGCCAGCGACGCGCACGGCAATGTCAAGGAGTGCGTCGTGCACGGCATCGCGAGCGTCTTCTGCCCCGCGGAGTTCCGCGGCCGCGGGTACGGGTCGCGGCACATGCGGGAGCTGGCGGCGGCGCTGAGGAGGGGGTGGCAGGGGGAGGGGCGCGGCGCGAGCGTCGGGTGCGTGCTGTACTCGGACATCGGGAAGCGGTACTATGCGCGGCTGGGCTGGCGCCCGCACCCGCGGAACGCGCACTTTGCGTTCCCGCCGGCGCAGGGCGGGGTCGCGGAGGAGACGCCGGCGCGCGCGCGGGCACAGGTCGTCGCGGAGCGGGACCTCGGGGCCCTCTGCTCGCGAGACGAGGCGATGGTGCACGCGGCGATGGCGACGCCGTGCAGCGCGACGGCGCGCAGGCGCGTGGTGGTTCTTCCGGACCTCGAACACATGCTCTGGCACATCCGGAAAGCTGACTTCGCGACGGCGTACATCTTCGGCAAGATCCCGGCCGCGAAGGGGGCTGCGGCGGGAAGCGCCCCCGGGAAACAGGTCTGGGCGATCTGGACGCATAGGTACTACGGACACCCGGATCATGTGGACGAGGCGGTGGAGGGGGTGGGGGAGGCGGGGGGCAACGTGCTGTATATACTGAGGCTCGTGGTCGAGGGCGATGGGACGGCTAACAGGCCGCGCGAGGAGGGGCGGTTACCGCCGCTGCCGATGACGGAGAAAGAGACGGAGGAGTATACGGAGAGAAAGGAGGCGCTGGAAGCGGTGCTGCGGGCCGCGCAGAGTGAGGCGGCGGAGTGGAGGCTTGATAGTGTGAAGTTGTGGGAGCCGTCGCCGCTGGTTGAGAGGATGATTGAGGAGAGTGGGATTGAGGGGGTGGAGTGGGTGGAGAGGGAGGAGGAGAGTATTGCTAGTGCGCTGTGGTTTGAGGAGGGGGGGGAGGGGGAAGATGGTGGTGGTGGTGGGGATGGGGATGATGGGGAGGGTGTGGTTTGGGTGAATAATGAGCATTATGCGTGGTGCTAGGGCTACAATACGCCGGCTGTTTCTTTGAATGCCATTTTGAAGGCAATACCTTCATGGCTAGTTCAAGTATTAGGTAGGTATGTAGGTAAGTACAAATGCCATGTACAAAGTAAACAGGATCTGTGTCGTGAGAATAAAACAGTGGTATCTCATAATGCAGATTTAACGCTGTGGAAGATTATATACGCCATTACGCGAGCTAACCCAACACCCCAAATAATATAAACTGCATTCCACCTCCCCCCCCTCTTTCTTCTTCCCCCCTTTTCCCCAACCCCCCAACACTCCAACAACAACATCTACCAAATCTCAACCCCCCTAATCCCCCCAATCAACCTGTATATAATCAAACTCCCTAATAACCTCCTTCACACTTCCATCCCACGTCCCCGCCTCCATCGCCACCATGCTCGCCCTTTTCCCGTCAAGCGTCTTCGCCGCCTTCCGGAAGCTGGGGTGCTGACACACTAGGCGGAGAAGCGCTGGGTCGCCGATCTTGGCGGCGTAGTGGACTGGGGCCCAGCCGTCTTTGCCCACGAGGTGCTGGGACTGAGGATGGAGATAGAGATGGGGGTGGGGGTGTTGGAGTAGGGCCATGGCACATGGGATATGGGAGTTCGAGAGCGCGGTGAGGAGGGGCGTGTTGCCGTTGTGGTCTCGCGCCTCAAGGATCGCCTCTACGCTACTAGGACTGGAACTGGAGCCACAGTCGGAGTTTGAGTGGGAGTTCGATAAGGATGATGACGATAGATACTCCAACATAACCTGCAACGCGGCAGTCTCCCCGTCGTTGCAAGCGCGATGGGCCGCGTTCTGCCCCGCGTCGTCCGTGATGTCGAGGCTTGCCCCGTGCTGGAGCAGGAGCTCGACGCAGTGCGCGTCGTCGAGGAATTCAAAGAGGGGTGGGCGGCCGTTGGAGTCTTGCGTGTTGACGTGTGTTGGTGTTGTGTTTGGCGTATTATTATTATTATTACTGTTGTTACTGCTGCTACCGTGACTGCACAACACGGCTACAATAGCAGGCCTCTGACTACTCTGCGCCGACAATCCCGCAAAATGCAACGCCACCTGTCCGTTCTCCTCCTGCACATCGGGGTCAGCGCCGGCATCGAGCAGCAACTTGACGCACGACGCGGAGAGGCATGAGGCGACGTGCACGGCGGTCTCGCCCCAGACGTTGACCTGGTTGATGTCCATCCCTCCCTGGTCCGAGCCACCACCACCACCACCACCACCAATGCCGCGACACCGCTTCCAGATCTCCAGTGCAGCAACAAGCCCCCTATCATCCTTCGACTCGACCGCCGCATGGATAATATTCGCGCCCAAATTCGACAACAGCAGCGGGTCCGCGCCGTAGTTTATCAGCGTGTGCATTGCCTCCACGCGGCCCGACGACGCGGCCCAGTGCAGCGGTGTCCAGTGGTACTTTTTGTCCTTCTGGTCGATGAGGTGGTGGATTACTTTGGTTCCTCGGGGAAGCGAGAAGGCGGAGGCGCGGAAGTACTCGAGGATGGAGGAGAAGAGGGGGGAGCGGTGCCGGTATTGCTGCTTCCATTGCGCCCAGTTTGTAGTCGCGGGGGCGTTGTTCGCGTCGTCCGTTAGTTGGAGGAGGCTGTGGTGGTTAGCATAGAAACCGCATAGGTAGGTAGGTAGGTACTATGCATTGCACTTGTGGTAAGGTATGTACATACTTTTCAATGGATGGCCGCTCGCGGTCTTCGGGGCTGTATAGGTCTAGTACTGCCACGTGTATGGGGGTAAACTCGAAATCCGCGAGGACGTCATCTTGATCGCCGAAAAGCGCCACAAGCTTTTTCTCGTTCTCGGTGGCGTCTTTGCCTATAGACTTGAGCACAGCAAAATCGGCCGGTACTCTAGGGGATGAACATCAGTACTCGCGTAAGCAGAGTGGGCATGGAGGGGTTCCGAATTAAAACATACCTGGCTCCGATGTCGCCGGTATGGGTTGCGACTCCAATTTCTAGCAAATATTTCACTATTTCGGTCTGCCTGTTGTATGCAGCAGCCTAACGAAGGCAGTATCAGCACTCCCATCCGACGCTGTCCATTGATAAAAGGGGGACGACTAACATGTAGCAGCGACCACCCATCAGGCGCCGTGTCCCATATTGTAGCTTCCCCGGACTCGATACACCCCTTCAGCTTCTCCAGGTTACCGTGCTTCACATATCGCACCGCGTCCGATCCTTCGGGAACCATCCGGAATGTCCGGAGATCGTAGCGTACCTCTACGCTCTTGGCCGACATGACGTTCGACAAGACCTTGCGGAAGGAGCGTGAGTACTCTTCTGCCGTATCCTCTATGGTGCCATTACCCCTGCAGGCCGGGTCGGTGCATTTCGGCTTCTGGTTCTTCGAGCCGCCGCGAGATCCCATGAAACGGTGTCGGGGTTTCGCAGCCGGCTCCTCGTGGCACTGGCAGTGGCAGCTGTAGCGGCACGACCGGCGCGTGACGAACATGTCTTGGAGGAACAGCTGCCGCTTGTTTTGGTGCGTGAGGTTCGTCCTGGCAAGAGCTTGGGTTTCCGGCTCGGCGATGCCCAGCGCCGAGTCGCTGGAGCCCCAGGACGTCGAGCTTTCGATGCTAGTTGCCGCGCTGGCCAAGGATATCCGTTCCATTAGAGACGTGGCGTCTGAGGCATTGGAGCTGGTGGCGTTGGAGCTGTTGCTGTTTTTCCTCGGGCGGAACCCGATGCTGGGGACTTGTAAGTTAGACGAGCTTCTTGTTAAGTCGTCACTGCCAGCCGGCTCTGTAATGGTGGTCTCTGTTCCTTCGATGAGCTGCGAGAGCATAAAATTTGGGATCTGACTCGTTATGGCCATGAAGCTCTCGCTGATGATAGTTAGCTTGGGCACCAGAAATTGAGTGCCGTATATCTAGATGGCGGTAGCATCTTACGCATGAGTGATGGACAAGAATGTGTGCAACATAGCGTTCTTCTCTTTTAACTTGTCGTGAATTTTCCTCACGGAGGACTTGTGCTGAACCCATTTTGCCCGGCGTATGGTTGCCAAGCTCGAGCTTCCTATCTGGCTGATATAAGTCTCGAGCTCTTGTAAGAGCTTATTAGAATGGCTTAGTATATCTTCGATGACGGGACCGGAGACACGGTGCAGGGTGTGTTTGCTCCGCAAGATTCGATCAAAGCTGATCAACGCCTCGGTAAAGACGGAGAGGTCCTGGGCTAGCGTCGCGAGTTCCTTCTCGCCATCTTTGAAGCTCCTGATCACGCCGGCGACCTTCTTGGCGGAGTTGATGAGCTGAACGATGGAGGCGGCTAGGCCGATGATGGTTATCGGGTCCATCAAGATCTCTCAGGCCCGCCTTTTTCGAAATGACGAGGCTCGGCAATCGTAGTCAACTAGTGAGGGGTGCCTTTTACCTGTGACCCCTATTATTACATGGTTGATCGGTACCGATCATGTTGGTTACTCTATAGACTATGCGATGAAGTCACTAGCTCTTAGCAACAGAGATGGAAGTGGAAGAAAATGGCGATGCATGGGTAGATTTGTTTGACGACGGGCACCCTTACATGGGCCCAGGTTTACTTCTTCTGCCTGAGGTGCACTTTACAGGGCTTCGTGGGTGCCAGGTGAACATTGAAACTCGATTAAGTATCAGCCACATGCCTCTGTACTTCGTACATGTACATGGTGATGCTCAGCTTAATGGGTTCAAGGCTCATGCATTAGTGCTTATTTAGTTTATGATGCTATCCAATCGTTTGAATATAATAGAAGCTGTTATCTGTAGGATGTTGTTTTTGCTAAAAATACCCAGCATCAGATAAACCAACACACATACGGGATCTTTATAGGTAGCCAATAAGACCTCGGGTACTTTTGAACTAGACGCTTTTGCGTTTGTACTTTGTGTACTGTGTACTACCATACTAGGCATACATATTACATATGTATTGTAGTAGTTATAGTACAATACAATGCCATTGAACATGTCAACGAAGGACCGAGGTCTGTCAACCAATAAGATCACAGGATGGTGCTTCAGGCATGTCTTGATTGATGGCGATGGTCAGGGGTAGCGGGACTATCCGAAGTGCACAATTAGATAACTAAGCTTCTACCACGTGATCTAAATCGTTCTATGATATTGGCCTTGCTACAGATGGCTGTTTGATGATACCTATCTACTATCTCATATCTAATACTGGATCATGTGAACTAGAAGTTCTTAGACAAGGCAAGCCTCCTTAATTGCAATTGTGTCAATCTTTGTGTATCATCATTGTAGATGCTACCTTAGCTATGGTAGGTACCTAGTAGCTACTTGTATCCCATATAAGTACCTACCTACACCAAACTTCACCAGCCTTATCCATCACCATCCTCCTGATCACGCCCACTTCCCCAAAAAGCTCATCAGCACCATTCCCCCCACCAACCCCAAGCCTCCAAGCGCCGTAACCGTCTTCCCCGCATGCACCAGCTCCCCACCCGCAAACATCCAGTCGCCCGCCCACATCTCCACAATGCCAACCCACATCAGGATGCCCGCGGACAGCGCGTCCAGCGTGCCGAGCGCGATCAGCGTGCTCGGGTCGTTGCCGTTGAACTGCCGCAGCACGCCCGTCCCGATCGCCATGCCGACGGGCGTCACGAGCGCGAAGGCGGACGCCATGAGGAGTTTTTTCGGCATCGAGAGTAGTCTTGCCTTTCCCGTTGTGGACGTAGACTCGCTGTGGTGGTCGTCCGTCCGGTTTTCCTCGGCCGCGACTAGCTCTTCTTGGCTGCGTGGGGCCTTGTTCTGGTCCTCGGAGGTGGAGGATGGGGTGTGCGTGCCGTTGCGGTTTCCGTTGGTGGCGGTGTTTGGGGAAGAGGGGGAAGAGTCGTGGAAAGCGCGGGTGCCGACGGAGGCGATCCGGGTGCCCAGGGCGAGACCCTCGAACATTTGGTGGAAGAGGATTACCACGAAGAGGGTCACGAAGAAACTGTCGCCGGCGACGACGAGGGTTATGCCGATTACTGGGGGGGGTGTTAGCTGGATGGGTACCGAGAGAGCCCAGCTAGGTAGGGTTAAGGGCGAATAGGAGGGACTTACGCAGCGAATGGAATATGATACCCGCCTCGAGGACCGCGACGCCGACTACCTCGTCATTGTACTGCGACCTCGACCAGAATTTCTCCGCGATGCGGTGGCTGGAGGTTTCAATGATGAACGCGAGGAATAGACCAGCCATCGTAACCGCGGCGGTTGTTCCCTCGTACTCGAGTTCGCCGAGGCATTCGTTGGTGAACATTAGTTGGGCATGCGTGAAGAGCTAAGAACGCGCCCAGGATAGGTTAGTAACTATGACTAAATTTCGTTCTGTGTCTGAGATAAATAGGGGTTGTGGGGGAGGCTTACGTGGACGAACGCCGTCGCGATAATAACCCCTGTGCCGAATTGCTTCAGAACGATGAACACCGGTTGGAATTTGGTGGACAGGACAGGCTTGAGGAATATCGGTCCCGCAACACCTAATCGTTGAGTATCAGCGCGTCATTCTGCTCGTAAAGTAACCATTTGAAACTCACCGATGAAGCTTGTCGCTAGGATGACGAAGATGAGACCGATTCTCAGCGGGATGTTGTATTCTCGGTCTCTTCGCGAGCATTCTGAAGCGCCACTTTCTCCTTCGGCGCTAACGCAGTGTCTTTGAGATGTTAGATTTGGAAGCACCAAATGAGGATAGGAGAGGATATGTATGTGGCTTACTCAACACCTGCATGGAAGTGGCAGTTTTGACCACTTGCGCTGCTGCTTTCAGTGCTGGAGCTTTCTGCTGCGTCAGAGGTACTGCTGCTCTCCTCTGACCCCCCAACGTTGGGATCGATCACTTGAACTTCAGATCCATCTGGGCGATAGCAGTATCTAGGACGTTTATTAGTTCTATTTCATATACATAGAAGTTTCTTGACTTACATGTCACTCCCGTGGCCATGGCAGCCAGTGTATGCAGATGGAGCCTCCGTGGTAGCTCGTAAATAAAGGGGGGCAGGTTCAGTAATCGTTGGAATAGGTTCCTTTGAGAGGATAACCGAAGCCGTAGTGCCTTGAAAGATGTTGCCACAAATTAAGGGGAGGGCAACAACGGCCAAAATGCCATTTAGGAGGCCCATTTTGTCGAAAGTGAGTGATGAAAAAAAGAAGAAAAGAATGAATGGCCGAGTTGAATTTCACCTGTTCGTGAAATTTCACCTTTTCGTGAAGTTTATATCATATAAACTCACAGACTAAAATATTACTGTCTGTGTTCCCAAGTCGTTATTAGCAGAGCCTCATAATATATTAAAAGACCCAGACAAGTACCTCGAAATGGTTCCAACAAGCGCCTGTGTGTAGGTATGTGTGTATTTCCCAGGTAAATATCTTCTGGCCATCAAGGTTGCCCCCGTTTCTCTCCACCCTACCAAAACCGTCCTGTGTGCGGTACTTGGCGCTCTCACGATGCGCAGTGGAAATCTCTCTTTGTCCCCTGTAACCCCCGATGCTAGGCCATCCTTTGCTAGGTACTTGGCAGGTTCCAGTATAAATGGCCCGATGATGATTATTTTTTTTTCTTCAAAGAGGAGTTATAAGTAAGCCGGATTTTGATGTAGAATCGGGCATGCAACCCGAGACAGGAGAGGACCTTGATGGCCCTTTTTGTATGACTCCTGGGAAATGACTTCCCAATTTCCAGGTCGGACAGAAATGTACCATGGCGATGGACATTCATCATTGTGCATTTATCCGCATCTAGGGGTACTATAAGTCTGGCAGGAAAAGAAGGGGAAAGGGGATGGGAATGGGGGAGTATACGACGCAATATGCAATGTAGGGGTATTTGATGCATACTGATTGGCCTGTTGCAGCGGAGTGATGTACATAACTAGATGCAGTCAATATCTATAGATTACTACGATGTTACTATGTGCGCTATTTGGAAATACCATCATATTGACTTTTAGGTGAGTAGGTAGGCATTTTTCTTAGTATTCGCCTCTTTGTGGAGACGACAACGAGCACGCGATCTGCATGACTTCACTTTACTATATATATATATACATGATGTTCCTTGGATACCTAGTACTAATGGATGTAGGTATTGCTATGATTTATATCACCAGGGTCCCTTATATTCACAAGCCCATTCCCGCAGCTGCAAGTAACCCCCCTACGAGAGCGGCACTACCCATTCTCAGATTCCCAGCACCCCCCGTCTCCGCTGCTGCCTCCGAAGATGTGGTGCTAGCAGGGCCGTCACAGTGCCAGTGGTCACCATGAGCCTCGCATCCGACAGACTCGGTAGGGCTTGGTGCTAGTGTTGCAGAGCCTTCTTCGTGGTCCTCATCGTGGTCTGATGTGCTAGATGAAGTCACCACGCTGACCGTGCTGGATGCAGTCACTGAGCCGGTAGCGCTGGATTCCGTTACCGAAGCGATAATGCTAGATGCAGTTGCTGCTTCGACGGTGCTTGAAGCTGGTCCATCGCAGTGCCTACCAGAGGAGTAATAATGAGTTTCTAGCAACACAATAAAGTAATACAATTAGATTGATAAAGCTTACCAGTGATCTCCGTGAGCCTCACACCCGACAGATTCAGTGGGAGAAGGGGCTAAAGTTTGTGCGGTGGCTGATGAGGCGGCGAGAAGAGCCATCATCAGAATATTAAAGTTATACATATTGTTGGATATACAACGCAAGTCTATAAGCGTGAAGATATCAAAAAACGAGTGGCCTGACCGCTCAAATCGTCGGTTGGCACAAGTCGGGGGCTTATATAGATGCCCACCTCCTGGGCCCATCATGTCAACGCCCCAGGATCCTTCCATGAACACCACGAATTTGATGACAACAGAGAACTCATTACTGGGACTTCGACCATCAAGGATACTATGCTAATCCTCTCGGTGAGCGATGCAAACTAACCCCCAATCTAGGATATTCAACCGACTGCTGCCCGCAGAGGTTGACGCCAAGCTGGGAGCCTGAATGGATCACGAACTGGAGAAAGACCGAATTATCCCACAAATACTAGGCCAGTTAGTAATGTTTTTCTCTTTCCGTAGAACCTATAGGTTCGACTCGAGTCGTATAGAACTTGCATGGTGGGAAAAGAGTACAGCAACGGAGCACCTTGATGGCCGTCGGGATAGACTATATATCTTGGCCTTCTCTCTAAAAGGGTCAGATCCAATTTTTGCGCCTTCTTGGCGTGGGCGGTTGGCCCGGCCATCATCGATGCCAAGTTATCGAGAAGCTTTTCAGCCTTCGTCACTCACGATTCTATCCCGCTTGTGCGATGACCTTTTTCGAGCTCCGATCGGGGGACCAACAGAAACCGGATTTGCTAGGGATATTTGACAAGGTTGTTGAAATTTGAGCTCCTCGGTGAGGGGAAGGAAAAATAGAGACCTCAATGGCTTTTTTAGCTAGTAAGAAGAAGAACTATATAATGCGGTGGATATAACAGGACGGTGCTGGTTCGACTTGAAATCCGGGTATTGATTCCTAAAGGAGTGATCATCTGTTCCCGACTTAACTCCCCTGAGATTTCTTATTGATCCAACCGTCCAACATGCGTTACTCCATCGGAACTGCGGCCCTGCTGTGTCTCGTGGCCAACATCAGCCCCGGCCTGACTTCTAAGCTTCGTGTCCGACAAGAAGTGGTGACTGTAACGCACACAGTCACCAGTTCCCCCTCAGAGCCAACACCTTACCGCTGGGCCGCCGGCGCAACTGAGAACTACCCCATCCACAGCTCCTGCAACGCCACCGAGCGCGCGCTTCTCACCCGAGGCCTCGACGACGCCATCAAGCTCGCGGAACACGCCAAGCAGCACGTGCTCCGCTTCGGCAACAGCTCAGACTTCTACGTCAAGTACTTCGGCACGGCGCCCTCGGCAGAGGTTATCGGATGGTACGATAAGATCGTGAGCGCGGACCGCGGCGGGATCTGGTTCCGCTGCGACGACGTTGATGGAAATTGTCACCAGGATGGTGAGTGCTGTCTAACTCTTACTTACCTACTTCTCTCTCTCTCTCTCTCTCTCTCTTGCTGCCAAGTAACAACAACAAGCTAACCCCACCCCCACTCCAGGCTGGGGCGGCCACTGGCGCGGCTCGAACGCGACCCAAGAAACCGTCATCTGCCCGATCTCCTACACGACGCGGATGCCGCTTGAGGGGCTCTGCGGGTACGGGTACTCGGTCGCCGCCGGCAAGCTGAACCTGTACTTCGGCTCGGACCTCGTGCACCGCCTGTACCACCTGCCGTCCATCGGCGAGGGCGCCGTCGAGCACTACGCCGACACCTACGCCGAGTGTCTTGAGCTGGCGGTGCATGACCCGGCGCGGGCGGTGAGGAACTCGCACACCCTGCAGTACTTTGCGCTGGATGTGTATGCGTATGATGTTGCGATTCCGGGCGAGGGGTGTACGGGGAAGGCGCCGGCGGAGGAGGACTCAGCGTCTTCGGAGACGCCGTCGTCAACGACGTCTGCTGATGCGGGGGCTTCGGCTACTGCTACTACCACGGCAGCTGCGGTACGTGTGATGAATTAATGAAGTTTGGGAGGGGATTTGTGCAGCTAACATGGTTAATAGGAATGTCATACTCACGCTGATGGGACCGAGCATTGCTCGTAGTCAAGGCGATACACCAACCTGGAAACTTAGGTTAGGTATTAGGGTAGTTAGTTTCGACTTAATAGTGTGATGGTGGTTCTAACTTCAGTAGTTCTATCAGAGAAGGGCTCTAAATTTCTTGTATATATGTATGAGCTACTAACGTAATAAGAGACGGGTTAGTTTGTGGAAAGTAATCATGAGCATTTTCTGAGTACATATCGACCTACCGAGGTATCTATTAATGAGGTACTGAGTATGGTAGCCTCAGGGTTTAAAGAACCTACCCATGAAATACGATGCTTCACGCCCCATAGTGTTAACCCTATAAGTAGCACGCCTACGATAACCCAGTATAACAACTTGGCATTTTAGCATTTAGAGATTAACTATGCCTTCATAGACATTTTTTTTTCACATTGAAGTTGATCTTATATGAGTGTTAGATTATCGTAGTTTTAGCTGTAGTTATCTGTATCCTCAAAAAGAGCAACTAACTAGAGATACCTAAGGTTTCTTGCTATAACGGTCTACAAAACCCCGACAACTACCAAGGTAGATTTCTAAGCATTATAACCATTGCAACCTTAACTCAATCCTTCCAGACTCAAGAACTATGCCATGATACGATACTTATACGACGACCTCTTAACCCCCCCTCTAACTAACCCCTTTTCCACACTATACCCCGATACCTCCGCAAAGTCCTTTACCATCTCCTTGGCATTGCTCAACAACCAACTCTATCCAAGTAACATCAACCAAACAAAAGTCAAAGTAACTATGCTACATCATAGATCCTCGGGCGTCTCGCAAAACCGAGGCCTTATTCCGACAGTCGTACCCTCTCTCCGAGCAGATCAAATTCCCAAAGAGGAAATGCACTAACCCCGGGCGCGACGCGAGCGGCGCAGCTACCTAACTCCGGAAGTGGCCGGGGATAAGCGCCCCCTACTATGGTAGCTAGAATAGTTAGAAGGAGAAATATGCTTTGGAATGACGTTAATTGGATATAGCGGTTTTCATAGTGACCGAATCTGTGGTTTAGAGGAGCTCAATACTTCGGAGATGCATGGATGGATGGATGGATTGTAGGTTTGTACAGTATATAAACCATGGCCGCCTCCTTTTTATCATGGAGAGTTTGTACTACGCAAATCAACCAAGCCCCTGAACGAACCATATCTATCTTCAACAGCAATCATACATACAAGCTCATCTCCTTCGCAGTATAAACTCTCTCTTTCCAAGAAACATACCCCAAGCTCAAGATGCCTGAGAACAACCACATCAAGAATGTAGCCCTAGTCGGAGTACGCTCACCCTCCTCTCCCCACCAACTCTCCTCCCAAACAACCCCCTCTACTAACACCCTTCCCCCCAGGCAACCGGCACAGTCGGCGTCCTCATCGTCGCCTCCCTCCTCAAGCTCGGCACGCACACCCTCACCGCGCTGACCCGCCACGACAGCCCCGCCGCCAGCTCCATCCCCCCCGGCGTCAAAATCGCCAAAGTCGACTACTCTTCCGAAGCCTCCCTCGTCTCCGCCCTCCAGGGCCAAGACATCCTCATCATAACGATGAACTCGCGGGCTCCCCTGTCCACGGAGCTATCCCTCGTGCGCGCGGCAGCGAAGGCGGGGGTGCCGTACGTGCTGCCGAATAACTGGGGCATCGATCTCGCGGACGAGCAGCTGGGGGTCGATGTCAAGCTAGACAGGAGGCCAGTGCTGCGGCTGGTGGAGGAGCTGGGCGTGAGCGCTTGGGTGAGCGTGACGACGGGGTTCTGGTACGAGTATAGCCTGGGGTACGGGAGCGAGACGTTTGGGATGGATTGGAAGGGGAGGACGTGGACGTTTTTCGACGGCGGGGAGACGAGGATGAACACGAGCGTAAGTTGGCACGGAAATCGGGAATGATGTTTATTACCTATAGGGTACTAACGCGCACGTCCAGACCTGGCCCCAAGTAGGCAGAGCCGTCGCCGCCCTCCTCTCCCTCCCCCTCACGCCCCCCTCCCCCGGTGTCCCCAGCCTCTCCGACTACAAGAACAAGTTCGTCTACGTGTCCTCCTTCAACCTCAACCAGAAAGAGATGTTCGCCTCCGTGCTCCGCGTGACGGGCACCAAAGAATCCGAGTGGACGATCAAGCACGAGGACAGTGTCGCGCGGTACCAGGAGGCGGAGAAGCGGCTGAGCGCGGGGGATGGGGCGGCGTACCCGCAGCTGCTGTATAGCCGGGTGTTTTTCAAGGACGGGTGTGGGAATTTTGAGGAGAGGAGGGGAAGGCTGGATAATGGGGTGTTGGGGTTGGAAAAGGAGGATCTGGACGAGGCGACGAGGGTGGCGGTTGACAGGGCGGAGAAGGGGTTGAAGTATCACTAGATCTGGTTTCAACAAACTAGGTAGATAGGGAGGCCTCTGGGTAGATACTGTATGCTACAAATCACGAGACAGTTTATCAATTGAATTGACTTTCGTCAATATCATTCATCTACCTATCGTATTCTACGGCAGATTTCCTTTTCCTATTTTTTTCTCTTTTTCTCTTTTCTTTTTCCTCAAACAAGATTCGGACTCGCCTTCCCCAAAAGCAGCCCCGACGACGGACTCATCGACACATAGTTCGTCAGCGCATAATACATCCCCCCCGCAACCGTGCTCGGATCCACCGGCATATGCGGGCAAGTGACGAACGCCAAGCCCGCGACCGTGAATATCATGATACTCAAGATCGCCACCGCCATCCAGAAACACACCGTGTGCGCCCAGACGTCCTCCGAGGACTGGTCTAGCGCCGTGCTGAGGACTAGTGGGAGTATCTCGGAGAGGATGGCGGTGATGGAGACGAGCCCGAGATAGATGTCGCGGCTTCCGGGGGCAAGCGAGTACCAAAGGCCGCTGAAGGGGTTGGTGGGGGGTGTTGTGTAAGCGGCCTCGCCGTTGTAGAGGCGGATGCGGAAGAGTGATTTGTGAGGGCTTAGAAACGCGACCGCTAGAGGATATCTTTGTCAGTACTGGTGTGTAGAAACAAGGAGGCAGACGTGATGCATAAACCTACCATAGAAGAACGAGTACCAGGCAAGCGAGACCAGAACGCTAACGCCAGTGAAAACAAATCGCACGATGCGCCACCTCCCATTGATGAACTCTGTATACTCCTGGTCCTCCCCCGTAATATTGTATATCAGCAAACCAACCTGCAGAGCACATAACAGTGCTACGAAAAGCAGTCTCCCCGTCCACGTCAAGATGAAGAATGGAATCGCGTTTCCCTTCCTTCGCCGCCGTCTCACATTCCCCTTTCGAGCAAGCCCTGATTTCCCCTCCCTCTTCAACGAATGCGCCTCGTTCGGGATGAGAATGCTATACTTAAGATCTTCGTTATCCTTCCAGTAGTCTAGGACAAAAGGGACACCCGTGAAAACCTTCGTCGCCTCCTTGCTGGTGATACGGCCCTTCTTCTCGCGTAAACGCCGCAGTAGCAGTGTGCGGACTTCGTGATTGGCTGCAAGGTGGCCCATGTGGAACATGCTCCATGGGTTCCAATCTAGGCCTGTCTTCCACTTTCGTAGCACAAACACGACTACTCCAGCCAATATCGTCATGAATGCGAGGAGTCCAATGGTGATGTATGCGGGTATTGGGTAAACACCGAGAGCCATGTTGCAGGTCGAAGAAACCAGCGCCGTCGGTGAACAGTCCGGGCCGCTTAAAGTAACCCGGACGGCCTCCGAACTCAAGGGAACCATGATAATGCTTCCCAATAACAGAAGACCAGTTAGCGTGAGGAGAATATCGCCATTCAGTAGCAACCGAGCGCGGGCCTGGAGGTTCCACGGATCGCTAGTTTGAAAACACAGGCTATCGCGGGCCTTTGACTCGGAAGAGGTTGCGAGGGCGTGAAATGGCTGGTAGAGCCTTGCGTTTTGGTCAATTAAGCGGATAGGGACGGAAACGGCAATGGCGATAAGAGTCGGAAGCATGAGCCCTAGAAAGTACTTCCCATCGGACATGGAAACCACGTGTAAAGCTTTGCTGCCTTGCTCGTTTGGCGAGGCTGTCGAGCTCGGTAAGAGAACCGTGGTCGTCGTAGACAGCGGAACAAATTCAGTTTTCGTGAGAGTCGCTACATTGTTACTATCATAAAGGGTGGTAAGGTGCACGCCTTCTGTGACAGCTGACGTCCTGGTCGTAGTCGGAATGCCGTTCTCATCGCGTAAAACTTCCGTAGTTTGACTGACATAATAATCTAGAGTCTTCGTTGCCCTTCCTTGGTAATCTGTTAAAGTCGTCTGTGAAAGTGGGATATTGTAGATGATTGCTCCTGTGCTGGTAGGCTTCCCATTTGCATCGGTGTAAGTGGTGAGTCCTACAGACAATTGCTTGAGTACTTTCTCTGTCGAGATCGCGTGCCCTAGTGAATCAAAACGGGTACTATCTTCCGTCTCCAAGAAATAACCGCCTTTGATTGGGCGGATAATGCTGACAAAGGAAGTCTGTGAGAACAATCCATTGCTCAAGCTGGCTGAAGTTACTATGGTTGTTGTGATGGGGGGCAGTTCCGCTGACTTGGTTTCTATGGCGGGGGAACTGGACGATAGGGATTGTACTGTATGAGCCTTACTCTTTTCCAAGGTGCTAGTCACTGAAGGAGTTAGATCGGTAGATGACTCATGATCAGTTGAGGCGGTATGAGGTGGGCTTGCTATCACACTGGTTGGTGCGTCAATAACAGTAGGAATGTCTACGAAAGTCGAACTACTTGAAAGCGATTTAGTTGAGGTTGAGGATGGAGGACTCTGATGTGATGTGGAGGGGGTATCTGGCTTGCTTCGAGTAGGGGAGGCTGGCGGAAGGGGAGTTTGTGTCTTCCCAGTGGACGTAGGGGATGTTGGGGTAGACTCGTAACTGGTCGATTCTGAGGATGAAGGGTTGGGCTTTGGAGGGTCCGGTTTTGTAGGTTGGTCTGGGAGGGTGGATGTAGGCGATGGATCTCCAGCTTCCGAGGTTGTCGCTTCACTAGTGGACGTCACTGTGATTGTCGCTGTATTAGATTCCTGTTTCCCTGGGAAGGTCGTTGCTGGAGACAGTGTAGAGGACGGCGTAGAAGATGGTGTAGAAGGTGCTGAAGAGGATGGAGGTAAGGGGTGATTTTTTGAAGTACTGCTGGCGGGTGTGGGTGGTGGGGGTGGTGGGGGTGGCTCAAAAGTTGGGCTTGAAGACGGCGGGCTTGGGTGTGGGTGTGGTTCTCCGACTTGAGACCTAGTACTAGTTGGAGGCGGAAGAGGTGATGATGACGGTGACGATATTGAGGTTGTAGTGGATGATGGGGGAGGCAGCGGAATATCCGGGACCAGTGATGAAGTAGAAGCAGTGGGTGCTGGCTCAGGCGGCAGATTCGGAATTGTGATCGGTGGCGTAGGTATTTCTGTACTAGTCGTACTAGATTGCGACGTTTCACTTTTTACGGATGTTGTTATTGTTGTTGATGGCTTCGTATGAGTCTGGGTTGCTGAGCTTGAAGGTGTCGTTGTTGTCGTGACTTCAGCCGACGTCGACGGAGTTGTTCCTGCATCAGGCGGGGGGTTTCCATCAGGGTTAGTGCCGTTCTGACGTTTAAAGGGAATTAGAAAATCGGATGGATAGAATTGGCCGAAAACAGCGGACCGCCGACGGATTTCGGTAGAGTTTGATTCAGGGGGCGGGATGGCACCGGATGCATGTGGAAGAAGTTGAATGGCCAATGCAGCTAAAGCCAGAAGAATTACTAGAACTGAAAATATAGCAACTAAGAATGGCCTCCTCAAGACACGGGGTTTATAGTTTTGAGGTTCGGTTGGGTATTGCTCCTGAATTTTCCCTTCTGAGCCGTGATAGCTGATGTGGTCCCAACGATCGTCAACGTGTAGTCCATTAGGAGACAAGCCAGAAGCAACAGGCTGGGAACCGACTTCAATCCCAAGACCGGCCTTCAAACTTGGTGTCCGGTTGAATTGACTAATTTCGGGGCCATAATGGCCATGATATTCCAGATAGTCTCCGATATCCACTTCCTCATGATCGTGTGTAGGTACGTCCAAATAATCACCAATGAGTGTAGTATCCGAGAAAGCAGGCGAGCCCTGGACACTCGTCTGAAAACCTAGATTATATTGCACCACGCTCTGTCGAAGAACTTGTTGGACTTGGCTGCGAAAATCTTTTTGAGTCCGTCTTCGTAGCGGTTGTCGTCCTGTTTGTTCTTGCTCTTCACCATCAAAATCTGTCGGGGCGTCAATCTGGGGAACCAAGACAAACCCGCCGCCACCGCCGCCGCGGGTCCTCCCGCCCGGCGTACGATGCATGGTTGGAGATAGTGTCACCGATTAAGGATCGCAAAACAGGCCCTTAACTAAGTCCAGCATCTTTTTAAAAGCAGTAAATTCCAAAGATTCTACTGCAAGGGGAGATGAATTGATAAAATGATTGTCGCAAAAAATTGCGACTGGTGTGCAAAATCGAATCTTGTAGTCAGTAGAGTCTTACTCCTCCCAAACTCCCTTCACTTTAGAATAATCCATGGGCTCATAACAGAACGGTGTAGCCTCGATATTATCAATATTACCCCTCAGTACCTACCTAGTAGGGTTGTACGGTCAGCAGTGCGACCTACTATATATGTTTTCACGGCTATGTTTAGTCTCTGAGAGGTGTTGGCTCTGTTGGTTACGTATATAAATGATTCGATACTACGGTTCCGAATCAGCATGCAACCCAGTCCCGAGAGCCAATAGGTAACATCTATACTCACATAAGTGTGTGGCATACAGGCCCCCAATATGCAACATGTCAGCAGCTTCGCCTACTTTGGTAGTGATATAGTGATATTGGATGGTTACAACCTCTTTATGATGCATTCCGAAATAGCACCATTGTTGAACCTGCATCAAAGTGAGCCAATCAGTGTAACTGTCTGAGATGGCCCTAAGACTTTCAGATTAAGATCGCTTGTGAGTAACGCGAATCGATCAAGGTCTAGCCTGGGTAGGTTGGAAATTGCCAAGGCCTCAAAGACATATGGCCCCAATGTGCATTTTGTAGGATGACTTTCCAAGGTCTGGCATCATAACTATTGATTATCTGGGTAGGTATTATGTAGTATCACATACTGTCAGCTTGTAGTTAGTTATGGGTTAAAAGGTGCAAGATGATGAAAATGTCAGCCCCGCGGGAAATAGCGTTTTAAAGGTCGGTGGAGGTGGCGTCAGCGAGAGGTGGTCCGTGTGTTCATACGCACATAAGATAGAGTGGATATGTTAGATAATTACATAATCAGCCCTTGGCATGATGATTGAGTTCTTCTAAATTCAGCAACCAACTTAAACCCAATGCTCCCTTTATGGAACTCTGTGAGACCATATAAGGGCTAGGGTCAATTAGACAATCTCTTGACTTGAGGCTCACTCTGTCAAAAGTCCGGTAGAGGAGCCCCGGATTCTAGTTGATCAGCTTCTCGCCGAAGATAATCAGCTTTGAACCGCCTATAAGCGACCTCAATTCGTTTGCGCCTCGCCTCGTCTTTGCGAATAGCTCGTGACGCCGACCACGTCCCAAGGAGCAAGCCCAGCTCACCACCCAATATCGTCCCACCAAGACCAAAGAAGAAATACGCAGCTATATCGCCATATCTAGTCGGTTGAATAAAGCGTGTGACGTCGGGTATAGACTCTGTGAGTAGATAAGAATCTAGTTTTCAACGCTGTATAACGGTATGTGTATGTGCTTCAACGGGATTTCTGTGCTTACCCCTTCTTCCATCCGCGAATACTACGTGCGTCGGCTTCTCTGTGGCTCGGAATGCGCCAAACAGGTCCGTGCGAATGCGCCGCAGCCGGAACGCAGCATATATACCCAGACCCAGCCCAGCAATAGTCCCAATAACGGCCGGAACAGTCACTCTTGATGAAGCTTTGATAAGGGCATCTCGATCGTCTTGGGTCAGGTCATGCTTCATATGCTCTTCGGCCAACTTGCCCAAGTCAATGTGTGGCTCGGACTTGCGAAAAGCGGCGAACGACATTTTGAGATAGCGTTAATTATAGAAGCCTTAGGAATATCAACGTCCATTCGCTACACAGAAAGAGGGATGATTTTTTTGTAGGGCGCTTTCTGGTAGGAGGTCGTATTTATTGACATCGCAGTCCCATTCGCAACCCAAAATATCTATGACGTCACGATATGAACAAGACTTTGCACAATTTAGTACCTATTTTGGATTAACTGACCATTTAATAGGTAGCTATAGAGTGATGCCCTATCATTATTATTAATTACATAAGTGTTCTGTTTTTATGTAAATGATCAAGACATATTTAACGGAGAGAGAATAGGGGCATCCATGCCTCAACCTTAGCCCCTTAAACTTAGAACGGGGAACAGATTACCTACGTACCTAGTAAGCACTGAATACTCAGCTTCATATATCAGAAGAGAGGACCAGGAAAATACGCGATTAATTCATTACCTAGTACTTTAGGTATATACATAACTAGGTATGTAAGAAAATGGGCTAGGTATTCAGCTAGCTCCTGGAATGAAGGCTATGTAACTCTGCTCACGGCCCTCAGCTCCTCGGTCAGCTTTATCTAGAAATCACTCTTACCAAGCGACTGCCAAAATGGGTCGAGGACTCTATTTTGTCAAAAAGCACTATCATCAACGCGCACGGTCTTGCAGATGCTGCGTTTCGACCGAAATTGTATACGGTTAGCATCGAGAAAGGCAATTTTATAGAACCAACTCACATTTGAAGCCCCGCCTCCAACCGCTCAAGATACGCACTTCGTCTTCTATTCGACAAGCCACCTTATCCGCCTCGATCTGAATGGAACGAACCGGAGAATGGACCGGAAGACAGTCAGTTATGGGACCATGTGGAGTTTGTCAGCCGGACTTCTTCGGACCTTCTAAAGACGGTAAAGCCCATGAACAACATAGTATGTATCGGTGAATGAATGGAATAGCTGCGTGGTTTGCTAAATGCCTCGATTGCCTCAGCTGCCAAGAAACCGACGCCCCTATTCCTATAGTAAATGATGGATACTAGACTCCCGTCCTACACATTGAACTATCATTTGTCGTACAATACCCCCCCTTCCTCAGCTCCATAACACGGCAAAGGCGAATTTTCACCGGTAAGTTCTTCAATGCCACCTCTCTTCGACATGTTAGCTTCGCTGATTGGAAGCTAGCCCGTCCTCAATGCCTCATATGAGCTATTGATTCTCGTCAGTGGCGCGCTCTCAAGCCCTGAGAATCTGCAACTACACATCTAGGCTAATGTGAAATTCTCTAATAGTTGAGGGATGGTATGAAATCTTCCGTAGATAAATAGACGAGGAGTTCTCTTAGCTATTCAATATGTAGCCAGCTCAATAAACCAAACTGGGTCTGAATCCACTGCCGATACTCAATATTCTCATCTTTCTTGATCTCTTATCGATCGTCAATAACTTGAAGAACCCGATGGATATCCCGGACGTACGAAACTGTATCAAGTCCTTCTTGGAGGGATGTGATCTCGTATACCCGAAGACAGAAGCTCACCTTCAATTCGAAGCAGATATTGTAGCTGAGAGCAAACGACGAGGATACATCACACCCGAAAATGCCAAGTTAAGGCCTTTCATATCAACGGGAGTCTCGATGGCTTGCAACGCTTACTGTCATCAATCACACGAGATCCAACTCTTCGTCTGTTTCTACACAGCGTTCCTAATCTACATGGATGATTCGTACGAAACGGATATTGAACATATTCTGCCGTACAACCATAACTTCATCACCGGCGAACCTCACAACGACATCATCCTCAACTATTTCAGGGAGTTGATGCTGGAAGCGCCAACCTTGTTTGGCATGGCTGAAGCAAATATTATCATATCTGCCACACTCAATTGGATCACCGGGCTCACGATCGAGCAAGAAGTGAGAAATGCGCAGGTATGATTCTTACATTCTTGTTTTGAGCAGAGCTAGCACTTTTAACACACACTCACAAGCTTGGGCCGTCCTCATACCAACTGCCGACCTTCGCCAGGATCATGGCTGGCGCAGCTGAGGCCTTTGCGCTTTACATCTTCCCAAAAGAAGTACCTCTGATATGGAAACTCCAAGCACTTACACATGCTTGTCCGTTTATCAACGGGGGAAAGTAGGTCCAACATGCAACAACTCACTTCTCCTACCTAAAGTTATATCAGCAGGATAAGTACTGATTTGATTGATCTATTAGTGATATCCTATCGTACTACAAGGAGCAGGTGCTCGGAGAGACAACCCGGGTTGCCCTCACATCCAAATGCCGCGGCGTCACGCTGCTTGTCGTTCTCAACGAACTGGTAGATGAAGCTGTGACTGCTCATCGCCAGACGTTAATAGCATTGGAGGGTAGCGGCAGCGCACTTGAAGCTTGGAAGGCGTTCAGTCAAGGATACATAGGATTTCATGCCGGCAGTACCCGCTATCTGTTGGACAGGCTTGACCTGGAGGCAGCTGCGTGAAGAAGTTCACGAGGGTCACTACTTCACTGACATCATGGATAACAGACGGTACAATGGCAATAATGGCGGAAACAGATAAATACACGCAGAGTAGGTACCTGAGAGGAAGGATTAGATGATATTTTCTTTCCTTTGCTTCAATGGGTTTGACTAGGTAACAAGATAGTTCTTAGCTAATAAATGTGGGACCTGAAATAATAGGGGTTGACTCAGGCACCGACTTAAAAACCTCATGGATGTGACTGAATGCCACGTGTTGCGTCCGCTATAGCGAACCTATTATTCACTTGAGAGATGTGAAACCCAATGTACTCCATTGCCGATATGTACTTGCCTACTTACCATCCTACATGCCTACTTACCCAGTAAAGGCCTAAGTAGGTACGTATGCTCCAGGTAGATATTCTAAAGCCACCATTACCAATACCATGCAAGGCCAGCAACCGATAGCCAGCCATGTTTCCCAAGTTACCTACTGGTCGTAATGCGCCGGATTCAGTCCCTTCTCAACAGCCGCGATCTGCAGCGCAAGCGACAGAGAAAACTGGCGACACCACATCAAGGCACCACTCATGTACCAGAACCCCGGCAACCCCGTCGGCCGCCAAAACTGCAGATAGATACCGTTAGTCATGCATTCACACGTCATTGGTAGGTAGGTAGGAATGTACTCACCCCTTTGCGCTCCTGCTCCTCATCAACGTCCATGAACTGCAAGCCCCCGACCTTCTCCGCGACCGCATCGCCCATGATCTCCCTCACAATCAGCAGCGCCCTCTGCTGGCCGGTCGCCAGCACAACCACGTCCGCGTCCACCTCCCTCCCATCCGCCAACACCACCCCCCTCCCCGTGAACTCCCTCACCCCGCCCTCGCTTCTCAGTATCTTGATCCTTCCGTCGATGATCATCTGATTAGCCCCCTGATCCACGTAGAACTTCCCACCGCGTATCAGCTGGAACTCCGCCAGCCCGACGCCGTTCTCGCCCGTGCGCACGGCGAGCCCGGCGGCTTTCAACCGGTCGATCATGTCCCGGTCGCGCGCGCACATCATGTGCGAGAGCGGGACGCTGAGCGCGCGGACGACGGCCGTGGGCAGCGAGTTGCCGATGACGTCGGCGTCCTCGAGGGCGACGCCGGGGGTGTTCCAGCCCGCGAGCAGCGTCTGCTCGACGGTGTCGGCGGAGAGGGAGAACGTCGGGCTGCGCTGCACGAGGGAGACGGACTTGGCGTTGTTGGTGACGAAGTCGAAGGCGAGGTCGTGGCCGCTGGGGCCGGAGCCGATGATCACAACGTTCTTGTTCGGCAGGTCGGCGATGTCGGATGCGGAGTCGTGCGAGAGCGAGTGGTAGAGCTGGCCGCGGAAGAGGTCTTTTCCGGGGATGTCCGGGAGCACGGGCTTCTTGCTGAAGAGGCCGGCGGCGAGGACGACGTGGCGGGGGGTGAGGATCTTTTTCGCGCCGTCTGGCCCTTCTATCTCGACGCGGTATCTCCTTTTATCTGCTTCGTACTCTGCCTTGGTTACAGTAGTCTTAAGCTGGACGTTGAGGTCCATTATCTGACTGTAGTGTTCGAGGAAGTCGGCAACCTTGTCTCGGCCGATCCACCTCGGCCAGTTATCTGGCGTCTTGAGGAAGGGGTAGTGGTCGGTGTATTTCGGCGTGTGGAGCATGAAGACGCGGTATCTCTCCCTCCATGAATCTCCTACTCGAGCGCTCTTGTCGACAAGAAGGGTGTTGATGCCCATTGCTTTCAGGCGTGCGCCTAGTCCGCATCCTGCCTGACCTACACCCCCATATTAGTTACTAGGCAAACAAAGTGCTAGAGATGGGTATTCTTTTACCTGCGCCCACGATCAAGACTTGCAAATCCTCATCCAACTGGGTCTCCTCCGTAGCAGCCAGCGCCTGAGCTGCAGATGCATGGCTCGCATTGAGCTTAGCTTCTAGGTCCTTTTGGAAGTCCAATTGGAGCAGCTGGGTAAAGACAATCCATGCCCTCCAGTCAGATTTCCCCACATTTGCCAGTCTGACGAAACCCTTACCCTCGCCATGAGGATGCCTAAACGTAAACCCCCCTTGTACCCAAACCATACCACCGGTATTCACCAGCGCGGGCTCCATCCCGGTGGACTTATCCGTCTGTATGTTTGAGAGATGGCTGGTAGCGTTAGACAGATACTTGCTGATCGCCGCTTGGCCGTGCTTCGTTGAGAAGTCCCATGTCAGGCCAACTATGTCCCTCCACCAGCAGTCTTCGATAAGCAGCTCAGAAAGATTGTCGAATGACTTTGTCTTGAAGACATCGTTCAGTTTTGAGATCCAACTTTCCACAATCTGACCGGCGTCGACATCTTCAGGGCTCACTCCATCCTGAAACGTGAGATTAGGGAGGGGAACATGGGTGATGTGGTCCATGTTTAGAGGTTCTCATACGTAAACGGCGTTTGTAGAGAACGTGAAAGATGAGCAGGTACGGTTGGTTCATATTGCTATCGCTATTGCTTGGAACCATCGCCATCTTTTATATCACCATCGTTAAGCGTGTTGCTTACAAGTCGAAGGTGGGGCCGTAAGCACAAGCTAGATGATAGACAGTCGACAGCCAGGCAGCGTCGCATTTCACGGGGATGGTGGGTCTGAAGTGACAAGGGGCGTGTATTCATCCCAACATACTTAGTAGGCTGACCTATCATTACAAGGATTTTCAAGTCGATGGATTCGTGCATCTGCCACTATTATAGGCTTCTTTGTAAGCTTAATTGAATGTATGTGATATCTGAACTTTTAATAATACAACAGACACCTACGTCCTCGGACAGCAAATCGGAAAAAGCAAAAGAAAAAAAAAGGACCGGTCCACGGATCCCCGCGCATTCGCCCATCCAATCCCTTACATCAACGGTAAACGGTACATCAACGGTAAACGGTTGCCTGGATCCCAGGTTCTTACCGACATGACCAAAAGCATGGACACCGATGGCCTAGGTCGGAAGAGACGGGGAAGTACTAGAAGTAGGAGCGGATGCTTGACGTGCAAGAGCCGCCATATACGGTGCGACGAGAAACGTCCCAATTGGTAAGTGAAAAGATGCTGCAGGTACAGCTGCAACCAAAAAGAAGAATGCTTGCTTTATTCCAGGCTACGGCCTCAGGCACCTGCAACAAAAGATCTATACCCGTTCTGGCCGAATAGACGGGAGAGTGACGATGCCGATATACGGTCGTATCAACACGGCATCCGTGCCCCTAACTCCTCTCAACTGCGCCGTTTCCAATACCATGGATAATGCTAACGGCCCTTGCGATCAAATAGTACAAATTGCCTTAACAGTAAGCGATCATGTGATTACCCACCGGTCCAACTGCCACTCCGAGACAGACGGTTGCAGGACAAGAGGCTACTATTGCCGGGCGAACAACAGCCCTGGGTATCTTGCAACAACCGTCCAAGCTCCGCTTGCCAGCTTGCTCGCGGCGCCGCTCTAGACCCCTTCGATGCTCTCCCCATTCGTATGCCCTTCAAATCGAAAGAGCTCTTCCATTACTGTATGTGGTGTTGTATTTTATGCATCTGCATGGGTCTTTACTAACTCCGTCGTATCAGTCTACCAATTCGGGCACTCGTTGAAAATAGTCAAGACGAATCAGGCCGAGGACTGGTAAGTCCACTGACTTGGCTACACGCACCAATATCTTTTTAGTATTCTACTTCTACTACAATTAAAGTATTCTAACCGAAGCATTGTAGTCTTACCTTAGCAGTCAACGACCCACACGCGCTCCGCAACACCCTGCTCATCGCCGGCCTGCACTACTCCTGGAACACAGGCGATTTGCAAGTATTCGACTCTGCCTTTTTCTTCCACAAAGTAGAGACCATCCGGACCGTCAACAAGCTACTCGGAAATGCGAGTCCCAAGCTGGCGGTGCTCTGCATATCGCAGATCTGCACGCTGTGCTACACTGAGGTGCGACGTCTCATTAATTTGGATCAAACCCCCCCCCCCCCCCAAATAGAAAAACAGAAAACACTAACCCGCCTCCATCCATGGTTCCAGGCCTGCTTAGGCAACGTAGCAGTCGCAGAAACGCACCTGGACGGGCTCATGACGTTCCTGGACGCAATGGAACAGCAGAACCCCGCAGTGCTGAGCGGCGATGATGCGGACAGCGAACACGCTCGTCGCTACCTCCTTATGTAAGTCAACACCAGCAGGATGCGGACTGCAATGCTACCTTTACCTGAGTAATTGCTAACCAGCAAATCACCACACCCTCAGCACGTACAACTTTGTGCACAACATCAAGAGCCGGCTCCGCGCCTTCATACTCGCGTCTGCGTCTGCGTCTGCGTCTATGTCTGAGAGCGCCCAGCCCCCAAGCCCAGAGGACGACCCGTCCGCGGCCGACGCTCTGGACCGCATGCACGAGTGGCACCAGATCGAGTACCTCGGGCTCGAGAACCGGCTCAAGGCCCTACGGGTATTACCTTCCTTCATCTGCCCCGCCCCTTCCGCCGGGCCACCGAAAAGGTTCGACGCCTCGACAGTCCTCCAAGGGCTGCGGGATGTAACTGCAGGCATAGACAAGAGAGACATCGACCCGACGGGGAACAAGATGTGGAACGAGGGGGCGCCCAATCGGCTTTTTGTCGCGCTTGTGAATCACCACGCGCAGTCGTTCTCGAACGAGCACACTACCACAAAGCCCTCAGGCTCGAAGGGGGGGAGTAGGAGTAGAGAGACTGCAAATACTAACCCTACCAGCACTAGTACTACGAATCTACTAACGACGTGGAGCGGCATCACCGCAGTCATGGGCCTGTACATGCACAGCGTGCTCAGCACAACCAACAACGGCGACCCGCTCGACCCGCGGCTCCTGCGGCGCGTCGCACTGGAGGTTGAGAGGGACGTCGAGGGGTACCCTTATGGGACCAAGGGATCTAGCTCCAGCATCACCACCAGTACAAGCGGCCACGACTTATGGCTATGGAAGGCCTTCGTAACAGCCATCGCGCTGGCGAAGAACCGGGAGCACTTTGCGAAGCAGAAGCGGAAGACCATCTGGTCGTCCCCAGTTCCCCACGCGGGGGTAGCGAAGGAGAAGCACGGCCGCGACTTGCCTTCAATTCTGGAGCGCATGGAGGACAGAGTGCGCCGGTGGAGCAAAGACACGGGTGTTGCGGGGTGGGCGGAGGCGAAGGCGGCGCTGGCGAGGGTGGTGTGGCCGGCGGATTCGAGTGGGCTAGAAGAGAGGGAGTTCGAGGGGGTGTGGGGGGTTGTGAAGATAGGGGGGGAGTAGGGAGGTAGGCTAGGGATTTGGGCTGTGTATCTAGCTAGATGTGTTTGTTTATACAGGTATCGGGTATATACATCTTGTAGTTGGTTTCATCGGTGAAGTGTTATATTGCGTTGATGAATCATCCTTCTTTGTCAGATATCAAGTCATGTGGATGCATTCAGTTGAGGTTCCATCACGTGATGCCTGTCTAAATCTTGTCGGCTGTTGGGGACATCTGCCACCTGTCAGGTTATTTTCTGTAGCTTAATTGATTAGGCGGAAACGTCAGCCAGGTGGCAGTGTAGTTTGCCCCACAAATGGCACCGCACCTGACAGCCGACAGGCATCCCGACAGTATGGAAAAACATCCTGCGAGCCACCTCCATACTTGGAATCTTTGTGGTTGTTTAAGTCGGGTGCGTACATCAATGATGGACCGAAGTAACATCTTGGATGTGGCTGATGACACTGCAAGCGCCGCTACGTTTACGTAAATTCGGACCCCTTTTGCCGGCCTTAGATGAGGGGGCCCTTGAATAACCCCAACCCCTTTTGTGTCCTTTCTTCTCTTTCTTTATTCTTTTTTGATCTTTTTTACCTATCTTATTAATTCGGCTTCGTCTTGCTTTTCAAAGTTTCAAAATAGCAAAGCCATGAAGCTGGGGGATGAAATGAATTCCAAGGTAAGTGGGTATCTTGATACCTAAGGTATCTCTCCTTTTCCAGTGTCCTTTCACATCACACTGCCATATATCACGTCAACCTGACCAGCTCCCTCCAATCCAAAATGATGAATAAAATTTTAGGTCTGCTTTGCCTGATCTAACTACATGATGTTTCACAAACACAATTTCTGACTTGGATATCCACTGTGCACCTACCTACCTACTTCCCTATTCAACATCTACTTACATCTTTCACGGGGAATCAATTAATAAGCTTGTTTTCGGCTAACATGAAATGGATGAAATAGGTTTATTTATTTGCTTGGCTAGTAAACATGCGTATAATGGTATCTATGCAAATGAAACTTTTCCGCCTTCATCTAAAATATTCCCGGCCATTGGGTTCAGTGCTACGTGAGCTTCTGCATTACCTGCCCCTATATACTCGAGGAAAATGGCCGTTTCTAGCAACCACAAAACTTGTGGTTTAGACATACATGCCTACCTCTTCGGTTTATAATTGACAATATGAAATTGGTCAACTCCCTTAATCCTCGTACTTCGGCATCTCCCCTATCCCATATGGCCACTGCAAGTGCGAGGTGTCAACCAGCTCATGCCAGTCATTCGTGCTCTGCTTACCCTTGGGCACAATAGCGTAAGCGTGGCAGTTCAAGCAAACCCACGCCTCGATCGGATTTCCCTCGCCCCCATCACTGCCTATATGGTGGTACTGGTCGACGCCGGGATTGATCCTGCACAGTGGACACACGGACTTTCCGTACAACTGCTTGCAGTAAAGCTTCATCTCAGCCGCTTTGCCCTTCATGTCCAGGATGTACTGTGTGCGGTGCGGGTTGCAGAGCACTCTGTTCCAGAGCTTGACGCCGCAGCCACACCCCGTGAACTGGTTTGGCGGTCCCTGCCATCCGCCGGCTCGTGCCGTCAGACCGTTCGCGGTAATGGAATCCGCTTTGAGGGTGGGTAGACTATGCCCTAATAGAGGGTTATCGGCCCATACTACAAGAACGTCAAGTTAGCAATCCTGCGATTTAATCGGAGATGTATATATTGGGGTATTTATAATATACGAGCATCAAGTCCCCAAAAAGCTTATGGATGAGCGTATAGCTCGTCAGGGTCAACGGTGAAGGCAATGACCCAGGAGAAGTACTTGGGGATGAAAAGGGGGATGAAAATTCAAAGGGGAAAACAGAAAGGAGAAAAGAACATACAAAAGTGTCCTTGGTTCTTCAACTTGTTCAGCAGTGGAACGACGCTGTATGTACATTCCGAACAGAGATAGGCTCTGATTTCCCTGGCAAAGTCATCGGTCCGGGAACGTGCTCGGCCATGCAGATCGCAGTCCTGGCAAACCGGAAACGCTTCGAAATGCCGCCTATCCTCGCACGCTCTCACCGTTTCCTTCTCACATATCCCCAAGACGGTGTTGTTCGCGCAGGTCACGCCTTGCTCGGGAGTCCAAAGCGCTCCATTAGCCCAGAGCCGCGAGAGGGGGACACTCGACATGGCCGACTCGGCGATCTCGTTGGGGTGCAGCGGGAACGGGAATCGTCTGATGACGGACATGTCGACCCGCTGGGGGTGGAACGGCGAGAAGAGATTGTCGTTCGGGAGGACCGGGATCTGCTCGGCCTTCGTGTCGCACGGGATGAAGTACGCCGGCCTGGCGGGCCCAGGAGATGGAGGCCGGCCAATGGGACCCACCGAGACGTTCTTTATCTCCGCTACAAGCTGCCTGTCTAGGTCGGCACTTGGGTTTAGGTACTGCACCCAGCGTACATCGACAGGTTTGATACTGTCTGGGGGGGCAACCGGGACAGATCTATACTGGTAGTTATTGGTTCTGGAACACACCACGGCCTGTCGACGCGCATAGGAACACAGATCTCGAACGGCTTGCGATGAATCTGCAATTATTGATGCGCTGATGTCTACGAGCAGCTTGTCTGCAATGGCGCGCAAATTAAAATTACCGCCGTCTCTTTCAATATTTTGTGCTTCGTTCACGACAAGTTGATATGGCCCTTTTAGACTGTCTATAACTGTCTGAAGATTTGGGGCAGCCGGGTTAGCTAGATTCGGAATGGTCTTGTCACCACTCATCCACCGTTGATATTGTAAATGGTAATCAGGGGGTTGCTGCCAAGGCACATAATTTGGGTCGTCAACGCCAGTAGGGCCACTATAATAACGTGTCAGTAGACATCTCGGAGCAAGGGACATTAAACAGCAGAAGTACACAAAGGCACTCGACTATGGAAGGGGCCAACGAGTTATTAACGAGAGAATTGCATACCTCCCCAGGTTGAGATAGTATCCCCACATATCATCTCCCGGAACACCTCGGGCAACGGCTCCAAATTTAGATCCAGTACATTCAACATTGTTCGCATAGCATCTATCACACTAATTAATTCAACGACGGTTAGCAAACCAATTTTCTTCTACAACGAACATAAGGGGTAATAATTCAAAGCAGAGCCGCCAAGACTTGGGTGCCCTGAGAACCTATACATACCGGTCTCTTATAGTCGCATTTCTTCCCCGTAAACCGACAGTTATCGCAATGTGGAATAGCCAGCCCCGGAAGTGGCGTTGGGTGGGGCGGCAAGGGTACGCCGTTGAGGACGCAAACAAGTCCCAAGCGTCTGCAAACTCGGCACTAAGAAACAACGACAACAGCCAGTCAGTAAGTAAAATCGATAAAATAGAAATGGCTTAGAATATGCAGATATAGGATCGGGGGGTTATAGCGGAATGGAAGGAATTACTTACACCGGCCCCATCAACGTCTCTTCGGCATTGGCCTGCATGGCGGCTTGCTCGTGACATACAAGCTACACAAGTATCAAGGTACCTCTCACCCCTTTTTGCATATTTGCGTTTCGGTCCGGTTTTTGTCCCCGTTGAATCTGTTTTATCTGAACTTTTTGGGCGTTTGTTTGAGGTACTTGCTGATTTTTGAGACATTATGATCAGGTCTTTCTTGATATTTGTCTAAAGCAGGTATGTGGTGTTTTCTTTTCAAGTTAAGAAATGGCACGATGTGTTGGTCGAATAGTTTCGATAGGATCTCACAGTATGTCTTAGATAAAGGTCGATCTTATGTGATGTATATAAGGCCAAAAAGAGAAATCACCAACCTCATCGTCTTTCCATATAAGTATATGAGCAGCGTTAATACAATGTTCATAGTTCTATACCATACCTTTGTCCAAAGCTAACTGACTCTTGCAATTTCAATTGGATAATGTTTTTTGAAGACTATGAAAACAATACTATTCATAAGTTCATTCATCTTTGGCTCGAAACCTCCTCTATCACGTATGAGCCGAAAGCTTAATCAATCTGTTATGCCTTCTTGAGACATTAGATATTGTAGCTCCACCTAATTATCATGTACTGGAAGGTAAACGATGCATACGATGATTATATGAACTGAGGTTAGCTATGTACCTACCTTGTGGTTACCCATAGGGGTATCACGTGCCTACTATGTACACATGACATGGCAACAGTCACATGACTCAGGTGGCTGAAGGGGGGATCACCAGACTTGAGCGGTATCCCTGGCAACAGTTCCCCCGCCGTATATCAGGTTTCCATTAAGCCTAGGTACGATAAGTCATGAATCCTACATGAAACTTACTTCAACCAACCTGTTCATGTTTGCCAAAACCTCGGATTCCTGCCCACAGTAGTGCCACTCTAAATTGCTGATATCGCGACTAGTACCTATATTAGCAGCACACTGAGCAAGACACTACCTACGTACCTAAGGTTAGTTAGTTTGCACAACCAATAACTAGTTACGGGGCAATTAAAATTATGAAAATGCGTTCGGCGCCCAATAACACGAGATATACGAAGTGTTGGTCGATCATTTGCCGGCACGCCCTAACCCAAAGTGGAAGGAAGGTAAGGTCCCCTGCTTTGTCCGCATGCATCTCTTCGCCGGAAAGGGGAAGGTCGCTACGATAGGGAAGTGACGCGATGGACCTTGGGGCGTAGGCGTGTCGGGGAGATAAGCTGCAGTAGGTAGGTAGGTAAAACCGACCCTGGGCAATCATTTTCTACTAGGGAAGCTCAAGTTCCTCCCTACCCAACGTCGTATCGTAGCTAAACCAACAAGGGAGAGAAGCGGGCAAGTTATAAATAATGGGCGACCTACCTCGTCGTATCTGGGTGGTGGTCCTCGGGGCTTGTTGCTTGCTTCGCTTTGTTTCGTAGGCCGCTTGTTGTTGGAACCGTCGTCGAGATGAAATCTTTCGCAGCCCTTGCCCAGCTCCTGCTGGTGGCTGGCAGTGCCTCTGCCAGGTACATGAGAAACCAGGCCGGCATGCAAGTTGGCCCAATTGACGAGTTAAGCATCATGCGAGCTGACAGCAGCACGGCCGGTTGGGGCACTTTTGAGCAGCTGATTGATCATTCCAATCCCGCGCTCGGCACATTTTCGCAGAGATATTGGTACGGGTCGCAGTATTGGAAGGGACCTGGCTCGCCAGTTGTCTTCGTCAACCCTGGAGAGCAGGCTGCGGATGGGTTCAATGTGTCGTACACCACAAACCAGAGATTGACGGGGCTCATGGCGGAGAAACTAGGAGCGGCCGTGGTAATCATGGAGCACCGATACTGGGGCAAATCGTCGCCTTTTGATGTCTTAAGCGTTGCGAATCTTACATACCTCACCCTCGAGAACTCCATCAAGGATAACACCTACTTCGCCAACAACTTCAAAGCGCCGTTCGACCCTACGGGCAAGAGCACCGCAAAAGACGCGCCGTGGGTTTACACGGGAGGATCCTACCCGGGCGCGCTAGCCGGGTGGATCGCAGCCAAAGACCCGGGCACATTCTGGGCGTACTACGGGACCAGCGGCGTCGTCGAAGCCATCGGGGACTTCTGGCAATACTTCGTCCCCGTGCAAGAAGCGACGCCACGAAACTGCAGCGCGGACCTGAACACCGTGATCAACTACATCGACTTCGTGCTCCTGCACGGCAACCCGCGGGAGAAGGCGAAGCTGAAGGGGAAGTTCCAGCTCGGCAACCTGCAGGACGCCGACTTCGCCGCCGCGCTCGAGAACGGGCCCTGGACGTGGCAGTCGGGCCAGTTCTACTCCACCACCAACCTCGGGTACACGCCCTACTACCAGTTCTGCGACTACGTCGAGAACGTGTGGCCGAACTCGACCAACGCCGTGCCGGGGCCCAAGGGCGTGGGTCTCACCAAGGCGCTCGACGGCTACGCCAAGTGGTTCTTGGAGGTCGCGCTGCCGGGCTACTGCGAAGGGTACGGGTACTTCGAGGGAGCCAACAACACGGACTGCTTCCAGTCGCTGAACGCGTCGAACCCGATCTACCACGACCTGTCGCCCGACAACGCCGGCAACCGGCAGTGGAACTGGATGCTGTGCAACGAGCCCTTCGAGTACTGGCAAGACGGCGCGCCGCGCGACCGCCCCACGCTCGTCTCGCGCCTCGTCAACAAGGCCTACTGGCGCTCGCAGTGCCCGCTCTGGTTCCCGGAGCCGGAGTACGGGATCGCCAAAGGAAAATCCGCCGCCGATGTGAACGCGTACACGGGCGGCTGGCGCGAGACCAACGTCACCCGCCTCATGATGGCCAACGGCCAGTGGGACCCGTGGCGCGACTCGACGCTGAGCTCCATCTTCCGCCCGGGCGGCCCCCAGCAGAGCACCCCCGAGTTCCCGATTCGCGTCGTGCCGGAGGGCACTCATTGCTCGGACCTGTACGGCCCGAACTGGAAGGTCAATCCTGGCGTTAAGGCTATTGCTGACGAGCAGGTTGAAAACATGGCTACGTGGGTGCAGGAGTTTTATGATCAGTGATTATGATGTGATTTAGGTACTAGGATGGAGCAGAATTACATATATCGCGCACATAATATGATGTAGCCAGGATGGGTATGATATAGCATGAGTTCGGATATTTAGAGTACCTTTGTAATGTTTATATCACATTATTTCTATGACTATGCCCCTGATGATAATGCCCATCGTACCCGATCCAAGGTTTCTGACACGGGGCACAACGAAAGCGTAAGGCATGAGAACAATGAAGTTGTTGTGCGAAGAATATGAACACAGGTCTTCTTTGTTCTTTACCAAGCCCCCTAGTCATTACTCTCCTAGACTCTTCCAGATAACGGGTGCTGCTAGCCCCACTAGGCTAGCTCCTTATCCTTATGAGCTGCCTTAAATCTATTGGCACTGCGCCAGCATTGTTAAAAATAAAACAAGCTTTCTCCCTTCTCTTGTCCCGTTTCTTGGTTGTTGCTTAGCTACATCAACTCCCGATTCCCGGGTTCCAACATATCCCTGGGCTTTGTCGCCTTATCTCGACTGCAGGGATGCCCCTTACCTAGCCAGGTCTTTAATTATATACCTACCTCATGAGGCTCAGCCTATGCAGGTACCTGAATTCGAGTTTCCTCTCACTACCTAGTTAGACCCTATCCTTATACGATATCCATTCTTTCTTCTTCTACGTCGTACTTCGTACTTCGTATTTAGCTCGCATTATCACAATATCAAACTCCTTCGCAATATTTTCAAAATCTCCAAACCTGATCAGAACCATTTCGTTTCTCATTCAACGTAGTTAATACCTATCAGAACTACAAGCATCCAGCACCGTACCCCTCAACTCTGGCCCTATTGAGCTAGTATCAATATCACTCTCTAAACCCAGAAGACGATATCCATGCTTGTAAGAAATATCACAACGGCCACCTCACCCCGTCATCTCCATCCATCCCAACTAATCTATCAAATCCGGCGGATCATAAGCCGCCGCCCCAATGAAGCGAGCTAACTGCCGTAGCTCATACGTCACCGTGACTCTGAACGGCCGCCTGTCCGGCCGCTCTCGGTACAGTATGTTGCGAGCCATTCCACCTGGATTTCTGGTATACGGATCTTGCGGATCAAGGTATTCTTCAAATGCTTCAGTGTATCCATTGTGCCCGTTGAGGCCATTTTGACCGCCGTTCAGCCCACTCTGTCCGTTTAGTCCGCCATGCCTATTCTGCTCATCGTATCCATCGTGTCCATCTAATCCATTGTGTTCGTTATATCCATTCTGCTCATCGTGCTCATTCCTTCCATTCTGTCCACCACCATTCTCAACAGTCGGATTCCCCCAATCCCCATACCCATGCTCATCCCCATTCCCATTCCCGTTCCCGTTCTCCGGACCCCTTAGATCCCCTAGACCCCCTAGACCCCCTAGCCCACCCTGATCCCCACCCTGATCCCCACCCCCCTCACCACCCCCCTCACCCCCCTCACCACCATCACCACCATCATCATCACCGTAATCATGATGCTCCAGCGTGTAATCCTCACTCTCCAAACTCACATTCACCTCGACAAAATGCCCATGCTCATCCAGCACCTCAAAGTACCCGTCCCCAAACAGGGGGTCGTACTCGAGCAAATTCCTGCGATTGGCCTCGTACGCACCGTCGATGACGGCCCCCGCAGCCCTCAGCACATTCCAGACCCTGAACGGGGGGCGGTCGCGCGACTGCATCGCGCCCGACAGGAAGACCAGCACCCGCGCGTCCGGCACCTTGAGCGCGCCCTTCCCGTACGACCCGCTCTCCAGCACCATCCACGTCGTCCCGGGGCTGAACGTCATCAGGCAGTCCGTGTTGTCCCCCGGCGGGTGCGTGTACGGCGTGCCCCAGCCGTCCACGAACACGAGCCCGTTCTGCTTCGCCGTCAGCGTCGCCACCAGGTCCAGCGGCGACTCCGGCGGCAGCCAGTACATGCCCTGCGTGAACACGACCCACATGCCCGTGTCCCCGGGCGCGAGGCGGCCCGAGTTGTAGAACTCGCGGGCGGCGGGGACGTTGGCGGGCAGGGTGAGCACGCGGAAGTCCTTCCACCGGGGCACGTAGACGATGCGCCCGTCGTTGACGTACACCCACATCGTGTTCTGCTCCGTCATGTGGATGGGCGGCCCGATGTTGTACAGGCTGACGTCGGGGGAGAGGGGCTTTAGCAGGTCGACCATGGTGCGGTAGGGGAAGCAGGGCTCGAAGCTCGGGAGGAGCCAGTGCGGGCCGAAGAGGGTTTTCTGTCTGTGCGAGCCGTACCACCCGATGGGGGTCGGGGAGGACTGGTCGAGGGCGCCGGGGCCGAGGCTAAATACGGTCTCGTCCATGAAGCCGGATTCCTCCTAGGAACCGCCGTCGGATCCGGACAATGTGACATTTTCCTCCTGGGTGGGATAGGAGGCGCTTTGGCCATCGTATTGACCGTTTTCATTCATTGCTGTTGAGTTGGGGTGATCGTAGTATCTAGGCTTCGATGGTACTTGACTTGTTTCTCATGCTCAAGCTCACTTGAGGTATGAGTCTATCGTTCAATTACAATCTTGCATGCAGATGAGGCCGTAATGGTTATGGGGAGAGGTTTGGGGCTCCCTGTTCTACTGGAGAGCTGACGACAGAGAAAGCACATATGGGGTGTTACTGCATCACTTATGTCAGGCCTCACGACTTCCCAATATACAAAAAAATAATTATAAGGCAAGGTAGGAGAAGGTTCGAATGACCAATGCCATTGATGATTGATGAATATATGCGCAGGTAAACCTTCAAACCATGATAGGTGAGTCTAGCTCATAATCCACCAGCACATGCATTGAGCAACACGACGTACTAGGTACCCAGTATATATCCAAACTACTGGTAGGTACACAAGTGCACAGAAGTAAATATCTTGACAACGTCCCTATAAATACGCAACACCAAGAAAGACCACCAAACAGCATGCCCAAAGTCTAAACTCGGAGTGGCGCTCCATCAGACCCCTTACGCAACGACGACAGCGGCTGCTGCGTTTTTCTAAGCCACTCATCATCCATCTGCACATGGCGCTTCAACAGCTCAGCAGCGCGCCTGCCAACTTCGAATATGGTTCGTCGGTTAACGGTAAACTCTGTCCAGAAGAGGTGTTCGTCAGGTGCATCGCACACGCGCCACTCACTACCATCATCACCGCCTTGTTCGGTGCTGCTTGTGGTGGTAGTGTTGCCAATATCGCTGTTACCTATGGTGACTCGTTTGATGCAAGGCTCCCACACCTCCGAGTAACCCTCAGCGCTCGTCATTGCCCCGAGTCCGCTATGATCGACAATATCCGCGTTCCGCAGCTGCTGCTCAACGATGAGCTCCCTTATATAGCCCGAGACGTCGTAAGTGATAGCCTCTCGCCGCGCAGGTGGCACAGGACGTCCCACCACCCCCTTTTTCCCCGTCGTGCTCTTCTTGCTGAGTAAGAGATCGGCATCTTTAATATCCGACAAGTCGTTGCCATCTTGATCAGTCTCTTCCAGGTCGGGAAGCCGCACCCACTCGCTAAGCGTGTCCTGCATTACCTTGTCCCAGTGGTTAACCAGGAACGCTGCATTGCGGACCTGCTCGGCTTTGGTGTGTGGTGGTGGAGGTACGAAGCGGACGTTCTCGAATCCAGGGGTCAGGGATATATCGAATGGTCTGGGTAGGAAGACGCGAAAAGGGGCGCGAGACAGTGGCGCTCTATCGATATCGTGCTTAGCAATTATATTTGCATCAGAATAGTAGTTCGAGAAAGCAACAGAGTTGTTCTTGCGTGCTTCGCTATATAGAAGCTCCAGCTGTGAGAAGACGTGTTCAGCCTCGGTCTCGATGAGGCGAGTAGCAAGCTTTCGGGGTAATGCTGCCAAGTGCCATATATCCCAAAACCCAATATTAAACACCCACAGAGTTTCTTGAGGGGTTGGCTGAGGTAGGGGCCCAGAAAGAAAGGCCTTGACCTGGCTGAGTAGGTCTAGGTTGGTTGGAACCGGATAATTCTCAACTAGCCAGGAGTAGTCAATCATCCCCGAGGTATTGTTGTCTACGGATGTAGTACGATATAAAGCGGCCTCGAATAGCGAGTTTGAGATGATAGCGCCCCCCTCGTCGCCAGTAAGCGGCGTGAATGAGAGATATCGAGAGCAATTTAGCTAAGCAACAAGACGTTAGCGCTGTATATCAACTATCGTGGAGCTGAGAGTCTCAATCCAGAGACTTACCTGTTGACACAAGACATCAGTCCACCCAGCATTCGGACCACCTAGCCGCGATGAAGATTTACTCGGCGTCGCAACATCGCCCCCACCAAACACCACTATCCTCAACCCACCTCCACCACCTCTGCTTCCCGGCTCCCCATGCTCCCATTCAACGACTGTGCCGTAGTCAGAACTCATGGTATAACCCGCAAGCCTCGAGGACCATAAGTACGCCCCGAAGAGTAATATGGTGATCCCGACTGCGATTTGCGGAAGTATTTTCGAGCCGCCGCGCAGCAGCTTGGCCGGGCTCGCGACTACGAGTCCCATCAGCACGAATGCTTCCGCCAGGTGGTTCATACCATAGGGCTTCTCCCATGGGGACTTCGTGGTCGCGTCGCCTCCTCCGGGGCCGGGTAGTCGTAGCGAGTATAGCATATCTGTTTAGTAGCCTTTGAAAACACTGTTGTGTTACATGTCTCGACGATGTTTGGTTGCTAATATTCCCCGAACGATGTTCTATAGAAATCACCGTTGACAACACCAAAACATTATAAATGCTATATCCGTGCAATAAGAAGAAAGTGTTAGAAACCCTGAAAACGGTAGTACTACATAGCAGACAACGTGGTTTGGCAGGTTGGTTTAACTTTTCCAGAGCCCGGACCTTGTGTCAAATGATTCTAACTGCCCTCTGTCTAGTGTTTCAGACCAAGTTTGTCAAGACTTTTCACCAGTTTACTGACTTTACCGGCTTTACCGACTTTACAAAGGTTATTGTGACGGCCGTGCGAGGGGCGACAACATAAGGGATAGACTTCTCACCAATGACGTATCCATGACTAACGTCCCCGTTATATGGATCGCTGAAAGGCTACGATAATAGTCACTTGTTCAAGGTACCTAACTCTAAGTTCCTATCTTTGTACCAGCAGGCCATTTGTAGTCATAAGATAGTGAACCTCTTATACAAGGTAGATCCAAACCGACCTAGGTAGGGTACCTACCTAGGTGTGAAAGCTGTGTCAATTATTGAGATTTACCATGTAGCGTAAAGCCTAGCTACCTAAGTAGGTATTGTACCACTACCCAGCATGATACAGTACAGTTCACAGTATACTCAGCTATGTCGTCATACCTATGTTGGGCATCCATAGGCACTTAGGCATTTTTAAGAGACTACATGTAGGTTACCTGAAGTGCTACACACATGCATACCTAAGTAGTCCCCATGGTCCCGTGTAACAGCGATGATATACGCCTAGATTGATGTAGGTAATTATCTTGCATGTAGGCCCAACGTCTCCTGTCGTCCGGTGGTAAGGTCGCACACAGTAATAGTTCTGGCCACTACCCTCTGTGCGGGTGGTCGTGTTGATGCCTGACTTGACTTCTATGGGTAGGTGGTGGCCGATGCTGGGCTGATTATCATGTAGCTGTTCTCATAGGGACAAGAACTCGATTGGCTTGGGATTGTTTGGGCTACCTACTAACACGCGGCAGATTCGTCCGAGTTTTACTGGATTGCGAGATTTTTTGGAACTCTTGGAATTGCTTGAATAGGGGCTTGGTTACACATATCTAACCTACCGACATTTGTCTTGCTCCCTTCATCCAATGTAGTCCACGAGCAGGAAGCGGGGAATGTAATGGGTACTGTGTAGGTAGGTATGTTATATACTACCTAACCTTTGGTAAATATATATTTGCAGACAGCTCCTATCCATAATAGCCGCCTTTTCCATCGCGATGGAAACTGCCACTAAAGCGTTTGTACACCTAACGGGTAGCGGCGTCTGAGTTTATTCTTTACTTAAACGGGATCAAACGAAGGAGACTATCAATTGCCAAAACATACCGCTACGCCAAAGGGTGCATAATTGATCTCTCCTTAATTGTCGTGGCCTAGGTAGTTCACGTCAATATATCTGACGCCTCTCCTTGTTCACGTACCAGTCTTGCACCTATATGAGACCCCCCTACCCTTTCCGGCCATGCCAAAGCGGTATGCCCTCCTAGTCGGCGTCGACCATTACTTCAGCGACGGGTTGCGGAACCTCAAGACCCACCAAGTATCCCTCGGAAACCTCCAGGGATGCGTCAACGATGCCGAGGCGTTTCGCGGCTTTCTCGAGCGCACCTACAGGTTCGACAAGATCTCTGTCCTCTTGTCCCCCCTGCAGAAGCTCAGTCCCTCTGATACTCACGCCGTACCGTTCGACGACTCGCTGCCGACGTTCGCCAACATCAAGAGGCAGTTCAACGCCCTAGCGGCCCTGACGCAGCCCGGCGACCTCTTCTTCTTCCACTTCTCGGGCCACGGGGCGCTGCTGAACACCACGTCCAAGTCCCCCATCGGCCGCGACAAGGACCCTTCGCTAATGACGGCAGATTATTGTTGTGGGAAGCCTGCCTTGCGCGGTTGGCAGCTGAACCGCTGGCTGAAGCGTTTGGATCGGAAGAACGTGCAAGTGGTGGTCTCGCTTGATAGTTGCTATTCCGGTGGCGCCTGGCGAGGGTATCAGAGAGATGTTGTGGGCTACCGCACACCAGACGAATGGCCCCTCTCTATTCCCAACTCGCGCGCGGACCTTGAGGCTCTCAAAGACGAAGAGAGCGATGATGGTGATATGTTGGAACCGGCATCTCGTGATGCCGTTCTTGAAACATCCTGGTCTATCAACCCACAGGCATTCACCTTGATGACAGCCTGTGAAACTTATCAAAAGGCCGCAGAGGTCAAGCACGAAGATGGAAAGATAGGCGGTGCCTTTACATGCGGGCTGATCGAATATCTAGAAGACAGCAAGTTCCAAGTGAGCTACCGCATGGCACGGGATTACCTACAGGCAAAACTCGAGCCTCAGAGACCGACATGTTTTGGCCGTGATCGGTTCCACTTTTTCGGGAAGTCAGAGCCCCTGAACGCAAATCCCATTTCATTCCGACTTGAAAATGACCGGGTACACATCAACGCGGGGCGGGCTCATGGAATCTGCATAGGATCTGAGTTCACCCCTTTCCCTGTTTCACCCACCACCGCCCTCACTATAACAATCAACAATATTGAAGAATTCAAGTCCAGCGCAGAACCGACTAGGGAGTTCAAGGAGGCCCTGAAGAGGCACAGAAGCGAAATGGTTATTCCGTCACGATGGTGTCTAGGAAACCACATGATCTTCCGCGTGGCCGTAGATTCAAGTCTCGGGAAAGATTTCCAACGCTCACTGCGCGAGATTCTCAAGAGCCGAATCGTCAACGAGATCGACATAACTGAGGATGCAAGGGACGACGATACAGTATTCAAGATTCGACACGACCGCACTGGAACCAAGATAGTCGGACCTGAGCGAGTGATAGGTTACGATGGCCCGGTGAGAGCACTAATGCTGGGAAACCTTTCTGGTAATTCAAAGCCGGCAGCGCTTGCTGCCGAAGTAGCTGCTCCCCTTTTGCACCTGGCTCGATTTCAGCACACTCTCGAACTGAAACCAGAATCCACGTCGATGCGACAGCCATTCGTAGTATCAGTAGTACCAAGCGACGAAACCACCACAGCGAGTGGCGGCAGTTACGCAACTGGCCAACGTTTTGTGTACGTGTTTAAGAATACCAGCAACGAGGACCTATACCTTGCCGTTCTCAACATTACCCCTGAATTCAAAATCCAGCAGCTCATCCCGCCTAACGACTTTCCAGATCGAGTAGGACCAGGGGGGGCCATAAAGCGTATTTTCACCTTTAACTTGCCAGATACTTTGCCCACACAACTTGAACACGAGATCCACCGCAGTGACCGTCGAGACATCATCCGTACGCTGGTGTCGACAGAGTGTGTGTCTACGTGGAAAGCCCTGGAGCTCCCAGAGATTTGGGACGCCGATAAGGTAGATAGTCCGGCTGCGCGATCGGCTCTGAGGAATGTGACAGTTGAGCGCGAGACAGAATGGTGGGTTTCCGATACACATGTCACCACAACTGATTTTAACTATACTATCCCAACCACTATCCCGGCCACCATTCCTGACGATAAACCTAAAGATAATATGACCACGGTAAAATCACCAGAAGGACAAGATAGGAAAACGTACCCCATATCTGGCATTCCAATGGATCCTAGCTTCCGTATTCCCATCCGCCAAGATGTCGATGACTGGTATCGCGAGCAAACAAGCCATCAAGGCAATCGTATACAGCTCACGCTGTTTGTAGAAGCATTGATCACTATTCAGCAACGCCCATTAACTGATGAGAGGTCGTATTTTCGCTTAGCTGGCATCCACGGCGCCCCCTGGACAGATTGGGACGGCAGTGCAGCTCCTCTGAATAAAGATAATAGAGTGACCGGCTTTAGCGTCCATAACGATTATACCTTTCCGACTTGGAATCGGGTTTATATAGCCTTGTTTGAGGTAAGACTTGTTCTCGCCCAAGTTTTCTGCTGGTGCTATTCCTGGAAGGGGTTATACGCCTCGGTAGATACCTAGGCACTGACGAATTATCTAGCAAGTGGTATATGAAGCGATGATTGACTTCATAGACAAAGCCAGCAATGTACTAGACGAAACCAAGAATAAATGGAAGACAGAAGCCAAGCGATGGCGTCTGCCGTACTGGGACTTTGCGCGGTTTGCCTCGCATGACGGCACCCCAAGTGATGAACTTCGGCTCCCAATTCTGGCCACGCTCCCTGTGGTCAAGGTCAAGGTTTTTGGGTCTGAAAACGAGTTGGTGAACAAGGCCAATCCCCTGTACAAATTCCAGACCCAGACTCTCATGGGCGACTTGGAGCGCCCTTATAACATCACCGCCCAACGCACCACGAGAAACGGTCGAGATATGTATGTCCCGGTACGTCCCTTCCCCACTCAACTATCCTTTTGTTTGGCCCAATTTCCGGTTCTCACAATAATGAGTTCAGTTCGAGAAATGTCTATCTACAACCAAATACGGGCTTCTCGAAGGCTACAGCCCAGATGTCTGGGCGGACGCGGGACAGAACTGGCTACGAGCCAATCTGGCTCTGAATGAGCATCCCTGGTACCAGAACAACACAGATGGCTGGGAATCGGTCCCCACATTGCAGGATATGACCTTCCGGCTACTCAAGATGCGGCTGGATAGCTGGGGCAGCTTTGCATCGACCCGGCATTCTGACGGTAAAAGACCTGCATATTTGGGAACGCAAGCCCGGAATGGGATAAATCTGGAAACGATCCACAATAACGTCCATGTATGTGGTAGTTCAAGAAGATTAAATACTATTTCGAAAAACGTTCCCGTAGCTAACGCTTGGCAGAACTGGGTTGGGGGATTCATGTTCAGTCGTCCTGGGCGAGAAGATCTGAAGCTCTGGGGTGCTGGCCACATGGCCAACGTGGACGTGGCGGCGTTCGATCCCATATTTTGGCTGCATCATTGGTGAGCCATAGCTTCGTCCTATATTACTTACCATCACACAAAGACATGCCTGCTAACGCGAGTTGGTGAAGCAATATTGATCGACTGACTGCAATCTGGCAGTGCTTGAATCCTGAGAAGTGGTTCGACGACCAGTGGAGCCAGGCATCCCAAAGCAATGTGCTGCATCCATTCCATAGAAATACCGAGGGTCTCGTGTTCAAGTCCGACGATGTGAGAGACTGGCGAGTCTTTAACTATGAGTATGCGATTACCATAGACCACTGTGATTTAAATAAGATCGAGGAAAGAGTCAAGATTCTTTATGGGCAACGAATGATGGATGTGTATAACAAATATGAGATGATTGATATCGTCATCATCGTCAAGTACGACTGGTTAGTACATACCTATGCATATTTGGCCTACGAACAAGGCGACATACTTGTTGGTTTGCTAACAGAATATAAGGAATGCATTGGGAGGTAACCCCTTTCAAATCAACATCTTTTTCGGTTCCTTGGACCCTAAGAATTTTTACGACTCCCGGTCGAAAAACTTCGTGGGCAGCGTCTTCAACTTCGGCGGTAGTTTCCAGAACAGTCACTGTTCCAAATCCTCGAAGCAGCAGACACAAGACAACAAGGCAATAGGCCAGCTTCCCGCTACATTGGTGTATCACTACAACATGAGCGAGTACGAGAAACTCCCGACGCTTTCATATGTAGTGGTGGATAGTCAGGGGAAGGTAAGGGCTCATTTTCCAGCCATCAACTTTTAATAAGTAGTTCACATGCTCACATGCGGCTTCAGTCTGTGGATATCGCAGTCGATATTTCCATGAGCTTTGCCTCGAACTTTTTCTGGTCCGATGCCCACGGTCGCTACCTATTATTTGGCCCTACTGGAGTGCCCGCCGAGGTCGATTATTAGTGTGCATGCGTGCGAAGGTCGGGCTGTCGAAAAGAAGAAGGCAACTAGGCGGGTACTTTGTAAATGAAATCAGTTCAAGTATTAAGTATTTCAGTTCAACATTGAATTGCCTCATGAAGACCTGGTATTTGTATACCTACCTAGGTAGGTAGGTAGGTAGGTACCTAACGTTGGAAAGAGATGAAAAATTGAAGGAATGAAGATACTACATGTAGGTACTAGGTTAGGTACCTAATAAGCATGCTACAGCGCATCGCACTTTCCTCTTTGGCGTACCTGCCTCTATCTACAAGTATTTGAAACTGTTTCAAGAAACTTTGTTTTGTCCAACATGAATTTCAGTGAATGCCTAGGTATTCCATTCATTCCCCCAGCACTCACACCACCCCCACCATAAACCCCCCCGCCTCATCCAGCGCCTCAGCAAAAACCTCCCCAGCCCTCCCCTCATCAAGCCCCAGCCCAAAGCGCAGACTCGTCATCACGAACTTCTCCGCCTTGAAATTCGCCACAAACCACTCCCCGCTATCCTCCGCATGCCTTCTTTCGAAAAACGCAATCACGCAGATCGCAGCCCAGACCTGGCGCTTAACGTCGTCGTCGTCGTCATCTCGGACCTCCAGAGCAGATATAGCCGCGGCGACGGCCGGGATCCCGCCAGCAATGCCGCGGAAGACGATGCGCTCGACGACGGCGGGGTCGAAGGCGCCGGTGGTGGCATCTTGCGCGGCGATGAGGTCAGAGAGGTCGTCTTCGCCGTCATTGCTGGCGATCGAGTCGGCGTCAGAGGAGGAGGCATCGTTTAAGGGGAGGGATAAGCTCATCGCGCCGATGCGAGGCATCTCGAGAGGAGTTATCTTCAGCGGTGGTGACGGCGGCAACGGCAACAGCGACTCGCCCCTGAAAACTTGGTTGCGCATTGTCATTTCCAGTTTCATTTGCGCGGTAACACTAAATTGCGCGTGTACGAAGTTGAGATCCGAGGCAGTATCACCCTGGGGGACGCTGGACAGACGGGTCCGGCCGCCTGGTGGAGCATTACTGGTGATCTTGGCCTGAGTACCCACGCCCGCCATGGTGGCAACGAAGGAGGTCTGCGTACTAGCCAGGCTGTAAGTTTTCCCTAGCCGGACAATCTCGGCCTCGTTCTCGTACTTCTGGCCCGCATTGGTGATGGAGATTGCCTTGTCCTCTAGCACTTGGATCAGGGCGCGCGCGGCAAGGCTGTGCACCAGACGCCCGGGGCTGTTATCTCCGTGGCGGATTTCGATTGTGTTGATGATGCCGCCGGGGATCTCGTACTCGATCTTGACCTTCGGGGTGTTGTAGGTGCCGTCGATGATGGCGTACCAATGGCTGCGGACGGCCCAGAACATTGTGCCGGGTAGAGGGGCCTGTTGAATAGCTTCAGGTGGAGGGACATTATCGCCCTTAGCAGCCGGTCCCAGTTGGCTTTGATCAGGTCGGGGGCGACTGGCCATGTTCTTTCCACTTGCCTGAGGCGGGCTTTCCGCTGGGGTCATCCCCCATCCGATGAAACGAACACGAATAGGGGCGCGGTTGATGCTGTTGATCATGGTCCAGGCTTTAAGTTCGCAATGATCACTGTCTTGCATCCACGAGTCGCTTATATATGCTGTAGCTCCTGAGCCACTCCGCACCAACGCTTCGCACATTCCTCTCGAGACATCGTCACCCAGGCCCATGACAAAGACTCGCAAGAGCTTGCCCTGTTCCGCAGCTGCTGTGGCATGCTTCTGAATGGTCTGCATAGCGGCCGTGACGCCCCAGTCAAGACCGTCGGTGATTACCACGACAGAGCAACGAGGCTTAGCAGCATCGCGTTGGTTGAAGACGGTGGTCAAGGCAGAGTTAATGTCCGTGCCTCCCCAGGCGTCCCATGTGTTGAGCCGATTGATAGCAGCGAAAACGTTTTTCTTGTCATATCCGACGCTTCGGCCATTGGGGAGGATTGATTTCGCTGCCGTGTTAAAGCCGTATATATTGAACGATGACCTCTTTTTCGTGGGAAGATTGGCCAGCATCATTTCGACGACATCCTTGGCCATTTGCAGGCGAGATCCTGACATGCTCCCGCTTCTATCAACAAGGAAGATGTATTCTGTCGTGGCCTGTCAGAGGTACAACTAAACTCAGCATGGCATGTGTAATTCAACTCACCATGCTCTTCAGGGTCTAGCATCACGTTAGAAACCAATGTCAAAGCGAAGGCTGTGGTTTCAGCTTGTCCATCAATCGGCGGGTGGAGTGGCTCGAAAACGCAACGGCCCGCGTCCATGGACTGGACCGCCCACACCAGGACAAAGTTGCCTCTTAAGAATTCTTTGCTTTTAAACTCGACGTACGCTTTCCAATCTTTGAACTTCTTGTTCATCTCCGCCGGGCTGAGACTCTTGAACGAGTTGTCGGAGAATCCATAGTTGATAGTGGCCTGGTGAGAGAGACAATTGAGACCTAAGATTCGGGTGGAATTAACATGGATCCCAACAGTGATGGTGACCGCAGCTGTGCCGGTAGGGGCCGTTGGGTATGTGGCGGGTCCTGGCCTTCCCGCGTGAGGTGCAAGGCCACAGGGGATGGTCAGACGAACAGAGTCCTCTATCGTATCGCTCGAAATGAGGTGAGCGTAAGTAACACTAACGAGATCAATACGGTAAGCGATATAAAGAAGAATGAAGATTGTTGGGCTTACCGGGTCATGATCGATGAGTTAGGAGCGATGTTTCCCAAGCTTATTTCGAACACTTGACATAGTGACGAAAGTCAATATTGAACTACACGCCAAGAAATTCCAAAGAAAAGGAGAAAACGATTTACCTTCTTCTTGAACCTTATCCAGCTTCCACGCCTGGACGCCAGCTGCTTTAGCTTCTTCATACTTTGCATTCGCCTCCTCCTTCTCATCTACGATCGCTTCAATACGGGTATCTCCGATCTGGGCGGAAAACCCGGTCACTGACGCCTCAGGGGGAATCTCAAAGAGGTACGAAACATTACGCTCGACATTGGTCTGAGCTTGGTAGGTCTCTGTAAGCGTAGCCTCGACAACGAAGTCCCGAACCTTGTAGCTATAGTTGGAGCTGAGAAGGGGATACTCGATGGGTGTCCAGTGGCCGTGCCAGTAGATGCCTTGGCGCCTGTGTGTAGGACCGTTGTAGGCCATTTTGTGGTAAAGTGGGCTTGGGGGTTGTGGTGCGTGAAGTATCGGAAAATAACGCAAGAAAAGAAGAGAAGGGTCGGAGACTTAGTAAGGAGTATATATATCGATGCCAGGCATCGATGAGATGAGCCTCAAGCCATGCACATATTCACAAAGAGCTCTTCACGGAGTTTTCATGTAGGGTATACAGACCTTAGATTAGACACCTCGTACCTATGTACATAGTTGAGCACACTTATTATTTCCAACCTACCCTCCAAAGAGACTTCGACTGGCATATGGCGGCAATGGAATAAAGCCCTTACCTAGATCAAGTACTCAATGGTCATGAGCATTCATGTGATTAATGAATACCCAAAAGTCAGAATGTAGTGCAACACGACACCAGGAAGTGCCTTCAATGCTGTTTGCGCAACTCTAAATAATCGATGCCCTCATACCTCCATACCTATCTAGGTAGGCTTGTATAAGAACATGTCAAACACAGTGCCAAGTACAAACTGTTCATGGTGTAGACACTTGCGGCTGAAGCAAGACCCTTCAGCCAATCGCATCACGAGGAATTATCATGAAATATTAATTGGGTGGTATAGTTCATATTAGGTACTGACCTAGGTTAGCTAGGCAGAGAAAGCGAGATAGCAGACAATTGGACTCGTGACCTTCCATTCGACCTACTGTACTATACTATATGACGCTGTGTTTCCCTGAATGATTTCATATCAACCATATGAGTGACATTGATGCACGTATGCCCAAGACCGTATATAATTGGCTGCATTATGCGTGATAGCCGTAGAAATTGATCCTTGGGTAGCCGGAGATAACCCCGTGGAAGCCGCCGAGGAGGGCCGAGAAAAAAAGGAAAGATAAACATGAAAAAGGAGGGAAAGTATTGGATTAAAAGGGAGGGGGGAGGAAAGAAACACTTGACTGGTATACATTAACGTCAAATATACGAAAGTACTCACCAATACCCCAAACCTCCTAGTTAGACTATCCATCATCCCCTATCCGAACCGTCATGTCAGACAAATCCCGTCTCGACCGCGTATACGCGCAACTCTTACGACACCATCCCTACGGATGGGCACTCTACAAGAAGGTCACAAAGCGAGACATATTCCCCGGCAGCTGTGGCTATTTTGACACGGATGGTGACTGGAAGACCCTGGTGGACCTGAACGACGGACCTGGTCTCGTCAGTCAAGGATGGACCTCGCCGGGTGATGGGATAACCGGCACGAAAAGCCCCGAGGCGATGACTTGGGGTCCGAAGAATTCGGTCTCGATCCAGTCGAACCACGTCGGAGGCACAGTTGGGGCTGCGTGAGTACAGAATACCCGTCTCCCATTTCTCACAGCGTCGATGACCCCTGAAGCATGTCATGTCATGTCGCGTCACGTAACCTCATCTAACACCCGCGCAACCCAAGTATACCAGGCGCCCCCATCTCCGCCTCCATCTCAACGCTCTTCTCGACCCAAAGCTCGCACGGCGCCGTCCTCGCAACCCAGCCCCCGGTCTGGAAAAGCGAGATCGGCAGCGTCGGCAGCGCCGTGCGCTGGATGATCGAGAACAAGCGCGCGATGTTGCAGCAGCACCGCGACGTCTTCACGAAGCACGGCATCTGGATCGTCACCAAGACGTACTCGACGCGGCGGTGCGCCGTCGCGGTCATGACGGCGAAGTCGTCCACCGTCGAGATCGGCCTGGAGGCCGACGCGCAGGGCGTGCTGACGCTGGCGCCGAGTAGTGGCTGGACGAGCAGCACGGGGAGCTCGGCCGTGGAAGTGCATGAGGATGAGAGGGATGGGCTTGTGGTTTTTATCAGTGGAGTTTATTTTTCCCCCAAGGTTTTTAGCTGGGGGTTGAGCCACACGGGTGATCAGGGGAAGCAAGGGGGGAAGCTATTCCGTGGTGATGAGGATGGAGATGCGGATGACGATGTTATGCTGGATATGGAATTCTACCCGCCTCTTGAGGAGGAGGAGGAGGAGGAGGACATGGGCTCTGAGTTGGACTCGGAGGGCGATTGATGGCCGGAGTAGTGGGCTAGATACCCAGCTGAACTCATCCATACCTCATCTCTGGCGTTCTAATCACGCTGAGAGACTTTAAGAGAGACTTATCGTGCGCTTATATTCTCAATAGCCTTATATTAAAAAGCTCCTCTAGGGTCGCGCGTACCGGAAGACCTCCTTCCTCAATCCAAGTCTTTAGAATTGATTAATAGCGCTTCATTATCAATCTCCTGTGCAGCGCTCGGTTTTGATTTGAAGTGGGATGTCCTGTTATGATCTATGATGTAGGTAGTAGGTACCTTGTCTCCGTTTGCTGGGTAAGGGGAAGCTAGCCGACCGCAAGAGATACATCCGGGATAGGAAACCGAGTCCTCACATAAACCGTGAAAGAAACTCGTGATGCTGATATGCATGTTATACATTCGAGCCATTAAGGTGAAAAAGTTCCGAGATCGTGAAGTTCGAGATAGTGTCACCAGCCACTAGTTCCCTCGGAAATAAAACCCTCCCCCCATCCCCCTTTTCCCCCAAAACGTCGGACTCGGCTTCGGGCTCGGGGGTATCGGCTTCGGCAAATTCAGTCCCTTGAAAGCCTTCACTCTTGATCCGTCCAACCCATCCATCCATCACATTTCAAATCTTCTTACCTTACGCGAAACAAATCTAGATCTAGATCTAAAAACAGTTCGTTTATATAATTTTTCATATTAGGTAAGATCTTAATAACATAGGAGGCCAAACACCCCGTTAAACCAAAAAACCCCAAGTACCGGATTATATACATGTGAACAAGAATCACTATGCCCGACCCCGAACGTCGGCGTAGAAGACCACCCGTGTATGTGTTTCTTTTTTTTTTCTTTGTTTCTAAAAACCCCCCGAGCTCAGTTTAGCTAGTAGTCAGTCAGTTAGCCGGTTCGCTGGTACCATGTAAGTCAATAATAGTGTGCGCGCTGACAGCGGTGCAATCCTCCCAACATAGTTCGTGTTCCCTGTGCCGGAAGCGCAAGATCCGGTGCAACCGGGAGAGTCCGTGCAGCAACTGTCTTAGATCAAGGCACCACAACGGGGACTGCGTCTACGAGGAGCTTCCTCCTCACCGTCCGGCACGGGCAACAACCACCGCTGGACCCGGCCTAGACCCTGCCGAGGAAATAACACAGCTCCCGATCCTTATCCATGGAACTTCCAGTCACACCAGCACATCTTTATCCCCCACGACACTCAGCCATGCATCCAACCCCTTCCACCCATCTTCTATCCAGAAGGTCAGCAGCAGCAGCTCCACGGCAGCCTCAACTCTCAACAGTAGTGAGCCTTCACCATCAGAGATCGAGGCCCTGAAACGGCGGATCAGATGCCTCGAGGAGCAGCTGTCTAGCCATGCTGCTGCTAGCCAATCTTCTTCCACTACCAGAACTTCCGCGCTATGGAAATGCAGCCCCACCTCTAATAACATAGAGACGATATCGTCTCGTATCAGCGGGACCTTCTACATCCATCATGAGGGCCGCCAATCTCCGGCCATCTCCCGGAGCGTCACGCACAAGAACCGGATATTTGGGCAGAGCCACTGGGTCAATGGCTTTTCACTAGTATGTCTTTCTCCTTTTTTTTCCATGAAGGTTACAGCCTCTCTGACAACCCCCAGATGCGAGACATAATCGACCTGATCGAGCCGCACGTGCGCGACAACTCCAAAGCCGCCCTCCTAATGCAGCGATCCAAGGAGCTCGCCCGAATCATCAAGGCGCGGCGAGCGCCCCCCTGGCCCTCGCTAACGGTATCCCACCTCCCCCCCAAGGACGTCGCCGACGAGCTGCTGGACTGCTACCTCCGGACCACGGAGCCCATCTACCGAGTCCTGCACATCCCCACTTTCAAACGAGACTACGAGGCCCACTGGATCTCCCCCGCCAGCACCAACAAGGCGTTCCTCGTGCAGATGAAGCTCGTCCTCGCCATCGGCGCCGCCACCTACGACGACAAGTTCACCCTCCGCGCCTCGGCGATCCAGTGGGTCTACGAAGCGCACACCTGGATCTCGGAGCCGGGGTTCAAGCACCGCCTCAGCGCGCAGTACATCCAGACCAACATCCTGCTCCTCCTCTCCCGCGAGATCGTCGACGTGGGGCCCGACCTCGTCTGGGTCGCCGCCGGCTCGCTGCTGCGGCGCGCCATGCACATGGGCCTGCACCGCGACCCCGCGCACCTGCCCAAAACCACCACCTTCGTCAGCGAGATGCGCCGGCGGCTGTGGAACTCGGTCCTCGAGCTCTCGCTGCAATCGAGCCTGACCTCGGGCGGCCCGCCGCTCATCTCGCTCGACATGTTCGACACCGCGCCGCCGGGCAACTTCGACGACGAGCAGCTGCTGCTGCTGCCGGCGGCGTCCTTCGAGGACCCACGGGCAGCAGAAGAAGAAGAAGAAGAAGAAGAAAGGAGCGCGTTCACGCAGATGTCGACGGCGCTCGCGATCCGCAGGACATTCGCCGCGCGCCTCGCCGTCGCGCGGTTCCTGAACAGCCACGGCTCGCGCGGCACGTACGCGGAGACGCTGCGGCTCGACGCCGAGCTGCGGGCCGCGTACAGGCCCGTGCTGCAGAGCTTCCAGGCCTACAGGTCCAGCGCGGCGGGGCCCCGGCCCTCGCAGTACGAGATGGACGTGGTGAGCCTCATCGTGAACCGCTACGTCCTGTCCCTGCACGTCCCGTTTGTGGGGCCGGCGCTGCACGAGGCGCCGTACGCGTACTCGCGGAAAGTGGCCGTCGAGACCGCGCTCAAGATATGGCGGCTGGTGTACCCCTCGCCGCAGCAGCAGCAGCTCACCACCCCCAACCCCACCTCCCCCCACGACCTATCCCGCCTCTCCGTCAGCGGCTCCGGCTTCTTCCGCATCGTAACCCTGCAAGCGAGCCTCCTCATCGCCACCGAGATCCGCGCCCAGATCGCCGAAGAGGAGACACTGGGCCCGGGCTTAGTGCGCGCAGACCTCGTGTCCACGCTCGCAGAGGGCAAGAGCTGGACGCTGAAGAGCGTCGAGGCGGGCGAGACGAGCATCAAGGGGCACTTCATCGCGTGCGTGATCGCGGCGCAGATCGAGGGGCGGATGCGCGGGCTGCGCGGCGACGAGCTCACGCGCTTCGTGGTGCGGGCTGCGGAGGACGCCGAGGAGAGGTGCGTTCCGCTGTTGGAGGAGATGGTGGCGGCGGCGGAGACGCGGGAGCATGATAATAATAATAACAACAACAACGATAACAGCACGTCTGAGACGACGCCGTCGCAGACTTTTGGGGATTGGGATTTCGTGGTGAGTAATGTGCCTGCCTGCCTACCTACTAACCCAGGTTAGTCGTTTCGGATCTTGCAATGCTTACAGTTATTTCTTCTTGTTTGGGGGTAGATGTCGGATTGTCGGTTTGATTTCGATGATACCGAGCCGATTAATTGGGCTTTTGACGAGTTTTCGCAAGGGCCTATTATTTGACCAGATTTAGGTACCTAGGTATCTACTTAAGCACTGGGGAGCTTTAGTTTCTGTAAGAATAGCTGGTGGTTAAGACAAGGTGTCTTTGATATTAGAAGATTACGCCCCTCCTTAGTATTACATAGTAACCTTAGGTAAGTAGATAAAGATCGCAGTCCTGGAAGAGCTGACGCCCCCCTTATCCTAATTGCTCATACGGGAGTCCTGTACCTTCCGTATGAAAAGCACTGCATACTAGGTACCTAATAAAGCATCGTCTCCCTGACTCCTTCTAAAGTGCTCCGAAGTCATTGGTATCAAGTTCACCGCACCTGTGCATACCATAATGTTCCCTTGCACGCCATCCTGCTCTTCGTGTATTAATCTTTGACTACCCCTCGTTGATGAACAGCATCCAGTCACCCCTTCTTCGCCTTCGCCGAAGTCCTCTTTGCATTTAATAGGTTATATATGTCGAAGGCACATGTAGGTAAAAATCCAGGTCGTCTAGTTGAGGATTGCCTCTACCACCCAAAAAGCATAATTAACTTGGGGTGAGAAGGAACGGATGATGGACGGATATGATAACAACTATCAGATATACACTGGTATAAACTAGAGACATTTAACGAGAGATCGATCATTTGACCTTCTGGCGTAGCGGTATGTTCTGAAAACAGCCCAAAACGACAAAGTGAAAGAGCACAAGACCGTTGAATTTTTCTAAGATCATCAATAAATGAGAGTCTTGGTTACTATATCCTAACATATTTTCCGTGTGCACCATGTAGCGATGACCAAATACCAAAATTTCCACACAATATACAAGCACCACATCTCCCAACCCCCCCCCAAACACCCACCAGCCCACCCTTCTCAACCCCCTCTCCCTAAACACAGAAACTCATAAATCACAGATACCTGCTTGCTTGCTATCCTATATCCCTCGTATCTCGTATCGTCGACCATCCAAACACACCTGCTCAATCACTGGTACTCAATCGTGCACTCAGCATTGAAGCCGGCGCCGAGGTAGCAGCGAGCGTTGGGCGTGAGCTTCTCCATGTGGCCGACGAGGCAGCCTCTGCAGCCATTGTAGCAATGGAGGGGGTTTTGCCACTGTTGTCGTTAGTTCAGCGTTCATCGTGTCTTTGGTTAGCGGGCCATCATCGCTGCTTTTGGCTGGGTTTGTGCCATTCGGGAAAAGGGGGAGGGTTTGATGATGGGGAGCCCGGGGTCAGGTATATAGGAGGCATGTTTCCGGGAGTAAGGAAAAAGGGGGGGCTACTTACGTGCGACCCACGACTCTCAAGTTGTTTCGAGGTCCCTGGGAATAAAATCGCATTTTTATACCACCCGCCTGTCACTACTCCGTTTATTAGCATCGTGTCCATATTCATCCCCTTCTTCCCTTCCTTTCTCTTCCCCGCCACCTACACAGGCACCCAAAGCGGCAGGTCGAGGGTCAAGTTATCCAGCACCAACAGGTACCTAGTATCTAAATAAGCAAGTAAACAAAATACAAAACCTACCCATCAAAACCTCATCGTAATAACTCTTCATCTTACTACTCTCCGTCTCGTCCAACGCGTCCTGCTGCTGCAGGAAATTCGGATGGCACACGAAGTGCCTGGTGATGGGTCCGCCATCCGCGGTGACGTTGTTGTTGTTGTCGTCGGCGGGCTTGGGGCTGTCGAGATGCGAAAGCTGGTATTGTGCGTCCGCATAGGTGTCATCAGATGACAGCGGCGCGCACAGAATTGTCGTGGACGACAGCAGGGTTGTCGCGAGGATGTTTAGGAGACGCATGGTACGTAGGTGTATATGAAGTCGTGTGGGTATGTGAAAGGACTATACTACCCTATGTAGGTATGTTGTAACCGATGTAGGCAGGTAGACGGGTAGATTATATAGTTTCTTGACTCGATCGATGTGTTGATTTCACAGAAAACGAGTAATATTACCGACGTAGATAGGAAAACAAGAACAACAGTGGTAGGTTTGGGAGGAAAGGGGGGACGGGCCTCTGAGAGCAACTACTGCCATCGCCCCGACCTTAAATAAGAATGCTATTCACCTGGGCAACGTCTTAGCATGGCCTTAACCTTTCAACTATCACGCATGGTGCCTCTCGACAACTTAAATTTTGCATCATACCTACCTACCTACGTACATACCTAACTTAGGTAGGTAGGTATCCCTATCAGACCAAATCTTCCACGTAGTTACCTAGGTAGATACCACGATGCTGCCGACATGTGGGAAATACACACAGCTGGCAAGCAGATAAAGTTCCCACGCATAAACATAAACAAAAGATTACCTACCGTTGATGAGCCTCTGGCGGGCATAGGTGTCAACAACAGCTTGATTCTTACTCTGAAGTTTTGAAGTTTTGAAGCTTTCTGACTTCGTCGATTAGACCCCCAATTATTGACTATTCATCAAAGTCCGTCCGTGCACTGGCCTTGGTCCCACGGCAACCCTGGCAACATTCATCTTACGTTCTTTCGTTACCTACCTAGGTACCTAGTAGTCATGTTCACCAAGACCACCCACCCACCTAGCTACCTACATATTTACTGTACATCTAGTACGTATAATTCTCTGGTCTGAATGTTCCATGATTTTAGCACTCACCAAGTGCTAATTTGTGGTTATTCAGCTTGAGCTAGCACTACGAATGAACTGCTTGGCAGCTTCGGCTTGTTTGAATTTAGGCAAGAGATCCCATTACAATGCAATGATACTGAGTCACTTACGTATTTACAAATTAGGACTGAGTCATAATAGTCTTATTGTTTGAATTCATCGACGTTTGATTCCAATATCCTTCGGCGACGGTAGCAACAGAAATTTGCTGACCGACCCTGGACATATGGCCATCAACCAACTCAAATCAACTCACCACCACCATTCTGCGGGCAAACCAGCTAACGCGGCAATGTAAGCCAAATTCAGCGGTATGAATTCCCTAAGAAGCCCTACGTTTGAAGGGGATAAAAACCGCACAGCAAAGGGTACTAAAACTTTTCTCCAGGGAGACGGATTTTGACTCTTTTGGCGATAAGCTTTGAGTCACCAAGTCAACGGTCAACCGTCTAAATTAAGACATCGGAAAAGAATATGAGACGTCATGAATTAATGCGAGTCACGGATTTCCGAAACATCTCATCATGCGTCGTCTGGGGGGGTTGAAAAGTGGTACGTAAATGTACCGAGGATGTAAAGCTTGCCCAGATTACCGATAAGTTTTTATCCTCATATTCTTCTTCGGAATCAATATCCTCTTCACTCTCAAGTCTACGGAGTGCTTATTCTTCTTCGGAATCACTCTCCTCCTCACTCGAATCCCCGGGGTGGTTGTCCTCGACCTCGCCAGGTAGAGGCTCTTGACTGCCGCTGCCGTGGCGCTGAAGTTGGGCCTTGAGCTCACGGAGCTGCTCGATTTTTCGTTCTTGTTCGTGTTTGTTCATTGGCTTATTCTTCTTAGCCTTGGGTGCACTAGGTTTGGTGTCTGGCTCCGCCTTGACTGGGACACTGAACTCCTGCTTCTTCTCGAGAGCAGCACGGATGCCCGGGTTCGACTTGTGGATGATGTCGTAAAGCTTTCGCAGGGCATCGATGGAGAGGGCATCTATGTCCAGCTCCATTTCGCCGTCATCATTCTCCTACAACAACATTAGTTTTAAATACGGGCTAATGGGAAAATGCCCTGCATCAACACAGCTTGAGGTGGGCTCAAAAGATAAGGGACGAGGGATAGTGGGTACGTACATTCTGTCCCGTGTCTCTCTTGATAATCTCAACAGCCTTCGTCAGAGTATTGCCATCGAGGTCACTAATACCTTCCGCGATAACTGCTTTCTCCAACGGTCCTACTGGGCGGCTTTTTGGAGCTGCCTTCTTGTGACTACCAACATGATTATGAGGCGCCTTTTTGGTGGCCGTGGCATTTCCAGCCGCTGCTTTCTTACTGCCCGTGGCCGCGGCGCCGCTTCCCCCTGACTTTGGCTTGCTCTTGGAGCTGCTCTTCTTCTTCGGCTTGGGCTTCTTCTCACTGTGGAATTTAGTTCGCTCCTCCACGAGCTTTCGTTGAAGCATTGAAACCATCTGCTGTTGTATCTCGAGCATCGTTAAGTCCGGCTTCTTCGACCCTAGGTAAGTGTTTAATTTTTCTTGTTCCTCGTCTAATCGAACTTGAAGAGTTCGTATTGCTTCATTATTATTGTCCTCATTGCCGCCCGCCTCACTTTCCTCATCCGAATCATGAGCACTTCGTTCAGGACTAGGCGCAGAAACGTTCGTCGTAGATGGCACTTCTGGAGGGTGATGTCGCTTCATCCATTGATCCCGCTTACTCAACTCGGATTTGAAGAGTTCTTCTAGCCGTTTTGCCAAAAGGGTGACATCGTGGTTCTGGCCATTGAACAGTTCAGCATTATGAACAATTAATCTCATGTCCTTCTCTATGTCCTTCACGTTCTTGTAGTCGCCATCGATGTTTTTCTGCGTCATAGTAGTAAGGTCCATTGGCTTCTTGATGACGCTGAAGTAGGTCGGGATGTTCAGCGCTACAGGGTCGACGGGCGTGAGGAACCATTGGTTTAACGCATAATGCTTTCCTTTCTTGACTTCATCCAAGACAATCTCAAAGAACCGTTGTTCGGGCTCCAGCTTTTTGCGATTAGCTGAGGCGTAGTCTAGGTCACGATTCTTTGGTGGGTGTATTGGTCGCTTGGGTCTGTCGTTGTCTTCTCGCGTCGAATCACGACGAATCTGAGGAATGCCATTGGGGGGGATAGCGAAAGCTGGCGCCGAAGATGAGGTAGCTGATTGGGTGGCTTGCGCGGGGGGCGTAGGTCTCGGCTTCGGGCTTGCTGCTGGCGGTCGCGGCTGAGACTGCGACTGTCGGCGAGGTTGAGTCGCTGCGCGAGGTTCAGGATGGCGAGTCGCATGTGCTTTACCCTTCTCAAGCTTGGCAGGCTCTTCCAACTTCGAAATTTCGAACAGGCGTGCCAGAACCTGATCTCTAATAATACCTGCAGCTTGCGTGACGCTGTTGGTTTCACCATTGAATGTGACTGAGTTATCATATAGTAATTGGAGGTCAGCCTTGAATGCACCGTAATTAGAGTACTTGTCTTCGCGGAGCTTCGACTCAAATAGTGAGATATCCACAGGATTCGTTATCTTAGCTCTGTAGTCATCCCACAAACCCGGCCACAGTCGTTCTACAGACTGCTTAAAATTGTTGCCATTCTTCGTCTTCTTAACTCCTGCCAAAACCTGCCTGATTTGTCTGTTCTGAAAGGGCGTGATAACTTGGTCATCCAATTTCTCATCTGTGGAATCAGTGGAAGTTGTTGCTGGCGGCACATCATTCGCGACAACCAATGAATCTGCGGCAGGTCCGCCCCGATCTTCTTCAGTCTTTGCCCGCTTCGCTGCTCGCTCATCGTCGCCATCCTCTTCTCGCCCGCGTGCGACCTTTGCTGTGGACGCTAATTGATCAGTCATAGGAGTGTCGGGCTGGGAGGTAGTCGCATCAGGTTGAGCATCCTTGATGTCCAACTTGGAAAGGCCGGTAGACGGCTGGCTCATTTCCTGAGATGATGTAGGGACAGACGAATCGTTAAGATCGGTAGGTTTTTGTTGTATATCAATTTCGTCATTGTCACCATTCGATGCTGGCTTAGTGCGTTCTGCAGCGGGATCCACGTCCATCGCATCCACAGGTTGTTCGACGTCGGAAACATGCGGCGCAGGATCTTGAGTCGTACTACCCTCCTTCGCAGGTTGTTCCTCGGGTACTGAGTCGGCCTTGTCTGCTTCCGCTGATACAGGCTTGTCATTACTATCCGAAGTCCCATTCGCATCCGGCATATCGGTGTCAGTAGTTTGGGGGGGGTCTGGAATTGAATTCGTCGACGTTTGCTCGGGGAGACTGTTGTTAGCAGCAAATGCTTTCTGGTTCAAAGAATCGTCTGCGCTTGCCAACTTCGACTCTGACGATTCTACTTTTCCATTGACCGTCAAGTCTTTAGGATCTGCCTTGACTTCTTCCGATTTGGAGTGTCTAATGAAACGCGTCCTTTAGTTTACTGAGCTCAAAGAGAAGTAGGCAAGTTACTTACCCGTTGACCGGAAGGGTATCTGATGTGCCCACTGCCATCTCCTCGTCTGGCGGAGAACTGACAACCTTCTGATCTGTTGATGTTTGAGGCTGCTCGGTCGCCATAATTGCCATTCACCTTGACAGTGTATGAATTTGATCGCGGGATGTCACGGTATTATAAACCTCTCACATGAACATATAAGTTCAAACCTAATAAAAGTGGATCGTTAGTTTATTGCACTGGCTGAAGTTTGAGCAATGCGCTACAGGTTGCTATGCTACGCAACAAGCCTACGCGATAGCACGATCACCCTCTATACGCACCACAAGGCTGCTCGAGGGCATCAGGATAACTAACCTTGAAGTATTAGCGAACGGATCGCAGCGTATTCTGATGCCTTTCGAAATGATTAGTGATGATCAAAATAATAAGCGGATTATGTGGCAAGAGTAATAGGAAAAAATGTGATTATTCAGGATGATGAATAAGGGTAAAAAGGGAAAAAAAATCTGAATGTAGAATACACGCAACAAGACAAGACCAAACGAACGACGAGTGGGTTTGCGATACGGTGAGGTCTGTTTGCTTCGTGCCTTCTGTACCCAGCCTTGCGAGATGCGACAACCATAAGAAGAAACACGGTACAATGTGACTGGCCAATGGGAAAAGAGGCTGGGAACAATGGGTATCTTTTAGTCGCAAGAGACTTCCAAGTATGGATATTAGCGGGATGGTATGGTCTTTTTATTGAAATTCGTCCTCATCTGAGCATTTTCTTGTCGATGCAAAGGTCTGCATTTTAACATGGCCGGCCTTCTATCCATGGAACTTTGGATACGCCAATAGTCAGTGTGGTCAGCTACGGTCAGCGAACCAGGCGGGATTACCGCAACTGGTCACTAACAAGCCTTCTCTACCTACCTCAACAATCCAAAGATGATTCGCGTTCAAATATCGACGCTAAGGACCGGGAGCGTGGACGCGTACTAGTTGTGCAACGGCCAGCAACGGCCAACGGGTTGAACGGGTATCGGGGCAATATGAAGCCGCAAGTACCAAGATGGATATATTTGGCTCGCGTAGGTACAACCTTCAATTGGGAGCGAAAGGAATTGATGATACATGTATGTATTGGCCAAGATGGCAAGATGGGAGGTATCAAGATAAGGGACAGCAGGGACAGCAAGTAGGATGAATAATGAATCAAGAATGACAAAAGAAATTCTTTCATTTGCCTTACCTTCGAATCCCGAATCCAGAATCCAGCACTCAAAGAGTTCGGATAAGGGATAGATGTATAGTCAGGATGGGGTGGCGATGATGAATAAAATTATTTTTTTCTTGATGATGCAAGACGGAGATGGAGATGGAGACCAATGGAATGGCGGTGGTTTGGTTGGTGATGCGCAATGGTGGGATGAGTGGATGCGCGTCGTTAGATGGCAGTGTTGTCAAAAGTGTTTAATGAGGTTTGGTGCGTTGAACTAAATCAGACCAAACGAACATTAAGCCGGCAACGATAATCCGCTTGTAGTTGAGGATAGGCGACGATGGGAATCAATCGCGAAAAAAAAAAGGCGATGATGAGGCAGATGCGCGAAGATGCAAATGCAATGGGTGGTCAATGCGGCTGCGGTCGCGATAGCTGCTCAATCCTACCGTTTTAGGGGATGGATTGGGGTGAATAAAAAATAAAAAAAACTTTAAAAATATTAAAAAACAACGAATCGTCGAGCAGCGCGCACACGAGGGAAATAAGGAAAGACAGTTAATGTAAAAGAAGTAAAAAGGTACCTGGGTACTTTTTTCGTCGCGTGGTGCGCGTGTGATCGGGGTGTTGAATTGAGGTAGAGAAGGGTATGAAACCAATTTCTCAAGATGCGAGGCGGTGTCGGTGATCGGAATATTAGACGGGAGGGGGTTGGGGGTTGGGGTTGGGCAGAAATTAGAAAAATAGGAGGAAGGGTTGTAAAAAAGATCTCAGGAATCAGAGGTCTCTTTTTTTTGACTCATCGCGAAAATTTCTGGATTGGGGCCACTTTCCTATTTGTAGAACGCGCTTTCCCGAGCTGCGAAATCACGGTTCGCCATCACTGGAGAATTGAGACAGGGATCTCCTTGAGACCGCGCCTACCGTGGGTGTAACAACGCATCCGACGGCAAATCATGTTATCGAGATGCCACGATGTGGGTCACTTTGAGACAAGGATCAGGGTACACACTCCTAAGATTGATCATGTACCTGCCACATACAACATTGCGTGTGCATGTAAGTATTGTGTGTATGAAAAAGTGTGAACGTATGAACATCATTGTGTATGTAGGTACTGTGGACATCTGGATGAAAAGAAAAAGTACATACTAACCTACCCACTGCTGCAGTGTGCACTGATAGGCAAACACGCATCGCATCTTGGCCATTGACTTGTCGAGTTCCATTTGAGTTCCATTGGAATAAGCAAATTATTCTCCCCAAGGGGTCCGCCGAAAATGGACTGTCCTCGGAATACAGTGAAAACTTCCCTGTGATAGTACTTGAGTCGACATTCCGAAAAGAAAAACTTATCGATGCGGTTTAGAAATTAGAAGACAAGACCCGGGCTCGAAGTTTTTGATGTGAGAATATTGTTTGACGGGCCAGATACAGGTATCCAATCAGAGTCCGAGCGCAATGATGACTACCCGGCTATGGCCCAATCATGACGCGTTGTGTTTTGGTATCCCTGTTCATTTAAAATGATGGAAGCCACCGACCGTCTCTTTTTTTTTTGAACGATGCTCGATGCACCCGAGGCGTGAAGGTATGCAGAGTATTCGTTCATTGTCAAGGAGAAGGTCGATAAGAACAGCACCAGAACACTAGATAAGGTCAACTTTAGGGCTTCGTGTTGCCACCAAGTACCTAGGTTTTGGTGCCTAGTATCATCACATGATTGACCCGAAAGAGCTTCATGTCGAAATCTCGCTGCCAAAGATCCTCCTTGTCCGCATTGAGAAGAGGGATTTCGTGCTCAGGAGAATAGCTTTGAAACCCTGAATGTGCGTCATAGATTCGAAGCCGGAGACCTAACCGGGTACCTAGATAATGGCTCCATATCTAGTAACTCAGTGTTCGGTGTTCAGTGTTGGCGACAGTTTAGAAATGCACAAATGTGATCTGAACAAAAAAGTTGCGGTGGGGAGAGATTTTACGCCCATTTGAAAAGAATGAGGAGTGCAATGGGGCGGCGAAGAAGATGTGACTACATAGTATGTACGTGGGTACTAAGAAAAACAGTACAAAATTCCAAATACTGTACAATACAATGCATTTACCCACGCAGCCACGCTGCTTTGAAGCTAGCGACAGCCGTCGAATAGTTAAGCGCAAAAACTTTCAATGTTGAGTAAATCTTAGGTACTTCAAGTTAGTACTGCATATGTTATGTGGTCTGAGCGTATTGTACATAGTTAGTATTTTCGGTAGCGGAAATACCAAGTGCCTATCGTACTGTGGAATTGATTTCATCTCTTATCATAGGAAAAAAAAAAAAAACTACCTGAGGTACCGTACCTTGCTTATAACTATTCGGAATCGCTACTTTCGTGAATAGTACAAGAACTTTTCAATCTTGCGCTCTCACCCTCCGCCAAATTTTAAGGTGTATTTTCTGATCAGTCACTGGAATATAAACCTTCTTGCCTAAATCATCTTCCTACATAATCAACTCAACCTGTCTTTCGCAGCCAAGGAAAACATGTCAACTAAACGAAAACCACCAAACGTGATCGCTCACCCAGTGGTCAAGCAGAGCGCAAAGATCCCCTCTAAGACTACTATCAACGAGTCTGAGACAGCTGTGTCAATTCCTAATATTTCAAAAGAGCCTGGAATCACGGGCGAATTGATAGAAATTTCAAGCGACAGTGCCAGCAGTGACTATGAGTATTCAGATGGAGAAAAGGAGGATGGGGAATCTACGAAATTGCGCAACGGTGCTGCTAAGGCCGAAGTTCCAGCTTCCCAAGACCAAATCACGCCAAAGAATGACAACCCACCACACAACAACGACGGAGACGTTGACATTGATATGGCAATTGATGGCGAGTCTGACCAAGACCCTTCCCAACCCACATTTGGCGAGCTTGCTCGCGCGCACGACGCCATTGAAGTTCCTGCTGCGATTTCCACACAGCCTCACGCTCCCGCTGCCCCGGGGCGTTCGTTAGCTCCTCCCAGCCTCTCGTCCCTTGGGACAGTTCTATCCCAAGCACTTCGCACCGACGATTCAGACCTCCTGGAGTCGTGTCTTCATACCACTGACCGTGCCACAATCCGACAAACCATCGAAAGATTAGACTCTAGCCTCGCCACTACCCTTCTAACCAAAATCGCATCCAGATTGCACAGGCGTCCCGGGCGGGCTGGCAGCCTCATGTGTTGGGTCCAATGGACACTTATTGCACATGGAGGCGCATTGGCGACCCAGGCTGGATTGGCAAAGAAGCTAGGGGAACTACATCGAGTGCTTGAGGAGCGATCACGAGGTCTCAACTCGTTGCTAGCCCTCAAGGGCAAACTGGATCTGTTGGAGGCACAAATGGACCTACGGCGGGGGATGCAACGGAATAGAGACCCCGATGAGGAAGATGACGAGGAAGGTGTCGTCTACGTGGAGGGAGAAGAGAGTGATGCAGATTTGGTTAATGGGGCAATGGACATGGTCGAGGATAACGACGAGCTGCCTGTCACCAACGGCGTGTTCGAAAACGATTCAGAGGATGACGAAGAATCCAGCGAGGGTGAAGAGGAGGGTGAAGATGACCTAGCGGTTCAAGATGATTTGGACGAGAACGAAGTGAAGCATGATGATGTGGAATCAGAAGAGGAAGATAGTGAGGCTGAGGCGGCAGAGTCTCAACGACCGGTGAAACGATCGAGGACGAAAAGAATATGAAGTATTATTGTGGAGAGATGCTGAATAGAGGTTTTCATCACAATATAAACTGATACCCGTCACTCTCCCTTGATTCACTGTAGTTCATCAATGGCATGAGGAGGCACACATACAGATGTACCAATACCTATATAAGTAGGTGCTAAGTAGCTTGAGATTTACTACTAAAATAATACTACGTGCCTACTTTGAAATTTCATGGAGATATTGACAACTACCTAGGTATTCAGACAGGCCGATAGAAATATCTAGTAATTACTAGTGGGGTGTAGTGCATGTCTCATCAATCATCATGTGTACCAGGGATTCTATATAGCTTCAAGTTTGATCGACGAGTTAAAGCTTCAGTATGGGAATACCATAGTGCACGCCCTCCTATTACTACTAGTAACCTAAGGTTAGTACATTACATACTAGGGTATGTATGTATATAACCATAACGGTAAGTGGGTCTTCTGAGGCCTATTGCCCGAAACTCAAAGTCTGATTGGAACACGAAGGAAGCCGTTATCGATATGAATGCAGGTGTGTATAACTATTAACTAAGCTCCAGCTACAAGGACCTAGATAGTACGTACACCTACATAGGTGGTTAGTTATGGGTATTCGAAATAATTTATCTGAGCGCGTCTTCGCCTTCTAGAACTCAACTATTACTCAACTATTAACTATTCCTATTTCGCGTCAATGACATTCGATTCTCTTTTTTCTTTTTTGGTTCGGCCTATGTAACTTATTTATAGTTGCTTCATAGAATGATTATCCATTTATACGTCTCTTAGATCCTCGCATTCCCGAATTCCTTGCCACTCACCAAACTCGAACGCCATAATGGTTGAATGTCCAGTCTGTAGCAAACATGTCCAGACAGCCAAGATCAACGACCACCTCGATTCGGGCTGTCAGACTTTCATATTTGACCCCTCGACGGTCTCATCCTCCCCCTTCGTCGCTTCATCCACCCAGCCCAACGGTTCTATATCCTCGCAGAAACGGCCCGCGTCGACCTTCTTCCAAACCCCTTCCGCCAAACGACATGCCACACCCGCCAAAGTCAACTTGCCCCTCGTCAACGGCAATGTGGAAGGTGCGAGGTCAAATGGAAGTCTGAAGCGTTCATATGATGAAGGGCCTGGAGAGGTGCCACCTGTACACAATGATAGCAACAAGATGGAGGAGGATGTGACACCAGTAGAGACAGGCCCGATGCTGAAAAGAAACAAGACCAATAGGGCAGCACCCCTTGCTGAGCGCATGCGACCACGAAACTTCGACGACGTCTTTGGGCAGGAATTAGTTGGCCCGCATGGTGTCCTGCGATCACTAATCGAGAACGATCGGGTACCTTCAATGATACTATGGGGCGCATCAGGTACAGGCAAGACAACCATTGCGCGCTGCATAGCAAATATGGTGGGCTCCCGGTTTATTGAGATGAACGCGACAAGTTCTGGCGTAGCGGAATGTAAAAAGATCTTCAACGACGCAGCCAACGAGCTGGGACTCACGGGGCGAAAGACGATAATATTCTGCGACGAGATACATCGTTTCTCGAAATCACAACAGGACGTCTTCCTGAAACCAGTCGAGGCAGGCACTATAACTCTTATTGGCGCAACAACCGAGAACCCAAGCTTCAAGATCGTCAACGCGCTACTTTCGAGGTGTAGGACTTTCACACTCCAAAAGCTGACAACGCAGGACATTCAACGCGTGTTAGCACGGGCGTTGCAAGCTGAGGTCTCCGCCACTTCTTCGCCCCTCTCCCCTCTCCTCGACGAGGAATTGATGAGCTACCTGGCCAACTTTGCCGACGGAGATGCGCGTACCGCACTGAATCTTCTGGAACTAGCTTTGTCTTTGTCAAATAGAGATGGGATGACGAAGGAGATTATCAAGGAATCACTTACCAAGACCCTTGTCTATGATCGGGCGGGCGACCAACACTACGATACTATCTCAGCCTTCCACAAATCAGTCCGTGGCTCCGACCCGGATGCCGCACTATACTACCTAGCGCGTATGTTGCAATCAGGGGAAGACCCTCTTTTTGTTGCACGGCGAATGGTTGTCATTGCATCCGAAGATGTCGGGTTGGCAGATAACTCGCTGCTAAGCCTAGCGACGTCGACATATACCGCAACACAGCAAATCGGCATGCCAGAAGCCCGGATTCCACTAGCTCATTGCGCCGTGGCTCTCTCGCTCGCGCCAAAAAGCACACGTGCGTACAGGGGACTCAACAACGCCTTCGCGGCCCTGAAGGAACCAGGCGTTGCAGCTTTGCCGGTGCCGGTCCACCTGCGAAATGCGCCGACGAGGCTGATGCGAGAGCTGGGGTATGGCAGGGAGTATAAATACAACCCCAATTACAGGGATGGGAAGGTCAAGCAGGATTACCTGCCGGATTCACTCCTTGGACGTACATTCTTGGAAGAGCGGGATTTGGGTACGGAGGTGGACCCGGATTTGGTTATGGCGGACGCTTGAGTAGTGCCTAGCCAGCAAAGAATGGCATTAAAGGTACTAGGTATGGACTGTATAAAAGGGTAGTACGAAACAAAGTACATTTCAGGGGAAAAGGATCATTGATCTTCATGGCACGCACGGATTGCGAAGGCGTTGTGGTCAGGATAAACCATGCATTAAAAAGTGGTAGGCAGGTAGTTTATATAACCGCCATGAAAGCAACTCACTTAGATAGGAAAGGCATTGACAGGTTAAAGGAATCTTAGACATTTTAGACATTTGCGGCCTTGATCGCGGCCTTGATTTATATGAGACCAAGCATTGCAGTGTGCTCTCCACAACCTTGGGGTGGTTTATTGGAAATCCCTTCTACATTATGTATGCTCTGGAATTACAATGGTTGCGGCCAAAAGTAGGACCAAAAGATACCTTAAAGGTTATAGCACATTATAGCTTCAAAGTGTGCTATATGGTGCTACAATTTTAAGGGTTGTGGGCGACTTGACTTTGAATGTGTGCCTGGTAGAGCCCTCCGAATAGTGGCGCACTATGGGGTTGAGGTATCTTTTGGTCCGTACCTTTGGCCGCAAACTTCGTGCATTGGATGCTCACCTACCTACCCAGGGTACTCTGCCTAGGTACATAATAGTGTCTTTATCACTACACCAGGAGATTCCATGCATCTCCCTGTACTTCGCACAATTGCTCAAGAGCTGCATCCCATTTGACGGCTTCCCAAAATAAGTTCAGGCTAGCTAGGTGTCTTCCAATCAGATGGTTTCAAGAATCGCGCCAAGCATTTGCTCAATCGCCATTGGTCAGAATGTCCCTGGGTTGTCCAAATTCGGCAATTCCTTGTTGCGTGTTTGTGTCATAGGTATCAAGGTAAGGAGTTAATAAGATAATGGGGAGGTGAAAAGAAGGGGGAGGAAGAGAAGAAAGGATAAGGGGTTTGGTTTGGTTTGGTATGGATTGTATGTTGAGTGGATTGTGTGTGGTGTTTGGCAACTAAAAAGTACATAGGTACCTGGGTTGGGTTCTTAGGTAACACTCTTGGTGTCAACCTCAATACCTACTGACTCCTAACTTTTTTCCCCAAAGAAATGTCTGAAGCAAAGATTATTACTTGGGATAACTACTATGATTTGTATCTTAGATAACCCCCCCACAGAGCTAGTTCTTCTGCAGAAGTTTCATTGTGCTACGATTCACTGTGGTGGTGACCGTAGTATTGGCCCATCACCTCAGGGTGAACAACACCCCAACCTTACCACTTAGTTTTCTTTTCTTTTCTTTAATATACTGTACTGTCTCTACTAGTGATTTTCCGTGCAAAATTCTCCCAAGCCTAAGGCACCAAAGCCCCAAGGCAAAATATGCATATTCCCAACCTCACCCCAACCAAGCAATTCAACCCTTCAACGACAGCAAGGTGAGTCCGGAGCCATCGGAAACACCTCATTTGATAGTGATCTAGCCACCCATATTCATGGTTCCAAAAAAAAGTGCTCAAATACGGTCCCGAACCGTGTACCAACTCACCGGCCGGGCACCCAACCACCCTCGGTCTAACTCCGTCCCCGGCAGCCGAAATCCGAATTTTAGCCGAAAATCGGTGTCTCCACTCCCTCTCCGGCCTGTAGCCCACCTGTTCCGGTTCCTTGGCTCCTGGCCTCACCCTCGCTGTTCCCCGGCACCCCTAAGCATGGGGATTTGGTTTTGGGGGGTAGGGAGTGTTAGAGTGGGTTTTTGGGCCGGGAATTGCTTCTAGGAGGTAGGAAAGGCCGTATTCCAGCCTAGATGTACTGGGTGTAGGATGTTGTTGTGGGAAATATAGGTTTATTTGCACAAGTACTTGGTTGGTGGCTGTGTGGGTGGCGGCCTATCTTCTACCAATACAGCGATGAACTAGGGGCTTGTATAGATTTAAAACACTCTTTTATACACGTACCTCTTATAATTTACGTCCTTAGATACTTAAATGGGTTTGGAAGATGGATGCTCATAGCGAATCCGCAAAAATGCCGATTGCTACTATCACGACTCATGAGGCGGAACCTAGGAGACTTGGGGCGGTATTTTTCACTGTACGGAGATCTTTTACATCCCTAGGGACTACTAGGGGCAATATATATATATGTATTACTCTCTATTCTATGACTTACTACCGCGAGAAAATTCGAAGAATGACTTATACGCGTGATAATACCTAGGTACCTAGGTACTACCTACAGTATGTACTAGGTAGTAGGATATATGGCTCAAGCTTGGGAAATTTACATCGGAACCCTCAACAAAGCAATCATTCTTTTCATTCTATCTTTCTCTTCTTCTCATGCTTACCCTTTTTACAAAAGTTGCTTATATATCAGTCATTTTGGGTGCTTGGTAGTACGTACATGGTACCTAGTACACGATTGACCACTACCTAGGTACCTACCCACCTTCTCCTTTTTAGCATTCACGTGTTTACAACGATTCGACATGCCCCATATGTACCCGTGGACCTCTCCAGTCATGAATCCTATCGACATGTCCCTTCCTCATCTACCCTAGGTATCCTCCAATGCCATCCTTGCGACTGAGAAACATCAAATTCTATTTTGGTGTTCTACACTGAACTTAACCTAGTGTGCCTGATACCCGTGAGATCAAAAGGTAGGTAATAGGCCAGTCGATTGTACATATGGGGCTCTTACACGTATAGAAAGAGCACTTGGGTATAGAAAACTCTCATGCATGGGCGTGGCCTGGTATAAAACGGCCTCAACAGAGCAAGTATCCTGATAGATGACACATACTACGGACAAACGTATGATCATTGAATTCAAAACTGACTCATATGCCACAGAGACAGGAAGGTTCGGTACCTACCTACTACAAATGTAGGTATGAAGGGAGGGGCTCGTGGATCGGAAGTAGCTTTGTAAGGATCCATAATGTCCCCATCTATACCCGCAAGGTGACTCGATAAGAATCCAATGGGAGTGAGGGGTATTTTTGAGTTCAATATGCTCAGTACGATGCTGCTTGGTAGATGGTGACGAGTAGCAGAGGCTGTCACGCTCGAATGTGAACAAACATGCCTCATTCTTATTATTTACCTAGGTACCTAGTATCTAGTAGTCAAGGAGTAATGTCTACCACCTTTCTAATCACCACTACTCAAGTATTGACTCAGGCAACACTTTGGCAAAACAAACTGTTTAGATACTAGATACCTAAGGTACATGAAGGGTTAGGGGTCATATGGGATAACCTTTCTGACAGTAACATTAGATTCTCACCTTGTCCTAGGCATGCAAAGAACTGGAACCTGTGACACTACCTACATAGTACTTACCTACCTACACGTAACTTAAAGTGGCATCATCATGATATTCCTACCAAGTATCACTATGTGGGCAAGTACAGGGCACTGAAGTCTGTATCCACGGTGTATCATGCCTAGGCAGCAATCTTATAACTTTGCAACCAGCTCAACATATTTCTTTCGTCTCTTCCCATCTTCTTCTCATCCTTCATCTTCATCTTCATCTCCTCCTCCTCCCATCTACAAACCTCCTGGGCAATCTTTACTCCAAATACTACTACACTTCTACACGGCATCACTCCATTGCCAACTTCCTACACATCCCAACACTCCATCATACTCTATATTCCTACTAGGTATATACTGTCCCAATCCTATCATCAAGACAATTGTCTTCACTCCTCTTTCTCGACACACCGTCATTCCTACAAATGCCATAATCCTAGGTGTGTTGATCAGCAACTAGGATCGTGGCATCTGTTGCGTTGACACACAACTACTATCCTAAAACACACTGCATCTATCAGACTCCCCTGCCTTACAATATCATCAAGCAAATACGCATATCTGTGCTCCCACATGGCAGCAAACTACTTTACAATCCCCACTTACTCGGCTACATCCGTTTGTGGAATGACTATCAGCACCACTTCACCGACGCTTGGTTCGGCGTGAAGCAGATCAAATCTCCCTCCACTTTTTGTGTCGGGTAATGAACCACGGCTATTTCAATCCATTTCTCCTAACGTTGGTGGGTATCTAGGGCTGTGGGGCTGTTTTGCTTGAAATGAACACGTTCCCCAGATCGCCATTAAGAAGAAAGATTGACTGGTGGTATTGATTGATGATCAATCGATCCTAGTTTGCGTCTGCCTTCTCACGTCAAGACATGTCATATATTACCAACTACAACCACAACCTCAACGTCGCATGGCGGCGGGCAGCTTGCATCACTGCCACCAATTTCTCGCCAATTCCCAAGCGCGCCACAACAGCCTTGGCTGTACTCACCCAAGACCACAACCATTCCAGACATCTTCTGCGACCCCATACGTACGACCTTGTCGATTTCATTCTTGACGACAACTCCCTCACTTTGTACCCATACCCCATAACCCATAGACTTGCCCCTTCAATTATTCACCTTTCAATTTTATCCACCACCGACTCTGAAGCTAGCCGGCCTAGACGCAGTTTCCTAGCCTCCGCGAACATCATCCGCGCTACGTGGGTATCACGAGCGAGCTAGTCCTGGTTTCCTAACCGATATATGTGCTCATTCTACGGCTCCTCGTCAAGACATTCACCAGGGGAAGCATGTGTTGCCCCCCCCCCCTCCTTTCGAATAGTGTTGCCTACTATTCCAGTATTGATGGGAGCACTCTACAGTGCCGCGAACCCATCTCTTTTGGCAAGCCTATCGAAGAGCTGCTGACCGGCGCATAAGCGGTCTCCACGTGCAAGAAGCTCTTCGATAGGCTCGCCAAAAGAGATGGGGTTAGGAAAGAGGCCCCTCTTTCTTCCCCCGTCCTACCTTGCCTACCCATCTTCCGAGTGTCGAAACGTGCTTTGCTAAACCTTTACGACTGCAAGCCGATTATTTGCGAAGCTTCCGAACATCGGCCCTCAATTCATGGTTCCGTCTCACCTCAACAACTCGCACATGACGGGGGGGTGGCGCAACGCATCCTCGATATTGATGGTGCCTTTGTGGAGTTCCGATATACCAAGATGCCCATACTCTCTGTTCCTGGTTTACGGAAGATTATTCTTAAGGCGATCTATTGCCGTTCGTTGCCGGTGCGTCCGCACACTGTGCGCAAGCCCCCTACAGAAGTCGGTCATACCTATCAAGTCATATCAACGATGAGGAAGCCCATCTCCAAAACCTCTATAAGGGCTCAACCACATTTCCAAATTTTAACATCCCTCTTATATGAGGTTTATCACCTTCTCTTTCTTTTAGGGCGGGGACAGCAACATCAACGTCATGCTCAAGGTCGAAATCGACGCCTTCGACTGGTGCCCTTGTATGCGATCTGCAACAACAAGACCAAGGCAGCTGAGCCTAGCCTTCACCCTCATCTACCTAGGTACGGACAACTATGACGCTGGTCTAGATCGATCTCTATACGTCTTCAGCAGACTTCAAAGGCAATTTTAACGTCGCTCTCGTACCCCGTTACGACCCGGGGGCAGAAACCCGTTTCCTGCCAAAAGATGGGGGGGCCAGAGAAATGGGCAACCAGAACGCCCTTTTTCATTCAGCTTGTGAGGTTTCGTTAGGATCCATGGTCCTGGCGCGTCGAAACCACCAACATGACGTTTCCCTCCTGCCTTTCCTTCAGCGTTTTGTGTCGCGACTCACCTTCGAAACGATTTTCACTATACAACATGGCCGAAAACGCTGGCCTTCCCAGATATTCAGATCTGGAGGGACATTGTGCGTGTGACGAGTTCTCGTACATCCTCTTCGTCCACCGTTCTCGGCAAAGCTCTTCCACCTCAAGAGCGAGCCCCCAATGGGGTACGTATTTGGTACCTATAAGACTACACGCGGAGTGCGTGGGAGCATTGTAATTATAGTAAAATACCCTCCTCTTCCATGCTACTTACCTCACATCCCACCTTAGTCTTGGCTCTACTGAGAGACCACCCACTATTGGCGGGGGGAAGGTGCTTGTGGCCAGAATGGCATGACTTCTCGCATTCCCTCTAACGGTAACCATCACTCTCGGCGACAACTCCTATCTAGCAGAGAGCCTCGAACACCTGCATGGGTAGCATCAAAGCTAGACCCGCTTCCTACAACGTGGGGCTCTGGGGAGCCCGATCCCGAGCCCAAACCCAAGGGGCGATGAAACTAGTCTTCATCATGGGGGCTGGCTGTCTTGCGTGTTTCGGCTTGATGTTGGCGCCATCGTCAGCCGGCTGTCAAGTTCGACATCTATTCGTTACGTGTTTTCTCACCTTACTCCCGCCCGCGTCATGAGCTCTCAAGAATTACTCGAGTCGCTAGAAACTGCCGTTTGCGATGACGAACGCCGCTACAGGACGGCTGGAACCAGATTGGCCGCCCCGCGCGCTGGGCCCAGTCCTCCTATGGCGGCATCGCAATCGCCAAAGGCAGCGTCGTAGTCGCCCACAGATGAACCGCCATGGCAGAACTTTCGTGACGTGGGTGGGACGAACCTCCTCCCAAGTCAGTTTCCTCCGCTGGAGGCCCGGCCCGGGAGCCACAGCACATCGACGTGCACCGACAGAAGGTGCCCAAAACTTGCTTTGCTCTGCGCTCTGCGCTGACGGTAGGACTCTCATGTGCCAGATTGCCTGCCTCTCGGCTTCCTGCTTCTCGGCTTGCCACCAAGCATCAATGACAGCCGGTTCGTTCAACTGCATCCCTTCTTTCATTTACGCCTGTCCTCGTTTGAGCACAGCCAGACGAGGCTCGAACCGAGGTACTTGTCGGTGTGCAAGGGATCTGCCACATACCAGAGTCCCAATTAAGGGCGCTTCTCCAGCATACTTGGGAATGAAGTAGGCTTTCTTCGCCTTCTTTCCCCATTTCCTGGTTGCGGTTGACAGCAACACTGGACCCTGTCACCAAGAAGGGTCCGCCTTGTCGTGCGTTATAATGGGCGGATCGCTTGAGGGAATTGCCTCACGGCCTCGTGGCCAGGAAGTCGCTTCCATTGCAGTTGGCCATGGGGCCGTGGCCGTGGCCGTGTGATACCACAATCCCCACCGCTCATAAAACCCGCCTGGCGCGTTACCACCACCACCTTCACCTTTCCCTCCTTCACCTTTCCCTCCTTCACCTTTCCCTCCTTCACCTTTCCCTCCGCCACCTACAATTCCTTCGCTCAACCAATAACAGCCATCTCACACGGCGCCCCGGTCCGAGCGCTTCAAGCACATCTGCCTTAGGCCGACTGGCCGGGCAGGTGGCAGCCGCGAACATACAGGGGACACCACAGAGCAAAAAGGGTCTGTAGGAGCTACGAAGGGCATGGCAAGTGAAGATGACAGCTCAGATGACAGCCATTTCGGAGAGAGGTGAGAATCTTCACGGATGGAAGTTGCAGCATGTCGGATATTTCCATCCCGACGCCCCTGCATCTGCTGGTGTCGGAGATTGCGTTACTATTGGATCCGGCGTCCATTGGCGCGACGTCAGCCTGTTTTGTGACGCATGTCGCAACCACTCTCTACATCCGGTAAAGGTCTACGCGGGGGGGAGCTACTCTCTACATCCGGTAAAGGTCTACGCGGGGGGGAGCTAAAGCAGGGTAGGCTATATGAGGAACTAGCTAGAGCAAGGACGACGACTTTATGTATACATAACCTCCATAGGTAGCCTTCATGGAGATGTTAGTGATCCCCGCGCAACAATGATATTGTTCTGAGTATTCTAGGTTCCGCCTCGTGGCAGAGGTGATACTCTTGGCTCGTGAGCTTCTATTGTGATGACTTGTCTTATGTTGGTATCACTAGGTTAGCCAGCAATAGCATTATGCGTGAGGGGATATGTATTATACGTAAGAGGAATATTGGTATCTGGGTTCCTGGAACGAGAAGGATTGTATCTAGCCATGTCGTGCTCATGCCTTGATACTGTCGACCTGGAAGAAACGCTCAATATAGTTGACGCCTTGCTCAAATCGACACCAATGCTTGAAACTTCTCCAAGGTCTCTGTACTTACAGCGATATCTCTTTCTAGCACGACCTAATAGCTTACAACACCAATTTTACGCAAGTACTTACCTCCCTAATCCACCCGGGGACCTTTGCCTTCCAAACTGTAGCTACCTACCTATCCACAATCAACCTACCTATGAAGAACCATGTGTCATGCACTTCAGCTACATAGAACCACAACGCCTCACTAATTAGGTAGGTTGACCTAGTACCTACCGCACCTAGGGCTGGGTAGTATAATTTCCACAGCTGAACTAGAAACTCCCCTCGTACCTAGCCTAGCCTAGCCTAGCTTCTCACCGAAAAGCTCCCATCATCTAGAGAGGAGAGAAGGGGAACGAGAGAGAGAAGAGAGAAGCCTTTGGGGTTACCTACCGACCTACCTACCGACCAAGTAAGAGGAGCACACGATCCACAGGTGTATGTATGTATGTATGTACGTATATCACGGATATATATGTATACTGGGTATACCGGGTACCTAGTTCGTTACGTAAAAGCGGCAGCGCGCCCGCTTCTCTCTCTGGTTCGGAATAGAAGGTAGGTAGGTAGCTGTCGAGTTAGTGGTGGTGGTGGCGGTGATGTTGGTATTGGTATTGTACAGATACCTGAGTTTTTATTACCCGGTGCAAGACCTAGCACTCTGAGCTGGGATGGGCTGGGCTGGACTGGGCGCTACATGGCATCTACTACATATTTATCACTACCTACCTAGGTAGTATGTAAGCATGTTGATAGGGAGGCAGGTAGGCAGGCAGATATTCGTTCCCATAAGACTGCCCACCTACCCAGTCAATCACACATAGAGAGAGACGGAGAGTAAGTTTAAGGGGAGTTGACATATACAAGTTAGACGAGGAGCTAACGACTGACTAAATAACTAACTAACTAACTGACTGACTGACTGACTGACTACCATGTATCCTGCCCTTTGGACAGAAGATAAAACGAGAGTGCTAAGGAAAATCCTGACAAGTAGGTAGAAGGAAATGTTGATAATCTTCGTGGTTCATAATCATAGCAAAGCCGTTGCTCTTTCTCCTTGAGTGTGCGTGTGCATGAGAGAGCGAGTGTGTGTGTTTGTGTTTTTTTTTGTTTTTTTTATAAGGGGGCGCGGGGGTTAGGGGTGGTAATGATACTTCATGACAAGAAATCTGTGATGTCGAAGCCTAGAAGCCAGAGATTCCAAAACCAAACAGTAGTAGTGCCGATGACATCAAGGACTGGCGATAGACCCTTCCTCAACTGCAACCCTGGAATCATTCTGCCAAACAGCAGGTATATTGGAACCATTCCCCCGGGTAGATGCACAGCCATTGGTATAGGCATCCAGTTTATCAGATTGATGAACTGCTTGGCGGTGGAGACTGAGATCTTCTAGACCAAAGAACTCACTGTTGCAATCCTTGCAGTAAACAGCGTAGAACCTCTCAGGACCAGCCCATAGACATATAATCTTCTGTTCCTGTGGATGCTTCTTCGTCAAATGGGCTATGAGGAGGTTCACAGTCGTATACCCTTTAGATCCAACTCGTATGCACCCATCCACATAACAAGGAAACGGAGTCTGGTTGTGAGCATCTTTCATGTGTCCGTAATAATCAAGTTTTCCTTCGAACGGCCGTTGCAAGAATTTCTCATGCGATAAAGGAAGAAGTTCATAGTCCTTGCCTCGATGGAAGCCGCAGTTAAGGTGAGGACATGCCCTGACAAAGTGCTCGCCTTTGTCCACTAGCAAAGGCTTCACAGCTTTGAAGTCGAATTTATGATAGCCGCGAAGATGTTGGATAAGATGATCCTTGCGGCGGAATGCATGCTTCCCGCGATGGCTCTTGCAGGAAGTACACGGGTATTTCCCATCGCCCGCAGGTGATAGGGTTTTGCAATGTCGGTTCAGAGCGTCACTACGTGCAAATGTGTTACCACATGAGCACTTAAACACAAACTTTGTGTGGTTCCATGACTCAGCATGGCACTTGAGTTCTTTTCTCGTTGGAAATGACCTCTTGCATTCGGCGCACGTGTTTGGCAAGGGATCTTGAATTGGGCAATGGTCAGATTGGCTTCCATCTTGTGTAATGTTGACAGCCAGGTCTCCATTTACTGGCTGCGTGGATGAGCATTTGCTGTAAGCTTCAGTGCTCATGGATCTAGGCTAGAGCATCAGAGGTGCAATCTCAAAAGCGAAGAATAGGAATAACTTACGACTCTCCGCGCTGTTTTTCCGAAAATTTTTTGGTATCTCGCCACCTTAATTGTTAGCAAAGCTCAAAAAAAAATAAGGCCTCACAATCCGCCGGGGGCTGCCGTAGCGTCGGGCGACATCTGCAGTGACGAGGAGGTGTCGGGATAGATGGCAGGGCTCTGGTCTCCCTGGTTGGCTGAAAAGATGTTGTCCGAGTGGTCCTTGTCGTAGTTGTACGCCCAAGATGGGGGGTACTCAAGGGAGTCGAGGTTGTCAAGTGTGACTGGCATGCTGGGGAAGTAGTCCGACATATCGCAAGATGTACTGGTTGAAGCGGTGAAAGGTACTCTTCTGGCTGAGCAACTGTAAAAGACAGTTAGAAATCGTATGCCGTCGAGATTAGCGACGAGAGGGAGGGGGCTGATGAATTTAGAGAAAATAGTAAAAGAGCCTGCATGTAAGCATCTCGAACAAAGTAAAGGTACTTAGGCAGGTACATGATGAATAGGGTGGAGATACTTCCCAACGCTGAAGTTCAACAGAGACAATGCCTGCGATTATCATGTCTGATAGGTTGCCGTGTCTACAATGTACATGGGTGTATGCCATGCCACGTACATACCTACCTATATGTAAGCAGGCAGGCAGGCAGGCAGGTGGCCAAAGGCAAAACAGGGTGGAAGAATGCAGGGTTTGAAGATGAGGCTGCATTATAAGTGTTATGGTGTGTTGCACAGGCAGAAATGGTAAGGCAGGGTGGCCACCAGATACCGATCTCGGCACCTAACCTACCTACAGCCACACACACACAAAGTCCAGCCGTATGTAAGCCTCGTCGCGTACCGGCCGTACTAGATACCATGATACCTATCCAAGCCCCTAAGATCCGATATTATGCTACCCACTAATGCATTAACCTAGGTACTAGCCTGTGTATAGATAACTTTATTCTACCTGAGTGCCTACCTAGTACCTCGGAAGGTAGGTATGTAGGCACCTATGTATCTCAGTAACGCTATACCCGTCACGTCATGTCCTGTCACGTCACCTCACGTCATCTCACCGTCCACTCCTAACCCTCGCATCGCCATCGCGCGCATCCGCGAGGACCCCGAACCCCATGCCCTTCCTTTTGCGGCGGCGCGCCGGGCCGCCGTCTCCGTACTTCTCGTCGAACTTGCGGATCGCCGTCAGCGTCTCCATGTCCTCCGACACGCTGGCCCCAATTTCCTGGAGAGCCTTGCCGAAGTGCCTCTCCCGGAGGATGCGCCTCTTCGGAGTGTCTGTGGCTGTATCGTTCCCTTGTTTTTGTTGTTGTTGTTGTTGTAATTTTTCTTGCTGCTGCTCCATATCCAGCTCCTCTTTAACAGCCGCCATGGCCGCTGCCACACAAACGTTCTTAAGATCCGACCCGGAGTACAGCGGCGTGCGCTTGGCGATGTCCTCGATGGAAACCGTCGCCTCGTCCAGGATCTCACCCTTGAGGTGGATCCTCAAAATCGCCGCACGGTCCGCCTCCGTCGGCAGGTCGATCAGCAGCTTGCGGGGCAGCCGGCGGAGCACCGCCTCGTCGAGGTCGAACGGCCGGTTCGTCGCCACCATGATGAACGCCTTCATCTTTTCCATTCCATCCCACTCTCGTAGGAACTGGTTGATCGTCTCGCGTCTGGAAAGTAAATCCCCCCTTCCGCGCGCCCCTAGCAAGGCGTCCGCCTCGTCGATAAAAATCACCAGGGGCTCCCTCTTCTTGGCTAGCCGGAATAGGGCGCGCACGTTCTTCTCGCTCTCGCCGACAAACTTGTTATTGATGCTAGCGCCACTAATCTCAATCATATTGGCGCCACTCTCCTTAGCCACCGCCTTTGCTAACAGCGTCTTACCTGTGCCGGGTGGGCCGTATAGGAGACACCCTGGTATCCTGTCCGTGGAAAGTACACCATAAGAAAAGGCCTCGGGGCGAATTAGGGAGAGTGTGGTGAGCATCTTGACAGACTCGATCGTTTCCGGTGGCGCATGGACATCCTTGAATGTCGTTCGGATGTCTTCCGCGTTCACCAGGCCAGACTCGAGGCTTTTCTCATGGTTCTCTTCATCCGGGCCGTATCTGCGTCCATCAAGAAACTCTTTTAATTCTCTTCGTGTGTTTTTAGAACTCTTGTCACCAGAGTGATTGTCACTCAGTCTTTCAAGGCTCCCAATCACCACGGCAACCTTCTCAGCCGATTGGATGTTGAATACATCCATTGGACTTTTGGAATAGCCAATCATCGCAGTTGCGATATGATATACCTCAGCGAGGGGGAGAATGCTAGTTAGCCAAGGCCTTGGTAACTTTTTCTCGTCTATCTGGCTTATGCCTATCTCTCCAGTAGTTGCTACTGTAGAGTCAGGTGGAAGATCCACCATGGAAGCCAGCGTTTGTACTATGTTGGCCTCATTTTCTCTTAGGTAGTCTGTTCTCTCCCAGGTCTCGAGCCTGGTCTCAAATGAGGCTAGTTCTTTTGGCACAAGGAGAGGCGCATGGTCCGGAACCAATCGAATATTCATCACCCGTTCTGTTAATTCAAGTTCAGTCAATGCACTTATGTATGGTTTCGGCGCGTCTTTAGAGGAGCAGGTCCCAATGAGCACTATCTTTCGCTCCTCTGCCCATAATCTGTCAATGAGTTTCCGTATCTTGCCTACGATCATAGCGCCGCATTCAAGGTCCGTATTTAGAGCGACGAAATCATCCAGATGAACGAGAAGTGGTCGCTGCTCAGTAGATTTGGAGTCTGCAGTATGGATAATTTCCTCTAAAGCGGCATTGATCTTCAAGTCTTCCCAAAGGTCGTCGTTTTTCCCTCGAGTTGGACCATTGAGGAAATCATCCATCAGAGAGATGGACTTTTTGTTGTCCTTCTTCAACCTATCATCGCGTAGCAATCGGAAGCCATCATAGGTTTCACCTTCATCGCTAGTCATCAAGTTTGTCTGTATCGATCTTCCGCTGCTCTCCGCAGCCTTGTATCCTAGTTGCGATATTGCACCAGGTGCTCTCATAGCGTCTTGTAAAAGATAGCCCCCAACAATACGTGCAATATCGGGTGCTCTTATGTGTAGAACGTCAGCTTCCAAGCTAGCTCCGATGTGCCGTACAAGATCACGCCCTATGGAAAACCCAGAGTAGCCAGGCGTATTGATGATAGTGACAGGCCGTCGCAGATCCGCGAGCTTGACGTTCTTGGGAGCTTTTATTTGGAGGTCGGCGTTGACAGATGCGACAACATATTCGAATAATTCCTCTTCGATCCACTTCACAACAGCCCCTTCAGAGGGGGTGGGTTTGTTTGTTGTATCGCGGGGTATTGGATAGATTCCACGCAGAGTCCCCAGTACATCGTTTCCGGCAAGTACCTTTGTATAATGGAGGGCCGGATACATATCGCTAGAACTGTGAATAGAACTGTTCTCCAACAACTTTTTCACCGCGTCTTTTCCGTAAGCTTCACGAGTTAAGAGAGCGGTAGCCCAAAAGGAAAGTGCAACCATTTGACGCCCCCTTTCAAGAATTGCCTCTCCAGAAACAGAATCTGATGCCAGGGTATTGATGGCCTCGCGCACGCTTTCTTCGGTCAAAGCCGTAGCTCCGAGTAAGGAGTCTCCAGGATCATCCCATATCCGGAATTGGTCGTCTTCGAATAGCACAGCCTCTACTGATTCGCGAAGCTTGTTGGTGTCTACGGGATTTGATCCCATAGGTTTCTTCCCATCCTCATAGCGGTATAGGGCGCTGGGAATAAAGGATTTGGGCAGCTGCACGGGTGGAAGCTCCTCAGCCTTTCGATTCCGCAAGGTCCGCGACCTCAAGGAACCGCTGCCGGGCTTCTTACGACCATGACTCTCCTCATTCACCGTCGCATTGGTCTCCCCAAATAGATTCTCCCCCGTGGTATTATTCTCGCCATTCTGGTCTTCCTTTTCTGGCTTGTTTCCATCGTCGCGTGGCTCGGCACTACCGCTACCACTGCCACTGCCACTACCACCACCACTACCACCGCTGTCGTCAGTAGCTCGAGCAACGGCTGAGGCGTGGAAAGATCGGCGGCTTGAACGTGTCGTCGGGTGTGGTATTTGTAAGCTCAGTCTCGCCAACCGAAAGGCGCGCCGCGACAAACTATGCATTCGGGGGGTTGGCGCTCGATGTGAGCGGGCGAATGCATGCCTTGCAATCATGTAAAAGAACAAAAAGGCAAAAAAGAAAGACGGAAAATTCATTGTTTGACCGATGTTGGCCGAGCATTGGACGGTCCGGTCCTTGCCGTGTGGTCCAAGCGCCCGCATTCACCGATGCTTCACCGAGGCTTCACCGAAGATAGCCATCTTATCTGATGTACTTAGGTACAGAGTAAAACCCCTGAATTCACATATCCAAGGTGTCTCCTACATAGGTACAGTCATAAAGAATGCATATATACTAGGTTAGACAAATAGATGCAGCGGGTATATTTATATTTGACAGCATCCCCTTTAACCGGAACATAACTACCATCATATCATCCTCACGTCTAACTCCTCTTCATTAAAGAGTAGGTAGGTAGTCAGTAGGTAGGTATCTATGCAACATGCATCAACCGCCAACGCCATGCTCAAAAAATGCATCTATAACTAAAACAAAAATCTATCGATCGGTAACAAGTCTAAGTCCAGCCTTGAATTCGACGCTGATGGGCCCCAGCTGGCGCAGAGCGAAAGCGAAAGCTGTTTATATTCCGAGGCAAGCCTCCCTACATCCCACTTTGACTGTGTGGGGAGTAGTGTGAAATCGAGGTCCGCGGCCAAAACTTGTGCGAACTTCTCGACTTCGTCGTTACTCTCCACCCCGAGCTGTTCCCGTGGCGCAGCACATTGAAGTGGAAATAGAGAGTTGCCGGTGTTGAGAGAGTTTCTTATATGCTTATTGGCCGTGATCGCGTGGTTCGTAAGGTAGTCGATTCTCTTGGCAATGTCTCGTGCTACTGTAGACTGAGACGGCGCGTTATTTACCAAGTAGGCTGTGAACATGGGCAAGAGTAAGTTGAGGAGGTGTATGAGTTGGGTAAGTGTGTAGAGAGGCATATGAGGAGGGTTGGGGTGTTGCGAACATCCCCAGACCCTGGCAATCGCCGAAATTGCATAATCCAGGAGAACGACAAGATTGCTTCCATCCCGCTTTCCAATTTGCCCGTGGATGCAGGGCGTTGTAAGCATGTCTTCAAAGGCCTCCATATACAAGTTCAGTAGTGCCCAGAATGTGTTAACCCCTCCCGATAATGTTGTGATGATTGCCGGGAACATTCTGCCAAGTATAAAGGCGAGAAAATGCCGGTTTCTCATTCCTTCCATAATAATAACTTTTTCTTCCTGAAGCTTAGATTTCTCAACAGCAAGCTTGAAGTTTGGCAATAGAAGGTAGAATAGGTTGGATGCAGCGTTAGTTTCACCTTCCTCTAGCCTGAGAGCCCATGAGAGTATGCCCGCCAGCTGTAGGCGAGGATCCTGCCGAGACGGGGAATACTCTGGGCTGATTCGGTAGAAATAGGTATCTACGGGGCAAATATCATGCGATTTAATCATGCTGACAATTGACTGGACGAACTCGATGTAATCTTTGTGCGCTTCGCGTGTAACGGTTTTCTCAGCCCACTTTAGATCAAGCTTCATTTGATCCATCGTGCCCTTCACGGTCTTGGAGAAATCCGCCTGTAACTCTCGTCGCCTTTTGCTATCCATAGACAACAGGGTCTTACGCATCATGGCAACGACGTCTGGATAGATGTTAGTACGGGTTCATATAATGCTTATAAAAGGGAACACTCACGTCTAAACAAAACCCTGTTTGAATTATAATCAGGGCTGTTTCCAACTTTAATGGCAGCATCTTTCAAATAGGGGCTACCATGACGTTTGATTGCTAGAGCAAGGCGGTTCTCGTAGGCTAGGAAGTGGTAAGGCTTGACAATTTCGGTTAGGATGAAATCAAGGGTTGTGCAGCCCAAGTCCTTGGATATTGTTAGTACAGGCCAAATAATGAAGCATTTAGGAGACGAACCTTGAAACTGCATATGCCCTGCTCAACCAGCGTGGCCAGGAATAGAGTATGATATTGTCTTGAAGGCAAACCCACGGCCGTCGATGGTTTACGGGACATGCCGAACCCCACAGCTACAAACACTTGAGAGACAGTCTGGCGATCATGTTAGCATGTAACTGAAGCATAATACAGGAGCAGGTAGCCTACCATAAGTTGAGCATGAATTAACCGTGCTGCCAGTCGGGCCCCGAGCAAAATAGCTTGCTCTATGCATATCATACGATCACTCGTGGGGCCGAGCTCGGAATCCCTGAAGTCCGTCGTGGTAATTGTGCGAAGCATTTCGAAAAAAGGTGCAGCCATTTTGCGCTCAAGAAGCTAAAGGTCAGGATGTTAGTGGGAGCATGGTCGTCTTCTTGAGCTTTAGAATCTTACCAGTATGGCATCTTCACCGTGCCATGAGTAGTCAGCTTCTATAAAGTCCTGGCGCAAGAATTTCTCGATCTGAGTGATGTAATAGTCAAGAATATCCAATGCAGCCCGCAGACTACTCCAATCGAAGTCTATCGACGAGAAGGGGAAACGTTTGAAAACCTGATCCAGCTGATCTAATGAAAAGTTAGATGGAGTTGCTTAAATGGGTTAAGGGATCAGACATACAATAATTCAGCGCAAACGATGCGGCGCTGAGAGTTGGAGCGTTCTGCATAACCCCCAGGAAGCCTCTCATCGAGAAGTATAGCACATCCATTGCGCTTTTCCTGTTTAATTTGATAACCGTCTTCATCATTTCTCGGCTGATGTCTTTCGAGGCATTTTTAGACATGTTTAATAGTTGCGTTTGAATGTCGGTTTCGGCGGATAAATACTGTTCCATTACCTGCTGGAAAATATTCCTCTGCCAATCCGCGAAAGCTTTGTACTTGTCATTGTCCTCGTGGGATATTACGAAACGCGACAGCTGGCTCCAGGCTCGCAAGCTAATCAAGCATGCCTCTTTATGGGAACTGCTAGGTAACACTAACTTCTCGATGGTCTGCACCGAAGGTCGTAAACTCGGCGGCGCCGCCCAGAAGAGTGTGCAGAGAAGATCATGGTGATTTCTTAGGGCAGCTAGATCACTTTCGTAGATATCCTTCTCTTTGTCGTACTGCCGGTCATGATTCGGCAGTACTCTGGCTACCAGGTTTCTGGTATCCTTAGTCAAACCATAGTTGTTAAGGCGTTTGATGGATAAGGCTAAAAGCTTTAGAAAAATATGAAAGCACTTGTCTTCCGGTAGGATGACGAGCGAGGGAGATTCCGCAAGGTTCTCTAGAAATTCAGGTGACTTGTAAACTTCCTCATTACGCAAATGGGAGAGGCCTCGGGCAGCAAAGAAGTCGAAGATGGTTCCAATTATGCTATTGCACTTCCTCCAGCCCCACTGCTCTACGAGATAATGGCAACGACTGACAATCCCTCGACAATAATCATTGAAACTCGGTGCTTGCCGCGAGTTGCTCTCGTACAACTGGAAGATTCGCTTGAGTAGTTTTTGGGGTAGAGCCCAGCCCTCTAAAGGTGAGAAATGCCTAGTGCCTGGAATAATAACGCCCGTATTGTCGAACTCGCCGAGGGGGAGAAGAGTAAAGAGGTTACGCCATATTCGCTCGAAGGAATGTGCATCGTTTATAGCGCTTAGGTCTGTGTTTAGCATGGCAGAAGATACAAGATCCCAGAAACCGGACTTAGGAATATGAGCCTCTTCAAGAACTCGAATGAGTATGGTCCAGCACACCATCGAATGATGCTCATTGCGAATACCTCTCTCGCGGAAGCGTGTTTGCTGTAGATCACAGAATATGTTCCGAATATCTACCAAGTCAGTCGCTAGTAGTTCATGGACCGCCCTTTTTGCGATTCGTGAAAGCACTTCTTCAAGATGGAACAACTCTGATAACTGACCAAGGTCATGGCAAATTCGCAAGACTTGCAACGTGATCAGCAAGGTGCGGCTCAAGATGTCTATGAAAAGCTGGGCTTCACTTTGAGCGCGTCGTGGCAAGGCCTCTAAACGATTCGCAAAGCTTTGCAACATTTCCAAGGCCCGACCTGTGAAATGTTTTTCACTTTCGTCACCCGAAAAGCTTACATGACACTGAAGATAATCTAGGATGAATTCCACAGCTTGTACTGGGCTCACACTATTGCTAGAGTCGGAAGGGGCAGAATGAAGGTAGTCGACAATCCAGTCAAAGGCTATGCCTACTTCCGACGAAGTTTGTGCGTCCCATCGACCCCAACGAAGTGTTTTTTCGTCGAGAATAAACGTGCCATGACCTCGCGGACGATGGAGACTATCGCGAGGTTTTTCTTCTAAAGCTTTCATTAACCTTCCACTCCCGAGGAGAGTGCTCTCATGGAAGAAAACGCCTAGGTCGAGTGGGAAAATCTCGAAATGCTGTGTGTAGTGCGTGCCAAATGGTCCGAGTCCCAGCAGTTTCCCTGTGGGCTCTGAGGGACGTGTGACTTCTACAAAAGGGCTAACAGGGCTTACCTCTGGAGGCAGAGGATCGTTGGCATGCGCATACTGGGGTTCTGCAGTATCTACTCGCCGGGGCTGAAAATGTTTTCGGGGCTTCAACCGTTTACGCAATGGCACGGGCTCGAGCTTTTCAGGGCTGTTGCTTGGTGGCGGGTCCTCGTCATGTATATCAGAATCTGCAACAGACTCACTACCACCCACCAATCGTTCCAGCCCAACACTGGTTGAAGTTGGCAATGTTCTACGCGAATTTCGATATAATGCATCCAGAGCTCTCTTTTGCGCATGAAAGGCGTATCGTCCAGCCCTTTCACCAGTTGTTTCAAGTTGTGCAGGCCGTGATGCTGCATTAGATGAACCTGTTCGATTTATTTGACGGGGTCTGGGTAAAGGATTGGTAGGTTGCGGCTGGGTAGGTTTAGAAGACACTGCTGCTTCAGTGGTCACGAAATTATCAAGCCTTGCTTGTTTAATTGCGACAAGAGGTTGTGAGAAGCGGCTGGAGGGCACAGTTCGATGTGGTCGAAGTCTAGAGCCTGATTTCGGCGGCCGAATAGGTTGATTCTGGGACAAAGGTTGAAGGGGCTTGGATGAGGTTGGTAGCAACGGATTTGTGGTGTTATGAGAAACCTTGGGTTGAATACGACCCATTTTCCAGTCTCTGAGAGTACCCACAGCATCGACATTGTCTGAGCGCTTCCCGAGGGCAATTTGCTTTCTTGAAGGGCTTGATCTCCCCTTATCTAGTCTATGACGAGCAGTCCTAGCAGCTACACGAATGAAAGAGGGTGCATTTGATTCCATAACATCCAAAATGCTAAGGTACGGTGGGGGTGTGAATGTTGCTGACACTCTCCCAGGCTCCTTTGTTCGATGTTCTGTATGTGAAGCGTTTTTGCCTCGACACTTATTGGCGACAGATCGGGCGGTAGTGTTTTTGGCCCCATCCAAGTGCTTGGTGATTCTCGGTTGACGATGTTGACCCTTGGGAATCGGCTGGTTATTTTTTCGTCGTTTTCGAGGTCGGTCCGTACCGTCAGTGACAGCATTGGTCCTTTTACCACGAGAGAGCATATAGTCGATAGAGTCATCTTCAACAACTGAGCCAACATCGTCTTCAAAAACGGGAATAATGTTGCTGGTGTTGCTGGTGTTGCTGTAAGGGTCGTCGAAATCGTTTACTCCTAACGTCATATTGTCGTCTGAATCATCAAGAGAAGGGATTATGTTAGTGCTGGATCCCGACAAAGCCTTCCGGCGCTGAGCTACACCCTTTCTCTGGGTCCGCTCCGGCGAATGATCTGGACTTCGTTGTGGTGGTGCCCTCTTGTTCTTTTGGTGTGTAGTTTGCTGGTCAAGACGAAGCCAAGACGCAGGCAATACACCACGTATCCTTCTTCTCATGGTGGCCTGTACAACTTCGGAATCACTTTCAGAGTTATCGCTAGATTCCGTTTCCTTCTGGTCATTAGGCTCATCTTCATCGTCCATTATGGTAAGATCTATCGTGCATGGTCTTTGGTTTGCTCGGGCAGGACTGTCAATTAATCGAGATATTGTGCTGCTTGGCTTTGGAGTGGACAAGGGTATAGGTCGAGAACGTCCAGCGGCGCTATCCGGAGTCAAGGCGAGGGGATTTGAACTTGTCTGAGGCGGAGATAAAGGGATGTCGAAGATGCTGTGAGATGTTACTGGTAGTGAACCCTTTTCCGCAGACCTAGTAGACTTGTGCAGGCTTTGGAGCTTGTTTTTCTTCGATAATTTAGGCGAGCCCTGTCTCTTAGCACTGACAGTAGTCGTGCTTGATTTTTTCCCATCCAGTTTCCACTTGTCAACGTCAGCCAGATCAGGAAATTCATCCTCGTCAATTTGAGAACTGTTCAGCCAAGTATTTTGTGGTATCTCTCTCTGCTCGTGAGTTTCAGATAGACTACCTGCTGGTGGAAGCTCATCGTCGATATCGTTCAAGAGATCAGCGGGTGGGATGTCCTGGCTTTCCTCAGCTTCCTCCCGGGCAAATTCGATAGCAGTCGACTGGCTTTCATCTTCGTATTCCTGTTCTTGCGAATCATCTTCTTGTCTCCTTCTCGCCGCCTCTTCAGCTTGCAACCGTAATGGACGTAAACCGCGAGACTTGAGAGCGTTACTGTACTGAGCACTTTCCAACAAGTAAGGGTGCTCTTGAATCGGTTTACGTGGTCGCAATGATCGGCCAAACTGCAATGTTCGCTGCTCAAATTCATCCTCGCTCTCGTCCGAGACATCCTTTGCCTCAAATACAGCAGTGACGAATTGCTCTGGTGAAACAACACCGGCTGCTTTAGGCGTATTAAGATGATCTGACACGACGTTACCAACCTCGGCAGGTTGTGCTGTATCTTCCAGGTCATTACTAGGAGCAATGGGTGGCGATGAAAGAGGCGATGATTCGAGATGGTAGGGATCGAGAGGCTCGTGGGGTTCATGAGAGTTGTGGGTTTCGTAAGTGGTTCGTGGTTGGGTAGAAGAAGCTTGCAGTGGTGGTTGAATTAGATTTCGATCAGCATTGCGCTCTTCCACCTCTTCATTGACTTCATTGAAAGTCTGGGATGATAACGGTATATCCCAGACTGTGGAATCGTTTACAGGTCCTGCTTCTTTGGCAGATTTTGGGTGAACATCAATATGTTGCTGTGGAAGCTCGGGTTCAGATTCACTACTGCTGTCAAATGCGCTTTCGTCGTCCGAGTCTGGCACCTCCCCGAGCTCCTTCCATCTCGCCATTGGTCCTTAAACACATTTCCTTGCACTATTAGAAGATTTAAATAGACGAGCAATATTGTAAGGGTAAGCAGGTAGGATTTGGTTATGAATGAAAGGGTTGAAGACGAAGTGATGCATCGACAAGCTGCCTAATAATATATAGGTACCTAGGATATGTATTGTACATAAGATGTGAATTCAAAGATTGGGACTTAGACGCGTTGAATGCACTTAAACGCGTAACGTATTAATACGCAGAACCTTATCTCAATTAAGATAAAAGTTGGTGGGATATGATCCACAATTGTGTACCGTTGACATGCATGCAGTGACGCCACTTCATTGATACAAATGCATAACCCCGTAAGATGCCTTCCACATCAATCACTCTATGAGTAAAATTCACTAAAGCAATACATTTATTAGTAGTCATTTTTAGTAGTCATTTCGCATTCAACCATCATCTCCATGAGTCCTAGTCCATGTTACTCAAAACATACTATGTACCATTGTCCCGGTTATTTTCTCATATCCTTTGATGCTCCGTCCCTCCCCTACAAACTCATAAACACTCGTATATTTAGTTAGGGGAAATCATGAGTTCGTTTGGCCGCACAATTCTTCCCGTTGGGCTTGCTGTCGCATTTGGAATATGGAACGGTATGAGTTCACTAATAAATCCTCGTATTAAAAAATTTAAAAGGACTTATGGTCATGCTGACCCAATTAATATAGGTTTCTATGCCTTCAGTCCTGCATTTCAGGAGGAGCGCCAAAGAAGGGAGCAAGAACAAGCGGGAACAAATAATAATCCACAATTTGATACGACAAAGGTCAAACATGAGGAAATACCAGAAACACACACCCCTAGGTAGTGGAAAGTGATCAATTATCTGTCAGCACTAAAACTTCCGGATCATAAACTCGATTATTCGGCCTTCGCACATGAATAGAACTTCTATCTTGTCAAATATATAGCAACAGCACAGCCGAGGTTTCAACTCCTCGCATTGATCGGACGGCTCTGAGCATCGCGGCGGGTGTCAAATAGCCAAAATATCGAAGTGCCAGTGAATCGACATGGAGAAATTTACCATCTATAAAACATGGTCAGACTATCTTATCTCATACCTCAAGTCAAGTTTTACGCTTCAGATTATATAATACCTACCTAGTTAAGCCGGGGTTCCAGCTAACTATCTGATCAAGGTCCGATCTTAAGTTAGAAAGCTGAGAAGTCGAAAGATTGGCATGCATAGTTCACTTAAATTCCACCTCTGCTATAAAATGAGAAACATGAGCAAGTAAAGAGTTGTTACTTGTTGGTCTTGAGGCAGAACTTGGCATTGTGACAATTTTCTGTACTACTCACAGATCAACACATTCAACTTTTCCTCGCATGCCATTACCTGGTAATTATAGAGTACTATAATTATAGAGTACTAAAAATTGATATATGTCCAGGGAAGAAATACTAGGTATTGAATTGCCTTTACAAGATACAGTAATATGTACCAAATACATGTACCTCAAACATTGAACCCATTCATATTGACATCGGATTACCTTCCTGTGACGTCTTCACCTTTTACCTAATCATGCCTTCACCCGAGTTTCAACCGAATCAGCCGAACAAAAACTAGCAATTCATTAGTACATAGTATTAGTGGGGGGAATTCACACCTGTAGCTTGCAACTTCCAGTGCAGCTCCTCCAATTGGCTCCACTACAATCATACGACCACTAACCTCTTGAGGTCCCGAGGAAAACTAACTTTCTCAGTTGAACTTGGCACTACAAACGAAACCGCCGATTGAAAAGAAAGCACTTTCCAGCATTGACAACAATTATCAGTCAAGTCAACTGGTATCACTATCTACCAACACTTATCTACGATTGCATCTTTGCGTCTAGTCTAGATAACTAGTCTAGGTTAGTAGCTTCGCGACTGTGTTGATTAAACATCCCATCTCCACTCCTCCAACTCTCATTCGCACTACAGAACTATTTTGACTCAATTTCATCTTCTTTTTTTTCATCCTTTTTTTTTCAACCTCTTTCATAAACCGAGTCACGATGATGCGCACTTCTCTTCTCCGTGCAGGCCTTCGCGCCACCACTACCAGAACTACCACTATGGTCCCCCGCGTCGCCGCCTCTACTCACGCAATCTCAAACCCAACTTTAGCCAACATTGAGAAGCGATGGGAGGTCCTGCCGCAAACCGAACAGGCCGAGCTGTGGATGGCTCTCCGCGATCGCATGAAGGAGAACTGGGCTGAACTTACCCTCCAGGAAAAGAAGGCCGGTATGTGGTACTTTTAGCATTCCATTTTAGCCATCGCCAAATTTCAGACAATGTTTTTTTAGCAGTTTGGGTTGCTTCAGGGCTGTTGAAATAAGGAAATAACTCGTCCATGATGTGCCCTTGGAGCAATAGTGGATCCCCCTGTTCCTTGATCTGGCCATTCACAAATAACCTATTTGAAGATATCGCCAACTGACTTTTTTTTCTTCTCGCAGCATACTGGATCGCCTTCGGTGCCCACGGTCCCCGTGCCGTGCCGCCTGCTGATGAGAATCGCAAAGTCGCTTTGTATGTTGCTCTATCTTTGCTCGTTGCTTTCGGACTTTTCGCCGGCATGCGCTCGTTCGCCGGCCCCGCACCCAGCACAATGACTCGGGAATACCAAGAAGCCAGTAACGAGTTCCTCAAGGTAAGAAAAAAAGGCCATGGTTTCCCCACGTTTTATCTTGCATGGTGCAGGACGTATAAACTAATATACAATAGAACCAACGCGCCGAGCCTCTCACTGGTCTTACCTCCGAAGGTTACAGCGGCAAGGGCATGGTCCAGTCTCCTCCCAAGAACTAAGTCTCTTTTAAATACCAATAAAATCATCCCTATCGCCTCCCATTTTCTTTTTGTCGCCAGAAGAACCAGCGAACTGCAATATAAGGCATCCAATTTCCATTGTACAAACCAAAAAAGAGCAGACTAAGTGGAATAGAGTCGTAGAAGAAGAGGGGGGATCATTTTCCCCTCTTCTCTCGATGGGCAGAAAAGGGAAAATAAAGTTGGCTACCCAAATATGACATTTCGACCATCGACAGAATCAGATCCAGATCCAGATTCAGGCAAACTTGGGACCAGAGTCTGGGCCGCAAGCCAATATTCTCCAGGAAGACCAGACCGACTCCCCCCTTGTTTTTTGTTCGTTTGAGCTCCCGTTCAAGGATTTTGATTCTCAGTGGCCGTCAGTGGGAGCCCGCGTCGCGCCCGGGAATATGCCCTACCTACCTACCTACCTAACCGTCACACATCTGACGTTGTAAATATGTACAAGAGGAAAACAAAAAGCCTTCTATTGCCGTTCTAAACTGGCTCTTCGTTGCAATGAGTAGTAACCTATAACCTACCTACCTAGGTACACATATAAACCAAGTACTAATCGTATGCTTCATATGCATCTTGAGACTGCCCCTTAACGTAGGTATCTGCCTGGGTACTACTATCTTAGCTTCGTAGAGTCCCAAGTTGGTAATGATGATGAAGCAAAGTGTATTACCTATGTAGCTCAGTTTGTGGCTTCAGATGTCAGGTAGGTACCTATCTAATCCAGTATTACATTACATTACATTACAGTAACCCTCGCCTAATCAAACATATCTAACCTAAATACCTACATATATACCCCATCCACCTATGTAACCTAGGTTAGTACCTATATTCATCCTCTCTTCGTGAAACGGTAGGTATCTTGAGATTTATACAGTAGATACTCCCTCTCATACATATATATGTATATGTGCACAAGGAGAGTGCCCGTGATGAATAAACACTAGCCTCTGTACCTACTGTACCTAGGCATGTATGTATGTATGTATGTATGTATGTATGTATGTATGTATGTATGTATGTATGTATGTATGTATGTATGTATGGAGTGAGTAGGAACCTATGTATGTAGCAATAACCTCTGTTACCATGAACATTCACCATTCACAACCCACCAAGCAGCCTCTAACCAACCCGCGTGTAGCCAGCCAGCCAGCCAGCCGGACGCAGGAGACGGCAGCCACTAGATGATGATGATGATGATGATGATATCGATATCGGTGTAAATATGTACACCTAGTACTACTTCCTACCTATGTACTAATACAACCCAACTAGGGTAGTTAATCCAAGCCCCCTTCCCCTTCCGACGTGAGCGCCAAGCTCCTTCGATCAAAGCGGCTGGTAGGTATTAAACAGACATCCTTAAAAACAACCATGAAGCAAGCAAGCAAGCAAATACTTGGATAGATTACCTAGATGAACGAACTATAACCCATGATGTGATGCTGCCAACCTTGGAACCGACCAACCTCCATACCCAAACACCCAAGAACTCCACGGAGGAACAGTTATTCCTTATCTGCGTATATCAGACTGGGTGCCCAATGCCCAATGCATCAATCAATCAGGCACCGCTCTGGCCCGCTTCTCTGTACCCGCCCAGATCACTGACGATCTCTCTCGCGCCCGCATCCGCGTCCTGTCCGGGCACTCCGCCAAGGCCATCCTCCTCACGGATCAGCCTCTCGACCTCGAGCCTCCCGTCTTTCCCCCAGTACCCGACCTTCTCGCGGCCGCGGACGGCGGCCTCCGTGACCAGGACGTAGTGGGTGGGGGCGTCGAACATGGCCTCGGCGAGCACGCGCTCCATTTCCATCTTGAGGGCGCGGGCGCCTGTTTGTGCCTTTTCGGCGCGTTCGGCGATGGCCTCGAGGGCTTTCTGGGTGAAGAAGAGGTTGGAGGGGTAGGTTTGGAACAGCGCTGTGTACTGCGCGACGAGGGAGTTGCGGGGTTCTGTTAGGATCCGGAGTAAGTCGGAGCGCGAGAGGGGGGACAAAGCGACGATATTGTGTACGCGGCCGATGAGCTCCGGGATGAAGCCGAAGCGCTGCAGGTCTTCTGGGGCTGTGAGATCAAGCGCTGTTAAAGATGATGTGTCGGATGTATTAGACGGTTGATGAGGGAGGTGGCTGAAAAGTTCGGGTGAGAGATCCGGTTTGTTGTCAGTCGTAGTGCGGCTTCGAATTTCGGAGCCGAAGCCCATGGAGGATTTGGATACGCGGTTTAGAATCGTTTTGTCGAGACCGACAAAGGCGCCGCACATGACGAAAAGGATATTGCTCGTATCGATGGTATATTGGTCTACTTTCCCAGTTGGGGGAGGCGTCGGCTGGGGACCTGAGGTGGAGGATGAGCCGGTATAGTTCGTAGTAATGGGGCTTGCTGAGCGAGATGAGGACGCCGAGCGGTTATCTTTGACGTTAATGGTGACCTTAGTTCCCTCGACAAGTTTAAGCAGTGCTTGTTGTACACCTTCGCCACTAACATCCCTTCCATTCATGGTCTCCCGCTTAGCTATCTTGTCGAACTCATCGAGAACAACTATCCCTTGTTCGGTAGCCCTCACATCATAATTGGACTCTATTAGTAATCGTTCGATACAGGTCTCGACATCCTGGCCTATGTAGCCGGCTTGGGTGAAGGAGTTGCAGTCGCATATCGTGAAGGGGACGTTGATCTTCTTGCTTAATGTCCTGCGAGAGCTTAGTCAGACAGCGCACGTATTTACGCATAGGGAGTAGTGAGCACTCACTCGAGTATGTATGTTTTCCCAACCCCGGTCGGGCCTATTAACAGGAGGTTGCTCTTGTCAATTTTGACGATTGGTGCTCGGCTAGTATCTTCGGGTAAATAGAAGTCTACCTTATGTTCGACTCGTTGTAGCGCTTGGTGCATGCTGTGTATAGAATCATTGTGGCCGGGAAACTCGTCCTCAACGGGGTGTATATCCCTCTCCCTAATATTACGATCACGGGCAATGGTTTGCCTCATGAGCCTTTCTTCCCGCTTCCTTTCCTGTTCTTCTTGATATTGTCTCCGCCTAACATTTTGGTAATGGTTAAATATGACGGAAGATATGGTTTTCTTTGCTCGATCTTGTCCGACTACGTATTCATCGACTCCTTTCTTGAGATCCCGAGGGTAAAACTGCGGTACTCCGATGGTATTCTTAGAGAACATAGGGCCTCGCCCTTCTTCGTTCGGGTCATAGCTACTAGTGAAGCCTGAGTTGAAGTCGGTGGTACGTCTAGGGGCGATCCGCAAGGCGGTGGAGGTTGACAAAGGTCGGCAACGATATCTCAGAGCATAGACAGCCAGAAACGGCGTTCTACGTTTTACAAGGACCGGCCTCATGTTGATACACCTGAGGCGGTCCTTGAATCGATGGCGACTACTTGAAAATATAACACCGCGACGCAACGTGCATGGGTGCGTACCTATGTAATCGGAACGTACGAGTTTCCTGGCTAGATACTTATTGGACAAAGGGGCAGGCAGTGCATTCCAGATTTGTCAGACCAAACGGAAGTAAAATTGTGTTTATCAAAAGATATTATGTGTTTCTTTTGGGTACGTGAATCTTGTTCTAGGAATTCAATGTTCTTAGGAATTCCAAACTCTATTCGATTTGTTGTTGTTTTGTTTTGTTTTGTTAAGGTCAACGGCTTGAAGCCAATGATGCAAGTAAAGGGAGAGGTGGATACTTCGTACATGCTTAAAGTTACTCCTGTATCGGACATAAACATGCGTAAGATCTCGCAGCGATAACCCCCGTAAGCCAATTTCCATAAGACTATGGGTCAATCTTATTAATACAGCACTTGAGGTGGGCAAGCGGGGTAGTTAAATGTTGAACTGTTTAGGCTCTGGAGAATATGAAGTCACTAAGAGAATGCCCCGCACCTAGAAATCTAGAATCAGAGAACTGCAGACTATAAAGACATTTCCTCAGTACATGGAATGTATCATTTATTAGGATTGCTAGCTCACTTACTATTAAATACTTTAATATCTACATCAGTAATACATTGTATAGTCCAACTACTACATCCAGTGTTCAAGCTCATAGGATATAGATAGCCTTTGAGGTAGACATACAGCTACCAAAGGCCCGTTGACCTAGGTACTAGCATCAATAGTAGGCAGACAATCCGAGCTTCAATGTTCAACAGAACCATACTCTCACAACTAACCAAACTAATGTAGAAGCTGTTAGGTATATCTGCAGTGCATAAATCCTCTATCATTGCAGACTATAAATATCTAGTATCCAGTTACAAGAAGACCTCAAAGTTCTAGACACTCAGTCGGCCAATGGGCAATATCCACATCCACTGTGCAGCCCAACTGTGACTTGCTACGTCATTCAACAAGATGATTTGGGCAGCTTCAACTCCTCTTCTCAGCAGAAAAAGTTTGCGACAACAGTCGTACCTATGGATCTGTAGTAGATCTGTAGTATGTATATAAGATAGGAAATAGGTAGATAAATAGAAAAAGAAAAGCTGGTGTAGATTTTGTCATATCATAGAGTTTTCCTCGTTCATATCAGACGAACCAAATTGTATACCTAGGTACATCAAGAATACCTCGACATCTGGAGATCAGCTTTGAAAGGACTTCCTAGTTCAACAAGGGTCTTTCTTATCTGTGCGACCTTGGGTCTTATCGATCACACACCATCACACACATAGCTTCCTTCCTTGTTATATTTGCGCTACTAGCTTCCACCTATGCGGTCACCTCGCATAGCTTCTGTAGCGGGGAGCTTGATTAGGCGCCTACTAGGTAGGTACAAGGTTGTCTTCAAATTGACTTGACCTAACAAATTCATACACTTGATACTCCTAATACTCCTATTCCTGTTCCTGTTCCTGTTATTCTTACTATTCCTAACTCCTACAACCATCTCAAAATACTCATTTTCCTCTAACTTAGGCAAATCAGTCAAGAAGATGGCCCCCGCTACTGATAACTCCGCGAACTCTCTTGAGTCTGGTACTGCCGCAGGAGTACCGGACGATGGCACTGGTACGGTCTTATTCTCTTCAATGTTCTTAATAAGTGACTTGTGAATTGACCACATACTTTCATACAGGTGTTGTCCAGTTAGATCCTTGGTTGCAACCGTTCGAGGGCGCCCTGAAGAGAAGATACGCAAAAGCTCAAGACTGGATAAAAACGATTGACGAAACTGAGGGTGGACTTGAGAAGTTTTCTAAGGTTGGTCTTCAACTTATTGTCATGACAAGCAAGCTACTCCTGAGAGCGAGAGCACAAGCTAATCACGGATGGCTTCACCAATCTTAGGGGATAGAGAAATTCGGTCTCAACGTTGACAAGAACAACAACATCTTGTACCGAGAATGGGCTCCAAGTGCCATCGAGGCTTTCCTAATCGGAGACTTCAGTGAGTCCCAGTTCTCTCGCACTCATCACATGTCACCACGCTAATGCAACATCACCAGATGGCTGGAATAGGGGCTCTCATCCTATGAAGAAGGATGCATTTGGAGTGTGGGAAATCACCGTGCCCGCGAAAGACGGACAACCAGCTATCCCACATAATTCTAAGATCAAGGTACCTTTTATATGACCTTATTAAGCTTGACCTAGCTTTGCACTTGCTAAAGATTTTATGATAGATCTCTATGACCTCGGCATCTCATGAGCGTATCGACCGCTTACCAGCCTGGATTAAGTACGTGACTCAAGATCTAAGCGTCTCGCCGGCCTACGACGCCCGCTTCTGGAATCCTCCCGCTTCTGAAAAGTATGTGTTCAAAAATGCTCGGCCCAAGAAGCCACTGAGTGCCCGCGTGTACGAAGCACACGTAGGAATCTCCTCGCCGGAGCTGCGAGTCACAACATACAAGGAGTTCACCAAGAGCATGCTACCAAGGATACAGAGCCTGGGATACAATACTATCCAGCTCATGGCTATCATGGAACATGCTTACTATGCTAGCTTCGGTTACCAAGTAAACAATTTCTTTGCCGCAAGCAGTCGCTACGGCACACCGGAGGATCTCAAGGAGCTAATCGACACCGCCCACGGCTTGGGTCTGGTCGTGCTTCTTGACGTTGTTCACAGCCACGCCTCAAAGAACGTGCTTGATGGCTTGAACGAATTTGATGGTTCAGATCACCTTTACTTCCACGAAGGCGCAAAAGGTAGACACGAACTATGGGACAGCAGGCTTTTCAACTACGGAAGCCATGAAGTCATGCGATTCCTACTGAGCAACCTGAGATTCTGGATGGATGAATACAAGTTTGACGGCTTCCGCTTCGATGGTGTGACAAGTATGCTCTATGTTCACCACGGCATTGGAACGTAAGTTTACTACACATCTCTATCAGCACACGTAATGTATACTAACAATCAACAATAGAGGATTTTCTGGTGGATACCATGAGTACTTTGGTGCACAAGTCGATGAAGAAGCTGTAGCCTACCTCATGGTCGCGAACGAACTGCTTCATAAACTCTACCCCGAGGTCATCACGGTTGCAGAAGATGTTTCTGGTATGCCTGCCCTCTGCCTCCCATTATCACTTGGTGGTGTTGGGTTCGACTATCGATTGGCTATGGCTATCCCTGATATGTGGATTAAGCTCCTCAAGGAGAAGAAGGATGAGGATTGGGACATGTCCAACATCTGCTGGACTCTTACCAACAGACGCCACGGCGAGAAGACAATTGCCTACTGCGAAAGTCACGATCAAGCGTAAGTAAAAGCTTTTATGACCTAATGAAGTTGAGAGACTAACACTCCTAATTTTAGTCTCGTGGGCGATAAGACACTTCTTATGCACCTCTGCGATGCTGAATTGTACACCAACATGTCGACACTCACCACCTTAACACCCGTCATCTCGCGGGGTATGGCATTACACAAGATGATCAGACTACTAACACACGGTCTCGGCGGCGAGGGGTACCTCAACTTCGAAGGTAACGAATTTGGACACCCTGAATGGCTCGATTTCCCTCGAGAAGGAAACCAAAACTCGTTCTGGTACGCGCGGCGGCAGCTGAACCTTACTGAGGATCCCCTGCTACGGTACAAGGACCTGAACGAGTTCGACCGCCAGATGAACAAGACAGAAGCTCAGTTTGGGTGGCTTCACGCGCCACAGGCATACATCAGCCTCAAGAATGAAAGCGACAAGATCATCGTGTTTGAGCGCGGTGGATGCGTCTTCATCTTCAACTTCCACCCCACTCAGAGCTTTGCCGACTACAGAATCGGGGTCGATGTACCCGGGACGTACAAGATCGTACTCGATTCTGATACGAAGGAGGTTGGTGGCTTCGCAAGGCTCGACCCGAGCACCAAGTTCTTCACCACACCTATGGAGTGGAATGGTAGAAAGAACTGGACGCACATTTACATACCTTGCCGCACAGCTATTGTAAGTTCAACATGAGAGAGAAGATATGTGTGACAGAGAACGTGAGGCTAACATGATGATAGGTTCTTGCGCTAGAGAAAGCTTAAACGGGTGGATAGCTACCCAAATAACAGGGGATGATTGTAGAAAAGGAGGATGCGGTTTGTGATATCTATGGTGACTCGTGGGTGTTTGAAAAGTATATCCTCAAAAAGCAGGAGTCTTGGTAAAGAACGAGAAGGGTCATGATGTTTTGTTTGGCGGGGATATGGAGGAAACGGCAACATATTCGGGGGCAGTGGTTGATTGGTTGATGGCGGTGGTGACGGTTTTTATATTCTCAAAAAATGTTCGCTTGTCATATTTTATTTACGTGGGTCATGAGTATCCTAGGTAGAATTGGCCTGGGGGCTTGGTATATCTAGGTAATATGATTCAAAGATACCTACCTATCCTTACTTGCTTGGACGAGGAGTCTTGTGCATACCTAGGTGCTTACTTGGGGAGTAGTGATGTTGTGAACGTTGTAGACGGTCGTTGAGGATGAGTGAAGTGCTTTAGTAACGTTCCAAGGTTATTACGAGTTTGAGGTACATATCTAGGTATCTACCACCTAAGTAAGTATGAGTATTACCTACGGGACGGTGAGGTATGGTATATGGTAGGGGATATTGCCTAGTCTATGTATTCGGTACCCCCTTTGTTTCCTAAAAACACTTCTATATGTACCTAAATAAACCCGGTATGGATATAAGAATTAACACTACCTATTCACTTTAATAGCCTCGCTTCATTCTCGGCATCGCCTATCTACCCATCTACCTATCTACCTAGTACGCAAGCACCTATATCCTAGGTAGGTAAGCAAGCAAGCACCCCTACTCAACAAGCCACTCCTCAACCTCAACCCCCATGCTCCTCCCCACGGCGCGCACAACCTCCCACCCGACCCCGACCCGCCACTTCCCCCCGCGATCCATCGCATCCCCCACCAGCCCCCCCCCTCCGACGCGGACCAGCAAGCGCAAGCTCGTCAGCGTCGCGATCGCCATGCCGACGTCGCCGTCTACGCCGCCCCAACCACCACCACCACCACCACACTCGTCATTATTATCGCTGATAATGTTGTTGTTGCTGTTGTTGTTGTTAGGGCCAGCCCACTCCCGCCGCGTGGCAGCGTATATCGCGACCATCCTTTCCAGCACGAACGCGCCGGGGCCGAGCAGCTTGCGCGCGATCTTGCGGTGCTTGGCTTTGCGGGTGATTTTGTTGTTGTTGTTGGAGATGGCGGCGGTGGGGCCGCCGCCGCGACGCCGACGCCCAGAGTGCCAGGTGCTGAAGATGGTTTGGTCGTGGCGCGGGGGGTTGTGCGAGGCGAGGTAGGCGGCGATGAGGAGGAGGCGGGCGGTTGGGGGGAGGAGGGTTGCGAGGTCTTTTTTGTTGTTGCTGGTGGTGGTGCTGAGTCGGGTCTCCTCGCTCTTTTTCTTGGGCGTATTTGTGCCGGGAGTGATGGTGGTTGGTGGCGGTAGTTTGGCTTTGGCGGAGGTGAGCGTAATGCCGGGCTCGAGCATGTTCTCGTCCTGGAAGTAGGCACGTGCCGCGACGAGGAGCTTGCTAAACTCACGCGCGCGGTGCGTGCCGGCTGCTACGGGGGCGGTGAACCGCGGCCATAGCGAGGCGCTGGCGCGGGAGAGCCCCGGTAGGCTGCGAGACGCGGGTTTCGCAAGGGCGTCGTGGACGGCGCCTACGAAGCGTGTCCATAGGTCGGCTGTTTCTTGGGCTGTAGTGTTCGGGAGAGGTGGGGGCGCGTAGGGCGGGCGCGAGAGGATCGTTATGTACTCAGGTTTCGTGTATGGTGGGAAGTATAGCTGCGGTGTTGAGGATACGCGGAGGAGGGAGGGCGAGGGGGCGGTTAGGATGAAGATCGTCGTTAGGCCGGGTATCTAGGTTAGAAGATCATATTAGTTCACCGTGTATAACCATAGACCTATAATAATAATAAACCTACGATTTCGGACAGTCTAGCAAGAGCGGGTAGCAATGTAGGAGGCGCTTCTCGTTGGCGATCGATGCCGTCAAAGACCAACACGAATCTCCAGTCTTTATCCTGAGTCGCGTCGCGCTTCAGCATCTTGGTAAGCTCAACGGTAAGAGCAGCAAGCGTCTCGCAGCGGCCGACGACTCCTCCCTCGTCCGATTGCAAAGCGTGAGCTACTGAACGGACGGTCGTCTCGAACAGGTGTCGTGCCGTCACACACTCGGCGGATTTAATAATGGCGAAGTTGAGAGAGGGACCATCGCCATCGCCATTGTTTTCACCATTATTGCGCAAAGCCTGGAGCAAGCGAGCGGTGACTACACTTTTGCCGGTGGCCTCGGTGCCGTGGATGATAAGGTTGCGACACGGTGCAGCTCGGGGGTAGAGCAGCGTGGCTAGAGCTCTGATCTGAGCATCGCGACAGGGGAAGTTCTCGATCAGAGTCGCGACGAGCTCGTCGGGTAGCTCGAAAATACTTGTCATTGTGTTCTGTTTACGTGTTTAAAAACAATTGAAGCCATTAAACCTCATGAGATGAATTGGTTACGTCGTACATGCATACATGTGTGTAGATACCTACTAGGTAGCAATTAATATGCAGCAGCAATGCAGCTTTAAGGATAGAACCTTGAAGGCTTGAAGTAGCCAAGTACTATCATGTAGGTACCCGGCTCTGATAAAGCTTATCGCGCAGAGGCTAAAACCTTGAAGTCAATTGACGTGATTAATCAGCAAATAGGGCAAATTAAGCACATTAACAACCTCTCACATCAATGATCTTCATGGTAGATGCCTGCGCCTCAACGATTACGGCGCAGTATTGTGGGCCTAGTGTACGTCAGACCGGCCCTATGATGCCTAGCCCTATCTATTTTAGTATAGCTAGGTACTATGCAGTACTACCTGTCGTTGCCTCCCCTATCACAGAAAGCAGAAGGCGCCTACGACATTACCTATGTAGGACCATTGTAGGTAGTGTCTTACCAGGTCCTACACAGTACCTACTACCTACATACACTAGGGCCTAGGTAGGACCTGGTAGGTAACAGGTATTGTACATAGTAGTATCTACTAGGTCCTGGTCCGATGTCAGATTATGGAGTAATCCATTTCCAAATTGTAAACTTGTATGAGACTTCTGCCTACCAAATATCATTCCTTAATTTCCATCTTTATACTTCGTACTCAATACTCTAATTATCTGTATGCCTTCTACTTTCCTCCTACCCAACTCGACGACGCGATGATTCAGAGTTGTCTCAGCCTTAATCGGACTTACATAACACAATGTTCGGAGTTAATAACAGTAATTCTATCAATGATTTCAGTAACATCGACTTCGAGCTAGATGGGTTTGACTTGGATGTCGATTTACTCACTGTCAATGATATCAGCTTCGGTTTCGATCCCAGTTCATCTAATACACTATTACCCAGCGATGGTGCGGATCTCAACAAGCCCTATCATGCAAAAAGACCTCACAAGGTAATCAACTTATCTTACTTCATCCTAAGCCAATTAAATTCATAACTAACCAAACATCACATGTAAGAAATCACGAGCTGGATGTCACCAATGTAAAAAGCGTAAAGTGAAGGTAACAGCTCACTAAACCCGGCAATGGAATTCACATCGACTAAAAATCTCGTCTAGTGTGATGAAGTGAGACCCACGTGCAAATCGTGTAGGCTTCGGAGAGAGAAGTGCGCATATCCAGCTGTGCCAGCATCTTCCTCATTAACATATAGGGCTAAGTCTGATGCCTCTTCTGGTTCTTCTTCCCCCGAAGAACACTCGCCACAGCCATATCAAAATGAAATCGTCTCGCAGGGAACCACCATTATGGAGCCTTTGTATCGCCCGCGCGAGATGGCAGATGATTTGGACATGAAGTTGTTATGGTTTTGGACCAGTCATGGCTACCGGTTCTTTTCAATCAAAGGCGGCCGTTCTTCGATCGTCGATAATGTGCTGCAGGTGAAATTTGTCCAGCACGCTTTCCAGTCCCCCTTTTTGATGCACTGCCTGATGGCCGTGTCAGCATCGCATCTTCGAAATTTGGGTCAGCCTGTTCCAGCTCATCGCGCCATCAGCTATTCCACCAAAGCATTCGAGAGCTACCGAACCGCTATCGAGGCAGCAAAGCCCGAAGACTTTCCCGCTCTAATAGCAACTTCTCTTCTCATGGTGGCCGTAAGCAGTCAAATGTTCCGAGAGACGGATAGAAAGCCGCTACACATTTTTGACTGGATCCAAGTCTGGAGAGGGATTGGTCTCATTATAGATGTTGTCTCTCCCAAAGCTCTCCAGGAGTCGGGCATGGCAGTGCTTTTCCACAGACCACGAGTTGATCTTAAGAAGGCATCAACGCACATTCCCAACAATCTCCTGTCTATGGTCGAATCCATCGGACCTGGCGATGCGGATGAAGAATATAAAGAAGTGTATCATGACATGCTCAAGTACCTTGGGTCGCTTTATCAGGAATTAAAGGAATATGGCTTCAATCCCATTCTCGATCTTCGCATTATCATATTTTACAGTGCGTATCAGCTCTTTCTCATGTCCAGAGGGCTTACTAACCTGGCATCTTTATAGCATATTTACCGAAGCCCTTCATTCCTCTTGCCAAGGAACATCGACCACGGGCGTTGGTCATGATAGCCCATCACCTATGCTTCCTTAAAATGCTTCCAAAGGTGTGGTGGATTAACGGGATCGCAGATCATGAAATTAGGCAGATCTGCCAAGAAGTCGGTAGCGAATGGGCACATCTGCTGCGAGTACCTGAGATGGTCTTGAAAACAGACGACAGGGTCGAGATGGCACGGTTAATCATCGATAACCATAATTGGACACCTTCTGAAATGGACCAATATGAGAGAGACCACGACCCCAGATTAAACACCGATCTCAAGCTGCATGACAACCAAGGGATAGAGATGTTGATCTGGAAGGGCGAATGGAGACGAAGGTCGTCTATTTCAGATATTGAATCAGATTCGTCCCTAGACCAAAATCCCGATATCAGTAATCCTATCGGTAATACTTCATTCGACGCACCATGAATAAATTTACGAGGAGTCTCAATCTACACGCCCTATTCCTTTATGTCGGGTGAAGTACTGGAAAAGGTACGCCTTCAATATTTACCGGAAAATCTTATCCACATGTATACAATAAGGTAATATTCGACTTAGCCTATATACTAACTGACCTAGGTTAAATAATTCCCGTCGTTTTATCGAAGTTGCCAACCTTTTCGTTATTTTCGGACCTCAGATGCCATCACAAACCAAACCACTCCTCGCTAGCCGTAAGATTCGATGGAACCGAATGTCCGACCCCCTGAGCGTAGATGCCCTGGACCGTGTCACCAAAGTTATTGGTCGTATACCCCTGTTTCGGGTAGTCCTTCTGCGAGCTCGTGGGCTCCTGCGTGACGTTGAAGACAGCAGTCCACTGCTTGATCTCCTCCTCGTAGTTCTGCGGCGCCAACGTGCTGTCGGTGCTGCCGTGCCAGATCTGCATTTTTGGCCTCGGCCCCTCGTACCCCGGATACATGTCCAGCACCACCTGCCTCCACTTCTCGGGCGTCGCCCGCGACTGCCCCCCGCTGCAGCTGTTGTTCCACTGGTCGACACCCCCCGAGGAGCTCACGAAGCACCCCGCCGCCACCCCGCTGTACAGCGAGACAGCTTTGATTAGCTCCGGGTACGTCGCCGCCAGCACGTTGCTCATCATCGCCCCGGAACTACCACCAGTCACGTAGACACGTTCAGCGTCAACCCCGTACTCCGAGATCGCGTACAGGATCATGTTCGCGATGGCCTGGGAGTCGCCCCCGCCGAGGTGGGTTAAGGACTGCTTCGAGGATACGTCCCAGCACGTCCCGCTGTTGGGCGAGGAGGGCCACACGGTGATGTAGCCCTTGCCGTCGGATCCCTTTTTCCAGGGTATGGCGCTGTTCTGGAAGTAGGATTGTGCGGTGGACTGGCACGAGTGGATTACGACGACGAGGGGCGGGTTGGCGACGACGTTGTCGGGCTTGTAGACGTACCTTGGGTGGGTGTGAGTATGGTGGGGTAGGTAGAATAGAGTTGCATAAGGACGCTGTGGAGGAAGGGGGAGAAAGAGGAGAAAGACGGACTTACATCTGCGCCTTGGACGTCGCGTTGTTGTTGTAGTCGGAGACTTGCGTGAGCGAGGCTGCCAGGGCCGTCCCGGCCAGGACGCCCGTTGTGAGGAGGGCCGAGAACATCATCATCATCATCATTGGAAACTTCTTTTTTTTTTCTCTCTCTCCTGAAAAGTAACCCTACCGAGGACGAATATCTAGGGTCCAAGGATTTTCCAAGCTTTGAAGGGCAGGCACATGGTATGTATATATGTGTATGTGTATGTGTACGTATACCCCCCAAATATACCTAGGTACATAGAATGCATAGAAGGCGTAGAATAACAACTGGTAGAAATACCTACCTACCTACCGGCAATTCTTCAACCTTACCCCCTAAAAAAAGAAAGAAAAAAAAGAAAAGAAAACATATCCCCTCTTGTCTAAACAAGCTTTTGATATTTATCCATTTACCTATGTACACGGGTGGTGAGATCTACATACCTACATCGTACATGCCGCCGCGGGTGGGGTAGGGGTGGGTAAAGTGCTGAACCTACCTACCTACCTACCTAGGTAGCCAGCTACGTACGTACGTACGTGGTGAGTACGTGGTGAGTACCTAGCCTAGGGAAGTAGGTTGTATGGAAAACGTGGGTGCGAGTACGGGTACGGGTATATTGAACCGGAGAGAAGCAGTGACGTGAGAAAGAACATACCTAGGTAGCACCCGTTTAGAACAAGCTTTTTTTTTTTTTGCCTATGCGGCTCGGCTAAAGTGATATACCTACCTAACCTAGATGAATGGGATCGGTGGGTAGGTGGGTAGGTGAGTGTGTGGGTGGTGAGACCCTGTCGACCTGGGTACTTGCCTACCTATCTAGGTAGAGTAGAGTACCTAGAGTAGGTACCTATTTATTCTATTCTTAGGTAATCGTATGAGAGAGAGAGAGAGAGAGAGAAGTAGGTATCAAGGATGCCGAGGTTATCAGGTTAGGGCTGTTAGAAGAAAGCTAGGGACTGGCATATTGACTGGTGAGACTAGGTAAATATCTACGTAGGGTCGGTTGACTTGCCTACACAGAATTATGTACCCGATGTTGATATGAAGCTATAGTACTCAAGTTCATAGATACCTAGGTTAGTCACGATCAGGTTGACCTGTACTTAAACATTTACGTCCTGTGGGAGTGGAGTGATCACTGATTCACCAGAGGGCAGCAAAAGTCATCAGAAGTAATCGTCGGTATCAATTCAACGATAAACCCCCAATATCATATCTGTCCTGTCCTGCGTGCAAGCCTATGCAGTCCCTTCCTTTCTCAAATGGTTTCAGTTTTGGCTCCAAGCGGGGGCCATCAATCCCCCGTAGGATACCGTACAGTACAGAAGCAATTCCAGTCCTTTTCCTTTTTCATTCCAGCTCTTGTCCATTCCTTTCTTTCAGCAAGACCTTCCACGAAACCCCTCTCCTTCCGAGCTTTTCAGGATAGGTGCGTAGTGCCTATTGCGGTGCCAAACTTCGAAGCTCCCCTCAAAGAAAGAAAGGCGGTAGGTAGGAGCTGGTACGTAAGCAACTTCCGTAACGCCTTCTCGTGTGTGCGCAGCGATCAATCAGTCGTCCTTTGGGTATCATATCGTCCATCCTGCCATAGTAGGAACGAAATGACGAACGAACAAGCACACCCCCAAGTAAAGAAAAGAAAAGAACAAGTCCCAGCCCACCCTCCCACCCAAGGGACAACAGAAAAGAAAAGAAAAACAAGCAAACACCATCACCATCACAATAATCTTCTTCTTTGCCTCCGAGGAGAGCAGAGTAACTTCAAATAGTTCACCTCATAAAACCTGAGGGGGACATATCAGTTTCCCCCCCTCACTCTTGGTTCTTTGCAGCTCGGCACCTGGTTCCAGGCGGGTGAGCCTCGAGGCTGAACTTGCACCACTTGCCGTTGGTGCAGACGCCGTTGACGACGCTGGGGCACTGCATAGGGTTAGTGATGACTACTTGAACTTGAGTGGCTGTTTGGGTGGTGAGGGTGGTGAAGGATGGGAGAAAGAAGGGGGGGGGAGAAGGGGAGGAGGGTATAAGGGAAAAAAGAAAGGAAGGGAGAGAAGAAGAAAGAAAACTCACATGATGCCCATAAATGCACTCCTTATTCCCGCACCCCTGGCCCTTGCCACAAGGATTCATCCGCGCAAGAAGGCGAATCACGTTCCTCTCGTCATGGTTCGGCTTGTAGTTATGAACAAACTCGCAGTCGAGCTTGTTGCACGGCCCGCGCAGGAAGTGGTTGCAGCAGAGCTTCTCCTTGTCCGTGCGCTTCTTCATTCGTTCCAGGACCTTCGGGTTTATCGGGATCTTCGGGTCAAGGCCGCGGGGGCCGGGGTTCCAGTCCCAGTTCGGGGTGGAGGTAGAACGGGAGGTGGTGGATGGCTTGGGTTTGTTGCCGCGGCGCCCGCGGTTGTTGTTGTTGGTGCGGTTGCCGAGGGCGAGGGGGAGGGTGATCTGTGGTGGGGGGCTTGCTGGGCGGGGCAGGACGTTCTCGTATGCCATGGTAGACTCCTCCTCCTCCTCCTTCATATCGGCGTCGTGGTCATCCTGCGAGGTAATCGCCGCCGGGCCAGCTGGGCCAGCTGGGCCGATTGCGGTTCTGCGGAGCAGCTGGGGGAAAGTTACGGTGGGCAGATCAAGGTCCACGATTCTGCGGTGCACGGGAGGACCATGGAGCAAGACGAGGCGTCGGCGTCGGTTGTCGATATGCATGAGCTCTCTAAGGAAGGGAACCTCCGTGGGCTCGTTGGCAAGGCCTAGGACGAGCCGCTTGCAGTTGAAGTTGCGAAGGTGGAACTTGGCGGTTCCTAAGTATGATTAGTTAGATACAAGGTAAGTTGCTTGGTAGGTAGGCAGGTAGGCAGTAGGACTTACCATCAATCTTCGCATGCACCGCCTGCCAGCTGGTGTTCACATCGACAAAATCGAATGTCGGATGGACCTGGTTGAAACCAGAAACAAACTCATAAAGCCGAACCTGGTGTTCAATGACGCCGGCGTTCTTCAAGGTCTTACTCAGACCTGGAAGGTTGCCAATTACATTGGCATAAATCTGCGGTGGGGGCGCTCCTTCGACTGTGAAGTACGTCTGCAGGGAATTGTGCAGATTCTCCGCAGCGATCTTTCCGCCTGCAAAGCCTCGCTGAATGAGGAAATCGTCGAACTGGAGTCGAGGGTGTTGATTAGTAGCTGGAGTTACATAGGTATACCTAGAATGATGAAGGGGAGCTTATTCTGGTGTCAGAACTTACAAGTAGCTCGTTGCCATCAACGACAACCATGATGTAACTATTCATGTCCTAAATAGTCTAGAGTCAGTCGCGAAGGATGGGGTGTCGGAAGATGGGAAGATTTGTTTCACATACAGCGGAAACGTGAAGACTTGCTTCTAAGTCCCGATGGGCTCGGCGAAGCTGGGACTGCAGCATGGGTATCTCGTTATGGAGGACTGTATCAACCCGATTGGCGTATATCATTACGTCCTAATAAAAACAATTGGTAAGTTATATACCGGTAGGTGAGAAAGAGAATAGATGTTATTTCGCTTGGATTCATACCCTTATGAATAGGTCGGTGGTATCACGGTGGTCCCTGTAATCAGCGTAACGGCGAACCAGGTCATCGAATGCCTCTTCTCCCATCATTGCGGCTGCTAGACCTGCTAGATCGTTGTTGGCCATTTTTAATGGCTATTCGTGGAATTTATCTTGACAAATGAAACGCAGATAATTGCTCGTTCTATGGAACGCAACTTGGAAATGGAGAAAGGTGGTGTCGTGGTTGGAGAGAAAGGATGGAATGAAAGAAGGTGAAAAGGTTTAGGTAGTGGGGGTCAAATAAATAAACAACGGTAAGTTCAGAGGTATCCTCCCAGGTACTGGAGGTCCTTAGACTAACGGTTCAAGTAGAATGTAGGGTGACGAGTCACTCGAAGCTGGCACGACGGCTGGCTGAGGTGCTCTCGACGGGATCAATGAATTTTATAGTGCCTAATGAACGGCGGAAAGAAGGGAATATTCTCAGAAGTTTTTATTCAAGTGAATAGAACGACTGAGCGCGTAGGGTAATTAACAAGTTCGGACATATATAAAGTATGTCAAGACTGTTGCGTAGGATGGGAAGATGAAAATTTAATAATTTGAGCCCTTCGCAAAGGAATATATCAATTTGTGTAAGTGAATTATAGTGGATCCTGCTGGTACCTGTCACAATGTACCGCTAGATCCCGTCTGCTGTACATAACTAGTCACTAACTGAGATTAGCGGTTCGAGGAGCCGAAAATCTGGGGTAGCCCCACTCACACTCAGCTAACGGCGCTGTGTGGCAAGGATACCAGGGGTAACTTAGCGCAATCAGCCGTGTTTTGCTCAGCTCTCAGCCCTATTTGGGTATCTGACGGATTTATTCTAGATTTATTCCAGATTTAGACTTTGTACATTGTAGTATGGATAACCAGGTATCTATAAGGTATATTCACGTAGTTCAATCGCAGCATAGCTACTACGTAAGTACATACATGACTTAAAATTTGTTTCTAGTAGTTACTGGGCAACATTTATTATGTTTTAGGTCTAGCTGAACTTCCAGGCCAATTGCGGCGTACTACGTACCTAGGCAGGTAAAAATGTTTACCAAAACGGCATAGCGTACGAAAAATGATATAAGATCATTGGCCACACCAAAAACTGATCTTGTAGATTCGTGTGAATCAACATAAAGCGGTTGATAAATACTTAGGTACATTCTTAATTTTCTAACGACGGGCTGAACAGCAATCAAATACGTAAGTCCCTCGATCAATATTCCTCTGCCGCACCTTCCTCATTACCTGCGTTCAAAAGCAAGCACTGAAGGAGGGTCAAATATTGACAGAAAACGGTTAAACTGCTAATCTAGACAACTAGCAACCAATGATTCTCTTGACATTTCACAAGCATGTTCAAGCCTAAGACACATAAGTAGGTGGTACCACTTTCTATTTTCTATTTCGTTGCGCAAATCGAAGAATGTTAAAACAAACAATCAAAAAAAAGTGAGTGATAAAAATCCTGCTTCCCAAAAAATATCCGTTGCTATTCCCCTTCCCCTTCCCCTGACTTATCACCCTTCTCCTTCGTATCTCATCGTAAATCAGTAGACAGGTGGGTGTGCATGTGTATCGCTACAAATTTTTAAGCGACACAGGTCAAGCTGCCGTCACGGCTGTTGCAGGCTGTAGGAGGGAAAGCTTGTCAGTCTCTTGCTGTTCATGTATTATCGGGGATAGCGTAGAGGGGAGGGAAAAACTTACTGCCGGAGATTTGGCCAGACTTGTCAGAGGGGCCGGAGTAGTACTTGCAGCTGCTGCCCTGCTTGTGCTTGCAGTTGTTGGGGCAGTTGCAGGCGTAGTCTATGTTGGATAATATGTTAGTAAGAGGTATCCGTGGAACATTGTTTGTGGTAAACACGGCTTAGAGGACTGAAGTAGAATACTAACAAGGGTCGGTGGCGATCATGGCAGCGCGAGCATCAACCTCGTGGCCGGGAGTCTCAATGGCAGCTCCAATGGCGGTGCTGGCCATGAGGAGAGCGAGGGTGGAGAAGACGGTGGACTTGAACTGCATTTTGAAGGTTGGAAAGGGTTGAGAAAGTTGGTTGTTTGTGGTGTTGGTGGATTGGTCGAAAGGTGAGTTATTGGAGCTTTGTTGGTAGCTTTGTAGTGATGTTGTGATGAGTTGTGAAGATGCTGTGATGATGATGATGAATTAAAAAGTGAATCGTCGGGTTCATGGCAGAGACTTTATACTCTTCAGGCTCCTCGGAAGTCTCTTATTTTCTTGACATATCTCTTTATGTGTCAGCCTAAAATGGATATCCACCACGGCTCACTGTCTCCAGCGTGGAGAACTTCTATCTTCTTTGCTTCCAACATACCGACCAGAATATGATGATCTCCGCCCGATCTTCTGCAGCTCGGGGGCTTCGGATTCCCCAACCTTTCGTAGGATACAGCCACATCAGGCAGCTCTCTCTTTTCTCCGTACCCGCTTCCTAAGAATTCAGGCCAATGCCATCATGATTACGGTCTAGAGGTCGATAGTCTTTGTTTTTCTTTTCATGATCTCACGATAATAATAGGTCTTCCCCAGCTGGCCATGGTATGATCACTTCCTAGTTAGGTGGTAAGTAAAGAATCTGCTGACATGATGGGAATTAGTATTAGGCATCTGAATTAATTTTTAATGCGCCGAGGATTATCCCTTGTTCTTGTTCCGTTCCGCACTTTGTTCCGATATGACGGTGTGCTTGACAATAATGTTGACAATAATGTTGAAAATAAAAATAAAAATAACCAGGTAACAGTAACCGTGACCCAATAGCCGGTAGGAAGGATGAATAGGCAGCTAGATTTCTTTCTTCCGATCGAGATAATATGTTGTAATATGTGGAAATATGTTGCATTATGTTACATTATAGTGAGCGCATGAAGTAAGAGCTAGCCCCCAAATTTTCATTTTTAAGGGGCTTCAAGGCTGTCTTTTCAGGGTCTTGTTGTCAAGGGTTTGCAGCTGGGTTGAGCTGGGCTTATAAAATATGGGGTTTGAAACATTAAACAATTACCTATTACAACTGCTGCATGCCGGGAAAAGGTTCTGAAGGATGTTTAGATCAGCTATTCCCGTTGAAAGGGATCCGCTTAGCGTAGTTAGCTAGCGTTAGTTCCGGCAATGATCAACCTAAATCTACAGTTGTTTCGGTGCCTAATTGCTAGCGTAGGTAACTAACCTAATAACTTAAGCTATTCAAGCTACCGCTCAACCTTACATAGTATGAGCTGTTTATCCCGACTAGCTCAACTACCAAGCTATTGTTTGATATTGTAGCTGCCTTGACTACTTGATGAATTACGAGGGACATACCCTTGAGTGCCATAACACTGCTGTTGATTAATAGAACCCACATACAAACTAGGCAGCCAATCAAGTCTCAGGCGTCTACCTAACTGGGTATGTATTTTTAACCTCATCCATGAATTCTAGTGAAAATGATCTATTGTATGTATTCTATCTGTAAAGTCTTACGGCTCCGAGACCGATAGTTATTTTATTTTTGGATCCATCTTACATCCGTCACCGCTGATCTCTACGTACCTGGGTAGTTGGATATCGTAGTAGCCATTAGGTTATCATCAAGGTTTACTCGAACCAACACCTTTTGCGTGGAGGTCGTGAATGTATAAGAATTGGGCTGTATATCGGAGAGAATGTTTGAAATGTCTCTGTTCAGCATCACCACTCATCTCACCCATCTTCTCACTCATCCCATTATCAATCACTTCAAAGCCACCTTCACAAATCACTATCACTCCAAATATTCAACATGAAGTTCCAACTTAGCACCTCTCTCATCATTGCCTCTGTGGCTTCCTTCGCCGCAGCTGGCCCCTTTACCATCCGATGGTACTCTGGCCGAGGCTGCACTGGCGCCAGCTTGGGCTGCAACAGCTACAACGCCTTCCAGTGCTGCGAGGAGCCCCCTTACCCATCCGGCTTCCCCTCCATGCGAGCCACGAGCGCCGGCCCTCCTGGTGTCCTCGTCTTCACTGAAGTGGCCCAGGATGGAGGCTGCGGCTTGTGCTCTTCCACCGGATCCATCAACCAATGCTACCTCAACAGGTAAGCCCCTTTTCTCTCTGGCCCCCCTCCTCTCTTCACCCTCAATCTGAGAGACAAGCTAAGCTAACCAACCCCGAAAAAAAAAAACAGCCCCTTCGAAACCGCCTTCGTGGCCTCGATCACGCAGTGCCAGCCGCCGCACAAGCGCGGGCTCGACCGCCGCGAAAAGGTCGAGACGCTCGAGCGCTACAGCGAGTGCAACTCCACCGTCCCCCTCGACACCGCCAGCCTCAACGGCTACGACTACGACCTCACCGGCGACGACCGCCTCGAGATCATGCACGACATCCTCAACATGGACGCCCCCGACTTCGAGAAGAAGTGGGAGGGCTCGCGCAAGGGGGCTGTTTCTGCCGGCACGTCGACTACCAAGGAATAGAATTGAATTCCCGGGAATGAAACCAAAAAAAAAAAAAGCTAAGAGGTTAGTGGTATAGCAGCTACGGTGATTAGTGAGCTTACGCTAACAGACATGCTTTGCAGTTCACGAATAGTAGATTCTTAGTTTACACAGCAACGAGGTGATGGGTGGATGGATGGATGGATGAGGAAAATGTGGCGGTGGCTTTGTGTTTGTTCAGTTAAATATTATACCATACTATACTATTAGTTCAAGTTAGTTATGTAGGCTCACAGCCTTACTAAGGTCGGTCGTTTCCAGATTTTAGACGGAGATGTATTATGTATTATTCGATGTAGACGATTGACGGAGTTACTCGAATCAATAAAAAAAAAACTACATCGCCCGACGTTGAATCCAATGTTGTATTTTTTTTTTCAATGTGCAGAAATCCACGTGCATAATACAGTATGCACCTATGCCTGTTTTTGCCTTCTCGCTTTTTTTCATTGGTCGATTAATCATTAAATTCTTCATGCATGGTACCTAGTAGTTAACTAATTACAGGGTTATGTAATGATGGATGCCTGGAGATATAAATAACGGCACTAGCAGCTTCACTAAACTCTTAGTTGACATCACGGGTGCCGTAGCACGTGGCGATGCCGGGCTTAGTTATTCCTCAAGTGTATTTTATTTACTATGGCAGGGGATCGATCGGGAACGTCAAGCCACATGATTTTTTTTTTAAAAGGTTGCCTAATGTTATGTAAATATAAATACAAACCTGGTGATATGACGTCGCTGCTTACCTAGTAATAATCTAATCTAGGTTACTGACTTACCCAATATCAATATAATATCATCCCTAGCTCTTCTTCCCATTTGCTTTTATTGCCATTGTTTAATTTAACCCCCAATTTCCACAATCCTATCTACATACCTAGTGCCTAACCCACTCTCAGCCATGGACACCACCGCAAACACCACCACCACCACACCCAAACCCGCGGGCTCCATCCCCTCCGCCGCGCCGAACAACCTGGCGTACACCGACGACAAGGGCGTCGAGCACAGCATCTACCTCCCGCAGGGCACCATGCAGACGGCCTGGGACCACCTGCAGAACAAGCGCTGGGACGAGCTGGCGAAGTATGCGCCGTATAGTAAGTTGTGTCTTTTTCTTCCGTGTAGCTTTTTGTTGTTACTGTTTGTTTATGTTCATGTATCATGGTTCTAATGCCACGGCCCTTATCTAGCAAACCAGGGGTACTCCGAGGGCGACTTTAAGAAAGGGGAGTAGGGAGGAAGTCGAGTACTTGCTGTCTAGATCTGGGGGGCTACCTAGGTCTTGATCAGTCTGAGGATTTAGCGTAAGCGAGGGCATTTACCTACTTTCGCTGTCGGGGCTGTGGTTTTCGTGGGCTTCTGAGACTTGCCAGATACCGCAGATAGTAATAGTTGGTTGCCCTGCTATGTATCAACATGTCTGACGGGATAGCTGCTTAAACTGTGCTTGAGGGGCTCAAGTTAATGTTTCTTATCGTATTCATCCAACCAGTTCGGATATCTTTCAAATTTTACTGTCCGTTCAACTCGTACCTCCTCACACCATACAGCATCCTTCGTCCGGACTACCCGTAGAACTACTTGTAACTGTAACTGTAACTGTAAGAGCAAAGGTGGCCACCTAAGTGCCAACCCAACTAACTGCTCCTAAAACACACCCGAACACGAAGATAAAATCCTAGCCTAGTAGGTACTACTTACTAGTGTATGCACCTAGGTAAAACGGTCAAGGACTACACAATACCTCCCTACCTTACATCCAACGGCTAAGTTAGGCAAGTTAGGATTTGAGTCCATTGTCACCTCCCAGAATGTATATATGTTTCTATACGTCAATCTAATGTTAGATTCACACATACGTATTTTGATATCCACACAAGCATAGTTACCTAGTAAGTAAAGAATCTAGGTTAGATAATCTCTAGGTATTCCATCCATGGATATGCCGACTTTCCACCGTTGGGCATTTCCCCCTGTCCATCTAGATACCTCCTACCTACGTACCTACTAATTGCCTACTTTCCTCTTTCCCTAGGTACCTAGCTATAAGGCAGGTAAGTACATAACCTATGTAGTAGGTTCCTACATATCCAGCAACGAGGCCAGTAACTACCTACCACGGACTTCACGTATATATATACATGCCCAGGCGTAACTACATACCATTGAACCTTAGAACCCCGCCTATCAAAGTGACCTACCAGCCGACCGGAACTTTTAGTTACTTACCTAGGTAGGTAGTAACTTGGCTTCTTGCATACATATGTACCTGATAGATATTTATATATACCTAGGTACGAACACGTACTAGTTAGGTAGCTTCATGATGATATGCATCGAGGTAATCCTATATATATATATCCCACACCAAGCCTCCACCTTACAGTACATCCTCCATCTTGCATCCTACATCTCGCATAATACCCCATCATACCCCGTCTTACCCGACACCGTCTCATCCTGCCCCGTATTACTTTACATACCCCGTCCCATCCTACTCGATCCCGCCCCTACGTCATTGAATCCCATCCGATCCTCTGTCATGTCCCATCCTGCCATATCCCATTCTATCCTATCCTATCATATGATATCATCGTCACTTTCATCGTCATCATCCACCTAGAAACACACAAGGCATGAACTCACAAATCGCTTTTAGTTACCAATACCCAAACCTCCATAGTAGTAGTAGCTTAGTTCCTACGTGTAGTGCCCAAGATACCTCGTGCCTGACCTAGTTAGTATATGGCCTAGTACCTCGTGCCTAGCCTCGTGCCTAGATCCTACATATCCAGTAGCTCGTACCTAACCAAGCGCCTAGCCAAGCACCCAGCTTTCCCCGATCCCCAATCCTCTAGGTAATTGTCTAATAAGTAGGAAACTGATTCAAGATATTCCACAACGTATCATTCCCAAACTCGCCACCAAACTGCCAAGCCATCGGCTGCTGTTCCTCCCCTTCCCCTCCACCTCCCACAAGCCCCGCCATCCCCGTCCCCGCAAGGCCTCCCTCCATCGTATTCACTGTAGCCGTAGTAGCACCCGTAAAAGCATCCCCCCACGTCGTCGTGGGGATGGGATCCCCAACCCCACCAACACCATTAGTCGGTACGGCGGTCAACTCGTTATACGCGATGTCGCCCATGGGGAAGATGGGCATGATGGAGCTGAGGTCGAAGTCCGTGGGCAGGGACCAATCCGTGCCGGCGAACATATTGCTGGTATCCGCCCCTGAAGCGGGGGTTAGCCCCGTACTTCCGCCTTGATGATCCTCCGCCGTCGTTGGTAGATTATTCGTGGACGAGTTACCCCCCATATTCGATACACCACCCCCTAAATTCTGCGAAGTCTCCGAAACCACCGAAACAGAAACCGAATTCGGTGTCTGCATATCCGAAGCCGAAGCAGCGCTTCCCGTAGTCGCCGAGCCACCCACCACCTCGCAATCTCCGCCTCCTTTCCCCATCAAGAAACCACACCCCACGGCCTTCTTAAAGCGGACATAAATCGCATGCAGCACGCCCAGCGCCGCCTGCGCGAGCCTATTCCTCTTCGCCATCGTCTCGAAGCGCTCGATCGCCCACTCGAAGTGCTGGCGCACCTTTGGCAACAGCTCGACGTGTTCTTTGGGGAACAGGATGTAGATGGAGGCGATCATGATGATGGCGTCGAAGGTGCCGAAGAACAACGAAAAAGTCTTGTGCTGCTGGGGCTTCAGCATGGCGAAGTAGAGCCGCTGCGCCTCGAGCATGTCTAGGCTGGCCTTGAGCGCTTCGTTGCGGCTGGCGGGGCGCGTGAAGATGTAGGGGCGGTGGAGGGCCATGAAGTTGAAGGCCATGATTTGCAGCAGGGCGGGGCGTGCGTAGGGCAGCCACCAGCACTCGGGGAGGTTGTCGAACCGCGTGTCCGGGTTCTCTAGACGGAAGGGGGGAGGAGTCCGAGCCTGAAGATCTAGCAAGTCTTGATGTATTTTCCCCACCTTCGAGAAGTCTTTGGGGAAGGGCCCTTCTTTTTCTAGATCAAGTATATCGCGCAGTGGGCTCATGGATTCCCAGGCCCAGATAGCTCGCGTCAAGGGAGTTGGGGGATCATCCTCGCCGCGCGGCACTATAGGCGACTTCCTCCTATCTTTGGGGATGACGGAGTCGACGGGGAGGCTTCGGTTCATCAGCCGATGGTCCACGCTAGTAGGTCTGCCCAGCACGGCACCCGTGTGTAGATCCCAACCGAGGAGGTTCATCCAGGCTCGCCGTCGCCCCTGAGCTACCCAAATTTTCTCTAGATTATCTTCCATCGAATCATCTAAGCTTATTTGAGGGTCCATCTGGTCACGATGCAAACCTATCTCTTGCGCATCTCGAATACTGGTGCCCACTTGATGCCACTATTACCTAGATCAGAATACTGAGATATTGATTTATCAAGAATTAGGAGAGCAATGACTTACAGCCTCTGTAACCATACCGGTATATTTGAGGAAAGCGGCCCTTACCCAGCCAGCCAATACGGTAATGATAGACATTTGGCGTTTGCCTAAAAGTGATAATATATTGATACCAGATTCACTATACTCAAGTGCTAGGTCGTCGAACGTCATATTACTGGTATACTTCAACGGCTCAAACATCTCCTCATACTCCTCTGGTAGATATAGTAGAGCTGAGGCCAATAGTTGGAACAGTAAAGCTGGAAACGCCCTTAACATGGGATCTAGAGCTTGCGGTCCGGAGTTGGATAATATGTTGAACGGCATGGTGTACCATTTTTCCATCAGTCCTCGAAATACGGGCTCGTCGATGGTAAAGTACTGCCAGTTCACATCCCGAAAGTAAATGTCGGCTAGCTTGTCCACGTAGGTGCGGGCAGGCAATAGTCGGACCAAGGTCTTGTATCGCTCGCGTATGCCCACGTTATCCCCCTCAAAGCTCTCCGATGGCATTTTTGCCAAAAACTCCCCATCCCCTTCGATCTTGCGCAATATCCCCAGCGTCGAGACTCCATTAGCGGAGTAACCAAAGTCGGCCGTCTTGATAGGTATGGTCTCTATGGTTTCGGGGGTGCGGTCGTTGCCACTCTGGGAGGAGGTTTTTCGATCGGGCTTGGCGAGCGGCGTTCCTGTCTCATATCGACATGCCGTTTCCTTATTCCGCGACACACAATTTGTACATGGCATCTTCCGGTCGCACTAAGGGAACGCATTAGCATACACGGCATATGCTAGATTGACTACAAAGGTCTTGAGCTCTGGCACCTTCTGTTTCCGCCTATGACATTCGGTACAGCTTATAACAGTCCTTCTACGTTTGCGCGGTGGTGCTTTTTCGCCAACATCGTGATCTGTCCCATCGTTCGTGTGGACAGTATTGGTAACTGGGTCGGTATCAGACATGGGGGCGCGAAGAGTGGGTGGACTCGTTCGGGTTCAAGGTTTGGTATAATCGGTTGGGTCGCGTATTCCAATATGATTTAGATTTAAATTTTAAATGAACTGAGATTAGTTGGAATGGTCTGGGTGGTTGTGATATTGTGAATTATTAAGAAGTTTCGATGCTAAGGTAATCCAAATGATCTTGTCTTACAATAAAATTGATCTTTAACAATATGAAGATGGCTGCTTCCTCTTGGGGAAGTAATACATGTATAATCACCCCTGTCCTGTCAAAGATCACCCTGGTATTATGTTGTAGGCAGTTACCACCCAGATCACAACGGTGTAGACATACATATTACATACTACATGTTCCAAGTTTGGGTATGTTACATACGCCTCTTGCTTGTTGTCTCTTTCCCAGGAAGAACAGTGGGAACATCCTTTCTACATCTAAATTTCCCCCGCTAAAACCGTTGTTCCCGATGCTGACATAATCATACAGCCCATAAGTACCTACGTACCTATATAACATTGAACCATGATGTATGCAGTACTAGGTACTAGGTAGTATACTACTAACAATCCTAGGTCAAGGTACATAGGTTGCTATACAATATCAAGAACTGAACGCATTGCAAATCATGTTAATATGACGTTAATTATATCAGGACCTTTCCCTTTTTATTGCTCGTATTGCTGGCCAGAAGTTCCCTAATCACATAGTCACGACTATCTTACTACAAAGCCAAAAAGAACTCCAGGCTCCGGGATGAAATGGTCATCCGTGTTTGATGTTGTAGATCCGCTTGGTGTAATACGCCTGTATAGTAGTAGTAGGAGAGACCCTCTTCATATTTCTTGCCCTGTCCGTTGGAGGTATGCTTTCCACGCTTTCCTACGATATCTCTCTGCTTCCACCGGCGGTGATGCTGCCTTGAGAATGCCTCGTCCAACAATGATGATATCGCTACCGCATAGCCCCACCAGTTTCGCAGGCGTGTTATACTGCTGGCCAAGGCCGTCACCCTCCACTTCGCCATCCTCCTCGCCCTCTCCATCAGGGGGCAATTGGCAGCCCGGTGTCATCGAGATGAAGCTATCGTCGGGTTGACTGTTGAGCGATTCCTGAGATATGAAGCCCATCACGAAGTCCTTGTGCTCTCTGGCCGCCTCGACACAGGCGTCCGTATATTCCTTGGTCATGAAATTTCCCTCGCTCGACATCTGCGCCAAGATCAGCAGCCCCCTGTCCCATGGAGGCTCCTCGATGCCAGCGTACAAGAGCTCGTCGCCTTCGTTTATGGTACCGGAAAAGCGAGGCGAGTCGACAGGTTCGAAAGATTGCGTGAGGGTGGTGATGGAGACGATGCTACCTTTTCTACCGTTGTAATCGGGGCGGAAACCTGACGACGAAGGTCGATCTCTCGGGGCAAGCGAGGAGTTGGAGAAGGGGCCCTCGTCTGATTCCTCGCCATTTTCATCGAATGAGTCTGAAGTGGGAGTGCCGACCGAGACCGACGTTTTCACTTCGTAGTTGACGCGGGAACGCCATCGTTTGGCTGACTCGTGGAGTGCGCTTACCGCTGCCTTGCCAGGTACCATGTTGACATTTACAATGTGTGCCCAGTCAATAATACGAGCGCTGCCGGCGGTGTACTGAAGTTGGACTGTACTTCCAATATCACCAAATTTTCTGTCTTCGAATATGAGGAAACCGTGCTTCCGTGCGAGGACTCCCAACTTGGCACCGGTGCCAGTCTGTGGATGAAAATCCCATCCGGCGACAAGATCGTGGTGTGTCTTGAGAACAACGATGGATGGTCCCATCCTGTCGGCCAAAGTAACGAGTTCGCGGGCAGAGGTAACGTCGGCACTTAAGCACAAATTCGACTTCTTCAGGTCCATGAGCCGGAGAAGGTAATTGGCTAACGGATGAGAGGTATTCCTGGCCCTTTCGGCGAAGCTCGCCTTAAAGGCCGGGTGGTGCTCCCGAGCTGAGCACATGGCAGATCAATTGTTCGTGGTGATTGGTGATGGATGATAGTTGGGTGGTGAATTTTTTCTTTACTTTGAAGATCCGTTCTTCTTTCTTTCTTTCCTTGTTTGCTCGCTTGTTTCGATTTTCTCCTTTTACGAGTGAGGGATGGGATTTTTTAAAATGGCCCAGGGAATGCGATCGCAAATAATTGTGGGTTTGTAAAGTTCCGACGAACACGTTGACCTGGTTAGGCTCTGCCGACAGAAGGGTCTAGGTATCGGGGGCGATCGGCGGTTGGGCGAGAACCCTGGGTATAGTGGAGCTAGATGATGTCAATTTAGTTAGGGGGGAGGAGATTATTATGTAGGGCAGGGTAGGGCATGTATGTAGGTATGTATGTACATTATAGGGTAGTAGGCAGTACACATGTAAGTAGGTAGTATGTAGTATGTAGGCAGATCTAGAGCTATGTACTAGGTCAGGTATGCAGGAGGTATGTAGGTAGGTAGGTAGGTAGGCTGGCTGGCTGGCTGGCTGTCTGGCTGGCTGGTAGGTAGGTAGTAGGGTAGGTATTTAAAAGGGATTTAAAAGGGATGTAGGTAACTATATCCAGACTGTCCAGCTTGTCTGTCATGAGATAAGAAAGAAACTAAAATAGTAAAAACTTTGTAGATTGACGGGTTCCTGATTCAGATAATTCTAAATCTAAATTCCCTTCATATCCCTGTATAATGGTACGTATGTAGATGTAGATATTGAAGGCAATGATGGGCGACTGGAGCGAGAAGGCAAAGCAATGGAATATTTATCGAGAAGAAACCGGACATACCTAAAGGCTGAGAGGAGAGAGACGAGACGGCAAGACCGTCCTCTAATGCTACTAAACTAGGTAGTACTAGGTAGTAGTAGTCTTATGTAGTGTTAGCAGTAGGTAGGACCTGGTAGGTATGCAGTATGTAGTACATGTAATACTGTAATAGCAGTAGCCAGTAGTAGTTGGTGGCAGTACTAGGCAAGTTAGGGTTGGCAGGTAACTCGGTAGTAGGCACTCCAGATGTCGGTAGACCCGGTAGACCGCCCTCGTACTTTTATTTAAGAGGCTGACCGACAATCTTGTGCATATGCCGTTCTCCTCTCAGGCCTTAAGAAAACGTAGGGGCTTCGGGCCTATTTGTTCTCTTTGGTGCGAGTGTTTGCTAAGAGAAACGGGAAAAACGAGAGTATGCGGGTTCGGGTCCGAACCTTGGAATTTGATCAAGATCGGAAGACAAGTGTTCGTGAATTACCAACCGCAGATTTCAATCAGAAAAATCCCCAGTTAAAGAAGGGAGATATCGATCAGATTGGGCGAAAGACTGGATGCGGGAGTGGGAAATTGAAAAGCAACGAGTAAGAATGTATAAGATGAGACGCCGTTGGTGATTTGTATTATGTAGATGGGGTGTTCAGGTCTACATATGTACTACATGTAGGTAGATACATGTATGGAACTTGTCAACGGCTGACCGCACGGACTAGATAAATGAAGACGAATATACCTAGGTTTAACCTGGTATTACATATGGATAGTTGACTGTTCGTCTGGTGGGTTTGCTTTACTGATTCCTTGTCTGAACAACAATATTGAACCTGGGAAGACCTTTTTAGTTCAACATTGAAGGCGGTGGAGAGAGGGAATGTGAGAGGGGGGAGAACATACTAGCTATACTAATCACAGTCTACATAAGTAGACAGTCTTATGTAGACAGTAGAACGGATTGATTTGATCGGTCGAGTTGTAACGAATATTGATTGGAGAAACATTGAATAGGCGAATGATCAATTGTCCGTTCGGTCAAGTACTTGAGGCTAGCAGTACTGCCAGTAGGTACATCAAAGACATACTAACCTACTATGTATCCAATGTATTGTATTGTACCTACATAACAGCCTACAGCCTACCAGGTTTTTATCCTACATACCTAATTATTCGTACTTACTTCCAAGGTTGATAATGTAAGGATTTCTTTCTTTTCTTCAGGTTTTTCCTTTCCTTTCTTTTCTTTTCAAAGGTCCGAGGATGAGACTCGGTGGCTTTTAAATGGGTTACAGCGCAGACCCAGCTTCCACTTCCTAGCACTATTCATGTGCTGCTATTGGTGTCTTTGGCGTTGGCAACTTGAATGTCCCCGCGTAGGGGCGGGCCTTAAAAGTAAAAGTACCCTGTACACTATTTAGGGCCTGTGTCTCCATGAGTCCATGGAATCATGGATATTGTACTGCGTCTACCAGGTAGCGCACAGTAGGATTGCATGTACTAGTGAGAATAGGGGCGTTCTTAACAAAAAAAAAGTGCCCGCCGTTCCAGGTACTAGAAACAACGTACATTGGCCACGGATCACAGCGCCAAGAACTTTGAGCATGTAGTACAAAAATATGTTGCATACAATCATGTACTATGCCGTACGTAGTTGGTACTAGGCACAGTTAGCAGTTCGTGGGTACGTAAGCTACTAATGTTAATATGCTATGTATGTATAACAGCCTGACCTGGTAACCTACCTGCCTACCTACCTACTAACTAGATAGACTTGGACTTCTTTCAATAGACAGTATCAATATTGAACCATCTCCATGTCTTGTCGATATGTAAAGACATCCGTACCTAAAGTATGTACAGACATCAATGCGTACACCAGCCTGCGATGGAGTGGTACTACAGGGTGCAATACACGTAGGTGGCGCAAAAACTGTGTTCAGCCAATCCGTAGGGCCAAGTTTTACATGCTTTACTGTTTGATAGCATCCTTCTTCCTCGAGACACGAATTCGAGGGAATCCTTTCTTTTTGTTTCCACTGGCAGCGGGTTCAAAAGAACAAACCCGAATGGAGTTGATGGATGGCCTGACTTCGCAGAGGACTAGGATAAGCCTCTTTCCCACACACCGCACAAATGCATGAAGAGTTGTATGGTCCCAAGCGTTGAGTTGACGATCCTATGCAGTATAGTGCATAGTGTTATTGATACTATGAGCACTATTAGTATAGGCTATCTCCAAAACATCATATATCATACCAATATACGACATACTGGGTATGAATGTCCCTAGTAGGTACTGCCTCTAAAGGTAGTGTGAGAAATGCATAGCTAGGAATGGTATAGTTGTTCCTAATCTGGGTATATGGAAAAGGCCTAAGCCGGATCTCCTAGCCTCGTCCTGTTGGAAGGGATACTACCCAAGAACGCCTTTTTCGGCAGAAGGTATCATCGACAGGGTCCTGTACTATGTAGGTGTGTGTCTTTTTTCCGCCGTACTATGTACTACGTAAGTAGGGAGCTGGAGAAGATGGAGAAGATCCAGCCGGACGACGTCACATGTGGGATGTGTTGCAATGGATCTCGATGCGTAACACATTCGGTCTGAGAAGAGCAATTGGCCTCATAGGAGGGTTTAGTCAGATACGACGACACCAACACAACACCGCACAATCACTACGACCATACTCTTTCAGGCTTATTGTGTAAGAAAAAGGGGAGGGAAGGGGGATGGGAGGAGGAGGTGAATTCAATTTTTAACCATCTTCCATGTTCCCTCATGTATGCTTATCACTTATCGAAATAGATAGTAAGACTGACGATAGTACCCCGCGGCTTGATAACGCAGGGCGTTTAGCTATCGTCTATCGTCTATCGTCTATCGTCATCGTACAAGATAGCTAGGACAAGTAGGTATGAGTGGCAGGTGGCAGAAAGCAACGCAACATAACACCTGTGATCCGGCCTACCTGTACATGTTCAGGATTACAAATTGCGACAGCGAACACAACATATGCACCAAATAAATTTAGAGAAATAAATTTAGAAAAATAAAGATATGCATTTAATTTGTATATAGTATTAGCTTATTAAACTTTGTATACTTCGTACAGATAAAAGTCATACTGCAGCTGTAGCTGTAGATAACTAGAGCCTTATCAAAGTTATCATAGCTGATAGCTTGAACTATAAAGAAATTGTGGGGTCCACATCTAATCAGTCAGTAGGCAGTACTAGGCACGGGTAGTACCTAGCATAGCACAGCCCTGGAGCTCTTATCCCTCTAACCTAATCAATTTCACCATCATCTGAAATCCTTGGCAACTGGCAACTTTTCTTTTTCCACTTTCACTTTCTTCCGTCGATGCCGACCAACCCGAAAGAAGGGCATCTCTTATCTTACATCTTACATACACACAGTACAACTTACAACTAACCTACTTCTTTATTCTTTTTATCATCAATACCAATACGCGATCGCATCCCTTCGTTAAGCTGATGATTATTATATTTGTATCATCACATTATCACCACTAGGCACTACATACCTAGGTACCTACCTAGGTAGCACATCACACCAACACCACACCATACCACATCATACAGCCACAACCGTATAATTACCACACCGGCGCAACGAAGCTGAAAGCGCCATCTTTCAAGCATCTTTTCAGCTTCCCCTACCTACCCCTATCACCTACAGCTACATTTTTATATTCCTCCACCTCCGCGCCCGTCGCTACGCTTTAAGGGTGAAACCATCATGTCTGAAAGGAGAACCAGACGGCAGGCCGCGTTGGCAGCTGCAGCTACAGCTACAGCTACCGCAGACGATACTCTTACCACACCCCATAAAGATGCGCCCACCTTAAACGGTGATAGCAGCGACATCGGCAATGGCCAAGCTGTGATGGCATCGAAATCTAAACCCAAGAACTCTCTTCCTGAGCCCGAGCACGAGAACATATTTGGCTTCTGGCCTAACATTATAGGTACCCACCCTTTTCCTCGACGTCCCTCTACGTCACTCTGTCTCATTGCGTCTCCTCTATCTTAATCTCGATATACGTGACCCAGACTAACATAGACAACCAATCATAGGTTACTTTCGCATTGTCTTGGCCATCGCGTCCCTTTACTACATGCCCCTACACCCTCGAACCTGTTCCATTCTCTATAGCATCTCATGCCTTCTCGATGCCCTTGATGGCTATGCAGCGCGCTACTTCGAACAGTCCACCAAATTCGGCGCTGTTTTGGACATGGTAACCGACCGATGCACCACCTCCTGTCTACTCGTATTTCTATCCTCGGCCTTTCCACGATGGGCCATTATCTTCCAGGGCTTGATCTCTGTCGACTTCGCCAGCCATTACATGCATATGTATGCGACATTAACTATGGCCGGGACGGATACCAGCCACAAGAATGTTGATAAGTCTCGGAGTTGGCTATTGAATATATACTACACCAACAAGGTCAGTTTATTGTCTAGATATAAAGCTCTCTTCCATTATTCTAACCAACTATTTTATCTAGACCGTTCTCTTCTTGTGCTGTACCCTGAACGAACTTTTCTTCATCGCCTTGTACCTTCTCTCATTCTCCTCGCCGCTCTTATCGCCGCAACTACTCGAACCCCTCGGCGAGTCCAAAGCTGCTGCTATCCAAACTGGCGCGCAGGTTAACAGTTCGGTGCTCCACCAGCTATTCACCAACCCTTACAGCGCTGGTGCCCTAGAGATGGCTCGCGCAAACAAGATGGACTCGACTTTCCCTTGGATTCTTGCCGGGATTAGTGCCCCTATCATGGCGCTTAAACAGTTCCTTAACGTTCTTCAACTAGTCAAGGCGAGCAGGTGGTTGGCAGAAGGTGACGTAAGGGCACGAAGAGAGGCCGGGCTACCGAGAAAGAAGGCCGAGAAGAGTGCCTAGAAAGCGGCACCACATACAAATCGGATACGGGGCATGGTGGAGTTTGGAAAGTTGGGGGCATGACCAGAAAGATGGTCGGGGCCAGGTCGAGTCTGGAGATATCGGAACTGAGGAGGGTTTTGGTCTGTACGAAAGAAGTATTGTTTCATCGAATAAGCACTTAGGCCTTAGGTTTGGCCAGGAAGGTCCGTAATTACACGGCTTGCATGGGATCGGGGCATGGAATGCATAGAAAGGCGGTTTTTTGACTCTACAAAGTGTGTGGCCTTCTTTATCTCCAATATGGAGCAGAGGGCCCAAGAACAGGGTCAAGTAATGAACATATCAACAGAGAGAGCCTTGAAGGCTTCGGCTGCGTTTTTTGTACATATTGATGTAAATCCTAATACGGGAGAGATTTTTGTCAAAACTCACGCGTATGGGTAGGTTACTGTACTTAGGTATTAGGTACCATGGTCTGGAAAGAAATACAAAAAAAGCATAAGAAAATATGACAAATCGATCATTGTGAATTATTTGATATTATAGGTTCTAGTTGCCCTGTCTAATAGGCAGGTATCTACTCGCTCAAGGCTGTTGATGCTAGGTATGCTATTCTGACTATCTTGATGCGAGCACGATGAAAAGGAGGTAGTCACCCTATTGTGAGCGTAATAGGAGAGAGGAGAGGGAATCTTCCTAGGTAGATGTTGTCACTCGTAACACGATCTCATCAAGCATCGATATTTAACCCTACGCAGGTAGAAATATAGGTACCTACTAATATAGGTGCCAGTATAGGTGCCAATATACCTAGGTACCTATTCATCTAGGTTAAGAACAACTCTATCTACCTAGGTTAGCCAGGAATAACTACGTTCATCAAGGAATGCATCCATGCACATAAGATCGATAGAAACTGAGAGAGAGATTATTCCAACTTGAAGAATTACTCTTCGTCTGGTAACAGCTTCTTCTCAATTTCTATCGATCGTATGCATGGATTCGTGGGATGAAAGTTTAGAATGATTCTCGCGATAGGGGGGGAGGGGGGTCCCGCTACTAAGACGGTCTCAGTGTGTGTCACCCGTCCAAACTCCGGTACCACCCACCTACCTACAGACGTATGTAACTCGGGCCAAGTATACTATAAAAAAACGCACTTAATTACCTGGTCGGCGTCGGACTTATGGACTTAGGGGCTCGGGATAGGAGCTAAGGTTGTGGTTGCTGAGTATACTGCTGCTGCTGCTGCTGTGGAAGGTGAGGATTAAGTCGCACAGATCGTACAGGTCAGATTGATTGAGTGATGTAGTGGCTTTGTGTACGCTGTTCTACAGTAGGTGGTTGGATGGTTAGATGGCATTGGATGGTTGGTGTACGAGGGGTGGAAAGGAGAATTGGTATCCTTAGAAGCAAGTAAGAAGGTTGTTGCGGGAGTAGGTCGGTGGGTGACTAGAGAGTAAGTAGGTAGGTAGGTAGGTAGGTAGGTAGGTACCTGTGTAGGCGTGAGTTGATTTACAAGAGCACAAGATATACTGACGTGCAGTATATTGAAGTAAGTAAGAATACCTATCATCGTTAATATGCTAACCCACCTACTAGATCTGGACTATACCACACCACACCACAGAGGCAGCAGTACCACCACCACCAGCATACCCAACACCAAGCCCCCCCTTTCCTCTCAAGCACCCCCACCCCCCACCGACGTCAACCTAACCAACAACGGCGGCTTATGCCACGCGATATAATTCCTCTGCCCATCCAACCACCGCGCACTCTCCTCCACGAGCTCGATATCAAAGTGCCACAGCAGCTTCGCCAGAATAACCCTCGTCTCCATGCGCCCCATCGTAAGCCCAATACAGTTCAGCGGGCCCGAGCTGAACGGCTGAAACAAGTCCCTCGCGTCGTCGGCGTACCTCTCATCGCCGCCCAGCCAGCGCTCGGGGCGGAACTCCTTGGCGTCCCGGAAGTACCGCTCCCACCGCCCGATCGCGTGGTTGTGGAGCCCGACCATCGCGCCCTCGGGGACGAAGTACCCGTCGACGGTGAAGCCGCCGGCGGGCGCGTGGCGCGGGTTGAACGACGTCGCGACGGGCGGCCACAGGCGCATGGTCTCGTCGAGGGCGGCGAGGAGGTGCGGGAGCTGGGCGACGGAGGCGGCGGTGATGTCTGCGTCCTCGGCGAACGCGGCCCTGACTTCGCGCCTGACGCTCGCCATCGCCGCGGGGTGCGTGAGCAGGAGGAACAGCGCGGTGGCCGACACCGTCGCGACGGTCTCGGAGCCCGCCATGACGAGCATCTGCGCGTTCGCGTACATCTGCTCCCGCGTCAGCACCTCGCCCTCCTTGCTCGAGCCCGTGATGAACGACATGTAGTCCGGGTGCTCCGTCCGCCCCTTCGCCATGCGCCGGTCGACGAGGTCGAGCGTCGTCTTGAGGTGGTAGTCGGTGGCGGCGGCGTAGCCGCTGCTGTAGCTCCACTTCACGTGCTGCCAGAGCCAGAGGGCGAGGGGCGAGATGTCGTTGAGCGCGTGCATGTACACGCCGCCGGTGAACCAGGTCATGCTGCTGCGTGTCCACGGGTGGTACCGCTCCTGCGATATGCACTGGAACACGTCTTCGCCGAAGACGAGGTCGCCCTGGATGTCGAAGGTCGTCCACATCGTGTATTTCTCTATGTCCACCACCTGCCCACCCGCCGCCGCCGCCCGCAGCTTCTCGATCATGGCGTCGACATACCCCATGACCAACGGCTCCTGCTCGCGCGACGCCTTCTCCGAGAACGCCGGGTTCAGCTGGCGGCGTATGCGCGCGTGGTCCTGGACGCTGGACTGGAACATGCTCATCGCGCTGAAGGTGTCCTTGATCGGCGCCGTCCGCATGTCGCGAGCCAGGGGGCCGCCCTTGCCGTACCGCGGGCCGTAGACGTCTTTGAAGGCCGAGGGGCCGGCGCAGGAGACCTCGTTGGGGCTGACGCGCACGATGGGGCCGTACTGCTCGTGCAGCGCGGCGAAGGTGTAGGGGGAGCGGCCCTGCGCGCGGGACAGGCTCATGGGGAGGCTGGACATGGCGTAGAGCTTGGGGCCGGGTACGGGGGATAGCGGGTGGAAGAAGACATTGTAGATGGCTTTGGTGAGGGCTAACGCGGAGCACTTTGTCTGGAGTTCAGCTGAGGTAGAGGGGGGTGCCTTATAGTGGAGTTAGGCTAGTTCTTACCAATAGAATAGTGAATGTCAGGAGCTCTGTGAAGGTGGTGTTTCTTAGAGGTGATACGAGCTGGAGAAATTCCGTAGACATCTTGCCTTGTTTGATGTCATTAGTAAAGGTTTACCGGTATATTTTATTTATAGGGGGTTTTTAGTTCTGAACATAGTAGGATGGCAAAGTTATAAATATGGATGTATATACACCAGGTACCCTCCCTTATTTATATCCCCCTATTCGAGAGTGGGGTGTCGCTGGCGACATATCAGTCAGCTCAAGACTAGCCACCACCATGATAAGTATGTTTCTATTTACGTGCGGTATACCTAGGCTGCGGTAATGTAAATGGCTTGGCTTATTGATACCTGCAATACGGCACTTGGATGAACTCTGGGAATGGATTATAAATGTCCGAGAAGGTAGCATTGTCACTGCCTAGCAACTTATACACAGCCTAGGCCAAGCTTCCTATCACTGGCCAGTAAGTTTTATATGGACTCTTGGAGATAACGAAACGTCTTGGTGTTCTTTGTGAGGCCAGTCTGGTTGTGACCGAAGGAATGATCTGCTGTAATGCTCATCATCAAGCATTCCACTAACTACAGCGCTTGAAAACAGCATCTCGTTTGCAATTAAAGGAGGCAGGAACAGAGTGTTATCCTTGAGAAACCAGACTAGGTGTGGTGATTCACGGCCCGTTCTAGAACACCGAAGCAAACATAGAAACAAGCTCAAGAGACAAGTGTGAGAGAGGTAGGAGAGAAAAGAATGCCGGCAGTTCTTCAAGATAACGTCAAAAGTGTAAGCGATCGGTAGCCGGGCCGGGCCGTGATCAATGCAATATCCGGTAAGGAGGAACGTTTCTCCACAAAAAAGGTCCGGACAGAAGTACTCATGTACCTACAGATCTGGCCAATGAAGGGCTTGGTGGGGCTGACCCCATTATCGGGGTCTTGGACATCTGGAAGGAAGCTCAATCGCATGTATGTACCCCACATTACACAGTCAAAACTTGAACTCAACTATGTACCTAAGGTTAGGTAAGCTAGGTTAACCTAGTAGGTTACAAACTTCAGTCCATACAATAATTCTACACACCTACATGTAACTACATGCTTCATACAACATTGAAGTAATAGCACCCCATGTAGGTACACCACAAACCATCACCACCACCACAACAACTACAAAGCCAATACACACCAACCACCCAACATGTCCCACGCACGAATAGAAGAAGTCTCCGACAGCGACCTGTCCGACCCCAGCGAGGGCGACATCGACGACTTCGCCGAAACCGACATCCTGCGCCAAAAGCCCGTCTCCCAACCCGCCCCCTTCCGCGCACCACCAACAGCAGCCGCCTCATCCCCCCCATCAATGCAGCACCCCTCAGCCCAACAAATCCAAGCCAACGACATAAAAGACTACCAGATGCTGTACCCGCTGTACTTCGACCAGACCCGCTCGCGCGCCCAAGGCCGCCGCGTCCCCAGATCCCTCGCCGTCCCCAACCCCCTCGCGCGCGAGATCGCCGCCGCCTGCGCCGTGCTGCGCCTGTCGCCCGTCTTCGAGGCCCACCGCGTGCACCCCAAGGACTGGGCGAACCCGGGCCGCGTGCGCGTCAAGCTCTCCAAGGCCGCCGACGTGAAGAACAAGCACCACCTGTACATCCTCGTCGCGCAGCACCTCCAGGCGCACCCGACGACCGACCACAGCGACGCCCTGCGGCGCGTGCGCGTCCCGGGGCTTAACACGCCCGGCGACGACGAGGCGTGGCCCCGTCCCGCGGTGCCGCGCGGCTGGAAGATGGGAGAGCTGTTGCCCGCGTATAGTGCGGCGATGACGGGGGGCGGGGTGAGTGAGAATGCGTTTAAGGATATGATGCGGGAGATGCAGGGGGGTGCCGGTGGTGTTGGTGGGCCGGGGGGTGCGGGGGATATGATGAGTATGCTTAGCCAAGGGTTAGGTGGTGGTATGGGAGGTGGGCCGGGTGAGAGTAGTGGTGGAGGGGGGGGAGGAGGTAGTGGTGGTGGGAAGAAGGCGAAGAAGGGGAAGGGGAAGGCGTGATGTGGGGAGAGAAATAATTAAAGCCTGTTCCCTAGTATCTACTCTTGCCTAGAGTAGGTGAGCTTAGAATGGGCTCTGTTGGAGAGATGGTAGAAAATTAGGTACCTACCAATCTATCCCCCGTCTAGACCATATCATTAAGATAGAGAAAAATGGGGATCATAGTAAGATACATGAGTTCTCGCCTATTAAATATCATACCATGGCGTATTCTACATCTTGCAGCATCCATCCCTATAGCACACACCACACAGACACAAATCCCCAAGGTATCAGAATAATGATAATGATACAAATGTTAATACTACTGTACGGTACTGTACGGTACTGTCCTACACGATAACGTTAAAAGGGGGTATCTATCTCTTCATCACACCAACGTCAACGTCAACACATCAACATCACAACACACACCACCCCATCTCCCCTCTCCTCTCGTTTTCCACTCGCTTGTTTGCTTGCTTGCTAACCACGCGAGTCAGAGTCTCCAATTCAACCAAGAGGCGTAGGTAGAAAATATTATCATCGTCACCACCCTCTCTTTGCCCTTTTTGAGTAACTGTACAATCAATATCTTTTCTTCTTTTCTTTCCAAACTACTAGGTACTACACAGCCATGGCGAGTCTCCCCTGTAGCCCCTCCCACTCCCTGGACCCCACAATCTGCACCTGTCTTCCGCCTTCCCCGGCAATGGCTTTGCCTTGCTCGTCCGGTAGCCGAATCCTTAGCCGCGCCGCCGCCCGCCGCATCACCATGCTCTTCTCGTGCTCGGCGTCTCCGTGTCTCTTGCGTCCTTGCTCGGCGCTTAGCACGAGTCTGGTCTTCTGCACGACGGCGTCCTGCCAGCTGCGCCACGCGGCGTAGTCCTCGACCTGTTTGGCGGCGTGGTATTGCGGCGTTGCTTTGGCCGGTCGCCACGCCATCTTGTCCTTGGGTAGCGAGCTGAGGTCGTATACCTTGGCAGAGGTTGCCAGGCGCAGGAGCTCGCCGAGGGCGTCCTTGCCTTCGGCTGCCACAAGTGCCTTGCGCTGTTCCATGACCGGAACAGGTTTTCGTAGGGGTTCTGCAAGCCAATCGTACTTGGCCTGTTCCGTGGCGCGTGCGCGACGGTTGTCTTCGCGTAGGTGACGGACTGCTGCTTGCAGACTGGCGATATTGTCCTTGAGGGCGTCCATCTCGCGTGCCGTGGCCACTGCGCGTTCCTGGCCCGCCTTGGCTCCGGCTGCGTTGGTTTCCTCACCAAATGCCCTGCTATCACCGGCAATCTTCTTCCACTTGTCGCGATCGGCCTCGAGGGTCTTTGCCTCGCGGTCTTGCTGCTCAATGTCCTTCTTGAGGCTTGACACAAGTTCCTGTGCGTCAGCAATTTGCACCTCAAGATCTGCGATTCGAGATGTCTTGGCGTTGGCGTCACGCATGCGGGCCTCAAGCGTCTCGATACGGAGAGCAGCTGTGCTGAGATTCTCGTCGCGTAGAGCAATGGTACGACGAGCTTCGTTGTAGTGCTCCTTGAGTAATCGCAGCTCTTCTTCAGCATCAACTGGGATCGTCTTGAGAGCCCTGAGCTCTTGTGCTCGTAGAATCCAAGGTGCCACGCTGCGTTCAAATTCTTGCGTCTGTGACAAATCACCACACACAGCCGTGAGATCAGTGATCTGGCTGGTGAACACGCGGAGTTTAGATAAGTAGGTTGAGAAGAGGTCGGACTCGTCGGCCGAGAAGTCGGTCATCACTGTACGGTGAACCGCATTCTGTACTTCGGGGTACGTGAACGGTTCGGCACGGCCTTCTTCGCTGAGTAGCGCGTGCAAGTCCACACCAATCTTCCGAGACATGTCCGCCAGTTCTTGACAAGCGGCTTCGCACTGCTCAAAAGCCTCCGTGGTATCAGGGGTTAAGGCTAGCGATCTGGCTCGGAGATCTTCTAGAGACCGCACGGCCTTGCTTACAACAACCTTGGCACTGCGGGTCTGAGTGATCACAGCTTCAGATTTCCTAGTAAAGTGTAGAGCATGCTCATCTTCATCGCCGGTAGATGGGATAACTCTCTGCACCATATCCTTAACGACATTGAAAGCGGTAGCAGCGGACTCTAGTTGGCTCTGCATGAGGACGGTCTTCATCTGTATCTCGTCTGCGAAGCTTTCGAGGCCTTGGGAGATGTGGACTTCGCCAAGGTGGGTCATGAGAGCAATGGTGCGCTGTAGTTCACTAGCACATTGCTTCTCCTTTAGTTCATCACGTCGTAATCCATCAATCCAGGCATTGAGGGCTCTCTCCACAGGCTCTAACTCGTACAATGCTCCCTCGAACTTGGCAAATTCTTCTAGTGAGCAATGGCTGATGGCGTTGACGAAGCGATCACACATAGATGACACCCAGGTTAACTTGTCCGAGGCGTCACAGCCAGCAAACAAGTCATCTTCATGGCCAGGGTGTGCTTGTCCATTGATGCGCTCCTTGACAAATCCATGCAACAAATTCGCCTTGAAAGCCAACCGACTGAAGCGTAGCAATGCCAAGACGGAATCTTTATCAACATTGTAGCTCTCAGGTAAGAACAACTTGATGATTTGGAGATGCTGCTGTGCTTCTTGGGCATCCATGCGCTGTAGTTCTAAGTCGATAGTCTTGACTTGTGTCTTCGCGGCCGAGATCTGGAGTTTCTGGTTGAGATCCATCATGGCTCTTGACTTGCTATTAAGCTGCTCAGATTCAGCCTCGTTAACAGCGTGAGATGCACGAATGTCCTCGAGATCGGTCTGCAAGTTTGTAACAAGCTCCCGGAATCGAGACAAGGTGTACTCCATGTCTCCAATAGTTTCGTCCTTCTCGGTAATTCTCTTCGCTTGTTCGGTAATAGCACTGTCCTTGAGATCGAGTTCCTCTTGCATTTCCTTTTCATTCTGGACATGGTTGACTTCGAGCTCGTCGTTGATTTCTTTGAGTGCCTCGAGGTCATCTATCACGGCCTTCAATTCATTAATATGTTCGGACTGTTGTAATTTTTCATAGCTGAGCTGTTCAATCATGGCCTCTGCGCCCAAGTTATCATCGAGCTGTTGTCGGAGGTCTTCAGCACGCGTCTCTGACTCTAACAGCTTCTCCTTGGCGATCTCATATTGTTCCTTGATAGCGTCGTATTCTTCAAGGTCCTTCTCCAACGCCTTGATCTGTGCTCTTGATTCTTCTTCTTGTTGTTGCGTGAGGTCCCGCAGTCTAATTAGTGCTTCGCGTAGCCGCTCATTGTGGCGTTCCATCTGTAGCCACCCTGTGCTCGCTTGTTCTTCAGGAGACATACCCTTGGAGTATTCTGCATTCTCCTCGCGCAAAATCTCGACTTCAAGTTCGAGCTCTTCTGACTTCTGCTTGAGAGCCTCGAGCTCAGCCTTGTAGACTTCAGCGGTTTCCTCAGCCATCTCTCGGTCTAACGTGGCGAGCTCCATGACGGTCTCGTGCTCGGCTTGTAAAGTCTCGATCTGTCCCAATCGGTCTTCTGCTTCTTTCAACTGCTTTCGCAGACTAACATTCTCCTGCGCAGTAGCCTGAAACTTTCCCTCGATCTTCTTGTTGATATTTTCGAATTTGTCTCGTTGCTCTTGTAGCCTCTCCATCTCCTTCATCTTCTCCCGATCTTCCGAACGCTTTCGCTCAAGGACCTTTAGTTTTGCTTTTAGATCCTCATTTTCTCTACTTACTGCATTAGAAGCAACTGGACGCGCAGATGCTGGAGTGGAAGCCGTTTTGGATGATGCGCTTGCTGTTGGTTTTGTAGATGCCGTTGAAGGTGGTCCTGCCGACGTAAGTCTCTCTAGAGCTCTAGTTCTGGAACGAACAGGGCTGATCGTGTTTTCTCCATCGCTCTTAAGGGGAGAATCTAGGCCCGATCTATTACCACTTGAATTGCCAGATAACGAATCACCTGATCGTACCCTCCCCGAGTTCGAGCGAGATCCGCGAGCAGGTCCTGTGGAAACGCGTGGATTAGGGGGCCGAGTAAATCCACTCGCACCCCTTCCGGTAGACGAGGTTGATGGCTGTCTTCTGGGCCCGGCAGCAGGCAAGGCTGGTGGACCCATCGAGGTCCTACTCCCTCCTACCGAAGGCCGAGTCTTGGCTCCCATGGACGATACGCGAGTGTTCGAGGGTGTTCCTGTCCGAGAAATAGTACCGGCCGTTCCTAGCTGCTTAGTAGGCGACTTAGTAGGAGACTAACACGCTGACGTTAGGTTTCGAAAAATAACCTTTTAGGAATATATGGGACGTGGAGACACTTACCCTCACCATAGAAGAAGGACGAGAAGTTCTAGGTACCGGACTAGGGCTCGGAGCATTCAAACTCATCCGTTTTCCTACTGTAGATTCACTTATGGAGCCAGCCCGACCAGCAATGGACGTAGTCCGAGACCCTCTTCGAACAGGGGCCGGCTTAGGAGTAGGCGTGGGCGCAGGCGCAGCCCGTAAAATAGTAACGGTACTAGGACGGACAAACATTCCCCTCCCGGGAGTGCAGTCGAAATACCTTTCTCCTTGTACAGCTCCATCGTTTTTCCCGCTGTCATCGTCAAGCTCAACACCCACCCAATCTCCTGGCGCGAAATGAGTTTGTCCAACATAGCGAACAAAGCCATTGCGACCGTCGCTTAGCAGAATTGCCTGCCCGACTGCTATATCCGTCATTGTGGGCAGTTTCTACCTAGTTGTTAGTACATAGCGATGAGATGAGGTGGAAACGTTGGTCGTTTGTCGATTGTCGATTGTCGATTGTCGTTCGTAGGTTGTCGCTTAGGGAAAGTTGAAGATGAAAAGGTTCAAGTTTCTTTGTTCTTTTCGCTCTTCAAGTCGGAAGTCGAGACAGGGGCAACGCGTTCTTTGATTCGTCGCTTTGATTCGTCACGCGAATTGTTGATTGCCTGAAGGAGCTAAGGGGGGCACTTTAGTCGGGTTTATGTCGGATGATTACAGTGTCACCTTACAGTATTTATGTGTGATCGCAAACTGTGGATACTTCATGTAATACATGCAACATCAAATGTCATCAATTGAACTACAATTTATTATTTGCGCCAAATTCCAATATTAAACTCAACCTCACATGTACTACTAGTACCTAGTAGTATCACCACTTAACACGTACATCAATAAAATGACATCCACGATATTACATTGGTATTTGAATTCAATTGAAAGGGGTATCCTAAAACCTAACTATCGAAGACATTCATCATCGATGCTTTTTAACATGCCAAGTAAAGGAGGGATGGAATCGCGTCGCATCTGAGACTCCGATGGAAGCTCACTTACACGACTTGGACTTCCATCCTAAGTCTCACATAGTGGTCAGCAGGGGGGACTAATAAGACTCGCAGACTCGCAGAGACGAAAAAGTCCAAGTGACGTTATAAACTACAAGCCCGTATGCAGAGTATCGCACTATGCCCAGCCTATCCAATCATCCCCTACCATGTCCCTCTCTTTCCCTTCTTTCATCACACCCGTGACTCAGGCCTCCTATTATCCATGCGAACCAAGTAAGTTACATACAAGTGCAAGATTGTATTTAATTTCGTATCCCTTAAAACCCCAAGTATCGAACAACGTAATATCAATCAGCCCTTCAACCATCACCGATCCGTAGGTCCCCTTCCCCCCTTCCCCCCTCCCCTTACATCCTCTACGCCCGCAGCGTCGTCGTCGACACAAACCCACTCCTGAAACTCCCACTACGTACCCACTCAATGATCTCAAACCCAAGCCTCCGCTCAAGCCTCTCATCCACTCCCCATGTCCCTCCTCCTCTACCCCCTTCCACCGCTGCCGTCGGCGTCAAAATCCGCAAGACCATGACCCCCGGTCCCACAAACTCAACGCAGTTGGTACTCTGCACCTCGGCCTCACCTACCCTCTTAACATAGATCGTCAGGTCCGCGCCCACGATGCCCCTCCACAGCGTCGCCACCCACTGCCAGTGGTCGTCGGCGCGGTACGCGTCCCCCACCTGCAGCGACGCCGCGTACCGGTCCGACGTCGTCAGGCTGTATCCGTCGGCTACGATCGCCACCGGTAGGAGCTGCTTGGGGGGATTCGGCTTCGCATCTTCTCTCCCGGCAGTGGTGGTCTTGGCACTTTCGCCGCTGCTGGTGCTGGGCCGTGGGTGGTGGGTGATATACCGTATCAGGTCCTCTGACGTCTTATGCCAGCGCAGCATCCTCGCGATATAGCTCGCCAACCCTGGCGGTCTTTTCGCCGGGGCCGTTGTAGTTTCCACCTGTTCTGGCTGAGTTTCGGGGTCATTGTTGTTATTGTTATTGCTATTGCTGCTGCTCTTCCTGACCCCAGTTTCCCCTCCTCCCGCACTCGTCTGCGTCTGCGCCTGCTGGGCATGGTCCTCTGTCCACGTCTTCACAGCGTACTCACCCGACACAGATAGCGCCTTCTCCACCACCGAAGCCACCTCCCTCAGCACAGACGTCGCCGCGCCCTCGATCGCAATCAGCGGTCCCCGCGTCTCGAATCCCAGTTGTCCCGCCCCAGGCGGCTTGAGCGGCGGGCTGATCGACCGCAGCACCTCCAGCTTCAGCAGGAATGGCCACCGCGGCGGCATCTGCGGCGGTTGTTGTTGCTGTTGTTGTTGTTGTCGCGAGGGCCCGCTGCCGCCGTTAACGATGCCTAGGCCCGTAGTGCCGTGGGCGGGCGTTTGCGCACTAGGCGGTGCCCCCCGCGCCGTGCCCGGATCCGAGGAGCCCATGGCTGGCGAACTCGGAATCTGCGTCTGCAAGGGGGGTAGCCGAAGGGACTCGTCGAAGGCGGCGTTGGAGCGGGTAGTAGACGTGGGCGTGTGCTGGTAGGATATTGAGGGGCGGGGCGGCGGCTGCATGTGCGGATGAGCATGGCTGCTGTGGGGGTGGCCCGAGTAAGGCGGCGGTTGGTGTTGGTGTTGGTGATACTGCGTCGTCGCGAGTCTCGGAAGCGCGCCAGGTCCGTACCCCGTGGCCGATATGGGCGGGTTGCTGACGGATGGGCGCTGCTGGAACCGCGGGTCCACCGGCATGTAACCCATCGGTGGCGATCCGGGGACGAAGATGTTAGGTCCGTTAAACCGCCGTCGTTTTATCTCCGCCGACCCTGGCCCCGGGGACATCATCGCGTAGTCCTCGTCGATGTGATGCAGATGCGACTGTGGGTATCTACGGTCCATTCCATCCAGAGACATCGTGCTCGAAGTAGATCCCCGACGCAGGTGGTCCGTCTCGATCACGCGTGGGTTCGGCGTTACATAGGGAGGCATGCTGCTGGAGCCGGGCCTCATGAAGTCGGGCGTCGCGGCGCTGAAAGGCGTCGAAGGGGTTCTAGGCGTGGCTATATAGCGGCCACCGCACTTCGGGCAGTGGCTAGGGTCCTCGCCGGTCGCGGGGAGCGGTCGGTTATTTGCCGTCTTGCCTCCGCGTCGCGGCTGGTATCTGTAGTCGGGGTACTGGCGCTGGTGGCGGATCTTCTCCTCCTCCGCGAGCCGCTTCCAGTTGTTCTTGATGTCCTCGGGCTGCTCCCTCCACTGCTCGCCGATGAGCTTCGATATCTCCGGGTTCGCGAGTCCGGGGTGACGTGCCGCGACTTGCCCTTGGTAGTGCTGTCGGTAAAGAATGAAGGCTGTTGAAGGGTAAGTAAAAGTCAAGGGAAGACGTTAGCCTACGCCATCTCTCATAAAAACAAAAACGCTATAACACAATTGTTTTTTTTTTCTTTCCCCCTTTTTTTGTGACACGGTCCTAGACAGGGTTATAGGTTTCGTCATCGATCGATCTATAAGCACATACGCACGTACGTTATAGAAACGATCGATATAAGACAAACCCCAAAAAATATCAGCCCCTTTCATTTCCCGTCCTCTTTGACCTCATTGCCAATTACACACAAAACACAGCAACAATAAGTGGACAAAGCCCATACCCGTCCGAATTTGCCGTCTCGGGACGGGGGGGGGGCACCTCCGAGACCTTGCTGTGGTCCCCCCCGGGTGTGTGTGTGTGTGTGTGTGTGTGTCATGACCCAGAAATAAGAAACAAGAAACACAGAATAAGAAGAAGAATGAGAAATAAGAAAATCGGGAAATCAACGGGGGCCGTTTGAGAAAACAAAAGCGGTAGAGTAATGTTCAGCTCGGACCCAAAAGTCCAAGCCACTTTTCAGGAAGAGGTAAGAGGGCACAAGTCAAGAAGAAAAAGATGGAGAAAAGTTTGTTTTTTAAAAAAAAAAAAAAATGGCATACCGTTACGCGGCCTAGGCACCTTGGGCGCCTTCGTACACAAGCATATCAGCTCCCTAGGCGCTTCGCTGCCGACGCTGCTCGTGTTCGACTTCGCCGTGCTGGGCGTGTAGAGCCGGAGATCTTGGATCCGCGGCTGGTTGGCCTCCTCGGTGTCGATGGAGTGGGCGCGTTTTCGGGGTGGTTTGGGAGTTGTGCTGGTGTTGATGTTGGTGTTGGGGCTGGGGTTGGCGGTGGTGACGGTAGAGGTGGTGGTGGTGGAGGCAGATGAAAGAGATGAGGAGTGAGGTTCATCGAGAGAGGGAGGGTTTTCTGGTCGAGGTGCTGGTGATGCTGCTGCTGCTACTTCTGCTGCTGTTACCTCCCTTTCATGATGATGGTGAAGGTGCGGACTCGTTGCCATTGCTGGCTGATTCGCAGTGCTGGTCGTCAATGTGTCCGAAGATGCTGTGGTTGGGAGGGAGGACCTGGCATTGGAAGGGGGAGGACGAGGAGGGGAAGGAGGTGTAGAGGGAGAAGAAGGATTGCTACTGCTGCTACCAATGTCGGTCATATTCCTTCTCGCAAACGAGGAAATGACCAAGGCAGGAAGAAAGCAGATAGTTATGTCGGTGTGTGGGGGAGGGAGTGAGAGAACAGACGGCCAAAAGAGCGGAGTGGCTCCTGCCCGGCAACGTACGTACACTACGCTACAACAACCTGCTACCAAAGTCTCGGGCTTTTTATTCTTTTATTTCTTTCCTTCTTCTATTCTTTTTTTATTATCCCTTATGCCGAGTGACGGGTAATGGTGATGATGATAATGAATTATGTGATTGAGCCCAATTCTCGTTCTCCAGCAGCAGTGCCCAGTAAAACTACGTGGCGGTCGTTTTGGAAGGAGAGACATGAGACAAGAAGAATTAAAAAAAAATGGCGGCGGCGGCAACAACCAAGGGCTTGTTGGGATTGTCTTCTTTGTTTGAATCTTCCTTTCCCCCATTCACAAGGCCCCCAGCTAAGGAGACAATGATCCTAGGGTTAGATTAGGTTAGGTTAGGTAGGGTTTTTGTCAATGAATGAATAGTATGAATGAAAATGAATCAATGAATGAATGAATGACCTTATGCCACCGCCACCGCTGTCGTTGTCGTTGCCGCTGTTACCACACGCGCAGAGACAACACTAGCGTTGGCCATAATCGAGAGATGGGTGTGTGACCAACGGTGTATGTACTAGATTAGATGGCTTCACCCTAGATAATAATGCTGACGAGTAAGAAAAAAAGTGAGAGTTTGAGTAGGTACTAGGTCGAGATCAGGAGACGAAAGAAGAGAAAAAAAAAGAGAGATAGGTTTCTTTGGGACTACATATGTCTCGGGAGTATACTGAGGCCCAGGCTGTTGCAGAATTAGTAGCCACATCTTTTTCTCTCACACCCTCATTCTCTTCTCTGTCTTCTCCTCTCTTGTTCTCCTCTATTCTCTTGTTCCTCTAGTCCTGTTTCCCTTTTCCTATTAGGTAAAGTACGTTTAGGTTAAAGTACATACCTTCTTCCCCTTCCCCCCTCATCTCTTTGTCCAGCGTTTGCAACAACACAATCAACTCTTGCAACCAACCTTAACCGTTCGCAGTATATGTCGATAATAAGACCCAATTCTGACCACAGGAACAAAAATGACAAGTAAACAAAGTAATATATATAAATAAATAATGAAAGCCTTCTCTCTCACACCCCCTCCCCCTCCCCCCCTTTCTCCATCTCTACTCTTGTTACTTACTTACATGTTACATATTACTCCATGGTGAATAATGACAGAATGAAATACATCAGCAGCCTTGTCTAACAAGGAGTTAGTTAGTTAGTTAGTTAGTTAGTTAGTAGTTCAATTATATCCCTCCTCAATCCTCTTAATCACTTTCTTTACTTGCTTCGTATAACAACAAAAAAAAAAAAACGACACAATGACATGACACCAAACTTGACCACCACGACCCCTTAGTCCTTGAAGGGCCGGCCACACAAACACTAAAAAGTAGGTAACCTAGGAATGTTCTTCAAATCCTCCGTCTGGAACGGAGAAAAGAGAGAAAATGCACCTATGCTTGTCTCTCATAAGGCCCCCTCTTCTTCTCCCCCCCCTCTCTACAACAAACCGAACAAAGAAAGACAAAAGACAATTGTCCACCGAAACGGGCTTAGACATCCCCATCACGTGGACTTTCACCACCCATTGTTCCCACTGCAAACTTTTTCTTTCATTCCTTGTTTATATTGTGTAGGTATATGTCCCTGAAGAAAGAAAGAAAGAAAGAAAGGGAAAGAAAGGAGCAATATTTCTCTCGTTTGGCAATGTCTCAAAAAATTTATTCTGGGGGTGGCGATCTGAAAACAACCAGCCAGCATGTTGTCTATTGATTGAATACCAGTAGTTACTGATTGAAGTAACTAGGTAGGTAGATACATGAACAATAAACAACCAACAACATCATGATTCGTCCATGCCCAGGTAAGGTACCAGTGCCTACTAAGTACTGCACACTATACATGGTCAGGCTTTCACTCACATACATAGCATGGGAATAGCAACGCGTAGGAACTCCGAAACCCCCTTTCCGTAATTGTAATTTTCCTAGCCCGATTGATTTGATTGATCTGATTCATCGATTTCCGTGGTTCGCGGTTTTTTTTTCTTTAGAACAGAGCCGCAGCCTTGCGCGAAATTAGATTATTATGTGTGGTTGGCCCAACGTCTTCCCGTCTCTGTAAGACATATAACCCCGTGCTCATGAGATGAATCCACGTCCTGTCTCACCACTCAACAAGTCGGCACTTCGTCGTGCGTCGAGGAAGAGATCCTCGCATTCTGCAACGTCTTTTATGTCGATCTGACTGCGACCATTGACTCGAGCAAGAATACTGTTTGAATCTGTTAGTTTTTAGGGGCTCATATGGAGTATAGATGAAATACGGGTTCAAGTAAAGAAAAAAGATGAATTACCTTGCGGGAGTCAACAATTGGAGACAATATCTGAGACTAATGCGCACGCCATGTTCTGCAATCTTGTCAATGGCAGCATCGGTAATTTGTACGCCTTCTGTTGTCGCTCGGATGCGTACGATTCTCTTAATCTCGTCGGCGTCATATGGAGTCGTGGGAATGATTAGGAGTCGAGCAAGAAGGTCTGATGGCATGCCATGCGCAGCCACAATGCCATCTGTACCACGGATCGTGCACATGCCTCGATTCGAAGCAAGAACGACAATTGGCGAGATAGAAGATTCTAAGGCTCGGTTAAGATATGTGAAGCACTCGATATCAAGCATATGAGCCTATCGGAAGTTAGTTTGTCAGTCTCGTCCAAGTTATCACAGATACTTGGTGGGGTTTTAGTTACCTCGTCAATGAATAAGACACCGGGAACGAGCTCAGCTACACCTTGATCAATGTACTTGCTAACCACCTTGTCGATTTCACCTCGCAGCTTGTCCGTAATCTCTGTCATCTTAGGCTTCATTAGTTGGCCCATCATACTCATGATATCCTGTCCTCCTTGTGGTCTAGCGTTGGCAACATCCAAGTCGTGGAGTGTGACATCTTGTACAATTTCCTTCTTCTTGTGTACATCGCCCTTGGGAATGGGCACGTACTCCTCCGCCTCAAGATCGAATTCTGTAGCGTACGCATCCGATCGACCGACTCGTTTACAAGCGCCGGTGTTAGCCTCAATGTAAACCACATCTCCAACTGTGACCCTCTCCTTTTGAATAGCCTCGTATATGCTTGGATCTAGTCTGAGCTTCTTCTGGCCTCTTGCGCTCTTCAGTCCGATGAGCAGTGTGCTGATTGTCTTGCCATAGCCACCGAGCGGGTTCTCCGCTTCTTCTGGGGTCAGCTCCGTGACCTCGCCCTCGTAGACCTCCTTTGTCTCTCGCACCTTCAGGCCAATCGCTCTTCGGAAGTTCTCCATCAACACTTCCGTCTTCTTCACCTCGGTTGAGTAGATCTCACTGCCGACGATGGGGCAGAAGGGAATCTTGGTACCGAGCTCGTGGCTAAGGGCGAGCGCAAGGGCTGTCTTTCCGGTTCCAGGTCCGCCAGCAAGTAATACACCTCGACCGGCCATCTTCTGAGCGCGAATAAGATCGACGACAACACCAGCAGCCTATAAAATTATATGTTAGCCTTGGGTGCTACGAAGTAGCTACTAGACCAAGTATAATAAGGCTGAAGCTTACCTCGCGGGCCTGTTGCTGGCCTACAAAGCCACCTGCCTGCTTCTCAGCTGTGCCATCGAGCTTGAGACCCAAGCCTTTAATATGAGTGTGGGCTGCAGTGCGATTCTCGCGATTGTTGCCTTTGACCTCACTAATCTGCACCATCTTGGCGAAGGGATGGTTTCTTTTGTCGCTAAGTGTAAATGACGTGCGTTACAAGTAATCGGAAGATGTATGTGAATTTCCGATTAATTAGTATGAGAATTAAAGGTGGTCGAAAAAGGGTATCGCATCAGAAATCGTGAAATTGTAGAGTTGTAGAGTTGTGGAGCTGTAAAGTTGGAAAGTAATTGGAAGGAATATTGAAGCTTCAGCTGTTCAAAATTCCCAAAGTCGCGAAACTTTTCTGGGTCGCGACTACATGGACAGTGTGAACACAGTAGATGGCACTGTACCTACCTACGTAACTAGCCTATGTAACACTTCGATTATCTTAGCTGCTTACCTAATCTACTAAGGTTAGTTATAGATAACAGCATTGAACTTCACCACAACTTGTTAATGGCACTTACACTTTCACCTACATCTACAGATTCTACACCTTAGGTCAACTACTTTCATTCACCTCGAATACCTAGAACTCATAAAGACTGCCCCATTTGATATCGCCCATCGCTTAATCAATTTACCTATCGTACCTTAACTATCCTCTATACAACTGTTATATCCATGTCTACAGTCGTCTAAGCGAAACACCATCTTCCTCTTCTATATCTATGTCTGAGTCTAGATCGTCGATAAGTATCGGCACTCTCTCACTTCCGGTGGTACCCGGGACATTCGCCATCATGCCTCTCTCCGCATCACCGTTGTCCTCAATCCCGGTACCCTTTTCCTTTGCCTGCCTCGTAAGCGCTACCCAGAGCGCACTCCCCACTATAAGCCCGCACCCCGTTACACTTGTCCAGCCCATGATGTGTCCAAACACCCATCGGTCAAAGGCTGCCGCAAACAACATGTGCGTGTAGATCATGGCTGTGGCGCGGTTGCTCTTCTCTGTCGCCAAGGCGGCCGTCATCAGTGTTTGCATGGTCAACCCGCACGCCACGATGACTACAAGCAACACCCACTGGCGGATGGAGTGTGGTAGCTCAAGTCGCATTTCCGGTTGCCCGTAATCAAGCACCGGAGCCAGTGAGAGAACCACCATCGACACCACTACGCACCACGTACTAAAGTAGTTGATCGATACCAATGGGTGAGCTCGTTTTCCAATCCACCGCAGTGACGTGATCGCACCAGCCCCGCCGAAGACGCCTAACAGGGCGAAGCCGATGGCGACCAGCCGCTCTATGCTTGTTACTCCATCTTCTCCCTCGGGGAATGAAGTTGCCGCTGTCGTCGCGTTCATCACTGCCTCCATCTCTAATGAATCCGATGGAGTAGGCGTCGAAGACAGACCCGGGAGGAGAGATAGGGGTCGCGTAATTAGCACAACGCCTCCCAGAGCTACCAGGGACCCGAGCTGCTCTGTCCGCGTAAAGGGGTCATGGATGAGGAGATGACACATGTACCCGGCTATGTTGGGGGACAAGAAGGTGATGACGGTTGCCTCGGCTAACGGTATATACTTGACGGAATACCACATGCCGTATATTCCGAAGAAGCCGCAGAACGCTCTCAATAGCAGCAGCCACCTCACATCTTTATGACCCAATAACCCATGCGGTATTCTCTTCCACAGTATGTAGAAGGAGGCGCCTAGAGCAGTCATTGCCTGTCGCACGAAAAGGAGACGCATCGGATGCATCCCGCCTTCTTCTACCTCGAGTATGCGGGCTGTAAGGTTCATTAGGGCTCCAAATAGCTGGGCTGCAAACATCAAAAGAGGAGCTTTGTTTTTCTTCCATGTTGATTTCCACCAGCCCCGGAATCTCGAGCCATCGTAACTCCTCCGGACTAGTGGCGGCCTTGGCGAGATACCTCTGGTGCTGGTCGGAGTCGTCTGCCCATCACTTGACGATGGATCTGAGTCGATGTTTACAACAACAGGTAAGCCCGACTCGAATTTATCCTCCTTCGCGCCAAGGTAAGTAATAGCTGTCGCTTCATCGTCATCAGAAATATACTTGGGCTTCGGAGTTGGTACAAAAGGAGACATGGCGGCACGTGAGCACTTCGGTAAGCTTCAACAACACAAGCTTCATGCACGAAAGCGTCAGCTCTTGGAAGGGAAACGATGTGAGCCAGATGTGAGTAAGATATGAGCAGTTTCTCTCTTTTGGTCTTTCTAATGGTGTATAGATACTAGGTTGGGTAGGTAAGTTGGTGGTGTACATCCAATTCTAATTTCTCTGCCACGATAATTCCCAAGTACGAAACAAACACAGGAGCGTGGAAGGTGAGAGAGAAGTAAAGGTATGTAGGTCAACTCAACCCAAAATCCACCCTTGGCCGAAATTTGGAGCCCTTCTCCGTTGAGCGGGGAATCCGCCCTATGGAAACGATAAAAATCAGGTCAATCGATTAATAACAACATTTGCTGCCCATCGCCTAGTTGGGAGTCATCGGTGTCCATTCCCAGATGCAACCCTAACTAACCTACATACATGTCTACCTAGGTACCGACTAGGTCTTACCTCCATACCTAGTATAAGTAGGTCGTGCCGGCCGAAAAAAAGCTTGTGTGGGCAGGCGAGGGCGGTTATAGAGCTGGTAGGTATGTATACCAGGTAAGTAGTGTATAATATCGTACATCCTTTGGGTCAAACTTGCTTCACTATACCTAAAAATACCCACCTACTTACCTGCCTAGGTAGGTATCTAGGATCCATCGTAAAACCAAACCCAATCCATCCCATGCGGCTGTCAGCAACGTTTTGACAGGGAACGGTGTCAATTCATTAGCGAAAAGCGTGCTTATCCTACCCTATACATACCTAGGTAGGAATGTGTACCTACCGATCGTCATCTCATTCAATGTGAAGGAGGGACCTACACTACATATACATATATGTAATTTTACAAAGCACACAAGCGGGACTTACTCGCCCACTTCCCCCGTCCGTTCATCTCTCCGTCCGTTCCATCCGTCGTTCGCAACCCCCCCCGATGTCGCGGGGCGAAAGCTTGCGTCTTACTTACACCTAGCGAATCGGCTTTTAGCCTTTACTACCCCCCCTCTTCCCTGCGCGTGCGTGGTGGTGGGCCGGGGTCGTGAGCTGGACTGCGCTATAGTACACGATCAACCTACCTACATACATATACATTATGTATGTGGTGTAGACCGGGGATTTGGCTCTTGAACTTATCTAGTGATTTGTTCTGTCTGCCATAAGTGGTATACCATCGCAACTGCATTAACAAACCTGCGCGATATATCTCCTTTCTCTCTTTCTTTCCTCTATAATGTTCCTCGCTATTAATAGATTGATCCCTAGGTAAAACACCAGGCAAGATGCCTACCTACCTACCTAGATGAATTGATAAAACAAGAAAGAGAACGACCACCCTTCCCCTCCCCCTCACATCCCCTGGAGACAGAGGTAGGGTTACAGTTTTCTTCTTCTTCTCCAAAACTACTACCAACACACACGCTAGAGTTATCTACCTACCTACTTACCGATGCGACGGAACGTAGTAGTTGAGCCCGGCCTTTCCGAGCCGTTCGGCATACTGACTCCAACTACATATGTAGATAGGCACAAGGCAGGTAGGTAGGTAAATAACTACTAGCATCGTCAAGAAGAGAGATTATGTGTGTGCGGGGGAGAGAAAGAAGGTAAGGGGTAAGGGGGTATGGGGTAAGGGATAGGGATGAGGACGGGGATGGAGATGGTTGCTGGAAAGTTCAAAAAATGAAAAATGAGATGGCATCACCTTATATACGCATGCGCGTACCTATGTGTGGGTGCGTGGGTGCGTGTAGGTTCTCTACGTGATGGAATGCATCCCCTTGCAGATAATTACCTATATATCTACCCAGTACCTACCTACCTACCTACTCTACTTGATCATCGCGGTGGTTGCATACGCACATAGTTACACCCATACACACACACACACACACACACACACACACACACATATACACCTTCATACCTTCAGCAGCTACAATCATGCACACATTCATACATGCCTACAATTCTCCTTACAACCTAACCTAGACAGGTCCCGGTAAAACGTTCCGCCCATCCCATCCCATCCCATCTCAAGTCACTGTTCAAAGTATCAATACCCCATTAGAGAAAAATAAAAAATAAAAACGAACAATTTAGTTTAATGGTTTAGTTTGCGACAAGACTTTTCCCCCCTCCCCCCCCTTTTTTTCCACCTCCCTCTCCCTCTCCATAAAGAGGTGGTGTGCAGGAAGGCAAGAAGTGTAGGTAGGTACAGTACATAAGGTAAGGTAAGGCAGGCCATTATTTATCTACTTATTTATTTATTTATTTATTCATCACCACTTGGACAGTCTGATCTGAATAAAGTAGGTATTCTACCCTAGGTAAGGCAAAGGCAAAGTAAAGTAAAGTAAACGAGGTACATAACCCTCATTCTCTCCCCCCTTTTCCTTTTATTTTCCCTTTTTGGCAAAGGGGCAAATTATAATAGTTTTGTATTGTATCGTGATTGTTGGTGTAAACTGCAAACTTGCAACCTGGTATTGTGCTTCCCACCCCGACCCCGACCCCAATTCCCTCCCAGACCGAAAAATAGAAGAGGAAAAAGCCAAACTCCGTTGCTATGCTTGTGTGTGTGTGTGTAAAATGCAGATTCTGATTCTGTCGGTCGTATTTTGTCGACTCCTTTGTGCGATGTAGTGGAGGAGATGCGTCTCGGTGACAGATAGGTAGGCGGACATATGGACGGACAGACGGCTTGCCGGCTTGTTTGCTTGTGTGTGTGTGTGTGTGTGCCTGCTTGCCTTATTTTGTTGGTGATCTAGTCCGCGACACTCATTTCGGAGTTCTCTTCCTCTTCTTGCTTCCCGTGCCCTTCGACGACGTCGCCATGTTCAGCACACTCAGATCCTCATCCTCGTCATCCAAGCCCTGCAGCAAGTCCTCCTCCTCCTCCTTCTTAGTGTTGGCGGCAGCCTCGGCAGCGGCGGCGGCGGCCTCCTTGCCGTGCTGGGCGGCGAGGGCGTCGTCTTCCTGGTCGAAGGTGCGGCGCATCTCCTTGATCTTCTGGCGCTTCTCAATCATAGTGCGAACGCGGCCGAGATACTGGGTGTTGCGGCGGAGGGCGAACTCGAAGTCGTCGAACTTGAGCTTCTGCCGCCCGGCTACCTGCGCGTGCCGGCTCGCCTCGAAGCACACCCCTTCGAGAAACTCGGTCACGATCTCGTCGAGCACGCGCACGGTGTCGGGCATCGGCTCTTCGACGTCGCCCCAGGCGTAGAGGAGGGAGGAGACTGGTGCGAGCGGGTCAGGTTAGAATGGGGAAAGAAAGATGGATGGAAGCTTCTAGATTCGCGTGTGGTGTGGCGGAATGCGATGAACTGTAGGCTGGACAGGTGAGTAGCTTACTTTCTCTACGGTTGAAAGTTTCCTTGCCGACATTCTTGCCGGCGCGAGCTCGAGGCTCCATCGTGTATAGTGAGTGAAGTCGTAGAAGGTGATGACGATGATTGAGCTCCAGCTAGGTTTGTGTGTATGTTGTAGTTCGCGTCGTCGAGAGATTTCGAGGTATTCTGGAAGCGAAAATTTGATTCCAAGTTATGAATTTGTCTCTCTGGACTCGTATTTTGAGTTGCGCGACGAATGTAGCAGTCAATGTTGATTGAAGTTGACGAGCTGCTTGATGGAAAAAGGTGTATGGACCTTTGTAAATTTGTAGAAAGGTAAAGATGCAAAGATGTGTACGTAAGGCTGAAGATTGAAAGACAGTACGCCTAGATCAGATGCTGGAGCTAGCGGATCCTGGTAACGCACGGGCCTGTAACAATGGAAGTTCAAGGTTTAATTAGGTACTTCAGGCACTGTATCTCGGATCCCTGGATTCCCTGCTACTCATGTTCCGGTTTATCTCCGGGAAATTCTTCTTTTCTTTCTATCTTTCCTTCTTAGGTAATCACTTTCGAGCGATAGCTGGCTTTTGGAAAGTTGAATTGATTGACGTGACGTCTTGAGCTTGAAACTTGAGCCGGCGCATTTCAAAGTTACACTTTTAACTCCTAAGAATAATCACCGCGATTAATAGACAACAACCTATCTGTCAAAATGGTATGTGAATATAACGACTACTGATTCATCTTATTCAAGAAAGAAGAAGCTAATTGCAATTCCAAAATAGTCTGCGCTCTTCAACTTCCAGTCCCTCCTGCTCGTCATCCTCCTCCTCATCTGCACATGCGCCTACGTACACCAAATATTTCCCACGATCCTAGACCGGAATAAGCAAGGGTACGTGTAATTGGCTTTCTCGAAGAAAGTAGCGCTCATCGTTATATCGTAACAAATGTACTAAAACACTTATCATTACAGTTTCATGGGCATCTTCTGGAAGGCAGCCAGAATAGGGGAGAGACTAAGTCCCTATATAAGTCTATGCTGTGTGTTCATGGCGGTAAGCTGAGCATTTCCTCTTCAAGAGGGTCGCGAAATAAACACACAGCTAACGGTCACAAAGGTCTCCATGGTTGCCGGTAACTAGCGCGCATCGATTTACGGCCCTGGAAGTGTATCGCATAAGACAAATAGGAGTTGGGGTGTTTGGTTTTGGGCAACGGTGTAATTGGTAATATTGAGAATTTGAGGACGTCCCGAATGATCGAAGTTCCCTCCCTAACACGATATCCGTCGCATACTAGGTGCTCTTTCGACTTCTTCGTCTTATCCTAAGCTTGTGGTTGTGCTGGTCTTTATCCATGTCGCGTTGGTCGAGTGACAGCACAATATATTGTTTACTGCATCATGGCGAGCGGCCAGTGATGGTGTACGAGGATCTATCTAGTATCTGTTTGCGAGATCGGCCCTCTTCGGCATCCTTACGCCTCGACTATCGATTATCTGATGTAGGACTTGGCAACACGTCACGGGCAATGCTACGGGAAACCCACACGGACGGCTGGTGTTGCGTGAGAATACTGGGTGTCACAGATAAGAATTACGACACAATTACCAGATACACCTGCGTGAAGGGGTTTTCGTGGGGGGAAGGGAGATTGGGTATCACTCCAGCGCAAGCGAGTGACCTCTACGGGATAAGTGCAGGCTGTCAATGGTATCCTACATAGACACTATATGCCGGAAGAGACCTCATATAATATAGGGTGTAGCATATTGTAATCACATCCATAAATGCTTTGAAAATTCGGGATTCTGTACACGTGAGTAAGACTACATGTATACGGCTATGCGCGTCGCGGATCTGCCCCTCGTCGAATAGGGGAGTCATTAATCTGGCAATGCACATGTCACGTTTCGCCGTTTAAAGGTAGCGCGCCGTTTACAACGAAAGGGGAAACCGTTCAATGTCACTTGGCTGTCAGCTAGAAGAAGAAGCAAAAAGGAAAAAGGAAAAAGAAAAAAGAAAAGAAAACCCCCCTCCTACCACCCTCTTCTCTCGCTGTACACCATCTCAGCCTTATATTGACTGCATGTCAGATTATAGTTTCATCGCTTTATATAGAGATCGTCCTGGTTTTACAGCCGTGTTCTTCCTATTTCCGGGAAACCGGTTGCATTGATTCACTCAATCGAATGCGAACCTGCGTTCGTTTCTGCCTCGATCCTTCGGCCTGTTTCCGGCATTGTTTTGTTATTTATTTATTTTTTGTTGCATACAGATGTATACTACCTATTACATGCTTCTATACATAATACACTATGTAGGTACAGTAGGATTATGATAAACATCTAGAAGGGGGTGGTGAGGGTGAGGGTGAGGGTGAGCATGACTTGCATAAACGATAAAACGGCATGATCCGTCCCTTGGAAGGGGGTCGCACGGCCTTTTGCTCACTTTCATTTTCGCCCGACAGGACCACATTGCCGTTTTGTGCTGCGGTGAAGCTGCGGGATGAAATTGGGTTGTTATGCGAAGAGGCGTTATCAAGTGTGGCTACATGGATAATAATGCGAAGATCGAGAAACATTTGCGAACGTATGTACTGTAGCCAGTCTGCAGGTGTGTGCTACAGTAATGGTCTATTTCGATAGTCCATGTCTGAAGCATTCATGCGCTTGCGCTCCCAAGGTGCAGCAGACACCGGCCAAGACAACACCATTTAGGAAAAACAGAAACATGCCTAGGTTAGCTAGGTACACATGGCACATGCACTACCTATGTATAATGCAGATGTCAAATAGTTAAGATGCTATATTGATACCTTGTAAGTGAGTGACTCGAAGTCTTCGACGTCATGACAGAACAGTACACCGATTGGTTTTCAATACGCATCAAACAATTTGTAAATAAATGCATAGATATTATTAAACTAGTAAGATTAGTTAGTGCTAGGCAATAAATAAATAAATAATATACCATCATCCGGTCTTACGACTTCGGAAACGCCATATGGCGGATGACGATGATGCGGATTCCTCGGGAGCTACGTATTACTCACTACTTACATACATAATCATACCTAGGTAAACGAGTCCATACTATCGGCGTTACCGGGGACGGAAGCTAAGGATGCAGTGCTCGAGTCGGGAGCAGTTAACCACCTGACTCGTAAGAAAGTTGTTTTCTATCAATGCTTCGTCCGTTAGACATCGGAGCTAAATAAGCAAAATGTCGAATACCTATGATAGCGGCGTGTGATCAAGTCAAGAGAGAGATAGAACATTATCGAAGGTATAGGTGAAGGTAAGTCTCCTGGCGAGCTGCAGGCCCCAATTGGTACCACCGACATATTCATTGTGTACAGTAACACCGTCGATAAGAAGGCGGCTGTTTCAAGACTCGTAATAAGGCCTATGTAAGTCAACTGCAGTGCTGATGTTCCTGTAGCACAACACCATGACATCTTAGGCGAGTATATGTATATCATTGGTGTAGCAAACATCAAATGTCACATGCCAGAAGCGGGAACATCTTGAGGGAACCTGAACACACACGCAACAAGTAGACATACATAGTTACTATCTAATAAAGCTCCAACGAATGAGGTTGCCGCATTGGGGTTGTAGGCTTTCCTATGTTGGCGAAATGCTCGTAGCCCGAAATATGCGTTAATCTGTAATTAATACGGCCATTAATAACTACCCATGGTCAATCCTTTAACGAGAACAGCTGGAGGTGAGTGAGGCTGGAGAACAAAAAACTCACTTCACCGGCCACGCCTTGCCTAGGTACGGCCCCAGCATACACTTACATACTTAGGCGGGACCTTAGGCGGTGCGGTAGGCGGTAGCGGTAGATGGGGGTGAGGCGGATCATGAGATAAGACGCTCCTCCCTCCTCCCTCCGCCCCTCCTCCACCTCCCCTCCCCTCCCCCCCCTACCCCTACTTTCAACCCTTAGTTAGCCTCTCCGGAAGACAGACGCTGGCCGTCCGGCGCGTCGATGGTATGTGCGCGCTATGATATGATGCCCCCCCCCTCCCCTAGTGGTTCCTCCTCCTGGACCCATGGTAGGAGACATGTAGGTAAGAGATGTTAATAAGTGTCGAACTCGAATCTCGATTGGCGAGGAATTTTGCTTAGAGAAGCGGCATTGCGCCGGCGCTAGCAGGCTGGTTGCGTATTTGCAATTGCTCCAGCCCGTCATTCTCGGTACGGAGTTACGATGCTTACATATGATGTAGTAACTATACGACATATAACTACTAGCCCTGGAGGGAGGTACACATACACATATCTATCTATCTATCTATCTGATCAAAGGGTGCCGGGCAGCTACATGAGCGCGTAGTATCGTATCTTTCTATCTAGTGTAAGCTACAACTTACATAGTATTATACTGCGACTGCCACCAAAAAGCTTTGGGGGAGCACAGGGAAAGAAGAAAAAAACAAGGGACCTGCATGATCTTCCGTCTCAGGTACTGAGAAAAGTATCACGACACTAAGCCTGTTCCAGCTCGGTTAGACCGCCGATTCCAGCCCCGTTAGCAGCAGCAGCTCGCCTCACTTTTTTTTTCTTAGCATCCGCGTAAGTAGTGTAGTGTAGGTAGGGGGGGGGGGGGGGGGTTTTTTTTTGAGAATGAAATTAATATCGATACCTACGCATGGCTACGCCAATGATGTTGAGATGCGCGCGAAAGGGCATACATCCTAAAGGAAATGGCACCTACGAATAGCCAATTTACTTCCACGTTAAGTCATATTGTCTATCGAAAGGCTAGACGAGTAAGTTTTATTATTTGTAGGCAAGTCTAGTAATTAACTAGCAGACAAGCAAGCAACTGGGGGATGGGATGGGATGGGATGGGATGGGGGAGAGAAGAACGACAGCATTGATTGCATTTCACTTCTTTGCTCGCTCATCCACACACCGCTAACTAATAGGTACTTCCCAGCAACGCTTAGCTGAATCGGATGTCGACGCAATCCTTCCGGGATTTCCAGAAGCGCACACCATACACACCATGATCGTCAGTCAGACTCGTGGCAATCTCATGGTCGTTCCGTTCCTTTTGTATGTAGTTAACTATGTACTTTGAAGAAAAAAAACCCCGGCGCCTAAAAGAGAGGCGGTTGTTTTCTTCTTCTGTGACTCTGCCTTCCTTCCTGGTCAGCTGTGCTGTGCTTGAGCCTGAAATGCCCACTTACTGCCAGACCCAGCTATATTAGTATATTGATATGTATTGTATTGTACATACCTATAGTATAGTATACCTCTAATCATCATCGTCATTGTCACCAGGCGTCGTGGCATCTCCGGCTCAATGTTTGGATGAACCATACATACGACCTCACCGACAGATGCATGTTTCTGCCGCTGCTGTTGTTCAAGTTACCGCTGCTGCACACCACGACAGGTCATTCAACCGGCAGGCAGAATTAATAATAATAAAAAAACAAAATAAAAGAGATAATCGCAACCGATCGTATACTTTGTGTTTCATTTTCTTTTCTTGGTGGACTTGCCTCATATACAAGTTGCATATTTGAGAAATGATAGGACATCGATTTGCAAAAAAGAGGAAATGAAAGAAAATCGATGGCGGAGCGATAAAAGCCTATCATCCTTTTTTTTTTGTCACCTGGTACACCTCTTCGTCTCCATCTGGGGGTATCGTCGTCTGCTGCATCGATCTAGCGTTCAGGCGATTCTCGTCTGCATACGTAATGATAGGGCGAGGTCTGTTACGTAGGCAGGTCAGGTCAGGTCAGGTAGGTAGGCAGATGGCTAGACACATATTTGATAGTCTGCAGTAGTAACGCAGGTAGTGCGTACGCCTACATATATAACTATGGCACACACATGACAATGATATCAATCGTCAATGTAGTTATTGGATCTCAAGGCAGCCCTGCGCCGGAGCAATTCGCAGTTTGACGAGCTTGCAGGAACCAATTATAGGACAATACTGGGAAGGATAGATATGTGTATTAGCTCATTGGCTTTCGAGAAACTGGATACCTAGGGTTAGTGTAGTGTAGTTAGATCAATCCCGGACTTTGTCCCAAATCAATGGATCCCACCACAAGCCTCAAAGCCTCAAAAACAAAGCCTTAAGAGAACTGAACACGAAGATGAAGACATCAAGCTAAGAATGTAACTATCCAGATAACTACAATGCTATGTATACATCCAGATATGTATCTATATTTCACTGGTATAGGCTAGGCTAGGATATGCTAGGCTTGGGTAGTAGGTAGCCCAGGGTAAGGGGGGATGGTTTGGATGGTTTGGATGGTCAAGGATAGTTAAGGATGGTTAGGGTAGCAGGGTGGGCACGCAGGGTAGCTGATCAATTCGATGTTAGCTGATACTCTAGGTACTTATGTACCTACCCTTAGGTATCGTTAATACCTAGGTACAATACCTAGTAGTTTAAACGTTACGGCAACACCCCCCTGAAGCCACTTCCTATTTCAGCATTAAACGCTAAGGGATTTTACGACCCTGGACCCCGAAACAAGTCGAAACGGTCTGTTTCTCGCTTGGACCCTTTCCTTTTTCCCTCTTTTTATTTTTTCCTTTCCTATTTTATTTTAATTTTCCTTCTTCGCCTCTTCCATAAACGAATCAACGAACTAACATTGATACTCCACAGCTTCTTTTTTGCTTTCTAACGACATTCTTTCGCTTGGCTTGGCTTGGTAAGGGACATACATAGTACATTACTATCGTGCACAGTATTGTCGTCCCCACGTCTTTCATCATACCATCTCGGACACTAATTAAAGACCGTCATCGGAGTCTTTTCCAAAGTCGGTGTCAGCTATGTGTGTATGTGTGTATGTGTGCACTTATGCTGATCTGATGGCTACCTACCTACCTGCTATGTATGGTATGTATGTATTGTACAATACGAACAAAAAAAAAATACGATACAATACATGCATCCAGCATTAGCAGAGTAGTATGTAGTAGGCAGTAGGTAGGTTAGCGTTTTTTTGTTTTTTTTTCTTTCATGGAGGGATCTTGTTGTTACCCATCCCTTCCCAGATCCCAATTTGACTATTCTGATGAGATGTTCTCTAAAAATCCCACCTTCTGCAAGCCAAGAGAAATGAAAAAGACAGGCCCCAACCTAACTAAGGAACAAGGGACAAGCCTCATTACATATGGTGTGTGTCAGTTCAATTCGTGAGTATGTACCTAACCTGGAGTGAGCGAGTGAATGAGTACGAGTGAGGGAGAGTCAGTCAAATCGAATATTGAAAAGAATCCTTCGCGGTTCAGTCGTATTGCATCGTACGAATTTTTACGAATGTTGTGTCGTTAATAGTCAACTATCATTCTTGCTCTGTTGGCACTTGGTGCTGATCACAAAGTTCTCGTTCCCTTTCGTTCCCTCTGGCTGCTTCTGGTCTTTCCTTGGTCTTTCCTTGGTCTCTTTTTGGTCTCTCTTTGGTCTCTCTTTGGCTTCGGAGGGAGGCCTAACTCCTGAGTCGTGGACAAGTCCATTTTATCGGTCTCCTGCGAGCCTGGAATTCCTATCGTTTCTCCCTCGATGTGGACGATCTACCTACCTATCCCTGGGGGGCTCTTAGGGCGCCCCCCTTCTCTTTCCATCCCCCCTGGTTCTCCTTTGGGTTCCACGCCGCCACCGCTGGATAAGGAATTTCCCTATTGATATCGTCTCAGCCAGCAGGAACGAGGCGTCAAAAAAAGGTATGTGTACTAACTAACGGGTCTCCCGCATCAGCGCGTTCCAGCTGCATACTACCTTATTACCTTACCACCTTACTACCTTACTACCTTACTACCTTACATACACTACCTCACTAAATACTTCGTACCTAAGGTTGAGCCAACTTGAGCTAACTTGAAATATGGAATGAAGTATTATTAGTTATAGTACCTACATGCATGATGTATGTAGGTAGGTACATATTACTTCGTACATACACTACCGGCTCTACCTTACGCTACCTTACCTACTATGTACGGACCATTATCCATGAGCCACGGAAGGATGTGGTGTGGATGCAATAGCGCATTGAAGTATCAATGCTTCACATTCTCATTTCCCCCGGAACCATGTCCCATTGTCCACCACCCCTTACCCGCGCGGACCGTGGATACTTATTATGTCTTCCAAGTTAATAATAATCTACTTTCCCGTGATTGATTACTGCTTTTAGTACGGTAATGCAACCCTTGCCCTTTTCCATAGTCCCAGCTCCCCTTCCGCCAACGCTTTACCTCAACCTACTTATTATTGATCGCCTCGTTCCTGGCGCCTCGCGATATCTTCCTTCCTTTCCCTTTGTTTGGCCCTTCCTACCTAATTTGCCTACCTGTATACCTACCTGTATACATACATACATACCGATACATATACACTCTACTATACTTGCATAGTAGTAACTTCATTCACACTTACACACATACACGCCTACGTCTAGAAGAAAAGGAACCCAGAATAAAAGGATAAGGAAAAGGAAAGGAATAAAAAAAAAAGGTACATATCTTCAAAACTAAAAACATTTGAAAGCTCCTTGTTTCTCTACATCGTTCCTCCAAGGATTTCCTACCTGCAAACATCCATAGTTCCTCTGGCAGTAGCTGCTAGTTGCCAGTCCTTTTCAGGGTTGGCTTGCAGCATACCTCTTCAAATCATAACTGGCCATGTAAGACTTCAAAAAACCCACAACACGCTTTCCCACAGATGCAACAAACATCACCGCTTCACACCTTTCGATTCCCTTGTCTCGAAGTACACGACAGGGCGAAGCTAGGGTACATCTGCAGCCAACCGCATTCACGAGACCATCCCGTCCAACACCGAGCCTGTTTGCCAAATCTCTTTCATATAGAACCCTCCCGCTGACCACCTCCCCGATTAATAGTCATATTCTTGGATCATCATCCATACTACTTACACACTGCCTATTCCCTCGAGACCTAACTTGTGTGTGCTCTCTTAACTAGAAGCAAACTCACGCCTACACATCTCATACCTCTTACACCGGGAAACGAGTTCAAGGCCTTTCTCGACTAATACTGGCTTTTCCATAAGTTGAGAACCACCACAAGAAAGAAAAAAAAAGATGGGGGACCAAGGAACAGGCGGCATCGAAAGTCGGGGCGTGGAGAGCAATACGACCAGACGAATGTCGGAACCACGCCCAAATACTCACGACGACCAGATCAAACAACAAGCTAAGGAAACGAAGACATCTAACGCCGAAGGTGAAGAGCAAAAATATGCACAGACTGGGCCGCGGCTACTATTGCCTGTGCACACATCCAACACGGCAGCAAATGGCGGACTTTCTCGGAATCCGTCCACGAGTTCCAACGCTTCTAGGGAATCCCGAAACATGTTTGAGTTTTCTCAAAGATGTCGCTCTTCTAGACCGCTTGAGCCCCCAGTCACGAAGTCTACTTTGAGCGAGTTGGATGTAAATAAGATTATCCACAACCCAAAGCTACGGCATGACATAAACTTCGATCCAGATCTTCATTTTAGGCCTAATGTCGACGGAGAAAAGGGAAGACGCAAGCAAGAGAAGGCGAATCAATTCTGGAATGCGCTTACGGAACAATTGCAACTGTTTATCGTTGACCGAGATGAATTCATGAGCCGATTTGGACAAGGAGAAGAATGGTGTCTGCCATTGTTGCTGAAGTCTGTCAAAGAAATCATCCAGACATTGGTACCGCAAAGAGACCGAATGTACCTGGATGAGGGACTAAACGTCGAACTAATCATGCAGCAATTTGGCAGAGGAATTGCCGATTTGGAAAAGTTGGCCTCGTGGTTGTCCGGAGTCCTCAAATCCCATTGTGCACCTATGCGGGACGAATGGGTGGACGAGATGCACAGCCAATTGACAAATGGTAACAACACTAATGACATGGAAGAGCTGGTCCAAGGTATGCGCAGCCTCTTGAGCGTGCTCGAGGCCATGAAACTCGACGTGGCGAACCATCAGATCAGATGTCTCCGACCAATCTTAATAGAAGACACTGTGCATTTTGAGCAACGTTTCTTCCTCAAGAAAATCCGAGACCGAAAGATGGATCCGAGTCCAGCTCAGGCGTGGTATCTGACAGTCAGCCAATACTACTCTCGAGATCCTGCATCCGTTCAGGCTTTTGGAGAAATGGGCATCTTTTTCGAGGCTCTATGTAAGATGATACTCCCGTCAACAGACCCATACTCCCATCCCGATACATTTGTCTTCGACGAGGAGCGAATGGCCAAGCTCCGATCTGATATGCTTGATGCAATCAATCTGGAGATATGCATGCGCCTGTTCGAGGGATTGGAGAGAAAATATAGATATTACGATTCGATGTCTAGCATAAACTCCTCCGTTCCTACGCCATTCCTAGCTACACCCTTCTCTGATGCGTCGGGCTTTCTAAGCTCAAGATCGGATGATGGGGGAAGCGATAATATGGCCACTTCGAGACCATCCAGTTTGGTTTTCAGCTCTTCCGGTTCCGCTCAGTCATCCCCTCGAAACTCTCTTGTGCTACCCACTCAGCCAGCCACGAGTAGTGCAGACGATCAACAAACCAAGTCAAAAGATCTATACAACTCTCTAGTGGCCCTCCTACAAACTTCCAGCACTAGTTCCCGATCTATTTCTCGATGGAAGGCGATGAAAGATTCCCTGGCTCTACAAATATTCCGATACACCAATGCGCCAGCCCAGGATCTGCTGCAGTTTGAAGATGAGCTTGACAGCCATCTCTCAGAACTCGCATCCCCACTCTTCCAGCAGGTAGAGCAATACTACCATTACCGCTTGCTCGTGGAACTTCGACAACGAGTCAAGGACTTCAAGGGGCTTACGGGAGCCGTTCTATTCTCGGTCGCTACGGGCGGTCGGTTACACGGCCCGACTCGCAGCTGGGATGGCCCCCGAGAGAGCGTCAGCCGCGAACGCACCTCGCTAGAAAACGCCATTCGAGAAGCTCGGGAAGAAGGCGGTGTGGAAGACATGGCTACGCGTCTTGCGCACATGGGTCTCCTGCACTGGAGAGTTTGGTCGCATTTGGCCTACGCCGGAGATCTCGAAAGTGTCATGGCCGTGCCCGATATGCCCATGGCAATCTAATTATTATCGGGATAATATTCGAGATTTTCGCCCCCAGTCTTTCGATCGCTGGTTTACGGATAGAAACACACGCACACGCCTTACACCACTAATCATCTCTGCATCTCGTCTTATCTCCTCATCCGTCTTTCATGATTACATTTCGAGTGGGTTTTACGGCGCGTCGGCAGCATTAATACCCATACTCATACCCATTACCTACGCTTAATCACTGCATTGGTCATTTACTTCTTGAGACGTTTTTCTTTCTTCAATAATATGGGTCTGGCATCGTTCCGGTGTTTGTTTAGGAGTAATGGTACTTCTCATCTGGTTTGGGGGGCTTGGGGGTGGGTGGAGGCTTTGTGGCTGGGCATTGGCAAGAGATACAACAAAGAGTCAGAGTCAAGAGAAACAGAGAGAGAGAGGCATTAGTCTTTTTTTCATTTCTCCTTTTTTTTTTTTTTTTTTTTTACATCTGTTTATTAGACTTGCAAACCTGTTTCGTGTTTTTTTTTAAAACGCTTCATTGTGGTTGCGACGTCTCGATGGCGAAGAAAAAAAGGGCTTGCATCAGAGAAATACATACCCCCTTTTTGTTATTGTTTTTTACTTTGCTTCACGCACATTTTACAGGGCGTTTAGTTGTGTTCTCATATTTATTCCCTGGTGGCAATGCAAGCAGGGAAGGCAGGCAGGCAGGCAGGCAGGCGAGGCGAGAACTTGTCTTTTTTTATTGTTATGCATCGATACCTAAACTACCTTACCTTAAGACCTACCTATCTATAGGTATCTTACCTATGAATACATACAGGATAGTTCTCTTTCCTCCTACTGATGTCCTCCCCTTTTTTCTCTGCCTAGGACAGAACAACGAGAAAAGCCAACCAGCCAATCAAATGAAAGGGCAAAGGGCTTTTTTCGGTCTTGTTTTAATGTAATGTGATGTGAGGTCGGAGGAAAGGAATGGAATAGTGGAACGGAATGGAAATGGAGAATACAATACATACATACTTATTTTAATGTCCCTTTTTTAATGTTCCCTTGATATGGAAAGAAGCAAGCAACGCAAGCAAGCACAGTCGGCAGAACTACGACGACGGTTGCATGATGTTGTGATGGGATGGGATGGCTAACCCAGAAAAAAAAAGGGGGGAGGGGGAGCAAAAAGACGGCTTGCGTTTATTACCGGTTTTGCCGTTTACACATTTGCACAGGCAGAAGAGAGCAGAACAGAGCAGAACAGAAGCAAATACATAATAACAACAATCACCTGACCTATCCGACCCGATCCGAACGGGTCCGTTTTGATCTGATATGATCGTGTCGTTTGATTTATGTAGTTACATACCAGCAATGTAGTTACATGTAACCCACCCGTCTTCGGCACGGACGGGCGGGCGGACGGACGGGCGGGGGGTTTTTTTTTTTTTTTTTTTGAGAAACGACGCCTACGGAAGGAATACATACATACATACCTACATAAGTGTGGAAACCAACCAACCATTGAAGAGACGAGTTTTTTGTTTTGTTTTTTTCTTGGTCTATGACTAGCAAGTTTAATACAACACAATACAATACGATACGGTGCAGGTTTTGCCAACATCGAAGTTACATACATACATACATACATACATACATACATACATCTTCTTCAACTTCCTTCGTATGTATGTTCAACGAATACATACATGTATTGTACATAGTAGTTAATGATTGATTGGGGGCCCCAAAGTTACCATACCCATGGGTCTTCTCGCTCGGGCCTCGGGCCTTGTTAGGTATCGTACAATACCTACATACAATGCATAGGTAATATGTATTGTACCTAGGTTAGTTGTTTACAGCACTCAATGATGAGTCCCTAACCTAGGTAACCCAACCTACATTCCCACGTGTTAGCCGTTCCGCCGCGGAGATGGGAATCCTGTGTATGTATGTATGTACTAAGTAACTAGTTATAGGGATTTGACGTAGGTAGGTCGGTAGGTCAGTAGGTATGTAGGTTAGGTAGGCAGGCAGGCAGGTAATATGGATCGCGCTTAACGGCTATCCTATGCCTCTGCAACACGTAAGCAGGTAGGTAGGTAGGTAGGTAGGTAGGCACATGTACGCATTGTGAATTGTCTTTTTTTCCAAATTTTTTCATACATACATACATACATACATACATAGCCCTCGGCTTTTGCTAGTACATTCAACGTACATATATATGTAACCTAAGTAAATTGGTGGGTTAGTATGCACGTAGGTGTGTGTTTAGCAGGTAGCTAGGTGTATGTTGAATATACAAATACATATAGTTACAGGGTATGAGGTACGTAGGTACGTAGTCGTAAAAAAAGGGGGGGGGGGGAGGGGGCCAGGCCAAGTACGGACGGACCCAACATGAATGACTGCGCATGTGACCTTCGTACTTACCGACTCCCTGGAAATGGTAAGTTGCGAAATATGTAACTAACTATGTATGTATGCTTATTAGTAAATTCAATATACAAGGGTAGGTTGTAGGTTAGGTAGGTACATATATGACAGGTCAGATTTGAAGGACGTTAATAAATGTTAAACAAAAAAAAGCATTAATCTCCGTTGGTTCGCTCGGTCCCTAATTCGTTCGTTCATCCGTTCGTTCGTTCGTTCGTTCGTTTGCTTGTTTGTTGGTTGGTTGGTTGTGTTCCGTTTGGTTGCCGATGTAATATGTAAATGTAAGCAATCTATGGAAGTTGTTACAGAAGAAGAATGAATGGAAGGGTGATACAAAGTTAAGTAGGAGTAGTTAATTTGTTCAGAGTTACACAGCGCTTGCGGCTTCCCCATAGCCCGCGCGTCCCTGAAATTTGAACGAATGAAGAATAAATTATTAGTTAGGTACTAACTAGGGCGAATTTTTATTTTTGAGGTTTGTAAGCGTAGGTTAGGTTAGGTTAGCCGTTTGCCGCCTCCATCTCCATCTCCATCCGTCTTCCGGGTTCGGTTCGGACTAACCGGGAAGGAATAGTAGTGCAGTTGGAGCTGAGATGAAAAAGGATAGCGGCTTGTGGGTGAGAAAAGGGAATTGGAGAATGGGGAATTTGGGGAATAGGAGAGCTAAAAATATCTCAGCTGAGAGGTTACTACTGTACCTCATGTAGGTAAGAAGATTTTCAGGTGCATGATATACTACATATGTAAGCTAGGCCGGTAACTGTGCATAATACCTTAATAAGTATCCTCTCATTGATTGTGGATATCACGTATGTACTGTCTTGCATACATTAAAACTCCATATATAGAAGAGATAGATGTATACGTGGATGGGAGTTTACCTGTCTACACAAGCTACCTAACGTAAGCTAATCATGTATGTATGTACGTATGCGCCTGCATATATGCAGGTAAGTCTATAGGCATTCCCGAGGTTTTCGTATTGTACGATAAATAAACAGCTACATAGTATTTATTTGCATGTAAGTGCTTACCTACTACATACTCGTACATACATACGTATCCAGGCATGTAGTATCTACATCCACACAATACATGTAATAGATACGATGGCACCCGTCACGTGACAGTGAAGTGAGGCACGTTGGAAGTTTTTCTCAAATTCCCCATTTCCCAACTTTGACAACATCATACATACGTCACCGCGTAAGATAATCTCTCGCTCCGGAGTCCCGACTGTCTGGTAGACAAGGGCCTGTCGGCTAGACCCAACCCAACAACGCGGAAGAAGAAGAAAACGGAAGGAGAAAAAAAAAAAAAAAAAAAAAGAACTCGGCGTCATGGCGTCTAATCTGATGGAACTTTTCGCGATAAGCAAACGGGATGGTGAGCGATGGCATGGGCAACGTTGCTGTTGGAAGTTTGATCAAGTCGAAGATCGTCGTCGTCATTCTCAGTCATGGAGGGTGGATGGCTAGCCACAAGTGGGAAAGTAGAGCCTCCCGACGCCGGCGTCGGCCAACATGCCAAGCCCCATGGATGATACCGGCCAACGGTACCAAGCCGGACAGATATGAGAGTGGGGATGAGCGTCGCGCCCGGGTAGCATGTGCGATGAGGTTGTGCGATTATGTTATCAGATCGGATGGCCCGGTAGTCTGGTATCTCTGCCAACGTACATATCACATCTTACGATCCCTACATCTCGGAGCTTCGTATACTCGTCCCCCGGCCCCTGTTACACGATTCTTCGCTATAGGGTAAGTAGGTACCCCGGAATTCTATCCGTCTTTCGGCTCTGACACGCATTCCTAGCCGGAGACTCGGGTATGCCTACCTAGTATTTTTGTTTTTTTTTTCCCAAATATACCTTATATCTGCTATACCTGGATCCGACCTCAGTATCTGAGCAGAACCATGCCCAGCACATAACTATACATAGATCTACACATCCCAGCACTTACACCCATGCCCCTACCCTACCCATTCCCTCAAAAAAGGAACAGAAGAACCATCGCTACCGCGGGTGTGAGTGAACCGGTTTGTTTCCGTGCCTCTTTGCCCAGAACTCCGCTCATCCATCCTTCGATCCTTCCTGTCTGGGGTCTATCTAGTGTACCTGGGGACTGGCTACATGGGAGGCTAGAGGGGTAGACATCAACAAAGACAGCTTGCGTGTGTATGTAGGTAGCTTCCATACTAGGTAGTCTCCGGGGCGATGTCAGAGATCCCCGCGTATCAATGATGATGATGATGATGTTGTTGTTGTTGTTCTGCGTTCTCAAGGCCTGCCTCGTGACACTTCAATCTAAGCCTTGGTAGTTGAGTTGGTAAGCTGGTTAACCGCTCCGCCGCTCCTGTCTCGGGTTGGGATCATCTTCTTCTGGGGTTCATGTCTTTTAGATAGGGCCAGCGCAAATTGTACAGTTACCTAGCCGGGTCTTTATCTGCGAGAACCAGGCACGGGGCTATGCTCGACATACTTGGATTTTATACAAGTTGGGGTTCGGAGATCTAGAGCATCTAGAAGAAGTAAACAGCGCCAACTACAAGTTCTAGCATCTAACGAGATGTCGATAGATGTAAATATTCAGATATGTCTAAGAAGGTACCTATATAGGTAGGTACTTAAGTGGTACTCCATGTATCTACTAAGCTGGCTCTTTGGATCAACACCAACAAGTCAACGAGGGCTTACGTAGGTAGTTAGTTCTCGTACCAGGTTGAAGCTAAATCTGGACGAACTTGAATAGGTTCCTACATGTATGTACATCCTAGGTAGTGTGCGTATGTGCATCGTTTGACTTCTCACGTAGAAACAAAGCACGTAGGTAGGCCGTGGTAGGCGGTCGGTATTCAACCTACCAACGACTTGGTAGGTACGGATAAGAAAAAAAAAGGAGGAATTGATACGTCCATACCTATATTCCAAGAGGTTAGTTCTCCATGCTTACCTTGGGGCATATAGTTCTTATGTCAGGTACCCAGAACTGCATGGATGAACATCGCTTCGTGACACATCTACTAGATAGCTACCTAGTAGCTCAACTCATAACATCTTAAGCCTCACACCACCATCATCATCACCCCGGCCCTAACTCACCCACACAACAACTGAGCCCCTAAATGTCCCCATCCTAATCCTCCTTTCTGGCCCAGCCCCCAAAGTCTCCCCTACCACCGTATACCCGACACCATAACACTCGGATCATGGTCCGACACTGCCCCCCCTCCCCCCGCCATAACCCGCGAGTTCACGTGGACGAACATGCTTGAATTTCGTGCTAAGCGAGAAGGAGTGTAGGGGCGACGTGGAGGCAGACTCTTTGACAGTCGCCTAGCGCTACGACGGTGCTGGGGTCGAGGGCGAGGATACTTGGGATGAAGGGCTGGAAAAGGGGTTGAAAAAGAGGCGGGGGCAAGTCAGTAGGTATTGTACAAGTAAGTATTCTCGTAGGTCTTAGGTACGTGAATTTCTAAGACCTGGAGGACTCTGGGGAAAAAAGGAAAAGGGGAAACGAGGTGATATGGCAGTACAGCGAGCGAGTTGCATATCTTGATGGAGGACAAGAATACAATGGGCAAGGTGAGCAGGCAGAAAGAAAGAAAGAGAGAAAGAAAATTGAACTCAAGGCCGTAACACCTAGGTAGGTATCTACGACTCTTAGTCTTCTTCTATACCCCTATCCACCGGCGGCCACCATTAAGTTAAAAAAAAAAACAAAAAAACACCTCCCACCATTAGACCCTAAAACATGTTTACCGTGAACGATATCCCCCCCCCCTTTTCTCCCTTCACAAACACCCACGCCGCCTCCCCAGAATCGACATATCCCCGGTTGTACCCAAACCCGGGACCCGGGCAACAATATTAGCCCCGCGCTCCCCGGTTTCGGGCCACACAGCTGCACGGTGTCGGCGCGGATATTACCGCCAATCACGGCGCCCCCGAATCGTCGTTGAGGGAAAAGGAGGGAGTAGCTCTGGTCTGGCGTGTGGTGTACCTATATGGTAGGTAGGTAGGTAGGTAGGTAGTAGGTACCCGGCGCAACGTGGCGCGGGATGGCCCGTACGCTGGCCCTTCGAGCGTGTTGCCTACACTAGGCGCGTGCCCCTCTAATGAGTATAGCCTCGGCATTAATGTCCGTCCGTCCGTTCACCGGCAGTGAGCGAGTGAGGCGGTCGCCGACGATGTTGATATTAGAATACTAGACTAGAGTAGAGGAGAGGAGAGGAGAGTAAATCAGCCGGCTAATCGTGCGAGTTGCTTTGCGCTTCCTGAGCAGTTCACCGTTTGTCTATCAAAAACTCACAGAACATTTGGGCCGTAGGTAGTTACCTACTATTTACCATCTATGACTCACGCCCAAGCTGGGAGAAAGGGGGTAGGGGGCTGCCAACGGAGATTCAGGGCTCTCGGGTGGTTTACTCAACACAGCTCGGGACGGCCTGGCACGGCAAACCTCTGTGCCTACATATCTACCTGTACAGTGTTGTGGTTATCAATAGTCACGGGAAGAAAGGTCTCTAAGCATTGATCTTACATAACATCCCAAATATAATCCGAGTTTGCCCGAAAAAAGGAGAGCGTAGCCAGACAGCTTACTCGTATAATATATAATACTTCTTATCTACCTATTAACTGAACTCGTGCACAGAGAGGTGAAAAGCGGAAAAGTTCTGAGCCCAACTACATACCCCATAAAGCAGGGACATGGTGACCTGTATCTAGCTAGGACGGTCATAACCCAGAATTTGATGAGATCCTGCCAGTGGACTTGTGCATGCCAGATAGCCATAAGAGGGACCAGTCGTGTCAACCGACTGAATCCACGATGTACACTTACAATCTCAGCATTCCTTAGAAACTGACCGTGACTGCTGAAGCTCGCTCGTTAGTCCACTTTGACCTTGACATCGGAGCCAACTCAATTGACAGACACAGAATAGGGTAACCCCCTTGTGCAATAAGAACCGTGACGTGAGCTAGAAGAGGCTGGCTTACTTCAAAGACCAATCAACGTTGCTGGTACACAATAAGTAGTATACAAATAAAAAGAGAATAAGTAGGTAGAGGAAAAGAACGGCTTTGAATATTCGTTTTCTCATTCTCATACTGGAATTCGAAAACTCTCTCGCTAATGTCGAAAACCCAAGAAAACCAAATAGCAGGGCGGTTTGCTCGAACCAGGCCCCAAGCAGTGATATAAAGATCCAAGAATTTTCCCAAATCGCCGTTCCCAATGCAATAATCTCTAAGCCAAGAACCAAGAACCAGAAGAGCCGATGACCAAGGACCAAAGGCCAAGATCCACCAACCAAAAATTTATACAATAATGTAATGGAGAAAAAGGAAAAGAAAGGATATGACTGGACTAGTCAGACATGGTGCGCCAAGCGAAAAGATATATGTACGGGTATAATATTCAACAACCGAAAGCTGAAGGAAGGAAATGGGAAATCAGAATGCTCATCGAGTAGTCAGTGGACTTTTGCCTGGTCCTTGTGCTCTCTTCAATGTTCTCAGCTCGTCCTCGATCTTCCTTCGCACCATCTGTTCCGCCTATATAACCTGTTAGTCGATGAAGTTTTATAAAGCCACAAGAAAAAAAAAAACATACCCTGAGTTGCTCCTCGTACTTCTTCCTCTCAGCCCTCAGTCCTAGCCTGTAGGAGTCGGTTAGGTACGTGGTTCCCTTGTTGCCAGCGGGCGACAGTGGTCCTCTAGCAGATCCCAGCCGCTCTTTGTCGAGCTCGTCCTGCAATTGCTCCTTCTCTTTCCGTAATCGTGCGATCTCGCTTTCTAATCTTTCTTCGAGGTCACCAGTAGCCTCGTAGAGTCGCTTTTCAAGTTCCTCGCTCATGTTGTCCTTCTCTTCCTTCAGCTTAGATCGCTCAGTCTTGACCCGGTCGAGCTCATCTTCCAGCTCCGCAATCTTCTTCTCGCTTTCGACAGACTGCTTGACGACATTGGTCAGGTCTACGGCGGTTGCTTTCAATTCCTTCTCCAGCACAGCAACTCTGTTCTGGATCTTAGCCGACTCAGAAGTGTTATGCAAAGCCGCAACCTCGGCAGCCCTCTCTTTCCTAGAACCGTAGGCACCGTCCAGCTCGGCTTTAGCAAGAGTAGCTTCCATCTTAAGCTCAGCAACCATACCCGTCATCTGTCCAAGCTCTTCCTCCTGAGCCTTGAGCGCATCTTCCTTGTCCTGGACAGCCTTGTCGGCAGCCTCCTTGGCGGCAATGGCTTCTTCTAGTCGTGCAGTGATGGCCTCGACATTGGTTTCAGCCACTACCAAGTGTGCCTGCATGTCTCTGTTGCTGGCCTCTAGTGACGCAATCTTGGCGTTCCTCTCCTTTAGACGCTCTCTTGCCTCATCCATGACGGAAGATTCTTCATCTCGACTCTTTTGCAACATCTCGAGATCATTCATGGCCTGTGAGAGCTGTGATCGAATCTTATCTGTTTCCTTCTCGGCTAAGTGGAGTGAACCCTTGGCTTCATCCAGCTCGTCCATCTTCTCTTGTAATGCTTGATCCTTCTCAGAGTCAGATCTGCTGTTGAGCTCACGCTGCTGTTTAATCTGGCGTTTCAAGACACCCTTCTGCTCTTGTAATTTAGTGGCTTGCGTGTATAGCCATTGAACCTTAGCTGAGAAAGCAAATAGCGAGTATTGCTCATCAAAGTCGAAGGATTCACCGTCGGACATATCAGCCTCATCTGGTTCCAATCCCTTCTCCAAACGAGCTTTCCGTCGGTTCTGCTTCCGTTGCCGGATGTCGGCATAGCCTGTTTGAATAGTATCCCAAAGTCCCTTGAGTATTGTATCGGGGTCACTCCTGTTGTCGAGGGCGAGATCTGCACTGGGTCCCCGTCGGAGCTCTTCTTCTACTATACGCAGCGAGTCCTGTAGGTAGTCAAGCTGTTCATCTACGCCCAGATTCACATCGGGAGGTGCTGGACGATCTATATTGGCACTTCGGAGTACATTCTGGATATGGACGTTCTGAGCCTCTATCTGGCTTGCTACTTCAACCGTGTTGTTGCCTTGAACTCCAGTCTGAGCGAGTGTTATCAGTCCGTTCTCAAGATAATCCAAATGACTGCCGATCATGTCGCCGGGCTCAATCCGACCTGATGGTACATCTCTGTAATCAGCATTCTTGGCAGGATCTGCGCCCACAATTACATCGCGGAGTCGGTAATTTAAGCTCTCCAGTTTGGTTTCTGTTTCCGTAATCAGATTCCACCCCGATTGGGCTTTCATTTGATCCATCTCCGACATAAGCGAGTTATTTTGGGTTCGTAGATCGCGGTTCTCTTCACGCAGCTTCTCGGTTTCTTGGGTAAGTTGCTTGTTCTGTCCTCGAATGGGTGACTTCATAGGTATCTCGATGGGATTCGGGTTCGGGCTCGGCATTGGGCTTGGGCTTGGACTTGGGCGAGTTCGATCTTCGAATTTATCGGACGGGTTAAAAGACAAGTAGAAGCTGGCTTCGTCGAAGCTATGACCATCTTCTAAAAAGTCCATGTTGAGACTATCACGACTATTTGATGTGGTATACATACTCTCGGGACTAGCGGGTACGCCGTTCAGGAGAGGAACCCTTGGGGTCGGCGCAGCTGGTTTGTTGGCAGCCTTGTGTGTGAACTGTAGGATAGCAGCAGTATGTTCCAGCAACTTCCTTTGGGGCTCTATTGCGCGCTTCTCTAATGCCCACAGCTCCCAGGCTAAGTCATCGCACTTCTTCTGAATAGCGCTCAACTCCTGCTCAGCTTCTCGCGCCGCCTCGCTTGATTCAGTATGTCGATGGCCCCGGAAGCTCTTTCTGCCGGAAGCTGACGAGGGTGGAGAATATAGTTTGGACATGGACATCGCGGCATCACGATATTTGGACTGGATGGCCAGACTTGACCGAACTTGCTCGATGCGCTGATTTAATATATGGCGTTGTTTCTTGAGATCGTCCACTTCCTCTTGAGAGAGAATTTCATATCCCTTGCTGTCGAGTAAAGCAGTTTCGGTAAGTAAGTGCATTTGGACGGGATCTTTCAAATCAACCAGCGCCGAGCTGTGGACTCGGCCGAGTTTCCTCTACTTGAATATAAGTATGTTGAGGCCATAAAATAATAGCGCAAGACATTAAAGCAGTTGGGGTAGGAGCTTACTTGGTTGGATCGCATTTTGACACTACCAAATCGATTTATACCTTCCGCACCGAACGAATCACTTAGTGACGAAGGTGTCGGCGAAGGAGTTGGGCGCAAAGGCGCGGGTATGGCAGAGTCGAAGTCATGAGGACTTCGGCTTCTAAAGCGGTTCATTTTGGTCACTTCTGAGAAGATGTCAAGTTCGACCAATGCATTATCTAATGGAAAATATGGCGCGGGAAGCCGCTTCTAGCGTTCATCCGATCGATCGGTCTTATGTGTTCGATCCCTCCCTTACTCGGTTGCTCGCTTGCTTGACTGAGTCGCGTTCGGGCGTGTTAGGGTTTCGATACTACCTAGTAGTAAATAGTATTAACGGGTTCAAAGCGAATCGAATCGAATCGAACTAGAACTAGAATTGGAATTGGAACAAAAATATAGAAAATGGACTAGTATAATTTTGTATCCAAGGTAAAAAGGGAACTTGTTAAAAAAGGCAGAATTCAAGAATTCTTACGAAACCAAAACACACCCAAGAAACATGAAGTGGAATATGATAGCACAAGAAAATGGAAAGCTGTCAATCAGAGCCCAAAATGAAAAACGTGGGTTGGGTTTTAGCCTCAAAAAGATGAAATGGAGAAAAGGAGTTTTTTTTCTTTTTTTGGTTTTTGGGGTTTTTGCTTAAATGCCCAGCTTGTCCAAGTACAGGCAACAAAATATGACCAGTGCAGATAGATAAGTGATTCAAATGGTACAGGTACAATACAAAAAAAGGTTGAAAAGGTTGGATCAACATGCCCCCCCCCAGTTGCCTTAGAGTTGCCTATGCCTTACATACAGTACTTGCCTAACCTTAGGTTAGTAAGAGTAGTACACGACTGCTGCGCGGGCGAGACGGATTACATGATCGATTGATGAACCTAAAATTGCTTAGCGGCTGAGCTTTCCGGGAGCACGCACACGCGCTTTCGCTGTTAGAAACAGTTGGAACAACGGCAGCACTAAGGCGTAAAATTAAAAGTCTCGATTGTGGCTAGGGTATTGCATGCATATACCTAGTTGGAGTCTTACGTACTTCTTACAGGCATATAGTTATTAGTTATATGTACATAAGTACATGATTAAATAGCCGCCGGATAAGACCAGATAATCTATAGTAAGTAGGTGAGTAATGGCAATTCCATCATCCATCATATCGTATAAATCGTATTCCTTTTTTTACTTCCTTTTCTTTTCTTCCCATGCGGCACTGAATGCTTGGTCATTTCCTACAAGTAGGTACATATACTAATAGTATGTATGTGCAAACGCAATATAACTGCTACCTGCATAGTGGTATGTACAATACATGGGTCAATAGGTACAAAGCTGCAGTAAGCGCAAGACTAAAAATAAAGTGCTGTGCCCCTGCAGTAGTAGCGCCCGTTCTGTCGTCGTAGTATGGTTGTACCCTTGGAATCTCAAATGCTGTTCGGGATTCTCGGTACCATTTCCAAGTTTTTATGTATATACTGCACATTAGGAGTAGTAAACATATTCTTATACAATAATATACATACACAACTTATCAGTTGACATCTTATGTATCAGCTCACTTGCATTGCTGGCGCTTCCCCCATGCCCCCATCACCTTTTTTGCTGATCGAAATTGTGCTATACAGTTTTAGTGCTCTTGTGACAACATAGTCACTTTGAATACGAATATGTTGCAGTATGTTGCAGTATGTTGCGGTAAAATGAATGATTATCTAAATCTCTGCTAGAATCAGAATGGGAGGGTCCGCAATCTCAAATCTCAAACCTTTTTAATCTTCTCCATCGTCAACTCCTCCGGCCCCTCTCGCGGCTGTCCCGCCGAAGCGGTTCGCGAATATCACTGGGTTCAGTCCTTTGGGTCCCAATAGATTGGTAGATTGGAGGGACTGTCGTATAAAATTGAAGATCTCTCTATCCTTGGGCTAATCCTCTTGTTCTTTTCTTCTTCTCGCTTCACTGCAAATTCAAACCTGGGTAACTCGGCCTGGCTATGCTCCTCAACAATGCCTCCACGGCACATACATATTTAGCTCGATACATCGTAAAATGGTACAACACCATATTCTAAATATACTCTATTTATGAATCAGATACTCTCTTCGTACTGGCCCCTGCAGCCTTAAGCTTAGGTTACAATATTTGGGGCCGTTCGTCAGTATCCTTTCAGGTGCGGGAGGATCAGTGCTACTACCCACGTACATATATCTTCCTAGGTAACCACGCCATCTTCGCACTCGTTTACTACTTTCGATATATGTATAGGTAAGTATATATGTATACAACTTAACTACGTGGGCTTAGCCACGTCTATCTATGCGGGGCCGACATCGTGAATCCATAGATGGCCGAACGCGTACGAGCCGAGTGACCACGGCATACTCTATATGGGTGAGCGGCTCAGCCAATGCCCGAATGGGTATCATTTGGAACGTAAGACCAAATCTATCAGAGCAGAGCTGGCCGCACAGCAAGGGCGTAGAAAGCTTGGAATAGGATCATGGGACTATGTCCATCAAATCAGCCTCGTTCGCCTTCTACCACACGCAAAACGTGGCGGGGCAAGCGAAGAATAGAGTGATAGCACCATCTCACAAGAAACTTCCCATAATAGATCCCTATTCGGACTCTTGTGATTGCAAGCAAGAAAAGAAGGGGAAGCTCTAGAAAAACCTTGCCAAGGTGTTGCCCCGTAATGAACGGAATCATGGCGGCGACACCAAGAATAGAATCATCATGTTGGTCTCAAGCTCATGCGTCGATGCATTATCGCGCCGTTAGACCGTTGCACTTCTTGCCAGAGTTATACAACCTAGAGGAATCCGTAAGCTGACGCCTTTCTCCAGATAGTTACCAAGACTGTCGAATCCGTCAACACTACCTGTGACAGTTCGAGTCTGGGCATTGTGGAAGGCTTGCTCCTGGTGGCAGTGTCTAAGCCCAGACAGCCTCGCCGTAGGCTTGAAGAGGAAGTTGACCTTTTCTATGGGATCTGCTGCCACGTTTTCCAAGGATATTCATACTGAGTAAGCTGGGTTTAGTATTTTTAATGATCGTTTGCCGAGACGAACATGGATCATGAATCTCATCGGCCGAGATCGTCGTCAGGATCCCCAAACTTACCTACCTACCGGGAATGCGAAGCGAGAACTGCAATATGTTCAAGGTTATTTTCTTTTTTTTGGTTCCCCTGAAATCACAGGGAATTCACTCCCCTTTCCAAAGGATGATTCCATGTCTCGCCTGCACAGCCACGTCTCTAGGACGGCTATTTCTAAATATCAAGAGGGGCAATCGCAAGCCGCATAGTCATCGCATGGGAGTGCTGTTAGGGTTTTTGATACGCCATTTCGATTAGGATAAGTGACCGGGTATGTGGGTAATCATCAAGATAAAAAGAGATTCATGTGAAAAATGAAAGAATCACATATTGACAAGGCTTCCAAAAATTTACAAAAAAATTGAGGTGGATGAAAATCCAATTGTATATTGCTATCTGCAGGGTTCGAACCTGCGAATCTTTCGATAGTAGAGTTTATGCATGGAAATGACTTAAATCTACCGCCTTAGACCACTCGGCCAAGATAGCTCTATGAGATGAGATGATTACTTAGCTTTTAATGTGGTCTATATAGCAAACTACCTCGTGCAAGGCTAGTTGGCCCGTTATCGGACCAATCCCATTCCACGATATTCAACTGTCCTTAAAGGCTTTGAAGGTTCGGGAAGACGATGATTATGATAAGCTGGCGCTTTAATACGTACAACTGTACCTATGCAAGCTCTAAATAGATTCACCGATGTTACATAGTACTGTATCATGTAACTTGGAAGAATATAGCTCTGACGAAGTGCACCTTACCACTTATCTTGATAGATTTATATCTCCAAACAGGAGTATTAAGGGGGCTTCGCTCATTAATTCTATATGCACCTAGGTATGTTATCCCCAAATTAACTGATATATTCCAGATACCTTGTATACTTGCGGGCAAGTTTAGAATGCCCCTCGAAATTGGTCCATCACTTGCTGGCCCATCGTCCTTCGCCTTCCACCCTCACCACTGGCTTGATTCTGTACGCCCGTTGCCGCGGCTGTAGATGCACTCTCTCCCTCGAGTCTTCTGCGCAGCCCTTCGAATTCTTGACTTCTTCCCTGAGTTCGCATCCCTACTACCCATCCTGGTAGACGCCATCGTATTAACGATCGTGGCAAAACTTCCATTCTCCAGGACAAACCCACCATCCAACCTACTAGTGCCCCAAGCAAGGAGCCAGGCCACTGCAGGAGGGCCAGCTGGAATGCAAGTAAATATCGGTACGATTTGTCAGAGAAAGTAATGCCTTGAGCTTGGTCGTCCGTCTGTGCAGACGTCGAGGTCGCAACTTTGTATTTGTATACCGGTGGTATCATCGCATGGTACTGAGCTAGTATCGCAAATATTATAGGAGTTGGGCCAGCGGGAAGGTAGTTGAATAAACCCCAAGTAAGTGGCCTCAAGAAGAGGGCCAAGATCGCGGGGGTAAGGAAGCTGGTGCACAACGAGCTAACGAAGATGAAGGTCTACAGAACGTTTGCTCGCGTCAGCTAGATATAAAACAATAGCAACTTAGTAGGTGATGATGCGCTTACAGCGAACTTCCTTGACCCCCACATCCTCTCTACCGATCGCATGTTGTATATTGTCATAGCAGCAAACAGCACCTCCGATGAATTCGTATAGCATAGCTGGTAGATAAGAGCCCTCCATGTCTGGTGGAATTGCCAGAGATGTAGATCGACTAAGATATAGAAGTAGTGCTTGATGTCAAGCAGACTAACTGCTATGGATACTCCAATAAGTCCATAGACAAGACTGCGCGTCACTGGCGCATTCGTAAAGGACATGGTGTCGGCTCTATGGGGGGGATCGTTCTTCTGATGGCTACCGGCGCATTGCAAATTGTACGTTAGTGGGCTGGCATACCACAAGAAAAAGAAGAAGTCTAAGTTAAGAATGTATTTCCTTGTGAGTCTATGTAGTTGCACTGAAGCCCAAGCAATAAAAGGGTATGTAGTGCCCAAGCAGCTGCTGTCTTTCTCCGAATGCTGTGTTGGAACGGCAGAAGAGCTTGGAAGTTAACATGTGCATGTAATTATTTGGTATTCACCTATGACATTCATGGACAAGGTGTCTTTAGGCCAAACTTTTATGGATTATTACATATTCGCATACTACACTACACTAAAGTTTACTATGGTAACCTTGGAGTCCACCTGGACATAGACACTGGACAGGGATCTCCAAGAGCTGAAATCATGATCCTTGAACTTCAGCCTTATCAGTATCGATAAGGTACTTATGGAGACTGTGCTAAGAATCTTGAATTGGCCACTGTTTTGTTACTTTGTAACACCATTGGCGGCGTCGACAGGTGTACATCTTTCTTGTATTGTACAGCCCAGTCATTACATTCTAACCTAGGTTAGTATCATCATCAATTTCACTGCGGCTTGAAGCCACCTTCGTCGTCATCTCCTCTTTATGATTTCAGTATCAATATGCGAGAAACTTAACATTGAACCTTCTTTTAATTCACTGTGTTTTTTATTTATTTAATTTCCCTTCGACTGACTGTTTCCTATCCTTAATTTCACACAATATACCTATCATAGTTCATTGCGTTTCCAACTACATATCCTTCATTCTCAGCCACGAACCTTCACCATGTCCGACCTATACCTTTCCACTATCACAAATTGGCTTTTCAAGTCCCCCCCGGCAGAATGGATGATCAAAAATGCTCGAGAGTTGCTCATAGGCACTCTCAAGCAGGGTCCTATACCCCTACATGTCGCGTTCGAGATGGATGGAAATAGGCGCTTCGCCAAAAACCATAAGATCGAAACTATAGAAGGCCATCACCTCGGCTTTGAAGCTCTTGCGCGTGTTCTCGAGATCTGCTACAAGTGTGGCGTCAAGGTTGTCACAGTCTACGCCTTTAGTATCGAGAATTTCAACCGACCTAGACACGAAGTAGGTGGCCTAATGGCAATGGCCAAAGTCAAGCTAGAACAGCTTGTGCAACATGGGGAGCTTCTCGACCGATATGGCGCTGGTATTCGCGTGTTGGGAGAGCGGGACCTGATACCAGCCGATGTGTTACCTTACGTTGACCGAGCTATCGAGATGACAAAGCATAACAAGGAGTAAGCTTCTTCCTTGATGGTTACCGGAATACCGCCCCTCCTAAACAATGCTAACTATCAAATTTCAGTGCCGTGCTTAACATATGCTTCCCCTATACCTCCAGGGCCGAGATGACCAGTGCGATCAAGGCTACGGTGGACGAATACACATCTGCACCTCGGCTCTCAACTACACCATTTTCCCAAACGCGAATCTCCCAGAAGATTAGATCCAACAAGTCAAAGAGGTCGGACTCGTCTTCGCCTATGGACTCTTCGACAGATCAGAATATGAAATCTGATGATGACTCGATGTCCTCCACTACAGCGCTTGATCCCGAGTCGCCTCCTCTGAAGTCTACACCGGTGAAGACGGTTAAGTTCCAAAGCCCGGAGACTATCACGGCTGAGACTATCAATAGTCATACCTATACTGCCGAATGTCCACCGCTGGATATCTTTATTCGAACTAGTGGTGTCACTAGATTGAGCGATTTCATGTTATGGCAGTGCCACGAAAACACCCAGATTTTCTTTTTGAAGTGTCTTTGGCCTGAGTTTGACCTATGGCATTTCATCCCCATCCTTTTAGAATGGCAGTGGAGGCAGAAGAAGCTGAACGAGAAGGAGGGTTCCCGAAAATGAATAGATAGGCAAACTGTATGGCATACCCTGGATTGGCGTTACGGCGAGGCGTACCTGTTGAAAACTTACATGCGAGTAATAGCATGATAGCATAATGCTTGTTTACCAACCTTCCTACCCATTCAATACTCAAGTTGAGTCAGGTCAGGTGTAGTAGATAATGAAGTGAGTTACTAAACAATATAGACTGTGATCTCCTTGCAAGTACATAAGACACCATGCATATGTTAGATACTAGATGCTTAAGAGATCCATCCGTCTGTTGAAGAGTGATGTCTTCCCGCACATACAGACTAGACGTACCTACATCGTCTGCAGCTGCCAGCATACCTACATACATCAAGACCTACATACAGTATGCATAATCACCTGCAGAGACAAGTGTCGGGATCCTACTGTACATTTGAAATCGGCCAGCAAAACACGAATAAAGTAACAAAGTGGACTCTCTCTAATGACGCCGAGGCCTGCAGGGGAGGGAGAGGGGGCTAGGAGCGGAGAAGTGTCATTGTTTACGGTGATTACATATTAGTAGGTACATACGTTTACGGCTTTGGGTAGCTTATCTTATCATTTCTTATCGCTCATTTTACATAGAAAATATAGGACGGATTAATTGATTAAAGATACCCTACTTATCGGATCAATTGAGTCGCTTGTCATGGTCCAGACTGACCAATCAAAATGGCTAAAACTACCATTTTCTGTGGCGTCTGCAAGCCCACATTGCCAAACCTTAAGTTTCCCGCCGATAGAAACCCGCGCGCAATGGGGGTCCCTAGTAGGTCACTGTAAAGTTACCCAGGCTAACTAAAGTAAAGAGTAAAGCGCTGCCGTCCGCTGCCGACTCACCTGCAATTAATAAATCTCGTCCATACAAGCTGCCGTCCTCTTCTTCCTCTCTTATTTTTTGCGCCCCCTTTCCATGCAGCTTCTTTTGCGTTACATTTCACCCTAATTTTATTAGTATTGGCTATTCCATATCACAAAATGACATGAGCTTCAACATTTGAAGCTCCTTGTCAAATTACTCTCAACGCCAAAGACTGCAAACTTCTCGAACAACAAGCCAGCCAGCCTTCTATCCCATTCAATACCCGTCTCCCCATCTCGACCACAACTACCATTTACTATTTAATACCCACCCACTTTCTCGAAAAAGAAAAAAAATACACCAAGATGAAGACTGCGAAACCACCTCAAGCAGACGCCGGTCCATCCTCGAACCGAAGAGCTCAACCTGTCCGTCAGACTCGAGCGAACCCCCCGCGAACCACGTCTACCTCTGGCCGCACTCTCGCCGTTAGAGAGTCGCTCGGAACCACTCACAATAATGACCAACCCATCGAGATCTTCCCTGCAATCACATACTTCACAGATGCTATATCATCACTACCTAAAGACCTCGTCCGACATTTCACTCTTTTGAAAGAAGTCGACGCCAAAATATTTGCTCCTGAGGAGACGCTTGTCCAGCTTGTCGACGCTGTCCTTAAGTCGAACCCCCCCGAACCTAGAAATACCAACGATGCGTCAAGCAGCGTGGCCGCGGCTTCAACGCCAATGAGCGCCCAGAACAGCTTTAGTGGATTCACCGCAAGCGGCAATCCTGCTGGATCGACCGATGATAGCTACAGCTCTACAGTCTTTGATCCAGGCAACCTTCCTCGGCGACAGCTCTTTCGTCAAACCGCGTTGAAGGTCCAAGAAATGCTTGTGTCGCTAGAAGAGAAGAACCACGTCATGACCACTGCGAACGAAGCGCTATCTAAACAGCTATCTCGGGTCAACGACGTGTGGCCGCACCTTGAGGCTGAGTTCAGCGACGAGGCTAAATGGGGCAGTAACACACACTGGGCTTATCCTGAGAATAGGATCAATCGAGCAAATCAAGCCGAGCGATCGCGCCGAGATGGTGCAGCTACCATTACGGCCGCTGCCCAACAGCTCGCTGACGAAGCTGCTGCGCGAAGCGACGCGAGAAAACAAGCGATCATGGCCAAGAAGGGGCTTAAGCACCCTCACCAAGATTCAGACGCAGACGATCACGATAATAAGCAAAAAGGCGAGCCGGCGAAAAGGGGCTCCAATAACAACAACAAGTCCCGAAAAAATGCCGACGCAAATGCGCCGGTTGGATTAGGTATCACGGCGGGCGCTGCGACTACTACTAACGGAAACCCCCCGTCTAAAAGACGAAAGGTTGAGGCCAACAAGGCTGCCAATGGTGGACAGCCCATGGAACGTGCTATGAGTTCAGTCTTTAACGGCAACACCACCAAGGCCAAGAACTCTAGCCCGAGGGCGACACCGGCTCCTGAACAACCTAAAAAGCGCAAAGCTCTCCCGACTGTCAATGGCGGCTCAAAAAAGACGTGAGCATACATACCCTGCTTCTATAGCTTTGCTGTATTCGTTTTCGCTAACTCTTTACTCTGCAGTAAAACAGCCACTGTTGCCGTCGCTGCACTCTCGCCTGCAATGGCACCCTCTCCGATACAACCTAACTTCGACCCAAAGGTCGTTGCCCGTGCTTCTCCAGCACCCTCCATAGCTTCGGTTCGCCCCGCCTCATCTCGAGCGAGGCAGAATTCCATACAGTCCAACGTAGAAAATGGCCGACAACGACCAACTTCGTCCGCGTCCAATAGGCCGAATGGCATCGTAGCTCCACCCCCAGAGCTTACGACGGCCCAGAATGGTGTTCGCCCCCTACCCGACACCAACAATTCAAACAAAGAGACGATCGCCACCATCAAGGTTGAGGCTTCCAAGGAAGAAGCAGTACTCGCTATTGCGAGCGCTAGTAACGCAACGACGAGCAGTAAGCCCCCTGCCAAGGGGGATGATGCGGAACTCAAGGGGGATCTCATACAGACCCCGCCAGCAGCAACAGCGGCAAGCATAGTCACTACTAAAAGTGGACGAACCAGCAAGCCGTCAACGCCGGCTTTAGGATCATTCCCGGACCCCCAACCACGATCTCGGTCGTCACGAAATACATCGACAACTAATGCTAAGAGGAGTCATAAGAAAGGCGCGGCTCAGCAAGTTGCAGCCCGAGTGGCAGACGAAGACGCCAACAGCAGCGTCCAGGGCGACGATGAAGGCGACGTTGATGCTGACGAACCACTCTATTGCTACTGCAATGGTGTTAGTTACGGAGAGATGGTTGCTTGCGACGCTAATGACTGCGAACGAGAGTGGTTCCATCTTGACTGTGTTGGTCTCAAAGAAGCTCCACCATCGAATAGTAAGTTTACGAGATGGACGGACGTTAAAGTAGATTAGATGAGCTAACAATCTTGGCAGTGAAATGGTATTGCGATAACTGCAAAGATCGAATGAAGGCTGGAAAGAAGGTAAATGGCAGGTGATGCGCCTTTCGTCATAGCGTTTGCTTCAACGGGTATATGGAGCGCCTTTCTAGAATTAAAGGAGTTCACGGCGTCCATTTAGTTGCAGTCACGACAGCTCGGCACCCGGTTGGGAAAACCGGGGCCTCAGGACGGGTGCAACATGATCTCACGTATACTGTGGCGTATCGGATTTTGGAGTTACTAGATATCTAAAGCGTAGGTACCTATACCTAGTACTTATTCATGGTCTCCTTTTCTTTTTAGGAAGCTGAATAGGTGTCTGACAATAGGGTTGGTGAGGTTTCCATGGCTTTTTAGTGCGATAGTATCATATCGACTCGGGGTATATTGAGAAGTCATGCGAACAGGAGCTAGGTGTGGTTGATTCTGTACACTGGGTACCTCTCTCGGGTTCAATGTTTATTTTACATGGATACATATGTGTACCACTTACATCAAGCTGGTTACAGTTATTATAGGACTTTGGCAGACCTCTATAAGGTGCCGGTCAAACTCAAACAATATTATCATAGCTTATTGAAAGAAACATATAGTTACTCTCGATGTTCGTATGCTAGGAACCTTGGTCGTTGCCTACCTACTGTAGGTATGCACATAGCTACGTGATGTAAGTTGTAGTCCATGGGTCGAAGTGTACCTAAGTTACATACATGTAGGTATCTACATTCTCCATGCATATATACATACACAACGTAAGGTCTACATGGAAACATGCATACTCTTAGTAATAGATACCTACTACATACGTCCATGTAACCCTGAACTAGGGACGGATAAAGGCTTGGTAAAAAAAAAAAAAAAAAAAGGAGTTGGCGCCGCCACCCGTTGACTGAATAATTGGACTAGAAACCCACCTTTGATGTGCCCCTTACGTAGACACCCAGGCTCATGGTAGCATTACATTAGGTATGTAGGCAACCTATCGCCATACTATGGTCTTAGGGGTGGGAAAAAGGACAGCCCTAAATAACGCGCTAATGGGTGGGCCTATTAACAGCACTTATCTTATTAATGATAGTACTTTTAATCGTTTATTTACTTTTAGTCTTCCTAAGTACCTATGGGGCAAGCTTAAAACGCTAACACCTAATCTAGTATGGTATACGATCAGTGCGGCCCCATCGGTACTTCTTAACTGCCCCCTGACTGTCCTTTTTCCCAGGCCTGATACCGTCGTATCAGCCGCATGCTCTAAAACTTGGAGAAGGCGATACGCAGAGCTGATTGGCCACGTGGACTCGGTCGACCAAGACATGAGGCTATTTTTCCCCGCAAACGTACTAATCTGAATATGTATATGTATGTATGCCCCTTTGTAAGTTATTAATTAGCTTATAGTTAGGTAGGTTCCATGCAGGTCGGACTAGCTACACTAACACCACCAGGGCACCATCCCGTTTCTAAACGGGAGGCACTTGGAACTACTGTAAGTACTATTATGTAGTACACTAAAAGCTACCTGCCCTAGATCGGCACGTCCGGCTCATCAAAGCTTTGGTTTGGCAAACAATGGGCAAGAGTGGACAGCTAACTAGTACCTAATGATTATAACATTGGATCAATACATAGATGCCTCTCAATGGGGGACCGGGCAGCTGGGTGGTCTAAGAACTTTTTTTTCTTCTTCTTCTTTTGTTCTGTTCCTGGGGCACCTGATGCGTAAGCCCTCCTGAAGAACAAGCCCCCCTTCTTCTCCCTCTCCTTCCTTTCTCTGCTTTCTTCTGGCCACGTGAACTAGGTCGCGTGGAAGACGTAAAATTAGAGCTACGTAGGTACCTGCCTAGCTATGTACTCTTATGTATCAGTGCTTTTTTTTTCTTTTTTTTCGTTTCCGGAACGGCAGTCTAAGGGGTTACTCGGCCAAGACCGGAGCCAAGAGCGGTCAAGCTAATGTTTGTGAATAGTATGCATGTATGTAAGAATGTCGTTCTTTCATTGAGATATTACATAATTCTCCTCACTTGTTTTTGGCTTGATTGGAGTACACGGTTTCTTGTCATATAATCTGCATTGTCTACTCGTACTACGTAGGTTACATGATATTCATCATAGTATGTACATAGGTATGCATGTACATACATACGTAGCTGGTTCAAAGATGGCCTTTCTTGCGATGTGTGTGTCAAAGGCTGAGTGATCAGGAGGAATAAAAAGCTAATGTTGGAAACGTATATTGGCTTTATGTATGGGGGCAGCATGATGTGGTATCATTGCGCAATATGGCAAAAGCTGGTCACGATACTCGGATACGAGCATAAATATAGTAAGCTCCGTTAACGGACGCCGAAGCAGAAAAAAAAAAGCTATAGACGAGCTACTTCTTATTACTCTTACCTAAGAGTATAATCTTACGTTGGAGCAAGTGGCAATATATGTATGTACATAGGGAATTACGAAGTATTAGTATACAGTAGAAAAAGACGAAGAATAAGAAAAAGTGTGGGCAATTTGAAATATGCGAGGTGTCATTCCTCAACGAGCCCGTATTACTGTAGTATTGAAATTTGATATCATTTTGCAACTTTGCGATGTTCCAAGTATCGAATTCGTAAAAGGGTATAATTGAATCTGGGGAAAAAAGGGAACATTGAAGACAATTTAACCAATTTGACGGTGTTGCGCCAATTTGCCAAGGCATTAGTTGACGGACCCATGAACGGGGGTCCACGGAAACATACCTAGGATAGCCCTGAAGGTTTAAGAAACTTTGAAGTTCGCTAAACCCGGCTAGCCTTAATATGTGTCTAGGCCACTTAGGCCACTCACAGAGTCACAGCCAACAGTCTAGTTAGTTAGTTAGTTAGTTACCTACTGTCTGACAAACATTGAACAAAATCTTCCACCGAGTATCAAATCAATTTTTACCCTCTCCCTGCTCCTCTCTCCGCAAGCTCTAAATCCTGAACTTTCAATGTTCATCCTTTCTCCGGGATCTCCAGAAAAAATGTTTTTTTAAAACAAATAAACGAAAAGAGAAAAATAAAATGAAAAAAAATATTTCTTCATCGCGATGACGATATTACCCCGTAACAGCAGCAGGTCTGGGATCGCCTGACATTCTTAACATTCTTGAACGTTCTGGACATTCTCATTACCAAATAGCTATCTAAGCGGAGCATTCGTTAAAGGCCAAGGCGACCTTTCGAATTTCTTCTCACCCATTTGCCGCCGGTCTCGATGGCAACAAGCGTTGGTGGGTAATGAGCTCAGGTGACAAAGAAGAATCCAATCCCTCTGCTATTCTTTCATTTCCATTACCCAATCCATGAAAAATGGAATCATGGGAGTTTGCTTCCATAACCAATTCTAGCCACCTGCGGGGCCGGCCATACAGTATGTATGTAGGTATCTACACACATACGCAATATACACATTCTATGTTGACACCACTCGCAAAAGTTGTTCAATGCTCAACGTTGCTAGTGTACTAACTACCTAGTGCACACTTACTATTGCTATGGCCCGTGGGTGCAACTGCTTATACTGCCTACATTGCCTACTTACATACATATGTAGTAGGTATGTAGGCAAGTATAGACACTACATATACATACTTATGATTTTTAGTATAGGTACATTACATACAATGCCTCACTCCATTAAACGGTAACTTGAACATTGAAATCACAAAGGCCCAGCTGGTTGATAACTGGGTTTCCATGTACTATACTATTAGTACTACTAATTTATTCAATAGTACTATTGGTACATACTATTGACATTAGCAGTTTTCAAAGAAAGAACCCGCAGAAAGCTCAACCACGTGAGACTTGGTAGCTTCACGCTTGGTGGTCTTGGTCTCTTGTCTTGTCCATGGATACTCCATATTTACGTATGAAGAATTCGATACCCCCTAGCGACTTCCAACGACGACGATGAACAACTAGCATCGCCCCGTTTCTTTAACGTGCCACCCCCGGGCTGGCAAAATCCATCCTTGAACTGGATCAATTAAATTATGCCACAGACGCAGACGCAGAACTGAATATACCTACCTAAACGACCATCTAAACACACTCTTTTCTTAATAGCCCTGGAATATATAATACATTACAATATACGGGAAAAGGAAAAGTACATATACAAGGGGAACAAAAAGAAAATACATACCTACCTATATATTACACGGCGAATCCATCTCATCAGTCTTTCCCCGCATTGCGCCAACGAAAGCTGTTACCTAAGAAATCGGTGATTTGACTAACAGAAAACCCATCCAGGTTTGCCCGGGCCATCTCTCTGCATCGCGTGGTGAAACCTGGTTGCCTTTGGTGGTGTCCCTGGGGTGCTTTGGTGCTTGGTTGCTTGGTTGCTTGGGTGTTGGCTACTTTGGTAGATGGTCGGTAGACCATACCGTGTCGTACCCGGGAAAGGAAGACAAGAAAAAGGATCCATTGCGCTATTGAGACCGCATCTTGCATCTCTTCCTCGCCTGTGCGACTGTAACCCTGGCTCATCTTCCGATTATGGATCGAACAATCACCTCTCCTGTCGTTGGACGCCCAAACCATCTGCGTAGGAGCAGCAAACTTAAACAGAGCCCTATTCCCAACCTACATGACAAGATGGATCAACCTGAAAGCACTACTCCGCCGGACAAATCTACCCGCTCGTCCTTTTCATCCGTCCGAGAAGTTGACTCTGAAATAGCACAGAACTTTACTAGTACTAAAGTCTCTTCCTACTCTCAGTCGGCTGAAGAAGCTATCGAAGACCGCCCGTCGCCACTGGAAATGGCCACCACTCAAACCCAATTCGTCCCACCCGTAACACGACCGAACAGTAAACTACAGGGCTGCTGGTTTCCAGCCGTCGCCGCCGAAGGCTTCCAGGGCTGGAAGCAGATCGGCGTAAAGGGGAGGCAGGCGAGCAAGAGTTATGGAGATTTACAAGCTTTGAAAATCGTTTGGTCGACTCCGGCTACTCCAGAAAAGAAGAAAGATCCTGAAAGACCACCTCCAGGACTCTCTCCCATTGAGAGATTGCCCGCTGAAATACTTGGTTAGTAGAAACTTTTGTATCCCGTCCCGGCAGCTAGATCATGTAGCTTACGAACTGATCCTTATAATAGGCCAAATCATTGATCATCTGGTCCTTGATGTACCACCAAATGGAGTCTCTGCTCGTAACGTGGATTTAATGTCGTTGTTGTTGACGTCTAGAACACTTCACTCGGCGACACTAAACGCGCTTTACAAGAATATCACGATCCCGCACTCGAGAATCTTCCGCAAGTTCCTGTCTCACGTTTCACAGAACCAGGAACTCGGAACCATTGTGCGCCGCATCGACTTCAGTCACTTCAACCCGACGACACTTTTTTCGACGGCAAGCGAGCGTGCTACTACCCGCAACCTTACGCCGGAGACATTGCTGCAATGCTTGGAGCTGACCCCCTTCCTCCGTGAGTTTTTGGCACAGGAATATGTCGAAGATGAGCTCAGCGCGGATGTTCTACGGAAGTTACTCTTTGGACTCGAGAGATTGCAGGGACTCGACTTTTGCGGTTGCTCGTCCACATCTTTCAAGAACGCCTTTCAGACCATCATTTCATCCGACTGGCCAGACAACCTCGGCATTACTCGCCTCTCTTTGCACAAATGCATTACTCTACCAGCTTCCGTGTTCGAGACATTGCTCCCCCGACTAGGAAGTTTGACGCATTTGGATCTCGCGGGAACTCGCGTTACGAACGAGGCACTCCAGTCCATCCCCCACAACGCCAGAATCACACACCTCAACTTGGCCAAGTGTAGGTTGCTGACAGCTGACGTTGTGATTGACTTCTTGGCAAACCACCCCGCAGTCCAGGAATTGGTGTTTTTGAGTCTCGGAGTAGACGCTCGCAGCCACCAGTTATTCGATGAAGATGACCTTACCAAACTAATTCCTGTTCTTCCTCATACCTTACGTTCGCTAAGCTTGAAGGGGGGCAAGATGGCCCCTTCTCATATCGATTTACTACGGCCACTGACAAAGCACTTGGAAGAGCTTGCGCTAGGCCGCCGACTCAAGATTTCGGATATCGATCGTCTCTTCATCCCCGACGAGAGTAAGGACGGGAATTTAGAGGAGCAGCTGGAATGGGTCCCACAGACGTTGAAATACCTGGATCTATCCGATTATACCGCCACCGAACTCGACTTTATTTCTCTATTTGGACGCGACACATACATCATGAAGAAGCTTTCGTCGCCGTTGGAAGTGATCGAGATCACTGACGACTTGTACACGCGACTAGCCAAGTCGCCGGTTGTGAAGCTGCTAGGGTGGACAGTCACCGAGAATGGAAGCAGGGCGTGGCTTGTCCGTCTCCACGAGCCAAAGGACGGACCCAGGGATTCCGGTCTTCGGTCTTGGAAGATGGGCGCCTCGTTCTGGGGCATGCGCAAGATACCCATTGCCTGTGCCGAAGTTGGCGGCATGTATGGCTCGTACATGTTTAAGCGAAAGCTATAAATGGGAGGCAAAACCGCGTTTATACCTTGCGTCTCCTCTCGCCTATACCACGGAAAGGGGATTTTTCCCCCCCAGTCCAACCTGTATCTCGTCTCGTCTCGAGGAGAGATTCTTTTTTTTTCTTTGGATTTTCTGATACCGACATAGCGTTCTGGGGTTCAGGCCGGGGTTCAGGGAAAGGGGGATTTGGGCTAACGATTTGAAACGAAACGATTTGAATTGACTTGAATAGGAGGGTTAAAAGAGGGTGGTTGTTCACGATACCTTGATTAAAGAAAAAAGTCTATTGCTAATACAATTGATATCATGTTGTCTTCTAGCTTGTTGTTTTAAAAAGAGAGAGCGAGAAAGCGAAAAGAGAGCGAAGAAGATGCTGGGGTTTTTTTTTTGGAGAGTTGGAGTTGGAGAATAGATTTGGTAGGTAGTAATTATAGGTAGTAGCTAGCGAGTGAGCGTTGTGTACTGTATGTTGAGGTTCGATTGTCTTGTGTATGCTGTGGTCTTTTGTGGTGACGATGGTTTTTGTTTGTGTTTGTGCTTGTGCATGGATGTGATGTGATGTGCTTAGATGTTGTGTGAGACGAGACACTGGTGATAATGGTGATGGTATAAGTTGTCTATGTCTGAGGTGTTACACCGTACCTATGTTGGTAGTTCCAGGCACCCCATACGTATGTATTCAGGTAGGTATCTAGATAGGTAGGCAGGCAAACAAGTGGTTAGGTTAGGTAGGATATGCTTACACTTATACTCACCCGCACATCCTCCCTCGCCTACTTCTCCCTTCTCCCTTCTCCCTTCTCCCTTATGTAGATACCATTGATGTAAGCTAAGTGCTTTCAATGTTAGGTACATACCTAGCCGAGGTGCTTACCTACCTACCCTACCTACATATACTTGTTTGCTACCTATCTACATACGACCCCTTATACGAGGAAATCTCGGCCGTATTGTTCGTCGTTTTCAATGGGGGATAAAGAACTCATATATTGCCCTAGGTGGTATATGTTACTCTTTTTGACACCCTTTCGGACCGACGGGGGTTAAGGGGGTTCTTTTTTGCTTTGTTGTGTTGGGGCTGGTTTTGTGTCTACGTAATAGGGTAGGTTAGGTAGGTTGTTACATGGGGTATTATCCGTGAGAGTCGTTTTGACGGTGTCTTGTCTTGGTTATCTGGGTAGAGATGTCTTTTCTAAGGGGGATGGGTGGGTGTGTCTTGAGGGAGGCTTTACATCTTATATCCGTATAATAGGTAGGCGGATATGGGTTTGGTTGTTTTATCTATGGATGGAATATAGCAAAGAACTATGTACATTAGGTAGGTATTTTCATCAATTATATATAGTTTGATATACTTATGTAGAAACTATGGATTGCCCTGAACTGCTTTATTTAGGTGCTGTAGCCATTACTGCTGTATTTACCTGGAATAGCTTTCTGATATTTCTCTAGGAATTCAATTATGTATTCTATTAAGCAGTACGAAATATGACAATATGTCGTAAAGAGAATTGACGTTACTGGTAGCGATACCAGCGCTACGTCATACTACATGAATGACTTCAAGTTCAATTGATGTTCAAGATGTACATGGTACATAGGTACAAATGCATGAGCCACATCTAGCTTACGCGCCTCGTGACACCCAGCCACAATCAATCCCGAATTAGTAGCTTCCAACTTCTCGGAACTGCAAAGGTTACGACGTTTCTTCCGGAGCTTCTTCTTCGTCGTCATCTTTAAACCATCACCATTCAGCTTTGAAGCGCAGCGCCATCAATATGGCTACTTCAAAGCAGTCCATGTTTCGCTCAGCGGACATGAGCATGGTGCAATTATACATATCCAACGAAATTGGCCGCGAATGTGTTAACGCGTTGGGAGAACTTGGACTGGTCCAATTTCGTGATGTACGCCCTTCATCCCCTGATTCCCTCACGCCCTGATCTCCTACTCACCCAAACAACAACTAATAAACGCGTAGCTCAACAGCGATGTTAGCGCATTTCAACGTACCTTTACCCAGGAAATTCGAAGACTGGATAATGTCGAAAGACAACTTCGTAAGTACTGATCCGTCTTCGTATCCCATCCAGCAAACTTCAACACGAGGCGATGTCTAACGTATGTATGGCTAGGTTACTTCTATGCCCAGATGGAAAAATCGAATATACCATTACGAAGGCTAGATCTCGATGTCGAAACCCTTGCTCCCCCTACCACTACCGAGATCGACGAGCTTTCCGAACGAACCCAGAGCCTCGAGCAACGCATTTTTCAACTCAATGACAGTTACGAGACATTGAAGAAGCGCGAGGTTGAATTGACTGAGTGGCGATGGGTTCTTCGCGAGGCCGGTGGCTTTTTTGATCGCGCCCACGGAAACGTTGAGGAGATTCGAGCTTCGACCGAGGACGACGATGCTCCTTTACTCCAAGACGTGGAACACAACAATCATGCCGGTGATGTTGAGCGTTCTCTATCTGGTGTGAACATTGGCTTCGTCGCTGGTGTCATTGACCGTGATCGCGTCGCAGCGTTCGAGCGTATCCTCTGGAGAACTCTGCGCGGTAATCTTTACATGAACCAGTCTGAGATTCCCGAGCCTTTGATTAACCCAAGCAACAACGACGCCATCAACAAGAACGTGTTCGTTATTTTCGCTCACGGAAAAGAGATCCTGGCCAAGATTCGAAAGATTTCGGAGTCAATGGGCGCGGATATTTACAGTGTTGATGAGAACACGGATCTTCGTCGCGACCAGATGCATGAAGTTAATGCCCGTCTCAACGATGTCCAGAATGTCCTGCACAACACCCAGCAGACCCTCGAGGCTGAGCTGACCCAGATCGCTCAATCCCTCGCCGCGTGGATGATCCTCATCACGAAGGAGAAGGCAGCCTACCAAACCCTCAATCTCTTCTCATTCGACCGACAGAGGCGTACTCTGATCGCCGAAGGCTGGTGTCCTACGAATGATCTACCTCTTATTCGGTCTACACTCCAGGATGTGACCAACCGAGCAGGCTTGTCCGTTCCCTCCATTATCAATGAGATCAGAACCAACAAGACTCCTCCGACCTACTTGAAGACCAACAAATTCACAGAGGCCTTCCAAACTATCATCAACGCTTATGGTACGGCGACGTACCAGGAGATCAACCCTGCCCTACCGGCCATCGTTACCTTCCCGTTCTTGTTCGCCGTCATGTTCGGAGATTTCGGTCACGCGACCATCATGTTTGCTGGCTCCTTGGCCATGATCTACTGGGAGAAGCCCCTAAAGAAGGTCACCTTTGAACTTTTCGCCATGATTTACTATGGACGATATATTGCCTTGGTCATGGCTGTATTTTCGCTCTACACCGGTCTCATATATAACGACGTCTTCTCCAAGACCTTCACCTTTTTCGACAGTGCTTGGGAATGGGACGTACCTGAAGGATGGCAACAGGGCCAACCCCTAGTGGCTAAGCTCAAGGGCGACACCCGATATCCGTTCGGTCTCGATTGGTTCTGGCACGGTACGGATAATAATTTACTCTTTACCAACAGTTACAAGATGAAGATGTCCATCATTCTCGGTTGGGCGCACATGACCTACTCGCTCTGCCTATCCTACTTGAACGCGAGACACTTCAAGAAGCCGATTGATATATGGGGCAACTTCATTCCTGGCATGATCTTCTTCCAGTCCATCTTTGGTTATCTTGTTATCTGCATCATTTACAAGTGGTCCGTAGATTGGTACGCCATCGGAGAACAGCCCCCTGGACTTTTGAACATGTTGATCTACATGTTTTTGCAGCCTACCAACCTGGACATACCTCTTTACCGAGGCCAGAAAGGTGTCCAGATCACATTGTTGCTCCTCGCCTTCGCCCAGGTTCCCATTCTGTTATTCTTAAAGCCATTCTACCTGCGATGGGAGAACAACAAGGCTCGCGCTAAGGGCTATCGCGGAATAGGTGAGCCGTCTAGGGTCTCGGCACTTGATGATGATGAAGGCGATGGCCATGTGGCGGGTAACGGTAATGGTCGCCATAGTGTGGACTCGGACGATGGTGAGGGTGTTGCTATGATCGCGCACGGTGACGATGATGAACACGAGGAATTCGAGTTCAGTGAGGTCATGATTCACCAAGTCATTCATACCATTGGTAAGTGGATTCGATGCCACCCTGGTCAGTATTATGAAACTAATCGATGAACAGAATTCTGCTTGAACTGTGTCTCGCACACGGCATCCTACTTACGTCTCTGGGCCTTGTCGCTTGCTCATCAACAGCTCAGCGTTGTGCTTTGGGACATGACTCTCGGTCCTTCCCTCGCCAGGCCTGGCGTTGTCGGCGTTATCATGGTCGTTGTCGCCTTTTACCTGTGGTTTTTCCTCTCCTGCGCTATTCTCATTTGTATGGAAGGCTGCAGTGCCATGGTACGTACCAACCCATCCAGAATTCTCTCTGTTGTCTATGATTATTTTGCTAACACTGATTTCTTCTTAGTTGCACTCTCTTCGCCTCCAATGGGTCGAGGCGCAGTCCAAGTACGCCGAGTTCGCGGGTAGCATGTTTACCCCGTTCTCATTCATCACGTTACTGGAGGAGGACGACGGGTTAGCTGAGTTTAAGGGTTAATCAAGTATTGAGTAAGGCAGTAAAGTGTGTATGTGTTATTAAGTGGTATGGGAAACAAGGCTGAGAGAAACAGAAAATAGAAACCAGAAAACAGAAACAGAGTGTGAAAAGAAGGGGGTGATGGGAGAGAGAGAGAGTGTGTGTGTGTGTGTATGATCATCAGTCAAACAAAACATTGTATTATGCGTACGCGGATTGAATCAATTAAACTACGTAAGTCAGTAGGTAGCTGTAGATCTAGCTGTTAATCGGTACTTTGGTAGCATCATCCATCATTGTTCTTATTCTTTTTCTCGTTGCCATACCTAGGTACTCATCCGCATTCTCATGATTGATTATCATTACCTAGGTATGTAGGTATCCTCGTTCTCGTTCTCGTTCTCGTTCTCATGATCATCTTCGCCCTCCTCACCACCCCGCCACCCTTGCCCTCACTCTCACTATCACTATCGAGCGTCTATCTACCTACTTCGTAGTTAGCCCCTAGTAGGTAAGCTAGGTAAGCTAGAGCAAAGACGACTGGTTATATGTATATGTCCCTGGGGACGGAGGTAGATAGATAGATAGATAGATAGATAGATATATGTTAGAAGAACCCCGTGCAAGCAGCTATAGGTACCTAGGTATTGTTGTTGTTGTTGTTGTTGTTGTTGTTGTTGTTCTGCGTCTTTTACGTGGGTTCCGGGTTCGCGGCTATACCTACCTACTAGGTAGTCACATGGATGATATATAGTAGTTGAGGTGTATTGTATTGTATTGTATTGTGTATTTCCTTGATATCCATAGTAGTAAGTAGGCAGGTAGGCAGGCAGGCAGACAAACAACAATAGATAGACTAGAGGTTTTTTATTTTGTATTTTATTTATATTTATGCAAGTGGGTATGTAAGTACCGTGGTAAGTAGTCAAGTGAGTAGTTCCCCAACCTAGACATGATGATATCCAGGATCTATATCTCGGACCTCTACCTTCTACTACTAGGTATGTATGTATGTAAGCCCGTTCGAGCACTCCCATCCCCCTTGTTTCTTCCCTTCCTTCGCTTATTTCCACCCTTTCTCTTCTCTCCCGTGATAACTTCTCGTGGGTATTGTATTTTTTTTTCTTTTTTCCTTTTTTTTAACGTTGACTTGTGCCATTCTCATTGTATCCATAAAAATCAAATCCCGCTTATCAACACCGCGCTATATAAAAACCCCGGGCAAGAAACCCGAATAAGAACAAGAAATAGAAGAAAAGAAACAATATCGCTGGCTATTACCCCTTTCCCCATCGCTGTTAAGATTCAAAAACAGAATCTTCAAAACCAAATCCAGAAATATGTACCCTAAGTCGATAAAGCCGACCATAGAGATGGCACTGATGAGGAGAATATGCTTCCTCTTTCCTCCTGCATCGTCTCAATCTTTCTCTTCAGTCGTCTTACTTCCTCCTCTGCATCATACATCTTCCGCTTGAGAATCTTGACCTCCTTCTTTGCATCCTTGCTGTACTCGTCGTCGTCATCGTTGCTTTCCGTCCGCGGAGACTTGAACCCCATTTTCACCAGCGGGTCCGTCATCATATCATCATCGCCGTGACCGTCGTAGGAATCCTCGGCGATGTCCTGGAGCGTGGAGGGGTGTAGTACGTTGTGCCGCGTGAGCAAGTAATCAACGATGAATTGCGCGGGGCCGAAGTACTCGCTCTCAGCTATCAGCTCCTCCTTCTCGAAGTGCACGTTGCGACGACGATCACAGTTCATGGCCGCGTTGATCCATGCCATTTTGACGTTGTCCTCGATGGTGAATCGCCACGTGCTCGCCCAGCGGACAACAATGCGGGGAGCCTGCAGATGCTCTTGTTCGACGACGACTTGGAAGCGGCCAGCCTCGACGTCGCGGGCCTTGAAGAGCTCGAAGACGCACAAGGCGGGCATGTGCGGGATGAACAAGGCGATGTTTCTCAGCAGGTTGGGGAGGTTGAGTCGGCGGTCGGAAGCATGGGGGCTGATGCTGGAGGTGGTGAGAGTGAGGAAGCGCATGTTGGCCATGTGGGGCGAGGAGGCCAGGTAGTAGCGGCTCGGCTCGAAGGCAACGAAGAAGTTCTCAGCCTCGACAACGTTGCATACGCTAAGCTCCTGCATACTGCGGCTGCGCTGGGCGAGCTCGGCTCCCACTCGTGTCTGTAGAATGCACCAATCGGTCTCGTCGTCGCCATGCTCGAGCTTCGGCTCATCATCAACGTCCGGGCCACCAAAGTCGGCGCCCAGGGCCTGGTAAATGGACATTTTGCGCACGGAGCGCGGCCACGTCATTAGCTGGGCGCAAAAAGGCACGGGCATCGCGTAGGTCGATTCTGCATCGCGGTACCACTGCTCGAAGCGGACTTGGGTGAGGCGCGGGAAGGCAAGCATAATCTCAGCGCGCGTGGGCTCCTCGAGACAGCTGAAGAAGCTTCGGAGGATGCGGAAAGTGCCGACAACGGGGACTTCGGGCAAGTGCTCTCGGCAAGTTTGATAGTCGTGTATATGCTCGCGCAGGCTCATCTCATGGAACGCCGTAATTCCGTACAGCTCGGCTGGGTCCGGGCCGCGGTTGTAGTCGATGGCGAGTTCGAGGGCGAGGCCATTGCCGGTGTTAGCCTTGTAGTACGGCTCCGCCTTCCAGAGGGAGAGAATGCGCAACACATGAACAATGGCCTGAATGAAGCGCAGGCGATTCTGTTGCCGCCGCTGGTTTTCCTCGTCGACGCGTTGCCGGTCCCGCCGACTAGGCTGGCGTGGTAGGGTGGTACCAAAGGCGAGGCTATCGGGGAGCTGGATGCGATAAACGATGTCTTTGACGTAGGTCTGGCGGCGGTGGTTGCGGGCAACGTATTCATAAAACTTCACCACGTCATCACTGCTGATGTCAAGAGTTTTGAAGGCCTGCTTCTCCATCTCGACCTGCCACTCCCGACATACGACTGCGCAGGCCGGACGGTCTGCAGGCGCTACGTTTTGGAAGATCATATTGGTGATCTCGTAGGGAAATTTACTCCATAATGAAGGGGTTGGTTTGGTCAACACAACTGTTTGATTTGTTAGTTTTTATTTATCTGTCATGATATGAAAAATAAGAAAAACAAAGAGGCTTTACCTTTAGACATGGCGATATCTAACTGAGAGGAGGCCATGGGAAATCGCGGCATCCAAGCAGGTACGACAAGACTAAATAAAGTGAAGTGATTTTGGTGATGTAAGTGTCGATATAAGTGTCGATACAAGTGTTGATATGAGTAGTCAAGTAAAGTTGATTTAATATGATTCCTCAAGAATGCTGATTCGTGAAGATGTTGGTCCAATATGTTATTGAGTAAAGAGCCTGCTCAATGATTATGAGTGGAAAATAAAAGAGAAAAAGTAGTTTGGTAGGCAGGTAGGTACTGAAGAATAGATTCAGTCGAAGAAAGGCGTAGAGGAACTGCATGTTTAAATATTGTGGAAGGTTTGGTTGTATTTGTGATAAATGCCTTCGTGTACTGTGCTCGTTGCAACGACAAGGAAAGTGCCAGAGTACAACAGTACTAACTAATTCTCATGAATCTAGGAAGGAGACAACTGAGAGACCGGATGAAAGATGAGAGATGAAAGATGAAGAATTCTGATTCGTTATATACCTTAATCCTCGATCCTCGTCAACCAGGTACCTGGGGTAGTTGGCAGCTACAATGTGAATGATCTGGGAGTAGTCAGTGGTCACCCAGTCACAGATAATAAGACCAATAAAGTTCATCTGACCTTGCCCTCAAGGTTTTCCCTAACCTTATTCAGATCTGGTCACTGCCTTATTCTCATCGAAACCCACCAAAGCTTGTTTCAAATGTTAGGATGAAAGTATTGTCTGATCTGCACCTTCCTAGGTAAACACATTTAACCTACATGTACAGTTCCAATTCTAAATGGCCCGGGGAAAAGAAAAAGCTTATGTAGTTGCCGCTTTGGGAATCTTTTCATCCCATAGGCCAATCAACGTGCGATGCTGGGATTTTGCTGTGTACTCTTACAGGGATCCAGGGGATTCCAGGCCTTTGAGGATCGAAAACATTGATACCTACCTCACTTACTCAGCGCTATCCACGTGGTATGTAGTACTGTGAAGGTAATGCTATGTCTGTATTCACAAACTATTGAGAGCCGTCAATCATCTAAAGAGTAAGATTAGTTAGTTACCTAGAGAGTTTGGCATCTAGTAGTAAACCATCACGCGAATCTTACCGTAAAGCTGTGGCCATCAGAACTATCTGAGCTACAATTCTCTTCTATGAATTATAGAAAGAGAGCCCTTCTCTCCTTTACTCTTCCCTTCCCCTTCCCCTTCTTATCTCCTCAGGATACTCACCTTACGACGTAGACACCAAGAGTGTCAAGTCGAGTTTCCTCGTCCTAGAACTATAGGATATCTTTTACACCGTGGTTCATCACTCATAGAACTAAGAGCCACTCTACGTTCTACACTATACAGTATATTATACTCGGCAAACTACACTCTGCCCGTCTATTCATCGATCCAGTCATCCGATCATCCGGCCATCTGGTCATCCAAACACTCATCTAAAACAACAAATCAACAAGCGAATAAACAAACAAACAAACACACAACCCAAAAACGAAAAACCCCCTAGTTAAAGAAAAAAAAAACTTCAAACAAACAAGCAAAACACCATGTGGCTCCTCACACACCTCCACAACCTCCTCGTCACCCTCGGCATCCTGCCCAGGCGCGCCAAGCTCCTCGTGCTCGGGCTGGACAACGCCGGCAAAACCACCTTGATCCGCCGCCTAGCCAGCAGCGAGCACCGGGACCTCACATCTGCTTCTTTTGCCGCCGCCGCCACCGCCGCCGCCGCTCCTACTACCACCGGCCTGGCCCCCACAACCCCAACAGCCCAGGCCTCGACGCACACCCTCAGGGTCGGCAACGTCCAGTGCCTCACCACGGACGTAAGCGGCGCCCGGCCCGCACGGCAACACTGGGCGTCTTACTACACCTCCGCCCCCGCCCTCTCCCCCTCCCCCTCCTCCCCTCCTTCTCCCCCTTCTCCCCCCTCCTACTCCAACTCCCCCTTCATCCCCCGCCAGCCCACAACCACCACCACCACCACCATCACCACCACCCCCACCCCCAGCGTCAACGGCCTAATCTTCCTCATCGACGCGACCGACCGCTCCCGATTCCGGGAGGTGAAGCGGGAGCTCGATGTGCTGCTCGCCGCGCCGCAGCTGCGGCGCGTGCCGATCCTGCTGCTGGGCAACAAGGTCGACGACCGGGGCGCCGTGTGCGCGGACGAGCTGCGCTGGCGGCTCGGCCTCAACAGGGTGTTCCGCCGCCCCGTGGCGCTGGCGATGTGCTCCGTTGTGGGGAGGAGCGGGTATGCGGATGGGCTGGGGTGGCTTTTGGGGAATTTGCGGTAGTTTTTTTTTTGGTTGTTGTTGTTGCTGTAGGAATTGTGGGATGCTTTTTTTTTTTGGCTGTGGGTGTTGTACCTAGTTGTAGGAGAGCGAGTGGTTGGAGCAGATGGCGGATTTTTTTTCTGGATATGTATGCTGAGGATGGGAGTAATACGGATTAAAATGTGGATTAGGATTGGGATAATAGGGTTGAGCTCTTTTCTTTTGTTTCTTTTTTCTTTTTTCTTTTTTTTGGATAAACATCTTAAGACGCCCGGTTCGAAAGCTCCTCATATAACAGCATCGTCGTCGCTGCGGTCTGTCTATACATCTATGCAATCCAGTATCATCGACACTCGGGATCATCATACAATATTTCCTGCTCGGAGTTTTGGCAAATATTACCTAACGGTCTACTTAATTACTTCGGTACATCCTCACGCCTCGCCGGCGAATCTTCAGCTTCAAGATCGGATTGCAGTTAATACCTAAGACACTCGGGACGATAGGGATCAAGATCTAGTTATTTGGTTGTGTTTTTATAGTATAATTACCTATTTACCGTAGACAAGACAAACACATCAGAGTCTGTCTATACTAATGTATTATTATAATAAAAACTGTCAACTTATGAACCTGAAAATCATGTGTAATCCCAGTGTTCAATGCTGCTGGATGAATCAAGCCGAGTGCCTATGAGATGAATGTAGATCGACGTGTGAGATGAGAATATATTAATCCCACCAGAACATTGAGATTGAGTGAGTATAAGATCCCGAGAAATAGAGTACTGGAAGTGATGCAGTTTGCTTGCGCAAAAACGGGAACCAAAGGTCATGCTTCGTTTGACTAGCAATGCTACATAGTTATGGAGGTAAGGAATATTGAAGACATGTTGTTTAGGTTAATAATGGGCACTGGTGAATGACGACGTTGAAATTAACTATCCAGGGAGCATCATGAGGACAAGATACGTAGGGGCTGAATTTTTACAATATTGTGGGTAGTAAGCAAGTGCGGCGGGCAGGTAGTAAATTTTTATTATTCAGTGTTGATGAAGGAAACAGGATGTGCGAAGATAATATCAACTATTGCTAGGTCGCGTCAATAGTGACGTGAAAGGATGTTTACGAATAACGTCAGGTCCTCCAAATGAAGGGCGACGGCATATTACGCAGACCAAATTGCACCATCGACAGGAAGCAATGAGGCTTCATTAATATTACATTTGAATGCAAGGCTAGATAGTTCACGACTCTTCCTCGCATCGCGCGACAAGCGCACGAAAACAACGAAAAGATAAAAAGAAAGGCCTGTCAGACGTCCACCATCGTCCACCCCGGCCGCGCGCCCGAAGGCAAGACCACGGCGAATCGGGGTTGAGATCATCACCACTCTCTATACAGCCAGCTCGGTCCGAAGACCAAGGATTGACCGCCACCCTTGCGGGCAGATCGAAAGTAAGGAGCAAGGTGACCAGAGGCCGCGGTGCTCCCGTAATAAAATTTTCACTCTAGGACGACGGGGATATTGGTCATCAACCAGGGTGGGATCTGTGGCTCCTGTAGGGAACACAGAGTAGGACGAATACTATAGAAATGATTCTCTGAAGTACTGTTTGTTGCGAAAAAGACAATGGTTAGTTGGGTGTTCTGAAGGATACTGAGTAGTATGGGGGGTAGGGGTGAACTGACTTGTCGACATGAAGAAGAAAAGAAAAGAAAATTGAAATGAAGGGAGGGTAGAGAGGTTTATATAGGCGTTGGGGCTGGGCGGTGAACGGTTTCTGCCGCCGTAGGATCAGCCAGGGTGGGTACCTGGCAAACAGTACCTTTTTTTGTCATGGCGGGTAGGTGCCCCACTTAGCCGCGCAAATTTTACGCGGTACCACAGTCTATTTGAATCCAGCCAATGAAAAAATCAAGATGGCTGTTTGATGATATGGGTCACAGTATTACTATGATGTTTTTCCATATAATAATTGTATTTAATACTGTGTTCAGTACGTAATTACTCACTGTTTGCTCCTCTTTGAGGCTTTAGATCAGGTCCATTAGGCCCATTGATACCTACTGTAGTTACTAGGCTACAAGGCAGCAAGGCTGCACAGTTTTTTCCGCACTAGCAAATTCCAGTCGGGCCAATTAAAAAAATCTGATCCCTGCCCTGAATCCTTCCATTTCAGGACTAGTGCCAAAACACCCACTTTGACTCATCGGCCCCATTACTGATCTGCCGCCCCAGACCGCCCTCCCAGATTTTCTATATAAACCTCGACACTCACCTCCCATTTTTACCTTTTTTCCTTCTTTTCTTCTTTAGCTCTCTTTGCCTTTTGGCTTAGATCAAGTGTAGTATCTGTTCTTTTCAGTTTAATCTCTGAAAGAGTCCTACTTGGACTCAATCGTGATTATTCTAATTTTTAGCCTGCGGGCGCCGCATCCTCTGGGCTTGCCCATGATCGCGCCCACCGTGTCCCTGGTATTACACTGCCTCCAGGTGACGCGAACCTTTTCATTGCTTACTCTAGCTTGTCTAGAGCTGCGAAGAAGATGCGCCCTCCTTCTATCATTGCTGCGGATAACCTAATCCCTGTACTAGCCACACCATCGTTGCGCTAATGTACTGACCATAATGATAGCTGTCTCTTGTTTTGCATGCCACCATTCCCGTTGAGCTGTGCTGAATTACCGAGTAAAACCCCGGCTTATTTGCATGGCCGTCACCTGTGCACTTACACTGCAGATGCTCTCCCGACGTCAACCATGAAAATCTCTTATAACTAGCTCCTTCTAATATAGCTATACCACCATTACGTCCCAAGAACTGCCAGCTCCCAACTGCCCAAAATAATAAAAAGGCAAAGCTGGGTAGACATCTATTCCATCAGCTATGTAAGAATCCCAAGGTTGAGAAAATGGGGTATCATATATGAAGGAAGGATCTCAAGTCGTCTAAAATACGTACGTGCGAATTTATTAAAGTGCCTTGCTACTACAGTAGGCCTTGAGAGTAGAACATCCCACACCCCCGAGGTACTGCGCACTTTGACATGCTGCTGCGAACAGCCCACTGCGAATAGCTTCAAATGTTCAAAGGGAGGTAGGTATATTGCATAGGTAAGCCGGCGCTGCCAGTCGTCAGGCGGATCAGACGAATGAATCACTCTGCGAACACTCTGCAATTAGCAGAGTTCTTTTTAACTATTAGCATTATGAAGCCAACCAGCGTAAGATTTCGCCCATCCAACACGGCAGCAGATAAGTGCTGATTAGTACATAGACGCCTAACTACCTAGGTATCTACATCCGTAACTCTAGACCATAAAGTAATATTGACTCCCCCATAACCGCTTCACATTGAGCTTGCTAGCCTAGATGCATACTATTTTTCAGATTTTTTTTCTTTTTAAACAGCTTACTTTTGGACAGATGATCGGTGATAGACCGAATCCCTACAGTTGAGGCCATTCCCAGTCTTCATTAAATGCCTTAGCCCTATATAATACCATACCATTCGTTCGTACTCGCCCCTTGGCTTAAGCTTAAGGTCACGGCAGTTCCTACATAGCCAGACGTGTCTCTATCGTAAAGAGACCCCTCTCTAATAGTTATGTATATACTAAAAAGAGTCGACTTCCTCTTTGGCCAAGGGTGGGATAGTTACGTAGATGATCAAAATCAACAGTAATGCTAGCAAATCAGTTTATAGATCTCGCGATAGCAGTGCATCCTTAGGTACGTTCGAATCAGTCATATATGCAGCATTCGCATTTGTTGACCTTCAGCGGCTTGGAGTATTCAGACGTAGCCAGGTATTATAGAAAGGCAAGGCTTAGGTTGTATGAAGGTTGAGAATAACCTCAATTGTACGAAGTAGCGGTTCCGCGTAGCACTTGTTAAAAAAGCAATCCGAAAACAGTCTGTATCTAGCATAGCTCTTCATATTGAACGCCATCCACACATCTATTTATACACAGTAGACTCAACTTAAGCAAATCCAAAGTTCGAGATGCTTTAGGCACTCATCCTCCATCACGGACCCGCAACCTACATCCAACGCAACAACAGTGACACAACAGAAAGTCGCTTCATTCCACGGCACTACCCAGCACGAATCAAATCACCAACACACCATCTACCATGACTAATACATTATTTATTTTAATTAAGGATACCTATGTACTCCATCCTCGCCATGCTGGCCCTGCGTATATAACAACTGAACGACAACTTGCCTATGTCTCTTCCCTTCGACGACCCAGTAAGAAAAAAAAAAAAAACCGTGAGACCTACACGGCGAACAAGAAACATCAATCCATACTCCGAGAGATGACCTAATGATGTACTGACAGTCCAAAAGGAAGAGGGGATATCATGATGAATCAAAAATACGACTTTGCCTTCGCCATCGTGTTATAAGAACGAGGCGGGTAGGGTAGGCCCGGGTGCAAAAGACAAAACTCGTAACTTTTTAGTAACTCCCACCAAATTCATATGCTCGTCCTCCTGTTCCCCGCCCGATGGTCTTGTAACTTTGCCACACACCATCGGCGCCAAGGGTATCAAATCGACTCTTGCCTATCGGACCCATCTGAGTTTCCGTATAGCTAGAGAAGTAGAACCCAACCACGACCACCAAGTATGTCAGGATCAAGACGCTGCCTTTGAAGTAGTTGCTCTTTCCTTCTCCGTACATGTAGCTGAGCAGGAACACACATAGTATGACGGTTACCATGTCCCATTGCGGGAATAGTAGAGTAAATGTCCAATGAGTCGGGTCTGTATCACCTGCCGGTTGAAGGGGATAGACTGCAGAGAAGAGAACCAACGCTGGTATCTGAAGAAGACAAACCTGCAATGCGTACGCGGAACCGATTTCCATCGAGAGGGCAATGTTTCCATTCATGGCAAAAGAGATAGCATTCTATAGTAACACACCAATGATTAGTTTCATGTCTCCAGCAAACATTGGGGGGAAAAGAGAGAAAAAAAGAGAAAAAAAAGAATGCTCACCAAGAATTCCGTAGTGTTGGGTACCAGAGCAAACAACGTGATACCTAAGAATTTCGGATCAATCGCGTAGTTGTCTAACACTACATCCACCGTGTCAACTAAAATCTCAGCAACAATTGCATAGAGAACGGTAGCGCCCATCAAAATGACTGAACTCTTCGTCCGGCTCCAGTTCGGGGCATCGTGGCCTCCGTGAGCAGGCTGCGCTTGCTCGCCGACTTCTTCTAAATCGGGGAAGGTAGTAGAACGAACGGGCGTAGGTCGTGTTATTGAGCTGCTAGCTCCTGCATTAGACGGTTGAGCAGAAAGACGGCGGGGTCCTCGGGCATCACGGGCTGCAATGGCAGCTGCGGTAGCGGCCACTTCGGTAACACTACGGACGAGATCGCTGTTCTCTGCATCAGAGAAACCAGGGATGTGTACGTTCGAACGAATGTTATCGGAGGTGCCCACGTTGCCTTTGGGCGGAACCATATGCGGCGTCTGAATACCACCGTTCATTGGATAAGCCCCTGATGGTTGGCGAGAATGGCGACCACCCTCTCCAGAAAGCCCGACTTGCTTTAATGACTGTCCTAGAATTCTCTTATATAGATTGCTGTCTCGGATATCGGCACCGGATGCATCAGCGACGTTACGTACCTCGGACAAACGTGCATGCTGTTGTTGAGCTTCCTCGTGCTTCTTCTCGTCGACCTCAGTGTTCCAAATGACCGCTGCATGCGTTCTGAGAGTGAACCATAGGCCAATGACATATGATAAGAAGAGACAGGTGGCAGCGATGTAACAGAAAGGACGCACGGCTTCGATGTAGAAGCGGTCGTCGAGGGCTGGGACCTGTGAGTAGTAGCAACGACGGCAATCTCGCTCCTTATTCCACACGGAATCTGTGCAGCTCTGGCATCGGAGTTCATGAGTGCCATAAATTTGGTAGAAGAGAGTCGGCCCAAACGCAGCAACGGTGGCAAAGATAAGCATCGTTGAGGTGACACCAGCGGATTTCGCATTGAAACGTTGCGTTTTGCGTTTGATGGCACCGAAGCACATGGACAAACCGGGCAAGAAGAGAATACCTGCGAAGATACTTCCGATGACGCTGCCTTCAACTAGCTGGCCTTTGCCATCTTTAAGCGCAACACAATAGAGGAAAACTTCCACAATAGTCGAGAAAAAAGCATTGATTGCTGCGCCCAAGCCCATGGAAGACTGCGCCGAAATGGACGCGACGGCCTGGCCTATGAAGTATGCGAGGGGAATGATAGAGAACAAACCAGCCACGAAGAGAAAGCCCGGGGAGGTCAAGAAGTTCTCAAGATGGAGAACGCCGGCTAGTACAAGCCAGTCAAAAATGACGAACATGACAACAGCCATGAGATTAATGAGGAAGATGTTGGTGCCATCGATAGTGTATTTCCAGTACTTTGGACCCACAGCACGATACGTGCAGAGGAGAATAGACGAATGCGAACCATCGGATGGTCTGGCGATACTAACATCGGACTCGAAGGAGAGCGCCAACGGATGCCTTCTGAGATGATCAAAAAGGAGGTTGGTAACTTTACCCATCGGGATCCAGAAGACCAGCAGCCAACATATGGCGGAGACGGTGATGAGAGACGGTGTAATAAGACCCCAGAAGAAGATGAAGAAGATAACCCGGCCAATGTTCCATTGACCTCGACCGAATAAACGTCTCTTGAGTCGCCGTCCTGGGTCGTTTGCAATCTCATCGTAGCGACCACCTGAACGAGGGAGTAGGCTATCAGTCTCACTAGGCTCAGAGTCAATACTTCTTCTCGAACGACCAATAATCGAGCGATTTCGTTCGGGTCCGAAGAACAGTCGTCCATATTCCAGATCACCGCTCTGCCACTGCTCATATTCGCTAATGCTTCGACCCTCGCCCTCGTCTTCGTCTAGATATGCTTCGTCCTGTTCAAGTCTTACAAACTTTCCAAAGGGGTAGAAAAGATAGCCGGCCAAGCCCCATAGCACGCGGCCGTACTCTCTTCCACTAGGAGCTGCCGCGAAAATGAAGCAGGCCATCGCTCCCGTGGCAGCAAAAAGGGCCATCCACCAACCAAAGGCCAAAGTCCAAATAATGTTAAATAACAATAGCCAGCTGTTGACTCGGCCACCAGGGGAGGAATGAATATCGCCCTCGGCGGTCTTCTGGACCGATCGATCTTTCTTGTACAATGCAGGCTTCCAAATCCTGATACCAAATGGATGCGTCTCGTTGATGGCTTGTTGGCGGTCCTTCAAGGTAAAACTCTCGGCATCGCTTAAATCCTCATCATCTTCATCATCCTCCATAAGGCCAGATTCGGGGGTCACATCCTGCATTGCTTCCTCCTCGTGTTGTGATTGCTGCATGGGTTCATCTTCATCTTCCTCCTCTTCTTCCTCCAACCGCTCCTCGATACCCTCTTCTTCGGGGGCAGTACTACGGGTCGAATGCACCCGAGACAGGGTAGGCGGGGCCATGCTTCGTCGCCTCAGTGTAGACTGCCTTCCTGACTCGTTGTTGTAAGGTGGTAGAGGGGAGAAACTGTGTCTCCCGATAGCACCACTCTCCACCTCCGTGATGTCGTCGTCTGTCGAGAATACCTCCCCGCGATGGGGAGCCACCGTGTTGGATGAAGCTCTGCGAGACATAGCGGGCTTTTTAGGGCGCTGTCGGCCATGTTCTGGGGCTAGGAGTGGGGAACGAGGTGGTTGAGTTCCGGTTCTCGAATGGGATCGGTCGTGGGCGGTGGGTTCTCCCAATAACTGCGAACTTCCACTTGCAGGCGGGGGTGGTGACTGAAGAGTGCCTATCCATAAAGTCAGGTTAGCTCATGTCTGACATGACATCGATCAACAAGCCATTAAAACCAGAGTTAAGTTTTAGATAGGCAGCAGGCAGGTTCATTAACTGGGCAGCGGCAACGCACCATAAGACTGGTCTGTTCTTCTCCGCAAAGTCTCAGTAGAAGATTGGTAGCTTTCGGGGAGCGCGTCCACAATTCTGGTCTCTCTGGGTTCGCGTCGCAAAGATTGCTGTCGCGTATCTGATGGGGAGGGAGGAGTAGTAGAACTACCACCGTCCTGCGAAGGAGGGTCCATGGCCAGGGAATACTCCGAGAATATGCGAAAGAGTATTCGCTGCCAACAAAGGCTTATCTCAAACTACGTAGTTAGGGAAGCATATGAAATTGGGTTTCGAAGCTTCTGAGACAAGATGATTAGGGGGAAAGAGAAGATAGGATGGGTTTTAGCTTTAAGGTTGTCAAGAGAGGCGAGACCCAAAGCAGATGACGAGGAGAAGCACCCGATGTTTGAGGGGACCTGATAGGAATGTATCGTGTGTATAATCCGGGTATGTATATTGTATGCCCTCTGGCTGCAGGTCTAGCGTGCTGTGGGCTGTAAGCTTGCTGCAAGCATGTCTCACTGGCGAATCCCAATGTGGAGATCTTCGAATGATAAACAAGTAAGGTAGGATTAATCTGAACAAAAAAGAAAAGAAAGACGAAACAACTTTACTTTAGTACTAAGTATCAATGATTCAATGATACAGTACCTACATACATCTATGTAGGATAAGGAAGTTCAATGTTGAGAGAGAAAGAGAAAATAAAAATGGATATGGATGAGGCCAACAAGCTGAAAGAACCTCGAAAGCTTACGAGTTTTCGTAAATGTTATCAGATCTCATGTAACACAGAAACGGACATGGCTACCACACAGACTTCAGCACATGGGATTATTTTATCTTTTATCTTTTTGGAATGACACAGGATGGAGTGAGTCGATATGTAGTTGGAAGTTCCCCAAAGTTCTAGTGCAAAGTTCCCCAAGTACAAGTGTGTACCTGTGTAATCTGATTATGAGTCGTGATTGTTCCTCGTGATTTATTTACAGTGTGAGTGGACAAGACGTTATAGCGGGTCCCTTATCCAATCCAGATCCAGGGATGTTTTTTTTTGTCCAATGATGCGGCCTTGGATAAGCCTTAAAAGGTCGTAGATTCCCGCTCATGCCCTCCATTACCTACAGCATCCATTATCATATGAGATACCCTATGGCGTAAGCCGAGGGGTGCAGTCCGGTTGCTGGGTAGGTGCTATGTAGGTGCTATGTAGGTGCTAGGTAAGTGCTAGAAATTCTTTCCCTAAAACAGGCTGGTACTTGGCCGTACTTCCCTTTGAACCCCTGCCTATTTACTTCCAAGGGTTGGTACTAGCTATCGAGTGACGCTTAATTTGCACTTGATACGGCAGCCGCGCCTAGAGATTCGAAATTCAAATTGCAACGGCGCCATCGGCAACCTTAAAACGTGCTAGTAACCGAATTATGTGCTATCTTCCTAGTAGTATTTTGGTATAAAATGCCAATATTATTCCCAACTCCTGAAACAATGCGCTTAGATAGATAACACTGACAGAACTGACAGAACTGACAGAAAATAGATAAAAGAAAACAAACCTGATAGTTATCAATAATATTCAAGCTTTACCAAGGTTGCATTATGATGATGGTTTTCTGTAGGCAGTACCACATGTACATCATCATACACTATGCTGCTTGAGGGATTCTGGAAGATCTTCGAAGTTCCTACGTAATAATACATGCGAACCAGTTATCTTGTCTGATAGGAATACATAACTATCATTAAAAATCAATGCACGTTTAACGTTGCACTTGTTACGGACGGAGCCCTGGAGAGACATGCATTTTGGACCCACCCCCATTTGGAGATTCAAAGTTGACAAGGACAGGCGGGACCCACTATAGTCAGTTAGTGCCCACATCATGGATGCACCCGTGATCTCCAATGTTGGCCTTGGAGTTTAGTACCGGAACTTTAGAATTCCCGTCATTCCGGAACGCGTTTGCTGCAACTGCCTTGAATTACCTAAGCTGGAAGCTTGAATCTACTGTACCCTTGTCGGACATCTGGAGTTCATCATTGGCGCATTCTTTTTACTTACTACCTACCTAGTAGTACTTACGAGCCTTGAGGTACATACAATAATAATACCTAGCCTTATTACTCTACCACCACATTATCACTTTGCCGCATCATCAACATTCAAAATCCACATCTACAATTCCCACCACCCAATTTACCCTCCATACCCTCTACAACATCCGATTCGCAAACGAAATACCACTCCCAAAGGAGTTCCAGCAATCATGGCGCTCGACAACTACTACCACAATAAGATCGAGGCCATGAAGCTCGAGATCCTCAAGGGTCAAGCTGTCCTCCGACGTCTCGAAGCCCAGCGAAACGACTACAATTCGAGGGTGCGGTTACTACGAGAAGAGCTGGGTCTCTTGCAACAGCCTGGATCGTATGTTGGTGAGGTGGTGAAGGTGATGGGGACGAAGAAGGTTTTAGTGAAGGTGCATCCAGAGGGCAAATATGGTATGAACCCGACAGTAACTAATCCTAATTATCATCTGCATGTAACTAACTATGTTCGCAGTCGTCGATGTCGCCGATACGGTAGAAATAGCAAAACTCACCGTGGGCAAACGAGTGACCCTTCTATCCGACAGCTACAAACTCGAGAAAATCCTCCCATCCTCGGTTGATCCTCTAGTATCTCTCATGATGGTAGAAAAGGTGCCCGACAGCACATACGACATGATTGGTGGTCTGGATCAGCAGATCAAGGAAATCAAGGAGGTCATCGAGCTAGGCCTAAAGCACCCCGAACTCTTCGAATCCCTCGGTATCGCTCAACCGAAAGGTGTGCTTCTCTACGGACCCCCTGGAACGGGAAAGACGCTGTTGGCTCGAGCTGTCGCACATCACACCGACTGCAAGTTCATCCGAGTCTCTGGTTCAGAACTTGTGCAGAAGTATATCGGCGAGGGTTCTCGCATGGTTCGTGAGCTCTTCGTCATGGCCCGCGAGCACGCACCTTCCATCATCTTCATGGACGAAATCGACTCCATCGGTTCCTCGCGAGTAGAAGGTTCGTCCGGTGGTGACTCCGAAGTGCAGCGGACAATGCTGGAGCTTCTAAACCAGCTCGACGGCTTCGAGCCCACCAAGAACATAAAGGTTATCATGGCGACGAATCGCCTCGACATCCTCGACCCCGCGCTGCTCCGGCCCGGCCGCATCGATCGCAAGATCGAGTTCCCCCCGCCGTCCGTCGAGGCCCGCGCCGACATCCTGCGCATCCACAGCCGCAAGATGAACCTCACGCGCGGCATCAACCTGACCAAGATCGCCGAGAAGATGAACGGCTGCTCCGGCGCCGAGCTGAAGGGCGTCTGCACCGAGGCCGGCATGTACGCCCTCCGCGAGCGCAGGGTTCACGTCACACAGGAGGACTTCGAGCTCGCGACCGCCAAGATCCTCAACAAGCACGACGACAAGGAGGTCTCGCTCCAGAAGTTCTGGAAGTAGACTGTATCGCAAGCTACTTTTTTACGCGAGCAAGCTGCATGTGCTCTTTACGGCTTGGGTTTTACAGAACGTGGCCGCAGCCTGGTTTACTAGGACTAGGGTGTGCCGGTTTACACGAAGGAATGCCTTACGTACCTAGGGTACCTTACCTACCTACTAAGTAGGTATTCTAGGGCGTGACACACAGGGGGATTTAGGTACCATGGATGGGCTCCAGTGACTCGACATAAACATAAAAGGAGGTCATGTCCTTTTTCTTATCTTATTATTGAGGAACGTGTACAATAAACCATAAATCCCTAGAGATGAGATGATTAGGACTTACAATACAAGGCGAGAAGGGGCGGGACGGGGGCGAGGTCTATTAATAAAGGTCCTCGCTTTTGTTTCACTTGACTACACTTGACTTGAGATGTGTGTTTTGCTTTGATGATGATGCTGATGATGATGATGAGGTGCTTTCGTTGTGATAGTGATTGCTACTTCCCAGTTGAAGGTGGCTAGCTAGCTATGTATGAGCCAAAGGTTATAATGGCAGGAACCAAGCTGGCCAGTAGCCAGATGCCAGATAACGACTCTTTTCGTATTGGCCGTTCAACGGCAAGCAGAGAGCTTACATCTATCTAGGCTGCTTTTTTTTTTTTTTTTTTTTTCTTCTTTCCATCTACATTACTTACAGTCACGAGGCGGGACCTACCTACAGTAGAAGGAAGACGCATAACAACCTCGCTGTTGCGCGGAGATCTCTAACACCTCCCGGAGACTACAATGTAGGTAGGTAGGTACCTATTCAAAAAGGGGCATAATAACTATGTATCAACAACACAATGTCCTCCGCGACTTTAGGCGTTTTGTTTCTTAACCGCCTAACTAGGTACGTACCTAGGTGGGTAACCCAGGTGTGGTGTGTGTCTAATTCACACAGAAGAGGATGGATGTATGCAAGATAGTTATATACAGGTAAAAGATATACCTATCCCCATCTCCTCGTTTTTTTTTGTTAACTCACTTGCTTTAGGTATGTAGGTACCCATCTACCAAGCTGAAGCGAGATAGTATAATAAGAATAAGAATAAGAATAATGTAATTACTCTATCTCCACCCAAGGCCCATCGGATAATCCAGGACATTACTTTCCTAAATCCCCAACTTTATAACTCTTAACATCACCTACCCCAAGCTATAAACCATAGGAGACATCAACGTCTTCCTTCCTTCCACCCACCAACCATCTCAAGGGGCCAGGTCGGTATAAAAGGCGTCACAAATCACCATTACCAAGCACATTCAAATCACCATCACTCATAACACAAACACCAATTCCAGTATCAGGTAATAGAGAGCATTCATTTATATCCATCCCATCCATCTCTGCCCCGGCATTATTAGCAAGTAAGTATTATTGTTCGCAACTAACTAACTAACTTCTTTGTACTCGCTATTATAGATAGATAGTTACGGTATCATCATTTGATATGTGGGGAACGGTAGGCACCGCTATCGTTGTTCGTCTCGACTTGATTTTCCTCCTCTAATATTCTTTACTGTATCCCCACTCCTTCCTACTCCCGCTACTCCCGCTAATGTACAAAAATCCCGTGGTGCCGACGAGGCTGCTGTTGGTTGGAGGTAGGTAGGTAGGTAGGTAAATGGGTCTCCCCTTCTTCATTCCTGCTCTACGAATTCAAACGTGTGTGTGTGTGTGTGTGTGTGTGTGTAGCGTGCAATGTGCGGTGTATAATGCTTTCGTCTCGCTGAAAAGAGTCGTATCAGAAACGAAACCAAATTCATATATGCCATGCCGTGTAGCAACCCAAATAAACGCCTAGGATGATCACCCAAATCCTTATGAACACCGTGTTCCACTCTTATGCCATGAGTCGAACCATCTAGCCCGTTAAGTATGGACCGTCCAAGATCTTGTTAATATGCCATTGATGATGCAAATGCAAAGTTTTTTGAAGCCCTTTTCCCCTGGATCCCTTTCCATGTTTACGGATTGGTGTCGCATGCACCATCAACGTTCTAATGGGACGGCTCCCATGTTCGTATGATTTATCTCCTGGCGTCTAGAGTCTCGCTTCGTGGTCGTCCCCTGCCACCGAGAGTGCTGTTATGTCTCTCCTGGTATCTACAAACCCATTCTACCACAGTCTCGTAACAGAGGACAAATTGCCTTAGACTTTGAACCATGCTTATTCTTTGTCGTCTAAAGTCCTCCACAGTCGTCTCAACTAGGTCGAGATTTGTGTCCGTGAGCCAGCTGGTGTCTATTTCCTTGGCTCCGATCTTGCTCTGCCCAAGGTTGGGTCCACTAAGGACAACACTTCGACGGCGATTAGAAGAACCTTCGCTCATGCTTACATCCCCATCAGCATCGGGTCGGTTGATAGCGGCCATGCGTTGTCGTTTTAGCATATCAATGACACTATCGACGGTACAGAACGTGCCAGTACGGCCACATCCAGCTGAGCAGTGTACAAGAATTGGTCTAGCATCTGTATCCGATTCAGGATCGTCGTACCACCCCATGGCCGCTGGATTGTCAGTAGCAACTGACGCAGCAATCGAATTCGCGTCCACAGGCAAGGCCGCACGCTGCATTATGTTCGTTAATTCAACGAGAGCGAGCAGGTGTGACGGTTGCGCAGGTGCTCCGAAATCGGGCCATGACGGATACTGAAGTTGGGTGATCTCTCGTATGGGGGAGAATGGATGGGCAGCATGCGACAGCGCAAACTTTCGAACAATGACATAATGGGCATCTGACTGTGGTTGAGGAGGTTGAGCGTTTTGGGCCGCGTTAAGCGTGGTTGTGGTGTTAGCACGGCGTCGCCCGGCATCTGCTGTGTTAGCTGCAGATGACGCGGTTCCAGTAGCCGATCGATGCTTGTCGATATCTAACGATACTTTCTTTTCAGATATTGGCCTGAGTTTGATCGACCCGAATTCGTTCTTTTGCCAGTACGGATGACACTTGAGCTGACCACCTTCCGATTCCGCCGTCAACATGACGATAACACGAACGTCTTGGTCCCAAATCACCGACCAGAAATCCTAAGACAAAGGACATTAGTTTCAAAACAAACATAACAAGGACTGCGAACTTAGCTAGACTTACATCGAAAGTAGCTGGCAAAGGTCCCTGCGACGCAATATAACGCTTGTGACTGCGCGATGCCTGAACGTGGCTGGCGTTGATGTAATCGCAGCTACCCTCCACTCGACCGGCCAGATGAACACGAGCATGCTCAAAGGGGAGAATATCCTTGTAACGGTTCTTGCCTCCCTTTTCCACTCCCGATAGGCGGACTCCCCCAGATTTCCCAGTTAGGGGCGCAGATGTATTGAATGACGCATAAGCTTCACGCATACGAGATTGTTCGCTGCGCTCTATCTGCAAAAATCTTTCAGAAGCCTTTTTGCCGTGATCTGAGGGTCTGGTAACATCCTGGAGCCAATATGGAAGGTTGGTGGCATCTAGATTGGCTGGAACCGAGATGTCCATTTGTCCGACACCATCAGCTAGATCCATATTCTGCCGTATGTTGCTGAAGAATGGATTGGGATTGTTGGCGCCAGAAGGGAGCATCACGCCACCAATCACGGGGGCAAAACTCGGTCGCCCGCTATCCGGTGAAGTTGAAGTACCGGGCCGTCCGGAGGCTGACTGGTAATCAATGAACGCAGGATATTCGGTCGCAAAGGCTTGAAATCCCCCCTTTAATAGGAGCGTATTTCCATTAAAGCCTTGATTCACGAACTTCTTGAACATATTCATAGCCGACACAGCATCTCGCTTCTCGGTCGAAAAGCCGTCGTATACGATAAGATACTTCACACTTGCCCACTGCGCAAACTTTTGTTGGTCCTCTTCAAGCTGGAGAGTTTGCTGCAACTTCTCGAGATTGAACGTGGCCCGCTTCAACAAAGTTGTCGGAATACAAAGATTCAAAGCACCACGGATTCGCGATTGGGCATATTGAGTAGATACCCGGACATCCAATAATAGATAGTCATTTTCCGGCATATTCTGGAGCATTTCCTTGAGATTACTCGGCAAAATTAGGCCCGGACCACTTTCCAGTGTCGTCGGCAGGGTCTCAGCACGTGGCTTCATGTTCTCCATCGATTGCTCCCACCTCTCATGAGGAAGGGATAGTCGTGGATGTCGATCATCAATCTTGGACAATGTGGTCCTACGCAAAGGCTCAAAAGGAGAGTCAGCATGAGCAGGAGACTCAAAACGGGGCAGGTTGCTAAACGATGGCAGATTCAGTGACACCTCCGAGTTCCTCTTTGAATCTGATGATACATACGCAGAGTCGTTCAGACTATCCGTATCAACATCCATGCGACTGTTGGCACCATCCAAATTCCTTCCAGTAAACGATCTAGAACTAGATACCTCAGAAGCGCTGTCACTATGATTGGTCACTAAACGCGGCGGCCTAGGCCTTGCTAATAAAGGTGACTGGGCGTTTGCAAAATAGGCATTGCCGAGATTAAAACCCCCAGTCCGATTTGCATCGACCTGACGTCTAAAGGCTTCAAATTCGGGATTGGCGTCGAGGGGAAGCTGCTTTGGTATTGCGGCACCGAATGACTTAATAGATGAACTGGGAGGACTCCAATGATCGAGAGGAGCAATAGCTGAGTCTTGGGTACCAGCAGTTGAATGATCCACATTTAGGCCAAAGTAATTAGGACTTGGCGGTCGAACGTTTGCAACGGCAGGCGGTATTTTGGCATTAGGAGGAGGATAAGGTTGACCGACGGAATGAGGCATGCGAGGTGACGCCACAGGCGTTGTTGTTGACCTGTTAGCGCGGAAGGCTTGCATATTCGCCTGGGAATGGCGAGAGGGATGTGGATGAGAATGAGATGAGACAAGCGGTGGTCTTGTGGAAGTCTTCATGGTGAAATGATGTGTAGGAAGAAAAGAAGTAGAAGAAGTGGAAGTGGAAGTGGAAGAATAGGGTATAGTAGGAGTAGAAGTGGCAATAGCAGTAGTAGCAGTAATAGCAGTGGCAGTGGCAGTATAAGCAGAAGCAGAAGCAGATGTAGTAGTAGTGGCGGTAGTGTTAATGGCAGTTGCTGTTGTAATTGCTGAGCGGTCGCTATTTTTGGTCGTCTCTGGAGCCATTTGCACCTTCACTTTCGTTCAGCGTATGACGTCGTTTCTTTCAGCAGTTCAACCTTTTCTGCCCATGTCATCAATTCTCGCTTCAAATCTCTCTCCCCGCCTTATAAACTCGACATGACGAGTGATACTAAATTTAATTTCTTCTTTCCTTTGCTTTTTTTCTTTTGTCCCTCCTTTTTTTAAGGGATGATGATGATTAGATTTTGAAAGTATAATGATACTATATAAAATAATATCACCATATATAGACGACCGGATATATTATTTCTTTTAATCTCCTAGCTGTGTTGTAGTCGTAGTCGTCGTAGTCGTAGGTGGGTAGGTAGTCGTTTTGTTATATGAACGAGTGGCTGAGGCGTGGAAAAGGGAAATCCTTTGGTTTAGAGTAAGATGGAGAGAAGTTGTTGGAAGGTGGCGGCAGCGACAACAACAACAACAACAACAGCAGTAACAATAAACTTTAGCGCACCATGAACATGTAGGAAGGAAGACGAGGGACAGTAATAGAGCCCAGCTCTTACAAATGTCGAGAGGAATGGAATTTCGAAATTTCCCAAAGAAGAATAGGTTTAGGTGGGTAGGGTGGTGTAAAAATGAAGAAGAGGAGGATGATGATGGAAGAATGTCTTTTCTTTTCTTTCTTCCCTGCCGTTCTTTTCGGGCTTCCAGGGACCTCGTTGCTTTTTGTGTGGTACGGTCAATAGATGGTGTGTATGCGTTGTGTGCGTGTGTTAGGAAGGAATGGGCAATAAGGCCTGGACCCCGACGATCTCTACTTGGAACCCAGGTACCTAGGTTACCTAGTTAGGAACTATACAAACTTGGTCGCACGGAAAATAGGACGAAAGTGCGCTCCGGCTTGATGGAATGTACGGTACTAGGTGGTGTAGTCTGTAGATTGAGGGCGGTTGTCGGATTGCCTGACTTGAGCGAGGCGAATGGGCTGGGTTGGTCTCAGCGACCCGTGCAAGGTACTTAAAGGGACCAAGAACAGCAAGAATACCGTAGGCAGATTTCGGGGGTTTGTCAAATGTCATAGAGGGACGACACTACGGGAGTTTCTGGACCCTAATAGGGCAAGAGAAATCGTCGGGTCAGGTAATGATCTGCGATTCAATGGCGCTACTATGCGACGGCGGCAAGGGTGGAAGGGTGGAAGGGGTGCTAGTATGTAGGTAGGTATGGATGTATGTACTAACTGGCACTGCGCCTTTAGAATATGGAGGTTGAAGGGTAGGTATAATTATAATTCATGGGCCGCTTTCATCATCAGGAACTATCGTCTTAGATAGTGGTTCCCACTTCTCTCAACACTATTACTAGTAGAGAGTAGGTCGGATGATCACAAGAATACCTGAGTAGACGAGTGTATGTATGTATTCGCCCAAGAAGAGACAATACCTTCTTTTATGTTGTTTAGACGTTTAGATGAGTGTGGTTTAAATCCGAATCATACTAGCCTAGGTATGTGTAGCTGTGTTAAAATCAACGAGGATGTTAGTAGGATGCTTGGCTGTTTGACTGTTTGACTGTTTGGCCGTTGAACGGAAGAAAATGGCATGGAGGAAAAGGCTTAAAGTATAAATCAAAATTAAAAGGGTTTGAGGCTCGATGACGAAATGGCAAAAATTGGGGGAAAGCATTAAGAAACAAGACCCTTTTAGATTGATGGCTCGGCGAAACAGTTCATATTGTTATTAACACGGCATGACATAGGGTAAGCATGTAAATTCTAGGAACTAACAATTTCTTTATTGCTTACCATCATCAATGCTCAATGTTCCTACAAGGCGTGCGTACGTACATACATCACATACATCACATAGCTGAACAGTGAAGGTGATAGTAATTATACGACACATACTTATTTACTAATGTTACTGGATATGTATATAGAAATCGTTTAGTTAGGAATATGACAAGGTTAAATACTTTATGTATGTAGACGGCTACATATGTACATATAGGTAGGTACTGGAAATAGACAACGACTCGATGCGGGACTTGAGCAGCACGAGAGTAGAAATATGCATCCCTGGATGTATAGACGCGGTCCCGAAGTGGCGTATTTTAAAGACGTCATACCAACTAGTTCAATACGACATATACGTACATAGTAATATCATACGATAAGTGCATATATGGATGTAGATGTCATATCTGTCATAGCTGTCATACCCGCCATATCAATGATCCATCTGCTTTACTAGTAGTACGTAAGGTTAATGTGTAACTACTAGGTAGTTAGCTACCAGCTACTAACTACATAAGAAGTAGGAAGTTATGTACTAATAAGGCATAGACCACGTGCAAGCCCCCTATTTTTTTTATTCGGGAAATACTAACTGGAAATAATGAGCTGCCAAACGCTAAACCTTCCCAAGATTAGCCATTGCTTGCTTTTACCACTCCCCCCCCCATTGCCCCCTTCCTTTTTTTTTCTTCCCTTCTTTTTCAAGGGTCCACTACCTCATTTTTGGTGCGTCGTAATGTTATTCTAGACCCTTTCCCCTCATCCATAATCGACAAAGATCGTCCGGGTCTGCTTTGTACCACGTTTACAATTCCACTTTGGAGTTCTGTCTTGTCTCCAAAGAGTTCTGGTCCAAAGAGTTCTGGTTGTGTTTCTTTTAATTGCTCGATAATTTTGGACCGGTCAGCAATGCTGCGATAATGGCCGTGGGCTTCCTTCATCTATTAGCCGGCCAGGCCAATGAACCCCGTATTCCATTATGTTCTAGAGTATGTATTGTATGTCCGTATGTCCAGGAATGTTTCCAAGAATATCTCAAAACAGCAAGGCTGATATTATCGCCGATCGGGTAACAGGTTTCGAGTGTTTCAAGGGTATGTTATAATATCCTAGGTTGCGGTATTAGAAGGCCGGATTCATCATTGCCAATACCTGCAAATACTTGCAAATACCTGCAATTCCTAATAATCAAGGAAACGGGACTCGCATACTGACCTTATTAGGAAATCAAGAAAGTAGTTTGGTCCATAGATCACCCGGGTTCTTGTCAAGAGTCCTAAGAATAATACATCCATAACTCCAAGATGTCTTGCTCTGAGCGATACTACACGTGTAAGTACCCTATGGACCCTACATAATGGATCTTATCTAGCCCCTGGCGCTAGATACATTTCAAGGGCAAAGCCCACACTTGCCTTATGGGGGGCCGACTAGGATCGGTATCGGTATGTAACCTACACCACTTACCAGAGTAGCTTGATCAGTTTTCAAGTGATGACTTACCCGATTTCAGTTAAGCAGTGTTGAATAGATGCACCTTACGGCTGTGCTAGCTGGCTAGGTAGGGCCGTAATGGTAGCTCAAGGTACAGTAAGCATGGCATGAGATCATCCAACTCTAGGCACAGGGCACATCAGCTACATATCTAACCTATGTACTAACTAGCCTACTAGGTACCTACCCTAGGTAAGCAATAGGGTCAACCCAGGCTTGTTAGGGCGCCACCTCGTTCCACACTTGTCTGTTAAGTGTCTTTAAGGCCAGCAACAAGACGTGTGAATGTACGTTACATCCATGGGATATGTATTACATACCTCTTTACCTGATGGCCCGTAGATTTGGCGATTCACACTTAAATAGTCTCCTGATCTTGTCAGAATTGGCGACAGGCAAGACAGAGATGCTCTTAAGTATTGCGTCCGGCATTAAATGGTAGTTGGATTTTGGTCTATGCGAGAGATGTCTTGTCACTTGGCACTCTTTTATAGCTCTTCTCATCACCCCATTTCTACGTCATTGTGCTTCGTCATATGCTGTGCTACCGTCTTCCACGAGATCCAACCCGTTGCCTTTTAACAGCTACTGATTACAGGGTCATCTTTGTACATAGCTACGACCTACGACCTACGGCGCAAACTTTCAGAATTTTGCAGATGGGCTTCAATCCTGTTGGAGACGAGACAAGGCACGACAAGACAAGACACATAATGGGGTTATACTAACTTGGCTAAGCCGGCAGGCCGGTGACATATAGATACCTAGTATAGTGGAATGCATGTCGGTTTGCACGAATCCCCGCACCAAGGAAAGAGTTACATTCATTTCGAAGGTCTGGAACCGGGGATACAAATAGGGGAATCTATCGGGGACCGCATGGTATTGAGGCTACTGTCAACCTGCTTGCCTGTTTCAGCGCTCCAGCTGACATGCTGGTTTCCCAATTCCGACTTTGGCGGCTGATCCCAAGATCTCGGCATGGGGAAATGCACCGAGTTATTCTATACTGCCATATTGCGTTATCGCGCCATCCCGCTTCCTCCATTTCTCACCGCTGTAGCACAGAATAAATACTAACCTAGGTACATACCTTATTACCTGCCTACCTACCTACCTACCTACCTAATCCTATTAGATCGTCAATCTACAGACCTATGTACGCTTGATAAGTGGGTGCTGTCCTCCGTCACACATCTGTTAGTACCGCCACCAACGAAGCACTACTTTACTGGTTAGACAGTTAATATTTCATATGGTCCAACTAGTATCACTGTTAAGTTGCGCGACTACGTACTAAATCCAACACCAGGAATAAGTCACCGCCATGTAAAAATCTAACCAGTTCAACTAGCAACTTTAAACAAGACTTCAAGCACGGACAAGACGACGAGAGAGGCAGTTGCGTAAAAGTCTTCGTGTTGGAGCATACCGCTAACTATAAACACTGAGGCTATGTGCTCTATATCTACCTATATGTGGTAAATTACCTACCTTGACCAAGGCCTGGCTGGCACGGCGTCTAACCTTAGTCCCCGACAGCCGTCTCTCCTCGCGGGTTCGGGGCTACCTACCTACTCTAACCACGCAGGTTCAAGTTGTCTGCTTGCATAATAGAAGAGTCTAGGCCAGACGATCCAGCTACCCTTTAGATAACGCGAATAAGCAGGCTACGGCATTACAATCGCCGTGCAGATGGATGCCAGATGGAATGGCTATCGTGTTTTTTTGGATCCCATCAGGCTATAATACAGCTTCTATAATAGCGTATATACCTATAAGGAGTCATCTTGGTCTGTTCATCTCACGTTATCCCGTGCTGTCGTCTACTGAATATTACCTGCCTACCTAAGGTAGGTAGATAGGTACTTGTGTATGCTTTTACGACTTGCTTAGGCTTGCTTACATACATTGTACATGGCTAGTCGGCGACTAGCATCGTCCCTGTGGAAGTTGCTAACGTCAAAGCTTGTCGTAGACTAATCGCGGGGGAAAGGGTTGATATTGGATCGGTAAACGACTAGTTGTTACATAGCATGGATGTCTATTTTCAACGACTACATGCCTCGTATCGTCGCCTTCTCCTAGAGTCCTAGCTATTCAAACTATTCCTCGCATAATCTCCGTATCGCAACCTATCCCCTTTTGCTAGAATATCCGTCCGTTCAGATGGTAAATTCCGCTATAGAGACGGTGAAGTTTAGGTACACTCTCCGTACCTAGCTAACCTACTGGGCTATGTACAATACGTAGGTAGTCCACCAGCCGAACTTGAAAGGAGGTGAGATAAATGACCTGTCTGTCATCTTTGACGAGGTAGATAATAATAATAATAATACTACTAACCAACTTCTGGCATGACCTTAGGCAAGTACATATATAGGTACCTAGGTGGTAGTCAACAACTCCTCGCCGGTCGAGACCCTCTACCTAGGTAGGTTAACAATCGCCGCCTCTTATTTTTGCCGCGCCTATGATCTGTGTAGGGGAGGAGGGGCGCGCGAAGATCAGTTACTCTTCAGTATTACCTCTCTTGGATTATATACCCTACCTACTTACATATATACTTACCTACACTACCTTGTACCTACCTACCCGCAAAGCGCATGAGAAACCCTACCCCCCCCCCCCCCTCTCCTCCACCTAGATTTGGAAAAAGAGAAAAAGTCAGCTATGCATCATGGTACTGTAGATATGTACCCAGTGGATAGGTACTAGATTAAGCAGTAGGTAGATTAGTAGGTACCTATTAACTATGTAGGCAGGTTTGACACATAGTTAGCAGGTAGGTAGGCTTTTGGTATTGTATTGTATTGTACAATACAATGCAGTAGGTTAAGTAGACTAACAACCCTCGGGTTACCCGTGAGGGCAAGGATTAACTACTGTATCTCTCTCACATCCATCCTTATGTACAATCAATCAATCAATCAATCCATGGATTCTTTGCGCTACCCTCGGGAACTATAAACAGTGAATGTTGTTCGGTTCGGTTTGACTCGCCGAAGCGAAGCGGATTTTTTTTTTTTTTTTTTTTTTTTTTTTTTTACTTAGGGAAATATCCGGCTTTATGTGTGGTGCAAGTAAGGTAGGTACTAGACGTAGAAGTTCAGATGCCGAAGAATAAATAAAAAAAAATTAAATAATAGGTAAGTTATGAAGTAGAGAAATGTCAGAGAGATCTTACCCAAGTTCGGAGTCCGATGATATGATACAGGGTAGGCGATATGTTTCTCTGGCGGAGGGGGGGGGGGGCTGGTGTCCCAAAGGGTCGTTTTGTGGCTACTACACTATGTATGTGAAGGCATTCTTCACCAAGGCTACGATACCTACTAGGATGTAGTTACATAGGTATGCGATAAAGATAGGTATGGGAACTATGTAAATAGCAACGCCTACATACCTCATAACCTCACACGTGGTAAAAAATAAAAAAAATAAAAAAAACCGACTACGCCGGTTTCCCGGGGTTATTGTATACACCTATCTACCCACCCACCTCCCTCCGGTGCAATCCAACTACCTACCTACCTACCTACCTACCTGCCCATTTATCTACAGACCTAGTACATACATACCTACATATCGATACTCAACGGGCCGTAGGACTCATCTTTATCCCGCAAGGCAGGCAGGCCATCAAGCCCGTGTCCGCGATAGTTAACTACTACTCGGCACTACTTCGTATGCACATTACCCCAGAATCCCGATATAGCGATCGGCAAAACATCTCTATCTATGTAGGCACATACATAGGCTAGGATTGCCTGCCTGCCAGTTAGTTAGTCAGCCAGTCAGTGCATTAACTGTTCGGTCAGCTAGCCGGTTCGCTGGCTAGCTAGCTTTGCTTTACACTACACTACACTAGACGCGTCGTCGTCGTCGTCGTCGTCTTGCGCGTAGCGCTCGCGGAAGATACAGTACCTAATAGGTTACGGGTGTTATGCATTCATTGTACACGCTAGGTAGTTATCGATCAAGACACATACATTTATAGAAGCGCCGGGCGATCATCCTGTACATACATCGTATGTACGTACATATGTCTACGTACAACATGCCTAACTTAGGTAGATAGGCCCGGTATGTACCTACCTCCACCGGACGTTGCTATGCAAGTAGTAGTTAGTTATATAAATAACTATACCTATAGCAAAGTAGCCCGGCTATCCTAACAACAGCATGAATATATCCCCGGGTCTTAATAGTTAGTTAGTTAGTTAGTAGTTACCTACCTATTATTAATACCACTTCCAAGTTTTCAAGTTTCCAAACGCCGTCTCGTATACAGGGGAAAAAGGGAATACACGTTTAAGCAAGAAAGAGAGAGAGAGAAAGAGATAGAAAGAGGAAGAAAAAGAAATAAAGAGATGGAGAGATGGAGAGATAGAGGAGGGTATCACGAGATCTAAAAATAGCCAGCCCTGGAGCCCATGGAGGTTTCCGAGGACAGGACCCCCCTGGACAATGGTAATATGATGGTTTATGCGACACCTACCCTAGGCATTGCAGATATCTATCGCCTTTTAACGATATAACCTCAATTCTAAGCCTGCTGGTCAGGATATTTCAAGCCAGAACATAATTATTACTGCACACTATCACATGAACATAAATCCATTCATAGTAGGTAGTCTTATTATAAGCAAAGTCCGCACAATTAGAGGTATACGTATAACCTAGCACACAGCTATGCAAGCTGAGAATGCCTGCCCAGGTAACTATATGAACCATCCATCCATCGAGCCCAGCCAAACACATGTAACTATCCCGCAACGCCGAAAGCCACGCATATACAATACGTAGGTAAATAATAGGGGGGTATCAAGGCGAAACCCGAGTTCGTTCCATCCGTATCGCACTTAATAAGCCGGTGCTAATTCCCATACTCGTAATTACATCCGTAATCTTGTATTTTTTCTTCGCCTTTACTCCAGAATACCCCAGCCCAAGCTTTTCGTGGTAGACTCAGATACCCTTGGCCATCTCCGCCTCGATGTTCCAGTCACCTAGGAAGTCGCCCAAATTCTTCAGGACATCGGCGACGTCGTCTACCTCTTGGCTTTCTTCTCTCCATGGTGTTTGCTCAACATCAGTCATCTCCATCTCCATCTCCATCTCCTGGCCGGCCATCTCCGGAACAGCACTGTCCAGAGCTTCTGGTATATGTACTATATATTTATCGGCTTCCCGGAAGGCATCGGCCATGGCGCCGATTCCTGGACTCATAGGTATCCGTTGAGATTCGCTTGGGAGCAAGCGTCGCTTTTGCGGACGTCCCATATTTTCGCTGCTGGCACGTCGCTTTACGGCATCAAAATGGGTCCTAAAATGACCCTCGGTGCTATCATCCTCTGTATCGACCACCTCACGGGGTGGGGGTGAGGCAGGTCTCTGAACGCTGGATGCTGGCGCACTGACAGCGTAGTCTTCGTTGTTGGGTAACGGGGCAAAGGATACCCGTAGACTTGATCGTTTACTCGACCGTCTACTACCCCATGGATTTGAAGCGGTGTCCCTAGAGAGAATGCCACGTTTACGACTGCTAGTTGAACTAATGGACCGTCGCCGTTTTTTTGGTGATGGCGTGTTGAATATAGCAAACGCCTTGATCGATTTCTCCAGTTCGGGGGTATGTGCCTCAATTTCACGCATTTGAGGGGGTGTGGTAGGTCTGTATTCTAAATCCTCTGATAGACATTCACCTGGTTTATCGGCTGATGTAGGTGGCTGGGATAGCGAATTGAACTGCTTCACATCATGGGTTATGGGCGTAGTCGTGGCGAACGGAGTTTTCACAGGAGAAGTGATGTCTGTGTGCATTCCAGCCCACGGACTCTGGCCTTGATAAAGGCTCGGACTTGATGTCGTAGTCAAAAGTTTGATGGTTGTATTTGCTGTATTTGTTGTAGCATGATCCTCTTGTGTGTTTACTGCTGTCAACTCTGGGGGCTCTGCAATCCAAGGGCTCTGTTGGGACGGCGTGATTCTAGACACACTGTAACCGTTGTGTTGAGAGCCTGGTAAGGGTTGAAACAGTGGTTGGAGAGAGATATTGGAGTCGTCGTTAATTTGCTTTGTATTATTGTAACCAACTTTTGCATCTGGCTCACACAGGACTGTAGACGCCCAAAGGCTTGATCGTGGAATAGTGACCGGAGGGTCTAATAGAGCCGCCTGGGTTGGATCGTTTTCATCAGAAATATTCCCAGGCTTGACATGCTGGGCCGCCGATTTCTTCTCTGTCATATTTCCTGGTAGATTTGAGGAGTTATCCATAGCTCCGACCATGCCCAATTCTAATTGTGACAATGGTACTTTAACCATCATGTTGGCTTTAGCGTCTGATTTGCATTCCTGCGCTTCATCCTTCATCGAGATTTGCGTAACAGCACGTGGCTCCAATGACGGGTCGACTTTTGTGTCTATATCAATGGATGTGTCGTGGGTTGGAAGTAATTTGCCAGTGGTAATTCCCATCCTTTGGTTAGGATCCATTGGATCACCAACTAGTGTAGAATCATCGTTTGCCGGTAGTCTAAGCGTTTCTGGCTCTGCCTTGTTTGATACATGATTCTCCGAGAGCGTGACATTTTGAGATACTAAAGTCTCAAACATTGGATGTGGCGCACGTTGATCGTCATGGAGTTCGCAGAGGCTCTTCCTAACATTTTCACTCTCCACTGAAAGAGAATCTGGGTCTTTGGGCATGGATACGGATTTGTCCGAATCAATGGGATGTGAAATCATTTCCTCGACAAGTTCTGTCTGGGCTTCCGAGGGCTCGCTATCAGTAATAGTAGATGTATCACTGGAAGAATTACTCTGTCTGTTGCCGTCCTCGGCCTGGTGTCCCTTGGATGCTTCTTTCATCGTAATTGATAAACTGGCAGAACATTGCTGGTTCGGAACATCACCATCTTTGTCTTGGTCACACACTAGGATTGGTGGATATTCTGATATTTGCGGCGCCTGCTTGTCTGGCATTGTGATTCGTCGAGAGGATGGATGTTGTTGTTCTACTTCAAGAGCTGCAGCTATTGTCATGCTATTGTGGTTTGTAGATTCTGGTGTTCCAGTCTGCGTAAGCTCGGGGCAAGTGCCCGTTCCTGGGACATCCAAATTGGCCGTGGGGGTTGTTTGTTTCGCTGGCCGAGCTCGGTAGTGGAAACTTTGATCTAAGTAACTCTCGAGATCTATGTCTTCCTCTGTTTCCTGAGGTTGTTGATCTTCTTGGTTTGTCGGCTCTTCGGTTGTCTCCTTTATCTGATCACTATGTCTAGGATCTGTGCTCTTGTTATTTTCTCGGCTATTCTTGTTGTACGATGATTGATCATCAGTGTGGTTGACTGTTGTCTCCGTGGACTGCACATCCAGGTGATTCGTGGCTGATTTGGATATGTGAGTCGGATTGTTGCGAGACGGTGTTGTTTTATCGGCGGGATTTTCGGCTTGTTGTCCTTCGTACGTAGCCTCTAGAGCACTCTGGCTAACAATAGAGGATGGTGTAGCCAATTGAAAGCTTCGACTAGCTCGTGGTTCGCAAAGGATGGGCTCCGTAGTATAATTGGTGTCTGTAGGTACTGATTTACTGCGGATCAAGGGCATCGGGGTGGGAGTAGATGCTGCGGCGGCTGGATTTTGCGAATTGCTCAACCTCGTCTTCTTGGATGGTTTCTTCAACCATGCATTCTTAGCATGTCGTTTCTTGGAGGGGCTACTAATTGCTTCCTTAGGAACCGGTGCAGGGGCCCAGAAAACATCCCTCTCTAAGGTTCCTGTTTGTGATACCTCATTTGCCCAAGACTGTATTCGACTACGCTTAGAGTTTTCGGGAGGGTCCGGGAGGACTTGTAGTCCGCCATTGTTGATAGGGCTGGACACATGGCAGCGCATTGAACTGTCTGTGCCTGGCGTGCTATCATCTTGCTGCATTGATTGTCCCATAATATTACGAAGGTATTGGTTGAATGGAAGTTGAGATGGTTCAGGAACGGTGTACTTGGGTCCAGATTCTTTGGGTAGCCAAGGATTCTGCCAGCCTGAGGCCTTGTCGAACGGACCACGCAGGGATGCTGACATAATTCTTAAAGGCTTACCTTGCAGATATCGGAGTCCCTGGGCTTCATATCTCAGTCTTTTTGCAACCTTTTCGTGCTCATCAAGTTCCTCATCCGACCCAAGACATATAATATCATCCGGATTAGATGGAGGTGGCGCAGAGTAATAGATAGGTTCGTCTCCCAGGTGAACCCGCCTCCAAGCCTCAACATTGAGGTCGTCCATGGCTACGATATCAAGAATGAATGGGTACTATTATGTCATCTTCTGGATTCCGAATTAGGAAGATAGATGGCGCATTCCAGGCTGGATTGGAGTTTGACCTTGGTTTGGCTTAAGGGGTTTTGTGGAGGGTTTGGTAGGGTGAAAAGGGAAAAATGATAAAAATTGAAGATGAGAGGAGGTTGATTAGTCCGGTTTCGTCAGTTGCAATATTGCATTGATAGGTAGTACGTTCTCGGAGGTATGTATTTTGCCGAACATAGACAGTTGTACTAGATAACAAACAATTGTAATCTACTCAATTAGAATTTAGGGATTTGATTAGGGACCTGCTTAGGTATGTGCCATGTGATAAGCATTTAATATGTGATGACCAGTGACTTATCCGCACCGTAATTTAAAAAAAAAGGAACGAGGAGGCACTTGGATTGAATAAGAAGACGCGAAAGACGCGACATAGCGCGTTAATTAGATTTAATTAACACCCAAATTGGTTAGTGGTGGCTTGTCTACTTTCGGAATGGATGTGGCTGAAGTGTGGATTGCAGTTGCCACAGTAACCGGTACCGCACATCCCTGGATCACATCTTTCAGTGCTTTGACCAATAGTTCCAAGTTTTGTCAGTTGCGGTACAGGGCTGTTTAGTGTTAATACGGGGTACGTTCCAAAAGGTAAACGGACCAACAGTTCAATGTTAATGTGCCTTTTTTATCTATCGATACACCGCCTGCACGACACACCCAGAACTGGTACAACACACACACATACTTGACATACCTACATATGTACATACATACACCACCACCATTACGTATCTAACCAACCAACCCTCTACTCTTTACCAAATCAAATTAATCCTACCAACCTCCGACTTGGGCATACATCATAGAGCCTTATTGAATTAGTTATTCTTGTGAAGACATACCTTGATGAACAATCGCAATAACCCCATTGTACATTGTATATCCAAATCCCTCTTTACACCTACATACCTAGTATACATTGAACCTGGTACTTTTTACTTGGTACTGTACTCCTCCTCTACATAGTACATACTACCTGGTACCCAGCACTTATCGCAGCACTGAGCCGAACCGCATACACGCTTCACAGACGCGCCCCGAATGCCCCACGCTTCATATTGTCAACACAACGCACTCAACTCCACATTCGACATTCGATTCGCGACTCGATAAGCCACAGTCCACCACAGCCCTATATTATTACTCTAACCAGGTCTACTGAAGCAATCATTGTGATCGCATAATCACCAGGATCTTGGTTATATGGATGCTCGCCGGTGTTGACGCATCGCGTGTAGACCAAGACATATATTTTGCCCTCTATGGCTCAAGCTTGGCTTGACTCGCTTTCTGAGGATTGGGTGTCCCAGCCCCGATCAGATCCTCGATCCGATATCTCGCTAGAACAGTCGCAGTCGCAGTCGCAGTCGCCTAGTCGACCAAATACATCTACAACCAGTGCGAACGGCAGAAGTCCGCGCGTGAGTCGCATTCCACGGTTTAATCCTGCGAATGTATCAGCAACAAAAAAGGTGCACCCATCCGCGCATAACAGCAGTTCCATTCAAATCCTAAGCGAACGAACCATGAACGATATTAATATCCGAAAATCACAGCCTGGTCCATCCAAACTTATTCAAGAATCTAGATCCTCCCAACAAGGACGCCATCCCAGCCGATCTGCATCTGCGTCCACCACTGCCTCCGTCGTACATAACACTGTCCAACAGAACAAATCGCAGAGCAGTTCCCCTTCGAAAACGAGAGAAAATGTACCCGAATGGAAGAGACGGTTGATTTATGGCGAATTGAACTATGGCGAGTCTAAGGATCTATTTAGCTCGGCAGGGACTGGTCTGGAGAATATATTCCGACCACCAATGGCGCAAGAGCCCACAGAAGATGAGACCATTGAGAACAGAGAGGTTGGCATTAATGATACTACGCTACCCTCAAGCCCTCCGCCCTACTTGAGGCGCATACACGAGACCCGCCAAGACGAAAGCTTCGAACCATCCGCCAACGAGTCGCTAATGCCGCGCTCTCCATCTCGCAAGAAATTTCTATTTCGAAGGACAGAAGCAGATGCCGACCAGTCAAGCAGAATTCAATCACGGCTGCCATCAAATGAGTATCGTCATGGCCAAGGGAAGGAAACGAATGGGTTAGGTGAGAGATCTGCCATGTCTCTCAACTGCAATAGTGGCCTCGATGAGTCGCGAAAAGTGAGTGGGCAAAGCGTCGTGCGAAATGAGGATCTTAGTCCAATTTTATTATCGCGTCACAATTCTGGAGATGGAAAAGTGAGCTTTGCCCCGGTTGAGCTTCCAGCGGAACAGCTGCGCAAGCGTTTGGAGAATTTGAGACAAAACCAGATGGTGTTGGACTCAGAACCCGAAAGTTATTTGACTCCAGAACCGGCTATTACTACGGATGGCACTCCAAAAGTCGACAGTACGGATGAATTCGTAAAAAATGGTGGATATCTAAATACTCGGCGGGGTGGACGCTCAGCAGAGGGGTCTTTTCGCCAACGTCCCCTAAGTCCACCACTGAACACAGACACATCGGAAATGCTTCCAGAATCATCGCTTCAGGCCAGCACTCCTAAACAGTTTCCAACTGTTAGAGTACAACGTGTTGCGTCAGCTGATAGAATAGAGGACCCGGAAACTCCCCTGAACCTCAAAGTACCTCGTGCTCCTCATCCAAGTCCCGAGAAGCGTATTCCTGAGAAACGCATTCAACCGTCATCGAGCCAAGGCGGCAGCCCTTTGAAGCTTTTTGGTCCGTATGATACATTTACTAACCAAACTCTTCTTCGTCGCATAAGTCAATTTGAGGACCAGATGACGGAGGACCCTTCGCGCTCAAGACTAGATGATACTATTGCTTCACCAATGGAATCGTCCCCTTCCAAATCGGAAACGAACAAAAGCTTCATAACAGAGTCTACTCCGAGAAAAGCGGCGCGAGCCGATTTTGATTATCCAGATCACCTTGAAAACGTTAGCTTCTTCGGAGCAGGAGAGCTCGATGGATACGAGTTCAACGAAGAGATCACTCAAAACTCTATTGATTACTCGCAATTCACAAATAAGGAAAACATGGCGCCCGCAGACGACTCGTTGCGACCTACTCACTTTATCAAGTTTCCATTCTACCAAGGTCTTTCATTCCAGGAAAACCCCCCCTTTGTGCAGCGCCGCCGTCACAAACCATCAGGGTCTTCCTTCTCTCATCGACGTAGCATGGGCCTAACCAGGTTTTCTGGTAGCACAAGAGCACATAGTTCCACGCATCCTAATGGATTGAATGGTGGATTCGAGTTTATAACGAAGAGAGAAAGCTCGGATGGTAAGAGGCCGCGGACCTCGCCGTCCAAGGATCCCACGCCGAAAAGGAGAAGGACATTACATCGATCAGATATTGCGTATGGATTAGAAGATCAGGTTGTAGGGATAGAGTCGGTCCAGTCATCACACCGAACTATGCAATCAGTCATTGCGAGGAAACGACAGCTTTCTAACCAAAACCAATTACAAGACGCGAATTCAAGGTATCTTGCGACACGCCAGGTTCTTCGACCACGTTCACCAACTCCCAGTCACAGGTTATCAATAGCGCATGAAAGATATCCACTTGCGAATCTTCATTACGATCCAGATCATCAAAATGGCGAGTCGGATACATCCGGTCAAGACTTTGCTGTTGACGGATCAGGAAGGACATCCATGAAAACCCAAGATTTTTTCGACGCCGCAGAAGAAATCATGGCGATGATTCGCAACAAGGCGCGCCCTCGTAATGATCTTAGCAGTGTAGAAGAATCCGAAGCTGAAAGTGCCGAACAGCGGAGTTCAACCCCAAGAGGCGGAAACGAAAGCTCATTCCAGGAGTCAACCAAGGAACCGTTTTCACGACCCCCGAGCCGGGAAGGACCTCCCATCCTTAATATTCCAACTCGCCAAGAGGACCCGGAGCTGGTTGACAGGCTAAGGCAGTACGAGGAACGTAGCGACCTTGGAGAGATCATTAGCAATTCGATGAATTCGATGGGACAGATTAGAGAGGCTATCCACAAGGCTAATAGCCTTAGTGAGTCTCTCCGACAAAGTGTCAGGTCCAGCAAAACGTGGGATGATTCTCCAGAGGAGCAAGATGTCGTTAGCGACTTGTCAAATGTGAGAATCTCGCGCAACCCAGACTTCCACGATCCTGTCGAGGATACCATGGAATATCCTACGAACGGGACACGCTCTTCCGAAGGCTCCACGAATCACTCTTTCCCTACAGCCTCTTCTCAGAGATCTGATTCAAGGAAACTCATCGTCCCGGATGTTGTCACTCCTCTCATTGGCAACCAGGTCGGTAATATGGTGTTTGATAAAGAAACCAACAGATGGTACAAGGTCAAAGAGCCAAGACCTACTTCACGTGGTGGGAACATCCTTCCGTCGGAAGATAGTGAGGATCCGTTCGCTAGTATTCCGGATCTTTCGGTCGATATAGACAGAGAGACAGAGAACCTAGCGATACCAACGAGACAAAATTCCGTAGAAAATGAACAATCCATGGAGGAAGGGGTGCGACAAGGGCCCTCATCGAAACCATCTGCCGTTGTGTTAGATTTCATGGAAGTTAGGAATATGATGAGTCAAACCAAGGGAAGGTTCAAAAGAATGAGGCAGACCATGACAGAGACTGCAGTCGAAGATGATGAAGAGATTGAGCATGAGATATCGATACACGAAGACCGTATGCAACAGTCAACTTCCCCGTCACGACGAAGGAATCTCACCATCTCATTTTCTTCCCCCATTGCTTCTGTCATACAAGACACGACCCATCAATCAGATGAAGACAATATTGGCCAGGAACCCGATCTTCCGATGGAATCGGTTGAGCAAGCGGAGTATGAACCTCCAAGACGCGGACGGCAATCCAAGCCGTCAAGATCTGCTGGTAAATCGACTACGAAGCCAACTACCAAACCGAGATCTCGAAGCCGTTCCAGAAAGAATTTATCTGCCAAAGGGCGGGAATTTGTGCCGCGACCGGTGTCACGTATCGACGAACAAGACGAGGACTTGACTGGAGAACAATCGGCATCTGAGCAGCAGATTAGTCTTCGCGGAGAATCGAGTCTGATATGCGCGGAAGATGATGATAAATGCAACAATACTAGCTTGAGCGTGGTGGTGACTACACCATCGCCCGTAAATCATGCTGCGACCCCGATTATCGGGCAATACGTTGGCACCTTGTCATTGAGTCCTCTATCTGACTTTACCATGCACCAGGCCGATCAATCATGCGGCCTGGAGGTTAGCTATGTCGTAGGAGACCGTTATCTTGCCACCGGGGATGGCTCCAAGAAGATTATGTCCAAAGCTATCCAGAATCTCGTGGAGAAGATTACGGAGGTTGAGCCATTCGAGCCCGATTGGGAGTGTATGGATGAACTGGATATCAACAACAAGCAGCTCACGACACTCCATATGCTGGATGAGTTTTGTACGGGTGTTGTTACACTCAACGCATCAAATAATTCCATCGAGCATTTGGACGGTGTGCCCGAATGCGTCCGAAACTTGCGGATTACCCACAATCACCTCTCCGAGTTGACGGCTTGGGGCCATCTGATGAATCTGCAATATGTCGATGTGTCTCACAACCAGATCGGTAGTCTGAACGCCTTTAAAGACTTGGTTCACCTACGTAGTCTTCGCGCCGATCACAATCAAATTACCAGTCTAGACGGTATCAAGATGCACGACAGCTTGCAAGTCCTTCGCGCCAGGGGTAATCTTCTTCGTGACGTCAACCTTGACGGCACCAAGATGCAACGCCTAACTGAGCTAGACTTGGAAAACAACCAGATCAGCTCTATTCACGGCATCGAGCAGCTCTCCTGTCTCGTCACGCTCAACCTACAAAACAACGACTTGCCGTCGTTTGGTCCTAGCATGGATGTCCCAATCTCTAATCTCAAATACTTGAACCTCTCGAACAACGACTTGACGACCGTGGATATGTCACTATTCCCTTCACTTCGGCTCCTGCACGCAGACCGCAACCAAATAGTCAGTCTGACAGGCTTCTCTCGCTGCCGCCGCCTCGACAGCCTCTCACTTCGCGAGCAGCGTGGTGATACTCCCCTTGACGCCTCATTCCTCAACGCCGCGTTCGAGGTCCGAAAGCTTTTCCTCTCGGGTAATCTCCTCGCATCCTTTGAACCTTCCGTCGACTTTCTCAACCTCCAGTTGCTCGAGTTGGCCAACTGTGGTCTCGAGCGTCTGCCCGCGGATCTTGGACAGCTGATGCCAAACTTACGCGTGCTCAACCTGAATATGAATGCGCTCGAGGATGTTTCGGCCCTACGGTTTATCCCGCGATTGAAGAAGCTTCTCCTAGCTGGAAACAGACTCGCGAACCCGGCAGACGTCGCGGATACTCTGGCTGGCTTCCCGCACTTAGCACGGCTAGATCTCCGTGACAACCCCGCAACGCAGGGCTTCTACGCCCCGGTCCAAGCACTCGTGTCTACGGACGCAAACGGAAAGGGGGGAATCGACCCATTCGTCTTACCGGACGCAGACCCAGAACGCGACGCGCAGTTCGCGAGCCGCTCCGACATGGGCACGCGCATGCGCCGGCGCTTCTTCGAGATGGTCGTCCGCGACCGGTGTCCGCGCGTTAAGATGCTCGACGGCCTTCCGGTGTCCGCAGGCGGTGGCCCCACCAAGAAGCGTGACAAGGTCTGGGATGCCCTCGTTAAGACCGGCGTCGTCCAGGACTTGGAAACGGGGATTGAGGCGCAGATGGAAGCTGTGGAGATTGATGGGGACGAGAAGAAGAAGAAGAAGGATGATAAAAGGAAGATGAAGAATAAGAATCAGAAAAAGAAAAGAGGGGTAGAGCTGGAAGAGCTCAAGGAGGAGGAGGAAGAGATGGAGCAGTGGCAGTAGGGCTGCGAAGACAGCTTTGGCTGATCTTTCTTGAAGCTGTCCTCCGGACTTCCTTTCTTCACCTGGGACCTTTTGACTTGGACTTGGACTTGGACTTGGACTTGGCAAAGGTGAAGGTGAAGGTGTCTACACTATGAAGTGGATCGGTTGGATGGGAAAGGGGTGGATTGGAGTGGAGTACTTTACTTTCTGGAAGCTGTGTTACTTGTGGCCTTTGCCTTTTTCTTTTGATTGATCGACCCTGTGGTGTGTGTATGGCCCTACTAGGCGGACAGATGGGCAGGTGGACAGGAAGGAAGGAAGGGGTTCGTGTGTGCACGAAAAACAAAACGGGGATAATACCAACCAAAGGAGAGGGTTTTAAGGTGGCGTTTTAAGGGTTATTATTGTCTCTTCGTTTCCTCCCACCTTTCTTCTTCACCTTCGCTTCCTATTTTCTGCTTTTTCCATTCTTCTTGGCGCATTTGATGAAAGAGGGGGGTAAGAGGGAAAGGGGAGGAAGGCACGCAAGCACGCACGAGTTTAACACGCAACGCACGCGACCAACGCAACGCAAACCAACCAGAACAAAACAAAACAACAAAACAAAGTGAAGTGTAGGATTAAAACAGGTCAACCGGTCGACTGGCTAGCTAGCAAGGCGTCTTGGGAGATAAGGTGGTTTATTAGGCGGCCAAGGGAAAACCGGAAAGGGGCAGGGGTTTAGCTGTGAGCTCGGGGAACTAACTAACTGTCCGGCGTGGCACGGTACGGCTATGGCTGCCCAGTATATGGCTGGTTTGGTTTGGTTGGGGCCCGGCTTGCATGGTTCGGTATGGTATACCAAGGGGTGCGCCCGGGTGGTGTTTTGATTGATTGATTGTTTTATTTGCTGAGAGAGAAAGAGAGAGAGAGAGAGAGAGAGAGAGAGAGAGAGAGAGAGAGAGAGAGAGAGAGTTAATGGAGATTCGGTACTTTGGGTACATAAGTACATTAAATACCTAACTAGGCGCCTATGTTATGTTACGTCGCGGAACGGACCGGGACGGGACGGGAGTAATGAGAATATGACGATGTGTTCTTGTAATGCTCTTCTAATGATTCCTTCCCGCCTCTTTATAATCCTCGCCTGTTTTGTTGTGCTGCTATCTGCTTGGTTTGATGCTTTGAATAACATTGAAATTTATGACTTGCTTGCTTGGCTTTTGGTTGGATAAATACCTAACCTACCTAGGTAGGTACCTACTTGACACGATATCGTGGAGGTGAAAGGGGGTTGGTTAGTTGTAGGTATATATACTGTACATGCCTACACATACATTCAGGTTACATACCTACATACAATACCTAAATACCTCCAGGGCTAAATACTACCAGTTGGCCGTAGGTAATTGTTCAACGATAATTTAACCTATCCTAACCTAGGTACTTACTTACTTACCTAACCTACTACTCTACCTATACATCTACATCTACATATAGTAACCTTGAAATGAGTAAACAAGTACCAACCAACCAACCATCTTCACCAGCGATACCATACTATACCATACCATGCCATACCATATATACAGTGCAGATCTCACTACTTTCACGTAGTGCCAGCCATGTATGTATGTAGGTAAAGAGGGGGAGAAAATAGTCACCTACCTACCTACCTACCTAGGGTCTGGGACGATAAGTCCTGATACGTTTAGTTAGGTACTGAGAAGCAAGCAAGCAAGCAAGCAAGCAAGCAAGCGAGTAGGGGGGGGGGGGATAATAGATTGATTATCTTATGTAGGTAGGTCTTCGTTTTAGTTTTAGTCGACTTCGTATATACCTGCTTACTTACCTACCTACCTACCTACCTACCTACCTACCTACCTAACCTAGGTGCATACATACTAACTACTAGGTATTAGGTAGGTAAGTAAGGGTACGTATATAGGTGCCCTGCTTTAAGGGGGTAGGTAAGTAGGTATGTAGGTATCTATTAACAACACTAGGTAGGTACACAACAACACTCGATCAAAACCCATATGCATGCGTTAAAAGCCAGCCAAGTTAGCTAACTAGGTAGGTATGTAGGTATGTAGACAAGTAACACTAAAACAAGGAAAAAAAGAGACAGCACCAAAAAACAGAAAGAGCGAAAAAAAAAAAAAAAAACGCCAAAAACGATGCTGGGTATTATGCGAAAATGTGCAAAGAACCCATCTCCATATAGAATATACTTTCGTTGTTCCCACAGTCATATAATACCCTAGGTGTAAACGTATGTAGATGTAGGTAGGTATAGGTAGGTTGTTACCGTCGTGCCTGTCCGATTATTCCAGATTCCCTTTCCTCGTTCGCCTTCCCGCCCTTCGCCCTTCATCCTCCAGGTAGCCTAGTAACCTAGGCATCTATCCCGAGTATCGTAATATCCCGTCCCATGTACCCCAGTTCATGAAATCATGCGGCCATATTCCCCTGCTGACTAGCATTGCTGGTCGTTCGCTCGTGCCCAAATCCAAGCACCCGCTGTATGCTTCTTCGCATGGAAGCCTTGCCTGTCGCATGATCCTCCTTTTCTTTTTCTGGGCGCGATGTGTTGTTGTTGTTTTCTGCCGTATTGCTGATAGGATCACCACCGGCCGTGCTGCTTTGCCTTCGTCCTCCCAGGAAGCTAAAGCTCATTCTCTTGCTCTCCCGCCTTTTATCCTCTGGCACCTTATTCTTCCACACAGCCGGGAGCTCGGCAGCTCGGCCAGACCATTCACCGTCTCGTTTCCAACCAGTAACACAAGCACGAATCACATGGCTCAGATTGACGGGACCCAAGGGCGCCGCAGACTCTAGCACGAGCTTGTTGTAGAGAGCAGGATACGCATTAGGGACGACAGAAACGCGCATGGGAATATTGGCTGGTAGGATAGGCGGGGGTATAGGTATGAGAACTTCTACCGGATAAGTAGAGGTATCCTCTTTTGGCTTCGTCTCTTTGACATCTGCGTCGGACGAGCATACAGCAGTGGTGTCGCCGGATGTACGAGTTGCACTAGGGCTGAGAGCTACCGACTCTGGAGGAGATGGAGGCAAGGGGGAGCTGCTCATATGCCAAAAAGAGAGACGCTTTCCTGCAGGGGAGGTAGGTATCGAGGTAGTTGGTTTTGGACGAACACGAGCCGCCTTTGCACCAGTCCAGGCGTCGCGTCGCGCATTGAAGCAAGCTAAACCATCGTTCCACTCCATCTCAGCACGCACCTCGTGTCTTCGCTTTGCACTCTTGGCGAGAGCAGATCTCTTTACTGAATCCCCTACTGCATCTGGGTTATCGAATCGGTAAGCCGAAGGTGATAATGGGGGACCTTCATCGTCATTATCCGGAGGCATATCTGATAGCCACTCAGCCCGAGGGCGAAAATTGGCGAGATCCTCTGTAACTGTGCTGTACACTGAGACTGCATCGTCGTCGTCATCTCCCGAGCCTGATTCTTCTACTGAAGGACCTTGATCTTGATCTTTTTGATCTTTAGCCTTGGCGCCGACATGTCCCGGAACTGGGTTCGTAGGCTCAGGTGGCCATGTAAATTGCCAATCATTCCGCACCTTCTCTGCTAAAAGACGTTCGACGGCAAACTTCTTTTTATACTTATCCTTGCTCACGAGGTCCGGGTCATAGTCCAAGACGACGGCGGGGGCTGGCTGTGAGTGATGCCGTAACTTGGCAAGCGGTACTTTGGTGGACTTGTATAAGTCTGAAAACAACATCTTTGGCGAAGAGATGGAAAGTCTTCTACTTTGATCTGCCCCAGTTGGCGATGTAGGCGACATAGTAGACGATATAGTAGCTTGTTGGTCTACCTGACCTTCGACTTGAGTGGAATGCGGGGAACCAATGTGACTGGTGGTTCCATGTATAGGTATTGTTGGCATATTCGCTACACATGTAAAAGACCGCGTCAGTCATTAACTAGGTACCGTAGATTAAGTACCTCCCAAGCTTGGTGGCGTTATGTGTGGATTGACTGTCAAGATCTTGGCCGTGGATATAAATTGGTGGTGTGCATATGATGGCAGGTGGTAGATGGCAAATGGCAAATAGGGAAGGGTGAAAAGTTACATTCAATCAAGTGACTCAATTCGACTCGACTGGACTCGACTTAGAAAGTGAATAACATGTAACTATTGCCGTCTCTACCCTAACATATGTTGTCTGACAGAGACATGTAACCCCTCCATCGTAACATGACGAGCATGAATACAGATGCATGTATGTACGAAGTAGATACGATGGAAAATGAATCATAAAAAGAAAAAGAAAATCTAGAAATAAAATAGCAAAGTCAAAAGTTTGAACAATTACTTACATATGCATGGACTGTGACCGTCTGGGGTAGCAGAGGTCGGCACTGTGATCCTGATCCTCTCTTCAGTTCCCGATATCTGACTGTGTAGGTTTAGATCAGGGTCAGGGTCGGGGTCAAGGTCAGGGCCAAGGCCATGGCATGGGTCATGGTCATGGTCAGGATGAGACCCAGTCTTGCCCTGTAGATCAATAGCCGGAGAGTCCGCTGGAGCTGATGAATTTGATTCTGTGGCCTGCATCCTGAGGGAATAGAGAGAAAGCGAAAGCCTCTTCTTTTGTTCCAGCTGCCTAGAAAAGGTGAGATTGAGAAAAAAAAAGAGGCTTTTCGGCCTTTTTTTTTTCTTTTAGGATTGTATACCTAAGGGCTTGTGTAATTCGTGAGAACTAACAAGCAGCTACACTAGCCAGCGCAATGTTTCTCGATTGAAAATGCCTAGTTTAGCTTAGGAATAATATCGGATGACCAGGTGCAACGAACTTAAGTGAAAGTGAGCAGATGCAGGTGGATAGATGGGCTGGATGGGTTTAGATGGGTTGAATGGATACCTGGGCACAGCTTGGTTACGATTCTGGTTCGCTGAGAACCCTGGAGTCTCTGGAGTTTCTGGAGGCAGACTGGAGCCCTAAGAGCTCTGCTGGAGTGGACTAAACAGTCAGCCGAGAATCGTGGTGTCGGCAGTGTCGTGTGACCTAATGTACTTAATGGCCGTCCAAAGCCTCGATTTCTTTTTTTGTAATAACTACTTTTTTTTTTTGGTTTTCACGGGAGTGTCGTCTAATCCATCGCATCGCATCACATACACTGACTGCACCGAACAGTACTGTGCTACTATATGTACCTAGTAGGTAGGTAGGTAGGTCAAAGGTAGAGAGAGGTAGGTTAAAATATACACACCCTCGTGTATGCCGGTTGTAGGTGGAATGCCAATATGTATGTACGGTATGTATGTAACTCCGGAGGCAAAAAGTAAAGGTACTAAAGGAAAAAAAGAATGATCCCCAGATTTATTGAGCACTGGAATGCATCGGTAGACGCCGCGCTATTAGTGTAAATAGCAGAATGATTAGCTGCAGGTCCGGGATGTGTGAATGTATGCATGTATGTATGAATGTAGGTAGGCATGTATGTAGTAGTGATTCAAGAGGGGAGAGTATCAAAATGAGGAGAGTAATGATGATACCTAATAGTTAATTATCATGTACCCACAGTCTTGGTATGATGCAAGTAAAGGTTGCATTTTGTACTTGAGAAAGGGAATGATGAGATCTATTGGGTCTGTTCATCAGTGCAGCATCACCCAGCATCACCACTACCACATATGTACATAACGGAAATCTTCAGCGGTCAGTTCCACCACCTTAAAAAAAAAAGCAACCCCCCTCAACCTCGAATGCCGTCGATCCCCGGCCGAGAGCCACATGACGAAGCTAACCTACAACATAATTGGCTCATGCCACTTCGCTTATTTCAACCGAACAGTTTGCTAGGCGAGTCCTAGTTTGTATGTACTACGTCAAATATGTATTTACTAGGTATATATGTATATACCGTGTATAATATGGCCCGTGCGAGGAGTTGCAAGCTGGAATATGGATATGAAGGTGTTAATTAAGGTTCACCATCACATATCTACCTACGTTGTACTTGTGCATCAACATCCAACATAGGAAGGTATGAGTTGTGATGATACATACAAATCATATAAATTATGCCGAAAGAGCAGCATTAAACCTTGTAGAGTTATGAAGGAATTTGAATGAAACTGCATTGTTGAAAGTTCCTGCATCTTTGATTTATGAGATATGAGCAATGCAATTAATCGAACCACATCACGAGGATCCTTATTAGCTAAGCATGAGGCATCATGTAATCAAGTTGAGACCATCACACTTGTTATTTACATTCATATCCACCACTTAATGCATCATCGAGGTTACCAGTCACTGAAGACTCCCGTGGACCCCGTCATCTTGTTTCCCGAGTCACTGCCATATTCCATAGTCCCACCATACACTCTTCTTCCCTTGAGTGAATCACTTCAATCTCCTTTTTCTTCTCATCATTGACTCCCTTTCAAAAACATGCGTGAATGTCATCGTTGTTGTTATTGTCATCTTGATTCCAGCAGCACCACGCCCCAGTCCAATTCCTTCTTCCATCGATGTCAGGTGCCGCTTCGATTCAGAAACGAAGGTAGCTGTCAATATAGTTATCACGACCAACACCACCAATCGTGGTGGTGTAGCCTACGTGCTTACCACCCAGCGCAAGAAACCTCTAATCACGTGATACATGGACCCTGACACTCATCGAAACATCGTGGGTTGGAGATCAAATGTTCCAAATACGGCTTTATGATCGTAAGGAAGACACCGCGGCATCAGCCTCATCATAGTCTTCCCGTAGACAAACCAGCCATGGCCCGTTCATCCTCATGGAGTAAACACCGATGCAATTGTCGTTCGCTGGGCAGTGTTGCTGGACTCCCGTGGATTTTGAGAGAGAGACATAGGAGCAAGGTTGATAGAGGATTGCCCACAAGTTCTTTAGAACCTCGAAGGCCAGGAATACCACCACGAGTCTCCTCCACAGCGCGTCGAACGCGACGGAGCGCAGCGCCGGGTCATGTAGAGAACCACAGCCACACCGTCGTTAACGGCTTTGTACCCAAATTGCCATGTCCTTCTTCAAAATACCGATGACGTTTGACCACATTGTCAACTTCGTTCGTGTGTAGCAGCATTTTCGAAAATGTATGTGCATTCCGCGTTTGGCCCGTGACAGAAGAACGTTGGTTCTGCTTGATGATATAGGTAAGCCCTAATGGAAAGTGACCGCCTATTCAACAAACAAACAACTGTGTGTAGAAAGTGCACGTCGATCACCCCAAACATCGTAGAGGAAGAGGAAGAGGACGCCAGCTTCAGCTGGCATCTGTAGCCATCCGTCGACGGGCCCAGGAGCATAGAGTGCGGCGAGTGGCCTAACCTTAGGTAGCATCAACAGGACCTAATTCTGTCTCGCTGTTCGTCGCCAGGATGTGGCGGGCTGGTCCACCAGGCCGGCGTGCCCATCCCCTCATCCCAGGGGACGACAACGCCAGCCCGCGTCGAGAAGGTGTGTGGGTGGCTGTGCGAACAATGCGAGTAGAACGTGGCAGGCGTCGCCCCCGTTTCGTCGATTTTGACCTTCTCTTGGCCGAGGAAGAATGACGCGAGCCGTCGATACGATAGGTGTGCCGTGCCGTGCCGTGTTAATCCACCCATCCAATCTCTAGGTAGGTAGTCAGGTGTATCAGACAACGGCACTGTTGTATCCTCTCCATAACCACCACAACCATCATATCCCACTTGTAGTCCGGCGAACCCACCGCACCAGCCCGTCTGCCGCGTCATTTGGCCTCCAGCGCCATCGTTTTCGACTGGGGCATCTGCGGCAGCGGACGGACGGACGAGCGGGCGGGCGGTAGCAAATATGTGGGAACCTCTCCGCGCACAGACAAACAAGACGACCAGCCTTCACTCTGTTCCTATCCCAACCCCGCCCGCCGCCGCCGCATCCTCGGCGTCAATCGCCTTCGGACGTGGATGGGCGCGGCGGGCTTGGGTTGGGATGGATTGGGGAAAGAAGGAGAGAGATAGAGAGAGGAACCGGGGATAGATTGCTCCATCCCCTTCGCCTTCCCCCTTCGCCCCCCCCCCACCCGCTCGCTTTGGAGGGTCAATACACAAGTATTGACAGCGAGTGAGGGGGTGACTGGGCATGCGGCCGTCTCTCCTCGGCAGAGCGGCGCCGAGGAGGAGAGGAAGGTCTCTTTCCACCGCTCTTGTCCCGGCCCCCCGACCCCAGGCGCTTATGGTCCGAGGGACCCTCGTGGTGCCATTGGCTGGGATTTTCCTGGGGTGGGGGTTGGGGAAGAAAGGGGAGGGAGGGGATGATGATAGGCGGAAGGTGTTCGGAGAAGATAGGTGCATGGGTGCGTGGGTGGACGTGACCAGCCAGTGTAGTTTGGCGGCTTGCTGGAACCGGGCCGTCTGTCTGTCTGCGTGCCCCGGTTTGCTGAAAGAGGAGTAGAGAGGAGAGTAGTGGACTTCTCTCAATGTGAATGTCAATCTCGATCTCAGAGTTGAATGACACCGTTACACATGATGCTGTAGTGGTGCGCGGTGTTGGTTGGTTGGCTTGTTGTTGCTGTTGACTTGGCTGGGTACACCGTCTCTCCATCCCGCAGTTGAAAGACACCGTTACACACGATGCTGTAGTTGGCCGCGTTGTTGACTTGCGTGTTGACGGCTTGACCGGGCACAACACCGCCCCAGGTAGTTGGGTGAGTAGTCGAGCAGCGCACAGCGCAGAAGCGTGTGCCACGACATTTTCCATCATCGTCCACGTCCAATTTCCCATCTTATCTGCCGAAGCCATTCTGCTCGACGTAGGTACTCCATCGCCCGAAGACAAAGACCGCGACAATGGGCATGGCCAACGCTCAAACTCCAAGTCGGGGGGAGAGAGCGCGCCCCCACCATATGTGCGAGTGGCAGGACCGGCGCGCCCCGCCCCCGGACTTCACGGACCTCAGATTCGGAGTTCGGCTGTCGAACTCACTCTCTCCCTCCGATTGTGAGTCAGAGGGAGAGGGAGAGGGGTCTAGGGGCGAAGGGAGGTGCCCGTGAGGTTGTCGGATGGTGCGTCGCGTTGTTGGCTCGGCGCAGCAAGGTGAGGATGCTCCGGGTGTGGCGGGCCCGGCGCGGCTTCAACAGGGCCCAACGGGATGGTCATTGTCCCGCTGGGCCCCGCGTGGTCTGTCTAGCGTTGGGTTGGGTTGAGTGGAGTTAACGTAACGAGTCTTTACCGAGTCGAGCCGGAGACGTTCTTGAGAGTTGCGTCGTTCGCTGGAAGAGCGTGGTCTCACTGAGGTGGCTGTGGACGAGAAGGAGACGAGTCATAAGTGTTTTCGTCGTGACGCGTCGAAGGGAATGGTTCGCTTGTTGGTCCTTTGGGTAGGGAGAGGAAGAGCTTCGCGTTATGTTGCTTCACGAGACGCGGCAGCATACTGTTATAGCGATTTATGACCCGAGAGCGGCATCGGTCTCCAGGCAGACGGTCCTTATGTAGTGTTGCGCATTTTTGGTCTGTATTCTTGTCCATGCGTGGACTCGGGCTCGGGTTTTAGTTCTGACCTTGGTTGTTGGTGCAGTAGGAGGCAAAGAGGCAACTCCCCCGTGGCGCAATGTTGACTTTTTCAGGTGTCAGGGTTGACAGGGAGATACCCTCTACCATGAGAAAACCACACAAAGCCACTCATGACAATGTTCATGAGCGCACCCTTTGTGAGCGAGTGGATGGTTCCGTTCTGTTCCACTCGATATCACGGACGTATAAGGTGCAGGTAGTAATCGCGACCTGGGAATATTATGCTGCTCCGGAGGCTCATCTTGGATGGAGCCGAGTTCACAGCCACCCTATTTTTCTTCGTGTCGCCTTGATCTCTTGAGCACATTGACGCCGAGCAAGAGTAAGTTGATGAGTAGGTAATGAAACGGGCGAAGCCGAGACTGGTAGGAAACAACCCCAGAGAAAAATGGAAAAGGACTGAAAGACGAGAAATCAATCCCTCTATCTTCTCCCGTCCTTTGCCAACAGCATGCGAAAGCCTCCGTGTTGATCTTATTATTCGCCCCAATTCCTTTTCACAAGCCGGCCATTCAAACGTGTTTCCCTGTAAACATCCATTAAGGTCCATCAGACCTTATCACATTACACCTCTTCTTGAGTGCGTACAGGCACATACCTCCCCCCTTCAGAGAACTAAGCTACGCCTGTTTCTCCTACTTAGGTATCATAGTAGTGCCCCATTGCCTCCGTGCAGTAATCTAGCACAAGCTTGCAGCCCAAAAGTTCGTTAACCTTGTCCACTGAGACGATGTCTGCAATGGCAGGGTAATCAAGGTTAATGCCTTGAAGGCGGTCGGCCATGAGTCTGGCCCCGACTCCGGCCAGTCGCAGGCGAGTTCGTCTTCTTCCAGCAAGCCGGGGCGGCGGCGTCAAGGGATGGAACGACGCCCGCCAGGATTTGGGATTGACGATATCCCCGACGACATTGGCAATGGCTGGGGGGCCAGTGTAACCCCCCAGTGTGACCGTTGGCCTGGTGGTGCGTGCCATATTGGTGAGTTCGAGGTTTCGTTTCCAGATGAGTGACAGAAGGGTTCGCTGTTGATGCTCAACGGATTGGGTGTTGTCCCAGGTATAGGCCAAGCTTGCCGCCAAACAGTAATGCGAGAATATGTGAACGGGAGTTTTGTCGATTCTCGATGCGGCCTGGGTTGACAACCCCCAAGCCTCTAGAAGCACTTTGTCATCGGAGGTGTCGCGGAAGAGGTACTCGCCGATCCTGGGTGTGAAAAGACCGACAGACAGAACCCCTCGGGTCCAGCTTCATGTATGTTCGGTCAGGTGTGTTAGCGCCACCCTGGCTTGTCTAAAGACAAACTCGCCTGTGCCGGTAGGCGTGTCGGGATAAGAAGCATCCTCCATTGCTGCTTGAGGGATTGTATGTCATCCCCGGTATAAGACAGGCTTGTCCGCAGAACAGTGATGTGTTGTGTCGAATGAGGAGGAGTTTCTCGGTACTCGATGTAGGCTTGGTCTGTGAATCCAAGGTCTCAAGAGGTTCGCTAGTTAGAAAGTGGCTTTGTGGAAGAGGAGCAGACCTGCTGCTTTGGGATGAAGGCGCGTCACCGAACAACAGGCCTGGATGTCGGAAGAAGACAAACTCGTCTGTGATTGAGGCATTGGGACAAAGAAAGGCTCACCGGCGTTCAATGAAAGTGTTCATGTACACAGGTAGACAAGACACGCCAGTGATGTAAAACATCCATCGGGGATAGCAGGGAAGGAGAGTTTGTCAGTGTTAGAGGTTGGGATCGTATGTCCCAAGCCTCAAGAGACTCGGTCTGCGATCGAGGTGTCGCGAAATGATGATGTGTTTGTGGATGTCTGAGAATCCGTGCTACCTCCCCCAGTCATAAGCAGAGCTCAGCAATTTCCCTGGGGGGGGGGGGGGGGGGGGGGGGGCATGGTTATGGTAGGAGGAACCCGCCCATCGTTGGGCCTGCTGGGAGTGTGTGTCGGTGCTCGGAAATTGACCAACCAGACTCCCCGTACTGCAATTCTTACCAGGCCTGGAGAGTAGGAGGAAGTAGTCGAGGTTGCCGACATGTGGGGGAAGGATTGCCTCTTGAGGCTTGGGAATGAGGCTCTTCTCAGAGAATAAGGGCTGAATGTCGCAGAGATCTTGTGGTATGTCTCGTCAAATGTTGCTGAGGTTTGCCGGCGGGTAGATGTTAACACATCATCATCTTCACCTTAAAGAGCCTCTGCCAGCTCCTCTATTTCCTTCTTCTTCTCAAAGTCTTCAGAAATAGAAGAGTTGCAGATCCAACAAAAGCCCCCTCTCTAGCCTTGACCGCCATGGTTCTAAGGCGGTCTTTCTGACTGCCCGGCTTCTCGCTCTGTATAATCAAATCGTTAGAAGAAGCAGGGGAAAAAAATGATAATCCACGAGATGAATTTTATTCCTTTCACTTGAATGTGTTATGTTTGGATGGTATGAGAGTTTTATTACTTACGAAGCCTTTGGCCTTGGTAGCAGGTGTGGCGTTGGTAGGTAGGACCTCCAACCCACTAACAGCATCGTGACTCAACGAGCTCTCGAAGCCGGACAGTCAGAAATCACTATGTTAGGTCAGCAATGCGAAGTCAAGGGATAGTGACAAGTACTAGGAAATCAAAGTTAGGGAATAAATACCTCCATTGGGGGGGTCTGTAGCCCCCCACGTTGTGGTGTCTTGGAAACTGTTCGCCGCAACGTGAAATGGTCTTCTGGCGTTGTGAATTGCTGAAAGCTTGATTGCTTTAGCACGCTTCAGATTATCCCAACCTTGTATCAAGCTTCCTATTATTATCATCATTAGCAAGGACATGTCAATTGTGAGCCATTGGAGAAGGGAGGTTAGTTAGGTACTTACTCGTCAAATTGAAATTGAGTAGCCCGATAGGTCAATTCCAATTTCAAGTCTCGTGAATGAATAGTGACGACGACGAGATCATCGTATTATACTGCTCTGCCAAATGCCGAAGGTGGCTTGGTATGATCAGCCTAAAAGTAGAATGCGTCTTTTAGGAAGAAGTAAGAAGACATTGGTGTAAGGTGTTGAGTGCTTTGAGTAATGAAAGACTTATTGTGAATTGAGATTCATGATCACTAGTAATGCGTGTGATAGAATGTCAATGAATAATGGGCGAAGGGTTGAGAAGTTCATATGAGAGAGATTAAAGAGAAAGGGTAGGGTGAGGACGAGGACCGCGGTAGTAAAGGATGTTTTTTTTTTTTTTTTTTTTTTTTTTTTTTTTTTGGGGGGGGGGGGGGGGGGGGTATGTCCATGGTGGCATGTAAATAAACGCAAGAAAAAATAAAAGAAAGGAAGAAAGGGATGGAGGACGCCTCGCTTTATATAGTTTTCCAATGGACCGCACAATCAGTAACGGCAGTGGGCTGCCTCAGGCAGCAACGGTCACCCTCAGGCGACAAAATAGGCATACATCGTGAAGGTACCTGTCTATGAGGCATCAACACCGCGAATTAGGACTAGCGCCCTTTATTCCACTGATAATAACAACCTCGACGACCTCAAAGCGTCTATAACGGGTTTAGGCTCGTTGAAAGACCCGGATCAGAAAATAAAATAAAATAAAAATCGAATTTTCGGCGAATAGGGGGGCGGTTTTGGATCAGGGGTTGATGGCTTCGCGTAACGCGGGTCTATTTTTTTTTTTTCTTTTCACAAACAAGGTACCTAGTACTAATACACATAGGCTCTTGATTCCAACCTTTTCAGTACCTAAGGTACTATCCTCGTTATTGTTGATCCTCGTTCTTATGACTGAGTTGTCGTGCTGTTTTGTGCTGCATGTTCACTCAGTGTGCTTTCCCCTTTGCTGTACTTGACTCCCGCCATTGCTTTTCCTTGTCTCACCATCATACCTAAATATTCTAGTAGTGAATTGTAGTAAATAATCATTTCCTCCATTGATTGGTCCCTGATGGCCTATTAATTGTAATATTGCCACTTATACCTATGTCTTGAGCTCCTCCAGACTTGTTCTTCTTGGAGACTGTAGGCGCGCCGGGGACTCACTCCCAACTACTACGTATCCTACTCGACGTGCTTCCCCGTTGATCCCCCCCATCCAGTTGCATTTGTTCTGCAGATTGGCTTTTAGGACCGGCAAGGCTAATCAGGATATATATCAAGCTTTCTCGATAACATTAGACATTCACAGCAGTTGCTTCTCCTCACACCTACGAAGTACGAGGTAGGCATGTATATACTTTTCATAGCGTACTAGACACCTAAACTAGATAACTCCGTAATTCTACACATCCACTAAATATACGGATCATCTTACGCTGCCCACTCCTGCGAACCAAGTTATCACAAAAGTCCGGAGAGATACCTATGTGCAAAGATCTGCCACGCTGGTGCTAATGTGTAAACCAACAACACACCGCCCTACCTTAAGTATCCAACTTTGAAACGGTTAGTCCACGAAAGAGCTAATAGCCATGAGTCTACCTCGCCATTTCTTCGAAATCCGCGTCCTCGATGGAAATGCGCGAACCTTGACAAGCAACACCATGCCATGTCAACCTCCCACCAACCCCTCCCGCCAAACTTGCACACCCCAAGCCAGCCAGCCGGCACCCACCCGCCCACTCACTCACTCACTCAAGTCCCAGCCTCTCCACAACCACCCCATACACCTCCTCCACCCTCTCCAAGAACCTCACCCCAAACTCCCGACACACCATCTGCACATTCCCCCTCTTCCTGTACCCCTCCGGCGCGACCGCGACAACCTTCCCGGGCACCCTCGCCCAGAGCCCGAGCTCGAGCAGGCTGACGGGCGCCAGCGTCGCCGGGTGGAAGTACACGACGACGAGGTCGGCGGCGCGCTGCCTGCTGAGCTCCCACTGCACTTGCTCGCGGTAGGGGGGGAAAGCGATGTCCTCGCGCCAGGTGGCGTCCCAGTCGGGGCGGTGCGGGTTGAAGATCGTTACGGGGTGCGGGGAGAGGGAGGCGGAGAGGGTTTCGCGCCAGTCGGGGGCGGCGTCGACGGCGGTGGTTGTGCCGGCGAGGAAGACGGTTTTGTGGTGCGGGGGGATGGGCTCCTCGGAGGGAGCGTGGATGGTTTGGCTTCTTTGGGTAGATGTCATTGTTGGAATGGGAGTGTGATGAGGGAGTAGTGATTGCTGTGAGATTACTGAGATGATAGCCTGAGAAAAGTGTGTACTGTAACTTGCCATAGAGATGTTGAACTTTATATCTAGGATATCTAGCAACAAAGGGACGGACGTCTTCTAAGGGTATTTAAGTACAGCAGCGGGCGGGGTTTCTTCCCTGTGGTTATAAGAATCCCCGCTACTGCAGCTACCCACTGGCGACTTTGACGTAAGACTGGGGGGCCATAGGTAGCATATCTTACCATATAGGTCGTATATTCTGCCATTCAGTGATACTGCCCCACTAAAACATCTATCTATAAAGGGGTAAAGGGGTAAACCGTGATGATAACCACGAGCACGCAAGAGTAACCTAACCTTAGATCCCTCTACATACAAATATTACAGAATCAGTATGCCCTCTCCTAAGTTAAGACGGGTAACTCTGCCCCTTTAGGATCTGAAGACGAAGCCCCTTATACCTACCATCTGGAACCCATAGAATTCTTCCTTCCACCAGATTATAGGGAAAGAGGGCCTAGATTGCTATACTAAGTTTCTCGATAAATACCTGCATACCTACCCAGTAATATCAAAGGTTCTCGCCTTTCTAGGCTAGCCACCGCGATGGCTAAAGTTATGGTGACGTTCGGTAGGTACCTACCTAACCTACCTATCTATAGACCGTGGCTGCCCGCAGGGAAATAAATGCGAGTACTGTAACTTCTCTGGAGGAAGTCATTATGCACAAGATGAGAGTAAAAGAGATCACAGCGTCCTACTGAGCAGTCCGATGGCTCCTATCAATCAAAATAGTTGGGTTGTGATATCCATTTAGACAAATGTAAACAAGTATATATAACCTGAATCTGACTCTTTCAACTTTCAACTCTTGACTTTCGTTTTCAACTCCAAACCTACATTCTCACGATTGTTTCCTCCCTCAGTAAAAAAATGCTCCGGTAGTCTTTTAGCATACTCTCAATATTACGAAGTCTCACTTGACACTCTACTATGCAGGCTGTCGTTTCTCTCCCCATGTGGGCTCAGTTTGTACGGACATCAGTCCTTCATCATCGCCCGGGGTGCTCTCCTTTTTTGGAATGTCAACAAACTCCATCCAACCTTTACACCATGGTTGGTTCGGCCCCAGCTTGACACATAATAAGAAACCACGCTGGTGCTGGTTCGCTTAAAGGTGTGTGCTCTCCTTTTTTGGAATGTCAAGAAAATCCATCCAACCTTTACACCATGGTTGGTTCGGTCCCAGCTTGACATATAATAAAAGCCCCTCTCAATATTGCACTTGGCCACTCAATGCCATGATGCGCCATAAGTGAAGGGGAACATGGAGCACACACAAGTCGTCGGCCCTAGGCTGACGCATAGTTTTTTTTTCTCCCTCATTCGATAGGCTTTCCCTGACGAGTTCTCGCGAAACCAAATGTGCTCAGAAATAATTCATCATCGCACAACCGAGGAACCCTCATATCGACTGAGGTCGTGATAGCACACTTGTGATCACGAGGTGCGTCTCTGCCCAAGATTCCAGAAAGAGAAAGCAACCAGCTCAGAGAGGAAACAACAATTCCTCGTCGTCATCACTGGACCGTAAGGATCATGCCCTAAAAACTTCCAGGGCATACCTAGGTTCCAACTAAATGAAGCAAGCAGGAGACAGGAAACCCCTACCTACTACTTAGGTAGTCGTGCTCAGACAGTAAGTCGTGCGTCTGAGACCATCGGGTATTCTGGACGCACATATCTGGCCGAGACTCAAGAACGACCATCCAAGAGTTCTAGCTGGAACGCAGCCTGACGAACATCTTGGCCATGAACCGAAAGGCAGGTGCCAATAGCAATAGGCAAGTATTTCTTCTCCTCTTCGCAACCATGGCTGTGTGGCCTTGGACTGATAATGGATGTTAGTGATGTGGACGAATGAAGAAAAGATGGGAAGAAGATGGAAGTCTGAGTATTTACAAACGATGAGAACAATGTCGGGCCTAGGTAGGTAGGTATAAATAGGGAAAGTATTCTGGGCGAGCTCAAGGACTCAGATGACGATGACGATGGTGATGAGATGGAATTAGAAAAGAAGGTGATAGATAACGAGGGAAAATGATTGATGGGTTTGAGGAATCGGGGAGTGAAGAGAAGGGATGTTCGCTTGTTTATATACTGTGAAAACTTTATGTTAGGTTCAGGGTGCAACTTTAAGCGGGAGCGAGGCGCCAACATTGATCTGACAATAATTAGCGTTATACGCCAATCCGTTCGGCTTATCTTTCTAAGATTATTATAGTTTCCTTGACTGACGCCTTCGTACTGAGCGCTGGATACTTATCTTTAATTTCAGGCCGAGTTGAGTACTGGGATCACCTTGAATAGGGGTATTATGAAGGTATTAGGTTAGTTAGTAGTATATAGATGGGTATATAGTGTTGTAAATTTATATAAGGTAGATTACCCATCACTACCTACCTAACCTACTAGCACGAAGGTTACTACACGGTATAAGAGCGTAATACGCCGCTTTTCAGCGGAATCTGCCACACAAACAACCTTAAAGTACCAGACCAGAACTACTCGAAGCTATTCACAACGCTAGCACACTTACTTTTGACCACAACCTTCATGCCTAGGTAACCATCGAAACTGAATGTATGGATGGACATGTATAATATTGATTTGGTGGTTTACTAAAATATGATGTAAGCCCACCGTTCCTGTCGTTGCCTTGCCTCCCAAGTGCCCATGCTGTGTAAACAAATCCCCCCCAGAAATAAAACCTTAAAATCCAATGCCACTTGTCATCATTCTCGGCGTCGTTGTCGCCCAGGAGACCGGCTCCTGGCTTACTTCGTAGCGTATCACGGCACACCATGCCACATCATGTACTTAATATAGGTGGGTAGATAGGTACTCATCATATCATGCTATATCCTGTGTGATGTATGATGTATGGTACAAAGCATTTTCCCAATTTTCCGGCGCCCAACCCAGTACCATCCCAACACACCAAAGAGCCAAAGAGCCAAAGAGCCAAAGAGCCAAAGAGCCAAAGAGCCAAGCTATATTTACAAGCACTCGAACATGCTTTCTATAGCCTGCTTGAGCTCTTCAAAAACCCGAGCCTGATCCACAGGCTCTTCCGCTGGCACCACCTCCGCAGGCTGCTCCGCCGGCTTCTCCGCCGGCTCCTCCACCCGCTTCTTCCTGGGCGCCCTGGGCGCCCTCTTCTTTCTGGGCGGTTTCGGCGCAGGGGTCGCGGTAGCTTCGGTGGTGGTTGCCTCCGCCTGAAGCTGTTGTGTTGGTGGGGGGAGGGTGCCCTCTTCCTGTCCGTCGTTGATGGCGACGGGGACGCGGGCAGGGGTTGCCTCTCGAGAGCGTGAGAGGTCGATCGGGCACTCGTTGGAAGTACCCTCCGGCGCAGGAGCTTGCGCGGCAGCAGCAACAGCGGTGGTGGTAGCAGTGGTGGTAGTGCTGCTGCTGCTGGCGGTGGTAGTGGTGGTGGTGGTGGTGGCGGCTCCCTGGGTGAGATTTAGTCAGTACTGTGCTAGCTTCATGTAGGCAATAGACAAGCTGCTATCGGTTTGGTGTAGTGTTGAACCGATGAGGAAGTAGATGAAGGAAGGATGAGTTATGAAAAAGATAAACTTACCCCCGTCATCCAAGAGTACTTCTTTCGATTCTTGAATGCGTTGTCGATTGCCGCGGAGGTGGCCTTGGCAGCGTATTCAGAACAATCCGCGCGGATCTTCTTGAGAGCCTTCTTCCGCTGCTTGTCGCCGTTGTCTTCGGCGGATCGCTTCTGCTTAGGCATTTTTGCGATGGGTATTTGTTGGTAGAAGATGGTTTGTGGTGTTTAGAAGAAGAGAAGGTGACAAGAGGGTGGCTAGTGTGTTTATTATACTCCTATAGATGGAGTATTAAGTTGTGTGAAGGTGGTAAGGACTGGTAAATGTCGATAGGTGACGACAGGTCTGTTGAGTAACTTGTCTGGTAGTGATGGACAAGTGTGATGGAACAAGTTGTCAAGTAGTGATAGACAAGTCAGTTCCAAGTAAGTTGCAAGCTTTTTTTATATTTATATTACTTGCGAACGATGTGTGAGGCAGGAAGGAATAGGAAGAAACCAGGAAGCACGGCCGGTATTTATACTCTTCGGCGAAGAGAGCTAGGACCAGCAGGTTTGCTCGACAACCATTGTAGCTCAAACCATTGCGCGGCAACAATCGTGACAGTGAATGGGGAGGTGAATGGGAGGCGGGTGTTTACACTGCTTAGACCTGCACTGTTGGGCTGGGAGTCACTTTAGGTGCGAGATAGCACCGTACTAGGAACTGTAACCATTCAGAACCTTGGAAAAATCTGACATATTCGCTCACTGTATCCAACCTTAAATATAGGCCGCGTGAGGTTTGAATGGAATACAGTGTGCGGCGCGGACACAGACCACAGGTAGGCTTCTACTGTAGATTCGTTACTGTGATATGGTTTCGGCCATTGATTCGGAGTCTCGTTTTGAGCTAGTTTTGGCACATACTGTATATCGTCCTGGTAACTGGCATGTCAGCCAGTCACCTGCTAGGTAAGGAAGCCCGAGAATCGGCCGCAGATAATCGGATGGAAACTTCGTGCTAGATTCAAGTATATATACAGCAGTGGTTGATTCTATGTAGAGGATAGCACCTTTCGAGTATTCTCAGGATCGTGGCCTCAGCTGGCTGGCCCTAGAATAGCTTCTACCTGGAGATATATATCCGCCGAGGGTAAAAAAGTGCCGACCTAATCCACCGACAGCTTCCTGTATCACGGTTCCTCAACCCTTAACAGATAGCAAAGTTCGGTATCTAGGGGAACTCCAATGATTTATATATGCATACACCTAAGTACCTAGGTATCTAACCTACTCAAGTATCTAACTTTGTAGAAAACTTCGTGACAACAGTGGAGCTCACCCCTATCACAGCATGAGTAGAGCAGTTGAATCACCAGAAAAACACCTAAGACTAATTTACATAAGGACCTACTTAGTACCTACTCAGGACTTCATATTTGTTTGCACTGAGTCGCCAAACCCTACAATACGGGCAACAAATGGAGTCACTACGGATCCCCCGTTGTCGGAAAAAGTGAATCATAGTCGAAGCAGATGAAAGAAAAGCAGAATAGACGCATATAATTGGTGCTTTGGTAGTCACGGTGCAAACTGTCAGAACATATCACTACGCCAAAAGGTGAAATGATTGATCGCTCATCAAATATCTCTCGTTTGATATCAGTATATCTGATAGGTACAAACTGTGAAAATAAACCCATGAAGGTATTATGGCTGAATAACAACGACGGTGGCAAATTCACAGTTGCGTAGATGTGGTAGTTAGGTGCTTAGAATCCCTACCTAACTTGGATACTGTAATGTGCTTCAATGGTTTCTAGTGGTCTTAATTATGCTATATATTTGTCAAGAACCTAGAAGACGTAGAACACCATCGTTATTGGGCGGGTATCCCTAATATCACACCAGAGACTATGGAGTTACAGATGTCTTTACTCTATCTAGCCCTTATGTAGTCCCCAGATAGACCTTCACAGTTATAGAAGGTACTTTGAATCCATAGATATTATGAATAATATACGCGAAGGGTTTCAATTAGTCTTAACCTAAGTATGTTACGTACCTACTTACTGGGTAGATATCTAACATTCAAGCTATAACTTCAGTTATACAACATCTGACGCCACAGAACACAGAAAACAATCTAGCAATATATCTGGTACCAATCTTATTACAGCAAAGTAAAGAGCCAGTGATGGCATTAATGGGCCGCCGTGTGTTAATATGGCTTGCTCTAAAAATACAAACGCGTGACTGAATAGTCACCTAACAAGAAAGTGTATGGTAATGGCGACAAAGCGCCCAGAACATCCATCAGCTTAGAAACAACCCTGGAGAATTGGCCAATCATCCATGAACCATTAGTGAGGATGATCATCCTTTTTATCACCTTCCTTATCCTCCATTTTGTCATCCTATGACACCTCTTCCACCATCTTTCCACGTCCAAGGCCTCCCGTTACGAAGACTCTGCCTATGGGACCGTTGAGCATCTCGTGGGGGACAGCCACTCGACTACCCTCCTTTGTGCTGATCCATCTTGTAAAGACAGGATTGGCCCTGTTGTGCTCACCATCAGGAGTTTGATCTCCTGCGTGATTTTTTCCCTTTGTCTTTGGTGCTTGTTTCTTGAGGAGTTTGTTGATAGTTTCCATCTATGATGTGATCATTAGCTCGTGTTCATTTTGATTATGACAGTATAGCTCACCTTGACTTCCTCGTTTCGCTTCTCACTAAGGTTGCGTCGTCGTCGGGCCATCTCAGCACGACGCATAGAAAGCTCTTCAGCTGTGAAGTGCTTCTTTGCTTGCACCTCTGTAGTTCGTTAGTCTAGGTAAGATTTAGGGGGGGGAAATCGATGCTAGAAACTTACCATCGGAAAGCTTCATCAATGCATCTCCATTCTCTTCGAAACGAGCGCGCTGTCGTTTGGTCATTCGTGTAAGGTCAGGAGTGTCTGCTCGGCTCTCGCCACCCCGGTCACTACCAGCATCGTCGTCATCATCCTCTGCGGGATTTGCGGCTTCAATCTCCTCGTCTTCACCTTCGGCATCTTCTTCATCGCCTCCTCCGACTTTAACGGTGTCCTGGATTTCATCCGCTTCACTTTCAAGCTCGCTCAGCTCATCATCGCTGTCCTTAACCTGAGCTGCAGCAACCTTCGGATGGGCCTTAGCTGATGCCTTGGACTTACTAGCAGAGGCGCTCTTAGATGATGGCTTTGATACTTTTATGACTGGGGCTGGCGGGGGAATGGTATCGACATCCATGTCATCATCTTCACCCTCGGCATCCTCTTCATCGTCGTCCTCGGCGTCGATATCCATAGTGTCGTCAACTATGATTTCACCTTCGGCGTCTTCTTCGCCCATATCGATATCATCTTCGTCATCGTCCCCTTCGGCATCATCATCGTCATCGTCCTCATCTTCCTCCTCAACCTGAACTTCATCTTCAGCCTCATCATCGTCGTCGTCGCTGCTTTCAACGACATAACTCTTCTTTTGAGTTCGGCTTCTCTTTGCTTCAGGCTGTTGCGGAGTAGATTGACTGCCACGCTTTGTTCCAGATGAGGTAGCCTGGCGAAGCTTACTAGCCGGTAGCTTAACTGTAACAAGAACATGATGGTTAGAATCTAAGGGTGATGAGGGAGGGCCGCGCGAGACGGATACGGCGACGCTCTTACCCTCGAAACGGCGAGAAGACCTGGATGACATGGTTCTACCGGTACGACTGTTGATATGATTGTCGCTATCGACCATGTCAGTAATTGCGGTGTTTGCCCTCTGGGCAGCTGCACGACGTGGGCGAGAAGCCATTATGAGCTGATTCTGATAGTTGGTTGAATGGGTATGTGGATTGAGGGATATGAGATACGGGGAAGGGTTGTTGAATTGATGGATGAGGGTGAAGATGTAGAGAAGACTTGGAGGAGTTTAAAAAAGAGTAGGTAAGGTGATGGAGGTGATCAGATTGTTAGCCTTTTTGAGAAAAGCACAAAGTGTGAATTTTGGAGGTGGCGCGTCAGGCGCAAGGACAACGTTATTAATGTTGAAATAAGCTTGTAGGGTCAGACACCGTGACACGTTATATCTACGGTGCTGTGTTGCTGTATTGCTGTGGTGCTGCTGCGGCTTGCGGCTTGCAACTTGAGGCTGGTGGGCAAACAAGCATATGTGCACCGTAGAACAGTATGGAAGACGTAGACCGCAGATGAGGGCTTGGTAAGTAGGTTACCGACCGGACGGCATCTCGGATAGGGCAAGAGAGGATTAGGATAGGGCTGTGAACAAGTAGGTAGGTAGGATTGACGTTGGGGATTTGCGATTGGCGGAGGATTGGAGGTAGCTCAACCAGTTGCATTCATTCAACAGGATATTATGAGGCAACACACCCAAGACCTTTTCGATGCAGCCAACCCGACAACAAAGATTTCCCCCCTTCTTAACTTAAGTACTTGACGGTTGAACAAGCACAAGCCAAAGCCTAAGCCCAAGCACTGGCCCGTCTCCCATGCAACACATCCATCCCATCCCGTCACATCATCTCTCTTTTTTTTTCTCCCTTCTCTTCCTTTTTCTTTTTTTAAATCGTCAACTCCTACCAGAGGTTATCTACTCAACCCCCCCTTTTTTAAAAAGCAACATGATCAATATCTCTCTCCGTCTTTCGTTCACTTGAACCTTATTGTCCTTCTTTTTAAGTTGGCTTTATCAACCTTTCATCGTCTTTATCGACTTCATCGTCTACCTACGGGAAATACCTTGTATTGACGGATATGAGATGAGAAGGGAGGAATGTGGATGAACGAAGTGCTGACGAGAGATGGCCCATTATAAGGATTGCGTCTAAAACTTACCTAGCAGGTAGTAGGCAAATGAATTTGCTTAATTAGAGGCTGATAGGCTAGGTATGGGCCAGGGAAACTGGTTGATTTTTGGGTGTCGCGGAGTTTCCGGCTTTCAGCTGGCCAGCTCGCAAGCTGAACTCAACTCTTTGGCTATCGAAGTTCCCCCCGGACTACTTGGTACCTAGACAATAAGGTATTGGTCTATGCCAAGCTTCTAACGCAACGGCAATCAAAAGAAAAGGAGGATAGGCGTACTAAGAATGAAATCTATACGTCCTTTGCCTGATCGTCGGTGGTGTTGCAGGTGGATACTCGGTATTTTTTTTTCGATGTGATACGAAAGTTGGAGCGCCGTCTCCGAATGGCAACGTTTTATTATCAATGGCTTAAGAATGAGAATAAAGACTGTTTTTTTTCCAATTGAGCTAATCAGTGGTTTATATGAGACGGAAGAGAGAAATATAATGAGAGTAGAAAGTAACCAATCAATGCTAGATTGGTAATTTTTATCGGGATTAAAGGATATCTTTATGAAACTGTAATAACTGTAACTAAATAGACAAGTAAAAGAAGGTTATTGACGATGGAAATGATGAAAGTTGAGCAAGCGCGATTGAAGACAATGTCACGTGCATGTTGATAGAACATAAAACGCTTTGTTTATGTAAGCTAAAGCCTGTTGTTATCTAAAGTTTACTACTTATGCCGTATTAGTAGTTAGTTAACCTAGTCTTTTTGTTTTCCGGGAGCCGAGGCACTGGGGTAGTGCCAATTATTTCACGTTATTTCCCTTCCAAGCTCAATGCTCAATTGTTCAACGTTTAACTATTAATGTTCATATCTTTTAGCCACATGTGCACTCACTTCAAGTACATTACATTATTATATCACAGCACTTGCTATATCCAACAATTAATCTATCACTCATAATAGTACTTCTTCCTCATTGAGTCTATTAAATTGACTGTACTTCGTACTTCAACATGGATGACTCCAAATTGTCAAATGCCATACCGTCCTGGCAGCAGCAGCGTAAATCCCACGACGAGACTGCCCTCGAATCTACAAATTCCCATTCCCAAAGTGCCGACGAGACGGACGTAATTCTTGATCAAGCCCGAAAGTTCTTAAGACATGAAGATGTTCTACGCTCCAGTGTAGAAAAGAAGACCGAGTTTCTCAGAAGCAAAGGACTCAACGAAACCCAGATCCAAAAATTACTTCGAGAACCTATAAATGACGATGACGATGATGACGACGGCGATAGTATCACGTATTCGAACTCAGATGGAAACGGAAATCTCGAAAAAAGTAGTTTATCATCTTTATCCACAAGAGACTCACCGCCAATTATCACGTACCCCGAGTTCTTGACCACCACTCCTCGACCACCCTCACTAATTACACCCTCCCGTCTTGCCAACATCCTTGCCGTCTCCGGAAGTATATGGACAATTCTCTACGGAGCCGCACAATTCGTCGTCAGTCCCATGGTCGATACCCTCACCGAATCCCGAACCGAGTACCTCGACCATGTAAACGAGAAAATGGAACAGTTTGTGGAAAAGCTCGAGGGTGTAGTCAGTGAAGTCCCTTACAAGAACAACAAGCTCTTGAGGTCAGGAGAAGGGGGTGACGATGACGACGACGCCGAGAGTACGTTTAGTGACCCCACCGAACTGTTCCACCGAGACTTCGGCACTCAGACCTCCTCTCCGGTACTACGACCCGATGATTTGAATTCGGCCAGCGGTAACCAGTCAGGCAAGGTCATCGACGCTCAGGTTCGCCGCCTCGCCGCTGTTCGGGCTTCGCTTCGCGAGATGAATGATATGCACATACGTCGTGCTGAAGACTCGACCAACCTGAACGCCATACTTCGTGAAGTCCGTGATGAAATCGACAAGCTGGGTGCTCCACCTCTAGCCGACTTCACCTCCATACACAGCGGGCTAGGCTACGGGCGCAGTGCAGAGCCTGATGACGAGGTCAAGAAAACCAAGGATGCCATCCGCAGCGTCAAGGGCATGTTCCTGAGCACGCGGCGTTTCCCAGCCTCGGCAGCAAGATAGGAAACCAACGCTGCTCCGAGTATTTTAACTAGCCGACGACGAACATTCCCAACTCCATCTGCTGCTGCGTTGGCCTCGCGGCCGACATACCACGAGATACGTGTTATCGCCCGTCCTACTCCTGGTGCACACAGACACACCACTTGCCCAGTGGTAGATCCACTGACAGGACGTCTCACCTTCTACGAATTCCACCTACAAACCACCGTCAACGAGAAGCCCCCTGCTATTACCGATATTAGACCTCGGACCACTGGTCCTCGCCTATAGCCGTCACGCGCCAGATGGACTGGAAGAAAGGCTGCGACGGCTCAGGATAGGGGTTCGCCAGGAGAAGCTGTGAGGATATGAGATGGGATGGCAATAAATATCACCCTCTCACCCTGCCTACCCACCTACCTATCTGGGTACCTACCTTTGACTCAAGAGAAGAAAAAACCCCGGTTGGATGTGGTGTAATACGGTGTCATGGTTTACGAGGATACGGTGATGACTTCTACCTCCCGCTCTACCTACCTACCCCCTTTTCTCTTATTTTTCTCGAAACCCCACCTTTTTGGTTGGCTTATTGGTGGTGTATATTATAAATAACTAGTAGCGTGAGCGTTTTTTCTTTTCGATGATGAGGGTATACATACATAATTTAATGCGGTTGAACTACCCTGGTTGCCTACGTGCTCAATCTTGGAGATGCGTCGGTTCTTGAATACCTATATCAATACTCCTACCTGGATAATCATGTGTGTGTGTGCGCGCGTACGTGTTCTTGAAACGGAAATTTTACGTGCCTAGGTATATATATAGACGAGGGAGGAGGAGTAGTAGTGCTTCTCGGTCACTCTCACTGTATTGTATAGGTGCTTTTCATGGATACGAGTTATGGCATGCGTGTTTACTCACTTGAGCACACAAGTAAGTAAGTGCCTTGGTAGGCAGTTAAGCAGATGCTCTGTTAAACCCGAGAAAACACGGTAACAGATGGATGGATAGGATGGATGGATATCATATTCTCCTATTCAGGTAGGTAATATATACCTCTTAATCTCTGCTATGTATGTATTGCCGTGGTAGTACATAACAATAGCCCAGTAGGTTAGGTAGGTAGTATACTAGGTTAGGTCTTCACATTAACTAGGTAAGTACAGCACACACTCCCACGACTCCAATGGATATCAAAAATTCTCCTCCTCCTCTCCTTTACCGTCCAGACTACCTATCACCACCAATCCTAGCGTCGGCCTGTTTCAGTGAAAAAGATCGAAGCGAAATAACGGAACTGATTATAGGTAAAGTATTGACGTTTGATGCAATGAATATGTGATGCGATGTTGGCGTAGGCCCGAGATAACCTGATCTCTCTTGTCTTGTATTTTTCTTTCTTTCTTTCAATGATGAGAAGAAGGAAAAAAGGGGGAAACCGAAAATGGAAAGGGGAAAAAATAAAAATAAAATAAAAATAAAAAAAGTCCAACGCAACGCAATGCAATGCAATGTCATGCCCCGTGCCAATCCCCGTATCAATGCTAATAACCCGTCTGATTAAGTATACCTAGAAACCTAGATAACAGTCACTCTTCTTCAATCGTCCATTCCATATCCCATCCTCGTAACTCCATGCGCCTTTTGCCTTTTGCTGTCTCGTGTCATGGAGGGTAGGTATTTGCCCATGATATTAAGTATGTAGATGATGGTAAGGGGGTGGGGGGGTATATATTCTACTCATGATAATGATTGAATAACGAATGAGTGACCGAGTAGGTATGTAACAAAGGAAAATAAAAATGCTAAAACCCGAAATCATAATGATAATAATAAAAGGCGAGGTAAGGACGTGAGTGTCATCAGCTACTAGTGTCGTCGACGCGGCTGCTCCGGGTCCTGAAAGGGGTTTTCAGGAACGGGGGACAGTGCGTTCCTTCCTTCCTCAGAACCGGAACCGGAACCAGAGCCGTGGCTATGCTGCGGCTGCTCGCGGCCCTACCGCTTCGCATCGCCGTACTGAACGTAGCTACTATTCCTGGTATACGGGGGCACCTCCTCGGTCGTAACAGGGCCGCCATGCACTTGTCCGCGGCTGAAGGCGTCGTCGCGCGCGAAGGGGGAACCGTTGTAGTGGTCCGGGTGCGCGCTGACGTCGCCGCCGAACTGCGGCATGTTATGCGCAGATGCCTCGGGCCTCATTCTACGCGTAGACATGGGCACGGCCTGCGACTGGTCGAAGTCCTGGATGCGCATGCGGCGGGTGTCGCCGGCGACGTCGTTGTGGCCGACGAGGGTGCGGATCACGCCGATGAGGATGATGATAACGTATACAAGGAGGAGACCTAGCGAAACAAGGGCATTTTGGATGATGTTGCTCAGGAGCCAGTCAGTGACATGCGTAACAGCTCCTGTGACCTCGTCAGTGGTAACGCTGCTTGGTGTGGCCAGGAAGGTCGTGAGATCCGAGTCGCCAGAGATGGAATGAGAGGCACCGGCAGAGAAGACATCGTTGGGGAACATGGGGAAGTCGATGTGAGCGTGATCGTGTACCCAGGTGAGACCTCTCTGGAAAGCCTCAATCTTCAGACCGATCAAGCATCGGATGGTGTTCTGAGCGAGATCCTTGAACATGGTGTCACCGAAAACCGTAGTAAGACCCTTGTTAACCTCTTCCGTGAAGGTGTTGATAGTATCATTGACGGCGCTAGTTCCGTTAGTGACCTTCCCGAGGATGTCGTCGTTGATTTCACTGCTGAACGACGTGATAACGCCGTTCGCATCGTCTGCCCATTTCTGCGAGACGTTGCCCAAGGTGTCAACCACCTGTCCGGCAAAGTCTCCAACTTGGTCGGCGAGGGCTGGGATCTCCTTTTGAATCGACTTCAGAAGGACCCACTGGCAGAAACAAGAGAAAAGGCCTGCTAATGCTAGGGACAGAACGAAGAGAGCTGGCAGGGAGGTGGCGTATGCAATACACCATCGCACCAAGAGCCTGCGCTTCTCATCAAACTTGGAAGCAATCCAGTATCCCACCCGAGATGTGCAAGGACGTGAGGTCAAGTAGACAAGATCCATGTCATCGTAAGCACTCTCCGAAGCGACTTGGGCACGGCGCCATCGGCGAATCTCCATATACGCCATTGGGATACAGACAGCGATCGCAAGAATTGACAGAACCGCAATTGCTACTATTTTGGCAGTGTGTGCAATCTCATACAGTCCTTCGAAGAAGTCGTTGATCGCCGAGTTGTCGGAACAGAAAGACAAGGCTTCCTTCTTGGCGACGGGGAATACGCTATCGTTGAATGCCCAGTTGCCGTAGGCTTTATCCAGCTGATCTTTGATCAAGCTGAAGGGGAGTGATACAGCGTTGGAAGTGAGTTTCTTGATGTCATCGAAATCCGGGATATTCTGGTTCAACTGGTCGAGATCCGAGACGAAGCCGGTGGTGTTGATGTGGACCTCGGATAGTTTCGCGGCCACTGATCGAATATCCCCAGCGACTTCTGGCTTGGGTGGAATAGTAGCCCGACCGAAGATGCCGCTGATAGCAGTCTCGATGGCACCACCAACTTCTTCTGTGGCGGAAGCGACAGCTCCTCCAACAATGCTAGTAGCTTTGTTGCCTGTGTCCACCGCTCCGTTAACGACCGAGTATATAGCATCGACGGGTTTTTGGAGATCATCTGCGGTGCTGTTAATGGCTTGGGCAATCCCATTGATAGCCTCGTTCATGGCATCGGTGGTCTTCTCGATGGCGAGAGCAGAAGCATTTAGCCCTCCGTGGATTACCATAGAAATCAAGCAGACGTAGGTATCCGTCATCATCCCAATAACGAAAAGGATTAGCTGCTCTACACCGGTAAGAATCATGTCAAGAACCTTCATCAAGGCTTGAACGGAGTCAGTGATACCCGACGCGGTGAGTTTATTGACGCCGACGGACAAGTAGTGAGGCATCGAAGCCATGGCACTACCAATGTCCTCGACCTTTGTACATGCCGACAGAGCCTTCGCCTTAGCATCGCCAAGGTTGTCGTTTAGTGTTCCCAAGGTCAGAAGGAAGTTGACCAACACCAGGAGGAGTAGGATTGTCCATCGATTAAACCAGATCTGCGAAAGTCGTGAACCGAGTCCGAGGTATGGGGTAACACCTTTGGCCGAGCTCTGGGATAGCAGCTCGCGAAACTTCATGTTGCGGATGTCCTTGGTTTCGTACGCCTCGTGTTTAAGCGAGGAGGGCACTTGAGGGAAACCCTCCTTTTCTCGAAAGGTAGCCATCAATAGTAAAGTGGCTTGGTCGTTTCTTTCGAAGTGCTTTTGCTATAAAATATCGTAAAAAGAATTGAAGGAGAGAATGAAAATAAAAGTTGAAAACGAAAAAGAGTGTTCAAATTGTCGTAAGGTATTCTCACTTTCAGATTAGCCGCACCAGGTGTATTTGTGTGGATTTTGGTACGGTATGGTCCGTGTATGTCGATAGGAGAAAAAAATACCTTGAAAGAGATATATGTATGAAAGGGTATGGGTGAGAACAATAAAACAAGATTGAGAAGAATAAAGGAATAGTATAGTGAATCAATCACTGATCTATTTTACTTCCTGAGTCTATTAATGACATGAAAAAAAAAAGTATGGGGAAAAAACGAGAAGTTTGGTTTGTGAGTGAGTTATGAAGTAAAGGTAGGACACAATGACTAGGAAGGGGGGGAGGTGGTCGATGATAAAAGAGATTCCGAGCATTGTTGCACCCTCAGGCACCTCAATAGTCACAATGACCATCTTACGACCAGTCAAGGGCCACTTAACGAGAATAGGTCGAGTTTCAGAATAGAAATAATAGATGTCTTTGTTTCGTGTACTACATTCGAGTAGACGATTCTTTGTTGTTCCCATAGGTTACGCGCGGTGTAAAGAACCACCCTAAGCGCCGGCTTTCATTCTGGGCCAGTCGTTTCCTTTGTATGCACGCCATCGCTAAACAAGTTTCCTTGATCGACCTACTACCTGAACTAGGTACCTAGTAGGTAGGGTAGGGATGATGTTCTCGAGAAGCTAAATGGAATTTGACAATGGGATTCCCTTCTTGTCGAGTGAGATGTATGTTACGGTGATCCCCGATTATCACGGAGGCTCTTCTTTATTCCCCGCCACCTGATGAGTGTGGGCCTATTCGCACTGCTTTAAGTTAAGCAAGGGATCACGACTAAAAACACATACTTCGGTAATTACAGACGATTCTCATCTGGTTTGGAATATCGCACTGCGTCATAAGTCATTAAATCGCCCATCTTTTATGTTGTCGGAGGATTAAGACCCCAAATGGTAATCTAGATCATGCTGCAGATTACCTACATACCTGTTACTACCTGGAGTTGCTAGATGCTGTGCGTTCGCCCCAAGGTCGCATTGGTACAACACATACCTATGTACGTAAAGCATAGCTAATGTATGTGCCTGTGCCTTTTGCATGCAGCACACACCGCTGCCGATGATCTGCGTCATGAGGCTTGCCGAAAGATTCAGGTACACTTGGTACACTTAGGTGTGCACAACAGCATAGTTTTTGTCGAGGATATATTACACCTAACATTAAGTTGTTATGCGTTTGTACCTAGGTTTCAAGGTAGCGAGCTTGTCTACTTGACGATAGCTGCGTGACTGCATGTCCATAGGCTTCTTTGAAGTTTGCCGACGAAGTTTGAACAGTGACTAACCAAGTTGCAAGGCAAGTTGTAAGGGTTTTCAACGATGAGAGTCGCCAAACAGCCGGGAACAAATAACGTCCATCAGCCCAAAGCTTGGCAGGGCCGTCAATCTCGGCTGGGCGAGCCAATCAAACGAATATATTCCTTACCTTCGGCATGACATAAGGATTCTAAATTTATCCACGGCAGAACCTCGGCAGTAAGTTGTAGTTAAGTTCTTCAAAATTATGAGAATCATCCAATCTGAAAGTACATATATCACGCTAGTAGGTATGTAATTGAACGGCAACTTTCATTTTCTACATACGTGTATATCACGAACAGTAGGAGTTATATAGCTAAGTACGAATTCATTTATTCGTCGGTGATGTTCCTGCACCTGAAACACCCCGCCGATTACCTATCATTCGTCATATCTACCTAGGTACAATGGTACATAAACGGCGATCTCAAAACAGCGGCAGCGACATTTTCAAAATGATTGGCTGAAAAACCAGGAGCGGCTGTAGCCGACGAAACGAATTAACCCCCCTGTTTTCGCCCCATATATAACTAACCTAGTCCCTTCATCCCAGTCTCGCGGCAATTCGAGAAGATTGAAGTCACAAGCTTCTGCTTACATAAACAAATAACACTGGCATGATTTAATCCCTTACCTATGTACCTACCCTAGGTGTGGTACCTGCCAACGGTACTAACCGAAACCCAACAACCTGCGCGTCTGCTCGCTGTAGTGGGCCAATTAGGCGCTACAGTGGGCTACACACCTACCTGGTAGCTAGACGACCTGAACACGGGTAGCCAATGAAGCGTTAAGCGCTAACGTAGCTCAGACACTTTCCCACGGTTCCACACCCCTCCCTCCCCCTCCCCCAAAAATGAGATAGATTGAACCTTAAATAGACCTCGACCTCGACCACTGAAAACTGACAGGCCTTCCCCGCTGAGGGTCTCTCTACACTACACTAACCTAGACACACTACACTACACTAACCTAGTCTTTCTTATGCCAACATTACGATCCGTAACCCGAATACCCTTGGAGGACGAGAATATGATGGCCTGTCTTAGGTTGTCTAGTACCGACCCAGTCTTGTTTGGTGAATGAATTTAGTGTGTGGTTTTCACAAAGTATTTAAGAAAAAGAAAAGGAAAAGGAAAAGGATAAGGGAAATCTCGGCGGTTGACAGCGATATTCGTATTATCATCCGACTATTTACGATAAGTCCTGCCCCGGAGAGAGCGATAAACGAGACTAGCTAGAGATGCACACATCAGGGTACATATATATCTAGCTCTCACTTCTCATCAGCATCCCCCTCCTCCTCGCTCTGCTGGTCCGGCGTAGCAAGCTTTCCGCGTAGTTCGTCGGCCTCTTTGACCTTCAGCTGCAGCAGCTCGTACCAGAGCTCGGCCGTCTTCTCGAAGCGCTGGTCTTTGGCCTTCTTGCGCAACTCCGGTGTCGACTTGCGGCTCATCTTGCTTCGCATCATTCTCAGCTCCGATTGCTTCTCCTCTAGCTCCTGGTCTTTCTGGGCTACCTGGGCTTCGTGGCGCTTGAGGTCTGCATCTCGCTGGCGCACGGCTGCTTCGAGCTCGATCTGCTTTTGCTGCAGCTCTTTGTCCTTTTGGGCTAGCTTGGCCTCGTAGTCTTTGAGGTCCGACTTGCGCTGGCGCTCTGCAGCTCGGAGTTCCTTCTGGGGTGAGAGATGTTAGACAGTCAATCTCAAGACGATAAGTGCAAGACGGGTGTAAAGCCCCCTTGGTAAATGCTGCTTAGGTGGGTACGTACGTCTTTGTTGATTAATCGATCCACGGTATTGCCATGGGACTGGACTGATGCGTCCAGTCGTTCCTGCAATGTAGTGATCAACTGGGTTCTTTCCGTCTCGATGTCGTTCGGTTCCTATGTCTCAAGTTAGCAAAGGGGCGGCAAATCAACAGTAATCCAAAGTTTTGAATGATGTTGATATGGCAAGCTTCGAAAACCGATTCGTAAGCTCCTGATTCTTGGTGTGTATATGTTAGAACCTACGATAGAGATTTCAGCAGCTTGTTGATAACGTCGCGGACCCTGTTGCGGACTCTGCGGCTGGTTCTGCGGCTGGGTCTGCTGCTGGGCTTGTTGCTGGGCCTGTTGCTGAGCTTGTTGCTGGCCACCTCGCTGGCTACCTCGCTGGCCACCTCGCTGGTTACCTCGCTGATTATTTCGGTGATTCCATCGTTGGCGACGAGAACCGCGGCCGGCGTTCCCAGATTCGTCAGCAGGGTTTGGGGGATCCATGGTTGCGATTGATTTTTCCCTACGTTTTGTTTTACTCCGTTGCGAAGTAGTATAAAAACGTAGGTGTGAACCAAGTGGAAAGAGTGACGGTAGGCACTTCATTTTGTATGGAACCTATATTTAAAGTTGTTGTTTACATGTGTTTGTGGAATCAAAGGGCGTGCCTGAAAACACAGGTTGTACTGGTTCAAAGATTGTACATCTATGTTTTGCGGTGTACCTGGCAGCCTCTCCCAGGTAGCGACGCCTTTTTTCAGGCAGAAATATGAACTGGTTAATGCCTAGGTACCTAGGTAGGTTGTATACTACACGGGCTTTGACTATGCACACCGAGATCCAACTCATCTTTTCCCACGTAAGGACGAAACAGGACCCGCATCAAGAATCCATTGTCATTTTCATCTGAACATTGTGTGCACCTACCCAAGTACTTACTCACAGTACCTAACACGCAAACTTCCCCTACCTGCCTGCAATAAAGCTTCCTTATTCCTTATTTGGCGTGAAGTACACATCACTCCCCGACCCACTCTCCTCCGCCGCCGTCCTAAACGCCTCCTCCCAGCTCTCCAGCCTAGACTTCCCCGTCACCTTCATACCCGCTCTGTCCCCGATTTCCAAAATCCCCCTTTCGACCAGCTTAATCAAGTCTTTCGCTTGCTGGGCGGTGTTCATAAATTTTCCTTTGATTGTGAGCCCCTTGTGAACGAGCTGTCCATATGGGAACCCAACGTCGCCCTTTAGGCCCCCCACGAGGCTCACGCGCCCGCCTGGCCTCAACGCCGCCATGCCCGCCAGGAAGTGCGAGCTATCCTTCGCGCTGGCGGGTGAGATATCGAAGAACACGTCCAGTGGGCTGAACCGCGCCAACGCTTCGACATCCTCCTCCACGTCGCCGCTGATCTTTACCGTAGCCACTCTGTCCGAAATCCGCCCCAGCTGCTCGAGCGCATCCTCGCTCCTTCCCATAGCAATAACGCGCGCCCCCGTCGCCGCAGCAATACGCACCGCGCCGCTGCCGAACGATCACGTCGCCGGCGCAACCAGCACCGTCTCCCCGACCCGCACGCCGATGTCCGCGAGCCCACCATAGGGCACCACGAGCTGACTTAGCGCGCCCAGCTCCTCGATCCGATACCCTAGCCGACTGCCGCCAGCTCCTCCCACACCCCGTTGCGCCAGGGGCTACCCCCCTTTCCCCCCTCCGCCGACAGCAACCGCGTCGCGCCCTCATGAAACCCGCGCAGTATCTTTATCCCCGGATCATCGCGCGCCCGCACCGTCATCTCCACAGACACTAGCTGGCCCGGCGCAAGCCGCGTAGCATCGACGGGAACGGCTGCCACCCGCGCGATGCAGGTGCCGCCTGGTACGAAGGGGAGAGAGGGTACCTGTGCCCGCGCGGGTTGCCGTTGGCGAAGATCTGGTTCGCGTACTGCACGACGATGGCGTAGAGGGGGCGCACGAGGACGGTACCGGGAGGTGAGGCGGAGGAGAATTGCAGGCCTGTGTAGGTCGCTGGGAGCGTCATTTTGGTTGAGCGGGTTCGGCGAGGTGCAAAGGGGGTGGACGGTGAAAGTTTTGGGGTTTTTCGTCGTTCCAAAAACGCGAATGGCAACGAACTGCAACGAGATGGTCTGGTGATTAGGCAACAACTGGTCCTACGGTTTACCCTTTGCATTCAGTTCAGAGCCTGGAGATCATGATTTCGGTTATGAACTAACCTGAATCTAACTATAGGCATCGCTTGACGTCTCTAGCTGTGCATATAAGCTCCAACGGAGGAGCATAGGCATTAAAGACATCACAAACTCTGCTGGAGATAGGGGTTTATTCACCCGGGTTTAAGACGGCCTTGCTACCACTGGTCGGACATCGAGCGTCTGCGGGGAGAAGCCGTGCCTACAACGAATTACCTAGGGTATATTTTGCGCCATGCAAGATGGAAAGAGGGTTTTCATAGCAAGTGCATTGAATTCACTGAATGGGATGTTTCGATCACCCTTACCAGCCCTTTATCAAAAAGGCCAGCACCGCATACTCGATGGACCCCGACTTAAGACTTGAAGGGCTCGACTATCTTCGACGATTATCTTAGTGAAGATGAATATTATGTGGATATCTTGAAATTTTGGATTTCGTGATATCCGAGAAAGACGTGGGAGTCACTCCTCGCCCGGAGTGAGCAAGCAGATGATATCCTCGGCTGAATCGACGCGGATGAATGAACCCCGGGACCTAACCGGAGCCAGCATAATGTCCTAAATCCCTCCTGCCATTGGGAGTTGTAAACAACAAGACAACCTTGAAGGGAGCGGCGGTTTTGCATGGGTTCACTGATGCTTATATGTCCCCAAACTCCTCAACCGAATACCCGGACCTCTTCGGGCCCTAGGTTAGGTCATATACCTCTACTTTAGGCAACCCTGTACCGAAGAGTAGCTCTTCCGGGCTGAAGGCTGTTTAATTGGTAGGCCAAATGATAGCCCCTGGCTAGATTAGAGCTGACGGGGCACAATCATTTGCATCGGACACCGAGACCCTTTTGTGGGTCTCACGGCCGGAACTGACAACAACGCTGGTCGTACAAAGCCGCTTAGCTCGAATAATAACATGCAGGTAGCTCCGCGTTTGCCTTCTTGGTGGTGTTGACTCTCGTTCTTTGACTAAATACGGGTCAATATTAGATGTTCCATATAAATGATATCTATCGGGCCAAGGCTGAAGTTAAGACACCCGAAAATGGAGTCATGAATGCCTAGGTTAGTAGTAGTCTGCTCCACATAACTCTTACTTGATCAAAACTGGAGAATATTAATAAATCTTGTTGTCTCCAAGGCCTCTACGTCAAAAAATATTGCAAATTGTAGTACAGGGGAGGGTTTTTGGTTCAAGACATCGGATAGGATGGCCGATTAGTAAAGTGAACTGGCTTGGACATCAAGGTTGTCATCAAGGTTGTTGCAATAGGTAGCATTAGCCTCCCATATAAGTGTATATATATCTCACCCTCCCACCTGCCTGGAATTTCTCTGAAATGCGTCGAATTCATCGTGTCATCTTGTCCTTGGAAGGCCATACTACCTCGACAAAGATGAAATCACAACGAGCTATGCAGAAGGGTCGTCGGCAGATGGTAAGCGCATTATCTGCGAGAAACCTGCCTAGAACACTACCCCTCACCGACTCCCGTCTGCGAAGCACGCTTCTGCAATGGCATGGAGCAAAGATAATAAACCAACGGCCACTATACCGAGAGATTTCCTGATATGCCGACGAGGCGAAGCTCCCAAGAAGACGACTTGCCGCCCTAAGCTATTCGCGGGGTTGGTTTTTTTTTCTGGCTCTTGGCCCTCGGCCCCTTAGGATCTTCCGTAACCTACCCCCCCTCTCCCAAGTGCCGATGCGATGCATTCGTTTTCCAGCTGAGCTATTGCTGTGTGCCGGATATTGCCCGCATTTGATTACGCAATGACAAGGGGGGCTGAGGTTATTATTCTTTCGATCGACGATCGACTTCTATTGACGGGAATAGGAAGGCTAAGGTCAAGACGTCTGCCGCCGTGGCATCCAGCCGGTATGGAGGGGGGATATCTCGGCGCGCCGGATTTATCTCGGTTTTGCGTTTCGCAGTGTTCGATGCAGCTCAACCTCCATGTGCTATAAAGTACTGCCTCTCTCGATTGTGTCTGGGTTGGAGAAAGCAGTTCCAGATTCAATTTAATCAGCAATCCAAAAAACCACCCCCCAAGCACGTCACTTTACATAACCGAACACATCCAAAACCAACCAAATCACCCATCACCATGGCTTCTCTCCACCCGTCCATCGACAACGGCCTCGTCAAGGGGAACCCCGACTTCGCGGGCGGCAAGCTGCACTGCCACTGCAAGACGAACCCGGTCGAGATCACCGTCGCGTCCAACGTGCTGCACAACCACGCGTGCGGGTGCTCCAAGTGCTGGAAGCCCGCGGGCGCCCTCTTCTCCATCGTGGGCGTCGTCCCGCGCCCCTCGCTCAGCGTGACGGGCGCCCCGGAAAAGCTCACCATCGTGGACGAGAGCGCGGCGATCCAGCGCAACGCGTGCAAGGAGTGCGGCGTCCACCTCTTCGGCCGCATCGAGAAGGAGCACCCCTTCAAGGGCCTCGACTTCATCCACGTCGAGCTGTCCGACGAGAAGGGCTGGCAGGAGCCCCAGTTCGCCGCCTTCGTGTCCTCCATTATCGAGCAGGGCTTCGACCCCGCGAAGATCGACGGCGTGCGCGAGAAGCTGAACAAGATCGGGCTGAGCACGTACGACGCGCTGTCGCCGCCGCTCATGGATGCGATTGCGACGTGGACGGCGAAGAAGAATGGCGCTTTATAGACTGGTTATTTTTAAATGAGCTGGTTTATTGAGCAGGTAGTCGACTACCTAGGCTATTGAAGTAAAAAAAATAAAAATAAAAGGAGCATTGCAAAAAATTGTAACTGTATCACTTCGTTATTCATGTTCTTGGTGTTCATCCCTCGCCGTGCTTGTGACCGTGTAGTGTTGTCTGACTTTCTACGACTCTTTACGACAAACTCTTATAGAATAAATACCCACCTAGGTACACATTTGATACAATAACTTATTTTACTTGTTTGTTCCTTATTCGTTAATAACAAGGGCAAAAGGCAGAGTTGAGTAGGTATAGATCTCTTAGGATTCCCTCGGGTCTAGAAAGGAAGTGACAGCTAGGGAGAAAATACATCATAACCGCAACCTGAAAGTGATAAAACGAAGGTAGTACGAGGCCTGTTGTCACGAGGCGGAACCTAGAAGATACAGAATAATATCATTGTTGCGCGGGGACCTTGTATTTGGCCTACGTCAGTCCTCTTTATTCTAAGTAGCCCCCCCCTGAGTACGAGAATCCTCGACGCTTATGAAATATGATATCGTCGACACCTATGTATGGTGGCAAAGTTATATCACATTTTCTAAGTTTCTAGATATGATGTAGCTAGTACTTAAGCCGTGAACTTCAACAGATAGTTTACAGAAGACAAGAAGATTAAATCTAATTTTTATTTCGACATCAATGCCATAAACCGCTTTGATGTTTTCTTATCCACGATCATTTTAACATAGAGTAACTACGCTACTCATAGTTGAGCCACTACACCAGACGACCATTTCTCTCGAAGCATGGGGCAATTCCTACAGCCAAGTAGTCCCTTTTAATTTTCCAGGGCTTAGCAGCTGCTATAGAGGGAACTTAGTTTCGCCGCCCTGAAGATTATTGAAGCCAAGCAGTGCCTACACAGTACCTAGTAGTCATGGCTTCTGCTTGTAGGTTTGCATGGTTTTGCAGGATGTATAACAACAAAGTTCTTCCCATGCACTTTTGTTTGGTTTCTCACACATTTCCAGTTGCTAATTCCCTCCGTCTTCTTTTGGCTTACGTGAGAGAACTTGACTTGGAATGCTGGGGCTCTATGAAGCTTGGTGTAAGTTGACTTCGCTAACCTAGTTCCCACCCAACCCACACTTGTGAATTGTAAATATTAAGCCTTCCTAGTTCCTCTCGCTTTGATATATACCTAGACAGTACTCATAGTTATATATATGCCCTATTCTTGACATATTATCATTTTAGTAAGGGTTTAGTGGAAAGTGAAGAGAGGCCGAAGACAGCAGATAATTGGAGGAGAGGCCTTGAAAGAACAGCTGAGGCAGTCATGCGAAACAGCTGAACATGCAGGAAATATAAAAAATGACCAGGCCCCAGCCTAGGACCCTGAGGTCCACGAGTACCATCATTGATGATACTATGTAAGTCAATGTAACTAATCAGGTGCAGAAAACTTGAAGCTAGTGTCAGGTACCTACATAAGCTTCAAAGTACAGTACCTAGCAATACGGTCAATACCTACTCCCAGGTACCAGGTACACAGAGTCACAGACATCTACGATGATGAAGATGAGATGGGATGGGATGGAAATGCAGCTGGTGGACGACTGACTAATAAGTATTGAATGTTAAAATGGGAAGAATAAAGTAAAGAAGAATAAATAAAAAGCAAAAAGGAAAATGGCCGAGAACAAATGAACAATGGAATGGCCGAAAACAGCTAGTGCCAAATAACTAGTTAAAGTTTGGCAGGACAATGCCTGCCGTGCGAATGGCCACATTTGCGTGTAGTACACATGTGCACTGTACGGACCGCAAGTACTTGGGTACTTGGGTACATTACCTAGTACCTAGTATGTACCTAATCTCATCGATAGCAGCCCGTGTGATACAAACTTTTGATTTCTCGCATTTCAATTCCACACACCTTCCCATTCAACCCACTCAAACCAATCCAATCCATTCAACCTTACAACCTTACAACCTTGACACCTTTTTTCCTTCTTCTTCCCATTCACATTTTTCTCACTCTCGCGACCTGTCCTGGCAACCCGTCCTGGCAACGTAAAAGAAAAACTGACAATTACCACGGTAGAAGGATCTGTATTTCTGGACAGTGCATGCGCAACCCAGGAAAAGTAGGTACTACTTACTCGCAACAAACAATCCATCAATTTAAATCCAAACCATCTCTGCCTCTCTCTCTGCCTCTCTGCCTCTGCATAATCAATCCATCCATCCATCGCCTTTTCCATTCAACAATCAATTCAATTTTCCTTCTTCTCACACCCAAACCTTTCCACACTTTCAACCACTTTCTTCACCTTTCCCACCCTCTCATCCTCTTACACTCCAATCTCTCTCCCTCTCTCTACTCTCCAACATCCTCAAGCTACTTGACATCCAACCTGGTACTCCCTTCTACACCTTACTCACAACATCAGTAACTTCACTGTGCTTGACTCAGGTGACAATTGACACGAAACATCCACGACATATACATACATTGATTGGATGCGACACATCCTGGTCGCCTTTATCAAGACGTCAATTTTGCCTCGACCCATCATCTTGCCGCAGGTAACTAAGTACCACATTGATTGGACATTGTCCACCCAAAACTTGTCACCTGCAACTTGAATGCTGCTAGAGAGAATCATCAAAGCTTTTTTGCCTGCCTTGAAATCGACCTAGACCTCTGCTCTTTGATCTCACTGCAAGTATTTGTCGTGTTACATTCCTTGGGTTTAAAGCATCAGCGCAATGGCGGAAGCACAGCCCAATGTCCAGGCTATCCTGGCTGCCCTCGCTGGTAAGTTTATAGCTCCTTTCCTTTTCCTTCCAAATATTATAATATCTCTAGATCCATAGCTAACCATGCTTCTGTCCCTTATAGCGGCCCAAGGTGGTGCACCCTCAACGCCCTCGCAAGGCAATGCCCCGTATGGCACTCCAGCATACCCATCGAACCCTGCTGTCCCTAACCCGTATTCGACTATGCAACCCGGAGCTCAGCCCGTGCCCTATGCCAGTAGCGGGTATCCTATGCCGCAGTCTTCGACCTCTGGAAGCTTTGATTTGAGTGCCATTAGACCGGTCAACTCTGGGACCGTCCATCTCAGCGATGCTATTGCACAAGCTAGATCATATGCAGCTGAGCAAGGCTTGACGCCTTATGAGCAACCACTCTCGGGTGGTTATCCGCCACATGATGCTCGTACTATCGATTCCAGAGTATATAGATCTCGGTCGCGATCGCCTCGCCGTCGTGATCCATTTCGTGACAACTTCAATCCTTATCGAGATGAGAGACGTAATGATCGTGCAAATCCGCGTGACTATGGTCGCGACCGCTCCTTATCACCCGGCGTTAGCCGCTCTCGCTCTTCTGGTGGTGCTTTCCCTCCTCGTGGCGCAAATAGCCGTGATCGAGGTGTCGATGACGATGATTCAGAAATCATTGAGATTGAGTCAAGCCTTGTAGGCCTCATCATTGGACGACAAGGCGAGAACCTCAGACGTGTTGAATCAGAGACCTCGTGCAGAGTGCAATTCATGTCGCCCAGTGGAGAACCAGGCCCTTACCGCCAGTGCAAAATCACCGGCCTTCGTGCTAGACGTGCTGAAGCTAAGGCCGCTATCAATAGAATCATCGAGGACAGTGGAATGGGCGCCTTAGCACGCGCAGGTCTTGATGGGCCCCGACATGCCCGCCGTGATACCAATGCCCCTCCTGCTGCTAGCACAAACATGAGCGCCAATGCCAACCAGAGTGCTGTCTCCCCAAGCACCCTCAGAGATGGAGAGGCTTGTATGCAGATCATGGTCCCTGATCGTACAGTTGGCCTGATCATTGGCCGCGGAGGTGAAACGATTAGAGACTTGCAAGAACGCAGTGGCTGCCATATCAATATTGTCTCTGAATCCCAGAGCGTTGAAGGTCTACGACCCGTGAATCTTATTGGTCCTGAAAATGCTGCTGAACAAGCCAAGGAGCTTATTCTTGAAATTGTTGCCAGTGACAGTCGCAATGTCAATAATAGCAATGATGGTAACAGAGCTCGTGCACCCAGAGTCGACCATGGCCATGATAACGCCCAAGTTGGTGGTGGTGGTGACAAGGTCAACGATTCTATTTACGTGCCCTCTGAAGCTGTGGGTATGATCATAGGTAGAGGAGGTGAGACCATTCGCGAAATGCAAAACACGACTAGTTGCAAGATCAACGTCTCGCAGTCGTCAGGCCCTGGTGAAGTGGAACGTGAGATCGGCCTTGTTGGATCCAGAGATGCGATAAACCGGGCTAAACGTGCCATCGAGGACAAGGTTGAGGCAGTTGTAAGTACCCATTCACCTTTCCAGGCATCTGCCGGAGCAGACTACTTACTTACCTCACAGCGTCAGAAGAACAATGGTGGCGGTGCGGGCCGTGGCGGTGGTGGTGGTGGCGGCAGAAACCAACAACGCCGTGACTGGGACAGCCCCAGCTATTCCCAACAGGGAATGAGCAGCCAGCCGGCTGGATCGATGAGTGCCTCGACTGGTAGCGCTGTGCCAGCCGCTCCTGCTAATGGGGCTGAAGACCCCTATGCTGCCTGTAAGTTGACAGCAACATCCATTGATCATCTCAGACTAACTCCAGGGACAGATGGTGGATACCAGCAGTACTGCGCTCTCTGGTACGCCTATAGCCAGCAAGCCGGAAGCCTGCCTCAAGGTGGCGAGGCTCCTCGACCTCCGGGAGCGTAAAGGCTTTGCTTCGTACCTTTCTAATCGAATTCGATGGTTCCATCCACGTTACCCATCGACGCAAACGAGCTGCAGGGATTTATCTGCATTTATTTCGCCATTATAATATATTGGTCCTGATTGACGTCTTATTTCCCGGCAAGCAGAAATAGAAACCAGTCCTTTTCTTACGACATTCTCGTTACATGGAAAGATATATTGAGAGGATCAAAAGCCCAATACCCGGCGTTCAAGGAGTCAGGGGACGAAGATAAAATTCATGACTCGGTTTTTTACGACTTACACTGTTTTGGAATGAAGTTTTTGTTCTTACATTCCATGATCTCTCTTCTTTTTGATTTCGTCTCCAAACCGGCACCTTGACCCGCAGAAACAGACCGACGTACGATACATATGACACGAGACTCGCAAATGGAAATACAGCATGAAGGGCAAAGAGGTATTTTGGTTGGTGCACGTGATGGTAGAGGGGTGGCAGTGAAATTGGCGGCGGACTTGGGCATAGGGAAAAAAAGGGCGAGATGAATAACATATGCTTGGCGCATAAGGGGGGATGGGGGGGGGAATTGAAGGGAACCATCATGTTCATTATTCCCAAGTGAACTACTTTCTAGGTTCTCGATGCTTTTTATACTCGGTATCCATCTGTACTTCGTCGTACGGGGCAGCTTTACTACCTAGTACTTCTTCGGTGCTTTACTTACTAAACCGTTAGGCAGTTTAGTTAGTTAGTACTGTAACTAGGTCGTCTGCTGCTGCTTACCAGTCTCCAGTGCTTTTTTCCTCGTGTTTTTGCTTTTGCTGTTGCGCTGATGTGATTGATGTGATGCGATGTGATATGGTGCGCATGATTCCAGTGGATTTACATATCTAGGTACAGGATTCGAGATGGTTAGGTATCCTCATCCTCATGGCATTTGATTTGGGTGATTTGGGTGATTTGATGATTTCGTGCGTAGGACATTAATTACCTAGGTTAGGTAGGTATACATTCATTACACTGGCAAGTCAAGTCAAGTCACGTTGATACATACCTAACTAGTTAACTAGTTAACTAGTTGACTAGGTAGCTCTCCTCTCATTCTTTCGTTACTTCATTACTTCATATTTTTTCATTTCGGTTGGTGTACTAGGTATAGACATAGTAGGCAAGTAGGTAAGCCCCCCTTTTCACATACAACCCAAGGTTTTTTTTTTTCTGGTTACCCTCCTTCTCTACATAGTAACCTAGTTCTTTGACTCCATTTCCTCATCCGTTGTATGATATAGTACCTAGGTTGGTAGCTTATGCTTCTGTACTAGGTACCTAGGTAGGTACATATGTACTTAATATGTCTCATGCGGTGTTGAGCCGCCTTCTGGGTAGGTAGGTGTTGTTTAGTTGGTTGCTGCCCCTTATTGGCTGGCTGCCTCCCCACCCACCCAGAGATGATTTGGTTGTTGAAAGTTGTTTGCTCATCTACTAACTACCTGACTTTGGTAGACTAGCCCACTAGTGTTCAATTCCTTCTTTATTTTCTTTATTTTCTCTCTTGTATCGAATACTGCGCATGTATAAATGTCTGGGTAGAATGTCTAACTAAACAGACAAATCTTCACCCCAAACGTCCTTCGCGATTTCGACCATGAGTTTGACCTTAGCCCACTGCTCATCTTCGGTAAGATCGTTGCCCTCGGAGGTGGAGCTGAATCCACATTGGTGGCTAAGGCAGAGTTGCTTGAGGCCCTTGGGGCAGAAGGAGGCGGCCTCTTTTAGGCGGTTGATGATATCAGCCTTCTCCTCCAGATCGGGCTTCTTGCTGGTCATGACGCCGAGTACGACGACCTTGTTCTCGGGCAGGTGGCGGAGCGGCGAGAAGTCACCGGAGCGGGCATCATCGTACTCGAGGAAGTAGGCGTCTACATTGAGTTCCTTGAACATGACCTCGGCTACGGGCTCGTAGCCGCCCTGTGCGAACCACTGCGAACGGTGGTTGCCACGGCACAAGTGGATTCCGATGGCGAGATCTGCGGGTCGCTTCGAGATGGCTGCGTTGATGAGCGCGGCATATTGGCGCGCAAGAACGTTAGCGTCGCCATGTCGCTCCTCAGCCTCGGCGCGCATCTTGGGATCGCAAAGATACGCTAGGTTGGTATCATCGAGTTGGACAAAGCGCGCGCCAGCTGCGTAGAGGTCGGCCAATTCTTCCTGGTATACACGCGCAAGGTCTTCGAAGAAGGGGTCCAAAGTCGGGTAGGCCTTCTCATCAATGGTCTCACGACTATTGCGGAAATGAACCATAGTTGGGGAAGGGATGCAGACCTTGGTTGTAGCCTTAGCGCCGGCAGCCGCAATCTGGGACTCGAGGTATTTGAAGTCGTCCACTTGGATAGGCTTGTTGTGAGCGATCTTGTCCACAACCACTAGACGCGGGGGCATGGTTCCTCCAACACTAATATTGGTCGATTGCAGGGCGCCCTGATACTCTACTCCATAGAGATGTCGAAGGAAATCGACATGGAACCATTGTCGTCTGAACTCCCCATCTGTGATGGATCGTATTCCGGCGTCGAGCTGCTTCTTGACGACATCGGCAACGTACTTGTCTTCTAGCTCTCTTAGTTCTGTGGGCGTTAACTTTCCTTCAGCAGCCTGCTGGCGTGCTTCGAGAAGCTGGCTTGGCCGAAGGAAAGAACCGACCTGATCGGCGCGGTATACACCGTTTGGAAGAGACATGATGATCTATGAGGTGGGTTATATTTCGATGGAGATACAAGCGACTGAAAGACGAGAGAAGAAATTCAAGAAAAGTCCAAGACAATTTTACCCTAACAAGGAGGGGCAAGCTTATTACATAGTAATATTTTCTTGCATACTTATGGAAAGTAGAGCCCGAAAAACGACAGTAGTGCGCAACTAGTAGTCAAGAAAACCCCACACGAATGAATGACTTGCCGCGAAATCGCAATCTCGTGCCATTATGTCTCCAAACGGAGTAGCGCATATTCCTGGCAGCTGCTGGGGGAGACGAGGAATACTTGGACTAGGTCCCTGCCAGGTGGTATCATAACCTAAGTGCCTAAGAATCCTGGCGGAGGAGCTGGAATCCATTATATCCAGTACCTACTACTAGTTAGTAGTAGTAGTGTTGACATAGTGATACTGGGAAGTACTAATATCTTAGGCAGCTGACTACTCGGTAGGTATGTAGGTAGGAACCCGATCTGTCGGGGACCGAAGGCCTAGTTCGAAGACTATGATGATGTAGTAGAGTAGAGCAGGTACCTAGGTAAGTAGATATTGACTGTAAGGCTCCATATTGGACCCTCCCCCCCTGAGCAGTTAAGAAGTCGGAGTTACCCCAGTCACGAATATCAACACAACTAAGCGATGAAAAGTCGGTAATTGATTGAGGAACTCATACGACAAGGATACAAGGTGAGCAGAATCCAATAGAATATTGGTTGGAAGTGGTTAGAAGTGGTTGGATGGTTGAATACATTAGAAAGAGGTAACAATCATAAGAGGGGGTAAGCTCGGCATAGGTGAATAGACCATGAAGGTCCATTCTGATTCGCTATCGTCATTGGAAAACCATTATTTCCGATACAGGTTTACCGGTCTGCTGGTTTTAACACCCCGTCGATCAGAAGAAAGGGATCTGAGATGACAGGAATGTCGGGGGGGAGACTAAGCTTTTAAAGAAAGCATTCAACATTAAAGAATGAATATTGAACGTTGAACTTTTAAGTTAACCTTTGAGTGAAGACGCAACATTGTGGTACAGTTAACTATATGTATGCAGAGGGTGGGGTTCATAAATGTCGGACTATGTACATATGTAGTATAATTGAAATGAGACTCATTAAAATTAGTACAAGAGTATTACAGCAGATTAAATCCACTTTTAAGCCTCGTTCACACCTGCACTCAATTATTGGTGGAGTAAGTTTAGTGTTACCAACCTGCGGCAGCTACATATGTATGTACAGCCTGCAGTACTGTACTCCGTGAACCATGGATGGATTTACCCAGCAGCCCTAGGTAGCTAGGTATACAGAGAACCCAGACGGCCCAGACAGCCCAGACCGTCAGATTACTACAATTACTACGTAGTACGTACCTATTCTTAGGTTGCCATCTCTTGTCACGGTACATCCAATGTTGTATTGTACATACATAGTACCTACATTCTCAAACTGCGACTTCGTTGATAATTTGGCCTCATTCAATACTTCACTATTACTATTGCAGCTTGCTAGCTAATATCAAAAAAAAAAAAAAACAAACAAGCACATCCATCTCTCATCAGCCTTGTCATTATATCAATCTTTTATTGGCTCGCTCATTACATACTCCATTCTGGAACATCAGATCTCCATACGCAAGTCATCCGACATAAGACGGGTCGTTCGTTGCCATGTCGAATCCGAACCAACTGTACCTTTTAGCCGACCACATCAAACTATCGCTGCTGGAGCGCCAGCGTGCGCAGAGCCTCAACCTTGATGGTGATTCGAAAGATGGTCACATATCCAGGTCATTGGATCAGTTCCGAGATGGTCTAGCAGGACTAGAAAAGGAACAGAAAAGACTAGAGGAGGCTGGTGAGGAAGAGTACGTGATGATGGGTCCATGTTCAAATGTTTACATACTAACACAATCGACACAGAGATGCACTCACCATCTCCGATGCTTTGCCTGGTCTACAGAAACAATACAGCGACCTAACAGCCCAATTCCACGGCTTCTCTTCTCCCTCAAGCGCATCAACCCTCACACATCCGAACGACCCGACACTTAGTGCCGACTTCAAACACGCCACCACATCACTAACCGACCCCCTCACTGATGCCGCACAAGCCTCCTCCACCTCAAGCCTACGGCCCAAGGGCGTCCGCACAGCTTCCAAAACAGTACGTTTCACGGACAACCCAGCGAGCCCTGCAACCACCGAGACCGATCTTGAAGCGCAGCTATTCGGAGGTAGCCGGTACCGAGACAACCCCGATGATGGCAGTATGGGATACCGGGACGAGGCGTCAGGGATGGAAAACACACAGATTCACGCGTACCATCAACAAATCCTAGACCAACAAGACGCGCAGCTAGACGCGCTAGGGGTAAGCATCGCACGGCAGCGGGAGCTTAGCATGCAGATCGGTGACGAGCTAGACGAGCACGTGGCTATACTTGATGATGTCGACAGTGCCGTCGACCGCCATCAAAGCCGGTTAGACCGCGCCCGCAACCAAGTCGGCCGCATCCAGAAGGCTGCCGGCGAGAGCAGGCAGATGATCGCCATCATCACTCTCATCATCGTCCTAGTCCTACTTATTGCAATACTGAAATAAAGCAAATTTCAACTAAACAAAACATAAGAAAACGAAAAAATTACTTTGGAATCGAACCGAGCCGGACCGGGTCTTTGAACAAAGGGGTAATGCTTAGAGGAAGAAGAAGCGGAAAACGCGGATAGACGGGGTTGTGATTTGGCTAGATTTGGCACCGATTCCCGAAGCCCCCTTCGTTTTGTGTTGGCATTTATTTTTGCGGCATGGCGTGGCATAGCGGCGTTCGTTCTCATATCGCAAGGGGAAAGGGGCTCGGCATTGGTAATGGCTGGCTTGACCTAGTACCTCACCTACTTCCCTCTACCCCTTTTGGCTTCTTCTCTCCTTCTTGTTTCTTAATTTTACTATCTTATACATATCAAATCTGTATACAAACAAACAGTTGGATTTGGGACCGCGGACTTTTCAGTACCGACGTCTATCCATATAAGCCTAATTGGAGAAAGGGGAAGGCCGGGGAGGGAGGTGTCGTACATGATTACCTCTCTATCCAAGGCTTTCCGGTGCTACTTACTGCTGCCTAGGCCGTTTTATCTTCGCTAATGATGGGTGTATGTTCTTTACATACCTAGCTAGGTACCTACATACCTGCACACACACACACACGCACAAAACATACATGCATAACCTACCTTATGTACATGTCCAGTTCCGAAGAGATGGGATGGCGAAACTTTTGTTTGTTGGGGGAGATGGAGATGGAGATGGAGATGGAGATGGCTCAGGTATCTATCAATCTAGGTATATATCTCGATTATTATACATGTGTGCAAGGTGGATTGGTTAGATGGCTAGATATATTGGTACGTTAAAGTCACGGAGGAGACGACGACGACGGGGGTGGTTGGGATTAATTAGATAGGTAGTAGGTATTGGTATTATCTCTCATTGATGAAAACGCTCTCAAAAAAAAAACAACAATCTGAAGATGGGTTGTGAGTTTCAAGGTTGTTGGTGTTGATGTTGTCCAGACTTTTTTTGGTTTTGGCCTATTTACTTATTTGTACAATGGGCATGATGATGATAGGAACCTTTTGATTAGTTAAACCCATCCGCGAAGAATCATGGTGGTGAGGAGACGATGAAAAAAGAAAAAAAATGCCGTATCTTCATGATATCGAAAGACATCCCGGCAATCCTTCAATTCACATCGTCGGGTCCCGCCTCGCCATCCCTGTCCGTCCAATCGGCTTAGAAACCCGACAGAGAGCCCCTTGAATTCTTCCATTCTTCCATTTTTCTTTTCTGCTTCTTTTTTTGCTTCTTCCTTGGATTCTGTCTGGTCCCACATAACTAGTTAACTGACATCACGAACTTGGCCCCACACATTCTTTCTTTCTGGCCGATTTACCCATACCCATTACCGATGCCCATGCCCCATCCTTCTTCATCCGCCCGTTCACCCCTTTCCCCCCCTCCCCCTTTTTTTTTGTCACCCATCACACATTTTATGTAGTTACCATCTAACTTATCTTACAACCCATCGCGCATGCTGGTGCCGGCCTTGCTGGTCTCCTCGGCGGAGCGCTTGGTGCGCTCCTGCAGCGCGGCCATGTCCTCCTTGGTGTCGCCGGCGTGGCGGTCCGCCTTCAGCGCCTCCTCGCTGTCCGACGCCAGCTCCGGCTTCCAGTGGCCCTTGCCTTGCTTGTGCTTCGCGAGCAGGTCCTGCTTGTGCTTTTCGGGGTCCGCGCTTTCGGTGTTGTCTGTGAGGAGTTGGCTGGCTGGTTTGGGGAAGGGTGGATGGGGGAGGAGGGTGGTGGTGGTGGTGGTGGTGATGGTGAATGGGAGCGGGAGGGGAGAGGAGAAGGAGAGGAGAGGGGATCACTTACGGCTGCTTTCCTTGTAGGAGAGGATCGCGGGGGTGGTGGTGAAGGTTCGCTGAGCGATGGCTTGTCTGCTGGTGGCAAGGCCAGCAACGGATTTGAGGAGTGTTCGTGAAGCCATTGTGTGAGTAGATAGGTATGAATAAGACTTTACGGTTGTTCTTAGGGATGAATTGGTGTAAGTTACAGTATAGAAGGTAGATTTGTAGATGGTAGAGTTAAAGCAGAGTAGATTATCTGTTGTTGTTGTTGTTGTAGAACGTAGTTTACCTGGAGAAAGAAGCAATTGGGTAGGGTGAGTCAAGACAATAGCTTATTTTTTTACAAATAGTTAGCGTGCTATGTAATATTCCAAATAGGTCTGAGGTAATTCTGTAGTGGTCATGTCATTGAACAACGGCAGCTTTCCCAATGGCCAGGCAAATCATCCTAAAGAAGGGAAGTGCTTGCTTCGATTCTTTCATCGATCTGTATATTCATGACGTCACCACCTGGGCAGCTAGTAAGAAGCTTTCTAGTGTACATAGTGTAGCTTAGGTGGGTAATGTTACTAGGAAGTATGTAATTTATTGAAGATGATTGGCTTGGATGCATGCATTGTGCACGGTTCATGTAGTTATTAGTTCAATTCTTTCTTTCCTTCGGCTGATGTTGAAATCCCCATAAGTTACTAGGTAGTTATTATGTAACTACATATATACGTAGTTACATATAACTAGATGCACAACTTCAAGGCTGTATGTATGTTGCATCAGAGACCACGTCATACCCGCTATGTACATAATACATAAATATAACTGCCTAAGTGTAACTATCTGGTAGATGATTAAATAGTACGTAGCGAATCAGTTTCAACTTAGCAACTCGTCATCTGACCAACTAACCTCGGGATATTTATCAATTAACGTGCTATGGTATATCATGTCACTATTCAGTCGCCTCGATTGCCTCGATTGCCTCGACTATTTCCTCTCACGGCTCAGAGTATGTTACAACAGTGAACTTGATTAGGTTAGGGGCATTTATTCCCATCGTTCCTCTCTACAGTCAGGTGACTCGGGTCATTTTCCCAAGTGTCTTCGGGTAGTAGTTATGTGCCTGGTCATGTGAACGTGACTCCTCGCTTCATCCGCCGAGCCCGCATATACGCCCGACACGGGTGAAGTTGTATCTGGGCCGATGATTTGTTGCGTCGTTGCATTATCGCTAGGTTGAGCCTACCTGCTATGAACCTTAGCGAGCAAGCAAGCTCGGCTCATCGACAAAGATAGACTCATCGAACGTGATATTCGATTGGTATGATGTGTCATGTCTAGTAGCCACGTGGTGGTCAGTCAGGAAGTTGGGCGTATAGACGTAGCGATGTGGCCTTGTCGACCTTTGAAACAGCACTTTTATTCTTTTCCACGAATTCTTCTACGCTCATAGTATAGGCAATGCTATGTGAGTGGTAGAGTATGGTAACCCTTTTTTCACCTACATAGTAGTCAAGGGGTTCCTTGCATTTTTTGCTTGTTCTCCGATTGCGTATAGCATATAAGCGATTGCCCACCAAGTAGTTGAATACGCTTCAACAATATATCCAGGCTCTATCGTGGAAGGAGCGTGGCCAGGTAGCAGGATAGTGAGTATTGTCTTTGCACCTCTCTTACATCTTGTAGACACTTGGGCCAGTTTATGAAGATGGACACCTGGCCTTGTAGAGGTGAACACGTCTTTAACTTGTTAGCCCTTGGATAATTAAGCGGCATCGTTAATATCTTTTGAATGCTGTGTTACAAAACTCACATATAAATTGGGCGTTCTTGTCTTGCTCCCCTACAACTACCGAATGTTAACCTAGGCTCGCTTTTACTTACACCTCCCATTGCTACCCTCCGGGTTTGTCTCTTCCAATGGACGTAATAAGGATGTGAGGCTGTAGGTTGAAGCCAACTAAAGCCATTTCCGATACCGCATCTACCTAGGTTAGATTAGTATCCATGGATGTAAGTTAGGATTGCAACCAATGATATTTACGTAGGTACTTTTCAAGGGTAGGCGATTATAATTCAGCAGGCTGGTAAATCCACGCCACACATATGTTGTGTATCCAGCATCTGTAGGGCCTAACAGGCGGGCTTTTAGTAGCCTGCATCTATCTCAACACCGCTCATACAAAACAAGGCCTAAATTCAAGGCAACCATATCGTATAACCAAGGCAACCTCACCGTCATGCAAGACTTTCGCTCCTACAGCAGCACGTCCCTTTTCTCGATTGTTCAAGCACTCGGCACATGGCCGCGTCACACGCTAAGAGAGCAATGCATTGTAAGTCACAATTCTCTAAGTCGATTAATGTTAGTATGTCTGTTGGATAGGTAATCGAGTAGCTACATGGTAACTTCTATCAGCTGTGTCGGCTATGCATTTCAACAAGCCAAGTGTTCGCTAGACGGGAGGTATATATGGATGTATTTGGCTTATTGTATAGTATCGTATACTCTTTGCTATACTTTCGTTCAGTCCAATCCATTCTGAGCGCGTAAGTATAAGGCTATCGTCGGTTCCTTCTCAGCTATGATATCAAAGACAATAGTATATCCCTACTAGGTACCTAGGTTAGTATGCAGTAGGTATCTTCACTGCTACCCTAGCCTTAGATATCGTTCGTAAATAAAATTACGTTGCATAGCTAAAAGCTATCAAGATCTTGATCAATCATTATGAGACTCGTCATTATCTACATGGCCCAGTCAGCCGCGCTTTCAAAACCCCTGTTACATATCGCAAACCCCTAGGGGAAGCACGTCTGCGCACATGGCGATGCATCTTCCCTGGACCCTGACTGCATGCGTACCTAGTAGAATCGAGATCAATGGTATATCCTCCATTGCGGTGCTCAAAGTATCGGCTTACAACGGCCCTCTTTCATCCACTTCGGAATTCGTTGCACCAGTCGATGCGAAATATATCTTAACCGAGCAGAGTTAGGAGGTGTATAGGCTTGTTCGGTTAAGTGAGGGTATAATATCATATCATGTCTTCCGAATGTGGCCATAAACGTACGAGCACGGCCTCTGGGTCTTTGATCGGGAACTGCTTACTGCATGTATTAGGCATGTAGGCATATAGGGCAGGGTAGTCGATGTGCCAATCGGCCATCGATCACAAATGACATATGACAGAGATATCAGCTTGCGTGAATGTAACCGCGACGATGCCATATCCACCTATGAATGTACTAATGTGTGCAGTTGCTGTAAGTGATAGATACCTACCTAACTAGGTACATAGATACTTAAGTGCCTACTCAAGATAGGGGTTAAGCAATGGCACGCGATGTCGAAAGGCAAGACCACCACCATGTTACCCACCTACCTAGTCATATATAACCGCGCAACGGGAGTTAAAAAAAACCCCCAAGCAACTGGAAAAGAAATAAACTTTGATATCTGCCCACGGCTTCTAGGCTGAAAGTTTTGAGGCAAGACGACTCGTAGCAGCTCAGGAGAAAATGTCTCCTCAGTAAGAACGAACCTAGAACACAACATGCTCAACCCCTAAACTGCAGCTAACCCATCATCACAAGAGAACCCACACCGTCAGACAGAGACGAGGGCATCGTTATCCTTCGACGAAGCAGCAGACGGGCCCGTCGCCATGTCACCGACCACCAGGCTATCATGGCTAGCGAGGCAGAGCAGCCCCCCTTAACCCTTCCAACCAGCGGCCACACCCAGGATCCCCGGAACAGAGGCGACAGCCAGGAGCAGCAGCTCAACCCCCCCGACCAAGAACCGGACCACCCCCCCGACCAAGAACCGGACCATCCCCCCGATCAGCCCCCCTCCCTATCCAACACGCCCTCAAGCCAGGCCCCAAGCACACCCACCTCCGAGATCGCCACCCCGCCCCCAGAAGACCAGGACACCAACACCAACAGCCAGCCTCGCAACGGATCCACCAGCCCGCCCCAACAAGCACTGCCAACGACGGAAAGCAGCCCCCAAAGCCAGACCCTAGCCGACTACCTGGCCCGCCAGCCCACAGACCGGGGCTACGCCGTCGCCACGTGGCGGAACCAGTCGCCTGGCACCGATCCCTTCTGCGTGGTTCCCGGACGGACGAGGTGATGATGGCGATGGTGATGATAGATGAAGCGGCGGGGAAGTTGAGTTTGGGGGGGTAATGCGGAAGACGAGGAATAGAGAGTGCATAACTTACCTACTTATACCTGATAGGTAGGGCTGAAGGGTGGGCGTGGGGGGGTGGGCGTGGGGGTTCCTTGATAACTAACCCCTATCCACACCCACTTAGCTTCAACTACAGTACCTAACTACATAATGTATCCGTGATAAGCTTGGGGGATATCATTTACTACACTGTACATTACATCTGATGTAAAGTTAGGTAATATTACGATATAGATTTCATTCCCTTCACTTTGTCACCATCAAGAACGTAAATATAACAGTTATACAAATTATAATTATTTGAGTCTCTTTACTCCATAGCATAGCCTAGTCTAGTCTAATCTTAGACAGGTAGGTAGGTAGGTAGGTGCTAGCTAAGCAATGTGTTGTACAGTCTTCTACTTGTACAATCATCGACATATCCCCTCCATTCCATTCCATTTCATTTCATGTCTTTTCTTCTTTTTCTTTTTCGTTTCTTTCATATATTCTCATGTTTCCATTTCCTAAACATCAGCGTGTTCTTCCTCATGCAGAGAATCCGCATGGATGCCCTCGGGCAGCTTGCTGCCGTCCCAGTGCGCGGACTTGATGGGGTTGACGCCGAGGAGGTACATGGTGTCGATCTCCTCGAGGCTGCGGTCCTTGGTCTCGATCATGAAGAAGTAGACGATGATGATGAGGGCACCGCAGCAGCCGGCGAAGATGAAGCCGTAGAAGTAGTCGATCGCGTCGGTGATGAAGCGGGTGAAGAAGGAGATCATACTAAAACAAACATATATTAGCATATATTCAGTAAGGTTAAATACCATGGGGCGTTGTAAACTCACAAGTTCCAGAACCAGTTAGAGGCAGTGGCCAAAGCCATGCACGGGGCACGATAACGCGAAGGGTACAGTTCAGCGACGACAGCCCAAACGAGAGGTCCCCAGGTGGTAGCGAATGCAGCAATAGCAAGGCAAGAGAACACAATGAGGACTGAGCCTGCGGCGGGGGTGTTTAAGGGGTTGGTTGAATCCAAAGCGTAGTGACCGACGAAAGCGTAGATGCTAGGGTTATCAATTAGCTCAGGATACTTCAAAAGGGAATTATAGGCAAAGCGGCTTACAAGAAGCACATCATCATCCAAGCGGCACCAGCCATAAGTGCCTTTCTGCGGCCAACGTTTTGCACAATCCACATAGCGGCAATGGTGGTGACAACGTTGACGGTACCGAGAATGATTTGAGTGACGTAGCTGTCACTCAAACCAGTGGACTTGAAAACGGTTGTTCCGTAGTAGAACTAAAGACAAGTTAGTATTAAGATGGTTTCAAAAGGTGTGTTAGGGGGGAAACGTACGAAGAAATTGGCACCCGTGAGCTGCTGTCCGGCTTGAAGCACTATTCCGAGGAGGGTTCTGTGCAACATCTTGGGTCCAGTGAAGATTTCGTACCAGTTAGCCTTGCCACTAGCATTGTCCTGGTCTAACTTGACGCGAATCTCCGTGATTTGGTCGTGGACGCTGCGGTGCTGAGGGTCAACACCTGCTAATCTAGCAATCGTGTTTCGGGCCTCATCGACCTTGCCGTTTCGGTAGGCGTGTCGGGGACTCTCGGGGAGGACGAGAATTCCGAGTCCAAGGAACAGAGACCAAAGGAAGCCGAGACCGTTGGGGATACGCCACGAAGCGCTGCTGGACATGTCCTTGGTACCCCAATCGACCATGTAACTGGTCCAGATACCGAAGGTAATGAAAAGCTGGTATGTCGAGACTAGAACGCTACGGATGATGGCGGGACTGCTCTCGGACTGGTACATGGGGACCAAGACGGACAGGGCACCGATGGAGGCGCCGGTAACCAAGCGACCGATGGCGAACTGTACCCAGGAGGTTTGCGACGAGATCTCGATGACATTTCCAACGCAAGCCCACAGTGCGGTGAGCGAGATAGCTAGTCGTCTTCCGATTCTATCGGCAAGTTGTCCAGCAATCAGGGCACCGAGTAGACATCCGATAGGCAGAAGACCGACGATGGTTCCTTGTCTCGCCGCGCTGAATTCGTATACACCTTCTGAATTTAACTCGCCGAATCGTGAAGCATAATCTAACATGTTGAAGAAACCAGATATTTGACCACTGTGGAGAGAGTCATTGATTAGTATCAGACAAGTAAGAAAAGGGGTCTATATTCCATCAACATACCTGACATAACCAAACATGAAACCACCTATACTGGCGACTGCTCCTAGGAAACAAGCTATGAATGTGACCTTTTGCTTGCTAGCCGGCGAGGCATTCGCAGCGTTGCCATCCTGCTTCACAGCAGGGTTCGCCGCGTTCGAAGTCGAGGCGACATTTGGTGAAGACGTTTTCTCCACCTGATCGGTGTGTTGTTTAAGGAAAGGCATGATGCCTAGTAACTATCGATTATACCAAACAAACAAAGGATAGAACTGATAGTTGTTGAATATTGCGTGTTGAAGTTGGGGTAGTTGTATGAAAGACTTAACTTTCTCAAAGCTGGAGAGATGAGAGATACTTGCTCTATTAAATGATGTCTCCTTTTTTTCTCTTCCCCTTCTCCCAAGCGGCCCACGGCCCTGTTTTAAACCTTGAGGCGAATCTAACAAAACTCATTTTTTTCTCGTTCTCGTTCTTGTTTACCTTACTACCTGGTACCTAAGGATGTACTAGGTTGTCTGGGTTGTCTAGGTTGTTACCTGCTAAAAGGTTACTATTACCTACGCCTCTCCCTACCATCGAGCTTCCTAGTAGTGCGTCATCACCCCATCAGACTCGTGACGGCGTGTCGCGCGAGGGCGGTTGTGTTAAAATTTCTGTATTCAACGCCGATCGGCGGGCCCGATGGAACCATAGATCGCCTTGAGTAGCCATAGGGATGCCCACATATATATGGGGCCATCATGAGCACCTCACGCAGTAATTCTCGGTAGCCCTGATAGCTATTCGCTCCGTTGCGGTTAGTCCCGACAAGAGCCGCCCATCCGGCAGACCCGGCCTTATCTTACCCTTAGCTATTTGCTTAGTTAGTAGTTGCTGGTAGTTTCATTATTAGTGTAGCTATTTTTTTCTAGAAAACTGGCGCCGGACCCCGAAAAGGCTTGACACATTCCAGGAACAAGGGACTTTTTTTTTTTTAACAAGCGGCACGACACTTCGATTTCGTAACAATCTCGATAACTATTCCCAAAAAAGAAATGGAAAAAATAGTGATCGTAACCTACGTAACCTGTAACGAAAAACCAACAAGAGTTTCTCAATTATCTTTTCTCTGCCAACTCTAACATCAACTCTAACAACTCGAACAACTCTATCATCATCTAACTTTGATCCATACGAGGCCATAACATGCGTCATTGGCCAAGAAGAGATCAATGTAACGTCTTAGGGTGGCCGAGCAAAGTACCGAGTTCGGTCCTGTTGTGGAGTCAAAGCGGCTCTGCACTAGGTCTCGAGGTTTGAAGAGGCTTTCTCGTCTGTATCTCTTGGCTCTTTTTTTATGGCTTTTTGGCTTTTTGGCTTTTTGGCTCCGAGAGCGAAATGAGTGACAGAGCATGAAGAAAATAATATTGGCAACTAAAATTCGAATTAAAATTAGGAAAAAAAAACCCCCCCAAAGAAACCATTGGCATACTGGTAACATGACATGTCAAAATACCTAGGCAAGTTGACTAAAGTGAGGAAAACTGGACCATGGTGTTCCTCTACATAGCATTTCGATGCGGTGTACCTTGAAACCCCTTTACCCTCAGCATTGATGGTACTGACCGTCCTACTACTACACTGCAGTACTGCCACCCGATATATGAGTCGGTCGCATCATATATGTACAGTATGTAACTACTACCATACCAACCGTAACCAACGAGGCATTTGTCAAAAATATAGAGTTCCCGTCCGGATCGCACTAGACAGTTCTTCGGTGTCGATAGCTTGAGTCCATCAACATCAAGACAGTAAATTAGGAAAATTAGGAAAAAAAAAAAATGAAATAGCCAAAGTCTGTTGATGTTCCCGGACGATGGCTTCCGCAACGAACTTCGGGTAGTCTAAGCAAAGTCGCCTTCCTCAAAGGGTCTCGAAACAGATGGAACGAAGACTAAGCAGGACTAGGTCAGAGAACCGGACGTAAAAGGGGTCTTCGATGATAACTTCATCTCTCACGTGCGCATTAACAATCTTTCTCTGGTTACATTTTGCTGCGTCTGTTACATACATACTCCGTAGGTACATACAATGCATTTTCTCCAGACTCCAGTATATCAGATCAGACTGCCATGCAATTCTGTCTGGACAAGCCTCCCCCCTCCCCCCCGAATCTACCCATCGCGAACCCACTTTCATCAATGTGGCAAGATTATCACCGTCACCCTTATCCACCCACTAACCGCCTCCTGTATCTTTTTTTTCCCTTCTACTCTTTAATACTAATTCAATCCTTCCAATCTTTAATGGGGTCTCCATCGAATACTACCCATTGTATCTTACCTATGCTTGACGTGTTGTGCATCTACCTACCTCATCGCTGCAAGTCAAAATTCGGTTTTGGGAATGCGGGCGATGTCGCGAAACCCTTTTTTTTTTTTTTTTTTTTTTTGGAAAGGGAATCTCCGGAGTCTTCTCCAGGTTCCTTCACTGAGCAATCTCCTGGCGAGATCTACTGTAACTATCGGCCCGTGGGTGATGACATGTTTCTGTCCTACCCATAAACTACATACCTATGTACATACATTACCGAATGCATTAGAAAAGTAAATGAAGATGATAGCATATTAGCAAGAAAAAAAAATAGTTTCATTCATTCCCCACTGTCCCAGAAATCTCCTTCAATTCCCGCAGAAACCGCATTGTACCTAGAGTTGTTAATGCAATCCCATCCATCATCCATCCACCTCGTGCTTTTTTTCTTTTCCCACATCATCCATATAACCATCCCCACGATGTTTCATGCTCCATACCCCCACCCCCCCCCCCCCCATCCCATTCTAAGCCAACATCCCGCACGAAGGAAGACCGCACTTTCTTCTTCTTCTCTCTCGCTTACTTACATACCATTTGCTCATTTTCCCATGGCCCCCTACCCCCTACCCCCAATCCCCCCCGTTTCGCGCCGCTGCCCTTTTCTCGGTCGTACTTTTTTTTTTTTTTCCTGGAGCCCCCGCCCCTTTCATGGTTGGAGACCCCGTTGAGGGTCCTGCGCCTTTTTTGCCTTCTCCGGCCTCAGTGTTTGTTGTGTTGTGTTGTGGAGGAAGGGCCGTTAGGTAGGTACCTAGGTTCGTACGTACGTATATATGGATGGATGGATGGGCTTAGGTTAGGTTAGTTGGGACGTAATAGCACCGTGCGCTACTATTCTGTTCTGCTACTAGTAGCGACTTCCCAGTGTCCTGTAGTTATAGTAGTTGTTACATACCTACCTAGGTATTGTACAGTATCCGAGGCATGTAACCGCGCCATCCTGGCGCGTCCTCGAACATCGTGATGAGATGAGATGAGATGAGATGCTACTCCCAGCCCACTCGCGTAAGAGAACGAGGCGGGTGACGGGCCTTTTTTTTTTCTTTCTTTCTCTCTCAATGCGTCCGTGGCTGAATCGCTCGTGAGGCAATACGTACACACTGTACTGTACGGTGAGGATCGATAGTGAGGCTAGAGTCTAGCTATCTGTCTGTGTATCTAATGTATTATTCCATGTGTGTTGTTGAGCTGTTCTCCACCATCCTCCCCATCTCATCAATAATATAATGCGGGCGCCGTTACATAGGTATGTACTACTACTACTACCTACCCCCATCCCCATCCCATGGTTCAAATATTCGCTAGCTCCGGTCACGAGGTCCCATACCTACCTAAGCAATCTGATCTCTCTGGCGGTACGGTGGGGAGAAGGGGGGAAGGGGGGAAGGGGGGGGGGGGCTACTTTTATTCTGGAACGTCGTAGGTAACTAGGTGAACAAATATCGGGAGAAGTCGCGGCTTGTGGCTGCTAAAGATTTCCCCCGTCTTTTCGGTGGTTTTAGTTTTCGTTGCTCCGGGTGATGCTGTCAGATGTGTCTGCGCTACATACATACCTATGTAGATGTTCTCTGCATGGTCGCTTCCTCGATGGCAGGTATGTACGTCGTCATCTGCGTCATTTTGGGTCCTTCTTTTTCCTTTTTCTATTCTCAGGAGGCCCGACTACTGGGCATACACTGCATACACTGCAAGCTCTTGGAGGTTCGAGCGTTGTCAACACTAGACGTTCCGTAGCAGAGCTGAGCTGCGCTGGCATAGACTACTGTGTTAGGCAAGAGACCGAGAGTCTGTTATTCTATCGATCTCCCCAAACTAGGATATGGCTGTAGAGATCACCGCAAGACGAGACGTCCAACTGCTACTCAGGGGTGTGATGACTACTAGTACCCAGCTAACGATGCAGGCTAGTGATAAGGAAAGAGAGATTGTCAGATATGGTGACTGACTGACTAGCTCTTGCCAATAACCGTGAACACGAGCGTTGATAGCCTAGACAGCGGTATGTCAGCATATGAACTACTAGGTAATGGTGAAAGCCTTTTGATAAGTGGAAGGTAGGCAGTGAAAGCACGACCCCTTAAGAACAACACCACAGCTTATGTAGTCCATATAAGATTATCAGGTTTGGTATATCATGGCTAGGTGTCAATGAAAGCGTTGACCTTTACAGCGCACCAGTGAAAAGGGGTTGAGCCTGCGACGGCGCAACGCCCGCGCAGATTACCCCTATTCGACCGTCCACCCACCTAAAACTTAGTAGGCATGGAGAAAAGTACGATACCTACTCAAACGTGAATGTCTTTGGGCCAGAAATTGATTGAACTCTCAGTATACCGACCTGGTAGGTATTCTCAAATCTACAATACACTCAACTCCAGCATTTTCCTGGAGTTTATATGACGATGTCGTGATCGTGGGTTTCAAATGTCGAAGAATGCCATGTACTAGCGACAGCAACATGCATAGCGCTGTATTCCTACCTACTAGGTACCTGCCTAGGTAGCCACTAACTATTCGGGGGCCTGCTGTAACCTACCTAGTGTCCACATACCTACTAGGTACTAGGTAGTAAGAGGTTATTCACGGGTACACATGTCACATCCCAAATGAATTTATTAAATTATAACTATCCAGTAGTCCAACTTTTACCTGCCAAGTACCCAACCGCTCCCTACAACGGCAAAAATGGCTTGTTAATGGTGAGGTATTGTACAATGCAGGCAGGTAACCCGGTGGCAGCGTTACAGCCCTAGCGCCCTAGTCAGGTCTGAGTTGGCAGACTGGCATCTGGAACGGCCCTGTCAGTCAGCCATTAATCGTAAGATCTAACTACCTAGGCCGAGAAAGGTCCAGGGAATGATTGAATGCGGCAAAAGTCTAGGCTATTCTTTCTGAATCTGGTCGGCTTTTTTGAAGTATGGTAGGTAGTAAGTACATAGGTAGGTATGTAGGTATGTACCTGCATATACGTACCGGATCATCTTGGTTTTGGGAATACATGCGTGCATGCACTTAGGTCGGTAGGTAAGGTAGCTGTCGCTAAGTGTGAATAGAATTGCGCCAAACCCCGGGCTGTAAGTGCATCCATCTACAAAGCCATTCTCTCGCATAGACATTCCCTGTTCATCGCTGGCTCTTGAAATGCTACCCAGAAGTAGACATCAATAAGTGTTGTCAGGTAGGGCGACATTTTCCCCGCGATCATCTATCTCGCTTGTTTCTTGCCTCTCGCCTCTCTCTGGGACTCTGGGGTGCGTGTCATGGCATTTAGAGACATACGTATGAGTCTTGGCCAATTAGCACCCAACTTAACAATCTGGTAGGTTAGTCTAATAGGTAGTCATTACTAAGGCAATTCAATTGCCACGAAGCTGTCTGGATATCCGAACTGACTCAAACAAGACTGGACGACCAACTGACAGGCCAAGGAAAGGGTTGCGCCGATGCGCCGTTCCTAGCGTACAATACATAACCAACATAAGACCCCATGACTCCGGCACCCTCCGGGCCAGCCACCCGACCGACACGCGGATATAAAGACGAACGAGTGCTCGGCGGGCCGTGATAGGCTATTGGTTACGAGTTCCTGGTATACCAATCAACCACCGTAAAAAAGAAAATTTAAGTAGTGGAAAGGCTCGGCATCGGGGACGTCTCCGAATTGTCAACTTCGCTCGTACTATTATTCGCAAGCTGCCGGACTATTGCGAACATCACGTATTGATTCTCGGGCCGTGATAAAATAGCTTGTTAGGCATTAGGCATCTGTAAGATGGTATGATGGTCGTATATACATACATACTTTTTGCTCATCACCTGGCAATGTGAATTCTCAAGCCTGACTAAGTGCCAAGCAGGGAGAGATGGCCCTTTGAGTGAGAAGCTTCAGGAAGGCTCGGTAGCACGATGTAAGGTCGATGCGAAGAAGATGTCGGCTTCTCAGTACCTAGGTAGTTACCGGGGTGAATAACAGCCCCATACCAAGACGCTTCCAAGAGTGCATCGTTGATGGCGTCTAAACCTAAGGAACGTGTAGTAACTGAAACGCGTAGTCTGGCCGTTACCTAGTCTAGGCACAATTGATGCAATGATCATTTGCGACGTTAGAAATACCTTATGTAAGTTAGCATGTCAATTATTCCATGCCCGCCCATTCTTCAGATGCATATGTAATCGCTGGGCGTTAAATGTTGCTTGCAAGTTCGCCAGTTACAACGATTGTGACACTGAATACCAACATCGCCTGCCATGGGTTTGCTCAGGTGGTGAAGAATGCTGTCAATGCTATTCGCCTAAGAGAGAGTCAATAGCCATATCGCAACCGTTTCCCTTCCCGCCTCCAATATAACAAGGTGAAAAAACGTATATGCCAAAATGCAATGATATTCATAACCTGATTTTGTACGTTACCCGTCCGACCGCTCATAGACTCATCAAATCGCTAAACCATAGCAAAAAGGGGTATAAAACATTCCAAACTCCATCCATGTGTCTATAACCAGGCCAACTCCGGCCGGAGTGTATAATTCTGCCGGCTATGCCATCTTTTCCGATTCGTCGTCGATTCATATTTAGTCTAACCAGGCCCAGTTCCCGGATACCCTCCCGCTACCTTCCGGCGCCAAGCGCGTGAACACGGCGATGCTCAAATCCAAATCCGCCGCTTCGCATCCGACGCAGCGATCCACAACCGTGACATCTACACTGTGGTTTCCCGTGCCATTCTCGACGAAATCTCTTGAAACTCTTATTTTCCTGCCGCAGAGCGGATTGGCATTCGGATTGGAGCCCTGGCTGGCAGCATCAAAGATAATGTGTGATACGGAGACAATGTCCTCGCTGCTGGTAGACTCTATACCACAAGCGCCCAAGGCAGGATCGTAGTAAGTCAATTCGCCCCTGAAAGTTTCCGTATTGCTCGGAAGCGGCAGATTTGACGTGGAGGACGAGCGGCGTGTTAGGCCCACGCCGAGGCCTACTGCTAGCGGGACGACTACGAAGAGAAAGATCGCCGCCGGTAGAATGATACATAGGAATAAAAACCGGCGGGAGCGGCCGAAATACTTTCTATGTGGAGGGAAGGCGGTGTCAAAACGCGCGTGCAGTGCAGTGGCCAGCGTACCCTTTGCTGCTGCGCCGTTCTCGGTGGGTGGGTTATGTAACGGGAGAGTGGATGCTCGACCAGAAAGCGATTTTCTTCCCAGAGTACGCTCCGCCGCTAGAGAGAGTCGAGCGGATATAGGTCGATTCTCATCCTCCTCATCAGGCTTCAAAGGGATGAGTCTACCTAACAGCGACTGACGAGGCTGTTTGGGGGGGTGAGTTATGGTCTCCCATTCGGGGAGTTGATAGACTGGTGCAGGAACAGCAGGTTCTGTATGAGGTTCTGGACCAACTGGACCAACCGAGGAAGCATTTTCGGTATTCTCTGCCATCGTTTCACTAGCATGGACGATTCTAAAGCGACTCAATTGGAAATCCTCGAGTGTCACGAGTCTACTTAGTTGAAAGACTGAAGGGTGAAAAACTAAGGGAGCAAGACGAAAGAAACGAAGGGCAGCATCTTCTCCTTTCGGCGAAGAAGATGCATCGAAGGGAGAGAAAAACAAAGATAGTAGTAGGTTACCCAGATAAATTTAGTCACAAAAAACAACTAGGCGAAAATCGGGAAAAGATACGAAGATATTCGAAATTGGGATGAGTGTAAGAGTGACAAGAGTGACAAGAAGTGACAGGAAAAATGAAGGAGACGAGAAAAAGGTTGGGGTTGGAGTAACGTCAGTTGGAGAAGATAGTGGGGTTCGATGCTTCCAAGTTCCAAGGTTTGTCATTAGTACAATACATTAGTAGCTCCCTTTGCTGTGAAAGGGATTCATAAGGGATTCATACATAGTACATACATGCACTCTACCCTACATATGTAGGCAGTAGGTACCTAAGGTAGGGAATTCATAGGTGTAGATGGAATGCGGGGAACACATCAATTCTACCCGAGACCCCTGTTACTTTAAGCTTTCCGGGCTAGCCAGGTACGAGACAAAGATGCCTACAATGGCCCTACATACCTAGGTACATATGCACCTAGGGTAGGTATTAAATTGAGTGATGTTTTCGGTTAAATTCTTGGATAGATGAATGATTATTCGTCTTTCCGATAATGATCTACGTAGCTATCTAACATTGAAGTGAAAAGAAAAAGAAAAAGAAAAAGAAAAGAGTTAAAATCTTAAACAAAACAACTTTTTCAATAATGAGTCTGGGTATATCGTGACGTGCCATGCTAAAGATACAATGAAAGAAACCAAATCGATATACGCCAGAATTCCAACAGCCAGCCGCTATGATACATTAATGTATGTCGAGGAGGAGGGGAAAAAATGAACGAGATCACTAGAATGGCCGCGTCGAAAAGTGTCTAGGTCCTACCTCTGGCCTCGCACCCACTTCTTGGGCTAAGTCGGGGCTCCAGACTGGATTTCGCGGTTGAGGCGCACTAGAGTTACGCGACGAAATTGGCCTCATATTCCAAGTCGAGCTCTGGCTTTGAGCTTGCGGCAGAGGTGGTAGCGACTGCAACGATGATATCGACGGCATCGAAGGTAGATACGGAAGCGACGGTGGCGATGAGATTGCATGTTCAGTAGCCGACAACGACTGGCTGTTCAGTGTCGTTGTGGTAGAGGAATAATTATGTTCGCCAAGTAATGGCGTACCAAAGTGATCACCGCTCATCTGGGTATCGTCTTTCCAAGGGGGCTGGTGCCCAAGGCTGACCCGCTGAGGCCAACTAGTCTCACTTATTCCCACCGTTCCAGTATCGCCTATTCCGAATCTCCCCTTTTCTGGGTCGCGTGGGGGGATCAAGTTGTAGCTAGAAGGATCAAGGTATGGGATAGTCCCGTCCTGCGGAGGCATCTCCTCTTGTTCGTGTTTACGGTTTTGGTGTTGTGTACATTTCTCTGTCAGATGCCCCAGACATGTGTCAGTTAGAAGAGAAACAGAAGCAAGAAAAGGGCGAGAGAAGAAGGGAACAACTAACCGCTGATGATTTGAGCAAAGCTAAAGACAATCAATGCACTAGAGAATAGGGGAACCAGTTGACCAAAGCTTTTGGAGTCGTTTTCCTCGTTCAGGCCGTTCTCGAGTTGGATCCACTGCGATTTATCAACCCATCTGCGGAGCTCAAAGATATATATTGTTGAGGCGATGGCAACGAAAAGGCTAATTCCTACGCCAGCTAGGAGGTAGATCAAGAACATGTTCTGTACCAGATTCCTCAGCGGTGTTCCGAGCCCGCAAAATCGTCGAAATTTGTCGCCGACATGGGCCCTCCATCCAGGCCTGCTCTTACCCCGTCGGATGAACCTAATCAGTTCGGCAATGGTGGCGGCTCCGTAGAAGAGGACCGTGATGATGTACAGGTTCCAGCCTTGAATCTTGTTGTCGCCCGACATCGAGTGGGTGAGGGCATCGCTGAAACTTTTAGCACTCGACGTCACCTCTCTAAATGTATCTGCAGCCGAATGTTGGTCGCTCTGAAAACAGGCTGCGGGCAAGAAGATGGTGCTATCATCCATATTCGCTGGTGGAATACCCGTGGGGAACGTATAGCCATTGTCCACCGCATCTTGGTTGGTCATGAGTAAGCCTGTGGCGATGAAAACAAACGTTACGCAAATAACACGAAGGGCCGCAAGCCAGGGAAACTTCCAATAGTTTCGAACGATGGTTACCGACATAAGATGTGTCGCACATGTGAGCAACATCATATTCGCGACGATGTTGTAATGGTATGCGGAGATTGTGCAGCCTTTCCAATATCTGAGTGTAATTGCATACGCAGCTCCCGTGAACACTTGCTGGTCACTACAGGCAAGAACTAATGTTTCCATGACTTCCGAAAAGCTTGTTCGTTTCCCTCCTTCGACTCTTCGCCTATCAGAACTTAGTTGACGTTCACACTTGGTCTCTTGTGCTTTACTTACTCATCAGCAGAAGTCGTCTTTACCCGATAAGTTTTAAAGATCTGCCAGATCACCGTCATGAGACCAGCAAGTATGGAGAACATAGTGACCGCGACGAAGACTCCGAGGATCTGTTTCGTGTAAGCATGGGTGATACACGAAAGGGCAAGTATGAATCGCACTCCTATACCAGCAATGTCCGGATCTCCAGGGACCTCCCCCCTAGAGTAGCCTCCAATACTTGTGAAAGGAGGCAATATTTTGGTTGTGCCGTTTATAGTCTGATTGACGCCTTGAACGCCACAGTTGAGAGTGACATTATAGTGTGCCTTGCAGTCGACAATGGAGACGTACGAGCCCATTTTGGTCAGTCAAAGTATGATGATGCCGAAAGTTAATGGTGGAACAGAATTCGACGACGACGATTGTTAAGTAGGTGGCTTGATGTATTTACAATTCGATCAATTCATCTTTCATGTCGAGTGTATATTGCATTTTATCGAATAGATGCCATAAATAGTATCTACATCAACGTGTATGTCGAGCATCGCCTACTATACTGCTGGAAGTAATTCTAACATAATCAGGCTGGCGGGAATCTATCTAGAGACGTAGCACTACAGTTATATGCCGTGTGATGTTCCTTCGCGTGCTCCATGGTAACCTTGAAGAGAAAGGGGTGGCCCAACCCGCGATATGCAACATGCAAAAGCCACCCCGAGCGATCCTTCCAGTTCCAGCCCGTGGGCTTTCAGACTTATCTCCGTCTTTCTCAAACATATATTTGGTCGAAAGCTGAGAACTACTCGGTAGGTTCCAGAACTACCAGGTAAAAATCAATATACCAAAGGAAAAAAAAAACAGCTGGGGCGTTGCAAATCATATCATCAGCCGCATGGAGATGGGTGGGTGGATGGATGGATAGATGGATGATGTGTGAGACTATGCAGGGGCGCTGCCGCTACCGAACATCTTGCGTCCCAGATAAAACCACCTAACCACTAGAAAACAGCATACATAACTATTACCTGGGTACCTTGGTATCAGCTAGCCTACCGAGTAGGGTGCCTAGGTAGGTAGGAACCGGTAACGGTAGCACGTACGAAGAAGAAGAAGAAGAAAGCAAAGCAATTGATTGAAGTATTTTTGGTATTCGCAAAGTTAGGTGCACGAATAATGCGGTATGAGGCTACACTGCCTCCCGTGTGTGCTGCCGCCGCCCCCCTCCTCCGAGTTGGGTAGTAGAGAAACGAAACACTCGGATCAGACCGCCAGATGCGTGTCGCATGTATCGGTCGCGATTGACGTATGTGATAGGACGGAGTAGAGTCTGTAGACATAACTAACACACATGCTAGACATGCGGAGGTAGGCGGGTAGGCGGGTAAGTAGGTCTGTAGGTAGGTAGGTAGAGATAAGCCTTCTGTCTCCCCGCGTTACGGGCCAGATACATAGGTACCATACCATACAAACCCCATGTGGTATTGTTCGCTTGAGTAGAGGGTGGCCTAAATATGGAACAAGGCTGGGCTGTGCTGCTTCCCATCATCTACACTATATACATACATACCTACAAGATGGTGGTGGTGGTGGTGGTGGTAGTATCGCTTTTGGCGTTAAAGCCGCATATGAGGATCCCGTTCAGGCAACGTGTAGGTATGTAATTGTATGTATGTGGGTTAGGCTAGGAGTGAGGGTGAGGGTGGGTGAACTTGCATCGGAGAAAAATGTGCAAAGCCGGACTTACATAATACCCATGGATGGCCATAGCCCACCTATATATATATCCACGGGCGTGATTTACCTAAAGTAGGTGTCTAGGTAAGCAATATTGATATGTAGGTAGGTAGGTAGGTAGGTAGGTAGATAAGCAGCGTAGGATCACACACCCAATATGATATATCTCTACCTACCTACCTACCTACCTACAGCCAGTCCGGAGAATAGAAATCTGTAAGTCAGCAAGTACCTAAGGTTAGGTAGGTAGATACAGGCAGTCCCCCGGAACCAGACACCGAGCCACGTAGGTAGCATTTGTGTCACTCGCTTCCTAATAAACACCATAAATCGAATCAGAAGCGATTCGAATCTACCTACACCAGGATACCTACATGTAGTAGAGAGGTAGGTAGATACCTAGGTACAAAACCCAACAAGCCAGCCAACCGAACCAACCAATCCAACGAGCTACCCGATTATCCACCCCCCTTTGTGAAACGCGATAATTGTGTGTGAGAGAGAGAGGGAGAGGGAGAGCAGCCAGGCAGCGTTGCATTGCACATACTTATGTCTCAGATCCTCTCTCTCTCTCTCTCTCTCTCTTTCTTTCTTTCTGGAACGAAACCAACATACATAATAAGTATCGGGTGTTGGGATTGGGCTTAGCCTAGGGGATTAACGCCGGGATTTTGAGTTGGGGATTGAGGGATGGGATTGGGGATTGGGGGATTGGGGGCCGAAACGACAACGGACGTAAGATGGAGGAAATGCGGGAGTTGTGATGTGTGTTTTGGCTTTAGATGCTAGGTACGGGCTAGGAACTGGATAGATAGATAGATGCCTAGGTAAAGTCCTGGGAAAGTGGCACATGAGAGGAGAATCGATGAATTTACTTATTGTGCTTCATTTGGTGGAAATCCCTTGCTTCGCTACCTGTATACCTAATGAGGGCATCGCATCGCTGGAACTACATACTTCCTACCAACAGCGTTCCGTGATATGAGGTAGTTAGAGAACGGCACTGAAACGAAGCTACTAATACCAATGTGGTAGGTAGGTAGCTGTCTGTCCCGATTGTAGTTGACCCAAGGACAAGGCCAGAAACACGTCACTGATTGTGATGTAATATGTCACATTATCCGGTGGCACGGAACTGACTTACTAGGTAGCCATATATGGCAAGATCTCCAAGCAAGATATGCACTTCCGTAGTACTGTACCTTCACTAGCACATGTACAACAAGCACTCAGACACACGACTCGAACCCGAAACGACAGACGAATCTACGAGGACGAAGCAACACACATTCGACAAAGGTTCAAATCAAAACACTGCAACGAACAAAAGTCGTAGTAAATAGCTTGTAATAAAATCTGAGTTGGCAAGAGTGCTCTTCAGTGCACCTTAATTGCTAGTCCGCCATAATGAAATGGCGGGACAGGCAACTCCCCCCTTTCTAATGAGATATACAAAGAAGGGGAGGAGTATCCAACTACCACTCGAACTAAACGAATATATCATTACAGTACAATCAAGTACGTTAGAATAAGAAAAGGGGTGTAGCAAAAAATGAGTTAAGCCTAACAACCAGCCAGCAACGCGCCAATGCATCGTATAGATATGGCGGTGTTTTTTTTCAGCCGGTGGTCGTGTACAAAACCCCATCATTGCATATTACCCCAACCACGACAAATATTAGCTGTGAAGAGAAGTTCCCAAAGTAAAAAAGTAAAAGAAGAAAGGCATAATCAAAAAAGGAAGAAGGATAAATCAGTCTCCTTTTCACTTTTGCTCCCCGTTGCCCCACTCACAACTCCGCTGCTAGCCAAAAAAATAGATAAAAATGTATGGGCAGCACCAAAGCCAGGCCCAACCAAGACCGTCCCGTCCCCTAACCGTCTAGCAGCCCAGGCGACAACAAGCAAGTAGTGGTAGTATTGTCTACACGCGAACGCCGGAGACAAGAAGAGGGGGTTCAAGGAAATAGATCCTCACCCCCTTCTCCTCCGAAGTCTCCCATCCCACATAAAAGCAATGAGATTAACGAACAAACAAGTCCCAGTCTCCAAAGAACAGAAAACGCCATGGCCATGATGTGATTTGGCGAGCAAGGAAGCATTAGGAAAGGTAATAAAAAATAAAAAGGGCAACCAAAACCTCTCTTCAGGTCGCCGGGACGCCTTCATTCAGGTTCTCTCCTCGCGGAGTACTTCCCCGTGAAACAAATGCAGGTGAAATGACAACCCAGCCGCATCATCTTTCAGCGCGGCCGGCATAAGAGATTTCACCGGGCTTGCTGACCACCGGTAGCAAGCCATCTATGCATCGCAGTACATGCGCTCGTTTCGATCGCGCCCGTCTAATCCACATCCCAAAAAACGTTGTAGTATATTGCGATGTACGCAAAAAGTGGTGATTTTGGTACAATAGCCTAACACTGCTGTCCACCTAGTTCCTTCTACCAAACAGAGTGGTTTGGTAGGTAGAATAGGAAGTAGGAAGTAGGTAGGAAAGAAGGAGAAGCAGGCGATGAATGAATAAACGTATCCTCACGGATCCCACCCGCCTAATCGATTACTGTAATTGCATGATGATGACCAGACAATGAAGGACAATAATGCGAAGATACCTGGTAGGTATGTGACTCGGTTCCTTGAACAAGTCCAGAAATGAAGCGTAAGGACCTAGTAGGTGTGTGTGGGTTGTGAGCGTTGGAGTTTGGAGTTTGGAGTTTGGAGTAAATATTATAAAAATAGGTAAAGCGTAAAGGTTAATGGCGTAGCGAGCGACTAGAAATCATAAACCTGAATAAGGTTTCGCGAGTTTCGAGGAAACCGCCTTGGTGACAGTTTTTAATCGGAGCTATACTGCGAGACGAGATGCAGGTACGCAGGGTTTGCTTGTCGAGAAGAAACGAAAGGCCGGTCGCTAAAGAAAGAACAAACGAACTTGGCGCCGAATAGAAAAAAAGAACTAGAAGTAGAAAGCAGCGTTAAAGTTCACTTCAGGCCCCCTCTTCATCTTCTTAAAACAATCATTCTTTCCTCTTTCCTCTTTCCTCTTTCCTCTTTCCCTTAAAACTTTTTTTTCTTTTTTTCGTCGTTCCTTTGTTGGTTTTTTTTAGTCCTTCATCTTCATCTTCTTCATCTTCTTCAACTTTCTCTTCTCATGCTTCGGTTCAGATCCCTCGAGTCGGGTTCTCGTATATTCATACTCGTGAAGAATTGATTGATAAGGAAAGAATGGAAGAAAGCAAGAAAGAAAGAAAGAAACCCTCATCTAACACCTCTGGGCGAGATCATTGAGGATAGACCATGCTGAAGTCGAAGTCTTCCACGTGTGATGGTTCGTGGTAGGCCGTCATCGGGGTGACCGTGGCAGACGATGATAGAGCTGAGCTGAATTGGTTCACATGGTCATGGGGAAGTAATGTCGACATGTCTGAGCTAAAGTTAGGTGACATGGTAGCAGGGGACATGGCATTGTTGAAGTTGAAGTCGGCAGACGAAAGCGGCATGCCGTTCATATAGGCGACGTCGGTGTTGACTATCAGGTTGCTGTAGTCTACCACCTCGGCGAACACATTCCCAGCCATCTTGTGCGTCATGTTGAACTCTCCGGGATAGGAATCCATCGCTCCAGGCTCGGTATCCGCGACATGGCCCATATCTTCTTCGGCATCCTCTTCATCGTCCGATTCGAACTTGCTCACCCAGATTTCTTTCATCCAATTCTTAAGTTCAGTCATCGGAGGCCAATCACCACCTCCCTTGCCACCACGTTTGTCTTCGTCGCTGCGGTTATTGTTGTTACCCTTATTCTTTTGTCGCGAAGGCTTCTCCTTAAAGTGAGTGCGGCGAAGATGGGCAGCCGCGTTGTAATACGCGCCGTATTTCTTTTGTGCTTTGCAGGCCTTGCACTTACTCAAGGGATTGACAGCCGGTATGCCTATCGCGATGCCGTAGGCAGCTGGGTCGACGCAGATCCACTTCTTGACGGTGGTCTGGTGTTTGGCGTCGCGATGTCGGCGAAGCTCGTGCTCGCCGCGGAACCCGTCTTTGTGCTCTTCGCATTGATCGCAGTACACCTTGGGCTGTTTTGGTCTTACGTATTTAGTCTTGGTAATGGCTGTCTTACCATCCTTTTTGGCATTGGCTTGCGATTCCTTAGCGTCTTTTTCAACGCTCGGCTTCGGTTTTAAGGGCGCATTCAATGCACGTTGGCATTGCTGCTTTAGCGTATCTTTGGCCCGAGCCTTGAGTGACGAGTTAGATCTTGTGCTAGCCATGCTTGCGCTAGATATCGATCGTTCCATGTCTGAGGAAGCGAGAAGGGCGTCGGTAGGGGCGGAAGCCGCGTATTGATGGGCATACGGAGGCGCGAGACTCGACCCAACCGCGATGAGGGCATCCTCACTACAATAGGGTCGTTTCCCTAACGGCGAATTATCCCCACTGCTCCCGGTGTGTGGTGAGCCATCTGGATAGTACGCCTCGCCGCCCTGTGACATCTGCGAACCAAGGCTCATCATGCGCACGCCGCCCGACACTGATTGGTTGTCGAACAAACTATTTTGTCGAGTCATCGGTGCTGTGTCGTATGTGGGTGCTGTCGTCATTGAACCGCAGACTGACACGTTAGTGATATTGAATTGAGGCACCTCAACGTCGTGGTTCTGTGAGGGCATTGATGATCCAAAAGAAGCCATCGATGGCGGAAGGTCTTCGTGAAACGGATGTTGCGCGAAGTAAACTTCAGGGTCGAGCAGAGCACCGGTCATGGGTCCAGACTCTGAAAGGGTGGGCATTTCATGACGATGCTTGGATGATTGGGAAGACCGCATGGACTGCGATGAGGCAAGGGCGTAAGATGATACGGGCTCGTCCTTGTCTACGTAGTCTACCATGCCAGCACTCCTCATCTGCATGTTACCGTTATGTATCCGCTGGGGAGGGGATATGGGAGCATTGCCGGTGAATGGGCCAGCGGACTGGGTGGACAGGTTTGAACCAACGCGGTCCATCTTCTGTGACGACGGAGCCTGCTGAGACATGGTCCTAGCACGCTTGACAGCGTGGACATGGGCATGGGCATGATGGCTGTGCCGATTCTAATGAACGCCCGTCAGTATATGGGGCTGACTACAAGGTCATGCACGAGGGCGTGTTTAGAAATTGGTCTTACAGATGATCGTGCAGCACTGTCGTGGCGATGATGGCCATTGACAGCATTGCTGTGAGGGATGGTATTACTTCTGGACATGCCATCTTGGTGAAAAGGAGTGGCAGGTGTACCGGTAGTAGTACTTGATAGTTGGAATTCATTATGAACAGGAGTAGAAGTAGCAGCAGCAGAATCGTCAGGTATGTTGTGGCTCGGGGATTGAGCTACTTGCGATTGAAACTGATAAGAGTTTTGTAATTGCGATAATTGGGATATTTCTTGTTTCGCTCTGCGAAGATCCGCATCCTTAGTTCTCATCGCCTCCCGATGTTGGGCATCTCTGTGCTCCAACAGGGCCCGAAGTTTCTTGATCTCGAGATCCGGGTTGGGGCAATGACTCATGGTGTGCTAAAAAAAGAAAGCAGGCCAGCCGTCTTTGTGGGGGGTATAGTTCTTGTTTGTGATGCTGGGAATCAAATGATTGCCGAAAAATGTAGGCGGCAGCGTGAGGCGAAAATCAACTTGTCTCGAACGCTTCGCTATTTCTTTCCTCCTCCCCCTATCACACTAATGATGAACAGCCTCGCTGGGCAAAAGAGAGTCTCTTACGGGGAGAGCTGGACAACAACAAGCAAGGATGGTTGTGGTTTGTACGTCTCGTCGAAGAGAATTGTCAAGGCGAGAACAATACCTATTGACGGAGTGAGATCCGATCTAAGAAAAAGTTATGGGGAAATGGGAAGAACGAAACAAGACTTCAATAACCGAAGTCTAGAAAACCAAAGGATATTGCTTAATTATGTACCAGTCAGTTCAAGACGAGGCTTTGGGAACCATGCGCGGCAGCGGGTCTGTAATCCTCGCTCTCTTTCCACACAGGACGCTTTGCCCAAAGTTGCATATATTGTATGTACGTAGCAACGTACCGATACGTGGGACTGTCGTGGGTACTGTACATGGAGGTGGTACATGCACATCAATGTATGACTATTACTAGGTATGTATGTACAATACATGGAGTACTTTTACATTAAATAGGTATTCTAGTTATTTAATTTACGAGAATCCCGCGGACCTTAGATCGACTCTTGGCTTTTGCGACCTGGCCGGGTTTGGCTCCAAACCCTTGCAACGTTCAATGGGTGCCAAACAAGCTAACGTCCCAGGAACTGGTGTGATTTGACAGGCATCTGAGGACTAGAAGGACGTCAGTTGATGACTAGTTCACTGGGGATGCTTTCCGGAGGGTAGGATGGGCCGCCGTAGCCTACCAGAACCAGTTGTTTTCTTACCTCCCTCCCTCTCTCCCTACCTACCTACCTACCTAGCCTACCTACCTAGCCTACCTGGTAGTTAGTTAGTGCTAAAAGGTAATAGGTAGCTAGGTTATTAGGTAGCTGCAAGAGAAGGAAGAAAGGAAGAAGAATAGTAGTATTAACTAGTTACTAGGTAGCCAACCCACTTCTGGGGATTCGAGACTTTTTCGGCTTTCAAATGTTGCTGACAGGCCGATAAGTAAAGTACCGATGTGTGGTAGTGTAGATCTGACAAGGTAGGTAGGTAGGTAGGTAGGTAAGGTAGGGGAACAGCTAATAAACCAAACTAGCACCGTCCGAGATGGGATCATTTGTGATGTCTGATGTCTATCTACATACATAGTATTACATAACTATGTACATACATTCAAGTGTTCGGTTTTTTTTTGGCAGAATCCGACATACATACATTACATGCTATTCTACGTGTATGTATGTATGTATGTATGTATGTACCTACCTAAGCAGTGTAGTACACCACATACAACACATACACACACCTGCAAGCATGGTATGTAAGTATGTGTGTATGTACGGTCAGGTCTGGTCTGGGTGTGATGCAACACTGCAAAAATAGTTACATTGTATGCAAAGTGAGTTCAACGCCGAACCTCTGCTATGGGATCAGCTTACAGGTCAGAATTTCTTTTGCCCAGTTTACATACATACAAGATACATACATACAAGGGGGGAGGGAGGGAGGGAGTGATGAGTGACGCAGTCAGCGATCGACCTAATTTCTTGCTGCATCGTACCCAACGTTGCTGCTGTCTTTGCAGACACGTTCAAGGGCTGGCTCCTTGCTAGGTCTGGTGTCTGATGTTCGGGAAACACGTAGGTAGGTAGGTAGGTAGGGTAAGGTACACGTATAGATGTCGGTAAGATCAGGTAGGAGGGTAGGCAGGGTAGGGTATTGACTGCGCTGCGACTGTGGCTGCACTGGCACCGAGGCAGAATTTCATGATTTTTTTTTGTTTTCAAGTCTAACTACTGTACCTAGGTAGGCTAGGTATGTTACGTAGGCAGGTAGGTAGTGTGTAAATTATACGAAGCGACGATGGTGTAGTTTGCCGACGCCAAATACGACTTTACGCATTGTATGTATGTATGTATTGTACCTAGTTACATACATGTCATGTCTTCTTTTTCGTCGCTTTCTAATTTACTTGAGAATCATACCGGATTCCCAATGGGCTATAGTGCTGAAGAACTATGCCGTAAAGTAGGTTACATATAATTACCGTTGACACAGAAGACTAATAACTACCTAGTTTAGCTTGCATTTTTGTAAGTTTACCCAATTTTCCTGTAATGACGAAGTCTTTTTGCTCGGTTACCTACCTATGGATGGGGGTTATGGGGGGGGTTATGTATGCGTATGTTACCTGAGTTAAGTAATTGATTGATTGATCGATCCACTTGGATCTCTACACTAAGATGCGAGATATCAATCAACTAGGTTAGGGAGGTACCTAAGGTAGGTAGGTAGGCAGGCAAAGAAGAGAGAAAGGCAGATTAGAAGGAACCTGAAGATTAGGATTACCTATGGGAGAAATGGAATTCCCATATGATTTGCCCATAGTTATTAAAACTAGTGTCATGTGTTATGCTATCGCTCTGTTGGCATTGGCATTTAGGGGGGGGGGGGGGAGGGGGTAAAAGGGAAGTCCCCAGTCCCCCCATCCCATCCCCCCCTCCCCTGAAAAGATCTAGAAGAGAACATTGAAGGGATTAATAATGCCTAGCTACATACATGACATACCATCGTAGCTTCAATCTGTCAACCCTCTTTTTTTTTTTTTCTCAATGTTTGAATACTGGATGGACATTGGCACTCTTCCGAGTCTTTCTCGTTTCGCTGTAAAAAGCCACGCACACACGCACGCCCGCACGCAACAACTCGCTAGGCAGGCAGGCAGGCCATGCATGATGTTGTCTTTTTTTTTCCCACTATCCGCTTTCTACTAACTACTGTTCGTCGTCATCCAAAACGTGGGGTTGCATACATGCTAATACTATGGTACAGGATAACCTCGTACCTAGGTACGATACCACCTGTGCTTCCAATTGGGGCTGCTTGGTTGGTAGGCAGGCCCAGTCGGCAGTATGGTATGGAGATAAAATCTCTCTCGTCGGTGGTAAGCCAGATAGATAGAGATAGTATGTAGATGCCTACCCTACATAGCAGGTATGGACCTTTGATTTGATGTGTTTGTATGGAGGATCTACATGCGTACATGCATACATTACTTATCGGATAGGTATGCCCATTGACGGTTATGTATGTATGATATGTAGGCAGGTAGGTCATGCGTTTGTTTCGAGCGTCTATCATTTCTCTCCTGTCCCTCTCCTTGATCTCTCACTCGAGGAAATCTTTGTACATATCTTACTCGAGGCCCACTTGGAAGATAGATCATTCATCTCGTGAACCTCCTAGCGTGCATATATGTAAGATAGTTATTACACACGCGTTTGCGCAGGACGAATTGGTTTTTTGTTCAAAATAAAATGCACAATACAAAAGGCAGAAAAGGGAAAGGGAATACCTATCACTACCTGGTACTAAGGATACTACTGTAAACGTGAATACTACCTCCTGTACCTACCTACAGTAAGTCTTACCTACCTAGATGTAGATGAATATGAAGATGAAGATGAAGAGCGCCAGAGCTAGCCCCGCATCGGTCTGTCTGCAAGGGAAGAGGGAACGAAACCTCGTGCCCATCCGTCCAAAGGGAAGATGCATGGCAATGACTTTGCATTGGACGATGTTTCGTTTCCTATTAAACTAACCTACCTATGTATGTACCTACCTTACCTACCTAGCTATGTATGTATGTACAGTGTAGTTTATTACATATTTCTGGCTACCAATGTTTTGTTTGCCTTTCTTTTTTTTCTTTGGTTACTTTTGGATCTTTCCCTGGCTGAAATCGAGACACTTCATTGGGCTGAAATGAGTCAAATGTGTTGTTCAAAGAAGAAGTGAGGCGACCATGCCCCCGCGGCCCCCTTGAGTGGCTGAAGATTCTTTAAGCGGGTCTGAGCTAGATCCCTGACGGGCGACGGTGGGTCGCGCCGAGGAGGGATGGGATACATACATACTTACACATATCTATCTAGTATCTACTATCTACACTATCCATCTAGCCGTTAGTAGTATCGTTCTTTGACTGCGGCTGCGGCTGCGGCTGCTGTGTTTCTCAAGTGGGGAGGGGGGGGGGGATACATATGGAAGAGGGAGAGGGAAGAAGAAGAGGGACCCAAGACATGTCGATGAAGGATTAGAAGGAAAAGAAGCACCGAATAGTTACACACACATACCTACCTACAACAGTAACCGCCTCGTGGCTAGTAAAGGCATGCGGCCGACTCGGTGGGTATGTACTCCATAGGCAGGTATAATATGTACCTACTCATACATACATACATACCTACCTACATATGTAAATCATTGATGCCATTCGCTGCTAAGACGGTCACTTACTCACTCACTCACTCACTGTTCTTGGAGCCGACGTATTGTACATAGTCCCAAACTGCGGCTATTAAGTTTAAACACCTACCTACCTACCTACCAGACCTATTGGCCTAGATTACATACCTCAACTTACACATCTACATACATACAACGTACATACATACAGTACCTCGTGCATACGTCTTGTTCTTTCGGCTGACCGCCCCTCCATGCATGCGCAGCCATGGTTCCTAATAATGCATACCTAAACTGGGCGGCTTATACATAACTACCTATGTATCTCCATACCTACCTACCTACTGGAAGGCGCTTGCTTTTCCATCGCATCGGACAGCCGAAACGGATGTCGGTGAACCACCTACCTACCTACCTACCTACCTACCCAAACCTCCCCCGCGTGATTGCGATTTGCTGTTCTGTTTCCAACTTTTTTTCTGGAAGTTCTGCCGTCCGCAGCGGCGGCTGCTGCTGCTGGCTGCCACGTTCATGCCCATCCCATCCCATCCCATCCCATCCAAGCCACAGTCAGCAAGGAACCAAAAGCCCAAACCACACCCTCGAGGAAGGATGGAATGGTGACGTGGCTGCGTGGGTGTTTGTTTGTTTGTTTGATGGCTGGTTTTCTCCAGATGTCCTGATATGGGGGGGGAAGGGGGGGATACTTTGTGAAAACTTGTATGTACTTGGGTAGGGAAGGACATGGACATGATGTATGTAGGTCAGGTAAGGTACCTGGTCTGCAGGTAAAGAATTCAATGTCCTAATGTCCTTTTTTTTTTTCTTTTGCTCACTTTCTTTTTTTCTTTTTGCCTTTTCCGACGAACAACAAAAAGTATGGTGGGTAGATAGATCGCGATTCCAGATTCCCGATTTCAGATTTCAGATTTCATGTTGCTATTCTTAGCGACCAGAAAGTTGATATGTCATTTCGGAATTTCAGTTTGTGGGCAAATGGGTAAATTATATTATCTATCCCCTACCTACATAGTATTCATCTCATCTCAATCACAATCACAATCACAGTCAATAATAGGCTACTACTAGTCTACCACCACATACATACCTAGGTAAATACCTAGTAATTAGTTAGGTAGGTTAGGTATGTTTAACTGGGTTGCTTAGGTAGCTTGGTAAGAGTTCCCATTTGCCCATCATGAATTACGCCATTGTAGCCCAAAGCTCCCAAGTGGCTGTTAATGCTGGTCTCCCAGGAGTCAGGGTGTTATCGTCATCCGTTTGCACGGGTCGGTAAATTGACGTAGATGGATTTGTATGTATACCTGCATATATATATGTAGTATAATACCATACGAGGACATCTGGAAAGGAAGGGTGTGTAGAGGACGCGGGAGAGCAGAGTATGCTTCCGGGGTAGTGTTTGGTATGGTTTTGGTTTGTTGTTATTAGCTATTATTGCCTAAACCATCTCCAACAACGGTGTGTGACATCTCCAACGAGCACACATCAGCGTTGGCCAATGGGTACGGGGATGGGATTTGGTTAGGCGCCAGTAATGCTGACAGTGGCACAGTGGCACAGTGTCCCCTTGTTTGTGCTTATTGCTCGTTATATGTACAATACAATACATACCTGCATACCTACCTATCGGACTTAACTGTTATCCGGCAGTTCGTTCTCCTGGAGAAGCCCCCGACGACCTCGAACCGGAGGGATGTGGGCCTTGAATTCCCGGAGCAATAGCCCCGATATGAACCGAGGCGCGGGTTGGATGTATGTATGTATGGAGTCCCGTCGATAGTTGTTCTTACTAACTTCTTAGTGTTGACAAGAGGACCTGGACCTTCAGGCCAACAGGGTTATGTAGGTCCCTAGTACCCAGTAACTTCAACATCGTACCTAGCGTTAGGTATTGTACCTATCATGGATTCATGGAATCATAATCATGGCTGCATGGATATAAGGTAAGTAATTAAATGTATGGAGCTAGTGGCGTTGATGGTCCGAGAGGACTGAAATGATGGGGGAACTTGAAAGAGATCAGATGACATTGTTTAAAGCATGATGAACATTTTATTCGACGTAGATTGATAGTCTATTAAGAGAGTTTCTTCGTAATCGCATAGAAACATATGACAGGGGAGCTCCAGTCGGTTAAATATCGGAATAGACAAGATAAGGCCACCTTGGCCAAATTACCGTTGCTTTTCGTTATCGCGAACAAGAAACGTCGCAAAGCTTCATCATGTGAAATATTCCTTAACAAAGCGGCATCATGTGCCGTAACAAGGTCTTCCTCTTTTTGAACGGCCTGCTGCAGCTGAGTTACTCTCAAGCTCGACAGCCTGGCTTCAGCATCCATCATGACCTTCTCGCATATCCTCAGGTGTGTATATCTTCCTTGCACTCCTTGTCTACTCTTGCGCAAGGCCATCAACTCAACCTTTAAATAAATGTCGAGTACTGATCAATAACCTGCCACAGTTCGAGGTAGTCCTCTCCGAGTCATACATATCCGAGAACGAAGCCCAGGCCTTGGTTGAAAAGACGAATCCTTCACATCCAAACTACGAAGCCGACTTTACCGGCCAGGCTAGCCTTACCTCTAACATACAAACTACCAAGGATGGAGATGATGGCAGTAATACCGATACCGACGGCGACCATCAAATTGCCGAATCCTACGAAATCATGAACTTACCTCCTCATCGTTACCTATGCACCATCCCCATCATCGAACCACCGCCCGCCCCCAACAAGACTGCCACCGAGTTAGCTAAGGCTGAAGAGGCTCGCGAACTCGCAAGAGCTTCGGCTCATGGCTGGGATCTTATCGGCGGCCTCGACGGCGCCTGTCTCTATTACATGTCTGGATGGTGGAGTTACAGTTTTTGCTACGGCCACGATGTCGTGCAGTTCCACGCTCTTCCTGCAAGTGTGAAGAGTGGCCCCCCCGTGAGAGATCCCAACACTGCAGAGTATGTCCTGGGACGGATACCCGATCCACAAGCCGCCCCGCGCTCCACGCGTCGTGGCCAGTCCAACCGATCCAATGACAAGCAGCAGCCCGCCAATCCTACGCCACCCAATACGGAGCTGCAGGTGAAGGGTGATCAACGATATTTGGTCCAGAAGATGGGGGATGGTACTGTATGCGATTTGACTGGCCGGGAACGGACGATCGAGATACAATATCACTGCAGTCCGGGTAGTACGCAGGACCGTATTGGATGGATCAAAGAGGTCACCACGTGCGCGTATCTCATGGTGGTAAATACCCCCCGGTTATGTGTCGATGTCGCTTTCCAGCCGCCCAAAGAGGAAAGGGCAAATATCATTAGCTGTCGCGCAATCGTATCGGAAGCGGAAGAAGCGAGTTGGCACGCCCAAAAGACTCTAGAGGCGCAAAGTGCCATGGTTGGTCAAGCCATGGGTGAGGTGAAGGCTCCTATCACGATCGGTGGAGTCGTGGTGGGTGGCAGGCAATTACTCGGCAAAGGGGAAGACGGAAAAGAAGCGCACAAGCTAGCCCCCCCACGGAACTTCCGCGCCTCGAACATAGCCCCGCTTATTGAGGTGGTAGCTCAGGGGAGCAGCAAGAATGAAGGCAGCAAGGTTAACGAGCTGACGGATGAGGAGCTGGCTAAACTAGGTCTCAGTCCCGAGGTTATCGAGGAATTAAAGAAAAAGGTACAGGAGCTAGCCGGAGACAGGGGCTGGAAGCTCGAGGTCGTCGAGGTTCCGGATGAGCCCCGAGAGATTCGCGGGGTGGTTGATACGGACGAGGACGAGGAGGGGCAGGCTAACGATAAAGACAATGACGAGGGGACAGGGAGCGAGGAACAGTTCTTCAAAGAGGAGCTTTGAGGTAGTTACGAGGTACTGGCAGGCTAGCATCACGGCGTTTTGTTTGTTCCTACATTACCTAGTAGGCAGGATTGATTATACATCTTCGTATTCATGTTCATGTTCTTGTTCCTGTTCATGTTACGCATTGCAGAATCCCATCACCCACCCTCACTCAGAGGACCTTGAGATTTGATGTCGCCTCGACTCAGTAGAGCAGGCACATGCTATGGAATGGAATATTACATACATACCTACATCTACCTACCTAGGTATGTAACGTTAACGTTAACATTAACGCTGATGTTTAGTTTTATTTCATCTTCTTCAACGCCCGGAGCAAGCAATCAAGCAAGCAGACAACTACCTAAGCAATCAGATAATCAGGCAGACATCTAGGCAGGCAGGCAGGCAGGCAGGCGACGTGCGTTGACTGACACCCACGTAGATAATGCCCGTGGCCGGCTTCACTACTATGTACCCTATCCTCTCCTGATCTGTTCTGTCTCCTCCCGTCCCGATGCTCTGACACCTGTATATGTACAGCGGGTTGGCGCATGAGGCATCGGGTAGATAATGTCAGGATCTTGGTCGTACATTGCATCCACCAGCTAGCCAGGGGGGGTATGTATATGTCTAGGTTGTGTAGATGGAAGCAGGAGGTACGGATGTAGGAGATGAATACATACATATGCCTACCTATTTACTGCCTAAGTAGCTAGCCTAGGCAGGTGTAGATACTATATTGCAGGTAGTATGAGGTAGGTGAGACAGGACAAGACAAGACAAGATACGGTGGGCAGGGTAGGTGGGATCTGTTTGTTTGACTCGTGGTCTCGGATGTTTGCGATGAGTGTCTGAGGAGTTGGGAGTGCATCGTAGGTAGGTAGGTAGGCAGGTAGGCATCCCACATGTGGACATCATCATCATCATCATCGTCATTGTCAACTCACTGCTTCTTACGTGTACTGTAATGTAGGTGGGCAGGCAATGCTCAGGCTGCTTACTGGGTTATCTCGAGGTACCTATGTGGTCTTGACAAATGGAGGTGTTAGGTACCTACATAGGAAGAGACGAGGTTGCCACTTCTGGTGATGCAGCACACAGAGAGAGAGACATCAGAGTGGGATCGTGCATCTCGTAAACAAAAACTCCTCCTCCTCCTCCTCTTCGATACCCACCTACCTAGACAGTAAAGATTTCACATCACATTCACCCCCGTTTTCGAGGTTCGGGAGGCTGAAGGAGGGACATAGGTACGTTGAAGTTGATAATCATAAGATGCCTATGTATGTATGTGCCAATGCTGTCACCGGCGCGTACCCGACCAATAGACGGGGGGTTTTTTTTTTGGTCGTTGGGTGTGGAGGAGGAGGAGGAGGAGGAAAGCACAAAAGACATACATACATATATGTATGTATGTATGCCTCGATTCGTGTGTTTGCTATAGGGTAGAGCAGACTCCGGGCCAACGACACGTCAGTGTGCGTTATTGGTATGTACGGGGGGTTTTTTTTTTATTTCTTTGGAACGTTGGAATATATGTATTCATATTCGATGTGAATGAAGGCGTTTAGGTACATAGGGTACTATGTAGGCAGTAGTATCAATTGATACTGGGATATGTATGCGTTGTACTGTATATACCTAGGCAATTTCAACACGATACGCAGTTCTGTTGATGGTTGCATACCTGCCTACCTCGGCACGCATGCCGTCAAACGTATAATCTCTAGAGTTGGCACAGCAAAGACACGATTGGTAGCTTGCCACGTCTTTGGCAGGCACCTACCTAGGTATGCATGGTAGGTAGACCTTTCGACGGCTAGGCACTTGCATGTGCCTTTACCTACCTGAAGAGGGCGGCTGTTGTGTATATTCGGATGTTAGAGATTGGTCCTACATACATGTAGGTTATCTGGGCCATAGTTGCGTTTTGAGTTGCATCTATCCACGTATATAGAGGCACATGCATTGGTAGACCCAGGTGTCTGGATCCTTACATGTATGTACATAAGAGAAAATTGGCTTTAGACGCCAGTTCCGCGATAGCTACCCACAGCTACTATCTACCATCAATGTTGTTAGGTAATACAATATACGGGGTAGGATCCTGTGCTGTACTTGTACCGGGCTATGCATTGTAGGCACTGGAGGGGGCTACCAATGCTACGTCCCTCGCCTACGTATTATGTTTTGAACGTATCCGTGGATGGGTGCGAGAATGCCCGTGTGAATGTGTCCACCCGGGATTTCGCGATAGCTTCTTTAGGTGTGATGGAAGAGTACCTCTACATTAGCTACTCTACATAACTAAGTATTTGGTCAAGTTGGAATCTTTCGTCTCTCATAGTAACTATGATGCATGATGTAACGATGGGACCTTTTTTTTTCGAGCAGGGTTCAAGTTTTTAAACTTGGTACACTGCATGCCAGGTATGTACAATACCAAAAAAGCATCGGGTTGGTTCAAAGTTGTTATTTGTACACTAGTTATATCGGCTGGCTGGCTGCTCTCATTGGCGGATCTGAAGTCCAATAGTTTTGACTTTGTAGGGTTGGCGAATCTAGAACGAAGAACTAATTATTACAGGTATGTACCCTACCCTAAGTAGGTAGGTAGTAGGTATGTATGCACCGATATTCCTAAACTCAGAACATTGAATAGCTACCTAGGTTAATGAATAAGCGACCTCTCAACCGGCCATCCCAACCTTGAACCCGCGGCCCGGCTAGTCCCCGTTCCTTCGGATGTTTCATACCATCAATCTAGTGCAACGCTAAAGGAATACAGCCCGTCAAAAAGTTTAAACACTAATAATAACTAAAGTGCTTGCATAGAAACAATTTGTGCCTTACTTGGGCAGGTCCGTAAAACATTGAATGCTTGGTGTGCTCAATTCTTGAAATTATGTCTTTTACATATATGTACCTACCAGTGCTATGATAGTATTACAATAACAATAACAACAAGCCAAAGCTTTGTGATGCTCGGACATTCCAGAACCTTTACCTTGCTCTAATCAAAGTATGTAGGGGTTCTAAGTAGAGTGCTCGGTGGAGCAGTGGTATTGCAAAACTTGAATTTAGAAAGAGACTCTTTAGAAAATAGCCATGTTGCTTTTGCTTTTCATTGCTTCATTGCTTCATGACCTCATTCTCATACGCGTACATGCCTAATGTACATTGCAGCACGTCCATTTTCAGACAAATGAGTAGTACATACTACATTAGGCATGTACATAGGTAATATACAAACCGTGATACTGTAGGTAACCCAATGGCGTCAGGTATCACATCATGGATGGGGTTAATGGAAAAGAAATGGCATTGCAACTTGTCGGAAACTGATCACTTTAACATAGGCCCTGTAACGAACCCTAGCTTCCACCAATCACGCTGTTTCCCAGTACCATGGAAGCCCAGTCCAGCTCCAGATGTCGTTCCGGCTCACGCGGAGTGCAACCATAACGGGCTAGTTGAGGGACCTTGCCAGGGGGTTTAGCTACTAGTAGCCGAGCTAGGGTCTGCCAGGTACGAGGTCTTTCTACATAGTACTAAAGGTGTAAGAGATTCAACGTTGGGCTGATTGGTACTAGTTTAGGTGCTGTACACTTGAAACCCTGAAGGATCTCTATCAGACTCTATGATTCGATGGGCTTAGCTATGTCGCTATGCATGTACGATAGAGAAGAATGTTCAATGTTCTCTAGGTTTCTAGCCTATTGCCTTACATCTACCCAAGACCTACGGACAGGCCTTCCAAGTTCCTGTCCGTGCTATTATCCCCATGTAAATATAAGGCCAAAATTAGATCACGCATTAACTACTTTTACGATAGGATATTACGAAAAACATGAAGCGTACATGCTGTACATATGTAAGCACTATACAAATTTTGGGCTGGCTCAATCTCATCACAAGCAAGGGATATAAAAGCAAAAAAGTTGAATCGAAATCAAAACCAATCGGTGGTAAAGGTTCGTGCTGACCAGGGGTTAAATACAGTATCTCTTTTGGCTCCAACTAATGAATTAATCCCTTGTTCCTGGCAGGTTTTGGCGGGCCCAGCCTCTTTAGTCGCTTTTAACTGCTAGATACATCATGTACTACACGCTGCTAATGTAGCGAAAATCCATATGTCCTGCAGGTCCCCCTTATATTAGGTACATCATAGTAACTAACTATCGTACATGCATTTACATGGATTATTAGGTACATAGATCATTGATGTATTATATGTAATGTTAAGGGACCACAAGGCAGGGGCAAGCTAAAGCAGGGGTCTCATAAAAAGGTATGCGACCCGCTCAAAAACGCGGCATTCGACATTCTTGGAGTGAACAAGGGGCTCATAAGGGGAGATGAAGCAGGAGTTTCCCCTGTCACTTTTGTCACTTGCAAGGTAGAATTCACCTATCGATAGCATTAGACACATGGGACGTGATGTGATGGAGGCAGGAACCATAAGAACTGTAAGAACTAGGTTAGGTAGGTACGGGGCACTTGGGGCACGGAGAAGTGGAAGCTACCAAACGTTAGGTGGAATTGGGATTTTTTTTTCTTTTTTGCTTCTTTGATCTCTCTTCCCCATGTTCCCACAAATCCTATCTTTCGTCTGTTCGTCGTGAATCTATCGTCACTTTCGCTCGAACCCTCATCCGTGCCCCTATACTTTGCCCAGCCGATAGCCACCTACGATAGTATACTCAAGTGCTCCTTCTCGAAATTCCATAACCTCAAGAACCTCACGAATACCTCATATCATCGATTGACTTAGTAAATACATAATTCATTATCATTATTCCTATCATTATTATCAAATTGTTATTATTCGACTTGAATTGACTTCAAGAATCGACTTGCTAGTTTTGTACCTAGGTCCACTGTAGCATAGTTATCCTCTCCTTCTTATTCTTCTCATTCTTCTTCTCCAGCTTCTTCATACTGTCCCTTGTTTCTGTTTCTGTTCATGTTCATACCTTCCTTCCCTGACCCAACCATGCACAGTTTCCTCTGAGACACAACCACAGATCTTCCTACTTTCTGGTGTAACAGCCAACGAGTTCTTGTCCCCTTCTCCTTCTACACACGTCTCATCTTACAAACATTGGATTCCAAGGGTTTGAGTTACAATCATAAGCTCCAATCTTGGGTTGAAGCTGCCTCTGATAGCTTGGGAGCCTTCAATTGACAATCGGAGGTCGTGATTTGGTAGGGCAACAGCAATACTGTAGCATCAACCGAGTATCCGCCATATCATTATTATATGGTCCCGAGCCCTTCCCAGCCCTGTGGCCTGATGAGATTATCGTGAAGATTGCGCTGAACGGTCCTAGCAAACCCGGTCTTAAGTCGTTGCGCTAAGACGCTCAAGCCACCCGGGACAGCCAAATACAGATGACGCCTCGTGTTGTCGGCCTCTAGGCGCCGTGATCTTCTGCCCACCCTTCTCTCCACATCGAAATTCCCCATTCCCCATGGAAGTTCAATATCTGTGAATACCTTTTTCATAGCATCGGTCGTTTTATTGCCAACCAACAGTCCACACGGTCCTTCGTCGCGAAAGCACAGTACGGTATTGTCTTTAATCATATATCCTTTTTCTCAACGCCCTCAATCGGAGTAGGTAGTTTCAATTGCCAGTGATTGAAGGTCCTCTCTCTATTCTTTCCGAGAGACATCCAAGTCGAGAGGGTTGCGATATAGTCTCTCGCTATGGATGGCATCGGAGGACAGAAAGAACCGCGCGAGCGCTCTTTTCCCCGTGCGCCATCTCGAGCTAGTACAATTGGTACTTTGAACACTCAAATGACGCCGAACAGTGCGAGCAGCTCTTCGTCTCGCTTACGGGAGGTAACGCATATGAATGAACCCACAACTCACAATTATCAACACAATGATTCTGGTAGGGGCATAGCACCTGCTCGGCCAATGTCGCGAATATCGCGAGAACCTGGTGACGAGCTACGCGACCCGACGACATCTACCCCAACCTCGAGCCTTCTACAGGAGAGATTACAACGAGAGAGAAGTGAAAGGCAGGCGACCAGACTCGGAGGCGACTTGAGTGCCTCTACCGGTGATATTCGAGGCAGGGATGTGCAGTACTCACCCGTGAAAAGGAGTGCTACTGCCATGGGACGACAAAGCTTGATTGGTGGCGATGATATTGCCAAAGACGGCGCCGGGATGGGAGCCAGACAGATGGAAAAGGTAGGAGATGTCCATGACAATACGCGCTCTCCTAAGAAGTTCCGTACCCCGGCTGACTTAGACGAGAAGACCCTGGAGACACTACACAAGCAGAATTTCGACTTAAAACTCGAGTTATTCCATAGACGTGAAAAAGGTCTTTCTTTAGAGGTCAGAAACCGCGAACTTGAGTCCCAGCATAGCGACATGCTGAAGCTCCAAGATGACATGATCAGAGAGATGGGTCAGAAAGACAAAGCTCTTGAGGAGGCTGTCTCTCTAATAGTGGGATTGGAAGCACGAATCGAAGATTTGGTTCGGGAGAGAGACATGGTCCGACTAGTTGAAGCAGATGGCGCATACCGTCACTCACCCTCCGGTAAACCCGCCCCCCAACCTACAACTATCGTTACGCCGAAAGTAAAGAGTATCTTTGTTCCACGTTCAACCGACGATACCCCCCCAAAGACGCTGGGACGTATGCCTAGCTTCCTTTCAGAACGTAGCCACCATACCGAGAACCTACGAAATGTAGTTCTAAAAGGACGAGGCAGCATAATGCATATGCGCAAGGTTTCCGAGTCGTCGACTGCTGACCCTAGCGATATTAACCGTATCGCCAGTCCCAGCTTAAGCGTACTCAGTGAAAGTTCGTTTGTCAGCATATACGGTATCAAGGATGGGAGAGATAAGGCGGAGTTGCAGCCACCGGCTGATGTAATAAGCATGGATAGGAGCTACGCTGATCGTTCGTTCACGACAACAAAGACGAAGAGGGAGAGTTTGACCGGTGGTGCCAGGCTCTCGGGTCCTGCGTTCTCTATCAACAACATCATCGATACGAACTCGCCTTTACAGAAACTCGAGCGACTTGAAGGACGCATGGCAACTGATGATCTCACTGGGCAGCCCGTAACTAACCGTGGTCGTGACACGACCACTCCAAACCCTAGGTCTACGCATCCACCGCCCCAAGCCAAAAAAACCAAGCAAGAGAAGCGCGAGGCTCTGCAAAGAGTTCTGACGAATTATCCGCAACACAGGGATTTTTCCAACCCACAGGCTTTCCCTCCCACCCCTGACACGGTATCATCGTCCACGCTTCGAAAGCAGCAGAACCTGAGCAGTTCTCAAGACAGTCTCATGAAGCAAGGAGGAACTGTTTCGGGTGATGATCTAGCGCCGAGAGAGCCTGCCTACACAGCGTCCTCAACCCAGCAAGCACCCAATGCAAGCTTCTCTAAGCATAGGCCGTTACCCTTGACGGGCTTTAAGCAGGACCCGTTTTCTGATCTTGCGCAGCTGGCGCATTCTCTTCCGCCACGTCCACATTCAGCAGCTGAGACAACGAGCACTCGTAACAGGGCAAACAGTCTAAGATCTGACTCAGACTCGGATGGTGGAGCAGACGCCCGCTCAGAGTTAGAGAATGATAACTTTGACTATTGGATGCGTGAGAGTATGAAGCCCAATGAATACCAGACGAATGTACCACAACAGGCTGGGGGTGCTCCTCCTGCGTCTCCGGATCTTTTTTCCTTTCCAGTTGACTCCCAAGGCTGGGAAGCGGACGCGATGTTTGGTGCGCTGAAAGGCCATGGCTACCTCGGCTCACCGGTGCCAGCTCTAAAGCGGGACCCCATCGACGAGATTACGAGCTCGTTGCAAATGCAACAAGCAGAAGTACTGGATGCTGCCATGAATGGTTCCGCACCCCCCACCCCTGATCGAAGATCAAGTTTGCATGCACGTACCGGTAGTACGAATACGATGCATAGGTTTGGCAGCAAGCTTTGGAAGAGTCCGGTAAAAGGACCAGTTGCGGATACCTGGGCACACGAGAGAGCTAGAAGCAACAGTGTAGACACTACAGCCCAGGGATCTGCCTTGAGAATGCCACCTCGACAATCGGAAGCAACGGCGATGGGAAAACGTAGCCACTACCCACCCATCTCTGGACAGGCGTCTAAGGGGCGCAGTCTAGGTCTGAATACGTTCTTTAAGAGGTCCGGCTCAGAAAGCTTCAGTGTCCCTTCCAGTGCCACTGAGGGTACTTTTCCCATCCCTACGCCGGCCCAGTTACAATCCTTACCTCAGTCGCTGAGCTACGCACAAGGCTCAGGAAGAAGTACTGTCCCGCCTCCAGCAACCATGTCGTGGTGGCACCCACCGCCAGGTGTCCAAGAGGACGAGCTTAGCAGCGCGACACCTCCCCCCATCATGCGATCCCGTGGTCATTCATTAGTCTCGAGCACTGGAGGCATGCAATCAACGGGCCCGACCACACCGCAGCATTACGGCGGTGCGATGCCACCCCCAAGCACGCCGACGACGGTAGTACCCGTACACGGCGGACAGGTGGGCACAACTCCTAATGGAGGACAGAGTGCGGGTAAGAAGAAGTGGTTGAATCTTGGTAGAATGGGGAATTTGAAGAATAGGATGGGCTGAGTATGCCTATCGTCTACAACTTGTACAATACGTACGTGGGGTCTGCGGCGGTGGAGAAAAACACCAATGGACCAAGATGGGCTGAGGAATTCCATCAGCAAAGCAGCAAAGCAAGGAGGTAGCATTTATATTGGATGTGCGCAAGCACCGGATGCAAGGGTTCAATTTCCACGGTTTATAGCCGGTGTTTTGTAACCCATGCGTACTTATGTAGTATTATTGGAAGGACAAGCAGGCTGGCGGCGTTACAGGGGTGGATTCAAAAGAAGATATCCCAAGTCCTGTTACAAGTCGAGCAGTCTCCATCATGTCAGATTGGTCAAGATTATTATGACACGACGATGGGGATGCTATCACGAAGTCATGACGGGCGTATGTGGCATTGGACGTGGGCGTTCATGAGGGAACACCTAATCTTAGGTAATAACCTAGGCAGGGAATGGACTCTGAATAAATAATGAAGATTAATATTCTTATAATCCTGGAATTATTGCTATGAGCCTTGCTACATTACCTTGGAAGAGCTGTGGATGAGGAGGTGAATTGGTATGGATTGATGCATGCCTAAGACTAGCATTGCTTAGGTAAGTATGCCTAGGTACAATACATTGAACATCCCCGGGGTCATAAAGACTGTAACTAGGTTAGGCTACTAGGTACCTAATTGTACATTATTAGCGCCACAGGCTTTCCGATTTCTCGATCTGAGCTATCCTCAGATTCCCAAGTTGCCCCTTTGACATCACCACTCATATTATTTACTTTTGTTTCATACATATAATATAGTGTCCAATGTCACTTGCAGTTGCGAATTGGGGGGTAGCTGGGGTGCAATGTTCTCATTATTGGCAGGCTTGCGTACTAGATCTGTACAGCAAATTTTATCAAACACCACAAAATCTCGTCGTACTTGACCCAGACGTTATTTTCATCATACCTCATATTTCAAGACTCATACCACAGCGGAGGACTTGTCTAGCGCATAGCACTGCTTCTAGTCAACTTTCGGCACTTACGAAAAGGAGTGGCATTGGAATTACGGCTACTGGTGGCATTAGATCTTATTCATCACGGCAGACACTGCGCTTACGGCGGCAGGTTCGCTACATGTTTAGAAAAGCGGAAGTCGCCGCGGAGCGCGCGGCGCGGGCGCAAGCACGTAGCGGCGACGCGACCAGCACCGTGCAGCTCCGACGCAGTGCAAGGAATGCGGGGTTGGGAGTGGGTGATGCGTCGTCTGCTTCTAAGCAAGAGAATTCACACGAGAACGAGGAGGTTACGGTCTGGCCAAAGAAAAGGCCCGGAGTCGCGAAGATGAATGATGATGACATTGAGGCTACGCGTCCGGCGAAACTGGCGAAGGGTTTGCCGCCGTCGTCGTCTTTAGGCCCCGTTCTTGATCTGTTGAAAATTTCTAAGACGTTGACGCCGAGCCCTGAAAAGAAGATTAAGGATGAAGAGGAAGACGAGGGGGAAAAGAAAATGGAAGATGATAGGAAAAGAGAAGATGAAAAGAACAAGGCCACGAAGAAAAAACAAGAGGACGATCTTCGAGTGAAGAAACTAAAATCGTACACGCAGTTCGTCGACAAGCCGCCGTTCCCGGATTTCAAGAACCCGAGGCCGGAGGAATGCCAGCTCGCCCACAGGATTCTGTGCGCGCTGCACGGCGAGCGCCAGCGCCCGCCAGCACTGAGGCTCCCGCGGACAGGCGTCGAGTGCGGCAACGTGCCGTCGGTGCTAGACGCGCTGATCCGCACCGTGCTATCGCAGAACACCAACAGCCGCAACAGCACGCGGGCGAAACATGACATGGACGAGGCGTACACGGCGTTCGACGAAAAAGACGGCAGCGTCGATGTGCAAGCGCGGTGGCACCGGATCGCGACGGGCGGCGCCGAGCGACTGGGGAAGGCGATCGCGAAGGGCGGGCTCGGCGCCGTCAAGAGCAAAGTCATCGTCGACATCCTAAGACAGGTGAAGGAGCGCTACGGGACGTACTCGCTCGACCACCTGTTGCGCGTCGGGGAGACGGCGTCGTCGCTCCGCGAGGAGCAGGACATCGTCATGCGCGAGCTGCTCTCGTACCGCGGCGTCGGCACCAAGACCGCCAGCTGCGTGCTGCTGTTCTGCGTCGGCCGCGACAGCTTCGCCGTCGACACTCACGTCTACCGGCTCGCGGGGATCTTGGGGTGGAGGCCCGCGAGAGCGACCCGCGACGAGACGTTCGCGCATCTCGACTCGAGGATCCCCGATCAGCTGAAGTATAGCCTGCATATCCTGCTCATCGAGCACGGCCGCGAGTGTCCCGAGTGCAGGGCCGGCGCTGTAAAGGAGGGGAACTGCAAGCTCAGGAAGGCGTTTGTTACGTCGGCGAGGCTGGCGGCTGAGTACGATGCGCGGGAGGGCATGAGCCGAGTGAATGCCGACCTAAGTACCTAGACCTAGATAGGTAGGAGATGGCTGGCCTGGGGGTGGGAGAGCTGTGATGCGATGCGATGCGATGAGATGGATGCCGAGGTATAATAGGTACAATACTTTACAGGCGGTCGCAGTACCTCTTCTCTACAGCTATACCCTACCTAGGTATGTAGTACTTAATATATACTACCTCTATGCCAGCCTGTAATTATTATACCTACATGTCTAACCTACTGGGTAATACCAATGTTGTTAACTTTGTGTTCACCTATGTATCTAGGTTAGGTAGATGCAATAGTACGACATTGTTTAGGGTCTATACACAATATAATGCAATTAAACTACCTAAAGAGTGTTACTTGCTGACTACAGCTATTACTATATTGAGCCATGAGGGGAAGAAGATGTATACCTCTATAGTGTTGGAGGAGTACGAAGTAGTAGCAGCAAAAGTGGTAGTAGTACTAAGTATAACTAACATACATGTATATGTAGACAGACAACAAAGAACATATGCAAATAGTCTTACAATGAATCAAAACCCTAGTTTATTTTAATAATCCAAGGTACGAGTAATGCAGCTAGAGAGGGAAGAAGGACGCTCGTCACGATGACAGGGGGGGTTTGGCTCGATTAGGGGCTCTGATGTAATGATGATTCTCACGGCTTTTGCCCACCCAACACTTGCCCGCCCCGGAGCAATTGCTGCGGTCTGCTGTTAATTGTTTTAATCGTTACCCTATTCTTGATCCATCGAACTCTTCTTTGATTTCGCCCAGGATAATCCAAACTACGTAGAACTACGCAGGATGAAATAATTGAATAATCCTATATGCAACACTTACACAGTTGTCAGTTTGTCAGTTGTAACCTAAGTTTAAACAAGTCAAGCCCGAAAATAAGCAGAAGCCGTTTGCGCAATTATACCGTCAACAAAGAAGGACATTAAAGTAGTCTTACGCAAAAGAACGTAATACAAGTACCTATCTGCCCGGAAGGTAAGGTACTAAGTTAAGTGGGTGTGTGTGTTTGTGTGTGTGTTCACTGCCCGTCTTGGGTAGATGGATCCTTCACAGTACCCTCCACGATCCGATGGCCTACCACCCTCGGATCAACAGTCGTGGGGCTTCGAACTACCACATCACTTCCTTCCCATCGGCGGTATGCCTGATATGATACCACAAAACTTTGATCCCGGCCTAGTACCTAGGGACTCCCATAATGGTTTGAACAACCTCGCCTCCGCTGCCGCCATATCTAACCCTTACCATGTATCCGAGCCACCTCTTCCCGGCCACCGGAGGTCGATAGACGACGGCGGCCCGTCTGCCTTTATAGGCAACGATGGACTTGCATCCAGCACCTCGGCGGCGGTCGCACAGCAGAGAGAGCAGACCAGAGCCAGACGCCGCGTCCCGAGTTCTCAGCGCAAAAGGACACAGATCAGTTGCGACGCCTGCAAAACCCGGAGATGCAAATGTGTGCGCCTAAAGCCCCCTGATGGCAACAATGCTGCCGAGGGACATGAGAGCCACTCACCGTGCAAGCTTTGCACCGAAACCGGTATCGCCTGCGTGACCACCATGCCGCGAAAGCAACGGGTTTACGGAAGCGTGGAGAACTTGGACAGGCGGTATCGAGCTCTCGAGGCGCTGGTGTCGGGCCTGTTTCCAGATCTGAACCCCAGAGCCTCTGCGCAAGAACTGATTTCTTTTGGAAGAGAGAGGGCGATAGCGATGCCTGATTTCAGCGACTCGTCCAGCCAGGTCCGGTCTCCGTCATCCGAGCCCAGCATCAAGCCAAATCCATCTGAAGCGTCGTCTCACGGATCGGGTCAGCTCAAGCGCAGACGGAGTTCCAACTTGGTGTTTGCAGGGACTGATCAGGAGAAAACCGTATTGCCTCCTTCGTACCTTATGAGGTTTGCGCCGGTGACCACCCCGCAAACCAAAGCTTCCCCTGCTGACTCGGTGCTGGAAAATGTTGCGGAGACAAACGCGGAACGCACGGGCTTGATCTTGGACGCCACCGGCCGTCCGCACTACATTGGGCCATGCGGGAGTCTTGCCTTCTTCGCGAAGATGCGGGAGCTGTTCTCCCAGCGGCTGAACGCTACAACCGGTCCCGGCGACCCTGGCCAATCTGCCGGCAACTTTAAGAGAGACAGAACGGGCCAGTTCATCAACAACCCCCTCGCAGCATCGCTGGGCGGCACCGGAGATCGCGGACGTGGCGGCGGATCCCCGTCCGGACGAGAACATCCTTCCTCTTCCCATGCGGGCCCCCACGAGCTAGACCATCTAGAAGGAGACTCCCCGCCCCAGATATGCGAGAACATGCTCAAAGACCACCCCAACGACCCGGAGTTCTGGCGCTACCGCCAGCGCATCTCCAAGCTCAAACTGCCGCCCCGCGAGCGCGCAGACGCCTGCCTGCAGGCCTTCTTCCGCTTCGTGCACCCGAACTACATCCTCTTCCACCGGCTGACCTTCCAGGGGTCCTACGAGAAGATGTGGCGGTGCTGGGACGCGCACCGCGACGAGCGCCCCGGAGCAAAGGAAATCGCCGTCTCGGTCGGCTGGCTGTGCTGCCTGTACATGATGTTCGTGCTGGGCTCGCGGGCGCTCCCGCAGGACGCCGAGTCGCTCGAGTTCCAGCGCAAGTGGTTCGCCGAGGTCGACAAGCTCCCCCCGCTGCTCGGGACCTCGAGCCTGCCGAACGTGTGCGCGTACATGCTGCTCTCGCTGTACTACCACAACACCAACGACCGCACCAGCGCGTGGACCTTCCACGGCGCCGCCTGCCGCCTCTCCATCGCGCTCGGCATGCACCGCGAGAGCGCGTCAGGGCTCTTCGACCCGCTCGAGCGGCAGCTGAGGAAGCTCGTGTGGTGGACGCTGTACGAGTACGAGCAGTTCCTGTGCTGCTCGCTGGGGCGGCCCAGCGCCATCGACGACCGCGAGATGGACGTCGGCATCCCCAACGACGACTACCTCGACGCGAACCTGCTGCCCCCGCGGTACATCGAGCACTCGGCGCGGCTGAACATGCTGCTCGCGGCCGTGCGGCGCGGCATCTTCGACCCGAACTTCGTCCCCGAGAAGATGCACACGCGCGCGCTCGAGTTCCTCGAGACGATCCTGCAGTGGGAGGACACGCTGCCGCGGGGCCTGCGCCACGACGGCCTGGACTACGGCGTTGTCGGGGGAAACGGGGGAAACAACGACAACCCCTGGCGCAGCGTCGCGCTGCTGCACATCCGGTACCAGCACACGCTCACCTTCCTCACCCGGCCTTTCTTGTTCCAGGTGATCCAGCGATGCACGCAGCACAACAACACCAACAACAACAACAGCAACAACGAAGGCCCGCACGCCACCATCGACGCGAGCGCCGCGTGCAAGGCGCGGGGTCTCAGCAAGGTGAGCCTCACGGCGGCGATGCGGGGCGGCGAGCTGATCATCCGGATGTGGCGCGCGGGGCTGGTGAACGGGGTGACGTGGCTGGACCTGTACTACGCGTACATGTCGAGCCTGGACATCTCGCTCGCGCTGCTGGCGCCCGCGGCGTTCGACTGGGACGAGGTGCACCCGGAGATCCCGAGCCAGGGCCTGCTCGTGCAGCGGTACAGCGCGGAGCAGATGCGCGACGCCGTGCGCCAGCTGTACTTCGTCATGAGCCACATCGAGGTGTGCGGGACGAACGCGCGGTTCGCCAAGGCGGCCTTCGAGTTCGCGAGCGCGCTGGGCATCGCCACCGTCGACGATCACTCGTTGCCGGTGTCGGCGGCGGATGGGAAGGCGGTGGCGATGGGGATGGCGGGCGAGGACAAGGACATGGTTGGGAAGAATGTTTTGGCGGAGATGGGTGGTGGGGGGAAGGGCGATGACAGGAACAGTAACAGGAACAACAACAACAGCATCAGCAGCGGCGGGTTCTGCGGAGACGGGAGCATAGCGGCGCCACCACCACCCTCGGGAACCGACGCTTTCGCCCAACAGAACACCAACACCAACACCAACACCAACAACATGGCCTCCCTAACAGCGCCCGGCCCCGGCCCCGGTCCCGGCCCAGGCGACTACTACCCCACCACCGACATGAACCTCGACGTGCAGACAGACCTGATCGCGCCGTACCCGCAGCAGCGCGACGAGATGAGCTACGTGCAATGGGACATGTGAGTACCCTACCCTACCCTCCCCTCCCCTCCCCTATCCCAAAACTTGGAAATACGAAAATAAAAATAAAAATCAAGCATTGACGCAGCAATGGATGGATGAACTAACCCCGCCCCGACTGTAGGATCATGCCTCCTTCGCAGTGGAACGATGGGTCGCTGAACATGGATCTGGACTGGGTGTGGCAGTGCCCGAATCAGAGCTGGCATGGGGGGTTTAATTATTCGTCGCAGTGATGATGGGTAGGTAGGTAGGTAGGGAGGAGGAGACGCTGAGGATGATGATGATGATGATGTTACTGGATATATACCGAGGGGCACTCAACTTCTTAATAGAGGTTTATAAGCTAGCTAGCTAGACAGATAGATAGCAATATAGATCTTTTTAAATCCCAACCTCAAGTCTATGTAATTGTATCTCTCGATTCCAACCCCCCTTAGCTGACTTGAATCTTCTTGCACCAATCTCTCCCGTGCCTCACCTGCCAATTGCAAAGCTGCACCTCCACCGCCATGCCCAAAAACCCAGCAATGCAGATACCGCCACTATCACTAACGCTCGTAGCACCGAGGCTAAACTCTCGTTCGGAAGCGGGCACGTTCTCCATGATCTCTGCAAAGGTGTTCACGTACACGGCGCCGCCGAGCAGGCCCTCCCAGAACACGATGAGGAACACGACGTAGACGCTGGGGATGAACGGCAGCAGCGCGTGCAGCGTGAGTAGGACGAGGTTGCCGACCTGTAGGAGGGAGGGCAGGTACAGGTGCCGGATGCGGATGAAGGCGATGGAGGAGCGGGAGACGAAGACGCCGAGCTGGTAGAGGAAGCCGTACATGGGGTAGAAGTCCCGGAACTCGGTAAAGGGGGTGGACTCTAGGGGGAAGAGTAAGGTGGGTGATACGCCTTGGTTGATGGTGTATTCGGCGACGTAGACGAGTAGGAGGGGAAGCATGTACGGGAAGAACAACGACTTTGCTCGTCGGATATTGGATCTAAATTTCGATAGAGCATCGGTGTCGTCGGCAGTGGATGCAGAATCTGGCAAAGGTGTGAGGAGGCTGGAGGCTGCGTCTGCAGTAGGCAAGTCGTCATCACCATCGGCATCCTCCTGCCTCACCTCCCCATCCGACACCGCTTGATACCCCTTCCTTCTCTGGCTTTGACGGAGCGGCCCTCTAGGAAGTATCAGGAAGAAACTAACAAGCATAATCGCCGGCAAGAACGCGGAAGCCAGCAGACTGTCCTTGACAGAGAAGCCGATCCAATCGGTAAACATGACGTACAGCCCCGCGCCCACCAGGCCCGCCGCGCCGGTGCCACTGCCCCACGCCGCCAAGCTCATGTGGCCGTAGTAGTGCGTCAGGCCGAGGAAGCTCAGCTCGCCGGCGCCGCTCGAAAGGCTGGCGAAGATGACGCCGGCAAGCTTGACGCCGATGGACCGGTCCGCGGGGGTGAGCGCGATCATGAACATGCCGATTGAGGAGAAGGCGACGAAGGCGACGATGCGTAAGGGGTACGGCACCTTGTGGATGAAGTAGGGGGCGATCAACTTGGTTAGGAAGGAGGGGAGGACGTCGGCGAGGAGGACAACGCCCTTGGGGACGTCGGACCCGACGAGGTCTTGGGCAGCGGAGAGGATGATGACGTACAGGACATTGTTGATTAGGCCTTTGGGTTGTTAGCGATCGCGAGGGGGTATCGTATACACACATAAAGGTATAGTATCTATGATAGGGGGATAGATATACATACCAAAAAGCCAAAAGGCGACTAATACGGAGCTATCGACATTGTGGAAGATGGATGCGAATCGAGCTCGGTAGATGGCCCAAGATGACGATGGCGAGCCTGGTATGGGCAGTAGACCTGACGACGCCGGTGATCGACTCATATTAATGCGTGGTTACGCGAACGAGGGGATTCCGAGATTAGCATTACAAGCTGTATAAATAATAGGGTAGCTAAGGATGTAGGTTAAAGATGATGCATTATGATGGAGTAGCATTGGATCAGCACGATGATAAGAATACGGGGGGCTTAACTACCTAGTATGTACCTAATCTAAGCCCCTGTTTTGACGTACATAAGCTTATAAGTGCATAAGCGCATAGTTAAATAACTATACTGATAACAGCTTACGCTGGTTAAGCTGGCATTCTTCTCAATTTATAACTTTGAACTTCGATATTTCAATGTCTCTCTTACTCCCTCTATCCCCAAAAGTTCAGAGAGGACAATTGGCCATCCAGGGCCAATCAATGTTATATTTCATAGTATATCATGTATTAAAAAGTACACGCATGTGTATTTGCAGTCCCTATCCCCCATATCCCCCATCCTCTTAAAAAGCGAGAAGAACCTGCTCGCTGTACTCTGTAGGCCTGCCAAACGTCACCTGAGCCTTCTTGCTCGTTAGATCCATTACGATATTAAAGATAGTCTGGGTATGGCTGTTGCTTTCTTGCTTTCTATTGATAGATGTCGGATACCCCTGGATATCCTTGAACGCCTCAAATATCGTATCAACTGATGGATCCGGCATCTGGGACGTGAGCTCTCGGATTCGCGCTAGTCGTATTGGGGAGTCATCCAACCAAGGGGGCTCATCGATGTCTGACTTATCGAGAACGAGGTGGTTCGTATGACACACTCGTCCCTGGTTGTCCATAGGCAGTTCCTTGACCCAGAGACTTGTGCACTCGAGCCCCGTCGACCCTGTTGGATCTCCTACCAGAATGTGCCCTCCCCCAGCCACGCCAGAATGCTCAAGCATTTTCACAGCCTCCGCTCGAGATCGTGATTCTAGCACGACTCGGAGTGCGAAGTGCACTGGTAACTTGGACCGGTCGAGGCCACGACAGCGGATGGCATTTAAACAGCAGCCTACTCCCTCCGAATTGAACCCAATCTTCCCGATAATGCCAGCTTCGGTGACCATCGAGATATCGGGAATATCTGTACCTGGGTGTGCTATCCGGCATATGATGAGATTATCCCCTTGTTCAACCCTCCAGTCCCAGTTCTGGCCAAGATAAGATTTTGACTTGGACAGCCAACCTAGACTGGTGCAGCCATCACTGGGGACATTGATTGCGCCCTTGGTTTTATTAGAAAAGAGACCGAAATTGATCTCAGATCGGACGTTCAACGCCAGAATATCCAGGAACGGTATGTTAGCCCCATCAGCAATGCCACTGATCTCCACCAGGTATCGTGGTGCGATCTCCTTTAGACGCTGAAAATACGTGGAGGCCTCCTGTAGGACTTCTGCCCAGCTCAGTGAGCACGACTCTTGAAATAGTTGTCTATAGAATGTGATAGACCGCACTATTTTATCCCTAGCCAGTTTTCCATGCGTATGGCCGATCTATCAATAATTTTCTTCTTAGCAAAGTCCATCCAGGGTAAAACGAAGGTGTCGATATCAAGGGTTCCGGGAAGGTCATATCATACTTCGTACGGCGTCCCACTACATTGGATATCAAGCATCGTGCTCGTGCTCGTGCTCGTGCTCATCTAACAACGGCAAGGAAATAGGATCCCGTGTATTTGAACTAGACCAGCTGCACGCGTTCGAACATCCAAAACCTTGATCAGGCCGCCAGCTAGTATCAAAATACCAATGACGGAAGAGAACAGAACAGGAGATGTCGGGTAGAAGGCTATTTCTGAAGTTGGTACATATAAGCTTCTCCGCACGCACGGCTGAGTGCTTGCATGCCTAATGTTGGTGTAAGCACTTGGGATACCCCCGCATCCTTACCGGCACATATCTGCTTACTTACGTACTAGGTAGGGAGGGATGCACATGATGACAAATTTCAAATGCTCCCTCGAGTAGCATCACTTTTGATCACCCCGTACATACCTGGGTACCTGGGCAATTTTACATACCAGCCTAGGTTAGGTGACTATAAACTGACAGCCCAAGCAAACCGATTTCATCCAGGAGTACACCTCAAAAGGGTTTGTGTTCATAAGGGGTTTGCTTGAGAATCTGCCTTGCAAGGAAGGTCAAGAACTCAGCTTTGCCACAGGCTAACATTGTATAACAACAGATGTAGGACCAAGGTCCAATTGATCTATGCAGATGAACAAAGTACTATCTGGGGGCCTTTGTTTCGATGTCCTGGAACCATTGAGGCTCATGAGCGTTACTTACTACTGCATGTGGTCCAGCCCCCAGGTGTGCTAGGTGGCGGGTATGACATCCGTTAGCTTATGCCAAACACACCTCCAGGGCTACTTATGCCCGAGTTTTCGAGGGTTACTGTACGGTTTTTTTCTCAAGGGGATTTGGCTTACTAATCAGACGCGCTAGGCTCAAATAGGAAATTTTTTCCACTTTAGGAAGGTGGGGATGTTGTTCACGTAAGCTTGTGGGTCTCTAGGGGAGGAATTTTGGACTTTGCAAAAGAGGAAGGTTTGCCAAGACTATCAAGCCACGTGGGGAGCCACAAATGCAGCCACACGTATGGAAAAGTGCTTAAGCTTCAAGTCTCATTAAGTGCTTAAGCTTTCAAATAAGGAATATTGAAGGTTTAATATTATTATAAGCCCTGGAGACATTCAGATCCGTCAGCGGCCATTAAGATCTGATTAACCTATTAAGTTGGAATAGGGGGTCCCAGGCACTCCTGGTCTTTTGGCCCCCTGTCTATTAATGGATCTAGTCTAGCCGCTTTTAAGATAGCGCGGTACATTGGAAAAAAAGAGATAAATTTCTACAATCTAATTGGTTAAAAAAGCTCCAATTGCCATTCTGAGCATAGCTCCTCAAATCCAGCCAATTGAACCATCCCACTGTTCCCCCTTGGGTTTAGCCTTTTTTCCATTTCGGTCCTAGTGCGAATAATATGCTCAACTTGAACAAACGTCTCATTTGGATCCGGACAAACCTTGGCTCGCTTAGAAGGCTTAAGCCTTTCCACTAGCCGTCTTAGGCTAGCGCATTCAGCTTCAAATAGCCAATCGGATCGAGAGTTGATCCACTGCTTTACCTACTTTTTCGAAAAGTAGCTTTCTAATTGGATTGTTAACTTCAATCGGAAAAACCATTTGAGCCGCTTCAAGTATGTCACGTGACTTACAGGGGTTTAAGTCCAATCAAAAGGCTCGATTTGGATTAGCTGAAGCAGCCGTTGATTTGTCCTTGTATGGTGCTTCGTATGTAGCTGGTGTTGCAAGTATTTTTACAAAAATTAAATAATATGATTGGTCAGCTGATGAGGTAATGAGATTTGATTGGCTGAATAAAAAAAAAAAAACAATTAAAAATGTAATGGTGGAAGTACATGAATATATAAATTAAAAAGCGGAACCTCTGTTAAACCGCGCACTTTTATTGGCTTTTAAAAGACGCTACTCTACAGGGGGCCGAAGGACTTGGAGGGCCTGGGACCCCCCCTTCTAACTTACAGCTGTTATAAGAATGGAAAATATATGTATTCAATTACCTCAATAGCCCGTGCAAGAAAGTCGAGATTGGCTGGAATCACTGGAATTGTGGGTCCCAGAGGCTGCTCTCAGGCTAGTGCCACGCAAAAGATTTTTAAGGTTTTGACACGATGATTTGATTGGGTGCAGTATCCATTGGATCACATGACCTGCTTTTTCAAGCTGCAACTCTTTTTTTTGGACTGTAGGAGCCATCAACCCTTCTAATGCAACCTTTCCAATTGAACCCTTCTTATTCAATTCAGCTGATTAAATTGATCGGATTGAATCAATCGGATTAAATTGATCGGATTGAATCAATCGGATTGAACTGATTGGATTGATTGATTGATGGATTGATGATTGATTGGTTGATTGGTTGATTGGTTGATGGACGGATTGATTGAATGCAGCATCTTTCGGATCACGTGACAGCCTGCAACACTGTCTTTTTTGGGATGGCAGGGAACACACCGGCCATCAACCCTTCTTATTCAACCCTTCTTATTCAACCCTTCTTATTCAATTCGACTGATTGAATTGATCGGATTGATTGAATTGATCAGATTGATTGAATTGATGGATTGATTAAGTGAATAGCTGATCTGCATATCCTGTTATAAGCTGGCTGGCTAGCTGGCTGGCTGGCTGGATAGCTGGTTGAATAGCCTGGGCCAGCTTATCTAACGTTAAATCTAATATTAGATCTAAAGCTGGATCTAATAATTGCTTAAATAATTAATCAAATATCTAATTAACGATTTAATTTATTAAGTGATTAAAGACTTAATTAAATAATAAATTAAAGAGATTAAAGGATTAATGTAATTAAGGGGATTTAAAAGTTAATCGAGAATTTAAATAAAGATGTTTTAGTTATATAATTTTAATTAAGTTTTTAATTAATTCTTAAATCCTTTAATCCCTTTAATCCCTTTAATTCCTTTAATTTAATATTTAATTAAGTTTTTAATTAATTAATAAATTAAGTTATTAAGTAATTATTTAAATAATTATTAAATTTAACTTTAAAATTAATATTAAATAAATTAACTTAAGCTATTTAATTAATTATTTAATTAACTTATAATAAAATATATAAATTAACTATTTAATTAATTAATCCATTAATTTATTAATTTAATTAATTTAATTAATCTTAATTAAATTATTTTAATTTAAATCGATTAATTTAATTAATTAAATTAAGTTTAATTAAAAGGGTTAATAACTTTTATTATATTAAAAAAAGTGTTACAAGCAGTCACGTGATCCGAAAGGTGTTATATTTAATTAGTTAATTTATTAATTAATTAATTAATTAATTAATTAATTAATTTAATCAATTTAATTCGATTAATTTAATCCGATTAATTTAATTAATTAAATTAAATTAAAAGGGTTAAATTAAAAGGGTTAATAGTTTATATATTTTTTACCATTTAAAAAAAAAAATTATAATTTAAAAAAAAAAGTTATATAATTTAATAAGTGCCTTTAATTACTTATATTAATTTAATTAAATAATTTTTTAATTATATATAATATAACGATATAACCAAATTTAATTAAAAAAGCATTTAATTATTAATTAATTAATTTAAATTTTTAATTAAAACAATATATAATTATAAAGTTATTTAAGTAAATAAGTTAATAAAATAAAGGCATGTAATTAACGTTAAAATTATATTATAAAAACCTTTATACGTTAAAAAAAGCCGTTTAAAAGCCTTAAAGCCGTTTAAGATTATTTTAAATAATGTTATATGATTTTTTTTAAATTTTATATATTAAAATAACTTTTTAATAACGTATTATTTTAATTTAAAAACGGTATTAATAAATTTATAATTAAATGCGTTTTTAATTAAATCCGGTTATATTTTTACAGCTATAAATTTTAAAAAATTATTTAAAGTTAAAAATATTAAATAAGGTTTAGTTTTAAAAGCGTTAAAGGCTTTTTAAAGTGGCTTTAAAGGTAATTATATACTTTTTATTTTACTAATTTATTTACTTAAATAATTTTATAATTAAATATCGCATTAATTTAAAACCGGTATTAATTAATTAATAATTAAAGGCGTTTTTAATTAAACCTAAGTTTATTATAATGTAATATTTAATTTAAAAGTTATTTAAGGTGGAAAAAAAGTTAAATATAATTTAAGTTAAAGGCGTTAAATTAAGCCTAAATTTAAAGATTTAAGGGATTTAACGAATATATAATACGCTAGCTTATTTAACGCTGGATTTAAAGCTAAAACTATTTAAATAATTATTTAAATAATTATTTAAATAATTATTTAAATAATTATTTAAATAATTAATCAAATATCTAATTAAATACCTAATTTGTTAATTAATTAAAAACCTGATTAAATATTAAATTAAAGGGATTAAAGGGATTAAGGGGATTAAGGGATTTAAGAACTAATTAAAGACCTGATTATAATAGTTCCGAGACTTCAATCACATGATGTGATTGAAGTCACATGATCGGAACATCTTTGATCAGCTCTTAGATCCCTTTGATCCCTTGATCCCTTTGATTCAATATTCAATCAGATCTTTAATTAATCAACAAATCAGGTCGTTAATCAGGCATTTAATCAGCTATTCAAGCAGCTATTACATCCAGCTTTGGATCCAGCGTTGAATCCAGCGTTAGATGAGCTGGCCCGGGCTATTCAGCCAGCTATCCAGCCAGCTTACAATAGGATATGTAAATCAGCTATTCAATCAATCAATCCATCAATCCATCAATTCAATCAATCCAATCAGTCCAATCCGATTAATTCAATCTAAATCGATCAATTCAATCAGTTGAATTAAGTTCAGTTGAAAGGGTTGATGGCCCCTACTATACCAAAAAAAGTGTTGCAGGCAGTCACGTGATCCGAAAGGTGCTGCATTTAATCAGTCAGTCCATCAATCAATCAATTCAATCAATCCAATCAGTTCAATCCGATTAATTCAATCCGATTAATTCAATCAGTTGAATTGAATTGGAAGGGTTAAATTAGAAGGGTTGATGGTTTGTATATTCCATGCCATATAAAAAAAAGAGTTGCAGCTTGAAAAACCAGGTCATGTGATCCAGTGAGTGCCCCCAGCTGCCCACATCAATCCAATCAAATAACCTTTCAACCACATGTGGCACCACGATGCAACCGGATTCAATTGAAAGAGCATTCAATTTTCAATTGATTTATTTGGATCTCGAACTGAGTCGATGTATGGTTGCAAAGTTATTCAAGTAAATAGGTTGGCAAAATGGGGGCACGTGATTAGCGTTGGGGCCACATTAAGAGCTCTTTAGAGCTATTAAGGGCCTTTAGAGCCGCCTAAGAGCCCTAAAAGCCACCTGGGGTCATCCTAAACAGTATTACGTGGCCCTTTTCAATAGTTATATATACCCAAATAACTTTTCAGCCAAGTATCGCCCCAATCTAAGAGCGGTATTAATGAATTGGTAATTGAATGCACTTTCAATTGAATCCGGTTGCTCCTTTGCAGCTATATTTCTCAGAAAGTTATTTAAGGTTGAAAGTGTTGAATAAGGTTTAGCTCTAAGGGCTCCAAGGGCGCTAAGGGCCCTTAGTGTGGCTTGAAGGGCGATCACGTGCCTCCCGTTCTGCCACCTATTTACTTGAATAACTTCATGACCAGATATCACATCAATTCAAGACCGGTATCAATCAATCGGCAATTAGATGCACTTTCATTTGGGACGGGTTTCACTATGGTGCAATATCTGATTCAAAAGTTATTCAAGATGGAAAAAAGGTTGAGTGTGGTTTGGGCTAGGGGCCCGGATTTGAAGATTTAGGGGACCTAGAGGATGTACAATACCCCAGCCTATCCAACGCTGGATCCAAAGCTGGAGCTGTTTGAATAGCTGTTTGAATAGCTGTTTGAATAGCTGATCAAATACCTGACCTATTGATTGATTAAAGACCTGATTGAATACTAGATTAAAGGGATTAAGGGGATCAAGGGATCTAGGAACTGATTAAGGACCTGATTAAAGATGTTCCGAGACTTTGATCACATGATCGGAACATCTTTGATCAGCTCTTAGATCCCTTTGATCCCCTTGATTGCGTTGATCCCTTGATCCCTTGATCCCTTTGATTCAATATTCAATCAGGTTTTTAATCAATCAACAAATCAAGTCGTTAATCAGGTATTTAATCTGTTATTCAAGCAGCTATTAGGTCCAGCTTTGGATCCAGTGTTGGAGGAGCTGGCCCGGGCTATCCAGCCAGCTATCCAGCCAGCCAGCCAGCCGGCTTGCAACAGGATATGTAGATCAGCTATCTAAGCAACCAATCCATCAATCAATTCAATCAATTCAATCAATTCAATCAATCCGATCAATTCAATCAGTTGAATTGAATAAGAAGGGTTGAATTAGAAGGGTTGAATTGGAAGGGTTGAATAAGAAGTGTTGATGGCCCGTGTGTTCCCTACCATCTAAAAAAAAAGAGTTACAACTTGAAAAAGCAGGTCATGTGATCTAAAGGGTGCTCCACCCAATCAAATCGTCTTATCAAGACCTTAAATCCTTAGCGTTGCGCTAGCCCGAAAGCAGCCTTTAGTAACATTAAAATTGGGTCCGAGAAAACTCGGGCATTTGTGGCGCGCGCGAGCGTGTGCCCTCTAGTAAATAGTTAGACCCCCAAGGATAAACGCTGTGGATATTGATGCAAATCTAACCTAATAAGGCGGTATTATCTCACTGATTCAACCCCGCAGAAAGCGCACACGCCCTCATCTTCAGGGGTATGAATGTCCTATCTCAGGTAAATAGGATGACCTCTAGCCTCTTCTTCTTTTTACCTACTTGGCTGTTAGGTCTGTTAGGCCACAATACGTAACTGTGACACTCCCTAGTCACACTTCTCAACGCCAAGCAGTTAGAGATGAAATCGCCAATGACGCCAAACTCAAGATGCATCAGGACCAGACTGTTTACGGTAATAGCAAGTAGGAACAGGTCCAGTCGGTGTGCATGCACCGCCATCTTCTGCTGGCAACCCAAGCCAGAGAGCAAGCGTCATAGGGGGCGAGATCTGGGGTGAATGCGACGATCAATGGTAGGCTGAAAGACCAGCCCCATGCATCTGACCTCTAGAGCCTTACCACTTTTTACGTACATATCTACCCGGGTAGGCTACAAGATGCTAGGTGAAGCATTCGATTTTTCATTTAAGAATAGAAGTCTATTCCCTTTCGACTAGTCGCGGTGTGCCTTCATTTCCTGACCTTTCAGCCCCGTGGACACCTTGGCAGGATTGGACGAGATCACGCGCCGATATCATAACCTTACGAAAACTCCTTGGCTCAAGTTCCACAAAGGACAAAGGACGACTACCTTTCATTCTAATAGAGATAAAAAGGCGGCCGTCGAGCCTTGCTTAGTGAAAATGGCGACACGGTACAAGTACACGGGCGCAAACGAGATGCAGCATCGCACGAGAAAAGAGCGTCGGTTCGACGAGACCGAGCACGAACTACCCAACTTCTCTCAGTTCACATCCGCGCTGACCTCAACCGACAAAGCCTCCTATCTTCTATCCTATCTCGGCAAGAAGAATCCCTTCCCGCGCTCCATCACAGAGGACGACACGGTTTGGTTGCTCGATAATACCGCGTATCGCAACGAGAAAACGGGAAAATGGGAGGCTGAATTCGTCTCGGCTGCCTTCTCCCAGCACTCCTCTTGCGCTGTCATTGACGCGGTCACGGCCATCGCGGGCAAGCTTGACTTGGACGAGAAAGACCCAAACTACCCCACGATCGAGGAACGGCTCCGTCCATTTGTACAGGACATCAAGCCCGGTTCGCAGGTCAAAGCGGTGCACGGAAAGACGACGCTTAAGCTTGGCCCTGGCGGCAGGAATGGAATCAGTAGTGACATCAAGACACTCCCAGATGGTAAAAGCGGCGCGCTAGTCCCTACATCTGCGGAAGTCCCCAAGGGTGCCAATGGCGAGCTGAAAATGAATACGTTCTACGCTGAACCTGAGGGTTGGGGTGTGATATCGGGTAAGTGCTGACTTTCAGGCTGGTCATGAGAGTTAAGCGACGAACTGACACTACGCTGTGAAGATATCGATGACACCATCAAGATCACTCAGACGAGCGATCCGATCGGGATCCTGCGAACCACCTTCCTCGAAACCCCCGAGGTCTGCCCTGGAATGCCCGAGTTATACAAGAATATTCAGTCGCTCGTCCAAGACAAGTCACCGTGGTTCTATCTATCAGCCTCGCCGTACAATCTGTACCCTTTCTTGCGCGATTTCCGAGACCAGAACTATCCGCAAGGCACCATCATCTTGCGCGATGCCAGCTGGATGAGTCTGCCGGGGCTACTGACAACACTTACCCTGGGCACGGAAGACTACAAGGTTGATCGCATGGAGAAGATTTACTCGTGGCTTCCCAAGCGCAAGATGATTTGCATTGGCGATTCAACGCAGTCTGATCCCGAGGCTTATGGGGAGATGTAAGTGAATTTTCTGTCTGTCAACCGATACTTGGTTCCCATGATGTTAACCATTTTTAGTTATCGAAAATATCCTGGCTGGATCAAGGTGATCCTCATCCGCAAAGTGGAAGACATTGCAGCCATTGGGATCGAAGCCAAGAATGAGCCGGAGCGGTTCGAGAAGGCCTTCAAGGATGTGCCGAAGGAAGTATGGCACGTCTTTTCGGACCCGGCTGAGTGCAACAAGCTGGTCCAAGATGTGGTCTCGAAATCTTCCTAGGGATTGCATAAGGTATACATAGCAAGCAACGGGCGTTTTTTATCTTGCGAGGTTGGTATGATGAGGCATGTAATAAGGACCGGGATTGGTGTCTTGAAATCTTTAGTTTTTCCATCCCTTTCTCGTGCTTATTCCTTTTCTTTTTCTAGATACCCCCTTAATTGGATTAGATGATCTTGTGTATTTCAATGACACTATTCTTCGATTTCCTTTTTTTTTTGGGCATACCCGTGAGCCGATGTACGAATCACTACGGAGTCTCTTTTGCAACATCGATATCTGGGGCGTCTTCCCAGTCTCTGTGCAAGTACTTACCTACCTGACAAATCTACATACCGGATAAAAACTGTACCTTGAGCCTGCATGATGCCAATGAATCTACAACGTCATACGATCGAATACAGCTGGAGACCCCCCGCACGTCTTACATGACATGCAAGGTACCCACACCATAGAGACCTATCATATCATATCCCGTCCAATTCATTCTGAGATGCCACGGCTATACCGGAGTTCGGTTCGTGGTACAGTGTTCGGTTATCTCAATCAAGCTTCTTTAGATTCTTACATCATTACTATTACTTGCTCTTTTGCCTATTAAATTTCACGTATGTATAAACCCCAATTCCTCTCCAGTTGTATCTGTAGATACTTGCGCAAGTCATACACTTCATCACCAACCAAGAAGCCATCCTTTAATACCCCACGCTTCTTCTCTATTCACTCCTCTCCCGTCCAACAACACCATCACACCACCACCAACATGTCTCCATCGCCCCCACCCAAGCGCCAAAAGTCCTCCAAAGACGTCCCCTACGAACTCATCTACTGGCCCGGCATCCCCGGCCGCGGCGAGCACATCCGCCTCGTCCTCGAGGAAGCCGGCGCAACCTACACCGACACGGCGCAGATCCCCGACGGCGTCGCCGAAGTAACCGCGCAGATCTCCGACGCCAACGTCGGCGACGACCTCAACCCGCCCCCCCTCGCTCCCCCCATCCTCCGCCACGGCAGCCTCACCATCTCGCAGACTCCCAACATCCTCCTCTACCTCGGCCAGCGCCTCGGCCTGGTCCCCGCCGAGGACGACGGGGAGCACCCCGACGCGCTGTACAAGGTCAACGCGCTCGCGCTGACGGCGCTCGACGGACTGAGCAACGAGGTGCACGACTGCCACCACCCGATCGCGTCGGGCTTGTACTACGAGGACCAGAGGGAGGAGGCGAGGAGGAGGAGTGCCGACTTTGTGAAGAATAGGCTGCCGAAGTATCTGGGGTACTTTGAGAGGGTGTTGCAGGGGAAGGCGGCGGGGGAGGGGCCGTGGTTGTATGGGGGGGCGTTGACGTATGCGGACTTGGTTTTGTATCAGGTGAGTTTTTTTTAGTTTTCTTTTTTGATATGCGTGTATATCCCCCTTCCCCCTTTTCGGGCAGGAGATACACATATCTAGGCGCAATTCATTGATACCTACCTACCTACCTAACTACCTACCTACCTACCCACATACTAACACAAAAATCCCAAATCAGTGCATCGACGGCACCAAGTACGCCTTCCGCAAAGCCATGGCCACCATCGAGCGGTCGGGCAAGTACGCGCATGTGTTCAAGCTGTACGACGCCGTGAAGGAGCGGCCTAGGATCCAGGAGTACCTCGCGAGCAAAAGGAGGCAGGACTACTCGATGGGGATCTATCGATACTATGACGAGTTGGATATTGGGCTTGATGGGGAATAGTATCTATCTAGTAGGTAAAAGGGGGGGTGTTATGTGATTAGGTTGGTTTAGGTTCTTGGATATTGTAAAATGTAATGGCCGCATCGCATGGTGCGATACCTAGCGGGATTAATCGCCTGGAGATAGTGATATAGCCTTTACAATCCGCAATGTTCTAATGCGCCTCGCCTCGCCTCGACTTGGAAAATTTCACCTTTTGGCACTGCGTGGCCTCAATTGGCAGATGCTGCGCTCTGCTCCCCTGACAGATATCTGGAAGATGAGAAGGGGGGAAGGGGGAAAGGGAGAGAAAAGGGGTAATGCTATGCTCCGTTTCATGTGGTCTAGATACATAAATGGAATGTTCATTGTTGCGGGATGAACTGCAACCAGACGGAAGGTAGAAGGATGGAAGAGAGTTTGGTTTTTATTCCAGACTACCTACGATGACGGAGTGCCAATAACTATGGCAGGCTTAGGTTAGGTGCTTTCATCTTTTTTACAATTTCTGATATTTCCCCCTGTTTGCAGAGACACGCCTACCTCGAGTTAGAGTCTCGTGTACATTTCCCAGATTGCCTCCCAGCGTACTGGACCAATAATTTCTTGGAGCGTTTTCCCGTTTAGCGAACTGTTGGTACGAACTCGTTGCTTTGATACCAAATTAGACTCTTGGTGTTATGGATAGTTGGTTCGCGGTGACGGTGTGCGGTTGAGTATACACTTCAATAATGTCGTGGGGTGAGCGCTTGTTTAGGGGGTTGTGTATCTATGCATGCACTGACGAGACTTCGATGCTCTTGTTTATTCAAACAACTTAGGCAATTAGTATGACTACAAGTAGCCTTAGGGGTCAGAGAATAATAAGCTGGCATGAATGACAGGATGTGTGTTTGATCTATCTTGACTGGTCTCTAGTATAAGATGCGCGTGAACGCGCGCTATTTCACATAGAAAAAAACTGCAGAACACCCTGTGCGAGGATTCACGAGAAATCAACATGTCTAGTTTCTTTGTCTTGAAATGTCTCGTCGATGCCTAAACTCGGAAGTCATGTGCTGGCAGAGGAGATGTGAACTACCGGGTACTGTAGTCTGTAGCTGACCTATAGTTATACCTAGGTAGCTAATCTCTCATACGAGCTGCCGAGAACTTGGCTTGATTCAGACCTTCTAGAAACTCTTATAGTTTAAAGTAACGTCTAAGGGGTTTCCTGAGCGTAGTAAATACCTACCTATTGGAAAATACGAAATAAACAATGCCTGCCTATGAAGTGTGAGCACAAAAGGCCTGTTGATTGATCGCGGGATATCGCTCTGGGGGTTTTATGGTAATTGGATGCTTAAAGGATAACAAGCTTCAGCTATAAGTAGATTATAACTATGATCCTTCATAGATCTTAAATTGATAATTCATAGACTTTACACCCATAGGCTACTTTGGCACCTTGATATTGCTCTGACCTGAACCGTTACTCTTGCCCCTTAGTACATCGTAATTGAGGCCCGTTTCAAACAGCATGCAGACTTACATACATAGGTACTGGGTAGATACTCGGCTTGGTGAAGGGAATGTCCATTATCATCATTATCACCATCATTCTTTTACCCCAGCCTTGTATCTCCCCAGCATGTAGGCAGTCTCTCCCCCCCCCCTTTCTCCTTTTCAGCATAAGAGTAGGTAGACCCCTTACTGGGATCAGCGAGTTTTTGGCGAACCAGAGAGGTTCACCATGATTAAAGGCTATGTACCTATCTCGTCATCACATCCCTAAATTTACTGTACAACCACTTCATAATCGATACCTAGTAGATAATATCCAGGGTCTGCTCGGAGCCTACATGGGGGGTCTAGACAGAAGAAAGATGGCTTACATACGTAGAAGTAAGTATCCATGGATAGTTATGTAGATTCCCTAGTCTCCGAGGAGATGAGATGTCAGAGATCCCCTCGAGATAACAATGCCTATGTCGTTCTGTGTCTTCTTGGTTCCGCCGTGACGGGTAGTATCGCCTTAGCTGCTTCTTGGGTAGTTATCTGCCTAGTGTAGGTAGGGGCATAGTTATTTGAAATCATCGAGATTTGAAATGACTTGTCGAGTGTCCAGGTAGGTAGGTACCTAACCTAGGTAATTACATACCTGCCGAAACATGCCCAACTAACCGAGGGAAAGTATATACAGCTTATCGAGGCTATATCAAGGCTATAAAACTCCTATTATCGGTACATATCAACAACTATGTACTTACAAGGGGGCGACAGGCCACCTATGTCCCTCATAATCCTCACCGCTTACGCGATACGCAATAACTAACTACCCGACATCTATGATGATAGGGTTTTATACATAGCTACTAGGTACCTAGTCCAGGTATCGTATTGTACATCGCACAAGGTAATCCCACGATCCTGGATGGCGGGTCGGGTCTGATCTCACCGCCCCCCTGTCCCAACGACACTTTGACTCTCTGCTCGGCCCGGCTCTCTCAGCACGCGGCAACTGCGTTTATTGGAAGAGGAAGGGAAGGTAAGTATGTAGGTACCTAGTAGTTATATCTACATTGTACATTATCGTTGTACTCTATAGATGGTGGCAGGTACGCCAGAGAGGAAAGTGCGAAGCACTGTGGTCATGTATTTAAGAACATTTCAGTAGCAAGGTCTGATCCTTAGATCTTATCCTTTTAATATACAGGTCCACCCACATTTATCTTCTATGTATTGCCTCGTCGGTCGACCTGCCTAATAAACTCATTTACACGGATAGGTAGGTACGTACGTACGTAGCCTGCTTCGGACTCCTAACTCCTAACTAGGTACCTAGCTATTGCCGGTACTGTGGTGTAAGCCCGATGTCGATGTTGGTTCCGCCTCTCACGCGTCCGTCCGCCAAGCAAAAGCGCACCCCAGACTCTAGAGGTATTCGTGTCTCATGACCAGTAACTGGGTATCGCTGATCTGATCTGATTTGCTTTACCAAGGTTACCGAGCACCCTTCCACCCCTTCCCCCACAGACCCAGACCCGGACCCGGACGTTTTGACCTTTAAAGAAGCGTGTTGGTATGTATGTACATAGGGTAGGTATTGCAGAATACGATACGATATCATATCGTTTGCGGGTTAGCTGGAGGTGAGGCATTATTCGGATCCGCGCTTGATACATAGGTGCTCGTATAGTACAGGAATCATACTTCCAGCTTGCTTCTCTCGCTGCTTCTTTCTCCCACTCTACCCATCCAACGGAGATTTCTAGGACTTCGAGAAACTTCGGAAAGTCTTGTCATGTCTTGGCCATCAAACGATCGGCATCTTCAGCGAACGTATTGGCGCGGATGCTTTTCTTTCTTTCTTTCTTTCTTTCCTTCCTTTGCAAAAGGGTTGCCAGCGAACCACCTCACTGATGGGTTATTCAGCTCTATGGGCGAAAGGCTCCTGCTCCCCTAACCTAGGACTTTGCTACACAGCCAGCAGCTTGGGTAGGCGCCTACCTACCTACATATGTATACATACCTAGCTACGCAAGCCCTTCGTCGGCAACTCAAAGCATGGTGCATATTGCTCCCTTGTCTGCTACCAGGGTCGCACACACACGTACATGTAACAGGCCCATCCCATCCCGGCAGATGGGAAAGGGTTGATTTTGGAGGCAACTAACTATCTAATTTCAGCTTAGGACTTTAGGTACGTATTAATTAGGTGGTAGGTATGTATGTGTTGAATGGGGTCCTAACACTTTTGCTTCTTCTTCTTCTTCTTCTCACATTCTCGTTGGAGGGATCAAAGATCCCGAGTTTGGTGCGGGCCGCCCTAGGGGTCGATCGTTGGCTACCTACCTATGAACGTTCTCCGAACGAGGCGGCAGGCAGGCAGGCACTGCGGCAGGCTGTGCGGTTATGTATGTATGTATGTAGGCATGTATGTATGTACATGTACTAGTACGTATGCACGCCCAACGGCCCGTCACATATCATTCTCAATATCAACCAGCCCTGCCTTCTTCAAGGAAAGGAACGCCGACGCCATGGAGCTACCTACCTACGCAACGAATAGATGGGGTCTACGTAGAATACGCTAGATTGATGTTGTTGATGACCCCGGACATCTGAGATGCTCATGAATCTGGGTTGGCCGTTAGATGCGTACACAATGACTCGGTCGGTCGGCTGCGATCAACGCGCCGCGGAGACGGGGCGCCTGCCTACCTACACTACCGACTAGTTAGGCTATCGATCCTTGGACTATCTTTCCTCTCCGGGCGTTGTGCATAATGCGTATGCCTACCTAGGTAGCTGGTTAGTTAGGTATGTAGGGAGGTGGAAAAAAAAAAAAGGGAAAAGGAAAAGCGAGGCAACGTGATATCATACATAAGTCCTCGGCCGAGGCCGTGTGTCCGGCTCGACCTAGTTAACGAGAGGACTGGACTGACAAGTGACCCGTTCCTTCGGGTCGGTCCGCGCGATAGCTAGTCTGGACTCTAGAGTGTGATGATGGAGTCTAGTAGGTGGTTAGCGCTTATACCGCGCTTGTTTCGTTCTATATCACATACCTGACTACCCTATGCAATGACTTGCCTTACGCCTCTCTCCCCTTAATGTGCCTCATTGTCTTTTTCTTCTGCATGGCTAGCAGACACATCGATCGCATACAGTGCGGGACGCTTGGTCTCGATGCCATGAGGATGTGGTAATTAGTTCCATTTTTAGGATTGATTTTCCTTTTTTTTTTGGTTTTTTTTTTTTTGTCAATGATGTCTTAGAACTCCACGAACTACATACATACCTAGGTATGCAACTACCCTAAATACTGCTACTAATAATGTATTGCACACCTACCCAGGTACCTACATACTATATGTAGGTTGGTAATAAGTTACCCGTGCTGCCGTGGCTGGATACGATGACGACGACCAAAGAACTCACTCACCTTGCAAAATCTAGCTTCGTACATATGGGGACATAACCTACCTTACACGACCCTGTCACATGAATAAGTACTCATGCGGGTGAGGGGGAGCAATAGTGGGGGTGGACTGATGCCGGAGCTTGGGTGATCATCGTCCCCAGTACCCGGTTTGAGCTTTGAGCTCGATATGCTTGATATGTGCATTTTACGATGTCCTATTCGTTTCTGCTATGGCTATCTCTTTCCCCATGTTGGCTAGTTTTGTTTCAGCGAGATGGTCTAGAAGCAAAGGTATCAAGCTGAAGAGCCGAGCCAAGACCATCGGCAAAGAGCTCCACACACCACGAGAAAGCATGGCTGCCAACGATATGATGGTTAATTCTTATTGCCTACCTACATGTATGTAACTACATAATTTTGCCTCTCTACCCAAGGTATTTGCCATGTAGTAAGTACATACATGTAGTACCCATAGTACATGGCGAAGTCTATGTACATACATACTTACCATCGCATACATGTATATCACTCAAGTTGCCATAACCTCTTCCAAATCGAAGCTAGTTAGGTATGAAAAACCTCACCGCTTGAAGCAAAGATGCCATTCCTTTTAGTAATACCGTATATTCGAAAAGGTTTCCCATGCGGAATTGATAAAACCCCAAATAATTCGCGCTAGGTCATAATGAAATATCGTAAGATTCGGCATAATCCAATGCAACATCGGGTCTTAGATACTAGATTTATATCTCGGTCAGTTTAGTTTAGGTGTGGATATTATCATATCACATACAGTCATACACTACTGGCCTGGTTGAAAAGGCATAGCTCCATGAGTGAGTGAGTGAGTGGGGTTCCAAGGTCGGCAGGGGATTTAGTTAATCATAATTAGATGCGTACGTACTTGATATAGGTGGTATTGTACATGGTTATTGAGGTGACGATGCGGTAGAGGATGTCTTTGATACATACTAGTATGAAGTAGGAAAACATTCTCGAATGTTTCGAGAAGCCTTGCCTAACCACCTATTGTAACATACGTAAGGTCATACACATATATGATTACTCGTGGTGTACAAGACCGCAACACGCAGTAAGCAAGATGGGGAAAAGCAGATAGTCAAGATAGTCACATTTTGTTGCTTCTAGAAAAATATGATAGATCACAAAAATCTCCGCCGTAATTATGTTCCCCTAATCTACTAGCTTGGCTTTGCTCTTTACTCTTTTCTTTTTCCTCGTGCTCCAGGTTTATCCCTTTCCCTCCCACATGTTCTCCTTCCCTTTTCTGCACAAACTTCTGGAGACAGGTTTTGATTTAGGGCGGTTACGAAGCAAAAGCGCTCCCTTTTTCTTTTTCTTTTTCTTTTTTTTTTCTATTATTTCCTTTCTTTCCCACGTGCTGCGGTGACACCGGGACACGATGGTAGACTGGAGGCTGTTCCGAGTCCACGCAAGCTAAACACATGCCGGTTACAGAAATGGGATAGGCCAAGCGGGGTTTTCCTTTGCCAGCGACCTCGCGAGAGAGCCCTGCCAAAAAAAAAAACAGGGGTAATCATGCTGTAAGCTAGTATGAATGTGGGTATTTTAGAAGCTGGCCCTACAACAAGACGACCAAACCTCAAGGAGATGCCGGATGGTGTATGGTAATTTTGCAACACCCATGGACTTTCATGAGAAACGTCTTTGACGTCGTTAGATTGACTACATACCTACCTACCTACCTACCCGGTAGTTAATAGAGATAGTTATTCTATCGCGATGAATCGCATTGACTTGAGCCCCTTCATTTATCAGGACAGCACTGAGCAAAGAGGAAGACCACGGGGGCATGTTGCCTACATTGCACTATGTATGACTTCGCATCGGAGTCAAGAGCTCGTCTAGATATGAATCCCCGACTGTAACATTCTGCAACTGTGCCTAATCGGGTAGGTCACATTGAAAGCTCCCAGGTCGTCATATACATGTACAATGTAGGTCTTGTAAGTAATTATGTATGTATGTAGTTATTAGGTGCACGTCAAAGTCAGTCAGTCAGACGGCATGTGAACATTACATTGAAGGGATCTCTTTCTCGGGAGAGGTACATACTATGCCGTAATGGGCGGGAAGAAAAAAAAGCTCCCTTCTGCCGATGATGGTAGGTTGTAAGGAAGCATTAATAGATGCACATATAATAATGTACCTACATATACTCTACGAATAACTACCTAATAAGGGTCTCAGACTCTCAGGTTCATACATACATATTACATACATATGCATACACGAACAGGGGTCTTTGTATGTAAATAGCACATCAAGAGGGTCATCCTTTCGCAGCAAACAGCCGGCACCCCGCCATCTTACAGATCCGTCACGTTGGGTTGAAATGCGCGAAGCTAGATAATCTGATGAGATGCACACAGAGTGGTATTTTGTTTGGCTTACAGATGTGTATCGTGTATTGTGTTATTGTATTTAGTATATTACCTACTTCCTACATATCTTTATACATATTACATAGTAGCTTAATAGGCGCCTGGGCAGATGCAGACTACTAGACCTAATGTATACCCACGTTAAAGCCAGCTAATTGCGTATGTAGGTACAATACATACATATGCACTGCTGCAGGTATGTCCGTGTATCTGGACGGTCGGTCTACAACGTTATCCCTGGGCGGCTGCTTTTTGATAAGGGAGATATGCGAATCTTACATCTACCAGGTCTGAATGTACATATGTAGGCATGTATGTATGGATATATGTAGACCTACATATTACATGCACGCACGCTCGACATCCAGATGTTTTGACCCATATGTTACCCGTGACCGGGATCAGGATTAGATCATCTCGGATAGGGGCATGTGTCCCTGCAGAGATGGTGTGACCTGAGGAGCGAACGAGCTTGTAGCTTGACGATCACGCGCGGGTGGTGCTATGTAACTATGTATGAGAAAGGCCTGTTTCTGAGGGTTCTCGCAGCTTGTATGTACGTGCGGATATATATGTACCATAATTACTATGTAGGTATTGTACATACATACACACATACACACATACATAGGGTCATAGAGTCGTTGCTTATCATACATAGGTAGGCGAGACTCACATCGACACCCCACCCTCGAAGATATCTGCTACGGTAATCATGATGCTTGGAAGGGGGTGGGTGGTTGAAAAGATTGTATGTCTGGTGATGCGCCTCTAGGTCAATCTTGTCTAACCCCCTTGCTATAGCACTAAGTAAGAATCATCATCGTAGGTAGGAGGTAAGCCAAAAGGAGATATGACCGTTGAGTTGTTAGGGCGACGGATATGGACAACACTTCGCTGGCCGTTTTGATTAGGTACCGCATTGATGGTATTGTATTGTATATCTGTACTACAATATACCTAACTATGACATGGCTTCAATGGTAAGTAGAGATGCATGCAATGCGGATGGCCCTAGACGTTAGATAGGCATAGCTCTGCAGCAATGGTGTTATTAGTACCTACATAGATATGCTGCTTTCTGCGCGACAACGCAACAGCACACACCATATTACTCGCGGATAATCAAAATTGGAACGGCGTATTTTCCAGGTTCAGTAGAAAGTCAAGATGCCGCCTAGCAGCATGCGATCTCGAGAGAGAAAAATTGATAAGTGACGTTTCAACGTGTCGTCAGGGCTTTGAGTGATCGAGCCTCGTATCGTGTCGCGAAAGCTCCGGTCGTGTAACGATGCGATTCGCAGTATATTATATGGTCTAATTACTATTTCGCTATATTTGCATTTACCTATAGTTATTTATATTTATATTTATTTTTATTCTTATACACTTTTGTTTCATGTCGGTAATACTCTTTGCATGCATTGGTGCCCGTTTCCTATTTGGGCCCTCTTAAGAAATTAACCTAGGTTAGTGAGTTAATATTGTGCTGATGCGATTGGACATGTTGGATTCCATCTTGCCTACATGGTATTCCTTAGCAAGTTAGCAGGATTCGCGAGAGCTCTTGGCGGTATGAGAGTCTCTTTTGCCTACGAAACACCTCGTACCTTCAATGTTAGTACGAAGTAAGTAACTACTCCAGAGTCCAGGGCTGTATGTCCCGTATGTAGATATCTGCCCTATCAGCTCTGCATTGCAATTTTGATGACAACTCGATTCGAATTGCTAAGTTAAGCTGCAATACTTCCAATGCTTTCATGTTCCAATGGCAGTACAGAACATACCAAGCGGCTGAGACCAGTGGGGATAAGTATGGAGTGGCACTGGAGACATGTGGGTATGTCGGTATGAAGGAATAATCCTAGGTACCTACATACATACAATACATGTAGTTACGTATGATTCGTCAGAAACAGATGACAGGGCTGGGAGCTCTAGAGGTCTCTGTCGTCTGAAAGCATGTAAAAGCATGTATGCAAAAGGAGGTAGTAGTTACAGTACTATACATGGGTAATAATATGAGATGCCTGTTGATGCTGTGTAGGTAGGTACCTAGCTTATAATATTGTACAATACATATCCGATACTGTAAACACCAATGACCGCTAATGCAATGCCTATGTAGGTCCCTACATTACAACCTATGTATGTAGAGTACCCAGTACCGGTAGGTTTATATATTCCGTCATTTTTGTACCAATACCATTCCCGTCCTATTATTAGGATATTCCCAGTTAACCCATCGCGATCGCGAACCGAACACCTTGCATGGCGTCCTTTATGATCCTTATCCCGAAACACCAAACTCCAGACTTAGCTCCCTTTTGCCTTCGTTATGGCAGTCCAGTCTTCTGCTCTTCAAAGAGCGAAGCGAGGCCGTAAGCGTAGGGGGTTGCTTGAACCTAGCTACAATCTGAAATGAGCCAGCATCATGCTTAAGCATCCTTATATCACATATGCCGTAAAAAAAGAAAAAAAGAATAACCCTAGACATTCCCTCCACCCCTTCCTCCCAAAACATTATTTTCTCCGCATAGGTATCCAACTACATGTTCCAACGTTTGTCCGGTCAAATTTCGGCTTCGTCAGGGAGCGATAATATGCTCATTTAGACGTAAGAGGTGTGTCTCTTGCTTCGCCTGATCATATGCTCCCATGGTGGTGGAGAACGTGGTCGACAATCGGCTAGACATTGTAGAGTTAGCAAAGCAGTTATAACAAACAAACAAAGTAAGAATAATAGACCAATGTAGACGAATGTAGACATAGGTTGGACGTAGAGAGGATAGGGTAGACTCGTATCGGGAAGCTGGTGCATAGAAACAGAATGTGGGGGATTTCCCGGAATGTCGATGACTGCCAGAAAGATGCAAGAATCGGCAAGGATTGGAGAGAAGATGGAGGGGTTGAGCTTACAGCATAGTTCATCATGCCTAGTAATATGTCATCCGTTAGTTTACACCGGTCGAAAAATAAGCAGTGAGGATAAAACAATGTGCTGCAAGGCTACAACCATAACCACACAAAAAAGACTTACCTAACTTCCATATGCGTGACATTCGGCGCGCACACCTTGTTTGTTCTCTCGTACACTGAACACCACCTTTGTACCACGAAGCGGAAATGCTGACAACTGTATTCCACCTGATGAAGAATAAATCCCGTATTAGAAGATTACTAGGTAACTAGTTTGGGGGTCCTTTTATTCTTTTCTTTTGCTTATGTTGATATTCGGCAGTTGTGAGAGGGGGGGGGGGGGGGGGGGGGGGGATATACCTGAGTATAATCACACATCGTCGGGGCGAAGGATTAGAGCTGTTGGCGATAGTCGGAGGTTTCTCAACTCGACTCGGCTCAAGTGAGGTTATGTTTGTTTGTTTGTTTGTTTGTTTGTTTGTATGTTGTAGTTCGTATGTTGTGTGTAAGTGGATCGGAGGCGACACAATTCTTCTGGTGGATAACTATGTATCTAAGATATTTATGTGTATGTAGTTCTTCGGATTGTGCTACGGCCGCGCTCTAGAGTCTAGACTCCGCCAATGCCTAGTGTCGAAGACCTAAAAGTCTGGGGAATTGGGAAAAAAAGAGACTAAAAGTTATGTAGGTGGTGGTAGTAGCAGTAGTAGTGTATAAGTAAGGTAGATGGTATAATAACCTTGCGGTGGATTCTGTCTAGGTATTAAGAGTATGTAGGTCAGGTTCAATGTTGGCTTAATGATATATAGGTATATGTAAGGTATATGTAGGTTGGTATGTAAGTCTCGGATATCTATAGACAGTTCTAGGCACGTAGGCAATAATGAAGGAGGATCCAAGTGGGCGGAAACTCGTATGTATTTAAGCTTGCTGTATCGTCGATCGTGCTTTCAACCGTCAACCCGAGGAGAAGAGGCACAACACCAGGAACCCATGGCCAGGTGTGCCTGGATTCAATACAGACCACGCTACTTTGTTCAAGTGTGCCAAGACTCCATCGCATGCACCTATCATGGACGACATTTGGATGGGCTTGTTGATTATCGTCCCTGTACCATGATCCTTGTAAGACGAGACAGGAGTTATGCAGCCAGTCAAGATGCACTCATCGTAGGATAGGGTAGGATAAGTACTGGTATTCTAATATAAGATATTAAGATCATGTAGTATGTAACTAGTAACTATGTAGCTGTGTATTGTACAATTACGATACGATAACTACACCATGGTCTCCTAATACCTAGTAGTTTAATACCACTTACATCCTTACCAGGCTTAATTAATAACCTACTTACGATAAGTAGGACCTAGGTAGTTATTGTGTAGTATTCCGTGCTAGTTCTCTAACTGGCTTCTTGGCTCTTGGTCCAGTCTACGGTCTACCTACTTACATACCTAGGTCCTAGGGTATTAGAACAGAACACTAAAGGTCAGGTAGAGACCTGGTAGACTGAGGTGGTACCTAGCTCAGAAAGTAGCTCAGAAACAGAAAGCTGTGAGAGTCCACCAAGCACGATTCGCCCGAAGACCCATCTTCCTGGAACCAACGATTGACATCCACTTGTCACTGGCCTGACAAGGCGGGCCCCCTTTAGCGTTGGGCCCCCCGTCTAACCCTCTAACTAAGTAACTACCCAGGTCCTAACTACACTAATTGACAACCCTGACAGCCATGCAACAGGGACAACGAACGGACTATTCTCCGAGCTGTCAAGCATATGGTGCTTATTATGTACGTCAGCAACGCTGGAATGCCATGCCAGGTAAACTGCATGGAAGGGTCAATAATAGCACACGTATTATAGCAGCATCTGGCTTTGTGTGTTAAGGGTAATCTACAACTACATGTAGATATTTTATGTATGACATTTTACTTATCCTACATATATACATATCCTACATACATGTATCCTATCCTACCTACTCGAAACGGTTACACCGCTGACCTTGTATGCCTACGGCATCCTGCAAGGGAACACTACATATTAACACCGTAGGTAGTATGTACTGTGGAGGCTGGAATATTTGTGAATGTAGCATTGGTATTCATAGTATCCAAGCACAATAAAAATATCGTACAATACAATAAGTTCAATAACTACAAGTACCGTACCTACTTGCCTACATCTAGTTAGCTACATACTATGCAAGGAGTGCCGTGTTCAATGTTGTCACGACCAGGAATTCGGGCCAGCATCTCCACCATACGGCAAAATAGAAAATGGCCGTTGTTACGGTACATGGAGGGAGGCAGCTTAAATGAAAGAGGGAAGAAAAGCCCTACAATGTTCTCGATACGATGAAGGCAAAAATCAAGTGCCGTTCTTATTATTGTAATAGGTTAGCATGTACTCTGACATGTACCACGAGTAGTTGCTAAGATGCCCATTCTATTCGGGCTGTTCCAGAATGCCCAGTCTGCCAGTGCCGTAGTGCGACACTAAGCAGGCGCTGCGGCACAGTTGACAGGAGAAAAAAGGGGAGAAAACAAGAAAACCGATCGTTTTCGAAACATACCAGACCCATTCAACAGTCAATCCGAAGGGCGATACTAAACTAGGTAACCCTATGCAGCATCGCAGGCTGGCAGCACTTACAAGTTACAGTACAATACATACAGTAGATGCCTACTATGTAGATAGGGTACCGACCTAGAGATGGAGGCATGTAAGGTGACAAAATGATTCGCATGCCCAATCGAGGCCTTCTAAGGTTACGACTCATACCAATTCATTGCCCGACCCTTCTTGCACCATCGGAAGTGAGCTCTTCATCTCTTGGGCTATCGGAAAGGCATTATTGGGCGTAAGAAGGGAGTACCCGAGCAGATCCTACTTTATGACCACCTTGGCCAGAGCTTCGTAGACTCTATCTAGAGGCCCAAAGAGAGAGTCATCGCGTAATGCGTAATACATATCTCATACGAGGGCGTGTTCGGGCCAACTTAAGAACATGGGGCATGATTGTATACAAACACCAGAGAAATGCGCCCCAAGATTCATGTAGCGTCACTTACTACCTACATGACCTACCTATCGCATGTAGGTAGTGTACGCCATGTTCTTTTAATACATTGCATCGACGCATCGACGCATCGACGCATCCGTGTGCTGAGACACGTTTATCAGATGCTACATGTAGGGAATATGGTGTAGGTATCCCCACGATCTCACCCACTCAACCTACATACTACATGTAGATAGGTAACCTTGGAGGACTCCGGGAATATGCTCCTTCTACTTACATTAGTCATTGCGCAAGCGGTGAATCCTTCTTCACGATACATACATACATACATACCTGCCACGGCCCACGGTTAGTGCCTATGTACTTATATAGGCTAGGTACTAGGTATGTAGGTAGGCTGGTTTATCTTTTGGGCTTCCAGGAAGAGGTATGTACAAACGGCGGTGACCTCTCACAAAGGACACACAAAATACCTACCCTGATGGCTATACGCAGCCTAGTGTCATAGTAGAAGGTCAAAACTTGGAAAGCATCGTCAGCCCCAAAGGCTAGCACGTGGGCACCAAGATCGTCGTGGTCTCGATTCCGTCCTGCGATTCCGTCCTTCGATTCCGTGCAGCCAAGAAATACACAATAAGACCACCAAAGCTTAGCAAGGTCCACAAATGGTGGCTGAAATTTAAGACAGCTACACTAAAAGAACAGCGAAGACTTCCAGAAAGATGTGGATACCAGAATTTCTTACTACGACGTTAGTCATTCGCTTCATTCGCTTCGTCGCAATACCGAGTGCTCTCAACTCTTTTCACGAGACACTACACACATACGTACATGCCATACATGCCATACACACCATACTTGCATACAGCAGCTGATACTCAGAACATACCACAAGCATAGGCGGATACAAAAGCGGCAGGCTGTAAATAGGACACTTAATACCGTCATCGAGCCGCTCTAGCCACGAACTGGTACACGGGGTGGAGGGGAATAGGTAGGTAGGTAGGTAATATGTGGCTCTGTAGGTAGATGTCCTTGAAGCAGCACATTTCCTTCCTGTACGACGAACACCACGAATAAAATGACTCCCAAGATAGCCTAAGCGAAAGAAGCCCCGTGGACAAACTTCTAAGGTTAGTCTTTCCGAGTTTAGAGCGAAACGTTGCAGGGCCATCTCGTTTTTTTTTCATAATTCGAGATGAAGGCATCCATCCATCTATCACCATCACCAACACCAAACACGAATACCAATAAACCACACCAACAACTCCCTGTGTCTCATTTGGTAAGCCCCAAAACCCTCATTTTAGAAATGAAAAAAAAAAAACGGAAAACGAAAAATGCATCCCTAGGTAGGTAAGGTATTTGGGATGCGGGAAACGTACCGCTAAAGGGGCTTCAGCCACGTGTCTTGGCTATCCACCAGGTAAAGGAGACGCCGAACTGCGGATCATTTTGGCGCCCGTTGTAGTCCCGCTATGTGACAAACACTGGACGCGCCTTTTTTTCTTTTTTCTTTTCTCATCTGCTGTAGTAGCGTAAAAACTGACTCGTGCTGCCGCAGGCAGGCCTTCAAGCCAAAAAATGTCGTCAAATGTGTTGAACTACGGTTTAGCTAGGGGTGGTGGGTTATGACTTTTTTGATGCTTTCTTTCTTGTCAATCCCTTCCTTGCTCGTTCAGTCTTTGGTTTTGCCCATCTACCAATCTGCCTAACCTAGGAAATTTCATCCCATTCAGGTATTCAATACGTAGTAAGGATTCAATTGTTAATCCCATGGCATCATAAAGCTGGATCGTAATACACTCTATTCCTTGTCCATTGGACGGTACAGTCCGTGTAGCCAAAGTGGTCGTGCACACAAAAAAAACCCACAGGTAACCTTCCCCCCCCCAGAAGGATATCGCCATCACTTCATCATCAGCACAAATCGTCCGTGATGTCAATTGTTCAAAGGCAAGTGGAAACATGACGATCTTTCTTTGTAGTGGGTAAATTTGAAAGAGTCGAGAACAAATGCCCAAGTGTTCCTAGCCAATGAGAACAGACCCAGTGCAGCGTCTCGGGTCCGTTAAAGTGGTCTGAATCCATGTTACCGGGATGAATTAGTGGTATCCCGAATGTCGTACTCCACCCAAGAGGCAAGGGGAAGACAGTACCAAACCCTTACCAAACCCATACCCATTACCCATACCCATTACCCAAACCAAGCCAGCATACGATTCGTAATATGAAAATACTAGGTAATACCCGGACGCCTAGTTAGGAAACCGTAAACGGGACACATATCTACCTAGGTATGGTATGTAACCTAGGTAATAGGTAAGTAGGTAGAAGATGGTAATGAGGCTGTAGTAATAGTAGTATACCAAGATATGTAGTTAAGCATAGGCAGAATAGTTACTTATTACCTACTCACGCCGTTTTAACTTGGAAGAATTCTTGGTCCAGTTGGTGGTGGTGGTGGTGGTGCGGTTCGAGCCGAGCCATCCTGTCATAGTCGAGGTTTTATAAGTTCTTACGATTGCAAGTTAATGCCTACATCATTGTAAGGTACATTAATTATAAGTTACATATAACTAAAGAACATTGTTTTATTTCACGGGATTTTCATATTCTCTTCTTCAACCTCGCCAAGTGAATGACCCCCTTCAGTATACATATACTGGCTAAATAAATAAAAAGACCCTTGAAGGGAAAAAAAAAAGAAGGGAAAAAAAGATCGACAGCATATCCCATCTTCATCGTAGTTACATTCAAGCTCTTTTAGCTCAACCAATAGTCTTTTATCTTCGGAAGATGAATTAATAGATCAGGAAAGGGGCTTGGCAAGGTTCTCACTCACCACTCCGGTCCTCCCAAGTTCATACGTACCTACATACATACACATACACATACACATACACATACACATACATACACATACATACACTACAACACAGTACACTGCATGCCTTCGACCTTCGTGGGGCTCATGTGTGGAATAGAAAAGCAAGATGCCTACGTACATACATAGGATTCGCTATCAGGATCTTCGAAGCAGTGCCGTTTTCCCGTAAAATGTCATGCTCGGTCACCAGTGAACGGGTGCTGCGGGTGCGTGTGAAAAAAACCCTACGTACATGTACCAAGGTACTAGACTATGTTTCCGATGTTTGAGATATTATCACGCTATACCAAGACTCGTTGCAGCACTGTTTCGTCTTCATGTGACAAATTTCACAGCCTCATCTAGCTAAGGAGCTTGAGCTGTAACTAGCCCGTACCTGTCTCAACACCATAATGAATCGGCAAATCAATCAAACAGTCAATCAATCAGAGCTCGATGCGTCTATGGTTACATAGGTAGGTAGCAATACTAACACTCCACGCCCACCTGTTTACCCACAGTCGCTCTTCTGTGGCGCAGGTATGTAGCTTGGCCTCCAATGCAAATATGATATCTGATAACTCTGAAGACTATCATTTTCACCTGACACGAGATAATCCTCGAGCTATGAAGCATCTAGGTTAGTATAACTAGTTCTTGCTGCTCCATCTCTACACTAAATTAGATTGTAAGCTAGACATGCAAATGCCGGCTTCGTACTGGATTACGTAGGCAAGTTTGTCCACTATACAGTTCATACCTTATGTAGGTAGGTAGTAGGTACCCACGTACTTACATACATACCTCCGTTCATACATACATCCATGGATATCTTCGTCCGATGAGGCTGAGCACGAGGTATGTTTTGAGGGACTGAAGGGGTCACCCCAAGATGGAGATCGTGAGGGCTAACATAGACCAGTGTACATAACATCCACTTAAACCGCTTAGGTACCCTGCGTCTGTCTGCAAAGCTACTAGATACATACATAGCGGTATCCTTTTTTTCCCCCTCTGCGATCCTCTCCCACGATAACTTGATTCGTTACCAAAGACCCCGTCCTTGGGGGAACAGGCACCACGTGAGGAGGTGTTTGGACCAACCCAAGATAGCCAAAGCAGGACGGATGGACCGATGACCACCAATCCCACTTTGTTTTTGTGTATGTAGTTTAGCATAGTGCAGAAACATGGAGAGAGGAGAGCAACGTGTTTATCTAGCAGCAGCATTAGCCAAACCGCTTTTCTCCATAATCGAACACGGGCACGAGATCATACCTTAGCACCTGTCCTATCCCGTGAAGACGCTTAGGCCAGAGATCGGAGGATCAGACTGCGCATGACTAAGTTAGGTAGATATCTGCTAACCTAGTTGGTAGCAAGGCATACCTAGGTATTGTACTGGGTATAGATATTCACAATATGTATGTAGCTATCAGCGTACCTCGTAGAGCACAAGGGGAGTTATGTAGACATTCTGGGTCCACCTCCTCGTTTCACGTGTTAGAACTACGTGCTTGCTTATACGATGATACTTAGTGCCAGATTCTACTATGTTCAAAGCCAATTGATTGGATTGTTGTTTGTATTATCATTTCTACTACTTACCTAAGTATCTAACTACCTCTTACCCAGTGATCGTCAAGGTCAGAAGCAGAGCTTAGTACATACATACATACATACATACATACATACCTGACCTACATATGTATGTATGTAGCTCTTGCTGTCCACGTTGCACGGGCTCAATGCCTAACTGGTTATAGTATTTCTAAGAGTGCGGTAGATAGTTCTCCGTGGCACCATCATTACTCATACAAACCTGCCTCCGTATATGTACATGAACGTTAAGAGTATTGCGGGTCACCCTTGCTGTTACAGCTCTCAAGAAGAGGCATCTATAGCAAGGACATGGACATAATGTTTTTTGTTTCACAGTGGCACGACCATCGGACGACTCTTTAAGACACGAACGCTTGATAAGAAAGAGTTGTAGGTATGTAGGTATGCATGCATGCTGTAGTATAGTTATACCTATATAGACACACTCCCAAGGGATTATCCAGGGAGGGAGTGGTGATTGTTCTACACACGAACTCCCGTGTCAACATCCACACAAGGGTTACATGCATGCATAGTGTAGTTCACGGGCCATAGACCATGGGGAATTACGCACAGGCTTCAAGGAAAATAGGAGATTTGTGTTTTAGAAAAGATTTTATCTTTGAGATAGGCGCTTCTGTGCGGTTCCATTCGGAGTGGCTCACAGGTTGGATGGGCATCGTCTGCCTTGATTATTAAGACTTACACGTGTGCACGGTACCTGGATTGTAACTACTACTACAGACTACTATGTAGTAGTAGTACGACAGCAAGTCGCATTTATCCAGAATGGCTTTAAGGACTAGAATGAGACTTGAGTATTTCAAATATATTTCATAATCTTTATTAAGCCTCCAAGGTTGTCCAGATAGTTGAAACCAGAACTTCTATTTTCTTTTCTTCTTTTCTTCTTTTCTTCTTTTCTTCTTCTCAGATCGTAGATCTCTTCTGTTAACGCCTAAGGCAGCTAGACCTACTTTTACCCCAGATACTACTAGACGATATGGCTGCAAGATTGTGCTTCACGTTTGTACATACTCTTTTGTTTTCAGATAAGAAGTCTTCTGTCTTCAGACAAGAAGTAGGTCATGAATTGCAAACCGAAGATCGATCACAAACTTTGAGACGCATGTGGTTGGCAACTTAATAGGAATAGGAAAAGGAAATATGTAAGAATAGATACCTATACATAAGAAATCATGTACTACTAGTAGTAGGAAATCAATAACTACAAGGAATCAAAGGCATTAACCTAACTGGTTGGATCACGTGATCAACTGTGACCTGTTCGAATATCCCAATACTTGCATCGCACCATTTGGACTTCAATATCTACAATATCTACAACATCTACATCTATCAACTCACTCCAATGTTCAATACAAGCAACATCTCAAACAACTCAAGGAACATCACGAAGTCACCGTCAACTTCATGATGTCGTCCTCTGCCAGGGAGTCTGGCACGATTAGTACCTACCAGAGGTACAAACTCGGCCAGGCCCAATTTCAAAAATGGCTAAAGCAGGCCTCAGACAAGCTTCGTTTGGCCAGCACAGAGCTGGTGAACCCATCAGAGAATAAGAATAATAAGAAGGGTCCAAATAAACCAGTAAAAGGATCTCAGTCCAAGTCGAATCCTAATACTGCGTCTGCGGTCCACTGGTCGCAGCTGGAGTCCATGGCCGTTACCATCATAGACAAGTCGGACCCAGAACAGATCCCTGAGTCTGCGATTAAGATTCTGCGCGATGTCGTACATCTGCGAAAGAAGAGCGCGCAATTCTTCCGTTCAGCTGCTGCCAAGTCAGACGATGATAAGCTGAAGCAAAAGAATGTTACGCATGAGCACATCATCAAAGTCCTCGAGAATATATTGGATCGGTTCAATAAAGCCTTGTTAAAGCTACGTCGCTCGCCAGCCGAGTCGTCGTCCCATCAGAAAGAAGCCCAGGAAACAGATAGGCTAGGCATGGGTGATATCAACAACATGTTCGAGTATTTGAGGGTCGAGGAAACGCCCGACGGAGATTGGGAGATTGCCGACACCCTTTCCGACACAGAAGGGGCCTCTAAATCATCAAAGAAGTTGCATAAGAAGAACGGCAAGAAGGGCGGCAAGAAGCCGAAGAAACAGCCCAAGCAATCCCGCGCCTCCAAAAACACCACTTCCACAGGGCCTTCTTGGGTGGATACTTTCCGGTGGACAGATGATGACGAGGATGAGGAGGAAGACGAGTTCGACTACTACATGCTCATCTACTGCTACTTCCAAGACTTCAACTCCATCCGCACCTACGTCGAAGATCGCTGGATGGAGTACTTCTACCACAACTCCGTCCCGCTGGAGACCCTCGCCGTGATAACGAACGCCGCCTGCGAGCTATTCCACGGGATGGAGCACGACCTGCAGAAGACGGTGAAGGACACCCCGGAGCTGGCCGAGTACTCCATCATGCTGAAGACGCTCTTCTTCGACTACGGCCTGGACCACGTCGATTACGAGGGCGAGGACCAGCTGACGGAGTTCGACAGGAACTTCAAGATCCTAGGCGAGGCAGACTGGCTGGGCTTCTTCGCGTTCACGGGCGTCCAGAAACTGCTGGAGTTCATCCCGCCGGGGAAGGTGCCCATGTTCCCGCCCTCGGAAATCAAAAGCCCGCAGTATGGGCTTCTCACACCCGACGACTACCAGCAATTCGTGAGAGATATCGTGACGGAGCTTGCTACGGAATGCTGCCTCTTCAAGGCCATGAAGACGAACTCGCTAATCCCCATGGTTCTCAGCGCCCAGGACGAACTGTCGCTCGACCTAGAGCACATGTTCCGGGTGCGGGACTATGATTCCGCCTTGATCTTCGGCCTATCGATGTACATCGATATCCGCTACATGATGGAAGACCGGATCACCGACCACTTCAACCACCTGCAGGCCACAGCCGCCCGCGTCAAGGCCACACTAGAGAACGAGCTGCCCAAGATCAAAGGCCTCGGGTACATCAAGAAGGAGTGCCGAAACCGAATCGGCGAGATCGAGCAACTGATCATCGAGGACTTCGTCGAGGAGGACAAGAGCAGAAGACTGGCGGAGAAGAACATCACCGAGCCGATCGAGAAGCACTTCCTCCTAAAACGCGACCCCGTCTGGTCCGGCCTCCTCGCCTTCCGCTGCAAAGTCGGGCTGAACAGCATCGGCCACCGCTTCGCGAACGAGTCGACCCTCGTGCTCGGCGCCGCCTTCCTCTACGTCGCATCGCAACTCAGCAGCAGCAACTCCGCACCCGACCTGCACTGGCCCGCGATGGACCACCTCTTCCAAGCGCTCGGCGAGTTCCGCGTCCTCGGCGGCGTCGTCACCCCCGGCATGACGCCCCCCGACCTGCTGCAGAAGTTCGTCATCTCCAACCTCGCGACGCAGCACTCGCGCACCGAGTTCTTCAGCCCCTCCCGGTCCCTCGAGGCCCTGTACAAGCGCTACGGCGGCAACGCGGACCCGCACCTGCGGTCCTCGCGGGCGCCCTACCACCAGGAGATCGTGCGCGAGCGCCTCGGCAGCAGGTCCAAGAACCCGACCAGCAGCGACCCGACGCGCAGGAGCGTCCGCGTGACGGAGGCCGAGGCCGCGCTGCTCGCGAGGGTCTCCCCGGTGCAGCTGCTCGAGGTGCTGGACGAGACGACGACGTCGCTGCTCGAGAACGAGCTCGCGATCGATTACTTCGGGCTGCACCACCAGAGCGTGCGGCTGTTCCGCGCGCTGCTGAAGGAGTTTGCGGCCGAGGTGAAGGCGGATAGGGAGGCGGCTGGGGCGGGGCTGTTGGCGCTGGGCGAGGAGGAGGTCGATATGGGTAAGGTGAGTAAACTGGCTTTGATGGTGCCGGTCGTGTATCGCGCTTGGGTGGAGGGGAATGCTGGGGAGGTGGCGAGGAGGTTGGGGAAGGTGGTGGCGGGGTTTTGTGAGGCTCTGCGGTAGGTAGGAGGAGGAATGTGGTTTGGGGTTGGGGCATGCTGTGCTTGTGACACTTGCACGGAGAGAACTCCGCTTCTACTTCGGTAGACGGGTAGTGATACAAGCAGTGCTAGCAGTGCTGTTACCAAGTACCTAGTGGCTATGTGGCTATGTGGTCGAGGTCGAGCACACATTATGTAGCAAGATAATGTTCCATAATAGAAGCCCACCCATACCCAAACGCCGCGTGCCAGCATATACATAGCAGCCATGCATCACGTAAGGTAAATGAGAGTATCTACACCCTCCGCAACATCTTCATCCTCTTCTCCGCCTCCGCCATCGCCACCTCATGCCCCAGCGCCGCGATCTGCTCATCAGCCTCCTTCATCGCCCTCCTATGCTGCGTAGCGTCAATCGGCCCCAGGCTTCCGCTTCCATTCCCCCCCCTATCCCTACTCCCCATACTGTTCTTCCTCGCGCGGTCTAACTCGGCTATCTGGCTCTGCACGTGATCCATCTCCCGTTGGTGCCTTCTAGTATGCGCCTCCGCCCCTTTCCTCGCGTGCGTTAAGACTTCTCTCTTGTCGCGGCTCTCTGTCACGGCGTCGTTGTAGGCATCTTGGAGTTTCTGCTTTTTCACAACCCCCCCCCCTTTCTCCCCCTTCATCATCATCATCATCATCATAAGCGTCATCCCCCTCTTCTTCTAGCTCCTCCAACTCCCTCATCCTAGCCACAGCCCTCGCCATCGCACCATCGTACTCCCTGTCCAGAGCAGCGAGCTGTGCGTCTGCTTCGGCCATGGCCGTGGCGAACTCCGCGTTGGCTTTGTCCTGCGATTGTTTGAGGCGGGACATCGCGGTGTCGAAGTCGGTGGGCGTAGAGGTGTGAGACATGCTATCTCGTTGATTACATGTAGGTATGCAACGATGGTGTTTGGAGTAGGTACCTACTTAGTACTAGCTAGGTATGTATACCTTGATGGTAAAGATCGCAGCAGAATGTTAGTTGGAGCAGGGGAGGAGCTCTAACTTTGAACTTACCTACCCTAGGTACAATACATATGTAGGTAGATATAGTACTACTATGTACTATGCAGTGTATGTACCCCATGTGTTAGCCACCTGCTAGCGTAGCTATGTTGTACCTCAGCTCGACCTGTGACGTCATACTACTAGGTAGGTAACTACCTTGCAGCTAGCTAACAGGGTAGGTATGTAGCTCTAACAATATCGAAGCTTCGCTTCCCCGGCATTCAGGTACAGGTTTCTCCCCCTGTCTAGTAGTACCTTGCAGCTGTCATCATGTGCCCTTATACATAGTACTCCAAACAAGGATTTATGCAAGAGTGACAGCGTCGGGAGGCACGGTATTAAGCCAATTGCAGAATAGAGAATAGAGGAACGAAAGGTTAAGCGACCTAAAACAGTAGCGAGGTAATAGATCATGGGGAAATGCCTAGTATGAAGTCTAGACTCCTGTCACTCCTAAAATCCACCTTGTACCAGTTCGCTCAAGATCAAAGATGGTTTTTTTTTTGGTTAGAAGTTATACTGGCGTTGATCATACGTACTGACCTACCTTAGGTACCTAGCGGGTGTATGAGCAGAATGATTTGGATCTTCAAATATCTGCCTACTTGTACTCAAACTAGGAGGTGTAGTCCCAAGCTTACGATACCATCATACCTACCATCACAATCATCGTGGATCCTTAGGTAGGTAGCTTCTTGATTGCTCTTATAATAAATGATGTCGGTCTTGGGCTTGATTCCTCAAGCCTTCTTAGCGTCTAAATCGTCATCCATGATATTATGCGCGCGCAAAATATTGTAATGCTTGAGAGCCTGACAGATATATATATCCATCGTGACAACATCACAAAAACTCCCCTGTAAACAACCCCTTAGGATCCCAACTCAGCTTCAAGTCACAGTCTCTGAAGGCGTCTCCCCCCCTTAAATCGCTCCTGGCCCGGTGCCGTCCTTGAGAAGTTACCATAGATAGAGTAATCACGCTTATGCTGACACTGTCGAAGATGCTCCTTGGACTCCTAGGCTAGGTATCCCATCTGCATAATCGAGCGCTCCCTCTCGGAGCTCCAGCAGAGCTTACAATATCTTCGATTTCATTTCCGGTAGTTGGAACAACCACTGCGCCAGGGGCCTCTATGTCTACGCCAGTCCATCGTGTGAGGGATTCTTGGAGGTCGACTTTCGACGGGATGACCCATATCTTGGACTCTTTTGGAAGAGTAACATCTCTAGGATTCTTGATGAAGGTATCAATTCCCATGATTCAAACCCTATAATTATAGGAGGCGGATGAATGGAGTTGTAGCCTTCTCAAATTACCTACCTAAGCAGTAACTAAAGATGCCATTTTCCTCGCTACCTAGCATAGGAAGCATTAACCGCCCTACTGGGACGTAATGAGTTAGGTTAGGTAGGTTAAGTGGAGTGCTGCCCCCTTTTCTCAATCCAGATAGAACGTAGGCGTAAATACGTATAAGCACTAATTAGGTCTCACCAAAGGTCTCATATCATGGGACAGACCCTGATGCAGACATGGCCCCGCAGCGTCACGTGATACCCTTCGGTGGCACACGTGCGTTAATATCAAAACGGTCAGCATTTAAGCTCCTATGGAGGACCATCTTGACAGAGAGATGAACGCTTCTTTTAGATTTGGCTTGGTGCCTAACCTATGTTTGCTGCTGGGATAGCAATATCACAGCTGTTGACGGATTAAAGAAAATTATAGAAATTCTTGATTCAATGGATCAGCCTCGGCATTTCTGTGATGATGTTATTTAATATGAGATTCCGTTAATACGAGATCGATCTTGATGTTCTAGGTCATAGGAAAGGAAAGGAGTACAGCACATGCTTTCTCATATAATCGTATGAGCACGCACGCAGATACCTATCTTGCGTATAGCGCGTGGGAGGCATGGCGCGGGGGCGGGGGAGGGGTGAATTAAATTTAGGTCAATGGTATGTAACTACTACACTAGATACAACTAGCAGTACCTACCCTAGGTACCGAAGGTAGCCTATTTATTTAACAAATTTTTTTTTTAATTTTATGGGCATCAAGTGTGGGGGTTTTGTGTTTAGCAGCACATCTATGCATGCATTTTTGCATTTTTGTGGTATCTCAGAACTTGATTTCTCACTCGTACAAAAATTAAAAAATGGTGTTCCCCTCAGCTCATACCATTAGTCAATTAAATGGACTTGTGGTCCTTAGGCGACTTCATGTTGGTCGTACTGCAGTATCAGTATCAGGTACTGGAAACGGTTTGAGGGGTATAGCGTTAGGTACTTGTACCACCGCTACAGGTACCACCACTGCAGCGGATGCGGGTTTAAGTTTCACATGCAGTTCTAGCAGTTCTAGCAGTTGGAGGAGAAGCTTAAGCTCAAGCTGTAATAGAACATTGAATTCCTCCTTCTCCTCCTCATCATCTTCATCTTCATCTTCCTCAACCCATTTTACCAAAAACTATACAACTCTGCCCATGCCCATACCACCCTCCTCCTCGCGAATTGATTGCTTGTTTAAGTCATTGGGTAAAAGTCACAAGACATTTAGTATACCTTGCCGATCTTTTACCTGTACACCTGCCACTTTCGTCTTGATCAATTCGCAACATCAATCTAAAGGAAGATCCAGACCCCACCTCGACTCATACCACCACCAACACCAACAACGCCAAAACCATTCTCTTTCTTCCTCTTCTTCCTCTCTTTCTTGCCTTACTTATTCCCAACGGCGTGCAATTCCTCGATTGCGTACAAATATACCTGCACAGGTATACCCCAACTGTCGATCCTTTTCTTCTTCTCCCATAGTCTCTTGCGCGGCTATCATCCCCTCCTCCATCATGGCGGACCGAGACGTTCTTCCCCCCACCGTCACCCCCTCTCACTACAATCTCTCCATTTCCTCTTTGAACTTCAAAGACTGGTCTTTCCAAGGCAACGTCGACATTGACATTGCTATCGCCGAACCTACCAAGGAGATTGTCATCAATTCTATTGAGCTCAAGTTACTCACTGCCAAGCTTATAGCCGACCCCGCCAACCCATCTTCGTCCGTAGAGACCACAAGCTTTAACTATGACGAGAAGAAGCAGCGTGCTACCCTCGTCTTTGCTGACGAGATCCCGGCCTCCAAGAAAGCATCTCTCCAGATCACCTTCCAAGGAAACTTGAACAATGATATGGCCGGATTTTACCGGAGCAAGTATAAGCCCACCGTACCTGCTGCAGATTCCGTCCCTAGAGATGAGAACTTTCACTACATGTTCAGCACCCAGTTTGAGGCCTGCGATGCTCGTCGTGCTTTCCCTTGCTTCGATGAGCCTCGCCTGAAGTCTACTTTTGACTTCCAAATCGAAATTCCGGAGGATCAGGTTGCTTTGTCGAACATGCCCGTCAAGGATATTTCCAAGTCTAGAGATGGCTTCGTGAATGTTTCTTTTGAGCGGACTCCCATTATGAGTACCTACCTCTTGGCTTGGGCCGTAGGCGACTTTGAGTATGTCGAAGCTCATACCGAAAGGCGATACAATGGAAAGCAGATCCCTGTACGTGTCTATACTACCCGAGGCCTGAAGGAACAAGGCCGCTTTGCCCTAGAGCATGCCCCCAAAACCATTGACCTATTCTCCGACAGCTTTGGCATTGAGTACCCACTTCCAAAGTCTGACTTATTGGCCGTCCACGAGTTCACCCACGGAGCCATGGAGAACTGGGGTTTGGTGACCTACCGCACGACAGCAGTCCTATTTGACGAGAAGACATCGGATGCCCGGTACAAGAACCGTGTCGCATATGTCGTAGCTCACGAACTAGCTCACCAGTGGTTTGGAAACCTTGTCACCATGGACTGGTGGGACGAACTCTGGTTGAACGAATCATTTGCCACCTGGGCTGGCTGGTACGCTGTGAACGAGTTTCATCCTGACTGGCAAGTCTGGGCCCAGTTTGTGAACGAGGGAATGGAGATGGCGTTCAAACTTGACGGAATGCGTGCCTCGCACCCTGTTCATGTTCCCGTCAAGGATGCTTTGGACGTGAACCAAATCTTTGACCACATTAGCTACCTCAAAGGGTGCTCTACCCTGCGAATGCTGGTCAACCACCTGGGAGAGAAGACTTTCCTTCAAGGAGTAGGTGCTTATCTACGGAAGCACGCCTATGGCAACGCCAAGACCGAATATCTTTGGGAGGCATTAACCGAGGCATCTGGGACTGATGTGAATGGTTTAATGAACAACTGGATAGAAAAGATTGGCCATCCGTTATTGACCGTCACCGAGGACGAGCCCGGGAAGATCTCAATTAAACAGAGCCGGTATCTATCAACTGGTGATGTGAAACCAGAAGAGGATGAGACTGTATGGTGGGTTCCGCTCTCCCTACAGGGCAAAGTCGGACAGCAAGATATTCAAAGGCTAGCTCTCACGGAAAAGAGCACGACGATTAGCGACATCGACAACGACTTCTACAAGATCAACAGCAACGCCACTGGCTTCTACCGAACAAAGTATACTCAGGATCGTCTGCAAAAGCTCCGCACGCAACTTGACCGTTTAAGCAACGAAGACAAGATATCCATCATCGGCTCCGCAGCCGACTTGGCCTTCTCTGGTTACGGTAACACCCATGCTCTCCTCTCTTTCCTCGAAGGGTTTGGAGGTGAAACCAACCAACTTGTGTGGTCCCAAGTTCTTGATTCCTTAGGCTTGGTGAAGACCATCTTTGGCGATGATGAGGCAATTCGGCTCGGCCTGGAGAAGTTTATCTTGAAGCTTGTCAGTGATGCAGTAGAAAAGCTTGGTTGGGAGTTTAGCGAGAAAGAGGACTATCTCACAGGCTTGCTGCGGAAGAGACTTTTACTCAGCGCCGCAGGAAATGGACATGCCGAGTAAGCACTCCTTGACACAGAGAATGCATATGTAGTGACTTTCATTTGACTGACCAACCAATGATTTAGGGTAATCAAGAAGGCCACGTCGTTGTTTGACGACTGGGTCGATAACGGAACCCCCATACATCCAAACTTGCGAACCGTGGTCTACCGCACCGCCATCAAGACCAACCCTGAAAAGGCCGTCAAGATCCTAAAGAAAGAATGGTATAACGGGACATCCATCGATGGAAAGGAGGTCTGCCTATCCTCGCTGGGCCACGTCCGCGACCCTGAGATCATCACCAAGAACCTTCTACCCTTCAACTGTGACCTGTCCCCGCCCGCACCCCCCTCGGAATCTGTCCCCTCAGGCGACATGCACTCCCTTGGCAGCGTACTGGCAACCAACACTGTTGCGCGTCCCCTTCAGTGGCAGTACATCCGCGACAACTGGCAGCAGCTAACGACCAAGATGGCGAACCCCGTCGTCCTAGACCGCTTCGTCAAGCTTACGCTGCAGAAGTTCACCGACGCCAAGTACATTGACGAGATTGACACTTTCTTCCAGGACAAGGACACGAGTGCCTTCGATCGCACGCTTGAGCAGGTTAAGGATGCTATCCGTGGCCGCGCTGCTTACCGCAAGAGGGAGGCCGAGTCCCTTAAGGAGTGGCTAGGCGCTAACGGCTATCTAACGACAAGTTCTTAGAGTGAAAAACGGCACGAACATATTGGCATACCTCCATATGTAAATACTAGGACTCCTATTATCCAGTTATAGGGGAAAGCCATGGAGCATATATAGTCAGCTTAGCTTAGCTTAGCTGCCGTATAACAAGCAGATGACATAAGTGAATAGAAAAATCAAAACAAAAACAAGCTTTCAATCAAGTCAAGTCTACCAAGTGCCTAGTAATCAAGTATAGGTATTGATCTGTGAAAACCATTCTTCTATGAAGAATACACTAGGTTAGCCATAATAAAATCATTGGGATGCATGTATTTATTCCATCCAGTTTAGAATGATTCTATCGGATACTCTTAGGGGGTTCCCGCTACGGTAAACTTGCCTCTCCCTAATAACTACATCTATAACCCACTTGTTACCTACCTCTAGCCTCTAGGTACTTACGATGTATGTATGTACCTACCTACTTCTACCCCTTACCCTCTTTCAGTAACCTACATATGTAACCTAGGTAGGTAGATGAAGAAATAAATCTCCTGCCTTGCTTGCTTTGCTTCATTCATTCATTCACATGAGCACCTACCTACCCAAAGTACCTACATAAGAAATAATCACAGATGGCATTGAACATCATCAGATGCATCACATAGGTAAGCATACGCGCCTAGGTTAGGTTAGGTACAGTAAGTACCTTAGGTAGGCACTCACTCTCCAGCATTTAACAAAACCACCATCGAATCAATCAATCATTTCATTTCATTCATTACCATTTCATTTTCAACTCAACTCCAGCTTTCTCTCATCCACATCTGGAACAACCTGCAAGCCTTAAAGTCCGGGGCTCTTGATATTTTCTTTCTCGCTTTCTTTGTATTTCTCCGGAACGCAACCGTAGCCGTAACCGCAATCGCACGCAAATGCTACCAGACTTTTATTTGGGAAGGGGTGGGTAGGTAGGTAGGGGGTTAGACGGAAAAGGGGAGGGAACAATACAAACGCGAAGGGATTTCTCTTTTCCCATCGACCAAACCAACCGAGCAGCCAACCAGCCAGCCAACCAACCAATCCATCCATCCATGGGTGTAGTAGTAGTAGTAAAAAATGCCTGTGATGTGTATGTGTATGGTATAAGAAAACCCGACGCCCGTTTGTTGTTCCGCCTCCTATTTCCCGCCTCACCCTTCCCCTTCCCCCTTTTCCCTCCAGAAACCGTTAAATCAGAGAAGGGTCAAAAGCCGTCGCCGATGCATGATGACCATTACCATACCATGCTTTCCTCCTTGTAATGCCCTTATTTTCCGTTTTGCGTTGTGATTGAATTTCGTTCATGAATACACACGTACACTAGGACGAACTAAATCCCAGTGCCGTTATAAGAGGTTGTACCTCCCCCTTCATGCCCAACTACCCTACCTATTGGTTAGGGGGTATCCAGATGTAGTCGATGGAAATGAGGCAAGTGGGTGAGTGTCAGCGCCATGATTGTCGAGCCAAGAGGGGATCCCGCGAGAGGCGGCAATAAGATCGACGGGAACTGACGCGGGCTCGAATCCTCTACGATTCTTCATTGCGCGGTCTTCCTCCACGCGCGCCGCCCGATCCACCCCGACCACGTCCGCGACCTCTTCCACGTCCCTCGCCGTGGTGACCTCGGTAACCACGGTACTCTCCTCGGCCGCGTCCTCTCCAACCTCCTTCCCGGTCGCCGCGCTGGGGTCGGTTACGTTGGACTTGATGAAATCCGTCATGAGCTTGAGCAGGGGCCTGATTCTACCCGAAAGTTAACAACATCCTCTCTGGAAGCATAGCCCCTTCAAGCAACTGATACAGGGTATGGTGCACTGGGTTAGTATCCACTCACCTCCGTGGGGGGGTTTTCAGGCTGCTCATCAGCCCAAGACTGGACGTTACTGGCAGCGGCGGGAGTGGCCGTTAAGCCAGTCTCGGTCTCGGTAGGGTCTCGCGGGACCTTGACCCACTCTTCTTGAGAAGGAGAGGCGCTTAGGTCATTGCTAGCATCCCACTGGGATTCAGCTGCCGCATTAGCAGCGCTATCCGTGACATCCGCATTGTCAGTAAGGCCCGAGCCGGTTCCAGCTTCAGCATGGCCATTGGTCAACGGGGCTGGAGTGTCAGAGTAATCGATCTCAGTAAGGCCAGCATAGGCAACGGTAGGGTCGGTTCCGTTCACTTCCGCAGTCTCCGGTGCGTCTGCCTGCTCGATCTGATCGTACTGGTCCACCAAAACCTCCTGGGAGAGAGCCCGGACCTGGGCAACTGTGAAATGGTTAGAATGAAAAGGTAGCAAACATCATCTCATACAGCAACGTACATGAAGTCTGAAGCTCATCTCCATCAATACTGAACGTCTTGTCTTCGGAGCCTTCGATGAGTTTCAACATAGTAGAGACGGCCGGCTCGTCTCCCTTGTAGACACTCAATAGAACACCCTCTATAGCCCTATTCTCGTCTGCAGCCTGATCAAACTCTTCTGATCGTCGAGCCGCAGCCAGTCGGAGAAACTGTGACAAGACTAGTAGACTATCATGTTGCACAGTCACAGCCTCAGCCTCGGCCTGTGCCTTGATTTCGTTGATCGCATCGGCCTTTTCCTTCTCGTACTGGTCGGTCAGAGTCTTCGTGATGGTAGCCTTCTCAGCGGCGGCGCGGGATCGGTAGTCCTCTTCCACCTTCTTATACTGAGCCAGCTGCTCCTCCAACTGAGCAAGTTGGGCTTCTAGGTGGGGTTTCTTAAGGCGCTGGGCGCGCTGGTCGGGGTTGATAATCTTAGCTTCGACAAGCTCTTCCAGAGACTTTCCCTTATGCTGGTCGATTATACCATCGGTTTTAGAGGCATTGGTCTTTAGAGATAGATATAGTTAGATACAAGGGTACACATTTCGTGAAAGATTGGGTTGCAATGTGGCGCAACCAACAGCTTACAATTTTCTTGTTGATATTACGAATGTTCCTAGCAGTGGTGTTAGTAACGAAGAGAACACTAGATGGTACTTACCTAGTAGGTAGCTAGGTAGGTAGCGAGGGTGGACTGACTTCTGAAGTTCGCGCACATATGGACTCTCGGAGCTATCGTCCTGTCCATCTTGAGCAGAGAGAGAAATAGGCTTCTCAGCTATAGACAAGGCAGAGGGTGCAGGAGATTCGGTTCGCTCGAGTCTGGCCTTCTTCTTCTTAGCAGTCTTAGATTCAGTCTGAACCGGTGGGTTTTGAACAGATGCGGAAGACATGCTGAAAGATGTATGATTGTTGTTTGAAGATGTATGAACGTGTGGTTTTTTTGGTGGGATGAGATAGATGGTGGGGGTTTTTTTTCGTCACTTTTTTTTTTTCGTCGGTATTCGTTTGCTCGAATTGTGCGAGGTGCAGGACTGGTGGTTTGTTAGGTAGCTAAAGAAGAGGTATGAAGTAATAGCTATAGGTAAGTAAAAATAATAATAGGAGGAAGCAAGAGTTCTTGCACAATAATATTGGTTGGATGGTATTTAGGTTGTTCTAGGTTACGTAGGTGGTTTTTGTGTTGTATTGTGGAAAAGGTGGGATATGTAGGTTGCATGTAAGGTAAAATAAAAATAATAGTTGATGTATTGTACTGGGTAAGGTCCTCAGGTGCTAAGGTTCTAAGGTTCTAGGGTTCTAAGGCATCCATTCTAGTTTTTTGGACTCTGGAGTCTTGGAAAACCAAAGTGGATTATTGCTGTCATTTTTCTGCAAGTGCGACCTATGCTTGCCATTTGACCTTCAACTTTCGGGTCCACCCGTTGAATCTAAGATGCCCTTACTTTTTAAGCCCTTTTTAAGCCCTTTTTAAACCCTTTTAGGCCCTAACGTCCCCCTCACCCTCACCCTCCCCTCATCCGCCCCCAATTCACTGGCATTCAGCTATATGTATTGTTATTGTATTCAAGGTTGTATTGTATTGTATTGTACACTCCTAGGTATGTATGTGGGTGCTTGTCCTATGTATGTACTTATATCTATAGTGTCCAGGGAAACGCAGCGAAACCCTAAGAACCCTTAGTACATATCATGGATGTATGCACCAGCTCACATTTGAACTCGAAGACATTGATCCATGCTTGGCGTGCATTGCATGCTTTTATAGCTATTTACCTAATATGCCCACTGCGTGCTGATAGGCCCAGTGACTTATTGACATTATAAAGTTCAATCTTTGCGATAATATGTACGTATGCAGTGTACGATAATTGGTAGTCGGGAGGCTCTCACTACTTTATCCCTTAAACTTGGCCAGAGTATCCTGTCCAACAGTTAGCATTCAGTAGCTAAATAATACATCGGGAAGATCTGAAAGAAAAAAAAAGAAAAAAAAAAAAAAGAATATCCCTACCGCGGTAGCCTTCTTGACACTCCTAGCGCTAATGCCCCTTTCTCCAGCTTGCTTCGCGTCAATAGCTGACTCCTTCATAAGCCTGTTTTCATATGATCTTGTCAGCCTTGCTTGCCCCCTTACTTAGGTACCTGGATAATAAGACTCAATAGTCTCATGAAAGAAGCAGATCTCTTACGTTTGCATGAAGAGCACATAGTCGAGAAACATCTGTTGGTGGTATGTGGGGTTAGATGGTTGTCGAGAACGGTGGTAGGATAGGTTTACATACCATGACATCGACGTTTTTGCTGACATTGCATTTTGAATGCGCCTTCACGATCTTCTTCACCGTCGCCCTTGGGTACATCTTTTGGCCCGGGGCCATTTTGAAGTGGTGGATTCAAGAAGAATCATAAAAAATAATTTTTGGTGTAGTGTGATGTGATCAAGATGGCGTCGCGATGTATGTATGTAAGTCGTTTTTGTTTATTATGATGAAGTCAAGACAAACTATGCAATTACAGAGTAACTACATAAGTTAGTAACTAGTTGCATAAGATATTAATATGGGTCTAGGTGTATGTAAGTTGGGCCACTCCACCAATCGACATTAGCTGCCGCCTTCGTACCTACATGTTGTACATACGTACCTCGGGAGCTTGGGCCAACCTTGGTGTCCACCCTGCATAATGCAACTCAATGTTGCAACTTTCTCGTGGCAAAACGAAGCAGATCCCCAATGGAGGGGTCACATGCCTGAATTAACTTCAACTGTGCATGCCACTATCATCAACATTATACCTAGTACTAGGTACCTAGTAGGTAGTATATGTACCTAGTAGGTACCTAGTAGTACTACATGTATCCATCATGTAGTCAGGAGCATCGATATCACGATGCTACACCACATTTCATCTTCAAAGAAACAATCACTGCAAGATGGAAGAGATCAAGAACCCTTATGTAGGTAGAAGAACTTGAATGAAGCTACCTATTTTATCATATCCGCGACTCCATGCGTCGCAAAGTCACCGCAAAGACACCTCCTCCCTAGTATCCTTCTCCTCCTCTAGGTTCCGTGTCCCTCGGATCTAAGCGGCAGCAGGGCTGACGAAGAGGACCTGCTGGCCGTTGGCGTTGAAGTGCAGAGTCTCGTTCTCCGCAACCTCCTTGAGGTTAGTCTCGCAGCAGGTGTTGAACTGTAGATGTGTTAGCAGGGCAAGTCAATTAGGTCACTTCTACCTTGGATAGGTAGTGATGGATGAGAAAGAAAGGTTCAACTTACACTCTTGTTGGTACAGGCCTTGCCACCGCTGCAGTCGGTGTTCTGGCAGAGAACACAGTCGACCTGGCAGCAAAAGTAGGCGTACTGGTCAGTCTTGACAGAGCCGACATCAGTGGGGACTGGGATGGGCTCAGCGCCGGCAAGGATTGCGAGGGATGCAGCAAGCATGCCTCCAATGAGACGGGTGCTCGAAAGGAAGTGCATTTTGACTAGTGCTGAGACTTTGTCGTTTGAATGGTGTTGAAAGTGTTTGATTGATTTGTTGGAATATCAATGATACTCGAAGAGATTGGCTTGCGAGTGTGTGAGTTTGCGTATGGAAAGGTTGCGTGGGAGAGAGTTCCAAAGGGTGTGAGGTAGGTATTTATATAGTTTTCCCAGTCCCCACTCCAGGAGCCGATACTTGGGAGCAAACAGCGTGCCTGAGGATAGAACTCATGCCTGAGGCTTGATTGTTCACTGTACAGTCAGGCACACGATGGAGATGCCTTAGGAAGTCGCGGGTGCTCGTATATGCGTCTATTGTTTGCAAGGCACCTAGGGTACCTAAGGCACGCCTCCAGTTTGTTAACCCTCTCAACGCGCACCTTCCGCCGGCAGGAACTCAGAAAAATCACTCAGCGGCCTTTATCATTGGCGGAGCCAGTACCGTGCCGGATATATAAAGTTATTTGACGGCAGGAGCGTTGGAGATGACTGGAATATCATGATGCCTGAGTCACGATTTGAGGACAAACAGCTCAATACCCCTGGACATCTTACATAGCAATTAGTACGGAGGGATGACTGTGCTCAAGTAATGTACTATCGTTCTTTCCCATAATCCATCAGCTTTCCTATTCTTTGATACGGCATGAAGAATTCATCTCACAGTACCTTGTTAGAGCCGCATCAGATACGCAGCAGAGAAAGCGAGTCCTACTTGTTCACGTAGATGAGCCCCATTGCTCGCCCCTATCTAGATTCCCATCACACAAAGATATCCATTGAGTATTTATATAGCTACAGAAACGTCACGGCTTCAGTACTGACTAGGGGAAGTGATATAAATGAAGATCGGAAGGTACACCACTAGTATAATTGCTAAGTGTTTGAGATATATACGCAGAGACCCAGTAGTCGAGCCAACAGACGAAGAAACTCCTTCTGAGCAACGGCCTATACTTGGTTGAATTCATGCCCCTATACTCGGAAAAGTAACACTACCTAGACATTAATCAATAGCATCCTTCCAATTCGTAAACCTCCAAGGTTATGACAGAGAATGGTTATACGACACCGAGGATGTTCAGTAGCTTTGATTATGTTGCCTGACTAGATGTTTTATTTTCCTCCCTTCTTAGATTTGGTGATCATAACGAGCTCCTATTTGGTAGCGTGACTTAGGCGTACTAACCTAGATATGTCCTGTGAGCGACAGACTAATCCTCCAACAACGAACTATGCTAATACAAGCAAAGAATTCTTTCCAAGGCATTCGAAAACTCAAATATCGGCAACTAGCCCCGCCGCTTCCTCCCTCCCCACGATCCTCTCATCAACATACACGCCCAACACGCCGCTCCACCGCTCAGCCAACACGCACGCAAGCAAGTGCTTGCAGCACGGCACCCCTGCAATATCAGAGCCCTCTATGCCGTCAAGGCTGAGGGCTCCAAACTCCCACCCATCTCCTCCCCCATTTTCAAATAGGTGATCTTCTTCTTCCGCGTCCCTGTCTGTGGGGAAAAGGGGAGGAAAGGGTGGGTTGATGGTGTAGCCATGCTGTTGCTGCTGTTGCGGTTGTGATTGTGATTGCGATTCTTCCCTTGGAAACGCGGCAAAGGCAAAGGCAGCGCATGAGCAATTCCAGGACTGGGTGCGCACCACATAAGAGATACCTGGCCGCGACGAGGCAGAGTCGTGGCGGTGGTGTCGGCGTGGGTGTGTGGGTTGCACCGAGCGGACTAGGTAGAAAACTGATGGTTTTGCATCTGGTGTCTGTTGGCCTTTGCCGGGAGCTCCTTTACTTGGGTCTTGCGTTAAAGTGTTTTGTTGGGAATGAGGAGGAGGTGTGACGATAACCCGAGTCACCAGACGTCTATCTAGGAGGTCTAGAGCGGGGAGGAGAGTCAAGGGGTATAGCGCATATAGTGTGGTGAGGAGAGGACGGCATGAGGGCGGGATAAGTTTAAGGGGGTTAGACGCACGAGCAGATGCAGATGAGGTAGATGAGGTAGACGTTGTGACGGCTGTTGGAGGAGGTATGGAAGTGAGATTATCTATCAGAGATGTGAGAAACTGTCGTGGGTTTGGTATGGATGAGGTCATTATTTCAGTGTTTGGTTGTTTGGATGTGATGATGTGAATGAGAGGATGATGGAGATGAGGCAAGAAATGAGAGGATGAAAGAGTAGAAGTTACAGTGTTATACTGTATAAATATACTGTATTGGCTGCAGCTAAGAGGGAAAGAGCAGACATATCAAATAGGGGAAGCAGCTCTCCAGTCCTCTATATGTATGTACTATATGTATGTAGTCTGTGGCACATGTTGGGCGATAGCTTACGAGATACAGATTGGACGTTTAAAAGAAGCCGACTTGACTACGGATTATATCTTTTGACAAATCACATAGGAAAACATAGCATCATGTAATCAATCATACCAGGCTTGCCCAAGCACTCTCCTGGGGTAATTTGTGCCTTTCAAAGGGGTTCTACCCCTGACTAAAACTCTATGCTTTATCATGTACGTGGGCACTCCTGAGGGCACTCCTGACCTCAGAATATGGCTCATTCCTCCTGAAGCCAGCATAGTTATACAGGGGTCGCGACTTGATAGCCGTCCTGTATACTAGGTCGGTACCTAGGTACCGGTAGGTAATCATCATAAACCGCTCTATTTCTTCTTTTCCTTTTCACTGCTCTTTTCCGTCGGCTCTGCACCGTTGACGCCGTTCTCTTTCTTGTCCTTGTCATCCTTGCCTACCGCCGCAGCCTCCTCCTTGGCCTCCTTCTCCTCCTGTTGTTGCCGGTTCTGGATCTTGTTCTCGATAAGGTCGTGGAAGGCCGTGATAGCGCGGATCAGACTGCTCAGGTAGATAGCTAGCAGCTGATCATTCGTCTTGACACTCATCGCGTAGGATAGCTCTCCCGTTTGGCTACCCTTTCCTTCAACGCCTGGCTTGGGAGTCGAGAGGTTCGGTAAGAGATTGAAGATATCCTGGAGGTTGCCTAAGACTGCATGGTTTACCGGTAGCTTGCCATCCTGGACCTTCTGGAGGTAGGTTTGAATATCGCGTAATCGGAGGTGTAGTCCTTGTAGAGACTGTAACTGGTTCGTAATGCGCGTCGACAGTGTGCCGATAGCCACATCTCTAATATCTCGAAGCAAATGCTCAACACCAATCTCTTCGGCCTCTTCGGCCTCAATAGTGGAAGGGGTGTGTACAAAGGTCTTGGTGGTAGTCGTGCCATCCTATCCATGATTCGTATTAGCATATCCCACAAGTAACTTGTAGAGCTAGTGGAGAGCTACGTACGTCCTTGATCTCCTCTACTGCGAAGTAAGCATCTGTGGGAACGCCAGACTCCTTCGGTTGGACATCGATAATGACGAGTAATGGATTTGCTGTGTATCTCTTGAAGAGTTCGTTGATCTCGAGATCGGATGCGCGCAGCTTAGGTCCGGAGTGATACCAGCCTATTAACTTCTCCCGGGCGTTGACCTTCTTGAACATGTCGTTCATGTTCTCGACGTAATTGTGGTCTAAGAACCAGACGGACGGATCATCGTTGTCTTCCTCGAACGGAACTAAATTAGGTGAGTGATTGGGGTTAGTGATGCTGATTAGACTGAATTTGAGAGAACGATATGCTTGCAAATGCAACTAACCTGCGAAGCTGTTCGACACACGAACATTCTTCCCGTCATTTTGACCCAACAACACGCCCACCACGCGCTTTCTTGTACCCTTGGCGACACGGTTGAAATGGTCTACGACGGAGAGAAGGACGAGGGGAGCGACGGTCACATTTTTGTTGACGAACGAGAGGGTCTCTGCCGTTGTAGCAGGCATTGTGGGCGGGCTGATTGTGAGGTGTAGAATGTGGGAAATGGGAAATGGGAAGTAGAAAGTAAGAAGTGGGATCTAAAATAAAACGACAGAATGCTTTGCGACGATAATGACGAATTTGCAAGGTTAGAAGTTTAAAGTTACAAACAGTTCAGGCAAGTCCACTGGCAGTAATTGAGAAGGCTGTCGTATGCGTATGTGTGAGGCTGCCTTCTGCCTTCCTTACGAAATCTCCAGCCAACCCAACTTGAGCTTAGTGCTTGATCGGGCTTAGCGTTTTCAGAGGTGTTGCAACTTGCCAGTGCACTATGTATCTAGTACCGTGTAGTATAGTGCACGGACCACCAAGCGATCCCGATAGCTGATGTAATTCTTAATTGCACGACGGGGTTACTTCAATTATGTAATAATGGTGTGGCTGATGACAGGACATTAAGGTTACCTACTTTAATCGTTGATGTCTTCATCGTCCATCTGCTTATTTCGTTATTTCGTAGCACGTTAGTCAACACTTGCATTCAACCGTCTGCATGGAATTTTGCGGGTCAATAGGGTGAGATGGGCCTACGGGTACTAGTGACCTTGCACCTTTCTATATACATACATATAACTATATGTATGTACCTATGTTAGTATGTAGGCTAGGTGAAAGGAGAAGATCAGCTACCAAGTCGGACGCAAGGCTATGATCGTTGATGTTCAAAACGTCCAAGGTAATGCGTAGTTATCTTATTTTATCCGCTTGCCCGAGTTTTCGGCCGGAGTTGAGCTTGACTATCATTCGCCTTACTAACCTTAGGTAGATTAAGTTAGGTGCATACACTTGCGCCGTTGAACTGAGATGTTTGTGTAGCTAGTTAAAGTACGGTAAGCATGATCTCACTTTTGAAAAGGACAATGATGAGATTGAGATTGGTAGACAATATGGGGGTATATCAAGATAGAATATATCAATATTGTTGACCTCGGCGGCCCAACGGAATGTTTGGTAAAGGTGGCAAGCTTATAGAAATATAACCGAGCCCCAAGAAGACACTTGACCGTTGGCGTGGGGAGGTACATTCATAAGCCTTGAATTGGAAGCCTTGGTTGAAGCTACTACGTGGTACTAACTAACCGTTAGTAATATACTCTTTCCATTTGTTCTTTTCAAGTTGCATATATCCAACCCATATAGGCTAGGTGCTGCGAGGTTGTGCCTGTGCCTAGGCAAGTAGTAGCTTTCGGCTCGTCATTACTACTAGGTACCTACCTAGGTTAGTAGTATGGATGTATGTACCTCAAGAATTGAAAGCACGAGGCCGCTGCATGTGCGTACCGTTGACGATGTATTGTACCTACATTGATAGTGGTATTAGGTACCTAGCACTGACACCAAACCCGCATCATCAATGGCACATGCCCCTAAAATAATAGCCATTGGTGAGCCCCAATTGTTCCTAGGTTCCAGGGGGGGGCTTGCAACATTTTTACCTAGTAACTAACTACACAGTTACTCTGTAGAGTCTGTACCCTTTTCTCCCTTGTCGCAATAGAGGGACCCTTGAAGCAAGCACGAAGCAAGCACCTGTAAAAAAGAATTCCCCGAGCCCCGACGTCGCCAGATGATAAGGTACCCTATACCCTATGCAGTAATACTTACTAGGTATAGTAGTACTATAGTACTTACATCCATATCTTATCCACCGAGTTTCCGGCTACTAGGTACGATTGAACTTACACCTTTACTTTTACTACTTTTACTTACTACGCTTCTTCTTCTTCTCCCTCACTCAGCTGCTCTGCTCTGCTCTCCTCTCCCCTCCTTCGTGACCCTTTGCGTCTTTTTTACCCTCTCCCCTCCTTGCAATTTTATATTCTCTTCTCTTCTCTTCTCTACGTTACCTGTCGCTTTTGCCCTCTTTCTTTCCTTGCATTGGTCTGGCTCAATTGATCTCTAGTGGCTGTTGCAAAAATGGGCGTTATTGACAATGAGATGAAGAAGCTGCAGGACGTAGTGTCCGGGCTGGAGGATCGTGTAAGACGTCTGGAGCAACGACAATCTGGCGAGAGTATAACTTCAGAGAGTGTGCGCATGATTCTTATGGGGCCTCCAGGAGCTGGTATGTTGCGAAAATCCCGCTATATGGGACCGAACCTCCCCCCCCCTTAAGACGAGAGTCGCGCCGACTTGCTTACCATTTTGCGATTTATAGGAAAGGGAACCCAGGCACCCAAGATAAAAGAAAAGTTCGCATGCTGCCATTTGGTAAACTAGACGATTTCCGCAAACAAATACCAACTTCAATTACTAACGATCATCGCTAGGCCACAGGTGATATGCTCCGATCCCAAGTCGCCAAGAAGACCACTCTTGGTCGAGAAGCAAAGAAGATTATGGACGCTGGTGGCCTGGTTAGCGATGACATTGTTATCGGCATGATTCGGGAGGAATTGGACAATAATAAAGAATGCAAGGGCGGGTATGCTTCTCACATGCATGATATTTGTTGGGAGACTGGAACAAATCTAACAATGACCTAGTTTCATTCTCGATGGCTTCCCTCGTACCGTAGCCCAGGCCGAATCGCTCGACAAGATGCTTGCGGATAAGAACCAAAAGCTCCAACACGCCGTGGAGCTACAGATTGACGACGCTCTGCTTGTCGCACGGATCACTGGTCGCTTAGTCCACCCTGCTTCCGGTCGAAGCTACCACAGTATCTTCAACCCACCAAAGAACGCCATGAAGGACGACATTACTGGCGAACCCCTGATCCAACGCTCCGATGACAACGCTGATGCGTTGAAGAAGCGTCTGGTTACGTACCACGCCCAGACTGCCCCTGTCGTCGGTTACTACAAGAACACTGGCATCTGGAAGGGCATTGACGCTAGCCAAGAACCCGGCCAAGTCTGGTCCAGCTTGCTAAAGATTTTTGACAACAGCCAAAGCTCCAAAACCAGTGGTGGCCTCTTAAGCAAGCTAACCCGTCAATAACCCTGTAGTCGCCACTGTCACTGTCTTTAACTTTCAACACCCAGCCTGGTTTTTAACAACCTATCTCTAAGTGGACGGAAATTTGGTACAAATACGGAGGGTTTATACCAATGAGCAGGGCATCGCACGATTTGTGTAGCAAGGATGCTTACCTAATCTTGTAATCCAATCCAATGCGACGCAGTGTGATGCGATGCGATGCGATGCGGTAGGGAAAGGGTATTTGGAGAAGCTTTTACGATACCTGGAGCAATGGAAGTGATGATGAGAAAAAAGGGGGGCGGGTTGAAATGAAATGAATAAAAAAAAGAGGGCAACGACGCATGGGACTGAACGCGACTTTGTATCATACGCACGACCTGCATGTACTGTGTCATTAATTCAGCCTTTTCGAACATATGGATGGATCTCGTAATCATTCCTTCGTTGATGCTCATGGAGCGATCTTTTGACTTGCTACGAATATGTCTTGTTGTGACCTTCTCGTCATGGTACGTTTAGTAGAAAGAAGTAAGACACTGAATGAAGCCTGATTCTCTTTGTGAGGTCTGGTATATTCTTCTGTCTCATAATCTTGCGTGAGGGCTTCCTGTCTTCTTCAGTTACTAGGTACCTAGTAACCTAGACACGTTGTAAGATACCTAGTAGTTATACCTTCTCGTACCAACCAACCAACCAACCAACCAACCAACGAATCGTGATTACGAATCATTCATCGTAATAAAGTAAGACTTGAATCGCATTCATTACCTATGTACCTATCCAACCACATTGATACTTGGTGATCGTTACCTACAACCTACGTGACAACATACATATCAAATATTATTCACAAACACAACCCCCAAAAAGATACGTCGTAGGAGTTTCGATTCTCGCGAGCCCTCCTTTCCACCGTGCAACTACCTATACCAGCTAGCTAACTACCTAACCTATATCAAAAACGGCGGATATTATATACCCGCACTCACACGGGTGGAAGAAAAAGATGAACAATGTGCCTGCCAACCGCATGCCACGCTATGCTCAATGGATTCGATACCTAAGTAATTTCACCGAGGCCCCCGTCCACCAACTACCCTATATAAAGAAAAATGCTCGATCTTAGGGAGGGGGGGATGGATATCAATCATTCCAATTTCTAGACATGAGATATAAGAGAGCCAAGTTAAAAAAGAAAAATGTCATGTGGGTTGAAGAGACAGAAAGGAGAATAGGGGGAGCATCAAGCTGCTGTGGCGCATGTCCAAGCTTGAACATGCCATTAAGGGCCTGGCGCTGCCAGAGAAAGTTAAGAATAAAGGGAGTAACTAGTTTCGTTCATCAAGCATCATTGTGCTAATATTGTGTCGTACCCCAAAAAATCTTTACTTTCGAGGTGTGGCTATGCGATGTTTTAGTAAATATAGGTATCTACAAGAAGATACGCCGAAGTTACTCACCATTCACCATCTGTCTCTGCTTGTTCAGCCAGCTCTTAGGGACATCCTGCCGCCTTTGTAGCACGACGTGGTTGCTCTGCAATCTGCTGGTTAGATCGTACCACGCTGTGGTAATCATCGCATTTTCGCGTTGCAAGTTTTTGATTATTTGATCGGTTTGCGCCTGACGTTTTCTGTTAGAAATTCAAAAGCATAATCCATATTCACATAGAGGGAACCCATTGGTCACAGTAGTTGATATACATGAAGACGCAAAACATGATGGTAATAAAAATAGTAATAAATGGAAATAACATATTGCATAACTCTCGTCCAACCAATTTATATGCGTGAAGAAGACTTCGGCTGGGTCTGCGAGCAGATCACCATGTTGAAGGTAGACTTGGATTTGACGTACCTTCTGAGCACCAGCCTCTACTCCGGCACGAACGGCTTTCAGGGTTCGCTCAAGTTCGCGATTCTTAGACTCTGATTGTTCGTATTGCTGCAAGTGAAACACGTTATTAGCATACGTGGTTTCAAAACGACTTTGAACACGATAGTTGAAGCATAGATATGCCAAGTAGCCCCAGTCACTTGGCTGAGATTTGTCACCTTTGCTGCGAGGGCGATTTATTAGGGGGAAGTGACAGTTTGAAATCCGTATTGCCTCGTGGGATAGATGCGGAAGCACTCGCTTGAACGCTGACATTTGCATATACATGACTGCCATCGCTGCGAGGAACCATTGACGCCGACATAGGATAATCAGGTGTGCTAGTTGGGCCGTCTCGATTTGGTTGATAGGTGTAGATAGTACTCTCAGGTCGTGAGGGTTTTCTCCCAAACCAAGGACTGATGGCTTGCCAAATAGATTGGCGCTTGACTTCAACCTTGGTGACATCCCTCATATCGTTGTCGTCATCGTTATCGCGAATGACTTGGAAGAAACTTTGAAGTTCGCTACTCACCAGTGACAGTTGCTTGTAGCGCCCTCGGAGCTTCTCCATTTTCTCGGACTGTTTGACGCTGTCCGTGCTGACGGTTAGTCCATCTGCAGCTCTCTGTAGTTCTCGGTTCGCCGCTTCCGCTTCGCGCCGGAGCTGATCTTTCTCGATAAATGCTGTCAGTAGCTGCGTTCGCTGGTTTTCAAACTCTTCTCTTAGCCCCTTATGCCTCTTCCTCTCTAATTCGAGCTCCGCACGAAGAGACACAGCAAGCATGCCATCGGTTTTCTTTAGCTCTGCAAGGGCATCAAGGCTCGATTTTTCAACAGCGTTCACTTGTTCCGGAGAGTCAGCACCTTGTCCGTATAAAACATAGTCCTTAAAGATGATCTTACAATCACCCCGCGCCTCTAATAAAGCCCTCTCCTTATCAGCCAGCTCTTCATTGATCGCTGAGAGCTGCCTCTCGAGTTGCTTCGTACGGTTCTGTTCGGCGAGGACCTGTGTTCGCAGGTTGGAAAATGCCTCGTCTCTGAAATAGTTTGACATCAGCCACTTTGTGCCCGGAGCTAGATCATAACAAGCTTGAAGAGCCTGCACTAACCCGTCTTTACCCATGTTCTGGATAAGTGCATCCAGTTGATGTTGTCCGACTGTGAACTTCTCGAGTATATCGTTATACCTCGCCTGGAGAGCATCGCGAGAGTTGCGAATGTCCTCCATCTCGTGAATAAGTTGTCCTTTCTCTGTTTCTGTGCCAATGCTGCTCTTAAGGACAGCATTCTCCGCTTGAAGACGCTGCAATTCGAGGTTTCTCATCGAAACGGCACTGCTAGACTCGTTCAGTTCGTCTTCGAGGGTAGTCGGGCGGGGGCCTATGGGCGTAGTCGGGGTAGTCGAGGGATCAAGCATCAGGACCTTCTCCTGAAGCTCTCGTACAACCCCTTCGTCTATCTGGCTGCGGGAATGTAGCTCCTCCAGACGCAGTCTCAATTCAGCAATCTCGGCAGTGTACATCGTCTTTTGGTTGTTAAAATTGGCGATATCGATTTCGTATCCCTGCATCTTGGTAGCATATGCTTCTGTTTCTCGTTTTAGTGTTTCATTCCTTATCGTGGCATTGCTGAGTTGCTCCATAAGTTTCGTTGCGTCGACCCTTTCGCTTTGGAGTGCCTTGAGGTCGACTTCTATCGTCTTCAGCGACTCTAGCTTCTTTCGTAAGTTGTCAGCCATGTTAGCCTTTTTGGAAAGATCCTCGTTTTTGGAACGGAGTTCTTGGTTTTCGTCGGCTAGCAACTCGGCCTTCTGCGCCACTACTTCAAGGCGAGCCTTGTCCTTTAGAAGTCGCTCTTTTTCTTCAGCTAGGTAGTTCCTCTCGTTTTCCAGGTTTGCGATGAGAGTCTCATTTTCTTTCAGTTGACGCTGAAGTCGGTGTTTATCGAAGTTACCAACTTCCGACTCAATCTGCTTGTGTAGTTGCTGGTTTTGTTCCTGAAGCTCCTCGTGTTTCCTTAAAAGCTCGTCGTAATTATCCTGGAGTCGGTCCAACCGCAGTTTCAAGCCGCTTGCTTGTCTTTTTGCTTCATCTGCTTCGCGTTGTAATTCGGCCAGCGCTGCTTCTTGGGCAAGCTCATCTTCAAGGTCGCCGGCGGTCCGACCTGGCTCAAGATCGCCATCACCAGCTCCGCCTACCTGTCCAAGCCTATGATTAACTTCCTTGAGGATCTGGAAGATACCCTGCTGAAGCTTTGGTCCTAACTCAGTGACTAGAGTGATGTACTGCGTATTATCATCTTCGCGGAAGCAAGCAGCTGATACAAATAGTACCAAGATCTGGATAAATTCAATCTTAGCTTTGGACTGCTGAATTTTCCGAGGCTCAGCTTTAAACGACGGCGAGGTAGGGCTGTTTACCTCAGACATGCCCGCTTTGGTAGGTTCTTTGCCCAGCGCTTGGAAATCAACTTGGTTAATCAAGGGCTCGATTTTGGAGCAATGCCGCCGCGCGAAGTCTTTCAAGCCCATATGAATGATATGCAGGTTTCGCCGTCTGCCTTGGGATACATCGCCATCAGTAGAGAATGCGGCATGGCTCTGTTGAAATCTTGAGGGGTTGTATTCGGTATCTAAGATTTCGAGTAGGGCAGAGAAAACGGCGCCGTCGAAGAGATGTTCGGGCTTCTTTGCTCTCAATTCCGGATTGCGTCCAGGCAGTAGTTGCACAAGCATAGAGTCAGCCTATCAGAGTAGCACAGGTTAGCTGTTGATCTACAATTTAAGACATGATAAAGGAATGTAAAGGGAAGGGAAGGGAAGGTATGGAGGATATATTACGTACCCATTCAAGCAGGGTCACTTGTGTCGCTTGTGTGATGGAGGGGAACATCTCGGCGACTTGTTATTACGAGGAATTATGCACTTCCGCCCGTCTTCTGTATCGTATTAGGATTAAAGGAGGCCTGTGAATCAGAACTCGACTCGTGTTAAATTGAGGGCAGCTAGCTGCGCCGGTCAGTTCGTACAAGAGAGTACGGCACGCAAGGAAAGAGTATAACTCTTGGGTGCAGAAGTAGTTTTGCTCAACAAACAGAGAAAAAAAAAAGGTGAAAAAGCTGACCCAAGTTTGTCAAAAACTTTAGGCAGGTTGGTTTGGATTCCGTGATCGAGGATGACTGGGAAGATGTAAGATTAGGATCTTGACATGCACGGTAGCACTATAAAAGAACAAAATGATTCATTGTCCAGAAGAATGCGGTTGTTTAAATGAAGATAAAGCACATTGTTTGTGTTCCCGGAACACTCTTTCAGTTCTGAAGGAGAATTGTTGTTCTCTTCCAAGGTTGAGTTCAAAGACAGCAGAGCTGATGAAGGCTGGAGGTGTATTGAAGATGGAGGAAGAGGTACATACCTAATAAGAGGCCTAATAATTGAGGTTACTGTCTAGGGTATCTAGTGCAAATACCTATCGTCTTTGGGTCAGGCGGTACGAGCCCCAGTGGAGTCCTCATATCGATTAAAGACCCCAAAGGGGGACGAAGACCCTCTTTTGGTGCCTGCATGTGCATCTTACAGGGCGCATTGGCAGGGATTGGAAGGGATGAACAAGGGTACTCCATGCTTCAATACACCTAAATCCGCATCGACTCGACAAGCCAATTTCGTCAACATGTAAGGTACCAGACTGACAGAGTGCATGTAAAGTTTACTACAGGTATCTTTGATCCTACACACATATGTACATAAAGCCATCATTAACTCGGCTTCGCAATCCGCTGATCCAGATCATCCGATGGTCCTTTGTTTAACGATTGATAATCCAAGATGCAATACCCAGTAGTTACGGAAGTATGTAAAATGGAAGCACCGAATAATCGAGAATAATATATTTCCGTTGACAGAATAACTACTTCCTAGTCTAGTCTGCACATGGGTATGTAGATGCTCCTGTCTGAGGCTGTCTCCCAATAATAGTTATTAACATTGAACCTATGTAGTAAGGTTACTACCTAGTAGTAGGTACCTAGTTGTTGATAGGTACACCGTATTAAGGCTGGCAGTTTGTTATTTTACTTACTGTGTTTGCTTTGTAGTTATCTTGAAGTCAACTACAAAGCAACCTTCCACTGCACAGCATGATGAAAGAGTTCCTTTTTTCTTTCGAGTACAATAGGCTGAATGGTAAGTTGAAACAATGTTCACGTCAGTTTTGTTATTTCGATTTTCTCAACACGTGTATTTCTAAGGATTTGCGCACCGTCGCAGTTTATCATCGACTTTTGTTTCAAGTTGTGATCAGCCCCACATTGGCAACGATGTAACACGATCAGACTTTACGCCAGCGTTTTAAATTACCTGTTACTACTTACTAGGCAGTTGGAACTTGGTAGCAATTGCTCTGCTAATAAATCATGGAGCGGTAGTTAATAATTAACTAGTAACTACTGTGTATTAGAATTCTACTACTAATTATGTCTATCATTGATGTAGTTGACCCAGTGACTATTATGTCATAATCAGATATTCTTTTTTACCAACCTACCATTTCAATCAACGTAGCAAAGTTGATCCGAATGGTCAAATACTTCCGAACGGTCCGAACGAAGGGCTTCAAGGTTCTCTCTCACCACATTTTAGATTTATTTGGGTCTACCGCCTCTTGCGCAATTATGGCTCTTACAGTTGTTCACCTGCCTCATCACGTGTATGTAAAACGTTCGGATAGGGGTTGAGGGGTTACACAGTTGCTCATGTATGAAAAGGGCTCAGTAAATGATGCCACCTACCTACATATGTGACAAGGTTAATAGCCTACATGTAGGTGTCGTCTACTCCAGCACCTAACTATATATTTATCCAATAGATCCTTAACAATTCTAAAGATACTCATAGATCGGAACATAGTTAGTATGTAGCGTATGTATTAGGCAGCTAGGAGGAGTACGTAGATAAAGAGCTTATTGCAACCTACGGATTACGTACTACGTGCCTATCCAACAATATTCTAGAATAACAAGACCATATAGGCGTAACAAGAAGTATTGGAATGATTATAATATTTCTTAAGAACGCAAGTAAAAACCTCTAATCCATACCGTTCCTTTAAAGCAAATACGAAAGTAGAAAGAGCCTCAGCCCCTGGTACGATAATTCGATGCATTTCGTCTGGGGACTTTTATATCGGGCCACCTATCTCTGCTTTTAAGGCCATCCTATCTAACTTTCCTGCTTGTAGGTCCGTGGGATCGGAGGGGGTATCGTGCAGGTCGTCCGGCGCCTTCACCATTACTTCATTACGTATATGGGAAGACTGTTTTAGCGCATCGAGGCGAGCAATTAAGCCATATTTTTCAATTTACTTGTCGTTGCTGCTAAGGATTCGGACTGTCTGGTCTTCTTCGATGGTGCCCTGATACTCTGCGCTCCACGCTGTTACTGTCTCGATGATCTTTTGCGGTGCGTTCGCGGCGAAGGCTCTGTTTGAGGCAACGTTATTAGTCTACATCAACGTAACACCATTGGAAGCGTAGGTCTTTTTGATTCATGGAGATTGACCCAATGATATGTAACGGGAAGAGGACGTATTGGAAACAAGAAAAAGATGGGAATGAATGATGGAGATGATGGCGTACTTGATAAGTTTATACTCGTGAGTGATCATACCCCCCGCCTTCCGGATATCATCCTTGGCGCGGTTAAGAATATCGTCTGTGGTGTCCATGGGGAAGCTGACGATCACGGACTTCTGTACATCGACAGCGGAGACGCCTTGAGCTACAGCAAGCGCTGCGACAATGGCTGAGTAGAAGCGCATTTTGGGAAGTTGAAAGGCCTTGTCGAGTCTAGTACGAAGAAATGTATTGGCGTAGGTTGGTGCTTCAAATGAAGTCTATTATCTGGTATTGAAAAGGCGGTTGGTAGGTTTGGATGGTATGGAGAGTTGCGTAGTAACGAACAAACAAAGAGTTGTCAGATCAAAAAAACCAGGTGTTCCGCACAAAGCTTGGATATGTCGAGGATCAAATGGGAGTCTGAGTTGAAACCAAATGAATGATGAATGCTAACGATGATGGAACTTGGCAGTTTGACCTTCAAAGTTGGTGTCGATCACCTTAATAGTGAAGAACAAACACACTAGTGGCCTAGAATTCGTATGTAATACTGGTACTAATAAGTAGAAGCTGGGGTGGGATGGGGCCACTTGGAGGCCCGGCCGAGAAAGGGGAAGGTACGTAGTTTAGGTACAAAAAGAAGTGCCAGGTGGGGTAACAAGTCTTTATCGCGTAGCCAATTCCCTGATAGGCAGGTAGTGGGGCATCTAAAAGACAAACTGACCAATGACTATGCATGTGTGTCTCGTAGTCAATCTAAAATGGCAGTCCGGAGATTCCCATTAAACAACTTTAAACAATGGATTACATAGGTATGTTAGACAACGGGATTTGAACCTGTGAGTTAAACATGTGATCACCTGAACATGAACAACATTACACATTGTACAAGTACATAGTAGAAACATTAGCCCCAAAACAACATGATCTCTACCGACGTCGCTCAATTTCAGATTGAGTCAACCAAATCTATTTGCTACTTACGTTGAATCAACAACCATGATTAATCATCCGTTGTATACCAATACGACAGGTAATACATCCATGATTTAATCAACCATGGCTCGACACAATGACCTAAGATAATTGCGAAGTTAGCTGTGCACCACGGCCGTACCAACCCCAGCCGTGATAAGATTTGAACGATACGGTAAGCCGGCATCAACTGCGCAATAGTGTCTAATCTTGCTATCCGAGTCGATATTACCCCAGCGACTTCAGTGCCGACCGAAATGCCACTTCCGGGTGGTTGATTTCTGTAAACCCTAGAATCGACTTTTCGACGCTAGCAACCCGGAAACTCTCTCCGTCTACGTCAGCTTCACCAATACTCAGAGAATAGAAATCTAAACGTGAATCGTATGGTGTTGTCTTGCAATGTGCGCGCTGCAATCCATCCCCGTCGACACACACCGTAGCACCGGACTCAGAACATGCGCTCATCTTGCCACGATGCCCAGCTCATAACACAAGAGTTGCATCGCGTATAGCTTTCTGTTCCAGCTAAATGATCGCGGGTCACCAAGACAGACCCTTGACTGAGTCCAAGCCAGGCCCTAGATCAGTTGATAATAAAGCAGTAAGATTGCTTTTCTGCTATCCTGATGGCCCCTTAATTGTGGTCGGCTATGCTAAACGAAAGAGTAGGACAAAGGTAACATCTCAGGAAAGAGATCACGTCCAAATATATGTGGTCGGAGCATAGTTCTTGCAGGCAATGGGCCTTTCCAGATTACGAAAGCATAGTTTAGTCAAGACTCTCAGAGTATGCACTGGTTCTACATACAGTAGTACGAGATGAAGTCTGGGCAAGCACCCCTATACAAGATCACGTGCTGATAAGTGCTACTACCACCAGCTTCAAGGTGGAATTCTGGTCCACGCTTAAGCGTAGACTCAACTGACGGTAAATTCATACGTCATTATCACTTCTATTTAACTAACAGTCTTCAAGTTCATGATCTCTAGGACCGTCCTAGTGGACAAGCTTGGATCTATTGATATTTCCTATGACTAATGAATCAGCCTCAACTTCTTTACCAGCCCCCTTGTACACCGGATAAGAAGTATCCGAGCGCAGGGGTATGACAACATCATGCAATTACTACTAGTAGTAACTACACAATAACTAACTATAAACCAAAAGCTCCAGATGTCCGTATCTACCTCCTAATAACCTCGACCTGGTCTTTGCTTTTGTACATAGCTATCATACTACAGATCCATCAGTTAACAAGATCTTAATCAAACTTTTTGCTTTTCCTATTCCAACCTGAACAAATCGTGTTTCCCTACTGAGCTACAAAACCGGATAATATTCATAAAATGGCAGAGCCAACCCAGACCGACGATGTAAAACCTCCCACCTCAATCAGCCTCCGCCCGCCCTCCAAGTACGTCGCCGACCCCTCCCAACCCCCCACCACCACCACCGGCGAAGTCTTCATCTCCCCACCCCTGGAATGGCTCTGGCGCACCTGGGCCGTCACCCACTCCACCCTCTCGATGTGGCGCTCCGCGCGCAACGTCCGCATAACCTACAAGCCGTACAAGCCAGACGTCAAGCCCGTCGCCAACGACAACCTAGTCGAGTACGAGAAGAAGAGCGGCAAGGGCGGCGTCAAGCGCGTCGAGGGCATCGAGAGGCCCGATGCCAAGATCCCTGCCGCCTGGATGTGGCGCGGGAAGGGCTTGCTGGTTATTGCGAGCAGTCACTGGGAGGTCTTGGGGTGGGGCGAGCGGCCGCTGGTGGGGAATGCGGGTGAGGGTGTCGAGCGCTGGGCTGTGACCTGGTTCGCACCTACGCTGTTTACGCAGGAGGGCGTGGATATTTACTCTGATCGCAAAGAAGGGCTGAGCAAAGAGACTGCGGATGAAATTATAACGGCACTAAAGAGTCTGAAGGATGCGCCGAAGGTTGTGGAGCTGGTTGAGAAGCTGATGCAGGATGTAGATATTAGTTTGCCTTGGAAAGAGGGGGCATAGTGGTGGTCGATCGGTCGGTCACGTAAATAGCAGCAAGCAAGCAAGCATGCCGTGGAGAGAATGATACCCATAGAGATATACAGAAGTCAACAGAGGACAAGAAGTAGTAGTAGTACAAATAGTATCCGTCTCGGGATGAATACATTAGCATCGAACACGTCTACAAAGCATGGGGGGTATCTAATATAAGCACTAATAACTAACTAATGGAAGCGATGGGGATGCGATGTTAATAATTGTCCGCCCTTCCTGCCCGCCGGCGGTCGTGTTTGGACCCCTGGCGCTTATCACGGTCTCGATGTTCATCGTGATGCCGATGTCGATGCTCTCTATGCTCCGAAGTGTGGTCTTGAGCTTGAGCTCGTTTGCCTTCATCCCGGGACTGGCGGTCATGTTGCCGTTTACGGTGATCGCCATCGTCGTCTTTCTTAGCTTGTTGCTCGGCGCGGCTTGAACTGGTGCCGTCAAGACTGAATCCCTCGAGATCGGCATCACGGCTAGTTCCACCTTCTCGTCTCCGCCTCTTCTCCTGTTTCTTCTCCTGTCTCTTCTCTTCCCTCCGGAGCTGTTTGAGCTCTCGTTCCCTGTCTGTGTTGAGCTTCTGTCTCTCCTTCTCGACTTCCCGTATCTTCGCGGCGCCCCGTTTCATCATGGCCAAAGGATCATTAGCGACAGCGCGTGCGGCTTCTCTCTCCTTGCGCCGCGGATCCTCGTTGCCCCACACGTCCTTGCTCGGCGCTTCGAGGCTCTCGGCCACAACGCTTTTCATATCTCCGCCCTTCGCGTACCAGGGGCCGTCTAGTCCACCTCTGCCTGCGGCATTCGAGAAGCGCATGGTGTACTGGTCTTCATATTCACGCTTTTTCTTGGCGGCTTCTTGCTCTGCCTCCTCGTTCTTGTGGGAATGTGCGCGGGTCCGCTCTTCCGGGAACAAGTCGATGTGACCGGAATGGTCTACCACCGGGGCATCGCTCTTACTCCTCGCAAGCGCGTCGTTGGCGCTGGCGCCCTGTGAAGGTCCCACTCGCTCGCGCGCAAGCCGTAGTTCCAAGTCCGTGTCGTCTTCTCCCGCGCGCTTCCGCCTTTTCGGTTCCTTGCGTTCTCTGCCGAGATTTGAGGATGGTGCCGGGTCGTCACGATCTCGTTTCCGCTTAGGAGTCTCGTCGTCGTCGGCGCTCGGAGGGGGTAATGGGGGTGGAACCTCGCCGCGTAGAATCGCAAGACGACGTTCGGCGTCGACTTCCTGCTGTCTTTGTTCTTCTGCTTCTTCCCGCGCCCTGGCTGCTGCTTCGTCCTGCTTCACGCGCTCGATGTTTTTAGGGTTGTAGACATTCCATGATTTCTTGCCCAGCAGGTGTCTAAATTTGGAAGGTTAATGCATGTTCCGGGATGGGGGTGATTGGGATTAGATCGTAGGTGGGTGACTAACAAAGGCATTTTGAATCTGTAGATGAAGCTGATCCTGCTAAATACTATATACTATATGCTGAGTACTCGGTGCTGTGAAGTGCCCATTCTGGTGCATACCTACATAGTACCGCCACGATGAGGTTATGGAAAGAGAGACTGCTGAGGGGTGCAGCAACAATTGAACGAGTTTCGCAGTGTACCCTAGGTAGGTTCCGTGCCGTCATTATGAGTCAGCAAAAATTGCAAGGATCTAACGAGCAAAGGCAATGACAGTGTTTGGCAACTGCCAAGAGGTCCGACGTTCTACTACTAGTAGTATCTCATTTCTCATTCGTCAAACAACAAATTCATCTCAACTAAACTATTTTCTTTGGATCCAAGTCATCGCTACATCGCTACACCCTTCTTAAGTACTAACCTAGGCATTTTGACATTTGGGAAACCTCTCAATATCTCTGCCACATTATCAACTGGCATAATCGGGATAACTGGGATATGATCTTCTAATCAATATCTTTATTCCTCTTTAGGCAACCCAACAGAATTGAACAATTTTAACTCATTTTCATCCCATCATACATAATCTACCAGTAAAGGCACCTTTGAGAACGGAACATCACCCACATTCATCATGGAAGACGATGAAGACATGACAGCCGCCATGGCTCAAGCCATGGGATTCTCAAGCTTCGGTGCGCAGGATAATCCTAGCAAGCGCCGCAAGTTCAATCCTCGTGCTGACGCTGTGGTTGACTCGGACACTATTTCTGGCATCTCTTATCGGGAGGCCGCATCGGGCTCTAATACTACGCCTTTGGGTACTAGGTCATCGAATCAGGACGAGATTAACCTCGAGTCAGATGAAGACGCCGTCATCATCCCAGGCGGGAGTGGAAGCGATGGTATCAAAGATAGCCATGGGGGCCAGGAACCACAATCTCTGGAATCATTACGCCTGCCTGGGAAAGTTTCAATGGACGGTTCAGTGGATAAGGTGCAATCTCGAATCGATGACATTGTTGGGGACATCCCCAGTCACCCTCTGCCTACACGGCCGTCTTCTTTGAATGGCGGTCGGGGTGGCAATAATCGCAGAGGCAATAATCGCGGAGGCCGGCACAACAATCGGGGTGGCCATGAACCAGGAAGGATATGGTGGGAAGACTACTACGACCCAAGTTCGAATATCAATCCCTGGGAACAGCTGGAGGTATCGATGGGCTTAAAGGCACAAGGCGAATGGATGACTTGGGAAGAAGCGAAAGCGGGCCGTCCTTCCCAAGCAGGTGCAAGTTCTCTGCCGCCGTCGAGTTAAGCTGCTATGGATGTACAATACGCATATTATGAATCAACAGTAAGAAGAAGGAAAGCAGTTATAACCCGCACACCATAACTCTTACGTTTTGCACCTGTATGTCACTACCTAGCACCCCAGCATCTTTGACATTGGCTGAATCAACGCTCAGCACCTGACCAAACTTTGGGCACCGCGTCATCACGTGACGACCTCCCAGCCTACACGACAGAACCCCCCTCGGTCTAAGATGGGTTCACCTTAGCGTCTTACATGATAGAGCTGTCGTACTCCCCTCTACTTTATTGGCTCATGGGAGCTCGCATGGCAATGGCCCACAGTGTCTAAGACATACAACACCTACATACATACACACAATACTGATTAGGGCAGGTCGCTAGACGGGAAATCACTGTATTGCTATATTCAGGAGAAGCAGGACGCTGACCCAGTAAGACCCTCTAAAGAGACTACTTGGTCAAAACCGGCCAGCCACTACCTAGGTTACCGCCAAACGTATTCCCAAAATGGCAATATCCACATCCTGAAGCGGATAAGCGTTGTCCCATCTCTACCTAGGCAATGGAAGGTGTGGTGTGTGATCTATCTAGGAGTACCTCGTTGTCTTCACGCCCCCGAGTGTGTCCCTAGGCAGCTCGATCGTTTTACCATACTCTCCACACACCACACCTCCAGCCAGTCCCTTGCTCCTAGCTGCAGGTGTGCCAACCGCAAGAGCTACTGGCTTGGTCAAACGCGCGTCATTCCCGTCACTCGGGGACATACACACCCTGCTAGAAATAAAAAGATGGTGTGCTTTTAGCCCATGACGCCCCCCGGATCGTCCTTGATCGTCCAATCATAGCTCGTAACCTCGTGAAACAGGCCTGTCTAGCTAAGCGGCTCGCGTGGGTAGCAGGAATATGCAGGAACAGAGACGGAACATGCGTCCATTCTCTATCCACACACACCACCCAGCATGTACCACTCCAGCCAGGCCATAAAAGCAGCGATGCGGATGGGTGTCTAATTTGCCGCCCCTGACACCCACACATAACTGTCAAACCAGTGTCCGCCTTTCTCCGATCCCTTCTCTTTTTTTTTTCGGTATTTCCCACTAAACTTACATTAAAACCTTCAGGGGTATGCGCATCAGCTTTTAGGAACCACAAAAATAAGGAAAAACAAATGAGACGCGAAAAGGAGGGGGGGTGTGCAGGAAAATGGCAGGGAGAAGGAAGCGCATCCGATCGATCTCGCATGCATTTCCCTCCCACGCCCCCCTAGATGTCGCGTGGCAGCAAGCAAGCCCACACCTCCATCCCAAATTCCAGGAACGCTGCCGGAACTAGAGCGATCGGCCGCTAAAAAGTTAAAATAAACGACATGTGTAGAAAATACATCCGATGGGTAAGGTATGGAGAAGATTTCGCCGCATTCTGGGGCTCGCTAATGGCAAGTCGAGATGCGAGATGGCGTGCATTGCGTATTATTATACCGTCCCCTGGACTTTTATTTTGCGGCTAAGAAATCGCTAGCAGCCGTTTTTGCGTAGAAGTTCGAAAGCTGGCGAATAGAACGCATTCACCCCCTTTAGTAGTCAGGTGATGGGTAACGCTCGCGCGCCTTCTGGTACTCCTTAGTGTGCTTTTTCTCGGCCTTCTTCTTCATCGCTCTACATAGTAAAAATGCAATGTCAGCTAAAATTGATTCTTTTTTTTTTTTTTTTTACAGCGCTGAAACGTTGGGTGTATTTCATGCGGTGATAATTTTGCAGGCTGCAACTTACGAGACTTTCTTAGACGTCCATTCCAGATCCGCGTGTACTTCTCGCGCGTCGTTCAAACCCTGCTGGAAGCGGGCTCGCGTCTTTGCTAGACGTGCTTGCGCTGCCGCTTGCATTTCCAAAAGCTCGCGGTGCTTGTTGTTCAGCGTGCCGGAACTGCAAGTGAGTTTGTTAGTTGGATTCTGGTCTTTATCAATTTTCTGTTTTATTCGAGCGCTTAATCGCTCGGTCGCTCGCATCAGAGCAGAGCAGCGTCGAGCCCGAGGAGCAGCTACAAAAAAAAAAGGGGGGGGGGGGGAGATTTAAACTCACGTCTGCGCCTGCCGCGCCAAACTCCGATCCAACGGCATCGGGTCAAAGCTCTCATCAAAGCGCGTCTGCATGTACTCGTTGATATCGATGCCCGCGGCGGCGCCCCCGCTGCTGCCATCGTAGTAGTCGCCGCTCGCGTAGCTGGTCGCGTAGCTCGCGGCGTGGCTGCTGCTGCCACCGTAGGACGGCACGCCCGAGGTCACGGAGGCGTCGCGCTCGCGCTGCTCGTCCTCGGAGGTGGGGGAGGCGGAGTACGCGCTGCTGCTGGGGTTGTGGTGGTGGTGCTGGTAGTACTGCTGGTATTGCTCGGCTTTGGTGGGGATGGGGACCGCGGTGGCGGGGGCGCTGTAGTATTGGGGGGTGTAGGATGCCATGGTTTGGTTGGGTGGGTGTGGTGATGGCGATGGGATGAAATAGAATGGTAATGTAGGTACGAGATGTTGTTTCAGTGGTTTGAGATGATATGTGACGTGGATGTGACTCTGTGGGTGTGTCAGGGCTTCCTTTGTCTGTATGTGTGAAGATGTATGTGTGAGTCAAGAGCACAGGTGATGGGTCTTGACTGAGGAGTGTGAAATATCTCCAAGGTAGAAGATATGATACGATGTGTGAACGTTGAGTAGGTAGGTAGGTGGTCTGAAGTTTGAATGATAAAAAGAAAGAAAAGAAGAAAAGGAAAAGACAAGCTTGAACCCGTCAACAAGACCTCCTTTTATACCCATTTTCGAGAGTCGAGACAGGGCTTGCTTGCCTGCCTGCCTGCCTGCCTGCCTGCTTGCTCTAGATTCTATTCTATGTATCAAACATAGCGAGAGAGAGGGAACGAACGGACCGGACCCTCTTACATGGTACCTACCTACGCATGCTGTCACTAGGGGGATAAGTCTCGACAACACTATTCGCTGATCGAAGTTATGTTATGAGAGCATAGACTCTTGCGTCTGAGTAACCCCGCTTCCCTCATCGTAATAATGCCCCTGCTTGGTCTGGTCTCGAGGATGGGCAAGCAGGCAAGCAACGGGGATATGGAAAGACGGAGGAAGGCAAGGGCTAGGCTCGCATATACTGCCCCCCATCCACGTTCCCCGGTGATAGTAGACTGGCTAAGGATATGTGTGTATGTATGTATGTACAAGACCGGTACAATACTTACATATGGGTAGGTATATACATATACATAGGACTTGACTACCTATGTAGGTGGAGAAGATGTAGGATATACATAGGTATGTATGTATGTATGTGTGTCATTGGCGCGGACACACAAGCAAGCTATGGTATTACTAGATGCGTTGCTTTTCTTCAGACTAATCCTTACCTTACCTAGGCAACATGGACCTACCTATGTATACTCTACCCACCTACCCTAGGTACCTAGGTTTTAACTTATCCATGGATGTTTCCATAAGTGTACCTACCCTAGGTAAGGGTAAGTAGAACACTGTACGATAGATACATAGATGGTGGCGTCCTGGGGAGCTAGGAGCTAGGCGAGATAGGAAATACCGAAGCTTAAACCGCATGGTTAAAGGGGGGGGTGGAGGGAAGGAAAAAGGGAATAAAGTCAAGTATTTAAAATCGAAGAAAAAGCCGCGCAAACATGACGAGATACAGAGCCTGGCCATCTATATCCCGTGTGTGGCATGTGTATAGGTAGATAGGTAGGTAATATTGGGTTAGGTACGTGGGCAGATCCCCAAGGGGCGTGTGCATATTCCAAATCAAACAGGGACCGGGTCATGTGTGAAGGTAGACATGTAGGTAGGTATACTGGGATGGGTATCGAGCTCGTACGCCCCCTGGTTGGAAATAATAGGGATGTTGATACCCGGGTGTTATTAGCACCATCGTCGATTCGGTAGCTTTTTCTAGTACGCTCCTTTTATACTCGAGCCATATGCCGAGGAGAGGCGAAAAAGGAGACTATCACTTCCTCTCGTGAACGATACGCAGTGGGGGTAGTATGTATGTATGTATGTATGTATGTAAAGGATAGGCTACCCTCCGGGGCGCGTATAATGGAAGCCTTGATGGGTTTCAATGGAGGGGAGTAAGGCTATCAGATGCAGACAGACACGCCACTGCTGCTTGTCTATACATGTAGACCGGGGTACATGAAAAGGAAGGGGCAAATTGGCAAATTGGGAAGTACAAACATAGAATGGTTGCGTCTGGTGCAGAATAGAAGTGCTTGTTTTATGTGTGAGTGAGCCATGCAGGCTATGAAGACGTAAGACGGAGGGTGGTATGGGACCATCCCGGGAGCATACGTTCGCAGAAGAGAAAAAAGAAAACCAAACAATAGAATTGTACCAGAAGGCTTCTTGTGGTATGATGCAGATTATGTATAGGGGATGAAGGATGAATAGGGGTATTACGGCTGACATGAGAAACAAGTGCAAAGCTTGATGACTTGTGAGTGAAACGAGGACGAAGACGAAGATGAACCGTAGAAGACTTGATAGTGATGATGATGATGATGACAAGCTCCAACGAAAACACCTCGCTACATAAATCTCTCTCAGTACTAGGTCAGCTAAGGTACCTAGATACACGGACATAGAAGTTCCCATTGCCAAGGACAAGAGCCCGGTATACATGTATGAGAAAAAAAGGGAAATAACAGGAACGAAGTTGGGACGGTTCTTAAAGAATTCTAGAATGTACATGTACCCATATAAAGGCCCATCGGAATACCCATAGAAAATATGGATGTATATCGAGATAACTCTAAGCTGTTAGTATGTATGTAGGGGGCGTGCGTGTAAGTGGTCCCGTTTGGTATGGATGGATGGATGGATGGACGGACGGGACATGTACCAAGCTGGCCACATCAAGATACTTCTTGAAAGGGGGTGTAGATAGATAGACAAGCAGCCGTTAGATCCGTATGTTGATATTGACGACGTCGTCTGGTTTATGTAGACCAGCTTTTTGATAGACCGATTTCTTCTTCTCCTTCTCCATCCCTTCATCCCTCCATCTCCCACTCTATCTAGCCGACCCTTCGCCCCAAGCTGGATCTGGTCTCTAACGCTAGTTGGAACCATAGACGGCATTTCACCAACAGGCGTCTGACGCTAACAAGAATAGTAGTATCTGGTGGCCCGTAAAAGCAGCGAGCGACCAATTCCCATCAGAGGCTATCTATGGTTCGGCTAGTTAAGTTCCCTTTGGGGAAGAGGGAGGAGGAGGAGTGGGAAAGCGGATTGCATATTGCAGCTTTAGGCTGACTTGTCGTTGGCCGAAATCCCTTTTTCCTCTTCTTCTGCGGACATGGGCCAAGAATTTTTAAAAAAGAAGAAAAAACCCCCGAGATAATAGTAATTAAGTATATGTAAACGAGGGAGGGCATGTCATGACATGAGCCTGCGAGAATCAAAAACGTCCGGGTAAGCTAAGAAAGTTGTTCGTTACTGGTCAGTCAGGCAGAAGTGCAGCAAAGATCGGGCATTTTGTGTGATGATGTGTTGTCAAAAAGGGTCCAGGGGGCCCCAAACTAGCCCAGCCAAATGGAGGGAAGAGCATTTATTTTTTTTTACTTTTTTCAGGGTAACTAACTAGTTAGTTATTATTACAATTATTTTATTTTATTTTATTTACTTCATTTAGTATTTTACATAACTACATAAATTCCACCACTCCTTTTCTTCCTTTTTTTTGCACCTTTCAATTCCCATTTCAGGGACACTTGACCGTATAAGGTCTCTTGCTTGACTTGACCTCCCTTGTTCCTAAAAGCCGGGGCTGACATGCAAGAAATACCGCCTAGAAGTGACCCCTGGTTTTCTGTATTAGGAAATCTTGAAGGAAAATTCGAAAATGGAATTTTCTGATTGGTCAGAAATTCAACAATCCCACTACTGAAGTACTACAAGAGGAAAGAAAGGGCAATTATTACGTACCTGGGCCGTTTTTTGGTACAAGTACAATTGAAAAAGGGGAGGTATCCGCTTGCCCTGATTTGTGAATCCATTGGAAGGGGGGAAAAGAAATCCATACCCAGGTATGGATACTATGTACTCAATAAAGCAATAGCCAGCCAGCCCCCACCATCAAGGACTGGCCTGGTTATCAACAATGGTCTTGGCGAGGCCAAGTACATACCTTCTTCACGGGCCTCGGAAGTAGATCGTGGGGAGTAGGTGCCTAGTAATAAGGTATAATATATATTATATGTATATGTAGGTGTAAGTACATAGGTGCATACATATGTAAGACTGAGAACTACATATATCAATATAAAGAACCATGTAATGTGCAGTATGGGTATGGTACTAAACTACTATGTAGGTAATATACATACATATATAATGTAGGTATGGCTGATGGCTGTATGGTTACTCAAGCGTTATCACTGATTCACTGATGCATTCACTTCGTGGAATTCTACATCCAACTTACCTACACTAGTAAGTACATATATATCCACAGTAGCCGGCGGAAAAGTATGGACGAACGAAACTCCATCCATTGATGTAAAAGCCCAAAGAAGAAAATAAAAGAAAAAAGGAAAGGCCCTAGCTTCTAAGAGTCCTGATTTCCTTCCTGGAGGGGCGGAATGTACATGTATGTACCATGAAGCATGATGCGTTGGCAACGATGCGTAAGAAAAAAAAAAGAGAGCAGTTCGCTTCTTTGGGTTAGATTCCGTTGATCAAATACAGCAATGTCTTACCAAACCAAACAAACTGGAAGAGGATAAAAAATAAAAAAAAAATAAAAAATAATACCTACTATGCAATTAGTTCCAGAATTTCTTTTTGGTCAAGGCTTTGAAACGTGGATAAGCGTTCGAAGCCGTGTCATTCGTTCGTTATGTAGTTATTGGGTGTGAAAAACATACATGTACATTACTTACCGGTACCTAGGCAGATGGAAGGACAGCTGTATGTGTGTGTGTGTGTGTGTGTCAAAGGCTACCCAGGTAAGTTGGAAAGACACTTCACAACGTGAGACGAATCAAAAATATTCGCAATGAGCCGAGGCGTCATTCGGTGAATGATATGGCTTGGAATCAACCTTGGAAGCCTTGCAAACCTGCATCAAAGGAAAGGCCACCCGGTTGTAGTCAAACATGCCGGCGCATTTCATCCTGGCCTGTCTCAACTTCGCTATAAACTATTCGCCAATGAAAATTACTATGAATCACCAGCGGGGGGTTAAAAGGAATTTAGAGGGGCAATTTTTCTGATTTTTTTCTAGATCCAAAGTTGTGCGTGTTTGTGTGTGTGTGTGTGTGTGTGTGGCTAGACCTGACATGCCTGGGGCACTCTGGTATAAGACGATTCGCATTGGAGGGGGGAGAAAGGTGTGACATTCGCGGCATGCGAATGGCTTCAATGTTCGGGAAAATCAACTCCACTAGACAGACTAGTCGCAAGGAACATCCCAAGAACTTGGGTCGACCTAATATGAGGCTAGTTAAGCTGCTTGCCTAGTAGTTCACCTAGCTCCGTTCATTGCCTCCGGTACTTAGCTTGATACTATGTAGTAGCACTCTCTGTCAAACTTCTATAGGTCTAGCGGTGTCCGTCTCGACTTATATGTATCCATATAGATTGCACATGCAATGTTGTAGTAGCCTGTAGAGAACTTTCCTGGATAACCCCATGATGGCGCATGGTTCATGTAAAGTAGTTCTGTGTGTCTAGGTATGTAGGTAGGTATATGAGAAGTGAGCCTTGTGTTGAGCCTTCGGATGTATCGCCGTGAAAAATTGACTGGTTGCACAAATGATGTGAGGCGCACTGGATGCCCATAGGTTACCTGGAGTTGCCTGCGGCCTGGGCTGCTGGACATATACATCATGTATATGCAGGGTCGGGACATGATACTACCATGATACTACCTCACCCACGAGACAACTCATGGTGGGTCCCCAAGTCCTACAGAAATCCCAAATCCCAACGGACCGATCTGCGATCGGGGGTAACGAACTAAGTAAGCATTCAAATGAAAACAACAGCCGATGTCTGTCTTGTTTGGTCATCGAGGCAACTCACAGGGCTCAGCTGAATTGGTAGGTATACAGTCAAGCAGGATTTGCGCGCCGATGATGATGATGGGGCATCTTCTCATAGGATGGATGATTGTATACATGTAGGTACATACTGACTAACTCGATGGTACTGTAATATCTAGAAGATCGATTGCATCCTATTAGAAGTGGCGGAGTCCTGGCCATGGAATGTCTCTCCAGCTTTGCTCTCCCGATCCATGCGTTGGCTAGCCAAGATCGTGCGATGAAAACTAGAGAAGAACAAGAAACCAAATTCAAGGTTCGTCGAAGCTTACAAGGCGGAAGATGTTGCCTTAAAACACCAGTTCATCGGAGCGTCATGCCGTGTAAGTCGGAGGTAAATAGACTCTGGTCCCATCCGTAGGGCCCGCGTAACCATGCCTCTCTCCCTTCATCTGTATCGTAATCTGGATTGTACCAAACCCGGGAAAGGTATGCACAACATACCGCAACCCGGTCACCACAGATGCCCGTGTCAAGAATCCAGCATACCTTGATGCCTTCACCTCACATTAGGATCTCTCATAAGTTGCCTACCTGCCTAAGTGCTTAGGTGGGTTATATCATTTGAGAAATTGATATAGGGGTAGAAGTCAACGAAAACCACATGACTTTCGCAACTTCTCGTATTCGCCAAGAAGTATTGTAGTTTTGGATGTTCAAGAATGTGTCCGTGTCATGAGAGATGAGTGAGTATTGCCGTACCCGTTGCCGTCGCGTCTACCTAGTCATAACCTGTCTACCAAGGCTAGCCTCAAGCCTTTGCGTACCAATGCCCACCCCCCCTTTATAACGCCGAATAACACACCTATCCGAAGCCTTGCAGGCGCGCTACACTGTCTAACCGGCCTTGTCCCTTATCCAAAAACCTTGAGAAACCCCCATATTCCGATGCCACTGAGCACGGGAATTGTTAGATTATCGTCCCACCCGAAGAGATCAATCACCTCACTACCCGCCGCAGTCAGGCCCGACCACACGCTCAATACGCCCAAGGCGATGGGGCCACTAATAGTCCCTTGCGACTCGGAAATGCCGAGTGCGCTCGAAATAACGGCGGGGAGCCGCAATATGCCCTTGAACATAAAAGGGTGGTCATCGTCTCCAGGGAATGGACCGGTCTTGGGAGCTAGCCAACCCCAGAACCAGGCAGCGGTAGCCACTCCAACGAGGCATGCGGCTAGTGACCCAGCCAAAGACTTGCCTCGTCGGAGTCTTGGCGTATATATTCCATATAGCCTGCCAAATGTGCTCGCAGCCGTATCACACCAGCTCAAGAGCATGACGGCTACTACCGCAACATCCTTCGGGAAGTAGTAGAGAACGGACCATGCACCGAGCAAGTAGAAGATGACTCCGTTCCAGCCAGCATATTCGGATTCGCGCATCAAAGCACCGAAGCACCTGACGTAGAGCCGGTTTAACGAGGCATACCTATGGCGCAGAAAGTCGGTAGTCGCAATAGGGATGAGGGCTCCCATCAAGAACGGTGTGACAGAAGAAGTTTGAGTGCCGCTGACATAGAGCCAGTAGACAAGAAAGCCGATTGACACGTGCAGGGCCTTTCTTGGAACTTCATGCTTATGGATAAAGGTCTTGAAATGTCTATGGATGGGGATGAGGCCAAGAGGACTCGGACTTCGACTAAAGTCGCGCCAGTCCCATCCGTAAGTGGTGGGTGTTGGTAACGCGAGATGACCGTTGGAAGTATCGCTCTTAATATTCTCCTTGGCCTCCTTCTTCACCTTATCATGGTTCTCGCTCGTTTTCGATTTAGAGGTGCGATTAGGTTGAATAGGAGCGGGGCCATTGACTCGGCGTGTCTTTATGGGGCTTCGAGATCTGGTCCGGGCCCTCCGAAGCTCGGGATCGGATTCTTCGTCAAGAATTTGGTGGAGAGGTTGTGGAAAGGTGGCGCCGTCCGCCTGCCTCCGCCTCGCAGCGGAGCGAGTAATGGGGCCGAGATAGGAATCATGAGAAGTATCTCCAGATCCAACCTCGGAAGGGGTAGGACTTGGAGATATAATCCTCGGGGGGGCAGGAATAATAGGTTTCCCAAGGAAAGACATGTTATAGGGAAAGGGAGGTAGAGAAAAGTGAGGTAAGGATGGGGAGAAGACAGGGCCAGTCACGGTCTGTCGCAAATCATAAAATCGCAAAGGCCAAAAAGAGGAATGAATATGTTTATCCTTTCTGGATTCACGTGGGGTCTGGGAAAGGCTGGAGAACAAAGATTGATGATGGGCTATGGGATCCAGATTGAATGGTGTTGGTGATGTAGCAGAGAAGCTCTCTGCCACATTGTGATGCTTCGACGAAGTTCTTTTCGGATCTTTGCGCGAATCCTGGAAAGCGGACTTGGGCGAGGGTCTTGGTCTCACACATGAATGAATAAGCACATGTGCTGTGCCAGTTGGGGGTTGGCGGATAGGATGCCCAGTAGGATACCTAGTACGATGGCTACCCTAGATCATAAGAGATACCTGGTTAAAATAGGTAGTAGGTAGGGATGATACCGAAGATACCGAGAAATGATAGGATGATAGATGTAAGTAGGCTCGGCTTGTCGCGTGATGATAATGGTCGGGATTGAATTTTTCTACTTTTTTTTTTTCTTTTTTTCCACACGGAAATCAAACTTGAACCAAACGAAGACCGTTCAAAAAGTTACCTAAGTTAATACAGTTAACTTGTTTCGTCATTATTATTATTTAGAGTATTGATCTAACCCCGCGTGGCCTGTGCATTATGTATCACCTGGGCAGTTACTACCTAGTACCTACTACTAGGTAGTAGTACATACATATGTACTAACTAGACAGTACTTACATAGTACACATGTCATACGTACATAACCTTACGTATGTGGTAATTACCGTATGTAGATACCTACATATGTGAATACTATGCATTGTCTCGGCCGAAAACAGCAAACCAATAACTTCATCCTTCTTAGAACATTCACGTGAATGCTCATAACCAACTTCGTTAATAACCAAACACTAACAAAGAAATAGTAATGACACAGAGAACCAACCTTGGAACCCGCAAATTCATTAGGGTTACTAACCAGTTCACCTCAGTTATAAGCCATGCACACTAACAAGAAGCGCATTTAGGCAGCAGGCAAACATGTCCCGTGAACACTATATATCAGTATACGTCTCTTATTTGCCACGGCGAGAAGATATAACTGAGCTGAACCCGTCAATATGAAAACTAAGCCGAATTATATGACAGGCCTAGGCATGGCTACTATCTTCATGGCATTTCTCACGAAAGAACAGTAGGCGCTTCGGGGTCATGTGTGAAATGAAAGCTAGTCGGTATGAGTTTAATATGATATAGTTAGTAGTTAGTAACTAGCTACAACCCCAGAGAGAGCAATTTGGATACTGGGAAAATACCGAGAAAAGAAACAACCTCATACCTATACATCTATAATCTCCATCAGTCCATGAGTCCGTGAGTCCATCCGCCTTTGCCTGCCAACATTCTGTAGAAGCACCTCAAGACCCTTCTATACCATCCCAATACATGTAACCCACCCAGTCCAAGAAACATAATCCAAGAATCTAGCTAGACCTCTATTCCTTGGTAAAGACGCTAACATGCTCGCCTACAACAACAACCTTCGATTGAGCGCGATCGAGGAATCGCTCTTCGTCCTCCACGATCTTGGCCCATCTCTCCGGCGCGTGTATATGCTCCGCCATAGCCTGGAAAGCGGCGGCATCCTTGTGGGTTATCTCAGCGATAGCATCGTAGTCAAAGTCCGCCTGCGTGCCCTGTATCACCTGTGCTGGGGTGGTGGCATTTCGAGTAGTTCCCTCGGCATGGCCTTGAGTGCGCTGGATGTAGCGCGTCGTGTGCTTTAGGTGGACATGTTCTCCGGCTAGTTCCCTGAATAGGGGCATATGCTTGGTTTCGTAATGCTCTCTGAACTGCTCCGGTGTTGTACCAGCCTTGCGAGTGGCAAAGAACAAGATAGTATAAGTCATGGTGATGGCTTTGATATAATGAAGATTATATAGTAATTGTGGACTGGATGGTATTTGTATAGAGCCGTAGAGGGTCAGATAAATGTTTAGGATAATAGAAAGATTTACGGACTTTCCCTTACAATGCTCGTATTATATACACATCTTGAATATGACCATTCTGCAGTGTGACTGGGATGAATTTGTGCTGACTCGGAAGGAAGAGAGCTAAATCATTACGAATCCAATCAAACCAAATAGAATAGAATCGAAAAGAACGGAACAGAATAGAGCAGAACAGAATATAATCGAATTGAACTGGATATTGAAGTAGAATTATGTAGTGAGAATCAAAGAATATGAACACAACCGCATTTTCGGTGTTTACCCCCTTAATGTCACATATGAAGTCATTCTCGTGAGACAGTCCATGGCTTCACACCAAACATTAGCATCACATGTACGGAGTTCGTCAAAATTCAATTATAAGAAGAAGTTTGAAATAATATCTATATGAATAACTACCTGATAGAATGATAAATGAACGACTGAAACCAACACAAGCAAAAGCGCTCGTTGCGCCAATGTATAGCCAATGTATAGCTAACCCAAAAACCCTGTAATACTCCGAAGTCCGCGATACCCCTAAGGTTAGGCACCCATGCGTGCAAGAGTAGTCAATACATGTAGGCATCCGTCACCCACCAAGCCACCCATTCTCCTCTAGCTTAGCTCTGTGGCTGATATCATAGGTACCCCTATCTACCACCACCCAACACTCAACCCATTCGGCACCACCCCGCCGCTCGCCACGCTATCCTGCCGAACCACATTGACGTCCAAATCACCCACCGCCACCGTCTCCCAGCGCACGCTCAGCCCCGCCGGACACGGGAAGCTCTCGACAGCCGGGTTCGGGAAATCCGTCTTGTCGAACGCGTACAGCCCCGTGCTTTCGTCGAAGCGCATGCGCGCCAGCTGCACGTCGCGCTGGTTCCCGGCGTTGAGCTGGAAGAGATCCGCGAACGAGCTGCGGAACACGTCGAGGGCCTGGGTGCCGGTGACGATGTCCGAGACCTCCTGGTTGGCGCGGAGGACGAGGTGGCACGTGCGGCCGGCGGCGGAGTCTGGGATCGCGATCTGGTAGAGCGTGCTGTTTTCTGTGTTGTCGAAGCGCGAGGTGATGATGTTGGAGGCGACGGTGTTTACGCCGGTGACGACGTTGTGGGTCTTGATGATGCTGGGGAGGAAGAAGCCGGTGTAGGTGGGATCTTGGCGGGTGCTGAGTTTGGTGGTGCTGGAGGTTGTGGTAGGGGCGGCTAGGGAGAGGGTGGTGGCGAGGAGAGAGAGGGCGGCGGTAGTGAACTTCATATTGAAAATAGGAGATAGGTAATTCTCTTTTATGAGTTAAGCAAGTTTTAGACTTGGTTGAATATTGTAAAAAATTGTAACCTTAGAAAGCTGGTATTCTATTTGTGTTGGTGATGATATCCTCTTCTTCCCCCTTCGTGAAGGCAAGAAGAGCCATCTTATATACCTATCGACCAGACTGGTATTCAACATATTCTGAAAGCATCACGACATATCTCGAGTCCTACTCTTCCTATAATTGCTATAATATCTACATATAGACCCAGTTCCCCGGGCTCATCTATTTTAAGCCCAACAAGCTATGAGCTTATGTTATGGAGTCCTTAGCTGCTGACTGCCAGCTCACATCCATCATCTCTCCTGATTGGCCGCCTGTCCCCCAACTTCCAACAACTGAACCCGATGTAGAACATTAGATCTAGTAAGAAAAAAAGGAAACAACGATAGCCGACTTAAGGGCATATAGATCAGTGCATAGCCGGATGACGAGCCAGGCAGCATACTTGGCGACTGACTAGCGAAGCCCCACAATAGGAGCTCGATATTGAACAAAACCCACCAGTAACAAGTTGAAGATATAGGATATATGCTATCCCTAGTGTCATTGTCTCCTGTTGGTACTAAGTATATTTCAGCGGACATCTTATGTCTCTTAGCCTCAACACCATCATCGCCATGATAGGACTATGATGCCAAGCCCGACGAACTTCCTCCAGGAAGGTCACTAGGCTTTTCACAAGTGACGCTGGTACCACTGACATGATTTCATTGCACGAAATACTTTCTCATGTAAGCAGTTGCCGTCTGAATGGCTGCATATTTCAGTTGACGGCAATGGATAATTTGTGGTAGTTATCTGGGTTCATTGGCCACAGCCTTGATACCCCTATTCCCCCTCCTCTGCGACTGGCCTAGGCCTGAAAACCTACCTAATTTTAGAAGGAATGGAGACTTGATGATGTTGAAGTATTGTTTACTGGCAGTTACCAATATGAGCTCGGTACGTTTCTCGTGAGCGCAATAAAGACTCCGCCTCTCGGCACTATAGGCTCGTGAGATTATAGTGTACAGCTCTCGTCTCGGTACGAGAGACAACTGCACTATGAGTTTTCCATTTACACGCCATTTCATTACAATACTAAATTTGACTTCATGCAGCTTTTCTTAGAAATAATAGGTAGTTGGCTGTATTGGGCGGCTACCAGACATTCCGAGAATTATAGGATTCAAGGGATACCTAAAATACGATCGTACAAACTGGCCAAGTTGAGAACCTCATTGGGCTCGATGCCTTGGGTTGCCCGCCTCTTCTCCCAACTTTGCAAGTGCTGACTCGTAGGCGGTTACCTTCGTCTCGAATGCCTCCTCCTTTTCTTCCGTCACCCTAATACGCTCTACACTGCTGCTTCTCTGGATAGATGTCGAGCCCGCAACTTCGTTCCAGAACCATCTCCCTTCTGAATTCGTAAACAATGTCCATGCTCTACCTGTCTTCCCGGCACGGGCAGTACGACCTACTCGGTGGACATACGAGGCTGCGGATGATGGCATATCGTAATTGATGACATGGTCAAGGGATTGAAGGTCTATACCACGAGAAACGAGGTCGGAGGCGACGAGAACTCGTAGCTTCCCGGCTGCGAATAAACGCATCGTCTCTTTACGAGCCGTGTATTGCGTTGTCGAGGTAAGTGTGCCGGTGATAGACCCTATTGTTGGCGAAAGCAATGATAGTAGCCGCGAAAGTCTTATAGCAGTCTCATTGGATTTTGTAAAAATTAAGACACTGGACATGTGTGTTTTTCTAGAAATTTTCTTAGAAGGCCCAAACGATGTATCTAATTCCGAATCCGACTCTGAGTCGTCTGAATCTGAGCCGGAAGACGAAGTTTCGTCGTCTGATAGATCCATCGTAGATTTATTAGGCGTGATTTGTCCTAATATGTGTTCGCTCTGAAGCAAATCGAGAAGGAATAGCGGCTTAAGATTAGGATCCTTGACTTTGAGCGCGGCTTCTTTAAGTAGCTCCGGCAGCGCGAACTTGGCCTCTACCGCCTCGTTAGTGGTCGTAGGCCCATCAAGGACAATCAATTTTGGCAGACGAAGCTTCAAGCCTTCTAAACGATCGAGATCTCTGGTCATGGTAGCACTGAGAATAACTTTACGGACTCCCGACAAGTTAGACTGCTTATGATTTCGAGCGCCCGTGTCGTTAGATTGCACCCGCGGGATCACAATGTCCAACCACTGCTGGAAAGACTGGCCAAGTAGCTTATCTGCCTCATCGACAACAAGCCAACGGACGAAGTCCAGAGTAAACCCTGGCGTGAATTTGATATGCTCTACAAGCCGTCCAGGCGTGCAGATAAGAACATCAACTTTGGATTTGTAGTCAAGTACGTGATATGGCAAGGTTGGGATCTTGTCTTCCTTCTTCCGAATCTCTGCTCTCCGTTCATCATCAGTTAGGTACCCTTCATCGTTGTCTTCATCGTCGCCATGTCCACGGTTAGACAAGCTTCTTGTCTGGCGTTTATCATAGGCTTCGGGATCATATCGCTCCTCCCTCTCAACAAGGGCAGCTTGTTCCTGTTCAAGTGACTTGTTGCCCATTGAAATTCCAACCCGCGGTCTTCTTTTCTTGCCATTGGAGGAGAATATGCCTGCACACTGCTCGCAGACCTGTTGGGCTTGCCTGACTAGCTCGCGCGTTGGGAGAACAATAAGCGCACGGAGTTTTGTGAGGTGACGATTTCCCTGGCTCAAATCCCGCATCAGGGGCAAAACGTAGGCTAATGTTTTCCCCGAACCTGTAGCTGCTGATACTAAGAGGTCACCCTGCATTCTTTTGTCGTGGTGAGGGAGGAGCAAGGGTATGACAGCTGTTTGTATAGCGAACGCTTGTTTGTATCCATTTGCAGCCAGCTTCTCAGCTATTTCGGGAGTGATTCCATAGTCCGGACTGATTCCAAATTCAACAAAAGGCGCGGTAGCCTGTGGGGATACACGAATTGGCTCTGCTAGCCAGGGCGGTAGTGTCTCGTAACTTGGCTTTGTCGTATCCAGCACAACGGGTTTCGGTTGAGGCAATGGTTGGAGTCCATGAACTTCAGGCACATCCGAATCTTCGCCAATCCCGGGCGCATCGTGCATTGGCAAATCCTCTTGTTGATCTGATATAGGTTGCGACTCGGGATGTCGCATTGCCTTGGCTGCTTTTTCGAGAACTGAACGGTGTTGAATCGGAGTTTCATGCGCAGCTTCTATCTTATTTGACTTCTTTTTGTTTCTCCTTTTCTCCTTTATCTCATCGACCAACTCGATTTGCTCACGGGCGACTTGTTGGTCTACTGCCTCTGACTGCTCGGCCACCGCACTATCATTGAGTCCATTCTGAACATTGGTTGGCTCGGCGTAAGACTTGTCCGCATCTTCTAATTGTGTTGAATCGGCTATAATTGTCTTGGGCTCCTTCGTGGACTTTTTTGAGCCTTTAGGCTTCTTCTTTAATTCCTTGGGAGTGGCATGGTCTTCGGCCAACTTAGCCTTCTTAGGCGGTGGCTCTTCTATGTCATTTCCATGTTCAAAGCGGACATGATTTGAAGCTTGGTGATTCGATTGGCCATTGGTGGACTTGGGAGGTGGGATGTATCTCGCATAAGCCGTCGGTTGTTGCTTGACTGGTGGACTGGATGGCGATTCTGTAGTTTTTTGTATTTCTGCGCCTTGTGAAGTACCTTTGGGTGGAGGGACGTATCGCGCGTACATTGTTGTAGAATTTGGGGCCGTTACTGGCTATTGGTTATTATATGTAGTAAGAGAAGTACATGCTAGGTAGCTGTGTAGGCGCAAAGGATATCAATAATACTGCCATCGCAGAAAATTGACCGCCTTCCTCAAATACTAGCTTATCTCTTATCAATGACCATGAGCCAATCATTTAACTACTATGTACACTATTTATGTGGATACTTTTACTAGATTACCTAGTAACTATGCAGTATATTCATATGTAGCTTAATTGAATATTGCAGCCATTGATCATTTGAAGGTGTCAACCTTGAAACTTAACATTTACAACTCATCTATCGCAACAACAGAAATTCGCTTTACTTTTCCCAATCGATCCAACCCTTTCGCCTGTCTATGTCTTAGGCTATATTATAGTTCAATTTTCTGTTTGAATTTTGGAGCTCACACTAGCATCTTACCTGGCCGTGTCCTAGCGAACGCTCGCACGCTCACACGCTCAAGATAGTTCTCGTGGTGGCTTGCTATCGACACATTGACCACTAATGCCTCGATTGCAGCCTTAACGAACCATCAAGCACATAATTCATAATAACTGCTAGGAGGGTTCTTGAATATGACTCAAAACTCCCCCGAACACTACGAACACCGCGCTCACCATCCACCACGATGCCGCCCCGAACGTATAACATCGCTATGGTTAGCGATTTCTTCTTCCCCCAACCAGGAGGCGTCGAAAGTCATATCTACCAGCTCGCTACCAAATTAATAGACCGAGGACACAAAGTCATTGTGATAACCCATGCTTATGAGGATCGGAAAGGCATCCGCTGGCTTACGAATGGCATCAAAGTCTTCCACGTACCCTTCGCCGTGATCTATCGATCTGCCACCTTTCCCACCGTCTTCTCCTTCTTTCCACTATTTCGCAACATCATACTCCGTGAAAGAATCGAGATTGTCCATGGCCATGCCAGTTTAAGCAGTCTCTGCCAGGAGGCCATGCTACATGCCAGGACGATGGGTTTACGGACAGTTTTTACTGATCATTCGTTATTCGGTTTCGCTGATGCGGCGAGTATTTTGACCAACAAGCTATTGAAGTTCACGCTCAGTGACGTAGACCACGTTATATGCGTCAGTAATACATGGTTCGTCCTATTCTCCTTTTGGCCATGCGTACCTACATGTGTACTGACATCCACTACAGCAAGGAGAACACTGTCTTGAGGGCAGCTTTGGATCCTCTCATGGTTTCTGCCATCCCCAACGCAGTCGTGTCCGAAAACTTCAAACCTCTTCCCCGCCCTGATCCAAGTAGCACGTCATTCGCTCAGCATCCCTTACCATCCCATCCATTGGGTCCTAATGATACTCTTACGATAGTGGTGATTAGTCGTCTATTCTATAACAAAGGGACGGACCTACTCACCGCAGCTATCCCCCGAATTCTCGAGAACCATCCTAATACTCGATTCATTATTGCCGGGTCTGGGCCCAAGGCTATCGAACTAGAGCAGATGATCGAGCAGAATGTCTTACAGGATAAAATTGAGATGCTGGGGCCTGTGCGACATGAAATGGTACGGGACGTGATGGTGCGAGGGCACATATATTTACATCCTAGCTTGACGGAAGCATTCGGGACGGTAATAGTCGAAGCTGCCAGTTGTGGCCTGTACGTTGTGTGTACAGCTGTCGGGGGCATTCCCGAAGTGCTCCCATCACACATGACCGTGTTCGCAAAGCCCGAGGAGGACGACCTAGTAGCGGCGACGGGACGAGCGATTGGTGCGCTGCGCGCAAACAAAGTGCGCACAGAGAAGTTCCATGAACAAGTCAAGTCTATGTACTCGTGGACCAATGTTGCCAAGCGCACCGAGCGCGTATATCGTGGCATCTGCGGCGACATTAGCGAGGCCGAATTTTATGGCTTCGACGTTGGACACGACCCCCACTGGCATGCTACACGCGGGCGGAACTTTGCTTTGATTGATCGCCTGAAGCGATATTACGGTTGTGGTGTCTGGGCTGGAAAACTGTTCTGCTTGTGTGTGATCATTGATTACTTAATTTTCGTATTCTGTGAGTGGTGGTGGCCTAGACATGACATCCCTATTGCAAGGGATTGGCCGAGGAAGAAGGCTCCCGATGATGATAACGAGTAGGCGCATGATAGGTTATAATGAGGACTAGGGTAATCGAGGCAGGTGCACGAAGTGTGTATTTTTACAGCTAAATACCATGGCATATTTACAGGAAGCGATAGAAGTTCTGATTATTAGGTATATATTTTCTTCGGTCAATATCTCTCCATGGCCTTTGTCGATACGTGTCCTGGAATAGTTGCCCAGTAATTAGTAAGTACTGATATTGTTAAGGCTTCTAGACCCCTTGGCCACTAAAGTTCGGTGGCCGTTTGTGCAGACTGCCCAGCAGCGTCTGTTCGTGGTCAGCATAATTGTAGGCTAAGCGACGTGAATACCTAACCTTGAAGCTTCAAGGGCGGATATCTTAGGGAACTCTCTGAGTAGTGGCTAGGATCGTTCCGCGAAACGTCAGACGTTCTTAAATCAGTCAATTGTCACATCGTCTTCCCAAGGTTTGTAGATACCTGGGTACCTATGAATAGGGGTTATATCTAGTAGTTACTTATTATGTAGGCGGCTAAGCTCCCCACGATTCAACGCTGACCCCTTAAGTTGCAGGAGTTGAACAGGCTTAGTTAATTGAAATGAGAGATTGAACTCTTTTATACGCTCCGTGTAAACTTGGAAGTTATCTACTTGTTACACTCAAGTAGGTACCGTTGGTATATTCATTGCCTTTAGTCGCTCGATATCCTGTCATAGCCCTGTCCCAACTCCTAATATGTTAGAATAGATGGTTACCTTTCTACTATCAATGCATAGTTATTGATGACCTCCTTTCCTCACAGTTCACTATATCTTAAGGGGTCAACATAAATTCACGAATACCTCAGCAAGACGTCTAAAGGTACTATCATGTAGGGTATCAACCCATATTAAATTAATTCATTATCCCAAATAACTATGCAATCCTCTTTACCGAATCATTTCCCCCTACACGAAGTCGACGTTACCGAAGAAGGGCGTCATATGAAAGTTCGTTTCATTCGTCGGATTCCAGGCGCCTAGTAGTTGGTCTGGGAACGTGTCTGGCGAGACAACGATACGGAAGAAGTTCATTCTCCACTGCGTCCCGGCCGCCTTACCCACGTCGACGTTGAAGAGTCCTAGAGGGATCTTGGCATCCGTCACCCAAGTCTGCGCTTCCCTATCCAGGGTCGTCTCCGTGGTCAAGCCGTCCACGATGGGCGTAGTCAAGAAAGAGGTGTCGAGCGGAGCGCCCGCCGCGCGCACCTTGGACGGGTTGTAAATCCACGCCTGGAACGTCACGTTGTTTGGGTTTACCTCGAACTCCAGGTAGGACTGCGGGTCGTTGGTTCCGTGGTAGATGAAGGCCTCCATGGCCTCGTACTGCCAGATGCCCTCGTTCGTCGTCTGGCTCTCGTTGTAGTAGAAGTTCGTCTCCTCCAGTGCGCGGAAGGTGATGTGGATAAAGCTGTCGTCGTAGCAGAGGTCGACTTGCGTTCTGGGGAAGGCGACCTGCTCGGGCACTGACTTGCTGTACTCGACGCTGCCTGTGCCAGCCGAGCATGCGGGTACCTGCAAGGCCGGGACGTAGCCGGCGCTTACGGCGCCAGCCGCCAGGAGTAATGACAGCCAAAACATATTATCCTCGTATTATTGTATTAACCTAGGTAGCTCAACGGTCTGTCGTGGCGATGAAGAGAAAAGAAATCAAGGGATGCGTCGAAAACACGGAGCGGTTATAAAGGGGTCACAATACCAATACATGAGTATCGGGCTTTCTTTTTCCGCGTGAGTATCCTCCCATGTTTACCTGGGCACTTACATAGTACTTCAACTATGGAACATTCGAAACTAATTTCCCGGTATAGGCTTTTGGTACACATGTACGTGATTCCTCCCAGATCCAGCTCAAAGGCAAACGAACAGACGAGTCCTGCGCCGTTTTTGTGCAACGTAGCATGTGATTTCGAGATCCTTAATGATGTGACATATCATAACGTATTAGACAGGGTACTGATACAGACATGGTAGTGATGCAGGCATTTTCTCACCAAAAACAGCAATATTCAAAAACTCATAACTTTACCAAACATTTCTCAAATAAAATATATTTTGGAAATATAATTTATTACACTAATCTTTATATGTAGAAAATTTCAAAAAAAGATGCATCCATTGTGTGGCTCGAAAGGCGAGATTATGAATATAAGCATGGTAAGATTTATGCACTTAACCAGTATATCTCCTGTATCTCGATGTATTTCCGCCAAATCTTTTTTCCAAATTTTATATTTATATATATCGGTATAATAAATTTATTTTCGAGGTTATATCTTATTTGATAATGGTTTGGTAAAGTTATGAGTTTTTGAATATTGCTGTTTTTGGTGAGAAAATGCCTGCATCACTACCATGTCTGTATCAGTACCCTGTCTAATACGTTAACACGCAATTCAATTTTCCTGATTATGATGCTACATGTATTATAGTGCGAGTATATCTCGTACCTACAAATTGCTCTTCTTCAATGTTTACCTACCTACCCATACTATGTACCTAGATCCATCGTTTGATGTGTCAAGCGAATTTGACGACCATGGCAAATCAAATCAAATAAATACGATTTAATTTTGTGAAGATCTCAGCAATACATTAAACAGCCAACCATGGATCTACTACACTACACATGAGGCTATTCAAATCTATATGAAGACCCATATCGCCCCCATAGCTCGGGCTCCAGTTCTATTGCTGATCTCCCGTCTTTCCAATGTACGGCTCCAGGTTCCAGGTGGAGTCTTGTAATCCCATAGGGCTCTTAGAGGCTTTTAGCATTACCTATGGTAGTGTAAGCTAGCTTCGCCGCCTGTGCCTCTGTGGAAGCCCGTAGCTTTGTAGGCATACATTTGTTAGTTCAGACGCCTTTTAGAAACGACTTCCCACATCTACCTACGTAGGTAGGCACTTGTTTCGTATGTTCACTCCGTAGGATATGCCATACCGCCATTTGATTAATATGAACTCTTTTTGCATCAAGCAACGATGATTTCCCAGCAAGTTGACCGAGCGCCGCCGCCGCCCACTAGGAGAGCATTACCATTACCATACTTGTTGACATACATACGTAAATAAAAACACCTCACGACCTTGATATATCATTCGCCCTAGCCAGCCAGTCATACACTTTGCGAAAAGGTTAGGTAAGTTAGATCTTCACCAGCGCATCTGCCTCAACAATCCTGTCCGCGTAGCCATCCAGCGCGATCTTCAGCATCGCTTTCGCTAGCTTATCCACATCAATGAACCCCCCCGTGTTAGCAGTGAACGTATCTAGCAGGCCCGCGTACTTCTTCAGGATAGCGGCCGGTCGTACTGCCCACACTTCAAACTTGTCCTTGTTGGCATCCGCGAGATCGCAGAGGCCCTTCTCTACTTGTCCCTGTGTGACTCGGGTGGTTAGGTAGGCTTCTTTTCTTGCACGACTTTAGGGAAAAGGGGGCCTGTGATATGCCGATGTGTCGAGAGCGCGCTACGTAGATGATTCTTTCATCCATCCAGTCAACTCAGCTTACCTTGATGCGCCTGGTATCCTTCAGCCAAAGCAAACTCTTCTCCTGGTCCCACTCGGCGAACTTGCCGCTGCAGAACACGAACCGAAATTTTTGAGACTCGGGCAGTTTCGGCGCCAGCCCTGCGATGAAGGCTCTTGCGGCTGCGAGCGCGTAGTCTACCGAGACCTTCCGTGCCGTTTCCACGTCGGGGAATTGTGTGGCGCGCCCGCCGATGGCCCTTTTGCGGCGTGTGAGTTTTCGTTTTTAGAGAGTACATACATATTTTAGGTAGGCATATATCATGAACTGTGAGTGGGTGTTTAGGCTAGGGGAAAAAAGACTTACCAGACACAGCCCTCTGCCTCAGCAAGTTGTTCCAGCAGCTCAGGAGGGTAGGCGGAGAAATCGTTGTGCTGGATAATCGTGACTTTGGGGCTTTTGGCAATATCCTCAGGGAGCGGCTTGCGCGTTAAAACGAAAGCGTGCGTGATTCTCTCGTTGGCAATCGCCTGCCGAACCACGGCGCCCCCTACGAAGCCTGTAGCTCCTGCGATGATGATCCGCATTATCGCGAGCAAGAAGGGTTAAATTGATGCTAGCGTTGAAGAGTATCTTAACTAGTGTTACTTGTTTATTGGATAATACTTAAAAGGTTGTAACGGCGTTGGTCCTGTCATGAGATCTGCCCCGCGCTTTTCTACCCACTCCCTAGCCCCTGTTCTCTTACATAAAGGTAGTAAATAACTATATTCTTTTAACTAATGGCGATTACTACGTAGATGTCTTAGTATGGAGGTCAGGTGGTATATTTATTTCTACCAGTACGATCAATGCCTCGGTACATAATAGGCATCCGGTAATTTTCATCCTTAAATATCATCCCGTCTTTCATCACAAACCTCACCTTCCTCATTGCGCTGAAATCTGAAATTGGATCCCCGTCAACCGCGATGATGTCGGCTGCAAATCCCTCCCCTAAATACCCGAATCGTCTGGCGCATAGATCACCGCCACATGACTCCCACCCGTGTAGTGTCGCCGCTTGCAAGATATCAGGAATGGGTATCTTAGCCTCTGCCATCAACTCCAACTCAAGCACGTTCTCGCCATGCGCGAAAGCGCCCGTGTCACCGCCAGCGGCAAGTTTGATTCCCTTATCATACGCAGCTTTCGTATGGCCTAATACCGTCCTCATAACTTTTTCAGAGCCACCGGTTACAGCGTGGAGAACTGCTAGTGTTGGCACGAATATTGTGTCATTCTCTTTCATTGCTTCCAGCGCCTCGTCGCTAGGCATAAAGCCATGCTCAACCGAAGTGACACCTGCCTCCGCGGCCATAATAACGGCCTCTGGGCTTTGCGCATGAGCCGCTATAGGTGCCCCGGACCTCTTTGCCTCGGACACCATGGCATTCATTTCCTCTTGCGTGAACAGTAGCACGTTCGGGTTCCGTCGCCCGTCCAATATATCGCTGGAAGGCGGGAACAGGATTTCCTCGGCGCCCGGCCAACTCGGTTGGGGATATCGTAGAGTTCGCTTTCTGTAATCGGCGTAGAACTTGACGATGTCGGCACCAGCGCCCAAACGTCTGCGCACAGCCGCGCGAACGCCGTCGACACCATCGGCTGGATCTGATATCCTGGGAACAGACGTGCCGACACCATCCAGGCTATTTTCCTGCCGTATCTCATACCCGCCACTGGAGGCGATGCACTCTGTCGCGACGAATATGCGTGGGCCGGGTATGATGCCACGGTTGATGGTGTCTCTAAAATGAACGTCGGCGTCCCGTAAGCCCTCGGTTCCCAAATCACGATAGGTGGTGTAGCCCGCCATCAATGCAGCCTTGGCATGGTTCGTAGCCCGCACTACCCTTTCGACAAGACTCTCGTCACGCATTTGGTTTATAGATGATACCTCGGAGTAGGGGTGTAGAAACACGTGAGTGTGTGCGTCGACGAGGCCTGGAAGCACCGTGAAGCCTCGTAGGTCAATACTGGCTGGCTCCACTGCATAATTGTCTGGCGGTGGACTGTTCCGTTGGTACACTCTCCTAATTAAACCAGTGGTTTTATCAATAATGATAGAAGTATCCGAAACGAAACATTTCCGATGCGAGTCAAAGAGCGAAGATGTGTGAATCGTGATCTGGTTCATATTGTTCTAAATGGCCTTGCAACGGGTGGTGTTAGAACTTATCAGGTATCGATTTTGAAAGATGGGATGAGATTGGGAAGATTTATAAAAGAAAGTGTTGGGAATTAATGCCCAAGTAAATTCAAGTTGAAATTCAAACGATCCTTATAAACACTCCTTACAAATGCCCCTATTCTACTATCCGTGTTACATATGCACGTGGTCACATCAGATACTACATACCTACGTAGTGGGATGTGTAACTCTAGATCGCATATATTCTTGTACTTAGCACATGTCGGACTCTTGCGTAGAATAGGTAGTTATCCCATCATCAACATGTATAAAAGACAACTCGGGAAATGAAAATGAAAATGAGCTGTGCCATATAGATGTATTTAGTGTTTAGGCCCATGACCTACAAATGCTTACCTATCACAGTTTGCGCTTGCTTTCATCCCAAATCTGGGTCACTATTCCGCAATGGCCTAGGTATGGCTCTTTACTATCTGCTGCAAGATGCATGCCAGGTATCAGTCACTTATTCTCGAGTGATACATGCAGAAACGCCACAAGACTGGGATATAAGATATAAAGATGAGCTACCCTCGCCATGAAACTCACAAGCTACCGAAAGCATCACTGGAGCTTTTTCTGTCCCTCGTCTTGGGCAACCAGTTTTGCAATCTCGCTCATACGGAACGTGCCCCAACAAACAGCGTCGATAAGCCACTCACCCAAGCAAGTACCAAGCCATACAATTGATGCTTTGCCACCAAACCAGAACCAGTCAGGGCGGCCGAACCAGCTGCGTAAGAAGGCTGGCCATTCTGGGCGGAGGGAGTCACTGACCAACCTCCTACTGAAAACTTCCGTGGGAATGGTCGAGTTTTGCTGACTGAATACTACCCTCCATTCGAAGATTTCCCTGGCGCGGCTGTAGAGGCTGTTCTCGGGCAAGGCGCGAAGGGACTGGCTGGCAGTGTTGCTCTTGACGGTGCCAGTCATGGAGACCATAACCCGGACACCAAAGGGCGCTAGCTCCATTCGCAGGGTACGCGAGTATGCCGCCACCGCCGCCTTGCTGGCGCAGTAAACGGACCCGAAAACATAGGGCGTCACGGCAGAGAGAGAAGAGATATTGACGATGAGACCCTTGGCGGCAATTAGCTGGTCAACGAAGGCTTGTACCATGGCCATAATGGCGAAGACATTTGTCTCGAAAGTCTGGCGGACATCTGGGAGTAATATATCGGTTGCGGGATGGGTGTGCGTGCGACCACTGAGGACTAGTGAGAAACCAATAGGAAATAAGGGACGTAAGTAGGCGCTTACGCATTGTTCACGAGAATGTCGAGCTTACCCCCGGTAATCTCATAAACCTCGCCGTGGCATTTCTTGATGCTTTCACCATCGGTAACGTCCAATGCAAGGGTGCTCATACCCATAGCGGCTAGCTCTGCCAGGACTTCCGGTCTTCTCGCGGTGGCAATGACATGTAAGCCTACAGGGGTGTCAGCTTGAAGATTCCAATGAGACTGGGTACTTGAGATGTCGATTGCGCATCTACCTTGACGATGATACTCCAGGCAAAGGCCATGTCCAATGCCCCCAGGTGTGCAGCTGCGAATGTGCGGCAGTTGTTAGTATCATGAGTACCTATATATGTACCGACCTACATAGGTAGATACGTGGTAGTATGTATCAACAACATATGTATCTAGGGTAAATCAGAGATATTTGATACCGACATACCCAGTGACGAGAACCGTCTTCTGTCCAGGCTTAGGGCCTACTGACATGATGAAGGAATAATCGGGTTATTCTCTATAATATCGTGTCAAGCAATCCCTCCGAAGGCTGAAGCAAAAGCAAAAGATGCCGACGAAGATTGTTGTGGAAGTTGCGAGTAATACTAGGCATTGAAGTTACCTACCTAGGTACCTATGTACTATGTAGATACGTGGGGTTTATGAACTCTCACATGCGATAATCAGGATTCTGCATGTATAAAACCGAAGTTATGCATATACGGTGTACCTAGGTAGTAAGGACCCAAATATGACATTAGTTATGCCGCGGACCGCGGTATCATTCATGATGCTTTAAAGGTTGCCTGTGTAACTTGCCTTACTACATCTCATCAGTCGGGAGAAAAATCTTCAAAAGAACCCTACCAACATAAAAGGTACTTGCCAACAATAGAACAACATCTCAGGCAAACGTACGTCTAGCCTGAAAGAAGCCTCGTAGATCGTATGAACTGCCTTTTGGAGCTTAATAGCCAAAATGTCCATCCATATTTTACTGCGTCGAAGCAATAGGAGCCAATAGTTGCCCGCCATGGAGACAGTAATATGATTCTATGGTAAACGACAAATGAAAACCCATGAAAGCAACCCTAATTTGGTTAATTCGCCATATAGCGTAAGATCGGAGCCTTGGGGAATGCCTACTTATCTAATAGTCAGCCTGAGATATCGTGCATGATAACTCGTCCTTCCCCTCAGCTGTTATCTGCCAAGTCTAAGGAGCTATGATGCTCCCAAGATTCGACGACTATGGGTTCCTGCTAGTCACAGGTCTGGAACCAACGCGGCATATTTGCATGCTTGATATTTGAATAATCATGAATTCCATGGTAAGTACCTATTTTGAAGCTCATGATTAAAATTGGTATGTAGGTAAAGCGAGGCGAGAGGCGTGGGGATAAGTGATATCTACCGATACTCTTTACTGTCAGAGAGCTAACCACCGATATCATTCTAGGTACCTAGCACTAAGCTCTTTGATTCAACGAAGGTAGCTCTAGGTGCCGAACTCCTTACTAAGTAATATTGATGTAGTCAATATTATAGACCAGGCGATACATACTAGGTAGTAAATATACCAAAGCTTGGCAACTCTATAGGAAACTACTGCCGAGTTTTACAGCTTCTCCTCAAACTCATCCAAATGCGTTGGAAATCAGTTGTCGATCTCAAGAGTCTTCGAGATGTCGTCGCGCATCTAACATGGGTACTGACCACTGGCGCCACTGAGATGGGAATAGGGGCTGGGCATGTTTTAGGACTGGCTGGGTTTATGGAAAGCGGCAGATATCGACTAGAACGCCCCGTTTGATGTTTCACTCCTATACTTAGATGCGGAGATTTCGTATGCGTTGACGTGTTGCTCTCCGTGGGAAGATGACGTTGCTGCCATGCGTTTTGGGCCGCACATTGCCGCGTTTCGACGACATGTTGCTACCATGGTACCGGTCGAGACATTGCCTACTTACATACATAGTGACATCGACCAGCTTCTTGGAAAGGCGAGATAACATCGACTGTCGGAACTTTCCGCAAGCAGGTCAAATCTATTTTGAGCTGCGATGATGGCGGCGTTAGAAGTTGAACTTGCACTAGGTTCTTTTGTGCCAGGACAATGGAGCTGCTTCAGGGTCAGTTTCTCTCGTCATTGATCTATATTTGAATCTGGGAGCATTGTGTTCTGTGACTGACATTAGCAAGTGTGTGCAACGGTTAGGGAACCTTGTGTAGTGTACCTAGTCATGGTTGTAGAGTGGTGAGATATAAGAGATACCGTGAATTTCAGTTTATGATGTTTCTTGTAATTTTCTTAGTCAGTGCCTGCCAACATATGTACTTAGGCATACAGTAGCTGCTTCGTTTCAGCCAATGCATGTCCTGTATTAGAGAATAGACATATACAGTATCAATTCAATGTTGCTTACATGTACATAGGACAGGTAAGCACTACTGTACCTTACCTAGGTATGTCACAGTTGAGGCTCGGAATATACCTACCCTACCTAAGGTATGTAGGTAACAATCTGGACACAGTCACAGCCTCGGGTTGTCCCTGGTAGGTATAATATTGTGATACTCCACTTTAGGTACCTACCTATAACCGTCTCTCACCAAACAACGACGCTCAGTTCACCCACGATCATCTTCTGCATACAAGAAATTCAAACAATATGCACAATGTCTTTTTCGGAGAATACAGAAAAGCCAAAGGACCCCGCTCTTCGTCAACTAGTCGACTTCTACGATCCCCTCATTCAAGGTGCCGATAACAAGGGTCGCAAGCTAGCTGAGATCCTCGACTGGGACGACAGAAGGCTAGAACGGACACACAACTTCATCCAAGTTCTATTTCCGCTTCCCGATTACTCTCGCTTCAATGGCGATGCCCCAATCCTGGACAAAGAAACATGCATTTACTTTCGACAGCACCCAGGACTACAGGACAGCTTGAAGCAATCTCTCAAACGCATGTTGTCCTTCTATGGCTTTACAATTGAGTGGGAACCCAACGGAGAGGTACGAATGCAGGTTAGCCAGTTACTGCAAGGGCGTAACAAAGGATTATCCCGTTGGCTAAAACCGCTGAATCACAACCACCTCCGCATCACACGCATCATCAGGAGTCTCCGGGTCCTAGGCTTGGCAGAGGAAGCAGAAGTGGTGTACCAGAATCTCGCTAAGGTGTGCAAAGTCAATGAAAAGAAGGTGGAAGTGGTTGGTTTTAAGTACTGGACAGGAGCTGCTAAAAATCCGTTGCATTACGCGCCAAATGGTATGCAGATCGAGTGGCTGGAAGAGTTGGACCAAGATTCAAGTTGAAGGATGGATGTTAGCCTCCAGGGCTGTCACACTGTATTAGATTGGCTTCTAGGCCTTACATCCATTATGAATTCCAGATGTCCCCCACTAAAGTTAGTTGACTCCTCAAGTGCTTAGGGTAGCACTACCTACTAGCATACACTGAAATTCTGAGTTCAAGAGTGCCAATTTAAACATTCAAGCTGAAACTAAATATGTACTACTAGTAGTACCTACCTTACCAGGCTTACCTACTAGTTACTAGTAGTATGTAAATACATACCTCCTCCATGCATGTGCCATGTGTTCAAAGTTGCCCAATCAACTACGGATTGTTTTACAGCTTCTCGTGTTCTCAATACTGTTAGTAATTATTCCGCTGAAATCATGGATGACAAAGTTGTAACTTGCCTGCATGAAAAATCATAACCAGCTGTTCGGGTTATTCCTGGACGAGTGATATTCGCAAGGAAGAGAACTTGGAAATGCGATCGGAAATTATTAACCTAGCGTGTGTATTTTAATGTTTGTCGTCTGCGAATAAGATGTTCACATATAGGTATTATTACTTCAAAAATACTATTATATACCACCACCTATTAAGAGCCTCGCTATTTTTTCTGTCCTGCATTCTGACGTCTTCATTGCTACGCTGCTTGTTAGAGGTTCGTGTTGGAGGATGATGACGTACATGTTGTCTAAAACATCTTTACCTTTACACTATACCGAACAACCTTGCAGCAAGCCTTGGAAGAAAAACGGTTATCTGCGCCAACCTTTAACTTGCCGCACGCTTGTCGCGCCTGCCAACCATCCTAGTTACTACTTTGTACATATATTGTACCGAATCGCACAATTGAATCGTTCATTGGCGATCTACAATGCAAAAGCTACCTAGGGTACTTGAACATGGATTACGCCGAGACGGGATCGTCCAGCAGCCACGTAACGCTAGTAAACTTCAAAGTTCAAACTAAACTGAACTTACCGTGAAGAACGATTCGAACTTTTTTATTATTTTAGTTGTGTCTAGATTGAAATAAAGACAGCACTTGAGAAGACAGAGAACATTATGTTTAATATCCCAGTATTCTATGTACCTAGTACTAGTAGTAGTAGACAACATGTACCTAGCTAGTGGGGATGGCGTTAATCGTTAATGAGCTTTAACCATTCTCGATCACCAAATCCGGTATCCCTTCTGAAAACGGCAAGTTTCCGTCCTTTCGCCGCTGGTGCAATATTTGTTTCGATTGAGTCTATGCTGCCACTTTTTGTTGCGTTTTGTTGCGTTTCAGAAAGCTGGCAGACACTGAACAGACCAGACGTCTTTTGTTCAATCATCATGTATATCCCATGTTGTATGGCATGTTGTCTTGCGCCTGCATCAGACTGCATGCATACTATGTAGCTACTGTATGTAGATAGGTCAAGTACCTATCTATGGTCGTATTCCTACCTTATCTTACATCAGTGTTACCAGTTGACCATCTAGGGATACATCCCACATGCAGGTAAGTAGGTGCAGACAGATGCAACATGGCAGCACCGGTAGGTATTACGGTAATACTACCTACATACTAGTAGTAGGTCCTAGGTAGTGTATGTATATTGTACCGACTTAACTACATATACCATACAGTGTAGGTTAGGATCTTCATGCACGCGATAAAAAAAAGCTGCAAGCGTGGGATAAGAGAAATCTTGTTTCTGGCCTCGTTGTGCTAGGTAGATAACGCAATTCAAGCCTACCGAGTTTTGGGTCCGCGTCGCATCCAGATCCACATCCTTTTTCGGCCTTTTTCTTCTCTTTTACACTACCCTAATACCTTAGGTATTACCTACCCTCCCTCCCAAGTTCCACTCCAACGACATGCTATGCCATGGTTGTTCTGGTCCTCTCCTAAGTATTGTTGTTGTGTGAATATCTTTATTCATACTTTCCCCTCCCTCCCTCACCGATTCCCCTATCATATCTACACTATAAACCTCCGTCTAAAGCCATGTCCAACGCCATGTTACCATGAAGCTTTGCGGAAGACGCCTCAATCTCCCCCAACCAAATAAGCTTTGACACTTGACGGAGGAGCCATCTGCTCAAGACCCAGCATATTTGTCCCCGTAGTCTACGCCCTGCTACAAAGAAGCTCAACTGTTCTATAACTACATACGTTATCATTACATACATACAACAAGAGAAGACGACGCACCACTAAAAGACTCCAACAACTACTACATACTACATACCGTCACAACCAAAGTACTCATCCAAGTACATAGCCAAGATGCGATTAGTCGGTATTGTCGCAATGGCGGCGATCCTGCCGGGCTCTTTTGCGACTCAAAAGAGCATTTCCATTCAATCAAGCAGTATGAAGATTGAGGATGCGCCAGGAACAATGGGTAAGCTCCTAGAACTTAGCTTGACTAAACCACCATATCATTGCTGACTGAATCCCACCTTTAGTTTCCAATGCTGTTCTGGTCAACTGTACCGAAGACCTGACACGGGCTCCCTCAAAACCAGTGGCAACCACTCTTGCCGAAAAACCAGCCTGGGAAGCTTCCGTTATGGGTCTGGTCGTCTTTTCCGCCGCTGGCCTGTTTTTACTGTGAAGCATAAGTGATTTGATTTGGGATTGGGAGGCCAGGAGCATTGCATTGGCGTTTACGGGCATACGATCATGAGAGCATTAAGGAATAATGTTGGGATAGCTTCCCAGTGGAATAGGGGCGTTCTTGTCAACTTCGTTGCATTTTGGGGATACCCTAGTCTGCTTCTTTTCAATACCACCATCTCGCCCTGTCGCGGACCTGTCTACCTGAAATGGGCCATGGATTTAAATGCGCATTTTGCGTACCAGAAAACATTGCTTTGTTTTCTTCTAGTATCCTAAATGCCCCGCATGGTGGTTCTTAAATGTAGTTATACCTATTAGGTACCTAGTTGTGCATGTTGTAGGTGGTACCGTAATCTTTGATGGCATGGGGCCACTGCTGAGATTCACCTTTCCTACATCCATACTATCTTGGCCGATAGATAGTTACCTAGGTTAAGTTGGTTCGTATGAGGGGTCACCGGTGTAGGCCGTTACTACCCTAGGTAGTACATAGGTGTGTTTGCTTCGCATCCCTAGCTAAGTGGAAGCGATACAGCCTAGGTGCTAGACGACCCTGCCGTTATTTAATCCGCGACGATTCAGCACTTAAGACTCGGACAGTTCGCACGTTTGGGCATTCCTTTGGCCTTTATCGCGCGATTCTTCATCGTGGGGTGACTGAGACATTTATGCGGCTACAGTAATCTTTTGGCCAGAGGCTGAATGATCAGAGTCGGGCTTTGGTAGATTATCCTAGTTGGGAGACAATATTAGGATTAAATAGCATGAAATAGGAAGAATGATAGGGAGGACGGACAAGATCGTATATGACTCGTATCATGAGGCTGCAACTTGGACAAACGGCGATGTCTGTCGCTTCGTCTTGAAGATCCGCGAGCGCAATCTGGAATTGGTCGCCACATGGGCAAGGGTAGTGGTAGATCTGGAGTGTCTCGTCGTAGGTCATATCTTCGATCTCGACCTCGTCATAGACAGCAATTTCCTCGTCGTCGGCCATCACGAAGGTTTAACAGGTTACGATGGGATGTCTTTCCTGATGAAAAAGAAAAAGGAAGCTGAATGGAGTCTGGAGTTAAATGTTGAGGCTTGGATTCTTACAGCTGACTGCTAAGTAAGCCGCCACTTATAAAAAAATTATACGCCGCGGCGAGAGTTTGCCCAGACAATACCTAGTATTAAACCCCGCGCCCGGTCGTACCTGTACATCAAACTCGAACCTTGAATTAATCAGCCACATAGTTAACTAGTTAGTTAGTTATCAGCCACCAATCGTAGAACATTGAATCACATGCAAGCAAGACGTCACCAATTTAGTATTGGCTGCATCCGCCGAGGAACATTGAAGCTGCAGCTGCTAGCTTTCCCCATACATTCATTGTACATACCACCCATCCCATCCATTTCTATCACGAGCTCAGCGAAACTCGAGCGAAGCCATCAAGCCATACCATCTATAATTCCATATTCCGCAATAATGTAATCACGATAATCTCAAGTATATGTTTTAGATCTATTGATTTTCACTTTGGAGTCTCATGGGTTCAAAAGGCACCCATTTACCTTGGGTTGAATAACCGTCAGACCGCATCTCGTCGACCATCCCTTAAACCTGCCCATCATGGCAGTCTTCTCTAAGCTTACCCTCTCTGATCGAACCGTCAAAAGTACCATCGCGCAATTGACTCAATCATATGTCAAGAACCGAACCCGAATCTCCCGCGTAGTCTACATCACCCTCCTGGTCGCACTCGTAAACCGCGTCCGCCATGCCATCTCCGAGCAGAAAGCCGCGTCGGCGCGCGAAGCTGCCAAGCGGTTGTCGGGCACTACTTCGAGCGATGGGACCGATACGACAAAGAAGAAGAAGGTTGAGCTAAATCGCGAGTTTTTCAAGTCGCTGCTAAAGTTGCTGCGGATTGTCGTTCCTGGCGCGCGGTCCAAAGAAGCTCGGCTCATCGTTAGCCATAGCTTCTTCTTGGTCGTGCGGACCCTCATCAGTCTTAAAGTTGCAGAAATGGACGGCGCGATAGTAAAGGCTCTTGTCAAAGGTAGTGGCCGAGAATTTCTGACTAGGATTGTGTGGTGGATGTTGATTGCTGTTCCCGCGACCTTTACGAATTCTATGGTGAGTTGTCTCAGAACAAGATGGGGGAATTCTGCTAACTATTGGCAGTTATCATATCATCAAGCCGAATTATCTCTCAGATACCGAACGAGGCTAACACAATTCATCCACGACAAATACCTCTCCCAACTCACCTTCTACGGTATCTCCGCGTTAGACGACAGGATAAAGAATCCAGACCAGCTCATAGCCGTCGATGTCGCCAAGTTCTCCAACAGTTTGGCTGAATTGTATAGTAATCTAGCCAAGCCAATTTTGGATATGGTGAGAATACGCGCAGACTGATATATGATTAAAAGCTAACATTGGCTAGACTATATATACTTGGTCGCTGTCGAAAAGTGTCGGAGGTGAAGGCGTTGTTTTCATGTCTCTATTGGTTCAGCTCTCGGCCAATGTTATGCGCGCCCTAACGCCACCATTTGGAAAATTCGTTGCAGACGAAGCACGACTAGAAGGAGAATTCCGATTCCAGCATTCGAGACTCATCGATTATAGTGAAGAGGTCGCACTTTACCATGGCCACGAAGCGGAGAAAGACACACTCGACAAGGGGTATTTCACCCTAATCAAGCACGTAAACTACATCCTACGTAGACGATTTTACCACGGTGTGATGGAGGACTTTGTTATCAAATACTTCTGGGGCGCCTTGGGCCTGCTGCTCTGCAGTGTGCCCGTGTTCTTCAAGTTACCTGGTCAACTAACCGGAGCTGCTAACATGGGCGACCGCACAGAGATGTTCGTCACCAACAGACGAATGCTTCTGAGCGCTTCCGATGCTTTCGGGAGGATTATGTTCTCTTACCGCGAGATCATGGAGCTTGCTGGTTACACATCACGAGTTGCATCGCTATTAGAAGTTATGGACGACATTCAAGCTGGGCATTTCGAAAAGAAACTGGTCTCAAGCTCAGGTACCGAAGACAACGAAGCCGTATTGAAAGGTAGAGGAAAGGTTGTGGAGAGCAAGGACATCGAGTTCATCGACGTGCCAATTATTTCCCCCAATGGAGATGTTCTAGTAAAAGCACTCTCCTTCTCGCTCAAGCAGGGCGAGCATCTTCTCGTGGTCGGCCCCAACGGATGTGGAAAGTCTAGCCTTTTCCGGATTTTGGGCGGCCTGTGGCCTGTTTACGGTGGCACCGTCTACAAGCCACCATTCACAGACATCTTTTATATCCCACAGAGACCTTATTTATCACGCGGGAGTCTTCGTCAACAAATTACATACCCGGATAGCTTGCGAACCGTTCGCGCGCGGGGTGTGACGGATGCAGAGCTCCTGGATATACTAAAAATTCTCTCGCTAGAGCATTTAGTCGACCTTTACCCCGAAGGTTGGGATGCAGAAGCTGAGTGGCGTGATGTTCTCTCTGGTGGCCTTCAACAACGCGTAGCCATGGCACGACTCTTTTACCACAAGCCGCGGTATGCGATCCTAGACGAATGTACGAGTAGTGTGACGCTCGAGACGGAAAAGGTTATGTATGATACCGCGAAAGGCCTAGGCATCGCATTGATGACTGTTAGTCATCGACGAAGTCTGTGGAAATACCACAATTGGATCCTGCAGTTTGACGGGCAAGGTAATTATGTGTTTACGAAGCTGGATGCGGAGAGGAGGTTAAAGCTGGAAGACGAGAAAGAAGACCTCGATGTACTCCTACGACAAGTGCCGGAGATCGAAAGGAGGATTGGCGAGTTGACTGAAGGGTAAATGGGAAGAAATGAGGGACAAATCAGGGGACTGCTGTATTAGTAACCACGTGCATTGTTTTCCCCCAGCATCTCGTAAGAAAGAAGATCCATCAAGCCAACCATTTGACTGACTACATACCAGACCAGCCTACCGGCATTCCGGCAAGGTATAAATCTTGGCACAGTGACCCGTTCTAACCCTATGTACATATCTCTATGCTACTCTGTAAGGGTATGCGCAACATTCAATAGCAGCGACCCTATTGGTTCTATTGGATTAGAAAGACGGTGAGATCATCTACGCACATATAACTATGTGGGACGCGTAGGTACGATCCACCGACTTTATGCAGTGGTGGGTGGGATGGTCTAATCGGTCTAATCAGCCTCAGCAGCGTGGTGCACAATTAGTTCCACTCTTGGTAGAGCCAAGAGCAGGGGAGTTAAATATGCCGAACTAACATGGCGAAGCTTTTTCGAAGATATCTAGTTACTACTAGTAGTACCTGAAGCCAATATTCCCAATTTCAACGACATCTTCATCGTCAGTAGGAGAAAGAAGAAGTATCTGCACAGAAATGGGATCTACATGTACATAACTTGGGACCTGGTTACATCAAAGAGGAGCCTCCATCTAGAACGCGTATCCACTGCGAGACCGAGAGAACGGCCGCGAGCATGCCAAAGTGACATAACTAGCTGATTAGTCGTTGCTTCCACACAGATTACTGTACGTCGTATTTACACATCAGTTTACTCACAGCTATCACGATGGACGATAGTTTTAGTGCATCTCCATTGCTCCATCCCGTCCATCCCGTCCCCATGTTCGTTTCGGGATTCGCTATTGCAAAAACCGCCACGGAACCCACTCATGATTGGGAATCTCATACCTAATGAGTTTAGTCTTCGTCCCTAATATTTTTTTTTGGCGTCCAGGTCCCATGGGGCTCCGCAACCTCGAAAACGACATTTCGGGGGAAGGAAAGGGTCTGATATATGGGGACCCAGACAATTATTGTCCCGGGTCCTTCTCCAGCTTTTTTTTCTTCTGGTATTTAACCCGCCTAAGGTAGACCGGTTTGACCTACATCGTTAATCCTCTCCTCCTTTTCTTTTTGATGCGCACCTAAGATCCTAAAAACATGGGTTCCTCGAAAAAGTATTTTGGCCTACAGGGCCAGACCTTAGGTAGGCTGCAGATGGCCCTCATCGTCGCCCCTTCGTTCATATTATTCGGGTACAACCAAGCGGGTATCGGCGGACTGATTACCGGAGAGGACTGGGTTAAGACATTCCCCGAGATCGATACGGTTAATGCCACAGCCGCGGACAAGAGCGCGAAGTCAACACTCCAGGGCTTTGTGGTTGCCGTTTTCGTCATCGGCGCCCTCTTCGGCTCGCTGTCATGTTCGTACACTGGTGACAAGTTCGGCCGCCGTAATGTCATCTTCGTCGCTGGCCTCTGCACTCTACTCGGCGAGATCCTCGAAGCTTCCTCCTTCAGCCTTCCACAGTTCATCGTGGGAAGGGTCATCGTCGGCCTGGGTGTGGGCCAGCTGAGTTCCCTTGTCCCGGTGTGGCAGAGCGAGACGTCAGGTGCCAAAAACCGTGGCAGACATGTTGTCCTAGATGGTCTCTTCATCTGCCTCGGTTACGTTCTCGAGTCCTGGATCAACTTGGGTTTCTTCGAGTTCCACACTGGACCCAAGACTTGGCGACCACCCATCGCTATCGCGTGCTTCTTCTCACTCGTGCTGATCTCATCCATCTACATGTTTCCCGAATCGCCCCGTTGGCTTCTCATGACGAACCAGAATGAGCGGGCTGTCGAGAATCTGTCAATCCTTCGCGGCCTACCTCGGGATTCTCCAGAAGTCCGTTCCGAGATGGAGGGTATCGAGCTCTCTCTCGAGATTACTAGTGATGGCGGCGCGAAGATTAGCCAGATTCTTAAGATGGGCGAAGACAAGCTCTTGTATCGATTTGGACTTTGCATCCTCCTGCAATTCTACCAGCAGATGTCGTAAGTACCAACTAGTCCCTCCATCAGGTTTGCCTAGAAGCATAGATGTAATAGAAACTGACAAGATGAAAAACAAACAGCGGAAGCAACCTCATCAGCGTGTACGCTCCGATCCTATTTCAGGAGAACCTGCACCTAAGCAGCGAGATATCCAAGGTGCTGTCGGCGGGGGCCCTGACGTGGAAGTTTCTCTCATCGTTCCTCGCATTCGCGGCCATCGATCGCTTCGGGCGACGTGTATGTTTCATGGTGAGCGGTGCCGGCATGTCGTGCTGCATGATCGCGCTCGCCGTCGCCACATCGTTCCCCGAGTCAAACCGGTCCGCGCAGATCGCTGCCGGGTGCTTCATCTACCTGTACAACATGTTCGTTCCCATTGGGTTCCTGGGCGCCAATTTCCTATACTGCACCGAGGTCGCGCCCCTTAGGTTACGTATGGCTATGAGTTCGATTTCTACAGCCAATCATTGGGCTTGGTGAGTTCATCTTTCTCGTTTCCTTTTAGCAAGCCAGCTAACAGATCGGGCAGGAACTTTGTCGTGGCTATGGTGACACCCGTTGCCATTTACAGCATCGGCTGGCAGTACTACATCGTGTTTGCGGTCATTGCTGCCTGCGTGCCAGCATCTGTGTACTTCTTCTATCCGGAAACGATGGGCCGCAGTCTCGAGGAGATGGACCTCATCTTCAAACAATCACCATCGGCCTGGGACACCGTTCGGTACGAGAAGCAGCTACGTAGCTGTGGCGGCGTGCCCCGCGATCTCGAGGAGAAGAAAGGCGGTACGGAGCACAAGGTTGAGCACTCGGAGGGTTAAGCCTTTTGGGGACTATGTACTGCCTACCTGCTTACCCAACAGCAGTCTTTTGACCCCTCGTTATGCTTGCTTGTGGAAATAGCATACCATGCCTCAGCAGAACGACGGAGACCAAAAGCTGGCATCGTTAGCTGATACCGATTTATGAAGTATGAATCTGAAATACCCTTTGCCTATTTTTTTATTTTATTTTTTCTCTGCGCATACCTCAATATGAGGCGCACAATGATGAATGATGGGGGTGGTGGTTTTTTGTTTGGATAAACGCGAGGAATTGAGGGGCTATACTTGAACCCGGACCGGACCGGACGGAGAGGTGCGCCCCTCTATGCGCAGCTCGGAGCTTGGAGTGAGCATGTTTGCTGGAGTGTGGACGGACCGTGGTACACATTTATTAACGTAGCTCCAGAGCTCGCAGTTCAAAGTTGGTGATGCTAGGGGCCTGGATACAAGGAAGGTCGCGCGCTGCCAACTCATGAGGAATCAGGAATTTCAGGATAACTGGAATCAATAAAATGTAACGGATTACCTCGTAGCAAACAGCCCTTTGTTCCTTTGCTATGCTTCGTATACTATATTTACCCTCCCTCTATGGTGTTTGCTCGTGCTCTTTTATAGGTATGATCCCCGTCTTGGGTGTACCATGCACTACATAGTAGGCGAGACCTGGTAGGTAAGTACTAAGTAGGCTACTCGGTTCCATGCTTCCCTCGTGGTCATCGATATGTCTCGGTTGTTAGGCATAACGTGGGCTGATTTTGCAGATAGGTACTGGAAATCAATATTACCAAGTTGAAGGCTTTTTCAATTTCTGTCATTTAAACTATGTTGTCAAAGGGAAGTGGTGTTATTATTAATATTATGTAGTATGTAATCATGGCTGGGCACCTGGGATGACACAACATCCGGCTTGGCCGAGAAACCCGTACCCATGTGGTACCGCCCCCCCTTTATTCTGTGCTCCGGCTCGGCAACAATCTTGAACTTGCAAATACATGTAGGTACAGATGTAATGTAAGTGCAGTTACCTACGTTATTAGGTGCCTACAGATATTATGTAGATGACAGATGACATCAACAGGTACCCGTCCGCCCCTTTCAAATTGAGCAGACCTAGGTGGCTAACTGATGGAGACAGATATCCATCAATGGTTGTCGATCGATTGGTGAAATGCCAACTCGTTGGCTCCTACTACTAGTAGTACGTGCAGCCATTTGGCTATAAGAGTGGATCCCCTACATACGCCAAGTTCTGCTATAAATGCATGCATGGGATATGTATCAGAGGTGTTTGCTAGTAGGCAACTTGAAGTATATTCATGTGTATAAACATTGAAGAACATTGAAATACTACATGTAGGTACCTAAGGTTAGTACATACCTACTACATACATGTAGTACGCAGTCTAGTGCTTGTTCAGCGGGGTACATATTATGTACGTAGGTTACACCAATATTGAGCTGACTTTATGACTGGCCCTGAAACCCCTCCAATGTAATGGAGCTTGGAGATTTATGAAGACTGCCTGGAGGAAGCTTGGAAGTTTAGACTGAAAAAGTATCATCAAAGTTCAACTCAAATACTTAACCAGGCTGAACCAGCTCAGCCAACATTTAAGCTAACCAAGCCCCAAATGCTGACGCATCCCTCATTTTGCATCCGCATAATTTTATGACTTTGCAACATAGCAACGTAGCGATACCATATCTCAGCCTCTTTTGCTTCAAATGTTTCTTATTCATATCATTGATGTATCCGACTCCCTAGCTTGCATACTAGGTACATATATTTAGATATCCATGATATTTGAATTCAACTCACCCCAGCAACTCTGAACCTTACATAGGCCTTTCACCTCGACACCTGGACAAGACACTTGGACACGAGATCCATCTATCAAACAAAGTTTGCCAGAACATTCGACAACATTATTTTCATAAACTATTTACTTTTCATTTCGTTTTCCAAATTACGCTCTCTCGGAATAACATTGAACGTCTCGCTTGACGTTTGATTTTCCCTCATCCCTGTCTCCCTATTACTCATACATAGTATCACATCAGGTAACAACTTGAACAATCCTGAATCGAATAATAACCTCGCTTTCAAGTGGTGAACCACTCACTATGGGCGATCATGTCGAAGCGCGTTCGTTGGCTTCGCTGAATTATTTAGCTGCCAATCCGCCTCAGTATCCAAAGAAGCCTACCGAAGAGACTCAACAGCCACTTATTTTATATATCTCAAGAGTACCCGGCACCAGGGGTAGGCTACCTTATTACCCCCCAATTATCATGCACATGTAGTCTAACCTGCATTCCAGATATCATTCTCTCAACCTTAAAACCCCAGCTCAAGAACGTCACAGCAGAAGATGTGACCAATTCGCTTTACTACGTTCACCTGGACACTCCCGAGGATGAGGCTTTCATTACCCCTCCAAATCAGATCGATCTCCCATCGTCTCCTAGAACGAGCGGGGAGAGTTCAAGATCTCAGATCCATAGGAAACCGGTGCCAGGAGCCGCAAGTATTGCCTCATCGCGAATTGATGAGAGTGCACCGCCACCTCCATTCGGAAAGGAGAACCAAGGAAACCCCGCTGTTAGGAGGACACAGTCCGTGTCCCGAAAGCCGGTACCTCAACCCCCTTTATTTCACAACTTGCCTCCATCGCAATTCATACCGCCAACGGGCCCCTCTCAGCGAAGGCCTTTAGGGCCAATACCCACAATTACCCAGGATACTTCTAACAACCAACCGCCACCCCCAGCATATCAACAGTTTCCGGATCATCAATTCGGGCCAACTCATGAACAACGCCCTCCATTGCCCGCACGGCCTGGTACGAAACCACCGGTCCAGCAACCTCCGGATTCACACGCTCCTTCCTTCGGCGAAGGTCGACCACCATCGCCAAAGTCATGGACCAACCGGCGTCCATTCATGCCCTTTTCTTTAACTCTCATAAGGAGAGATCCGAGTTCGGGTCAGCAATGGAACGTCGGAAAGGTTGCTTCATTTCAATTGGAGAACCCCGAACTGATCGCTGATGACCGGCGCTACCAGCCTTCCCCTTCGATTATAATACACCTCGAGACATCTGGCTATGCCAAGTTCCGTGGTATGCCAACCCAGGCGCCCGCAGACATAAGAGCCAGTCTTGATATACGTCCTGGTAGCGCATCATCGCGACCACAGCCTCCAGAAACCCACGCGCTTGTCAATGGCTCTTATGCGTTTGAGCGTCATGTCATGATGTCGTATTCTAAGTCATTTGCTACTAATCTACGAGAAAAGTTCCATCATAGCCGTAGCCCGTCAGATGAAGAACGTTCCACGTCTCCAAGCTTCCTAGCTCATCAGCACGATCGGCATGGCAGCATGGGATCAATAGGTTCATTTGGTGGAGATTTTGATGGCGGCGAGGCTCCCATGCTTACACAACCCGCCCCGGGGCTAAAACCACGCGGCTACGTGTTCTATAGTCCCTGGGGTGGCCGTTGTGAGTTTGTAACAGGGAATGCCGGGCGGAGCCTCAATTGTAGGCACGTCCTACCCACCTATGGTGGCCCCGTTTTCAATCCACTCGTAGACGGCCCGGAGGCAGCACACAGCAGCCATAAACCGAAGGCACTTCCTATCAGCGAGTTGCGTTTCAATCTCCCCAACAACGAGCTGTTTAACGAGAAAAAAGGCCATGAGGGACCCGTCAGAACCAGAGACCAAGTACAGAGTCACATCAACAAGGTGATCCAGAAAGCGCAAGGTCTCGATGCGGATGATGACCCGGATTGGCATCTGGACCTAACCCTAGGGAAGGAGAAGGCGGGCGGGGGCAATAGGGGGAAGAGGGCCAAGATGGGGAAGCTCATCGTGTTTGAGGACGGCTTGAAGATGTTAGACCTCGTCATCGCTGCAAATGTCGGGATTTGGTGGACTGCATGGGAACGAACATATTGATCAATGGCCGGCCTGTGTGTCAATTTATTGATAGGCAGTGTTGTGGTGATGAGCATTTACTGTCTCGAAGATTTCCAAGACGCCAGATCTACAATATAGGAGTTATGGCAACTCTCCCCACCCATTTTCTACGTCACCTATGTTGAACATTCAACGATGGGTTCCCTTTATGAATATAACGACTGGCGTCCCCGGATTTGTAGATAGACCTAGACTTTATCTTTAGGAATAGGAGAGCTTCAATGGTTCTAGATAAGAGAAGGTGCCTATCATGATTGATGTTACTTACTATGTACTTACATAATACTGATAATGTGTTGTGGCTGACTGCAATCAAGCCACACCCCTCCAAATTGACTTGAACTTTCCGAATCTTGAAATCCTAATCGATCCAAAATCGAGATTTACGCACATCGACTTGAAGGAAACAATTAGCTCATCATGCTTCCAACACTTGTCCGAAGAATAGCGGCAACATCAGTATTGCACGATCTGAGGAGCACGCCCATAGTGACAAAACTGGCAGGGACCTACGATGGCCGATCCAAGCTTAAGAAAGTCTGGCCGCCCGATTTCTCCAAGCTTTCCGAGAAGGAAAAGTTCCGATTCGAAAGGCGCTATAAGAGGAGAGTGAAGCTGGCGAGTGCGCGACCGCGATGGGATAAGTTCATGCGGCTGGTGCAGCTGGTCAGCGTGACTTGTGAGTGTAATGCGAACCAGTCGATGGCATACATGCGAATTAACAGTGCATCTACCTACAGCCGTACTGATATATACCGTCTTGTTCATGAACTGGGGCCAGGAGAAACATCCTTTCCATGATGTATGTTGGACCTCTTATCTACACTGCAACCGTGGAGCGCTAACTCGTATTTGTACCTACCTAGACAAGAGTGAAGTTTTGGAACGCAATTGGCTTCCCCTCACCGGAACAAAGACAGAAACAAAATCTCGACACACAGCCCAACATACATCCCAAGTAAACCGAATTCTCTGTACACTACAAGCGTCATATTGCATGGATGGAGTTTTTTAAGGACTGGGAAATACCCATTTGATGTTAGATATACTTGTAAACATTTCGGAATGTTCTATTACAAGACGATGCTACTCTTAACTCGATTCCACATCCCGTATCCGTGAACCTACCAAACCCAAACTCCAGACACCTTTAATGGCTACCTTTGCACGCTATGCTTATGCGGATGTGTCTTAAATCACCGACCGGGCCATACAAAGTTGCCCCCCATGCTCAGGCCGGCGCCTAGTCCCGTACCCCTAGATTCGTTGACAGGGCGCTTGGCCACAGTCCCTTGGGAGCGGACACCGGCGACGATGCGGTCGAGATTGGTCTCGATGACGACGCCGCCAACGATCATCTCCGTGAGGGCAGCATGCAAGGTCTCGAAGTTGAAGATGAGGTCAAGCTCACAGACATTCTCGAATAACTTGTCCAGCGACTCGACGTACACTTGGATGAGGTCTAGTAGGGCTAGCGGTGACTCGGTCGAGGTAGATATTATGATGAAGTATAGCGTAGCGTAATGCCGATATGTCACCAGGGACGGCACGTCGTTGTGTGGTTCCGAAGCCGAGTGGGAGGTGCCGGATGCGGCAAGTAGAGGGGGCAAAGGAAGAAAGTTGCATGCCCCGTCCGCTCGGTTCGATACTAGTGTGAAGATCTCGGAGATGAGGCGCTGCTGTATGCTGGTTTCCTGTGGTGTCATGGGTTAGTTTATGGGAACTAATCTAGGTACGCCGTGTAGATTATGCGCTTGTCATACCAGCTGTGTGTAGAATTTGGTCAGCCTGGGTTGGCCTTGGCCATTAAAGACCAGCACTGCGTTTATCATCACGGGCCGATGTCTGAAATCATCGGGAAAGTTGATGAATGGGTATAGAAGGATTCACACAACATGCATGTGCTATGTAAGAATGTAGTGATAGTGGGGCAAGATGGAAGGTTCAATGGTTGCCAGGCAGATTCCTTGACCGCCTCCTTACTCGCATACTCGCATATTGCTGCCGCAGTCAGCGGGGCTGTGTGCATAACTATTAACTATGTAACTACACTAGGTCTACGGTAGATTACCTAGGCTTTTGTGGCTTGCGGCAAAGCCGACTCCAAGAAACCTAAATAAAGCACGGACCACTTTCATCAAATGGATAAACCGTCGGTCTTTGATTTAAACCAGCTGAATGTCCCGGATTCCCAAAAAAAATCCCTTTTCCCCTCTTCATCAACCTCCTTTTTTCTATCTCACTTTGAGATAGTAATCCTCCCCTTGGGACCAATCACCCACCGTCTGTAAAAAAGACGGTGCTTGTGCAATCACTCTAGAGTATTTACACGGTTTTCACCAGGCCTCGGGACGAGGCCATTTTAATATATCGTCATGGCAGCCAGCTCCGCATCATCAGCATGCTGCGTCAGTCGAGTCAGCTTCGGGTTCTGTCCACCGTGTCAGGGAGCCCGAGTCCCCAACCCAGCATAGCTGGCATGGCTGGGAGAGTTCCGCCTTAGGGCCGGCGGATCTTTTCTCGTCATGCGATGGCTCGAATGAGCCGTCTGTTGGGGACTGGCCCTTGGAATTAAACATCAACGGTGGCTATGGAATCAATGTAGAACAATGGCCTCTACCCGACTTTCGCGGGGTAGAGGACGTTTTTGAATTCGGGAATCACGTGTTCAACGGACCTTCAGATGGTTGGCCTTCTCCTATATGACCTCCAATAAATCCTCTTTAGCTAACAATAGCAGTCTCTGAAATGTTGCCTAGCTGTGAACCTCAACCAGAGTTTCTCTTCAATCAACCTCATGACTCTTACATCTTGCCTGAGTCGCATATTACCACTTCTAATAAATCACTTTCACCACAACCCACCATGCCCGAGTCTTCCTCTAGTCAAAGCCAAACTCCGAAGACTCGGGGCCGCTCACCTTCTGTTGATCCAACCACGGCTCTCAAGCGCCAACGAAACAACGTTGCGGCTCGCAAATATCGACAGAAGCGAATAGATCGGATCAACGAATTGGAGGGGGAACTCAAGGATGTGAAGCAGGAACGTGATGATTTGCGACTTCGTCTAGCTCGTCAGGAGGCCGAGGCGGCAGCGTTGCGCAGCATGCTGCAAATGAATTCTGGGAAGGGTGCGAAAAGTTAGCGATATTGGACAATGCATCTTGTGATATTTGATAGTCCACTGAACAATTAAATTGGTTTTCTCAGACGATGTCGACTCGTTTCATTCCTCACGTGTTATTGTCCCTTTACAGAACGGCAGAATGTGATAAATAGGATGAGGGAACGTGGTTGTCATTCATGGGTACCTAAGGTAAGATGTGGTGTAGATTTTAGCATACCACGATCATTTCAACGCAGCCCGTATCTGAATGGCTTCGTTTCGACTTGATCTCAACTTTATCATCAGACTGAATAACTGTTTGGTTCAATTACAACATGTGTATATTTCTATTACTGAGTATATATATCAATATAATATCCTACAACGACCACCAAAACTATCCTGAAGCATCATCATGAGTATAGTATGAGTGAAAATGATTCACTCGTAACTAACTATCGCATTCCGTGGTGATGCCAAAAACAAAACCACAAAGCCAGCTCTACCGTAGACTCAGAGTTCGTTGCACATTGTCCTACGAAGGGGGTGGCCTCGCTCGGATTTCCACAGATGGTGGGTCTGAATCAACCATTGTGGTTGATGAGCCAGTATGAATCATCTTGAAGACTGCATATGGCTGTCTTACGTAATTTGATATGTACATAATATGAGGCTTTATGCAAGTCTTTATCTTCCATTTTCTTTTCCTTTTGATTTCGTGATTTCAAGATCCCATCGATTTACTTGCTATTACATAGCTTAGGTACCTCGGTATCACTAATGTATCCAAGCCCAATACTCGTATCAAGCGGCGCACCTATTCAATGTTGGTATCTAACTTACCTTACATAGGTGCATAATTTCAGCTTATCTACATAGTTAAATAAAGACCCCCGTCATAAGAATCAAGATAAGGAGGCCGGACTTGCTATGTACATAGCCAATTCCATTTAATCCATTATCACACCTTAACACCTTTTATCACTTCTTTTCCTCCTCGTTCCGTACTTACATGTGTAGCGCAAAATTACCCATGTAAGCCACGAATATAATAGCATTATGAGCCAATGATAGATAGAAATCACGCAACGGCTGTCTTACCTTTTCGGTATCTAGTAAAGTAATTTTATCGTTCGATTAATCGTAATCCCGCTATCCAATTTTAGTGAGAAGCCTCGGTAGCTATTGTAACATACCCTTTATATATCTTCATGCCTGGGCGCTTCATCGCGTCCCATTATCTCTCCCACTATGAGCACCGAGCCGCTCCTGGTATCATCACGCGACCGCCGGACATCATCAGATATGGGCTTCCCCAACGATGCCGAAGATGGCATCTTCGAATCCAACGAACATGATGCACACGCTAGCGATCTCGTCACCGCCATCGAGTCGCGCTCCCTATCGCGCGGCCTCGCCCAGCGGCATCTTTCTATGATGGGTCTCGCAGGTGCTATCGGCACTGGTTTGTTTCTCGGTCTCGGCGGCGCTATCCAGACCGGTGGTCCGCTAGGAGCTTTGCTGGGTTACGCTATCGTGGGCCTCATTGTATGTGCGGTCACTTTTGCCTTGGGCGAGGTGTCGGCGCTGTTACCGGTTACTGGCTCTTTTGTGCGGCACGCCGAGTTCCTTGTTGACCCGGCTTTTGGATTTGCCATCGGCTGGAATTTGGTTTACGGTATCGCATTATCGATACCTTCCGAGATCACCGCTATATGCGTGCTATTCACTTTCTGGGGCGAGGACATCAATCCGACTGTTTACATAATGGTCTTCATCGTCCTGACGTTCCTTGTGGGTATCGCCTTCATCCGCATACTCGGCGAGGTCGAATTCGTCTTTTCGCTGCTCAAAGTCTTACTCGTAGTCTTCCTTATCATACTCGGAACTATCATCGCGGCGGGTGGTATTCCCGGCACACCGGCTATTGGATTCCGGTATTGGCACAATCCTGGCCCTTTCGTAGAGTACGTAGTTCCCGGCAACTTGGGCCGGTTTCTTGGGTTCTGGGGCGTTCTTACCAGCGCCGTATTCTCCTTTGCTGGCATCGAGTCGCTTGCTATGGCCGGTGCCGAGACCCAAAACCCGCGCCGGGCGATCCCCCGAGCTTGCAAGCGGATTTTTATTCGGGTCCTTCTCTTTTACATGCTGGCTATTTTCATCGTCGGGCTGCTCGTAGCCAGCGACGACCCCGCGCTCGATGATCAGTCGGGCACAGCAGCGCAAAGCCCCTTCGTCCTCGCTGCCTCGACCGCTGGAATTGGAGCTATCCCGAGCGTCGTCAACGCTGTTGTTATTACCTCAGCATGGTCGGCTTCCAACCAGGCACTGCTTGCTGGCACTCGTGTGCTGTTCGGCTTGGCACTCAAGGGGCAGGCACCGCGCTTATTTCTCCGTACCACATCCTGGGGTACACCATATGTCTGTGTGCTATTTTATACCGTATTCATGTTCTTGAGTTTTATGAGCCTCAGTTCTGGTGCGTTGACTGTATTTTGGTGGCTGGTAGACCTGACAGCTGCTGGTGTCTTGGTCTCATGGTCCGCCATCTTGATCAACCATATTCGACTCAAGATGGCCATGTCGCGGCAGGGCATCCCGGACTCCCGGCTACCATGGCATAATTGGTGGACGAGTAAGTTGGGCCATTGAACTTTTGCTTAAGTGGAAGACGTACTGACCTGCTTGCTTTCTAGTCTACAGCTCCAGCTTCTCGCTTTTCATGTGCTTACTGATATTATTGACGAGTGGTTTCAAGGTCTTTACCAAGGGGAACTGGGACGCTAGTAGCTTCGTCTCGTCTTACTTGTACGTTGTCCCTTCCAAATCTTCTATGAATGATTTCCTGGTCAACTTATACTTACTGTTACATACAGAGACATCCCATTGGTACTGGCCGCATACTCTATCTGGAAGGTTCTCAAGCGGACAAAGATCCAATCGCTTAAGAGTATACCGCTCGATGATGCCTTCCAGCAAGTCGATGACTATCCTGACGAGCCCGAAGGGAAGAGCGAAGGGTGGTTACGGGTGATTAGTTGGATGTGGGATTGATGAGGGTAATATCGTATACACATAGACTAGAATTCTATAGACTATTGGGCTTCAATGATACTGAAGACTTAGGGGACCTATACTTTTGACGAGAGTCCTTTTTCACCATTGAACTGCACACTTTGGCCCAGTATTCAGCATCTCGTGTGAAATTCGGCATTACGACCCAATTCTCCTGCTGCATAAATGCATATGACTTTCGATAGCCCGAAGCTACATGAAAAACACGGCCCGACTTAAGTAGCCGTAATTTTGACATATGCAGTAAACTCCCCAGGATTCAGGGGCTCTCCCGTTGCCCTATTGGCGCTATTCGAGTCGAGCAGCCTTAAGTAGTAATACTCATCCATGCCCGTGAAATTCTGGTAGTTCAAGCCCCATGTCGTCACGTTGACCGCCCCCAAATAAACTCCTGGTTGCGTCTCGCCATCTATCAGGTGTGAGTCTAGGTATGTTAGTATCTCGTGCGGTAGATTAAGGTCTTGCGTTTCGTCAGAGCTGCTTCACATACTGAGCACTCGTTAGTATTTGCACGATAACAAATGAGTGCGATGCTCACACATACCATATCTCAAGGTGGTAGTTCGGATCAGGCAGATCGGGCAATCCGAATCCGAAAACGGACTCCGCCGGTGTTCCAGCTGCGATCAAAGTCTGCCACCGAGTACCGGTAAATCCCATATCTAGATACGCTTCCAGTGTTTTATTACTGCAGCGTAGTGGCGGAATCTGGCCTGTTCCAGGTGCTGTTTGATTCTGTGAAGCTGGGATCACCATCTGCATAGGGGGTCCCCAAAATGCCCGCGTTAGCCCTCTTACCTAGGTGTGATGTAGGAAGACATGATTCAGTGGGAGGAAGGAGAAAAAAGAAAAGAAGCTACGCACGAAACCCCAACTCCCCCCACCAACTGCTATAGCGAACTTGGGAATAAACTGATACCCATCCAATTCCTGCCGAACGGACGAAACCACTTCCATGTGTAGTGGCTCTGCAATACCTGTTGCCTCGTCGTAGCTGGGATAAGCGACACAGTCGCTACCCAGGGGCTTTACAGTTATGTTTGGCACGGCTAGGACTACGTTTGTTAGGGCCAGGATTGTGACGGTTTGGATCAGAGTAGCTAGAGTTCTCTGCATGATTGTGTTTAGTCGTGATTTGGCATAACTAGGTTAGGGGGCAGAGTAAACGTTGATCAAAGGTCATTTTCTGCGAACTAGACTATTTGGTTGTACACCAACTTTATAGACCAAGAGCAATACTAATGGTACCACCTACTTATTATCCTCCTTTAGAGGCTAATTTGACGTGACCAATTAGGGGGTTGAGCATGAAATAAACTACCTACCATTAATAGGTATTGGTATGTTATCTTTCGGCAGTTAATTAACCATGCATCAGGGGAGATTATCTAACACCGATATCCTTATGGTTCTGTTAGACAAATGTGTTGTTGATCCAGAGTTTGGATGCTTGGACGAGTTAAAGCCCCTTTTATCAAAAACTAGGCACATGTATTAGTATATAACAAACACCTCATCTGTAAGAGTACCTTGCACCGGAGCGGCGGTCTTTACTTTCAATGTTTGAGTTTCCATTAGTTTTCTGGTTGAACATATTTTCATGTCTTAACTTATCACACTCCCTAAACAAGAGCATATTCGTTCCAAACACATAACGATTGCCCCTGGCGTTGAGTTGAGTCATAATAAAATCAAAAGACGACATTGTTTAACAAATGAACAAAGGCGACCTGGGTGTATTTATTCGTTCATTTGACGAATAGAAATCTTTACTATTGTTTAAGTATCTATAGCACCTTGGCTCTTCCAGGAATCTCATCAAAACAAAATGGTAGACTGCTCATCTAGCACGAACCCAGACTCCGTGGCCAGCACCAGGTTATGTTCGTGCGACTCAGATGCTTCAACTATAGATTATGGTCAGGAGCCCTTTTCTACCTTCCAGTTTCACGTTCTTAACTTCGCGAGGAAAGAAATCTGGCCCGATGCGGAGCCTGAGGATATCACCGTAGACAGACTAGTAGGAGGTGGTAATAACCGTATCATCGGCATTACACGACGAAATGATAGCCAGTCAGAATCTACAAATAAGACCCAGTACATTCTACGACTTCCCCGATTTGAAACTGCTCGAGTGGATCGGGAAATCGCCGCATTGTATTTCGTAAAACAGTACACTGAAATACCCGTGCCTAGGGTAATCAAATTTAACGACATCGAACATGGGGACCTGGGTCTCCCTTACACGGTCCAAGATCGCGTCCCAGGGGCTACTCTGATGATAACCTTTTCTAGGTTTAATGCCAATCAGCGGAAAAAAGTTGCGCTAGAACTAGGAGAGGTTTTTAATCAAATGCTAGGCGCCCAAAGTAGCGTAAATGGTGTGGTGACATTCCAGGGAAAGGATAGAAGCTTCGACTCACCGTTGTACATCGAACCGTTTTGGATGAAAGACCTCCCACAGTGCAAAGCGAAAGATCCTCAGCTGCCGGTACGATACAGCGACTCTCCTCCAAATCGAAAGGTTGTTGAATTTCTTACGGCACGCTTCCAAGACCAGAAGACTCTCGAACTACTACGTCGTCCCAATTCCACACTCATACCTGAGTATATGGACAGGTTCTGTGCAATGGCACATGAATTGGATGCAGGAGGATGGTTTGAGAATGTACCAAGCTGCCTTGCTCATCGTGATCTTGCACCTCGTAACATACTAGTTACTAGTCCGACGGAAGCTACACAGCGACCATTTGAACCTATTATAAAGGCAGTTCTTGACTGGGACTCTGCAGTTCTTGCTCCAATGTTCGTGGCCTGTGCCCCTCCACAGTGGCTCTGGGGTTGGAAAAATAACAAGGACGAAGATGAGGGCATGGATTATAAGGATCCTCCTACCCCAGAAGCGCGAGATTTGAAAAGATTGTTCGAAACATCCGCGGGCCCAGATTATTTTCGTTTTGCGTACGAGCCTCAGTACAGGCTGGCGAGACGACTTGCCCGTTTTGCTATTGATGGTCTAACGAGGTTAAATGAGTCCTACAGAGAGGCAGAAGCAATGTTGGAGGAGTGGAAAGCTATCTATCCGACATACTTAATATCCTATACCTACAGGTAGTTTAAGTTGGCTTGTCGGGGTCGGATGGGACCAGGTATTAATATGAAGATGGTATGAGGAGACTGCGTACCGGTAATTCAGTTCCCCCTTGTAAATAAGTAACTATCCAAAAACTCTCATTGAAGGATATTGGAAAATGTTGAAGTGTAAAATATGTAGAGGGGTTGACTGAGTGAAAAGGGGGCACCTCAGCTTACATAATTAGATTACATAATTACCTACCTAGGTAGGTTAGGTACGTACTACTTTTATTGAGCCGATTGAATGAACGCTCAAGTTGCAACCATACCACCAACAATGCCACGAAGTGAGAGAAGACAACCCGCTAGGAATTCCTATTCGTGGAAATTCTCCAAGACTGATCTACACGACTTAACTTGGACACAAAATATCTAAGTGGTACGACAAGTATGCTAGACCCCTAGTATATATCTGTGTTTACTTTCATTCTTTCCAAGAAGCTCGTAGTCACTTGACACGATGGTAACATTTCCTCCGATGTGAGAATAGCTTGGCAATTCCTTGGCTACTGAACAAAGCTTCATTTCAAGTTATTTCGTATCCAGGGCAAAAAACCCCATTCTTAAATGTTCATCATAGCATCAACGTAGTATCGCCACGCCGGCGGCAATTGGTTTCGCGCGTGCACACGCGCTCAGCTCGTCGATCGGTTTCCTATACCCCGGATTTTGCTTTCGACGTAGTAATAGGGGTGGATAAAGCTGGCAAGAGGGGTAAATAAGGCGAATGGAGATGGTATGATGACTTGTGTATCTATCCGCGCCAGTCGGCTGGTAGAAGATGTCTTACCTATCGGATCCCCACACGCTTCAAATATGTGTATAAAGGTGATATAGGGGCTACACCTTTGCGGTGTCCAAAAGTTCAACTCGGTGTCGTTATATCGTTCTCCTGCCGATACAAGTTCTACCTAAGACAAGGTGCCAGATACTTGAGCATCTTTCGACAGTGCCAGTCTTTACACGGCCCGGTTTAACAAAATGGGTTTACACTGGCTGCTCCGGACCTTGGTCTTCGGAGCTGCCACGCTCGTCAGTAGCCATGATGTCACGAGGGATACCCTGACAGATGTGCCAACTGACCTGGGCACGGGGGCTACTGCGCCGGTACGGCCATTCCGTCTTGACCAGGTGCAGCTTAGCTTAGGCCTGCTGCAAGAGAAGCGCGACCGGATCAAAGAATATCTACACGAGTACGACGAGCGGCGCTTTCTGATTCTTTTCAACAATCAGGCCAACCGACCCAATCCAGCCGGCATTTCTCCACCTGGCGGGTGGGAGGACGGTGGATTACTCAGTGGACACTGGGCTGGTCACTTCATGACCGCCCTGTCTCAGGCGTACGCCGAGCATGGGGAGGAGATTTACAAAAGTAAACTGGACTGGATGATTACTGAACTGTCCGCTTGTCAAGATGCGATTACCGCCCGGATGGACGGTTATGACGGCGATGGCAACGCCACCTGGGTTCCCACGCATCCCGGCTATCTCGGTGCAATCCCAGAGGATGCCGTACTACGGCTTGGCCCGCCGCGCTGGGCAGACTGGAACTCCGACCCCAACATTGGAATATGGGCACCGTGGTATCTACAGCATAAAATTATGCGGGGGCTGCTAGACGCCTATTACAACACCAACAATAAACAAGCTCTTGAGGTTGTTTTGAAGATGGCTGATTGGGCACACCTTGCACTGACTGAGGGTGACAAAAATCACCCTGGATATACTGGAAATCTGACCAGGAGCGATCTCAATTACATGTGGGACCTCTTCATCGGGGGTGAGTACGGCTCGTCCAACGAGATATTCCCCGAACTCTATCAGATAACCGGCGATGCCAAACATATGGAAACCGCCAAGGCCTTCGACAACCGAGAGTCCCTCTTCGACGCGGCTGTGGACGACCAGGACATACTAGTTGTTACGTCAGCAAATAGACCAGGCCGTCGTAGGCCAGACCGCCTGCATGCCAACATGCATGTCCCCCAATTCCTCGGCTACCTGAGGATCTTTGAGCAGAGTGGCGAGCAGGACTACTTCACCGCGGCCAAAAACTTCTACGGCTGGCTTGTACCACACCGAGAGTTTGCCAGTGGCGGTGTCGGTGGTAACTATCCAGGCTCCAACAATAACCTCGAGCTATTTCAGAACCGGGACAACATCGCCAATGCAGAGGCTGGCGCGGAGACGTGCACAACATACAATATGCTCAAGCTAGCCCGAAATCTATTCCTACACGAGCATAATGCGACGTACATGGATAACTATGAACGCGGCCTGTTTAACATGATTACAGGTTCACGCGCGGACACAAACAACGCCACTGATCCACAGCTTACCTACTTCCAGCCCTTGACTCCGGGCTCTCATCGGGACTATGGCAATACTGGTACTTGCTGTGGCGGTACCGGGATGGAGAGCCATACCAAGTACCAGGAGACTATTTACTTGCGATCGGCAGATGGGTCTGCACTCTGGGTTAACTTGTATGTTCCATCTACGGTGACCTGGGAGGAGAAGGGCTTTACTGTTAAGCAGGAGACGAACTTCCCACGCGGGGATACTGCCAAATTCACCGTCACAGGCGAAGGCCCCTTGGACATTAAACTACGAGTGCCTGCTTGGGCTCTCAAGGGTTACCAAGTCACCGTTAATGGTGAAAACGCTCAACTCGAAAAGGAGGCACAACCGGGGACGTACCTAACCCTGAGCCGAACCTGGAAGACGGGCGACATAGTTGAAGTGAAGATGCCGTTTAGCATTCGCATAGAGCGCGCACTAGACCGCCCCGACACCCAGGCGTTCATGTGGGGACCACTGTTGCTGCAGATCCTCGGCACCGGGAGCTACCGGGAGCTTTCGCTTTACCAATACCTCAAGCGGGATGGCGATTACTCCCAGGAGGCGATCAAGCATACCGGAACCACGGGTAACGGCGACCTCCTCTGGACCATCGCCAACAATAGCAGCTTGACTGCTCGTCCATACCATATCGCCGACACCCAGGCAGTCTCGACGTACTTCCGACGCGTGGAGCCGGACGTAGTTTTCGGAACGATCAACACAGGTGTGCCGAATCTCAAACGCAACGACGGTCTACCTAACTACGACGTGCCGGTGTCGGGGATAACGTCTCCAGGAACAGATGGGCCGACGTTCTTAGACCTGGTTTGGGACAATGCGCCGTTCGCTACACATGCCGACTTCGTTGAGACGGTCACTTCGGTCGCGGACGCATTCGTCGCTGCTGGCGTGTACACTGCCGACCAGAAGGATGTGATTGTGGCCGAAGCTGGTAAGGCGGAGCAAGAACTGGCTCCAGTTTCAGTTTAGGTGTTTGAATAATTATTTGCTTGTCTATCTAGGTACCTAGGTAGTTATCAATTCTATATGTCTGAGTTCCTCTCGTATGAATGCTATTGATACATACCTAAACGAATGTCCTCTAAAGTTACCAACATGATGTCTCCAACTCCACTCACTACTCTTTCACATAACATCTTAATATTCACATTATTACTTGGCAGTATCAGTCTTTGTAGAGGGCTAGAACGTAGTGGGGGCAGGATCCTACTGCACTATGATACTATCAGGGGTAATAAACAGGTTAACCTTAGGCCTGAGTTCTTGCTACCTGCTCAGGTGCACACAAGAAGTCTTTGCCTATCTTACGAAAACGAAAAAAAAGGACTATAAACACACACTGACTTGCTCTTCGTAGCTCAACTAAGCTGCTGCATTAACCTTGTCTGTTAAACGCGCCAATTGCGTCCCTTGGAAAACTAGTGGTATACCCATCGCGCATCGTATCAATACGAATACCGCTTAGGTGACAGTGCAACCGGATATGGCAGGTTACAACCAAAGATGTGATGTTAGTATGTATTTAGTCCACTTTCCGTAAGGCGAGTTCAATAATACGAGATGATACCCAATACCTATTATCCGATTGGCTATACGATCATACGTTAGCTATAGTACGCCATCTCTAACAGCTACGAAGTAAAAAAAGATTATATACATATCAGGCACGAATGACTGAAGACGATGGCCTCGTTTCTGTGACGGCAACGCTGAGTTGATCAAAAGGGATCTCGACAAACACCAAGATCATGGGTCAGACGTCTAGTATCGCCGCCTCGCTTTGCATAGCGCTGGCAATAATGCAAAACTGCCCCAGCGTTGTCGCATACACTTGGCCAGATCCGCAGATTGATCTGCTTGAGAGCATCCGCTTCCAGCAAAACGGCTTCCGACAATATGGGCTAGCCTTCGGTGTCGTGCCTTGCCACAGCATGGCCAATATGCAGGAGACGGGCCGCTCCGACTCTGCGGAATGGTTTAGGACAGCATATCACGACATGGCGACAGCAGATGTACAAGCTGGCACCGGTGGCATCGATTCATCTATTGCGTTTGAGACAGACCGAGAAGAGAACAAGGGCAAAGCCTTCAACGAATCGATTGGCTTCTTCGTCGCATTTCACAGTGCCCGGTCTTCTATGGCTGACATGGTTGCGCTTGGGGCACTATTTTCAGTGGAATCATGTTCCAATGGCGAAGTGATGATCCCATTCCGAGGCGGAAGACAAGACGTCACTGAGGCAGGCCCATTAGGGGTTCCGCAACCTCAAGAAGGCCTGGATTCGCACACGGCTGCTTTTGCTAGGCAGGGCTTCAATACCACCGAAATGATTGGACTGGTGGCATGCGGACATTCGATAGGCGGAGTTCATGGGTCGAACTTCCCGGAGATTGTCGATGTCGTAGATGATATCGTGAGTTGCCCATTCCTATTTGAGTTATGAAGGTCGTCTTTAGCTAAAGCGTGGCAGGACAACCAAGCGAGCCGTCATGACTTTGACGAAACGTTTGACAACTTTGACAACAGCGTGTAAGTTTGACTCCTCCTAATTTTGAGCGCAATCTAACAATATATCAGTGCTACACAATTTGTGGCCAATAACTCGCAGAACCCCTTGGCTTTTGGACATAACGAGACAACAAGGTCTGATTTCCGCATCTTCAATGCTGACGGAGGCGATTTGATCCGCAAGATGGCGGAATCACAGCAATTCTTCTGGGATACGTGCTCGACGCTATTAGAGCGTATGCTTAATACTGTCCCTGCCAACGTCAAGCTTACCGAAGTTATCCAACCTATTCCGGTTAAGCCTAACAATCTATTTATCGCGGTCAACCGTAATGGGACTATGACAATCTCTGGCGAGGTTCGGGTAAGTTGCGCCCCCTTCTCTACTACTATCCCACAAGTACTAAATAATCGACTAGATCATTGAAGATGGTACAACTTCAGCCGATCGCGAAGTCACCATCCATCTCAAGTCAAGGACCGGCGAACCAATCTCGATCGATCCGGTCGTAGCAACGACCCACGAAGAACTTCAAGTGCATGGCTACTACAAAAACATACCAAGCTTCTCATCGTATTTGTTCAGTACAAAAGCTGTGTCGACCAACACTGGAATCTCATCCTTTGACATAGAGATAAAGGATGGCGACAACGTCACTATGCATCAAAATAACGGACAAGGATATCCGCTTCAGGATGCACTCCTAGTGCAGAAGGAAGGCACATGCACGAGGCAAGCATTCATCGGCAGAGATTCCAATAACACGCTGGAAGTCACGGCTGCAGTAAGCATACCCCCTATTCCTTGATCCACGATGGCACAATTCTGATTTTTTTCGTTCACAGGTACGAGACGACATGGCGTTCGAGTCAGTACAATTATGGGTGCCGAAACCAGTCAACATGATAGGCTCTCTCTCCTCGCGGTTCGAGCCAACGGCCGTCGAGATGACGAAGACGGAGTCGCTGAATGGAACCGGCTACTCGCTATACACGGGGTCGTTCTGGTTCATGATCAACTCGGTCGGTCCGATGAAGACATTCGACCTGGTTGCCGACGGTCCGAACGGAATGGTGCAAAACAACTTTACGAAATGGGCCGATGTTCCCATTTGCAAGTCTACGTAGAACTTCGTAGATGGTTCGTGGTTGGGGCGTCTGATATTTCACATTATGTAATAGGAATGAGATCCATGGAGTTGACAATTAGGCTAGATTCTGCACAAGGGATGCATTGCTTTCCGTAACTGAGTTCTGACAGCGGTAATAGGAACCTTGATGCCAGTATTGAACATAGAAGTATTACGTAGGTGCCTGCGAAGGCAGCGGCCAAAGGTCTTGCAAACTTGAAGCATTTTGAGGCACTGTAATTCAGTGGTTAAGCTCCCTAGAATTGTATTAACCATGAGCTAGACTAGGGACTCCGTAGTGGTCAATCCACTGAGGCTTAGGGAGTTTACCGCTATATCCCAGCGGGCTTAGCTAATATTTCTGTGCTTATTAGCCCCTTAATATTGCATAGCCGCAACTTTGAATTTTCAGGACTTTTGGCCGTAGCCTTTATGTATATATAGAAGGGGGGTGGCATGCCCCCTTCCCTTTAATTTAGAATCCCTAGCTGCCGTAGACTTCAATGTTCCTATCATTTAGGTACCTACCTAGGTTAGCTCCTTGTTGTTATGTAATCTCAGGCGTGATGATATCAACCCTGAAAGGCAGTATTATTTAGAATGGAAGGCGGTGTGGAAAATTTAGTTTAATGTTCAATTACTTCATTTGAGCTATAGAGGCGATGACGATGACACATTGTTTATTCCTTTTCCTACTTCATTTATCCGAGTGAGAAGTTTTTATCCAACTTGTGCTCACAAAATGAGCCAAACCCCGTAGGTCTTTCTGAGGACTCAAGAGATCATGGAATGGTATGTCTACTTCCAAAGCGCGCCAAAACCACGTACGAAACTCGGACGCGATCATGCTATCCACACCGTATTGTGGAAGCGGCGCACAGTCATCAAGCTTGTTGACAGGTAAAAGTATGAGGTTTGAAAACTGCTTCTTCATCAAAAGTAAAACGGCCGCTTGGAGAGACGGAGCATCTAGAACAGCCATGAAAGAACTTGCCACCCCGGATGGCACAGCTGAGAGCCACGGCGGACCAATCCCCTGAAAATCCAAATGATCGATAATTTGCGGCCTCAACCCCCCTTCTTTTTCCGTTTCGACTGCGGCTGACAAGATACCGAGACGTGGATCTTTTCCGACGACGAAATCCACTTCATAGCCTTTGGCCATTAGCTTGCGAACACCAAACGGTTCGAGGCCTGTGAGGATATGAGATGCTGCGGGGTCGTTATATGCATCTCCTGTTCTGGCGAGTGACATATCCATTACCTGCAAAAACTCTTCTTCACTAAGCGGCTGAACGCCTTTTCTCATCAAGAGAGATCCTACGGCTGGATTTTCGTGCAAGTATCCCACTTCTGAAATCATACCCAGGCCGACCGATACGGCTGGCTTACCCTGAGAGCGGCGCCAGCGGGAGAATGCGTCTAGAAAGCTATTTGCGGCGCAATAATTGGTCTCAGCCGCAGTCCCCACGCTCCCAGACATGGAAGATGTTAGCAGAAAAAAGTCCAAATCATGTCCCTCGAGAGCATTGTGGAGATTCCACGTGCCAGCCCATTTTGGCCGGACAGCAGTCTGCCATGCCTCAGAGGTCATACGACTGAACAAAGCTTCTCGAAGTCCCATAGCTGCCTGTACGACGCCTCCAATGCGATATGCTTTGCAAGCTGATACAGCAGCAAGTACATCGTCGAAACAAGAAACATCACCTCGAACTACCGTCACCTTTGCCCCTGCAGCTTGTAGTCGTTGCACAAGTGCTTGCGCTTCTGGCTTATCGCAACCAGACCTTCCGAGAAAACAAAAGTTGCGAGCCCCTCGCTCCATTAACCACCGGCTAAGACTACGGCCCAAGCCGCCAAGACAGCCTATCAGAAGATACACCTTCTCGGAGCTACATACTGTACGATATCTTGCTGGTGTAACCTTGCGATTATGTCAGTTCGAGTATCATCACATATTTGGATTTTGTGTATCTTACCGGAATGCGACTGTTGGGGTTCTCGAGCGAGATAACCACCTTACCTATCCGATCCTTACTGGAAAAGTGTCGATATGCCTCAATTGTATCAGCAATATCGAAAGTTCGAATGGGAGTTTCATGAATCTGTCCCGACCGGTATAGTTCAAGTACCTCTTTCAGCTTACTGGAATTTATGGTGTTAGTACGCTGCGCAAACTGCTAGACAGATCAACCAAGACATACCTTGCCCACATGTCTCGGTTATGCTGATCTTCATCATAGTATAATTCAGTGAGATCGAAGGCCGTAAACGTAACGTTTTTTAAAAAGGCACGCATGTTTAGCCTTCCCGCATCTACCAGTTCTCGCTTACCCACCTCCACGAAGCGCCCAAATCGGGCAACGCAATTCCAAATTTCATGCATCAAATCGCCCATCAACGAGTTCACAATTACATTAACTCCGCGCCCCTTTGTCGAAGCTAGTATATCCTGGACAAATGACGAGTGCGAGGGGAAGACGTGAGAGCTCGGTATACCAAACCTCTGTATCAGGAACTCACGCTTCACTTGCGAGCCGGCGGTAGTATATATCACTGCGCCTATTCGTTGGGCGATCGTGATAAGTGCCATTCCTAAAGCACCAGCCCCCGAGGTGATCAAGACTGACTCACCCCTTTTTAAACTGGCACGATCATGTAAAGCGTACAGGGCCGTAGAATACACCAACGGTAGAGTCGCCATGATGCCAAATTCTTCGAACGGATAAATCCTTTGAGCTGTCCATGCCGGCACACGTTCCACAGTGGTAAAGTGGTTTGGTGCCATGACAACAACCCTGTCACCTGGCTTTAGGTGGTCAACGTCCGAACCGATCGCTACAACAACGCCGCTGAACTCAAGTAAGGTCGTTGCGTCTCTAGTCTCCACGCGGCCGTGCATCACATAAACGTCTTTAGCGTTCAGACTGACAGCTTTCATCTCCACATCAACGAAGCCAGCAGGGGGCTGTGTAGGTGGGTTTCGAACTTGTACAAAGTGCATCGAGCCGGTGAGCCCGGTTTGACCAATACATAACTGCATTGGTGAGGCTTCGACCAAGGCCTCCTCTTTTACCGCCTCGGTTTTGTCTATTGACATTCGACGCGTAAATAGAGAGTTTAGTTCAGCGTCTGGATAATATCGACTTATATGAATAAGCCCATCCTTCTGGACAAGCTCTGTATCGTCTGATTCACTGAGACAACTTGAGATGTTCTCACAGGTAGTTTGTACGTCCCGAAACAAAACATCGAGCAATCCAATATCCATGACAAGACAACGTAAGGACGGCTGCTCAAGCCTAAGTGCACGGAAAAGTCCAGAGCATAATTCCAAATCCGGATTACTCCTGCCTAGAGCGTCTGCGCTAGTGAGCCAAATGAGGTCCGATACGACCTCGGTGATGCGACGTAGCCGGTCCATGTCTGCTGATTCCATAGTGGCCAAAAAGGGGTGTTCAATCTCCAACATGGAAATGCAGATGGTATTTCTACTAAGCCGACAATCGACGAGATTCTCAAGCAGGACAGTTGCTACTTTTCCCATCCCAACACTCAGCTGTTTCATATATTCCTTTAAGCAATCTGCGAAGCGCAATGTTACCACCGAAGGTTTGTGCAGGACTATTACGATCTCTTTCCCTTCGAGAATATGTCTTTTAACAGGCTGGAGCGTTAGTAGAATATTATTATGGATATTCAAAGCTACCAAATCGGAAGGAAACAGCTGAGCGCACGCTTCGTCGGGTTTGCTCATGATCATGATTCCATGGTGTCCAATTAGAGTCCTCAGCCGTTCTGGAAACTGTACCAACCATTGTTGCGATGTTAAATGCTCTGGGATAAGGATGACGTCAAATTGCCCTCTAAGACGCTCCTCGATTTCGATGTTTCCGACTTCACTAGGTGTAGCTACGGACCATGAACGACAACGCGGGTAGTCGTCATTTAGAGACAAAATGTCTTGTAAATACTTGGTCCTTGTCCCGCACTCCGCCCCTATCTCCAATACACGAAGCCTTGGGTTCTTATGGCCTGCGAGATCTAACAAGACGCCCATGCAGAGAAGATACTCATCGATATTATCCGCGGAGCTGGGGCGTTTTGGACCGATTTGTTTACTGACGTAGTCGTTAATTTGAGATTCGGAAGCATGGTCAAGTCTCGTAATATCGGGGCTCCATTTCGCGCGCAAACACGGGTGGCGTCGATGTTGCCCGTCACCGGCACTATCAGATGTGTACTTCTTCTGTGTGTACGACGACAATCGTAAACCCAAAAGGTCTACGATTACCTCGGCATTCCGGTTCCTCAGAGTGCTGTCTGCTCTTCGGGTAGAAAGTCCCGTTTTTGTCGAGTTTGCATGTATCTCGCCGTCACTATCAGGGTCACTACGGCCAAGGGTGCGAATTCGAGCTTTTTCGATAGAAATCGGTAGCCATGCCCCCATGACATTGAGATTTCCGCTTGTACCAGCGATAATGCCAGCCTGGATGCAGGCATCAATGGTAATAGGATGGATGGGATAGTGGGTGGCATGAGGAAGATTGGCAACAGGAGGGGTGAGTTTAGTCAAACAAGCGCTCTCGGGCTTCATCCGGTTTCCATCTGTTGCAACACTAACAAGCGATCTAAACGAATTCTCAAAGCCAAACCCATTCTCTCTACTCTTCTCGTACCATCGTTGGGGATCCGACTTCTCGAATGTATCTGCCCCCAAGATCATAGCCGATCCTGGAAAGTCAACCTTTAGATCTGCGCGAATTTCGCCCACGCAGTGAACGGTTGAATGGCCTGTAGACCATGAAGCAATCACGAAATGATACCAAGATGATGACAGTGTCGTTGTTGATAATCTGTGAGGTGACAACGTCGTGTGAAGCTCCGTGGTCTCTTGGCTTGCTTCATGGTCATCCCGCAAGAAAAGTGCCCTAGAGATGGCGACATTGCGGAACTGAAATAGGAGCCGGCCGGAAACGTCATGTTGGGTATGATTGTTGGGATTACGAATCTGTGAGATTGCCTCGATTGCTATAGCGAGATATCCTGCGGCCGGAAATACAACTTGATCCTCCAGCCTATGATCACGCATCCAAGGCATCTCGTGTAGACGCAAGATATTGCGCCAGCTCCAATGAATTCCATCTCCAGCAAGTTGCTTTGAGCCCAATAACTCGTGACGCGGATGACTCCTGTTGCGTAACTCTACACTGGCGCGAGGTTCGTTCCAGAGTAGCTCGCCATAATCCCATGGATATGGTGCAAGGTCGTGAAGATGTTTGAGGTTTATTGTCGACAAATCATTAACCTTGGACCACTTAAGTCTATGACCATGAACAAAGAGATTGCCGGCTAGACTCATCATACACATCTCTGCATCCTGCCCTCGAATCAAAGTAGGGCTGTAGGGAAGATGATCTTCGTCTAGGTTGAGATGGGTACGGGTCTGCCGGATTGGCCCTTTCAGAGCCGAATGGGGTCCAATCTCAATCAAATGGCAGTTTCTTTCAGATATCAGCCTCTCCAGAGCGCTATGGAACTGTACCGGTCTCTCAAGGTTGTGTCGCCAATATGTGGTCATATCAACTGGCTTGCGAATGACTCTAAGCTCGTCGCCTGGCTCGCCGACAGAGGAATACATGTCGACATTTATGCCTGAGTGTGTAGGGTCGTTAATGTTCTCAAGGTTCTCTCTGAGTAGCCGCTCGTAAAGTGGCCCAGCAGCTTGCATCATCGGTGAGTGGTAACCCCAGCCTCCCGTCTGTAACAAACGAGCAAATCTATGCAGTCCCCTGATCTTATCCTCTAACTGAATAATATCTCTTAAGGGGCCACTTAATGTCACACTTTCGGGCGCGTTGATACAGGCAATGGATACCTTGCCATACCATCCGTTCTCCCTGATGAGACTCCTGGCAGCTTCGGCGCTTATCCCAGCAGCTAGCATAGCGCCAGAGGCCGACTTCTCCAGTGGTGTGTGATCTAATGCATAACCACGGAGATGTGCTGTGATTATGGCCTGTGCTTCAGAGATGATACCGGCAGCATATGCCGCAGCAATTTCGCCGGAAGAATGACCAACCACAGCAAAGGGAGACACATCCCAACTGTGCAAAATGTTGACAAGTCCGATCTGGACAGCGGTGCAAAGAGGTTGGCTTAGTGCTACCTTATTCACTTCGTCAGTGTCCAACTGTGCAAGGGAATGCTCTATAGTCCATTCTGGCTTGCAAGAAGGTCCCAAAGCCCCAAGTACTTGGTCAAGTCTGCGTATTGTTTCGCGGAATATTTTATTACTCCTGAGCAGTTCATGGGACATTCCTGCGTACTGCGCACCTTGGCCAGTGAAAACAAAAGCGAAATCAGGCGCCGCTGTGGACGTCGGGCCATGAACGTTGAACGGTTTTATCTCACCCGAAGCGGCGCTATCGTCAAACGGAGATGAGGCTAATAGGCACTCCCGGTATCTCAAGTGAGAGCGGCGCTCTGTCAATGTGAAAAGGAGCCTTTGGAGAATATTCGGACCTGAGTGCTGAACAATCTGGGATACTTGTTCGACACGCGTTCGAAGGGACTGTTTCGAAGCAGCGGATATCGGTAGCACATAAGCCCTAAGCCCTTCGCGCTCTATGGCAGGACACGATTCGTAAACCATATCATTGCGCTGGAAAGATTCTATAGACTCGACGATAACGTGCGCATTTGCTCCCCCGTACCCAAATGAGTTAATGCTCGCTCGACGCAGCTCCCGGGGCCACTTCTCCATCTCAGTAACGACTTTTAGGTTTCGTGATTCGAGTTTTACTTTGAACAATCAGCAAATTGCAAGGCAACCATGCCCACGAGGGGATTTCCTACGTGCGGGATTCAGCCTCTCTACGCCAACGGTTGGTGGAATGCAGCCATTATGAAATGCCAATGCAACTTTAATGAGGGACGTAAGACCACTGGCCGCTTCGCTGTGTCCAAGATTGGTTTTGACCTAACGGCAGTTAGAATGGCTCTAGCTGCTAGATGAATCAATCAGTCACGTACCGATCCAATTCGTAGGGACTCTCCGTCACGAGGACAGAAACAAGACGCCAGAGCATCGATTTCTATAGGGTCACCAATCGCGGTTCCTGTTCCATGGCATTCTACGTAATCAGTGCCTCTCAAGTCAAGGCCTGCGTCTTCATATGCCCGTCGTATTACGGCGGTTTGGAGAGCGCTGCTTGGCTGCATTATCCCAGGGGTTCTCCCGTTCCTATGACCTCGTTCATAATGTATAAATATCAATGAAACAGAACGCCGCCATGATGGGATGAACTTACGCGTTTACTGCCGCGCCTCGAATCACAGCCCAGACTTTATCGCCATCCTTACGCGCAGCGGAAAGGCGTTTTAGGTATACAGCGTTTACTGCCTCGCCTCGGCCGTAGCCATCTGCGGATACGTCGAAAGTGCGACAGGTAGATTCGGATGAGAGGATTCCGCCAGCCCAGGCTCCCATATGTTGCTCCGGGGATGTAATCAGGTTGGCAGCGGCAACGATAGCACTGTCACAGTCTCGGGACTGGATAGCGCGGACGGCATTGTGAATGCAGTACATCGATGCCGAACAGCCTGTGTCTAGCGTGAAACTACAGGTAAATTCCATTAGATAATTCTCGAAGTCGGCCGCGTACCTATGGTAGTGGTTCACATTACCTTGGCCCATGCAGATTGAATACATGGCTAATTCGATTTGACAGGATAGCCGTACCTGTCCCAGCACTATTATTAGCATCAAAGCTCTTTGCATCTCTGTTTCTACTTCGCAACGTGCGTAAATCACAAGCTACACACCTGAACCGCTAGCGATGTACCTTGAGCTATAGTCTGGGTCTCGAGCTTGCATTGTTTGAAAATCTAGAGTGAAATTGCCAACATAGACTCCGGTCTTGGTGCCTGAAATAGTCTCCATAGATACTCCGGCATTTTCAAGGCACTCGTAAACCACCTCGAGAAGTTGCCGTTGCAGCGGATCCATGTACGTCGCTTCTAGGTTATTGATTCCGAAGAAGCTGTTCTCAAACTGACGGACGTCATGCTGCAAGAAGTAGCCACCCTCAGCACCGATCACACCAGCACGCCCACTCTTTGCATCTGGATGATAGAACCCCTTAATGTTGAAGCGACCTTCTGGGACTGGCCCCTGAGCAGATTTCTTTTGGGATAGGAAATCCCATAGTGCGGAAGGCGAATATATCCCACCAGGGAGACGACATGCTATAAATTCATTAGTACATGCCATACATTCTCTGAATCCAGAATATCAAGACGGTTTACATAAACCCACAACACAGACAGGGTCTGCATCGTGACGATGAGAGGAGCTCAACGATCTGCTATGTCCATTTAGTCCGCCGCTCGCTTCAGTTTTCAGCCCATACGCTATCGCCGAAACACCATTGCTTTCAGTCTTCATTGGAGTTTCCCGTGATAACATGGCGATATCCTCTGGGTCTATCTCGTATCGATTTAGATGTTGTTATGGTTATATTCTCAAAAAGGTATGAAGATCCCAAAGAAATTCTCAACTTCAATGTGATTAGTGCCTAGACAGGTACCTCGTGAGAACTCTTGAGCTTGATTATCGAGTAGCTGTCTTCTCTTATCGATTCTACCTTGGTTATTGGTTATCATGTACTGTATCGTCATTGTTGTATTGCATATCGTCTCGTCTATACCATTGGGGGCCATAAGGAGGTGAGACTCCTGGAGCTTTGCCTGGCAGAAACGTCTGAGTCAGACTCCCCCCCATACCACTACATTAGTTAAGTAATTTGACAGTTGAGCGTTACACGACATCATTTGCTAGCATGCGCCGTACCCGCACATCCTTGTTTTCAACGTCTTCAGGGGCTAATATTTGGAAGTTGGCCAATGGACTCCTTGAATTGCCCCAGCTAAGTCAGATGAGCTCTGATCGGCCGGGGTTACAATCGGCCACATAGGTTATTCTGCATATTGTTTAGGTAAGGTAGCAGAGAGGCCATCAAATCCTTCCGGAGAAGAAAATTCGCAAAGACATTTGAGGTATCATAACTTTCTATTAAAAGGACTGTTACATACTGCGTAGTTACTTTCATATTACCTAAGTACTTGCCCACCTGGTAGTATCTAGTAGATCAGAATCACTCGAGTCTACTTGGAGGCGCGAGCGGTTGACTCAGTTGTGCTAGAACATGAAATGTATAGTAGGAGGGCTACACTCTAGATCTGGAAATATCAGCCCAATATACTTGGGCGTGGCCCAACTTCAAGTTATCTAACCTTGCCGTTTCCCCCATTTGTGGCTCATGGCCGGGGGGTCAGGAGTTACAAGTCAGCCAGTCCTAAGATGCCCAGGTCAATAGACTTCGCCTCTAGGAACGTTGAATGTTGTATATTTGAATTACACTATGGAATCATCAAATTGATTCTCCTCAGTCGCTCGGCTGTCCCTTGTAGCCCTCCTTACCCTCGTAGTAAGGCGCCAATGGCCCCAAAAACCCCTCCAGCTTTTCCCCATTGACAATGACATCTTTTACGCCGAGCAATACCCACATCATACGTCCAGGAAGCGTGCCTCCTCCACTCAAGTTGCGCCACTGATGGGCAGTAGCTCGCTGAATGCTAATGTCTCCTTTACGCATGATGCGCTTCTCGCCGGACTCAAGGATGAGTTCGAACACGCCTTCCAGGACAACACCGTAGTCCAACGATATCGCGCGGTGCATAGGGGTCAGTTCGTTCGGGGCGAAATCAATCATACGCAGTACGGTACCATTTTGGTAGTGTAGAGGTGGCTATATGCAAACCACGCACGCCGTGTCAGCTGGAGGAGTGAAAAAGGGGGTTGGGGATGTTGTGTCTTGGCACATTTCAACGGACCTCATGATTTCTTGCGCGTTCGATATCAACATCACCATTAAGGTCCACAGGCGTCTCCGACGTTGAATATACAATATTGGAAAGAGCTTGCTGCTCGCCCATTATCAGGTGGTGGTCCCCACAGTCGGTACTAAGGAATGTGGCTTTTCCATCGGCGTCGTGGCCGGTGATATGTCGCACCGTCCGAGGTAGCCCGGGTGCAGGAAACCCGGTAGAGATGTACCCAAAGCCTTTAGGATTATAGGGAAGCCCAAGTTCGTTCAATTCACCTTCTTTCAATTCCCGCTTAGTTTCTTGTTGCATTGCCATCGTGATAATTATTGAGCGTATCGTCACAAAAGTTCAATCGCTAGTAAACACCATACGAGTAGTACTGTAGAACTCGAGAAGCTCTGCAGAGCACTTGATGGCGATCCAATTCATGTCGGCATCATCGGCATTGAAGTATGCAATCATAGTGTCTCCATTGTATGCCAATACAAGCCGCTGACGTTGCTTAACTTAGGTAAGTAGCATTAGCGACATGGTTTTTACAATAGTTAGCATACCATTTAGCTGCTGACTGCTTGTGAACTTTGTGGGTTAATTGAGAGGAATTGAAAGCCTGGTTTCCTAGTTGGATGCTGTGACATACAGCGTAACTACAGTAATCATTAACTGGAACCACCTGCAGTCATCGACGGGCCCCGCCGCCTTGCCGTACCCACTGCCGATGCAGATATGAAGCTGACGATGCTAGTCCAGTAAAAGAGGCACCTGGGCAGCATCGTTATTGGCAGGTGATATGCTGAGAAGCATGCTTTTCTTGTTTCTATGTCGTACAATTGGATGCTATAGATAACGGTTAAGGATGACCCGGAATCCTTCGAATATAATCTCTACATACTGCGGGTGGCTTGACGCAGTCATTCACACATGTAAGGATTCGTACTGTAACCTCTATGATAAATTCTCGACTACGAATTGTTTGGGTCGTGTCATACTTGGGGTGTAATTGGAGCTGAGATGTAAGCATCTACGACATAGTGTTGCATCTAAGCTGTGGCAGTCAGAACATAGATGCAGGCGTTTACGGTACCATGTCGGTATCACTGTTAGGGCTGACGAATCAGAGAATGTTATGACATTCTAATATGCATAGGGCCTGTCAGATGTAGAGCCATAGAGTTGCATAGATCAACAACAACCAAGAGAGTCCTATGTCTTATGTACAATGAAACTACAAGAAGGCTGATGGAGGTGTGGCACTTGGATTGCGCTGACCCCCTCGCTACAATACACCAACAATCTACAACTTACGTAGGATTACGATAGCATACCAAAGCTTATGGTGTTTACCTGGCACAAGACAAGATCCGCTTCATTTTCTTTTACAGGACTTCCACAACATCTCACTTCAACACCTACAATGCAGTTGAATCATCGTCTTTTATCGTCTCTAATAGCTCACTTCCGCTCACGATCGCTCTTTTTTGATTCGTATTGAAGGAGATATACTTCGATTATGGCAAGCGTTCCTTTTGAATCTCTTAGCCCCGAGGAGCAGCAGGCTATATGGAACGGTCCTGCGATGAAAGTCCCCAATAACGAAACAGCTAATCTTGTCAATCCGCCCAATATGAGTGCCACTGCGCGTGGAATTATTATATTTTGCCAAGTCTTGACCACATTGGCTGTCATTGGGCGCTTGTATTCCAAATTCTTTATCCGCAAAAACATCACACCAGATCGTGAGTTTGAAATGTCCCTTCTAACACGTATTAGTCTACGCATATTCTAACCTGAACAAGTGCTCCTAATATTCTCATATGTCAGTTGATGTGAGTCTCGTTTTTAAATATGTTAACAGCCTAACACCTGGTAACAGGCGGCCTTCCTAGCCAACACATCTGTTTCTCTCCATATGACCGTCGTACCCGGTCTCTTTATTCACCAGTGGAACATTCGAATGGGGGTCTTCACGAACTTCCTGAAAGTCAGTTCAGCCAACGAGTCTAAAAGCTGATAGTATATCTGACGAGAACTATAGATGGTGTTGATCCAATCTCAACTCTACATAATAGGGGTTGTAACTCTAAAAGTGGCGATTTTATTGGAATGGAAGAACATATTCGTTCCACATGGTACCCGAAACTTCGTGTTCTGGGCAATTCACGCCATGATATGGTCTTGCATCTTCTTCTACCTTTCCACGATAATTGCCTTCAATGTTGCGTGTACTCCGTACGAGGCCTTCTGGAACAAGCTGATCGAGGGCAATTGCGATCGTGTTAATCCTGGGTTTATCGACATGAGCACCGGTGCGATAGTCAACTTTGTTACCGACGTGGTGATCTTGCTCCTGCCGCAGAGGGCAATCTGGAGATTGAACATGTCAACAAGGAAGAAGGTCGGAGTTTCTGTTGTATTCTCTGTCGGCCTCTTGGCTTGTGTGACTGCTCTTCTCCGACTTATCTCCACAGAGCAGTACTCCAAGTCACTCGACTTTACGTACAACTTTTCCCCGTTAACGTTATACACTGTTGCCGAGTTGACCTGTGGCTTTCTGGTGATGTGCATGCCGACCATGCCCAAGGTGTTCTCAATCCTGAAGAGCAAGCTGAGTTCCTTGACCGGTACTAACAAATCGGGCTCCGTGGGCGCCTCATGGCAGCGAATGGAAGGAGGAATCCCTAAATCTCCATCGAAACACACCTCAGAGAGACAATTATTTCCCTTGGTAGATGTGCATACTGGCGCTTCCTCAGACGAGCACATCCCAGTTACGGAACGGGGTATCTGGCAAACCTCTCAATTTGAGGCGGTGGAGTCGTTTGATCCTAACGCTACAAAGACCGAATATAAACGCCAGGAGCAGTGGGATTAAGTGAATACCTGTGTTAATTTATTCTTGTACTATAAATCTATCCTGGATGGTAAACCATCATGATTTCGCAATGTACTTATTCTCGACCATTGGTGCAAGCTATGGCTTGCCTTGTACTATGTAAAATACCACACAAACGAACAATATCAGCATTAGCAGCATTAGCAGTGTTACCGATATCATTCATATTGATGCATGGTATTACTTCAGCAACTGGTCCAGATTCTGCTCTGTCAGATATTGTTGCAGGTGCCTAAGGCCCATGACCCCACTAGGTTAGGCCATAGATTGGCACTCCGCCAGTGTAGTCTGGAATAAAGCAAGCTTTCTTCCTTTCATCTTTCATCTTCTTGGTTGCAGTTATCCTGCAACCGATATATTAGGTATCTTGCCGCATCATCCATGAGTGACACCCTACATGCGTCGTAATACAATGTGCAGTGCTTCATGCATGGTCATACGTCCACCATGTACCTCTGGTACAAGTATGAACTGTTGGTTACACGCGTAAGTATGGTACATATCAGCTTACTTTGTCATCGTTGGTCTTACTTTTCCCCATCTTATGACTTCTCCTTTCGATACTCAATTTCGTATTCTTATCCCGTTCATTTTCATTTCGCTGAGAACTTGAGCAACCGCATTCGAGTTATTTAATGGAAGCACAAGCAAAATCAGACCTCAGGGCTCTTTTAGCCAAGACGCGCAATGGGTGGTCCAAAGATGCAACTGTCTCCGTTGCTGGAGATGTGGATTTTGTAAACTCCACACACCGATGGAATCTGCATAGATCTCCCACCTATTCAGCCAACATTAGTGTCGGTACCGAGGCTGATGTAGCCAAGGCAGTGCGTGGATTTTCCTCTCAAAGGCACACCATCTCGCGACCGTGTTAACTTGATGTAGGTTGCATTCGCAAGGTCGAACAACATTCCATTTCTAGCCACTGGATCTCGACATGGATATGGCACCACGTTGGCCAGACATCAGAATGGACTCTCTATTGACCTCAGTCGACTGAACGCGGTTAACGTGAATCCATCTGCTTCTATCGTCACAGTCGGGCCTGGGGTCACAAATGAAGATATCGCTAGTGTGGCTAATGATGCTGGCTTTGAAGTCCCACTAGGAACCTGCTCAACTGTCTCTCAGATTGGCGCCACTCTAGGTGGGGGCGTTGGTCGCTGGTCGGGTGTCTTCGGCTTGATGATTGACGGTTTGCTATCAGTGCGGCTTGTAACGGCGAATGGAGATATCATCGAAGCATCTGAGACCAGTAATGCAGACCTATTTTGGGGCATTCGAGGTGCTGGTGCTAATCTGGGCATCATCGTATCTGCCACCTACAAACTTCACAAGCCCGTCAGTGAAGGAAAGGTGTTAAGCGTAGACTTCATGCTACCGGTGGATAGGAAGACGGAATACTTCAGCCTTCTAAAACACTTCATCGACAAAGGGTTGCCTCCAGAATTGGCCATCGTCACAGGAATTGTCTATGACCCCAATAGCAACTCAGTAAGTATCGCCCACAATATATCTGCCCAATTTCTTAATCAAACAGCCAAGATCACATCAGTTCCCAGTATCTACCATTTCTAATAACAAAACAGACCCTCATTGGTGGTAATTGGGCATGGTTGGGTTCAGAAGCCAAGGGTCGCGAGGTCGTTTTACCACTACTGGAAATGAATCCGCCTATTGTCAACACCTCCATTATATCTTGGACGGAAATTACCAAGTCTGCTGGCTTTGGTTCCGACGTAATGGGATGCCAGAAAGGTCAAGTCAGGAGTATGTATACGGCCAACGTGCGTGAATTCTCGGTGTCTGCCCACGAGAAAATTGTGGACAAGATGGCACGATTCTTTGACGAGCATCCGGATGGACGTGGCAGTATTGTCCTTTTGGAGACCTGGCCCATGCAGGCAGCTAGTGCCATCCCAGATGATGCAACTGCCTACCCTTGGAGGAATTCGATAGAGTATGCGATGTTCCAGTTTGCCTTCGTAGAAGAAGGCAGCCCTACAGAAGTAGCGGGGAACCTGCTCGGGAAGGAACTGCGCAAGGAGCTTGCTGCAGACTCTGGTTACGATGACCTAGCGGTTAATGTAAACTATGCGCATGGCGATGAGACCCCGGAACAGATGTACGGCAAGAATAAATTGCCTCGACTTGTATCGGTGAAGCAGCGATATGACCCCGATAATGTTTTTAGCTACTGCAATCCACTACCGTTGCAGTGATTAGGTATAGGGAGAATTGAGTCAGATATGAATTCATAATGTTTCTTTTGACTGACTTGTAGATGTCTCGGTAAAGGTAGCACGTCTCTGCAGCATCATACTAGGTAGTATCCTCGTCTCCAGCCCCTTATCCACCTAACCATTCTACATTATAAAAAATCATATTAACCTGCATGACGTAAGGGGATAAGCACTGCAGCAGGTCTTTAGGCATGTAACCTTAGTACCTAGGTAGGCATACGTAGAACTGGTATGTAGTATAAAGACCTGGCCCCGCTCCAACATGTCCGGGCGGGATCAAAATACTTCTTCCTAACTATCCTAGCCACCGGTTTAGACGAAACCATGACTTCAGATTCTTTCCGCGCCATCATTGTAGGGGCCGGCCCAACCGGGCTAGCATTGGGAAATTTGTTAGCGGCAGCAAACATCGACTTTATCATACTTGAGCGGCATCGGAGTGTGATTACCGAGTCGGGGGCATGTATCATGCTGTGGCCTCACACCACCCGCGTACTTGACCAACTGGGACTGATGGATAAGGCCGTTCGTAGTGCACTGCCTCTTGATACAAAGACAGTCATCGACTGTAACGGAAAGCAAGTGAGCAGTGATCCCGCTTTTCGGTTGATTGAGCAGAAGTGAGTCTGTACTTACCACGCAGTACATCGAATTGTTCGAACTTACACAACATGTAGCCATGGCTATCCTGCTCTAGCCTACCCGCGTCCGGAGCTAATAAAGTTGCTATATGAAGGTCTCGAAGACCACATGTCCAAGATCAAGACGTCCTCATACATCCAAGATATTGACATGGATGTAGACGGGGTCCAAGTCCGTCTCAAAGATGGCAACGTAGAACGAGGATCTTTAGTCATTGGCTGTGATGGTATACATAGCCAGACAAGAAACATCTGTGAGCAGCGCAGTGTGAATTACAACAAGCCGTGCGAAAGCTAACAGATTCATTAACAGTGGAAAGGGAGGCGACAAAGGATGGCATCGCTGTAAGGGAACACCGCCACATTGCTGAGTTTGAATGTCTATTTGGATCAGCAACATCGATCTCTGAGGTTCCAGCTCGCGTTTTCTGGGAGTCTCATGGACCAGGTGTAGCTACACAGATGGCATCTGATGGGTTGACTTGTCGCTTTAGTATCTGGAAGCGCTTGGCAGAACCAGTAGAGAGAAAGCGCACCTCTACAGAAAACGAGACAGAGAGGTTTATGGAAAAAATGGGAGAGGTGCTAATGGCTCCTGGCTTTTACGCCAAGGACTTGAACAAATACTGCACATGGAAAAGGCTGGTATATCAGCCAGAGGGGGTGGCAGAGCAATGGTATCATGATCGTATCGTTTTGTGCGGAGAATCGGTTGCACAAATGACCTCGATTAACGGCATGGGTTTTAATGTGGCCTTTCAGTCTGCTGTACTCCTTGCTAATAAGCTCCACGCAGTACTGAAGTCAGATCCGAAACCGAGAACGGAGACCCTTGCGGCGGCATTAGCAGACTATGAAGAGACGCGCAAGACAGAAACACAGGCCATCAGCAAGATTTCGGTATATTATATTCGTGCTGCTACCTGGTCGTCTTGGCCAGGCAGAGTATTCATCGACTACATACTGCCATGGTTCTGGGGAGAAACGGGCCTGGTTAGGAAATTGGGAGAGGGGATCTCGAAGGGGAGAAAACTCGATTTCATCCATTACGAAGACAAGGTTGGAAAGGTTCCGTGGGAAAGGTATTCCAATTAGTTCAAGCTTGATAGTAGCTGAAGTGGGATATGCCAAACTTTAGACCCTGAAGCATAGTTCAAGGAGTGCAGAAGAGGAGGGCAAAGTGGTGGGAACGTGATTATAAATTATAATCAATCTCGGACTAGGCACTATCCGGTGTCAGTCTTGATTTCTCTCTTCTCTTCGTCCACATCGCTTCTTTGGGCATATCTCTGACTAGAACTTGGTGTATACCCTGCCCAGTCTCATCGTGTCAGTCGAAGGAGCTGAGGAGCAGGGAGTAGCCAATCCAAAAAGCCTGCAACAGAACTACTAGTGTCATATATCTCACATAAGCAACACGGCCTGTTCAACGCCTAGATAGTGCATATGGATGACAATGATAGAATCGATTGACGCAAGAGGTGACGGGGTTTCAAGTTCGGTGACCATCTGGAACTTGATAAAGAATAGGGGTAACATAGGGGGTTCAGGATACGATAGTGAGGTTCAATTAAACAATTGGAAACTCCACTCACTAGACTTATTTCAGGCTCCAACTAGTTAATCGTCTAACCGTATGATGCCCGTATGGACATGGGTTAACAAACAGTTGAATACTCGCGCCGCCACCAAAGCTGATGTTAGGGATGTTGGCTAGCTGCAGAATCCTTCGTTCTCATTATCATCCTGGCACGTGGCAATCGGAGATTACCACGTTTTCCAAGGTTCCATCCGATGTTCTTAGGCAATTTCGCCGCCCATCTCTCGCTTCGATCACCAAGTTGTTAAGTTATTCCTGCGCTCGTTACATAGCTTCACCTAACTTCGCAAATATTACTATGATTTCCAACATTCATCACCATCATGTTATTTGCTTCCATCGTTTACTACCTCGCCAGTTGTGCGTTAATTCAAGCTAGAAGGACCACCCACTTCCGTAGAGATGATGTTAGGGATATCCTCGTCTCTGCTCAGTGGTCTTCTGGCACCACTGTATCATTTCCTGGGTCTGACAACTTCAAAAATGCCACAGAGAGATGGACCACTTTCGAGGCGCCAACTTATGCTGCAGCCATTAAGCCAGAAACAGAAGCAGATGTAGTCCAAGCAGTAAGTCAAAATGAATAAGTCGGGAAAGAGGTTGAAATAGTTTCGTTGACACCAAACCCCTAGATGAATCTCGCAACAGCGAACGGCATTCCATTCCTCGCTACCGGTGGCCGCCATGGCTACACTACAACATTAGGGGGTCTTCAAAATGGATTGGCAATTGATCTTAGTCTGTTTGATACAGTAAGCATCGACCGATCCGCTAGGACTATGACTATCGGGGGTGGAGTCCGGTTTCGGGATATCTACGAACTAGTATTCAAGGCAGGCTTTGAAATCCGTATGTTCTCCGGCGTTTTTAGTTTCCCAAGAGCTCTCCCGAGAGTCTCCCAACTAACAGAGATGTAGAGACGGGTGCAGCATCCTGCCCTGGCATGATCGGAGTAACGCTTGGTGCCGGCGTGGGTCCTTGGAACGGTGTTCACGGCTTGTTGATTGACGCCTTAGTGTCATTACGTGTTGTGACCGCCAACGGTTCTATCATTGAAACGTCTAAAGAGGCATACCCTGACCTGTTCTGGGCCCTCCGCGGCGCGGGCGCTAACTTTGGTATCGTCACATATGCTACATATAACCTCCAAGAGCAGGTCAATCAAGGTCAAATCTTCTCTGCGGATTTCGTCTTCCCAGCCGAACAGAACGCTTCTTACTTCAAGCTGCTAGAATCATATAATAACGGTAGGCTATCCGACAAGTTGACCATCAGTACATTCATGAGTTATAACTCATCCACTGGAGTTGTAAGCTTTCACATCGTCCTGTCGCTTTTTTCCTGGTCACAGTTCTGACTCCGTAAAGCACCAAATCACAGCCAATTGGGCATATCTAGGCTCAGAGGAGGATGGAAAGGAAGCCTTCAAGCCAGTGCTTAGCCTCAATCCCATTATTAGTGACATTCAAGTCTACTCCTGGAATTCTTTCATCAGAACGGTGGCGGGAGGCGCCGACAGCTACTTGTGTCTTGAAGACCAGATTCGGGATATATATACTGTCAATGCTCGCAATATTTCCGCCTCTACGTACGAAATCGTTTTTCAAAAGCTTTCTACCTTCTTTAATAAATATCCTTCTGCGCGTACGAGCGAGATTCGAATCGCCATGCTTCCCAACCAAGCAACCCTCGCAATTCCAGATGACGAGACGGCCTATCCTTGGCGGGACACCCTTGCGTATATGTAAGTATTGTGTCTGTGAAAATACAGCACTAGATCAAAATGCACAAAACAAGCTTCTGACATGGTGGGATGTACAGAGATATTATCCTAAGCTGGGACGAAACGGACGGCGCTGCAGCTGTGGAAGCAGGTGCAGGGTCACTAGGTCGCGCAGTACGCAGTGACCTCGCTGCGACTTCTGGGTACCCGACTCTAGCAGCGTACATCAGTTCGGCCCATGGAGATGAAACCCTTGAATCAAGATACGGAGCAGCCAAGTTACCGCGCCTTGCTGCCCTGAAGAAGACCTGGGACCCGAATAATGTCTTTGCGTTTAATAACGCCTTACCAGTACAATATCCTTGATTTATGATGGGTATATCAGGTTATCTTATTTTGGGAATTCTAATCCGACCATGTGATCTAATGTGTGTACATGATTGTTTGTAATAGCTTTACTTGGCGACGGGTAACTAACAAGAAACAATCCTGCGAACTATTAAAATATATGCCTTTGAAAATTACTCGCCGAATATTTCAACCCTGCCTAAGTACCCAACCTAGGGGGGTAAGGAGGTAAACAGGGGTTTTTTGCACTCGCAGCTCTTATCGCATCTCAAATGCCCGGGACTTTGCTACCCGTGGTATATGCCCACGCGTGGCGTGACCGTTATTATCTCCTATTTTTTAATATTTCCTCTTTATCTTATCATATGTGTCCAATCACTAATGATCGACGAGCTGCCGCGGAACTCATTTTATTATGTTTTTCTGTGCGGGGTTCTCTGTTTATTGATTTCATGCCTACTTTGGTAGCTAATCAACTACATCATGGCTCTTTTCCGTCGCGTTCTCCTTTCGGGATCGTCAATATGGCTGACGCTCTTTGGCGTCGCGAGCTCCGTAACTGGTATGTACAACTCCATCCTCATGGCTTATGTATACGCGAACTCATGTGACTATTCGTAGTGAAGGGAAAGCCGTTTCCGAGCTTGATCGATGTTACCATTGATGATCTGTCCGCTGGTCTTGAGAGCGGCCTTTTTACCAGCGTCGACTTGGTGAGAACCTACGTGGCTCGCATCATCGAGGTTAATGACACTCTGCATGCTGTGGCTGAGATTAACCCGGATGCCTTGACGATTGCGGCTGATCTTGATGCGATGCGTGCTAATGGACAGATCCTGGGGCCTCTACACGGTGTTCCTATTCTTATCAAAAATAACATCGCGACTGATGACAAGATGAATAACACGGCCGGCTCTTGGTCACTACTTGGTGCAAGGGTAGGAGAGGATAGCACGGTAGCTAAGAAGCTACGACAAGCTGGAGCTATCATCTTGGGCAAATCAAATTTAAGTCAATGGGCAAACTACCGAAGCGACAATTCTAGCAATGGATGGTCAGCCTATGGTGGCCAGGTTTACGGTGCCTATTGCCCTAGCATGGATCCCAGTGGCAGCTCGAGTGGCAGCGGTACTGCATCAGCCATAGGCCTTGCTCTCGCCTCTCTTGGTACTGAGGTATAGTAATCATGCGAGAGTCAACAGGATTATGTCAACCATGCTGATATTTAACAGACAGATGGCTCTATAATTTCACCATCCACAAAGGGTAACTTGGTGGGTATTAAACCTACTATGGGCCTTACCTCACGACACCTAGTTATACCTATCAGTGAGCATCAGGATACTGTTGGCCCCATGGCGCGAACGGTCAGAGACGCAGCCTACATTCTACAGGCTATTGCCGGATATGATCCCAAGGACAATTACACTACCGCGATTCCGGACTGTAGCACCATCCCCAACTATCTTGCCGCGTTGGATGTGGATGGTCTCAGGGGAGCTAGAATTGGCATTCCTTACAACATCTTACCGACAGATAATTCCACTGAGATACTTGCATATTACAGCGCCATCGATATGATGAAGGCAGCAGGTGCCACACTCGTAGATGCAGACTTCCTCGATGGCAACGCGATCACTAGCTCCATTGTTCTCCAGGCCGACTTTGTTTCCAACATAGCAAGCTACCTTGCGGAGCTAACCTACAATCCGAATGATGTCCGAAGCCTAACAGACCTGCGCGAATTCACGCGGAACTCCCCCCTTGAGGAGTATCCGGACCGTGACACAGCGGCTTGGGACTCAGTGCTAGCACTAGGGTATAACAACACTGACCCCCGTTTCTGGGAAGGGCTTCAACAGAACTACTACGCCGGTGGTGAGGCCGGTCTACTTGGCGCTATTCAGCGAAACCAAGTGGACGCCATCATCCTACCCAGTAGTCAATCCCCCGGCAGGGCCGCAATCACCGGAGCCCCGATTGTGACCGTCCCGCTGGGTTTCTATCCCAACGATACGAGTATATCGAAGACCTCTCGTGGGCTAGTTACCACTGGCCCGAATGTCCCGTAAGTCTAAGAACGAACAAAACAAATACAGTCGAAATATTTCACTAACATGAGACGATAATGTAGATTTGGTCTTAGCTTCCTCGGCGATAGGTTTACTGAGGCGACCCTTATCAAGCTGGCCTATGCCTTCGAACAGAAAACCATGGTGCGTAACCAGGTTCAACCATACATAATTCCTACCACCGAGCTTGGTGACATTGTGGGTTTCTAATAGGCTTGGGGGCTTAAATATAAGACTAGGTATTATTAATGATAGTGTCACATACAATATAGCATATATAATAAGATTTACGGTTTTGTCCTGTCGTTGGACGTCTTGCGCCAAGTCATAGGAACGTTAAAGATACGGGGGGTGGTATGGTAAGAGCGGTGCTCTCGACCTCTCAGGCTAGCTATATATACATGGACAGACAAAGTTCAGCAAGCTGCGGCAGCAGCTCAGCTATGGAAAAGATAACGTCCACGTTATCTAAATCCAACAACAGACACATGTGTGTTGATCCCTGATACACATCTCTAAGTTGACCCGTGCTGCTTCAATAATTGAAGTTACTCTAGACAATCCTCCTAGTGCGATAGATATGCTTAGGCCCAAAATGGTCGGGGTGGTGTTGCGGTTGCCCGAGGCTCTTTGAGGCTCTGCTGACTGTAGGATAAGGACATGAAGAATAAGGGGATTAATGGTTCCAGGACAGCCATGTTGAATGGTTGTGTTGGATAGTCTGGTCGGCTGAAGGGACCGGGAATTAAGTGATCTCGTCTGCTGGGGGGGCCGAGAATTGAATTATGAGTAGTCCCAGGTACGTACGTTTCCTGGCCAGGGAGAGCGTAGAGCTCTGGGCTTTGAACAACAGGCGCGCTCGGTGGGTGTCGGACCAGCGCCGGGCATGCTGGACCAGCGCCGGGCATGCTGGACCAGGTTGATATATCTATGGGGGTCGGTCGGATTGAAGATAGCAGAAGAGAGGTATCATAGGTGTTGGTCAATTACATGGGGTTAGGAGGTCGGATTGAAGACATTGGGGTTGGACAATTTGATAGGTCAGCAGGTCGGATTCATGATAGTCTGGACAGTAATGGATAGGAGATATACGGGTGGTTCCAGTAGAATGGTAGTCGTACAACAATAAATAGAAGATATAAGAGTAGTCCCAAATGCGTAAGTAATTATACAGCAATGGATAGGAGATATGTTTAACGCATAGAATGGAAGGGACCCAGCAACGGACGTCTCACCAAGTGGACGTAAGACGTTTTATGTCTAAGGTGTAGTCGTGCTTTAAGGAACTTTTTTTAGCTGCCGCAGCAATGGATAAACAATAACCTAACTACGTACGTTTCATGGTCAAGGAGGATAATGGGAGTTAATTAGTTAATCGTTAATGGAATATAGAGAAAAGAGGAAAAGAGCTGGGCTTTTAACCTCTTAAGTTAATTATATATACATGGATAAGGTTTAACAAGCTACGGCGGCAGTTATGGAAATATGCTTATGTGGTAATAACTATGGATAACCACGCCATTTGTGTCCTAACAAAAGACGTCGGGCGTTTTAAGTGGATATACGATGAATAATCCCGCCATTTAACGGCGTTTTCAAATATTAAGGATTAAAAGATTTATTAACTACGTTTATCCTTTTTACGGCATATTGGATTAGTGTATGAAAAGTTCGGCTTGAAAATAGTATAAGATGTGTATTGTGAAAGGGTTAGGCAACCCCTAAGCGGTGGCCACAAGGGTTAGGGTTAGGGTTAGGGTTAGGGTTAGGGTTAGGGTTAGGGTTAGGGTTAGGGTTAGGGTTAGGGTTAGGGTTAGGGTTAGGGTTAGGGTTAGGGTTAGGGTTAGGGTTAGGGTTAGGGTTAGGGTTAGGGTTAGGGTTAGGGTTAGGGTTAGGGTTAGGGTTAGGGTTAGGGTTAGGGTTAGGTTAGGGTTAGG